GCCTCCCGCAGAACAAGAGCCTCCCGCAGAACAAGAGCCTCCCGCAGAACAAGAGCCTCCCGCAGAACAAGAGCCTCCCGCAGAACAAGTGGCACCTCCGGTAGAGGGCTCTCAACAAGGCGATGATGAAGTCAATGAGTCCCCCAGAGACGATCCTACGCAACGCCCGGGTACTGAAGAACCGCCACCTGCAGAAACAGGCAGCGGAGATCCCCCTGCTGAGAGCGAAGAACCAACTGAGCAGCCACCTGAAGAGGAAGAAGAGGTTGCGCCACTTCAAGAGGCAGAAGAGGACGACGCTCATCAGCTTGATCCTGTGGTACCTGATTCAAACCCGCAATCATCATCAGAAGATCTTTCGGTTCCCTCTAAGGAGCCGTCTCCGCCAGAGGCTGTTGCTGCATCCCAACCAGATCTAGAACCTTCGAATGATCAGGATGAAGTAGCTGAAGGTATTTTAACTGAAGGACCAGCCGATGAAGCGATCGTAGACCCGCCTGCGCTCGTTGACGAAACGGCCATCGAGGACAGAGTTCTTGACAATGAACCACTTGTCGAAGAACCAACAGAACTGGAATCGACAGAGCCTGAGCAATTACCTGTGCCAGCAGAGGAAGTCTCACCTCTCCCCGAACAGGCTGAAGAGGATCCAGTAGATATTTCCCCCAATACAACCGCAGTCGTAGAAGAACGGGGACTCGACAATGTAGTGGACTTACCACAAGAGGCTACGGTCGAACCTCAACCAGAGGAACTGGGCGCAACTGCAGAAGCTACGGTAGCTCCTGTTACACCACCGAATGAAACCGCGGTTGAGGAGCCGGCCTCACAGGATTCCCCGGCTACACCGGTGCGAGAGAAACACCGTCGCCGACACTCTCACTCACACCGGGATTCACCAAAGCACTCTGGCAAGCGGCGGGATAGCAATGCAAGTACCAACGAGCGATCTGCGGGAGCTCCCATGGCCTTCCTCGCTGCCTCGAAACTGATCGGCTCCGCACGTAAGCGTAGAGACAGTATGACCGATCGTGATCGGGAAAAGAGTAGCAGCAGCAAGGAACGAGAACATAGAGAACACAAGGAGCGATCTCATCGGCATCGAGAGAGAGGCGATGGAAGAGAGAGTAAGCATCGGTCGCTTCCCGCAGAGGAGGAAGATCTCGAACGACAAAGACGCGAGGCTCGACGAGCGGAGCGCGCTGAAAGAGAAAGACAAGCGCAAGAGGAAGAGGAACGGATTCGAGAAGCGCGTAGAAGACGGCACGAGGAACGAGCAAGAAAGGCGGCAGAATTGCTCGCAGAGGAAGAAGAGGCTCGTCGGATTAGACATGAAGCAAGAAGAAAGCGACACGAGGCAGAGAAGGAAAAGAAGCGGTTGGAAGCAGAGAGAGCCGAACAAGAGGAAGAAGAAGCGCGCCAAAGGCGCCGCCAGCGCAGAGCAGAGAAGGAGAAGGCTAGGCAAGCGCCAGCTCCGCCAGACGAGGTTGAAGAACCAGAACGTCCACAGACTCGTGACGCTGCTCGTCGAGCTGCTGAAGAAGATGATTTCGAGGCCACTCCAGCTTCGCCGCCTACCCCACATAGACCGAGCCGGCGGAACACAATGGGTGAGCATCGAAGAGACTCTCAGAAGCAAGCAAAACGGAATAGTGTACTCGGCGGTCTGTTTGGACGATCAAAAGCCGAAACTGCAGCAGCACCAGTATCACGATCACCAAAGCATGCCAGTAAGGTCAGAGCGGATCCAGTAGCTGGATTGAAAGACAATGAACGGCCTCCGAGCAGCCACCAGTCTTCCAATGGCAGTAGGGAGCGTGCTGAGCGACCACATCGCAGTCGACGTCATTCGACTTCACATCACCAGAAACGTGAGATTCGATCTGCTGAAGAGGAAGCAGCCCACCGGGCTCGAAAGGAGGAGCGCCGGGCCTCACGTGCTGTGAAAGATGGGATGTCAGGCGGTCGCGACGGTGGTGTCACTTTCGCAGACCCAGTCGTGGATGAGCATCCTTCAGTGCCTGAACCTGAAGAACCTGTTCTGGATGCCGAGGGCGAAATTGAAGCAGTGCCAGAGCCTGAGCTTGAGCTTGAGCCTGAGCCTGTCATGGACCGCTCGACCGAGCCACCAATGGAGGATGCTGCGGCAGTTGTTGGTGTTGCATCTACATCATCTGCAGAACGCCGCGAGCGTCGCCACCGCAGTCGAAGAACTTCTGCGATGGAAGCCGAGCGACCCAGAAGCCGTCGTATATCAGTGACGGAGAAAGAAAGACCCGTTAGTCGTCGAGATGATCCTGATCGTCCGCGTACTCGCCACGCCGATGAGGAGCCTCGCCATCGACCAAGGCGCAGTGAGACTGATCGACACACCGGAAGCAGGCGGAAGAAGGATGATGGAGGTATCAAAGGCTTCTTCGGAGGGCTGAAGAAGATAGTGAAATGAGAAGGAGTGTAAGGAATATGAGCCGAAATGAAATTTACGCGAGGACTTTTAGAACATGGAAGGGATACTACAGATCGGACATCTGGTTCTTCATTGACTGGCGTTTGTGGCTGTTCTATACCACCATATTTGCTTTCATCATCTTTTTCTCTTTTCTGCTGCTTGGGAGGCATATTGTATTTGTAAGATGTACTCCGTCACATTTTCGGCAGTTTGTCTTTTGCGTACGTTATTTTCTTGTATGACGACTATGGGCCAGTATACTTCATATCTTGCGCCTGAATAATGATTTTCCTTCTAGCTGATATATATTATCGCTATGACTATAACGCATTTTATCGATATCCTTATTGGCAGTTACATGTCCTCATGCATCGTGACAATGAACAGAGCAGTCATCTTATCTAAATGTTGCATACAATCATGCATAGCCATCCTTTCCAGGCACACACCCAAACGCTGGCCCACCTCTCCCGAACATAATTCCCAAGTCACCAGCCAGCCGATCAGGCACCTCATAAGCAGCAAAGTGGCCTCCATGGTCATGCTCGTTCCGGAATATGATAGGCCCCAGCGTGGGACCCCATGCACGTGGCAGAAGACATACTTCCTTTGGAAAATACGACAAGCCCTAGACGACCAGCGATCAGCGATTTCGATTCCCTGTTCTATCACGCATGTACACTTCCAACTCACCAGCGGAACTTTTCCGTTGTATTTCATGGCCTTCTCAAAGACATTGTTGCTGTCCCGTGCAGCCTCATAGTAGATTCTCACGCTGGCCGCGGGCCCAGCAGTACTAAACCAATAGATACTCAACCAAGTACAAACCTCGTCGTCCGACCACTCATACCCATCGGACCAGATCCCCAGCTTCTCGTACACCCACCCCAACAGCCCGACAGGGCTATCAGCGAGGGAATAGCCGAGCGTCTGCGGGCGCGTAGTCTGCTGGTGGTAGTACCCCTGGCCCCGGTCGCGGTAGTCTTGCGTGCGCTTGAGGCCCTCAAGCTCGGCTGGCGTGTACCATTTGAGGGCGTAGAGGAAGAGGAATTTGCAGAAGGCGAAGGGGTTCCAGAGGCTGATGGGTGGGCCGGAGACTACGGTGTTGATATGCGAGGCTTTGACTTGGTGATGGAAGAGTTGGCCCATCGTGCGAGTAATGCCGAATCCCTGGCAATCCGCTTTAGCTTTGGAATTGGGGGCGGGGGGTTGTTGCTGCTGCTTCTTTTTCAGACTTACCCAATCTCCACCTTGGGTGACATATTCTCCGTAACCAAGTGCAAGCATCAGTTTGTGACAAACTTCGGCGTATTGCGGCTGATCGAAACCTTTCTTCTTGATGCCACCGGAAAACCCGAAGTTTGGTAACGATGGAGCCACCACGTGGAATGCCGGACCACCATTCTTCTCACCTCCTGTCAGGATAGGCAAGATCTTGGTAACTTCGATGAAGCTCCCAGGCCCTGTATCATTCAGCGACTTATTCTCGCATGATTTTCTCGACGAGCCTGGAATATCGTGGGTTTCACATACATCCATGCACAAAGAGTAATGGAATCGCATTCTTGACCTCGCTCTTCTGGTGGACAAAATGTATGTCGATCGGACCGAACCCATCAACATCGATAATCGTCATAAAATTGGGCAATTTGTTCAGGGAAGCTTCGGCTTTCCTCCAGTCGTACGCATCTTTCCAATGCGTCGCGATACGTTTCACGTCCTGGAGCGGCGCCCCATAGTCCCATCCTGCGTCGTCTAATTCATCCGGGAAGGTCGTCAGCGCGAGCTTTTGGCGAAGATTGTCGATTTGAGAATCGGGTATCGAGATGGTGTATGGCTTTATGTCATGCATTGTGTTGTATGATGAGAGGGTGTTGTGTTGATCTGCTCAGGGTAATTGCAGATCATTGAGGTCGTGGTGTTGCACGTGCGGGGCGGCTAGGGTGGGCGTTTGTTATTTTCTATGCACTGTGATGGACCTGTCAGCACTTGGCTTGAGGAGTGCTTTTGGTCTCCACTAATTGTATGCATGCCACGTTCGCCATTATGGGCTCGAGAGTAGCGTTTGGTTTTCAGCAAGTCTCAATGAACGAATTGAAGGGAAGACTTGCTCTACGTCAGTAACAGTGCACAGAGATTTGTTGGGGTAATTGCAGCAACTTTAGAATCGATTTTTGGAACTCGCAAAAGTTATACAGAACCTTCTATGAATCTGAAATGGTCTGAAATGGTCCGAATCTACAGTGAATTAGCAAATGAGGAAATATGTGAACCTAGTGTGGGCGGTCGCAATCATATGTGTACGTCGTCGTGGCCTCGCAATGAATTCAAAGTATCAGTATGATTTGATGAGCTTTTTTATATTACAAATGGACGAGATGTTTCCCGCCGGTGCAGCGATGCCTCACAGAAGCCGAGAGTAACAAGGCGACATGTTCCATTTTACCATATGGTATCTGGTTTGGATGCCAATTCCTTATATTTTTAGACCTTCAAGCGCATGTCCCTCAACTTCGCTTTCACCATCAAAGGCCCCTCCAGATCGCTAACGCCTACGCTGATAAGTTGCGGAAGGACGCCATGAAAATGACCGCGTTCGACCGCTAATCTTTCCTCTTCATCCGCCAATTGAAAGTCAAACTCTTTTAGAAGTGTACTGCTAATTTTGTAGATGTTAGCCAGAGCCATGCTCTTACCAATACATTGCCTTCCCCCGAGACCAAAATGAAACAATGAACTCCCGTGTTCGATGTTCTGGTGCCGGTATGGATCAAATATGTTATGGTCTTCGCCCCATACTGCCGGATTATGATGGAACGCATGGTTGCATACTGCGAGGCTGGTCTACGAAGCTTTAATTTTTGAAAATCAAAATTGGTCAGAGTTGCACCTACACCTTGTGGGAAATGGTGGCCGGATATCGAGACACCTTCGGCAGCTGTAACTCGGCGTTCTAGTGGCATGGTGAATACTGGAGTGATACGGAAGTTTTCCTTCACGCATTTACGCAGGAAAGACAGAGATCCTTCCACTTGAGCGATAGAGTAGGCCGATTGACTATCCTCAAGGGTATGAAATCTAGCGTCAATCTCTTTCACGCATTCATTCATATACTTGGGGTTATGTAAAAGATTCCAAAAGAGGAGTGCGGTTGTCGCTGTAGTAGTATGTGTTCCCGCGATGCTGAGATACCCAGTCAATACATTATTCAACCATTGCGCATTGATACGGGGTAGACTCACATGAAACCAAAGGCCTCTGTCTCCAAATCTTGTTGTGTCAGCCTTTGACCGGTTTCCGGATCCTTTGCCAATATGAGTCGTGTCAAAAGGTCCCGTTGTTGACCTTTGCCTGCAACTTCATTATCTTTTTCCATTTCAAGGTCATTTAGCCGCTTTTGCACACTCCTTGAGGCAAGTTCAATGCATGCTTTTCGTCCGTCGAATAGCGCCTGAACTCGTTTCGATGGTAGCATTGGTAGCCACTTCTTAAGAACCAGACGCATATTTGTCCAGGCGCCGATGGCTGATCCCAGAAGAGTGTGTTCCTTGACTGGTGGCATTTGAGAGTCATCCTCTGATTCTTGTACATTGAAAGATCCGCTGAAGGCCAGCTCGAATAGCACATCGACTACATAATAATGCAGTGCCTTCTTTAAATCGAAAGTTTCGCCAGCCAAGGCGCGTCGGCGGATTTTTGCTCTCAATATGTTGATATTTGCATCAAGAAGATATTCCATCTCCTTGATACTTGTCATAGAAAAGGAATGCGACATGTGTCGACGCCTGACAGCATGATGCGCCTCGTCTCGAGTCCCAAATACATTAGGATGGAATCCACCGAAAGCATCATAGAACTCGGTTTTCGGCATTGAGCGGGAACTCTTCTGATATATTGCAGAGATAGCCTCTTCATGAGTGATGCTAATCTTGTTGGGTCCATATCGCACAATCGGGCCGTAACGTTGATGAAGCTCGGTCAAGCGATATGGTTGTCTTAAGGACAGGAATTGAGAGACCTGCCAGATATCGGTCAAAGAAGCCATAAAAGGGCCTGGGTACTTTGATAATGAGTGAATAAACTGTTGGTATAAAACATAGATAAATGTCAGCAGCAAGATAAAGCCACTGATAGCACAAAATGGATGATTTCGCAATGGTTCGATCATGTGAAGGAGAGCCATCTTGCACAACAAAACGTCGCTGTTCAAAGCAAAGCATTCGGGGATATCGGTTTTTCTATGTCTTGAGTTTCGGACCTACATCAATTTAAAATAGGATTGATTACTCTGATGAATTGATCTGCAACAACTAGTGCTTGCGGAGATCCCGGATTGCCCATAATTCACGGGAAGCGTTTTCCCGATTGGCTCCACTTCCCCGCATCATGGCTCCTGATGGATGCTGTGGATGCCACCCAAGCGTGACAGGGTGCACCATCACTACCATGAGAGAGTTTTCATGAGACGAGCTCGACGTTCGCGAAAGCGACCGAAGCATTATTGAGAATCGAATGTTGCATCTCCAGAGAGACTCTCATTGACCACGACGTGAACGATGTACGCATTTAATACCACCCGGCCACTCATGACAAGACGCTAATTTGGTGATCATTGAGACATATCCATTCTCGAAAATTTGGAACACATATATCTACGACGCTGTGCAGCGGTAGCTGTCTGTAATAGAAAGGCTTTTGGTCTCTCGGTAGTCTATGGCTTCAAGTCCCATAAAACGAAGGAGAGTCGAGTTAGCCTGCACTCAGTGCAGGGCTCGTAAAATTAAAGTAAGCCATTGAACATACTCTGGACAGTATTCATATTCCCATCACTTGTGAGACATTGATTTTGATTGAACCAGTGTGATGGCCTCCGACCAAGCTGTACCTCTTGTGGACGCCTGCAGGTAAACTGCCTGTATGAAAGTCCACCCAAAACGAATGGAGCGGGTATAACCCCCTCCCAAAATTCAAAAAGGGTAAACATGATAGTCCCGAGAGTTATTCAAGAAAAAGGTTGTAACATCCCTCCGCCGTCGCTCCCAGTCGATGAAGAATCTGCTGTTGATACGCTCGCAACGGATGCATTCGGCCATGATGCACCTCGAGACACAGGATTCTTCGGCCCTAGTTCGAACCATACCCACTTCGGAGCTCTATCAAATGCATTTGCTCAAATTGCTAGAGCAAAGTTCCCAAATAAACAGGCCTTACTTCGAACATGGACAAGCGAACAACAAGATGAGCTCCCGAGAAACGAACAACCACCAGTTCCGTATTCGGCCTTTGACCCTTACGGAATGCCCGATGAGCAATATGCTCTATCGCTCTTTGACACTTTCTTCTCTTCCATCAATCTTGTGTTCCCATACGTTAACAAGGCATCTTTGTTATGGGATTATCACCAAGCACGACAAATGCGTCCTACACAAGTCCGTCGAACCCTTCGTGTCCTGCTCAACATAATATGGGCCCATGCGTCAAGCTCGCTCGGCAAACCTGAGTCCGAAATCTTCTATAGATGTGCTGTAACCCTTTTAGACACGTTGACGATCAGAAAGACCAGTGTAGAGTTGGGTGAGAAAACTTAATTTTGCACTGTTTGTTCACGAAAGCCTAATCGAAATTCCAGTACAAATCTTCCTTCTACTCACGATCTTCCAACAAAACCATCAAAGATCAGTATCAAGCTGGACTTACCATGCTTTGAGCGTCAAAGCTGCTTTTCAATTAGGTCTTCATGCCCCATCATCTTATCGTGCTTCCAACGAAGAGGACAAAGAACAACGTAAATGTATCTGGTTTGGAGTGATATTACAAGACCGGTAAGTCTGAGCTAACTCATTTTGATGATATACTGAGGAGATGCAGTATTCTTACTCTGTCCTTGGGACGACCTGCAATGATTCCCGAGCATTACAATCGAATCGAGGCAATACGGCCGTTTAGCATCACTAATCAACCTCAAAGTCCGGATTGTGTCGACAACGTTCAATTCTTTTGCCACAAGGTGTAAGTGCCACCCTAACAATACTCGCTGTCGCTCTCACAAAACAAAAGCTCTCTCTGTTCTATTATATATGAGGTCCTGGAAAGATTGTATGATTTCAACATATCAACCGACTCCATATGCCTTGATGATTTGATAGTAGCCAGAACTCGGCTTCTGCTGCGGCTCTCAGCCTGGCAAAGCAATCTAGGGTCCTTCTCTATAGTGAAAGCCTCAAGCTTCATAGGTCAAAGGCCAGAGTATTGCAATCGAAAGCGCTTTGACATAATACTATCGATATATTATCATCGAGTTGCCATGTCCATCAACAAAGCTGTTCTTTCAAGATTTCTGACTGATTTCGCGCTGGCCGATGATGAAGCGATTCCAGAACCAATCTGGGACGGCGTTATTAGCGCTCTCTCCCATGACGCTCGAAGTGCCATGGAACTTCAAGGCATATTCACCTCGGTCATCGAAAACGACTCAACGTTTATCAATCGCTATGCTGCATGGTGGACTGCAAATTACTCTGGTACATGGGAATGATCTCTTCGACCTACGTATTATGCTGAAAGAAGCAAGTTTTTAGTACAAGCCTACACCTCCTAGGCGCCATGATTTTCCTTCTTCGATTTCCGAAACTTAAAGAATGCATTAATGCGAAAGATATTCGAAGATCCATGCAGCAAAGCCTTGACGCTCTTCGGACGGTGGGAGGATCGAGTCTCATAAGTTGGAAAGGGAGGAATTGTATGAAGCAATACATTCAAGGATATGATATTCTCGGTACGCAGTAACCAAACCCCATACAAGATCGCAACTAATTGAAGGCATTGGAAGCCAACGAGGTAGAAAGCATCAACGACGGAAGTCATCAAATGGGGACCACTGGCCCAGTAATAGGCTCAAGTTTAGACGCGGAGGACTTGAACCAGGTCTGCTTCTCCTCTGACCTTGCAATGGGATCCATGTTCGACCTCATCATCGAAACAGCTGATGATTTCTTTGCTCACTGCACGGATATCGATCTTTTACAGGACGATTCCAACTTGTTCCCTTTTTAACAACTGCCGATATCAGATCTGCTTAGATCTCTGCACTTCTGGTGTTGGAAGGGGATTTCATCGGCTCCGTCTGACCAATCGGGATCACGCTTCCCGCCACCTCCATACTCCCCACACTATTGTTCCGAACACCAAGATTTCCCTGTCTGTTTCCCCAGATTTAAAGACAGAAACCTGTGGGGTATTTACTTGCGTAGTCGTCAGAATATTAATTCAAGCTTGCGCACATAGTGCTCCCTTTTTTTTTTCCGTCGTATTGGAAACACGTTCTGCCAGCGAAGCTTGTACATTACCAGATTTAGCCTCACAAACAATGTCTGATTTCCGAACAAAAAAGAAGTCGTCAGTTGAAGAAGCCAGAGTGGAACACATCGAAAGCTATGGCGAAACAGAAGCAAAGACTATAGTCGCATCGCATGAATTAACTACTGATACCAGTACGGACCGCAAAGCCGAAGCACAACTTCGTTGGAAGATCGATCTTTACGTTATTCCTACAGTAGCTCTTCTCTATGCTCTGTGCTTCATCGATAGAGTCAACATTGGTAAGTTTTGCGTGAAATTCATATCTCATTTACTTACAGCATAAAAGGAAACGCACGGCTGGCAGGATTCGAGAGAGAGCTTGGCCTGAAAGGCTATGATTACAATCTTGTTCTCTCCGTATTTTACATTGCATACATAATCTTTGAGATACCGTCCAATATGGCTTGCAAATGGATAGGTCCAGGTTGGTTTCTTCCTGGAATTTCAGTCGTCTTCGGTATTTTGACTATCTGCTTCGCCTTTGTACGAGACTTGAAAACAGCATGTGGAATCCGATTTCTACTTGGTGTATTTGAGTCAGGCCTGCTGCCTGGAATTGCTTACTACCTTTCTCGTTGGTATCCTCGTAACGAGCTCGCATTCCGATTGTCTCTCTACATTGTCATGGGGCCACTTTCGGGCGCTTTCAGTGGCCTGCTAGCGTCAGGAATCCTGCGATTAGATCATTTCGGAAGCACTCGTGGATGGCAAATGATCTTCTCGATCGAAGGCATCATTACTGTCGGCTGCTCCCTTATTGCTTTCTTTACACTAACAGATCGCCCGGAGACTGCTCGATGGCTGTCCCAGGATGAGAAGGACCTCGCTCTTGCACGCATCAAACGCGAGCGGGTAGCAGCCACAGAGGTTTTGGACGGCTTTGATCGCATGAAAATTATTCGTGGCATTGCCAATCCTGTCACCTTGTCTACCGCCTGTATTCTGTTACTCATCAACATCACAGTGCAGGTAGGTTTCTCAGTAGAATAAAACTACAAGAACGATTGCTAATGTTGCTTAGGGAATCTCTTTCTTTACGCCCACTGTTGTTCGCACGATATATCCGCTTAACACTGTCATATCCCAACAACTCTACTCAGTCCCTCCTTTTATTGTTGGGGCCGTCTTTACACTATTCTTTTGCGGCATTGCTTGGCGATTCGATCGGAGAAACGTGGTAATGCTAGTGGGTGCTGTGATCACAGGAATTGGCTATGCCATGTTCCTGGGTAGTTCTAGCACTGCAACATCGCTTCGATACGGTGCGACATTCGTGGGTGCTGCTGGCTCATTCGCATTTGGTGCTCTTTGCAATGCACAGGTATCTGCGAATGTGAACTCAGACACCGCCCGCTCTTCAGCCATTGGTTTTAATGTTATGCTGGGAAATATTGGTGGACTTATCGCTACTTGGAGCTACTTACCATTCGACGGGCCGAATTATAGGATTGGCAATGGGCTAAATTTGGCGGCTGCTGGAATAATTGTCGTCATCGCCGTGCTGCTGGAGATCTGGATGAACCGCGACAATCAGCGAAGGGAGCTAGTGGACGCGGAGCAGGTGTTAAGTGGTCACAATTTACAAGAAGCTCAAGATCTAGAATGGAAGCATCCGGAATTTCGTTGGAGGCTATAAACAGCTTATCACGTCATCAAACCACAAACGTGTAATTGGAACTCGATGCCTGGTAGTCTGTCCTAGCTCACTATGATCATAACTTGAAGCTAGAAGCATTAGTTTGAACTGTATAGTTACATTTTCTCAGTGAATCCTTACGTACAACATCGATACATTTATTCAGTTCTGTTCTTGATTGTTTTCAGAGCTTCTAGCTCACTTGTAAGCCTTTTGATGTCATCTTCATGCTCGTCCAAGCATACTTGAAGAAACTTAACCTGCTTAAATTCCTTCTCACCTTTTATGAGGCCTTCAATCCATCGGGCAGTCTTGCTAGCTTGACCTCTGATCTCTTCCACATTCTGCATACGCAGTTCAGCCTGTAGTGATGCAATATCATATTCAAGTTTCTTGGACTGCTCATCAGAATTATCAGTCTTTTTGTCGAAAAATTGATTCCATTTCCGAAGCTTAGTGTCGACTTCCTTGATCTCGTTTCCACGCTCCGCATTATCTTGGATCATCTCTTGGCAGAATTGATATACTCTAGAGGCTTCACGACGTCGCAAGCATTCTACAAGCGCTATCATTACTAGGGCCTGGAATATGTTCAGAATGATAAGGTTGTACATGTCCTTCAAAGCATCGTGGATATAAAATTTGTTTTCTTCGTAGATGTTTGAGAGTGGACAGAAGTCACTTCCGACTAGAATAATGGTCTTGAAGGTCTCGGCACATTCAGAGCTGTGTAAAGCTTCACACTCTGGAATGCTGTTTGCTTGCTCGATGACGAAGTAAGAAGGCAGACCTTTTCCACTGCGCGCCTCACTCCTTGAGATGTTGTTGATTGGATCGAGAATGCATCCGTGCGTGTCTTTGGGTACCATCATGTACGCCTCGGACTGGTTGAGGTTGACATTTGCAACGAATTTCGATGGACAGGACTCTCTACGTGAACCGACGACGAAATAGTATAGTATGAAAAAACTGGTGAGAGTGGCTAGGAGGACTGTTTGATCCATGAATTTCGTAAACTTGCTGCGGATACAGTTTACGATATCAGTATGGAAAGACATATTGACTTAAGCCTTGTGATTAAGTCTGACCTCAAGACTGTTGAGGCACAGAAGTTGAAGGTGGTATGATCGGAAAATTGATGCTCAGAGCCCATCATAAAGCATCAAGGCAATAGCAAACTATTCATTCAAGCAAAGAGCGTTGTATAATCAATGAATTAGTGAACTGTAACGAACTTTGTTCCTATTTTGCGTTGTTTATAACCCTTCTTTGAAAACTACACATGACTGGTACGTCATTGCCAACAATACAAGAGTAAATTCACTTGAAATGAAATCAATCATTTACTCTCTGAATGACCGCAATCAGCTGAAATTAAGAGTTGGTAGAATTATTGGTAGGGAAGCTTGGGCGTGGCACACATTTAGATATGTAGATACACAGCAAGTATAAAATCACAAAGGAAGGTGAAATGCCATCTAATAATAGAAACGCATATTACAATGAAATTTGGTTGCTCAGTATCTATTTGTAAAGCAGTGGTTGGTCCACTTTCCTACAGTTACTAGAGGGCAAGATCAAACGCAGGAATATCAATACAGAAAATTAGCATGTAAGTATAGCATGCATTAACAATAGAAAACGGCTGTACAGTTGGCTGCTATTAAACCTCCACTAGCGTGTCAGATAACCGTTGTACTGTTAGTTGCTTAGCTGGGGCCTGGAGGATACTGATCTGGGGCGAAGCTGGATGGCTGGAATTCTGGAGTAGCGGGATTCAGTCCAGGTGGCTGCGAGACAACGGGCGACGGCAACATTGCCGGAGGAGGTGACATCGCCGGAGATTGTGACATTGCAGGAGACTGTGAGATTACATTTTGGCTCTGTTGAGTTTGTATGCTTCCAGCTTGTGGTTGCGGGTTCTTCCTTGGCCTATTCCTCTGTCTTCCCCTGGAATTTGAATGTGGATGACCTCGTTGAGAATCGGCGCTTCGTGGGATATTTGAACCGTGCTGCTGCATATATTGTCCTGGATGAGTTGGCGGGTGCGGGCCCATGATATTTGGAGATGGTTGCAGAGAACCATTGAATGAATTCGGACTATGGAGTGTACGGGGGTCTTGCATCATCTCAGGTCCATAAGAGTTGTATCCTTTTTGGGGTGCAATATTACCACCTTGTTCATCCTGTGACTTTTCTCTAGTGGGAGCACCCAAGCTTTTCTGGATATCCGTGGTCTTCCGAGGGCCTGGAAATGCTCGATGCAGGCGATCTTCGTGGGAGTTGATTGCATGGAACATCGAGTTGGAGAAAGCCTGGAATGCAGTAGCATGGTCATTGGGTGCCACGCCTTCTAGTCGCGCCTTAAACCCCTCTTGGAATTCTTTCTTTTGGAAGATTCCACCTTGAATTGTTTGGACGAATTTCTTCTGGCTGCTTTCGGTGGCCTCCTTGAATAGTTTGACCTCTTCGTCTAGTGACTCAAATGCAAAGCAGGCCTCTTGTACTACCGACAACAATTCGGTGTCAATTTTTGTTTCTATAGCAGTAATTTTGTCGTCCATACTCTTGTAGAATGAAGACTGCTCGGCAGAAGCCGTCGATTCCTCGGAGCTTTCATCACTAGAGTCGTCGGGCTTCGCACCATCGAATTCCTTTCGGAGATTTTCAAGTTCAGTTTCCTGAGCACTAGATGTCTCCTTGATTGAGTCAAGTTCAATTTTGATCAACCTGATGGACTCGTCCACGTTGCTCTTGCGTTCCTCAAATTCATGAGCATGAGTGATGAAGGCGTTGACGTGAGATTGAATATGTTGATCCAGAGATTCAGCCTTTGTTGTGATTGTCTTCAAATCATCTGCCAACGTACTGAGACGGAGCAATACTGAAGCCTGCTCTGTCTGAGTAGAGCTTACAATACTCGAGACCTTTTCGAAAGAATCCTTCAACTCATGAACAGACATTTTCATCTCAGCTTGAGAACTATCTGTCTGGGCTTGACGATTGCCAAGAGCAGTGACGGATTCAGCGTCCGCCTTACTCTTTATCTCTTGCTGGATGGAATCAATTGCCTTATTCAAGGCTTCAAACTTTGCTTTATAGCTGCTGATAAGCGTCCCTGTCTCTGTGTTGAAAGCCTCCGTATGTTTCTGGAAGTCCACTAGTGCATGAAGATCTAAAGGCTGGACCATTCTGCCCACCTCTTCCTGGACAGATTCTATCATCTCTGAATTGCACTTGATCGAGGTTTTGAGATCTTTGAGATCGGCTCTCATCTTGCGATTGACCTGCTCGGTCAGATCTTTGACGTTGGCAGCCATCTCAAGTTGGGATTGTCGATAAGTTTCAACTGACAGGTGAACCTGAGTGTCTTCGTCTTTTATAGATTCGACGTGTTTGTTGGTGTAATCCAAGGACCCTTGGAGGTTTTTGATGGTGTCTTCCATCTTCTTGGTTGTCTCCTCGTACAAAAGTTTATTCTGATGAAGTAAAGAAAGATCATCGCGGCCTGCCTTATCCTCTATATTTGTCTTCATAACATCCATCTGGCCCTTTAAAGATGCCAAAGAAGTCTTCAGATCATCAACTGCTTTGTTTAGCTCTGGTTCAGCTTTGTTCTTCTCATTCATAAGCTTGAACAGCTCCTCATAGGCTGCTTTGTTGTCCGCTAGGTCTTGGCTGCAAGTGTCAATTCGCTGCGAGAGTGTTTGGATATCGGTGACACTCCGTGATTCTGATTTACTTGATACAGACTCCGGCCCCTCTGACGGTGCCATCTCTGCATTCTTGGCCACTTGGGCTTCGATCGCAGCAAACGATTCTCTGACGTCCCTTACGGTCTTTTGGAAATCCGCGATGTTGGTTGTGGCAAGAGCCAGTGACTTGGAGGTATCTTTGACCTTGCTTTGAGTTTCATCTGATATAGTTTCGCATTTCGCAATTCGTCCTGTGAGGAGTTCGATACTTTCATCCATTTTGACAAGACTATCGACACGGTTGGTGTCTGCCTCATACAAAGACTCTTGGAGCTCCTCGAGGGTATCAGTTGTCTGTGTTGTGAAATTCTCATGATCTTCTCTGATTCGATCAATGGCAGCAGTATGTGCGATTTCGATATCCTTTTTGCACGTCTCGATATCCTTTTTCCATTTATCGCCTAATCGTTTCTCCAATTTGGCAGCGTCTGTATCATTTTGGGAGCCATGTTTGAAGTTGGCTGCCATTCTCTTTTCGAATCTGGCTTCAATTTCACTTTGTTTTGTGATGAGACGTTCCTCCAGCTGCCCAGCTTCATCCCGAAGTTGAGTGATTTCGGCGTCACGTTTGGGTGAATGAGAAGTACGCTTCTTGTCTTCTTGAGCCTCGAGTCGTTTCTCCAACTCGGCATTTTGGCGCTCCAGTCTAGCGATCTGCTGTGTAGAAATGGACAGCGCCTTCTCAAATCTTTGACTTTCCTCTTGCTGTTTCAACTCCATTTGCCTCGCCAGCTTTTCAATCGAACTCTGGAGTTCAGAGTAGCGCTCATCGGTGATTGGACCCATTATCTCAGATTTCTTGTCCTCATCAGAGTTTTCGGATTCTTCAGGCTCGAAGAAGTCATCATCAAAATTCACGTACCCTTCACCAGAACGTTGAGACTCTTTGTCAAGATTATCGGGTTTTTCGGGCTTTTCAGACCTTACATCAGGACTCCTGGGGCCTTGACCAGATTCCTCGGATTCTTCCGTTGGTATCGCTTGGTTTGTAAGGATCCCCAATTCCAGCTTGTCCACTGATTTGCGCAACTCTTGCTGGCCCTGGTCCAATCCCTCGATGGTGTCCATCTGCTCATTTAAACGTTCGTCTAAGGTATATAGAGTTTTCTGGACAGCGTCAAGGAGCTTCTCTCGCTCTTTTCCCTCCTTCTCCAACATGAGATCTGTATCATCTTGGATGGAATCAAGGCGATATCCCACACTTGTGATTTTCGATTCTGTGAACTCCTTCAAACGTCTTTTGAGGCTTTCGATCTGTTCCTCTGCGGTCTCTGAGATATCCAATTTGAGTTCTACGACTCGCTCCTCAAGTCGCTTCTCTCCCTCCTCCCAAAACTCGTTAAGACTCTCCACCATTGTGCCGTGCTCCTTTTCTGCCGCCTTCTCAACGTCGTCTATGCGCTTTGCTATGGTTCCGAAGAGATCTCCATGACTGGCGAGTTGTTCTTTCTGGAGACTTATGGACTCAGATATGTTGGTAAGTTGAAGCGCAAAGTCATTGATGGCGATGACCCGGTTCCGAAGATAGGAAACCAGACTGTTCCCGGAGTTGATCCAGTGTCGAATCCGTCCAGCGAGCAGGTACGCAGATATTGGCAACAGCGCCGCGAGAACCATGAGTATTGCTTTGTGGTAGATCGTGAAATAGTAAACGATGGACAATTTGATTATCAGATATAGCAAGACCCCAATTCTTCCAAGACTCCTTAGAAGGCGGGCGGTGCCGTTCCATATGCGCCCGATGAAGGAATGCTCCCAGTAGGAACTAATGTCTTCCAAGAAAGATTGGTAAAGCCATCTCTCATAGGCGAGCAAGATTTCACCAAACGTCGACGGTGGACACTGTTGGGGCTCAAATTCCATAGGCCATAGACGCCAGTGATAGGGTGTGTGGTAGGGTGTGGGCTGCGACTCGGTGTTTCCCATATATACATCGGAAAAGGTTGGTAAAGGGCACTGGCCTGGCGCATATTCGACTGGCCAAAGAAGATTATTGAGAGATTGATGGCCGGGGCTGATATCCGTCGATGAGTTCTTTGAAGAATAGTGTTTTTCATTGATGTCTTCATCCCAGGACGGTTCTGGTCGTTCGTATATAACTGGCGGTGCAGGGGGTTTGCAGAGACCGATGATTACGCACGCGGTGGGTCCTAGTATGAAACTGACTAAAGTTGAAGTTAGAATAGCGAATGGAAGTAATATAACGTCTAGTGACTTACATAGAAAAGCGAGAGACCATATTGAAGTTGTAACCTCAGATATAGTGTATGTGTTGGATGTGTTGGCTAGTAGCGCGCTGGAGTTCAGCGACAGGTTGTGTTGAGACATGGTCTCGCTGGGGAAAAATTGCAAGCAATTAGATACGTATTTTTTGAGTGAGGAATTGTGGGGAGAAATGTAGAAGATGAGAGAAAACTTATGGTTGAGAGTCTCAGAAGACCTCAAGGCAAACAAATAAGCGAAAAAATGGCGCGACGAGTGAAGGTCGCTTTGTTAACAAACAGTGAAGTGAATGAGCACGGAGTCTTTGTGAAGTGTCAACAACACGGACAGTAAACAAAGGTTGCGTATAGAACAATGATACTGTGACAATAATAGCTGCCTTGGGCGAACGGGCAACTCTTTATTATTCTTGTAGAATACGGCTCGGGAAGAATAATGTTGTCAAGTGTAATAATTGTCATGACTATCCTTCACCTGCGAAAGCCGGACGGCACCCGTATCCATCCAAGGTTTATCACTCTAGGGTTGTAAAAATGGTGCCGATACTAATCTCGGGTTCATGCTTGACTTCACTGTGTCTCCTGCACAAATTGAAATGCCGGCTGTGCGATTATCCTGCTATGGTTCTCTATCTCTAACAAAGGGTATCGGACTAGACGAAGTGTTCCTAGCAATCAACGATGCTTTCTTCTCTGCTAATTGCGCCTGAAATGCTGGGACATCTTCGTTGAACTCTACCACTGCTCTTGGTGTGCACAGAATATATTCCTTGTCGCGTTCTGTGAATTTGCTCCCACTTGGAGATGCCTTACCGATTGACCAGCCCATGACGCGATCAGATACGAAGCCACTGAGACTTGCCTCCCTCCCCGCGGCTGGATTTTCTATACAGCCAAGAGAGTTTCGTCGTCTGGTTTCTGCTGATTTTTGAACCCTATCGCCTGCAAGCCGTGACCAGTCTTCGAGATCTCCATCGTCATACAACCCTAGGGTGTCCGCTTCAGCAGAGAATTTAGCTGCCTCGTGAAATGCAGCAAGCGCCTGCTCCCAGTTATCCAAACCTGCTTCGGCGCGGCCAATCCAGTACCAGCAACGTCTTTGTAACCCTTCGTGACCAAAATGCTGGGCAATTGGTAAGGCGATGTCCCGACTCGCGGTATGCATCCGTTCGAAACGGACTTTAGGAATCGGGAATCTGGTGGGAAGTGCCAGCACCTTGCAGCGCAAGAGTGCAATGAATAGCGTGTGATATCGGATTGGTTGATTATGAATAGAAATAACTGCATGCAAGCCAGTGATATCAACTTGTAAACAATCCGCGGCAGATTCTTCAGCTTCGTCAATGACCAATTCGGCATTATCTGTGGGAGGGGTGTCCGTCGGTGGGGATATGTCTCTAGCTTCGCTGGGATGGTGATAGAATCCACGCGGTTTGTTGATCACGCACTCCTTCTGTATATCTCCACCAGATGAATTGAGTTTTATTTTCAACGGTCGAATGCCATTCAAAGATGTTCCTGGGGGGCTAGATACTCTCGAGGACTTCGGCGCCTCCATTGGATGCTCGATAGCGTCGTTATGAGACTTCTTCATCTCAGTAGGACCCGACTCTACAACAGCATCTGCGGACTCTACGTCTGACTGGCTTGCTGATCGATTACTCTGGGTACCGTGCGGTGAGCCCTGGGACTCGCGATCCCGTTGATCGCATGAGTGATTAGTTCGCCCCCGCGTCCCATGGAACATATCATCCGTAAGTCGCGAGCCCAAGTATGGCCTTTTGATATCCTCGCTGAGCGGATTGGGCGAAGGCTGAGCATTTCGTGGTTTTTCAGTGCGATTCAAGAAGGCAAAACGATCGGGACCGAGGCGGTTAGTCATTCTTCCAAAGAAATGGCGTATGTGTGAGCTATCCTGCGCGATTTCGTCGACATCCGTAATAGTCGATAAATTCGGCGTCTCCTCAGTAGATGTACATCTAGTTCCGTTACAAAACTGAGCAATCTGTTAGTCTTGGGCGTGCGTTAAGTTTGATTTCATGCCTACATTATGGCTATTGTAATGGACGCTAGTCAACGTGCGGTGTACTCCTAATTCAACTCTCGAGGTAAGAGTCACAGTGAATTGCGAGTTTTGAAGTGTGCTTTCACACCTAATGAGATATGACACGAATGCGAACGATGGATTTAATCAGTCTTTGATGTTTAAATCGGGCGTCGTGACATCTTTGTTCCATGAGAATGGATTCCGGTAGCGTTCTAGAAACCCCGTGTAACATTACATATCACAAAACGGAGAGACAAAGTCGAAAAACAAAGGAGTGCGGGGAAGGCGTATGAAACAACATGTCATTGGTATGTAGTACATCTTCAAATATCTTGGTCTGTCTCTGTCTCTATCCCGAGAGCACACGTGATGCACTTTTGACCTCGTACGCTTTGGGGTAAGTCAGACGGCATCTCTAACGCCACTGTCATTCAGCTGTCTTGGAAAGCATCCAGCGATGAGGTAGAGAATTTCTTGAGGGCTTGAGCGAGGAGCAGAGCATGATAGGCTGGCTAAAGCGACGCTGTTTGGGTTTCTAGCAGAGTGTGAGAAAAGCCATCCAGATTCTTGTAGATAGAATGAATGGTTCCTCACCGTTGTGCCGCTCTCTGTCGTGAACGCAATGCCGCCTTCCGCGTAGTTGCGATGCTCCTCAAAAGCAGATCTACGCTTACGCGCATGCGATCTCTCGGATTCGTCGCAGGATTTGCAATATTGGACTGCTTGCTCATGCAGTTCGCTCTGGGCATCGATGGCCTGAAACGCCTCGTGTGCCTGGCTAAACATACCGAGCTGATAAAGACAAACACCGCGCTGGTACTGAATCTTCGGGAGATATATTGCCAGGTCTGATATCCGAGAGCATAGCTCAAGAGCCTCGCTACACTGCGCAAGAGCATCATAAAGCCACTGAGTGCCGCCGGATACCCTTAGCATAGCACTCTTCAGCAAGAGACCCTCGACGCGAGATTCGTGGCTTAACGGACCAGGAAGTATACGATCCAACGCTCTTAATCCCGCCGCGTACCCTTCATTGTATACTAGATTCTTCACATCATCGAAGGTGCTGTTAGACGAACTTGCGGATTCCCAGTCGAAATCAAAATCGTCCTCGATTGAGGACTTGATCGACGATTCGATGTTCGAGTGCACGATTGTAGAATCGATGGCGTTGTGACTTATGTTTCGGTTCACAGCCGAGCAATTTCGTTCATGTATCAGACGTTCATTCTGGAGTTCGGCTTGAGTGGCAACACAAATGTCAAGAGCCTCTCGCAATTGCTTGTTTTGCATCTCAAAGGCAGCCTTGTAGAATTGGGCTTTGGTCTCCCATTCGTCACGTTCGTCCTTGAGCCCCTGAACGATGCGCACTATGGCATGCGAATCGGGCGTTGCCATGGGATCGCGCTGAAGTACTGATGAGACAATGTGAGTGCTGTTTTACTTGATCGCCATGTGCCAGGAAGTTTGTTGGATACACAATCGGGAGGATGTGTGAAGCGTGAGGTGATACGCGGTGGGCAAGAACGTACCTGCCCTCCTTTGCAAATGGCGTAAACACGACATCAGACCAAACTCAGATATTGAACCCTCCGTGCTTAGCTGCCTCAACGAAGCGCCAGATGCCCGCTTCTTGGGCCGCCTTTTTGATGGATTCCACTTCGCTTAGATCTACAGGGCGATTTATCTCCTCATATCTTACCTTCGCTGTTGCGTCTGACGACGCATCGGCACCTGCCTTTTTACCGCGAAGTGGCTTTCCTACATGCGCCCGTGGGAAGTACTGCTCCATGATGTGAACCATGATATCCTTGCTTACATTTTCTGCAAGCCATTTTACGATCTGTTTGCCCTCTTCCTCCATGCCCGGCATTACCAGATGTCTAACAAGAACACCCTTCTTCGCGATACCATCGCCAGTAAAGCAAAGATCCCCTACTTGCGCATGCATAGCCTTGATACTTTCCATTGCGGTCTCTGTGTAATTATCCGCCTTGAGCAATCGTTTACTACTCTTGTCGGTCCAGACCTTGAAGTCCGGAAGATAAATATCCACTAGTCCATCCAGCAACTCCAGACTTTCCAATGAATCAAACGAGGAGGTATTATAGATTATAGGCAGTCGGAGGCCAAGCTCACGGGCATGGAGAATGGATAGAACGACTTGAGGGACGACGTGTTCGGGTGTAACGAGGTTGATATTGTGGACTCGTCCCACTTCCTGCAGTTTCATGTACCATTCTGCGAGCTCTTCGGGTGTAAGATCGAAGCCATTCAGCTGGTGCGAGATATCCCAGTTCTGGCAAAATGAGCAGCGCAGGTTACAACCGCTGAAGAAGACAGAGCCCGACCCATTGTGGCCTTGGAAGCATGGTTCTTCTCCAAAATGCGGCGCGATGGTGTTCACTTTGACAGTTTGTGCACCAACCAGACACATGCCCGATTTCTCATATCGATTCACACCACACTTCCGGGGACACAGATTACACTCGCGGAGGTGTGCGTAGGCAAGCGATCGCTTCTTCGCCGCGTCGAGAGACGATATTAGGTGGTAGCGCGGGATGTAATCATCAAGGAGCCACGGCGGCGCAAGATGGAGGCTTCGTTGGGATACGCGATACGGCTTATTGAATGGCACTAGCGGGAAGCGCAGACGCCTCAAGGGTTTCGTGAGTGATACGGAGGACATTTCGCAAGAGCGGCCACATAGCTAGGAGCACATTCGTTTCCTGTGGCGATGGAGATGAAGATGGAATAGCGGCGTTGTGATTCGTTAGACAGGGTCCGAGTTGCCAAGAAATATTGAAGGTCCGATCATCTTCCACCACACACTTGCAGTCAACAAGTATGTACAGATGGTTGGCACGTCGGACTGGCCACCTGCTAGCTTCATGTATTTTCCTATGCCTAAGTTAAGAGTGTACTGTAGCCAGCAAAACAATCTTAACTCCCCGTGATGAAATCTCACGAATACACTGTTGCGGACATGAATTACTACCCGGGGGTCAGCCCGACATGCGAACCCTCTGTACTTGTAGTCATCTCGTATCCACTGAGTCAACTTTTGCCCTATCCGCGTGTTCCCGCGCCTGCATACATTGTTCCAGGGAATTATGTTGATCTCCCGTCTGCGGTGCTTCGGTACATCTTACCATCGTATCTGCAAGCAAGTGATAATTTCTCGCAGGCGTGGTTTTAGCTGCTTTCAATCAGGTACGGATATGTCATGCTTCTCAATGGATGTTGAGCGTTACCAACAACCTTTTCGCCATATACTAGAAGCCCGGTCAGTCGCCACGGAATGTTCTTATGGTCTTACAGGACCGTCTTCCTATGCATTTGAGATGCCACGTATCAAGCGTACCGCGAGGGACAAGACAGGCCCTAATGAAGACTTAAATCCCAAGTGGACGAGAATATGTGACCTAACGCTATTTTCGACGTTACTATATTTCAGTCTCTGTGTTCGAGTTGGCACTGACAAAACTTCCTGCACGTGTCTCACTGGCAGAGGACATGCGATTGATTCCATGACATGTGTTTGCCCAACGGAGTACTTTGAGGTACTTGTGATTTGTATTACAATAACATAGAGTCAATCCCGTCGACATGACCTAGTTACGGCAAACAGTTTTTACCATATGAAATTTGTCCCTGCTAATGCCCTACACACTTTGTTCTGTTGTATCTGTAAGGGAGCGTTCTGCGCCACGTCGAAGAATGCATTCAAGGCACAGTCACGTCGAAAATATCATATAAATAGCAAGAACAGCCAGCAAAAGGTTGACCTGCAGATTATCGCCATCTTCGATTAACAGGACCAACAGCATTTGTCCAATCAATTCGAATCGGAAGATGCGTACCTTTTTCATTGCCAGTTTAGCCTTTGGCATCAGCACCACAGCCAAAGATCTGGTAGAAAGGCGGCTACCTTCTCTTATCGTACCCCTGAGCAAATACCAGGCCGATGTACCACAGAATACACAGAAGAAAGTCTACATTGATCATAACGTATGAAGCTCTCTTGATGGGTCCCCTCAGACGCTGACTTCAAAAGATTTTTACAGAGGTCTCATTCGACGTACCGAGCAACAATGCTACAGAATGCAAACTCGGCTTTTATATCAATACCGAACCCACGCGAGGTGCTCCCTGGACAATCTGGGGCGAAGCGCCGTACCTGTTCGACGTACTGCGATTGCGACCCATCATGAACAAAGATGCAGATACATGGAATCGGCACCCGGAGATCGACGGTTGGGCGGCGACGGTTGAGGTATCCAAATCAGGGGATGTGAACATCTTTGGTGGACGCCTGCCATGCGTGAAGGGAGAGGCGGCACAGTTCTTGTTGACCCCAGGTAGTGAACGGGACTTTGGTCTCAATTGGTTCGGTAAGACTTTTCTGTGGCTTTTAATAATATGCCATACTGATGGATAATCCGCAGAGCTGAAGGATCCGCTGCATGGTATAACCTATGAGATGTACGCTTAGATCCCGGTGGCCCTCTCTCACATCTTGTAGTTCTGCGCGGGACCTGTTACTAAAACTAGCTGATTGTAATGCAATTTCATTTCTACTTTCATAAACAGCGGGAACGGTTCATCAATATGCAAATTGTTTTTAGCGCCAGAAAGGGCGGCATGCCTCTTGGCTTGTGTCTATTCCGTCGGAGGCCAATGATATCCCGATAAGGCGTTCCATGTCATTTCAGGAAGTTGTCGATTCTACGAGCTTCTACAATGTTGCAAAATGTAATGACAATAGCAATGACATAATTTTGTCAGAGGGGCCTGTTCGCTCGAGTATGCAGCTTACGAGCATTTTGAGTGGGAATTCTGTGAGTCAAAACCCATGTTGCGGATCGGCTTGACATGATTCTGCACATCTATGTTGGACTACTGCTTGGCGGGTAAGCTCTCGCTAATTCGAGACGACGATGGCGTTCGGCAGCCAGTTAGCATAGTGAAAGCGGACAAGAAGATCGCCTTGATGGAGGAGTTGTACTCCAATGGCAAAGATGATGTATTGCGAGGCAAAGCGCTATCTGGGGTAGTCTGCTTACTGTACCATGGCGCTAGTACTAATAGGGCTAACTTAGCTAGCGCAGAAATCTTGAGAGGATTGGGCGCCTTTAAAATGGTTGGCATAATCTTTGTAAGACGGAACCAGTTTTCGATTCAATGTCCATATGATATAAAGACTTCGGTCACAAGGTCGTAGCTAAAGGTTGAACTGTATGATTATCCTACCTTTTCAACCATCTCTCTCCATATATTCTCCCTGGCCATTTCCCTGCGGATAGGATAACTTTAAAACATTGTTCGAACTATGGCAACCCATTCTGCCGTTGCAACCGTGGGCATCAAGAAGCCTTTAGCCATTATCCAAGTACCAACCGTCACACCACAAGGCGATGAGGTTCGCGTGCGAGTAGAATGGACTGCTTCAACACCACTGGATCTTCACCAAAATGATGGAGGACTGCTAGTGACACATCCCCAAGTCCTAGGCGACGGCGCAGCGGGAACTGTCGTTGAGGTTGGAGAAGGTGTTAAACGATTGAAAGTCGGAGACAAAGTTTTTGGTTTCACATGGCGAGAGCAGAAGGAAAAGGCTCAACAAGAATTTTGCACAGCTCCTGAATGGTTGTTCTCACTGGTATGTTCAGACGACATTGTCGATTCTAGATCTCAATATTGACGTGGGACAGCTGCCTGACGGATTTACACTAGCCGAGGCTGTGACACTTCCGAACAACTTTGTTACTGCTTTTCACGCACTCACTAAACATTTGGAACTTGAATTGCCGTGGCCAAAACCGGAAGGATACGCACCTACACCTTGTAGCATTGCCATCATCATCTGGGGCGGAAGTTCCTCGGTTGGACAATTTGCTATACAAATCCTCCGCTGGTACGGATTCACCAACATTATAACGGTCGCCAGCAAGAAGCACCACCAAAAGCTGAATGCCCTGGGGGCGAAGTGGACCTTTGATTACAACGACAAACACGTGGTCTCCTCGGTTCTTAACACCGGGAGCAGTCAGATTACCACCGGCAGCCGTGCAGGCATCCCATTGATTTTTGACTGCATCGGTAGCAAGGATGGGAGCATTCGACCTCTATCAAAGATTGCAAAGAGAGGTGCAAAGGTGGCAGTCCTGCTCCCGGTCATCGTGCGGGATTCAAGCGATACCGTAGATCCCGAATATGAGATGGATGTCTCGAAAACAGCAGATTGGAATAAGGAAGTCGAGGTGACGGGGGTGCGCACGCATTTTTATACGGATGTGAGTATTGGCGCTAGAATACGACGTTGTCTGAGCTGACGATCTTCCAGAACGAATTTTTCAAATATCATCTCCAGCCGGAAATTATGTATACGATGCTTAAGGAGCGCGCAGTCCGGCCAAACAACCAAAGAATTATCGAAGGGAAGACCTTATTGGAAAGGGCACAGAATGCGTTGGACACGTTGCGGCGAAAAGAGGTCAGCGGCGAGAGGTTGGTATGGAGAGTTGCAGAAGAGTCATGAATCGATGGTAGAAGGGCATTGATTGTATTTTAATTCTTCCCGAACTTATGAAGCCCACGAGTAATAAGATATGGACCGTGGAAATGAACTCTGGGCGGTTTCTGTAACCGATATGACGCTTCAGTCTCGTTCGGGGTAAGCGCGGAGTTTTTGACAGGAAACGGCTGGCTTAGCGGCGTCCAACGAACAATCTTCATCTTCATCTAATAGTATCTTTGATCCTTCGCTCCGTCATTGTCATCTTCTAGAATTGATTCTGAAGTCCCTGCACCAATTCTTCCTGTTGCTTGGATTGCTTGAATCGTGATGTTGTCATAACAAGCCTCCTTTAATATCGAATGCCGGGTCTGGGACGGTCGCTTATATCCTACAAAAGTCTCCGCCACCAGTCTCGCATTAACCTGTATAAACATGAAACATCCACCGCAACCGCCGACCGTTTCAATCCAGGTCCACGGCGCTTTGAACATGACGCTATTGTCGCTTCAGTATCAATAAAGGGTTAGTTCCCTCCCAGAATGCCGGTCTACCGCTACGATGGAGACTCCCGCTCTGGATCTCGCCTTATCGTCTACCCCTTGACTTATCGTTCGACGTCGGAGTGTCTGTCATTGGTGGTTTAATCAAAACAAGCACTTCGAATGGTTCCACGCTTTCTCTTGTAATGGATCGTATCCCGGTCCTCTATCACCATTTCGGATGGCACAGCATCGAAGCGAAGTTTGAGGCTGTAGTCAGCGGCATCAAGTTTCAAGACGTTTAATGACATGACCCACAGCGTATTGTTGCTGTGGGCTGTGGGATCAGTAAGGCTTTCCTTCAGGAGAGCTATATAGACTCGTCCAACTCTTCTTCATTCCTCCTCTTCATCTCATCGCAGTCATCTCCTTTCCAAACATCTTCATTTTGCAACAGGTCTGAGACCTTCCATTCGTTGTTTTTTACCACACTCTTTACCAGTCACTCTTTCAAACGAAGCTAGGCTTCCATTCGGTCTCTACACCTCTTACTTTTGCAAGTCCAATCACAACAACCTCAATCACAATGAAGTCCTACTCCGCCGTTCTCAGCCTTGCCGGCCTCATCTCCACCGTGGCTGGACATGGTTACATCAGCTCTCCCGCTCCCCGTCTGCCAGGTGATGCCATGGCCAAGGCTTGCGGTCAACAGATGTTCAACAACCAGAACTCCGACCACTACGGCAACATCCAGGGCGAGCTCCAGGTCACCAACGGCCAGTCCGACTTCAATGCCGAGGCCTGCAACGTCTGGCTCTGCAAGGGTTACAAGCTCGACGACAACAAGGCCAACGTCCAGTCCTACACTGCCGGCGAGGTCATTTCCATGAAGGTGGAGATCCGTGCTCCCCACACCGGTACTGCCAACGTCTCCATCGTTGAGACCAGCTCCAACACAGTCATTGGACAGCCCCTCATCAGCTGGGACAGCTACGCTTCCAACTCTGCTCCCATCCCAGCGGATCAGACCTCCTTCGATATCACCATGCCTTCCGACCTTGGCTCCAAGTGCTCCACTGCCGGTGACTGCGTCATCCAGTGGTACTGGGACGCCCGCTCCATCGACCAGACCTACGAGGCCTGCATCGACTTCACCCTCGGCGGTGGCTCTGGCTCTGCTCCCCCTGCCACCACTGCTGCTCCCTCCCCAACCAGCGCCCCATCCGCTACCGCTGCCCCTACCTCCGTCGCCGTCGAGACCCCTGCCTCCTCTGCTCCCGCCACCCCAGCTCCCACCCAGGGCAGCGGCAACGGTGGAAGCACCGAGAAGGAGTACACTCTCGAGACCTTCATTGCCTGGCTCCAGGAGAAGTCTGATGCCTCCTCCAAGAAGGTCCGCCGCAGCCGTGTCCACGCTCGTGCTTTCTAAGTGCTCCGCTGCAACCTCCACATACACCCACACCAATCCCTTTTGAGGCTCTTGCAAAAGTCTTCTCTTCCATGTAGATATACAACTTTTTTGACCAATACATATATGTCCTTGTCTGGCGAGCTCGCTATGACGCTTTGAACCTGCTCTTCCGTTTTGCAATGTGAATGCGTTGTGATCGTTTCCTTCGTTGACCAGTAGGGAGTCTAGATGTTGGTTCCGTGGTATTTGTTCCTTACAGGCTCATCTTTGGCTGACCGCCGTGCTTTCTCCATGCCCATCATGCCACCAAGCTTACTCTAGATCCCCTTCCGAACATGTTTCCTTCATTCCTAAACATCTCAAGGCGTTTCCGTGGTTGTCTGTTTCGAACGTCAAACGCGGTACCGAGTCCACGGCGCCGAACCCTGGGGCCTGTCACATATATCCCTACCCTGCAATATAAACCCCTCCAACCACTCATTAACTTACGGCACTTGAGCCATCAATATCGCTACTAAGCCATACATAAATTCCTAACTCATCTATCATTTCTGTCGTACCAATCGCATTGATATAAGCACCCTAAAGCACAACGTTAGTCCCAGCCAATCAGATCTCGCATCAGTGGCCGGCGCACTAGCTTAACCATTGAGTTTGCGCTCGGAGCGAGATGGCAACATCCGCCTCCGAGCACTCGGGACAACTGCCAGATGCTTAGGAAGTGCGGAATGGTGGCGTCGCTGGATTTGTGGTTTTCCGGGCACGGGGCGGAATGATGGAGATGGGTGCTGCGGGGTTGTGTGAGAGAGCGTCCAGTGCGGATAGGTACGAGTAGGTACTATGGACGTGGGCTACACGAAGGTGGATTTCGGTATCGAAGTTGATAATTTTGGATTTTATTTAAAGATCGCTATGCTGCGTTATATGCTGTGCTTGATGTATTGAAAGGATGCGAAAAGAAAGAACGATATTTGCAAACATGTATGACCGCCCATTTTTATAATAAATGGAGAAAATTATCCTAATTCCTTCACCATCTTGTCCCTCCAAGCAGGGCCCCATTTCTTCATGGTATAAATAACGGCGATGCCACTGAGAAGACTCCACAGACCCAGAATTGTCATGAGCCATCCATTGCCGATAGCGTGAATAAGAGGTTCTGCTACGACCGCGCCGATAAAGGAGAAGATGTTTCTGAAGAAGTTGTTGATTGCCACGCCGGCACTCGCTCGCTTGGGCATGAACTCGGTGAGCATGGTTGTAGCAAGGGAGAAAATCAGCATGGATCCGATGCCGAAAAAGAAGTTTGCGATCATGGGGACGATCCAGATTACGCCATGCTCTGCCGTCCAGCCGTACCACATGAGCGCTCCGGGCCAGAGGACGGCTGCTATCCAAGCATTTTCTCGCATGCGGTCTTCTGGGCGGAGGATCAGTTTGCCTTTGTCGTCGTAGCGGCCTGCTTTTCGTGCCTCGCGTTGCATTATGCGGTCAATCCAACGGCCGCCAAAGAGGGAAGCCAGCATATATCCAAGAGAGCCTGGAATGTACAGGAGGCCAATGATTAAGGTGGAATACTTATACGGCTCAGAAGAGAAGGTGGCTTGTATACTGATATTCAGGAAGTAGAGTGAACCGAAGGTGATGCTGGCATAATAGACCGTAAGCGCAACAGGCGGATAGCGCATCCATGTAATGATGATCAGAGGGTCCAGAAGCATTTTACGAGTTGTTTTTGCCCATGATTTCGTTGTTTGTTGAACGGATTGCCGGGTTGATACACGTTTGAGTTCAGGCCTTACGTCGTTCTTTTCGTTTGAAGCAGGTTGGACTTGTTGCTGTGATTCAGTCTGATCTTTACGGCGTAGAGTTTCTGGTAAGGCAAAGATAATCAGAAGAACCGTGATGCCACCGTAAATTACCAGAAACCATTGCGTGCTTCTCCAGCCTAGCTCTTGTCCAAGTACGCCACCAATGATGGGTGCAAAGAGAGGGCCACAAAGAGGACCCAGATAGAAGACACCCATAGCTTTCCCTCGCTCTCGAGGTTCCCAAGTATCGGCGATTGTTCCAGCACCAACGGCCTGCACGGAGGCGGCCGCTCCTCCAGCAAATGTACGGAAAACCACCAGCATGGCAATGTTCGTCGACACCGCTGATAGGATAGAGAAGACCGTAAACATGAGAAATGAGATCAAATAGATCGTCCTTCTCCCGCCAGTCTCAGAGAACGCGGACCACCATATGGGAAATATTGACATGGCCAACATATATACCGCAACACTCATATTTGCCGTGACGGGAGAAGCGTTGAATACTTTCGCGATATCTTGCAGGACTGGCATCACGATAGCCGATCCCATAGGTGCAGCCATTGCACAGAAGGCCACAATAGCAACGACAAGCCATTTGGTCTTCCGGGCGTAGTGATACGGATTCTCAACCTCTGGGATTAGTGCAAGATGTGCAAGCAAGCCTCGACGGTTCCGTCGCTCAACTATCACAGCTTCTGCGGTAACGGATATGGTTCGTGCCAATGTCGCTGGAGGTTCAGATGGTCCATTGGTTCCTTTTTCGTGCACAGAAACAGTGGATCGTGTCGATGCAGCCACAGATATTTCGTCGTCATCTGCAACGGGCTCTTCTGTTTCCTTCTGTGCCTCCTCCTGCTCGTGTGCTACAATCGACGTTCGCGAGACATGCCCGGCGTGAGAAGCAAGGTCCGGCGATGCTAACTCATCTTTCCCTGCCATTGCCTCCGTTTGCGAAAGGCCTTCGAGCCTCGTTTGATGTCAAGACTCTTAGTCCACCGGTGAGAGATTCTTTAACTTTTCGAAGTCGCATGCATACACCCTTGCTCCTATTTTCTTCTAGGTAATCCGTACCTCGGCCGAAATGTCGGCGCCACCACGTAATCCCGTAATGGTTATCAGATTGAAATCAAGAGCCCAAACCATGCACATTGCCATATAAGTAACTTGAGGTTCAAAATCAAGAGAAGGATCGAGGGAGCAACAGGGTCTGTCCATCTTCAAGTAGCAACCGAAGAGCGTAATCCATGACGGGCAAAAAGCCATACGGGGGTGCCGCATTGCCGGCATTGGATATGAACCGACCGCGAAATCAACGCAGCGGTGGGGCTAGCGGGGTAGCGATCTCCCATGGTGGTCTATAAGTTATTTCCGGGGACTGGCTCCGGAAAAGGAGAAGCAGGGTCGAATTATACATTGAAATGGGGAAATGCGTGATCACTTGCTGGTGTTGAATAGTGTGGTTGTGTCACACGGTTAGGAGGTAACTACTGCTCTGTTGCTTCCTTTTGTCGTTGCGCGTCGTCACGCTACCGCGTGCAGCTGAGAAGGATGACTAAGGTGCTGTCCAAAATGACGCCACTCTCCACCTTGAAGTACATCCCTAGGTACTCTAGTTACTTGCATTACTTGCGCGTACCGTCGTTATTCTCCATCGTGATCTACTCCGTGCATTGTTTTCATTCTGTACGACACGTTGCAAACGCTCTAATTTGTCTCCACTTGACTTGTTTCCGACTCCAGGCTTCCGTTTCGACATAACTAGCTCGAACACTCGTCGCACAAATACCTCGGACCCGCTGTGGACTAGGCAGTACCTTTGTACAGGACACACCTACACCAGCGACGAGCAATTGCTACCTAGCCTCCAATCGAGCTTGAATTCGACATTTTCCACACGTAAAAGGCATCGAATTAGCACCTCGGCCCTCAAAAATGTCTACTCCAAACGTCAACTCCGCGCCCACCTCGGCCGCCCCCACCCAGAACCAAGACCGCCTCAAAACCTTCTTCGAGGGGCAGTCCGCCGACACGCATCCGTCTCGATGGGACGACCTTTGGAAAGCGGGCGATTTTCTACCCTGGGATCGCGGCTTCGTGAACCCCGCCCTCATTGACGCCTTGAACGAACGGAAGGAGCTCTTCGGATCGCCCAAGAAAGAGGATGGTAGCAGGAAGAAGGTGCTTGTTCCCGGCTGTGGAAAGGGATATGATTTAGTGCTTTTTGCAGCATATGGATACGACGCATTGGGTCTTGAGATCAGCGAGAACGCCGTGAAAGCTGCGGAGGAGTTCCTTAAGAATCCCGGCGAGGGCAAAGAGGGGGAGTACAAGACACATGATCCTGAGATAGGCAGGGGCACTGCAACAGTGATTCAGGCGGACTTTTTCAAATATGATTGGAGAGAAGAAGAGGCAGGACCTTGCGGTAAAGGGTATGATTTGATATATGATAATACGGTAAGTTTGCCCAGCCTAGGTCGTCAAGGCATGAACTCATGTACCAACAGTTTCTATCCGCGTTACCGCCTTCATTGCGACCCGATTGGGCTCTTCGCATGTCTAGACTGGTGGTAGCTACCGGCATCCTTGTATGCCTTGAGTTTCCCACCCACAAGCCCCCCAAGTCTGGCGGTCCACCGTGGGCCTTGCCCCCTGATGTCTACGAGGAGCTTTTCAAACGCCCAGGAAGCGTGATAAACTATGACGAAGATGGCAGAGTGATTAAAAACGAGGGGGCAACGAGTGAGAATTCCCTCGCGAGAATAGCTCACTGGAAACCCAAGCGGACTCATCAGGTTGGGATTATCAATGGTGAAGTCAAGGATTGGGTGAGCGTCTGGAACCATAAATAGTCTCGTAGCGTTGGAATGGGACAGGATTGTGCAATCATTCGACGATGCCCTGCAATGTGCCGATGTGTCCAGTCCAACCTGCTCAAATCTGTGAAGTCCTCAAGGCGTTTTTCGCAGGGAGTTGTAATGCTCTCCTAGACCGAAATTATGCTTGTAGTAACCCAACCATATCTCCTTTGCGTCGGCGGGATTTCCCTCCGGCTCGATCTTATCCACTCGCCCATCCCCGTGCAGAACATTTATCCTCACTCCATAAGTCTTCGCTAGCGCTAGTAATTCCATGTGTCCGCCCCATTCGCCTGTATTCCTGATCTTCTGCAAGTACTGATTGATAGGTTCCTCCATAAAGGGCACAAAATCATCCGGATTCCCCTCGATGAAATCTGCTGCTGCATGTCGTACTGTCTTGTAAACTGGCAGCCCCTGCTCTTCATGTATCTTCGGCTCTATCCGTGGTTTCAGTCCCAGGCCCGAAGTCTCCATCTGATCAGCAATCGCTGCGTATAGACAGTGACCATCTGCTCTGATTTCTTTCTCCTGCAATCCGTACTTCCCAAAGTGTGACTTCATCTGTTCCCGTTCAACCTCGCGCTGATCCGGCATGTTGGCAGCTTCCTCCTCCGCTTGTGCGATGAGAGCTTCTTGTTCGGCAGCGCGACGGGCGAGACGTGCCTTCGCGCGATTCTGCTTCTTCTTCGGTCCCGCTGGTTGTTCTGAGGGGGGTTGTGCAGGTGCATCGGGTTGACTTGTCGCAAGCGATAATTTCTCTACGTCTGCCTCGAGTCCGTTCGCTTCCACCTCATCAGCCGGCTCTAACGGGTCCGCTGGCGCATCCTCGGTCGTTTCGCCGTTCAGCTCAGCAAGTTCCTGGGCCTGTCGCTCCTTGAGCTCTTGCTCTAGTCTCTCGCATTCGTCGTTCACGCCCTTCCGCGTCTTCTTTGTGGCGGATTTCTTCTTCTGCGTTGAACGGGCAACGAGATCGCGCTGCTCTTTTCGATGACGCGCTTGCAGGGCCTCGAGAGGTGTTGGGTCGTCCATGTTGTTGAATGATGTTGGAAATGTTTAAGATGTTGTCATTTGGCGGAAGGTGTTGAAGTGCGGAAAAGAGCTGTCGGAATCGGCAATACAAAGTGGGGCATTCCGAGTCCTGGTTCGGTTGACCAACCTTCAATACTCTACAAGTACATGTAATAGTTCAGCAAAGACCATTTTGCGATTCACATACTAAATGTGTTCGATGAGAGCTTATGGTAAAATTTGATGATATATATTCATTGGGATGATTTTCCTCCTCGTACGCTTAGTTCCCATCCGCTTTCAAGAGAAATGTGACTGAACCGCTGGTATGGTATTCCTGTTTAGTTTTTTTGGCAGAATATTGAACATTTTGTAATCAGAAGAATTTGGTTTCTCGCGAGATCAATCATTATCGTGTTCTTTCCAAGTTTAGGATTTAGTATCTACTAATCTTTCTCTCCTTTCCAAAAAATATTGTCAAAATGGGGAAACAGACATTCCTCTTTGAATCGGGACCCTAGGTACCATCACACCGGGCAAAATCAACACGATCTGAAACGGTCTTCTGCCATACGGTCATTGTAATTATTTATGAGAATGAGGCTAAGCAAATGCCAACCTAGAAAGAAGAAGCGATTGAGGTTAACACTGCCTATGCTTCACTCCTCCGACTGCTTGAGCAAGATAAAGGCACTTACATGTTTGTTCCGCACTGACATATTAAATAAAATAAATAGTTCAATTTATAGTGCTATCTGGTTCCCTTTCGGGTCTATGAACACTTCCCCTACGTTATTATGTCTAGTAGGGCAAACGTGATGCCTCTACATCTAAAAACCCCTACTTCCTACGTGTCCCTAGGTGCCTTCTGCTTACGCTTCTTCCTGCTATTGTACTGTGTTGCCATGTGAGGGCTTGGCGGAGTTTAGGTTGGCGTTTCGTGGGCTTTGTAGAATGGCGCCCACTTCTCCATGTCGACTCCTTCGTCTTCCTTTGCAATGCGGAAGTATTCCAGCACGTGTGTGTCCAGGAGCCATCTACCCGCCATCCAGGCGGTGTCTTTGCTTGTCAAGAGACGGTCAGTCCTAGTAGTACCTGCTCGTTCGAGCAGTTTTAGCCTCGCGTGAGAGGTGTCCTTGCAGTAGTCTCTTAAGTGGGTAAGTGTCTGTCTATTATGCCCGCAGGTGCATGTGGGTAGTATGTCTGGTACCCCAGCATTCGCTAGCCATGCCCTAGTACCGAGTACTTCTGTGCGTAGGAGAAGAATAGACGTTGCCACGTGCTTTGGTGCATTATCATACAGGGCACTGACATATTATGCATTCCTTCTGCGTCTTTATTCAAAAATCGAAATCAAAAGGCTCTTTAAATTTGAATGTCCGCTGTATCAAAGAATACAAATGAAAATAAAACACCCCATACAATATTCCACTGCTCCCGAAGTAAAATGATCTCACCAGATCGTCGCCAGTCCAACAATGTCTTGTTCGCTCGTGTATTCAAACAAGGATAGAGGTCAGATTGTCGAACAGCGTGTAGGGGTCACCGTCTGTCCATTGACCATAAAGTGGAACTCTTCTAGTCTGCACTGCGACTGCCTCAAATTTCCGACCTATATCCTCGCTCGCCCACGTGTTGATATATGTGGAGGAATCTCCGACTTGTCCATGACAAGTGAATTCCGGTTTTTTTACCCGCGGGTTGGTGAAGGCGTATTGGCAAGACGGTACATCCATAAGGGCAACATCGCCGGAAAGGAAAAAGTTGTACTGAATGAAATAGTTGGTTCCAGTAGAATTAGCAACTCTGAGTTTATCGCTGTGATAGATCCATGCGTGTGCACTAATGTTGTTTGGCTTTTGGATCCTGCTGTCCCACTGAACGCCCGGTCGCATACTAGAAAGGCAAGTTTATAGAACCTTTCCTCGTGCAGCCTAAGACCCCCACAAGGGGTAGTAAGGTTTCCATCTCGGATCTGGAGGCCGTGTTTTACGGGTTGCGGAGAAGCAACGATCAGCGAAACAAGTAGTGCTAGAATCGCTTGGATGAGCATCGTGAACGGGTAGTCAAGTGTCGCGTTGTTGTTGTGAATTTCGATCAATACGATATCTCGAACGAAGGAAATAGTAACTAGAGTTGAAGTCTTCGTTGGAATCTGACCTTTATTTTGGACGATGACTCGGTGGTGGTTCTGTCATACACTAATCATAGTAGAGTCATCGGGAAGCACTGTCGTCGTGACTCCAATATATCAGAATGATGAGCCAAGCCGTGTGTTGCGAATATCATATCTTTAGTCAAAAAAGCAAAAGTGTATCCAATGTCAAACTCCAGCTTTCTTCGGCCTCTTCTCAGGTGCTGGTTTCTTCGCCGCTTCAAACGCATACGCATCTCTCTTTGCATTTTCCTCCTTCACAAATCTTTTGACATGCTCTGGGACTTCCTTCAACCTATTATATGGCCCTGGTACAGGCTCTCCCAGTCTCTCGTACACGGGAACGACTCCAGTCCATACACTATCCAGAATGTCTTCTCTCTTCATATCTTTCCTTTCATCTTGCGGCACACCCTCACGAACCTTAGCACTCGCCCCTGTAACTTTCATCTTCAAAATCCGAGTGCTCTGCATTTCCGCTCCATCTGGTGGCACGCGCGTATTGTCATAGCGGTCGGGAACCACAGAGTCAGTGATGAGTCGCATCGCCCACAGCTTCTCATCCACGTCATCGACGATCGTACCAAAACCATGTAGAACAGCTGATCGATAATTATAGTTGTGAGAATTGGGCGTCAGAGTGAGAACAAAGCCGTCGACTTTCGTCGCTGCAACACACAACGGCAATCCTTCACCGCCCGACGACGCAAGATTCATAACCCGTGAGGAGACGTAGCCGTGAAGATAGCAACTATACTCAGTCTCGCCGTTCGATTCGTCCCCCGGATAGAGTCCTAATTGACCGATCATGGGAAGGACAACCGGTGCAAGCGTAGAAGGGTCTGGGACAAAGGATACGTGAAGAACTGGAGTACTATTGACGATTGTGTGAACTGTGTCGACATCGTATGTTGCTGATAGCCGTCAAAAAGTGCATATGGGTTTGAAAATGACGGTTTTACCCTGATGTTTATATCGATTCACATTGTTGAAACCCTTAAGTGGGTAGGTAGGCACGTCCATAGTTGAATTTGATCCCATTGTCCCTGATATCTTGAGATGATAGATTGTTTTAAGCACTTGTGAGTATTTGCAATGCTGATAACTATTAAATATGCTAGCAATTAGTCTTATCTGTACAGTCAACTCATAGCTCCTTAGATAATGACGGGCTGCGGAGTGCATGTAAAACTATACTCTAGGCTAAATTGAGCAAGTCCATCCGAGCAGTGTGCTTATCATCGCCATCACCTATAATAGAGGAATTGTGATTGGACAACAAGGAACGGCAGAAGTCAAAAGCATTGGAATTGTCAAAAGTGGAATTATGTTTTCTTATACCTAAAGCAGACATATAATGCACGCGGACATTGCGCCTAATCGCTAACTATGAATGAGGAGTGATGAGAGACCAGTACAGCAAAAAAAATCATGAAGGGTCATGAGAGTGGAGAGAGCTGATAGTATCCTTCTTTCTACCAGGTAACGGGAAGTTCGGTGATACCCACATCCTTAGTTGGAGGAGACCAGCTGATCTTTTCGAAAGGGACCGTTAATTGCAGGTTGGGTAATCTTTGGAAGAGTGTTGCTTGAGAATCATTAGTCGGGGTTATTCAAGTCTCGGGCAGCAATACTTACAGAAGACGACTTCTAGTTCACCTCTTGCTAGTGATTCAGCTACACAGCGATGTTCCCCCCAGCCGAAACCCATGCCTTGGAACCAATCCTCACCACGACCGCCCTTCTCTTTAGGGACAAAGCGTAGTATATCAAAGACTTCTGGGTCGCTGAAGACGTCCTCATCTCGACTTGCGGATTGAGTAGCTGCGATGATTCCCTCTCCGGCCTTGATCTGGTGGCCACCAAGTTCGATGTCGACCTTGGCAACGCGTCGTGTTGCCATGGCAGATCCAACATGATACCGACAGAGTTCTGAGACAAATGGAGATGTCAGAGTAGGGTCAGCTATCAGTTTGGCGAGTTGGTCTGGGTTTTGGAGAAGCGACACGACTCCCTATATATGGTCAACAATCTCATTAAGGAACTGGGCTGTTTGAATTAGCTTACTAGATTGATCATGTTCACCATCGTAGCATTGCCAGCGACGAGCATGAGGAAAGCAATTTGTATTGCGTCTGACTCGTTAATATGGCCCAGTTTGACTTGCTCAACGACGAGCTTGCTGATCAGGTCATCTTTAGGTTCCTGTAGACGTTTCTGTACGAGCTGTCCAATGTATTCAAGAAGGGTACTTGAAGGTTGTTAGTACTTTTGCAAGCCTCTCTATGTCCGGGGTTTTTTGAAACGTACTTTGCAGCGTTTGAGGCCTCACTGGCTGTTCCACTTCCGTTGCTGCGGATGGCATTCTGTTGTGTCAAGAACTCTAGATCTTCAAGTGGAACACCTAAGATTCCGTAGATGATCTACGCAAGGTTAGTTCTTGACTTTGATGACCAGAGTCAGAGACTTACATAGGATGGAAGAGGAAGTGCAAACTTCTCAACAAGATCGACTGGCTTCTCGCAGCCCTCTGCAATCATCTTGTCCAGCAATGTATCCGCTGTCTTCTGAATATGTGGTCGAAGTTTCTCAACCGCTGCGGCATCGAACAGAGGTTCAACCATACTCCTAAGCCATAGTTAGCACTCGTTCTGGCATACGAACAGCTGTTGCACTGGACCTTTGTTGCATGTGATCAGGCGGATCCATGTCCACAAATGTGGGTTTATTCTTTGCCGCCAATTTTCCTCCAGCACTCATTTCAGGGAATCCAGGTCGATTACGTTGCTGAAGCTGTTATTACATATTCTTTCATGACTAGGGTTAGAACACTGACTTTGCTCAATCTGTTGTCCGTCAAAACGGATATGACATCCTTGTGCTTCACCACCAACCAGGGGTGACTTCCATCCCATAGCTCAACTCTTGATATTGGGTTGGTAGCTCTCAAGTTCGCATACTCCACAGGAGGATCCCAAGCTTGGGGACGAGCAAAAGGAAATCGAGGTACTGAAGACATAGCCGCAAATGAATTACGAGTAAGTAGTTGATTGAAGGTCTTGGGAATGATGTTTGGTCTCTTGGATGATAGGAGAGCACGATAAGTAGAAGTCATTTCGATCTTTATAGCTATCTCGAATAGATGTGAAGCTGGGATATAGAGCTTGGAGTCGCCACAAGACAGCCTATAAAGAATTTGTCAAAATCATCGCATGACCTTTGGCTGCGTCAGATTGGGCGGAGATGCTTCACACGGAAGCAAGGGGTCATCTTGTTGTTGCTATATCTGGCGCATCGGCGGAGGACCTGCATCTGCACATGGCGGATTGACTTTTGTACGGGTTCTGCATCTACGAATCAAGCGTACTGTCATTGAACGAATTAGACGCCTGTGATCAGTTATGAGTAATAAAACTTCCCAGGGCAGTTCCGTCGCTGACGAGGCACACAAGGTTGCGGCAGCTACCCCAGGTCGACGTCAGGAGCAATGAGCGAATATCTGTTGGTCATCTTGCATGTATTCACGATGTCCGCATGAAGCGAGAGATCCTTGTGGGGGAGCTAGTAGGGGAAACACTGCAATGATTTAATGATAAATTTGATCACACCATGGAACACGAATTATACTCTGCAAATAATGTTTGAAACGATCACATTCATCAAGTACAGGATTAATTTGTAGCATTGTTGCGTCCGAAGCGTTGCATCGTATGATGAGGAAAGCGTGTGATCTTGCAGTTTCTCATACGCAACGACAATGCATCTCCGCCGCCAATGCATCTCCGCGGGGAGCTGCGGTGACTCGGCAAAAAAATGGCAATTGTTTCAAAGAGCCCCCTCGACCCCAATAACGGAAGTGCCATTCATCTAATTTTTTTTGTATTTTACTATTAGATAGACCTCAGAGGATAATAAATTTATGACAATGTTCGGACATATCAAGAATCCTGATGCAGATTTGATGATATAAACCCCATGGCCACCTTCCACTGAGTTGTCAAGTTCAAGGGATTCTTGAGCTGTGATAATATGATAATAGAGCGTAAATCATTCAACCAAATATGCCTCTACCTCTATATATTTGTAAACTATCCTGCGCCAAATACAACTCGTTCGATTCTAGTAGTCATACATCTTCGGGAGTTGAGATACTTCTATTACAACGCCTCTACCACTTTTGTACAACGTTCATTTGGGCAAACTTGGTCGTGATAGAAAATGCTTCTGTATTGGGCCATGCACCTTGGGAAGGACTCCTTGCCGTGCGCCCACGCTGTCATTAAAATCCCGCCATCCGATCAACCTTCACGACTGCGTGTCGGCCTTTCTTCCTCTATGCACGCGGGCGAAGCTCGGCTGCTGGCAACTTGGCACGATGCCTCAAGGCGGGTATTCTTGGTTGGAATTGGCCCTTCTGCTATTGAGAATCGACTTCGTCTAGTTCAATGAGAGCAGTAGTCTCATTCTAGCAACTCGACGGGTATCTGGAATTCTTTCGTGATCCTCTGCATGTTGTTGACTAGATCATTCACATCTACCGTGGTAGATGCAGTGCCGTCACTAGGACTTCCCAATCCGGGGCCAAGGGAAGTGGGATCCTCCATCTTAGGTGGATCTGTGTCAATCTGGATGGTGACCTACTCGAATTGTCAGCCTCAAGTTACCACCCAGGGGAGAAAATGAAAGCGCCATGAAGGAATAATGAGGTTGGATATACCTCTCCGTCCAGACAAGTATAGTCTATACCTACCGGCCCATCGTTTACCAATGCCACGTCCATCATGGCGGCAAACACTCCATCTTTAACCTTAGAAGGCTCGTATAGTTCTTGTACCTTCTTGAAGAAAGCTTGGTAGAGTTCCCTGGCTGGATTTCCGCTTGCAGACTTATGGAAGCTGGGTTTGTTTTTCTTTACTGAGGCGAGCAGAGTGAATTGAGACACTATCCTGGTATCAGTGCATGTTTTTCTCATGTCTGGAGATGTAGATAAATACCGCACAAAACCTCTCCCCCAATGTCGGCGACACCTTTCTTCCACTTTCATATGTCAGCGCGCTGTAACACAAGCCAGGGGGCTGTCACTGACCTTTCCTGGGGGATCCTTAGTTTCGTCGTCCCAGAGCTTAGCCTTCAATATTTGGCCTGCCATTGATTCAACATCTTTCATGGTATCATCTTTTGCAACTGCGGCCAGAACCAGTAAGCCCTTCCCAATCTGAGAGATCAGTTCGCCATCAACGGTGACCGACGCAGACTTTACGCGTTGCATAACAGCTGATAGAATGGTCAGTTGTCGAGTGCATATTTGAAGCCTTGAGCTTGCGCGAACCTCTCATTCTTGATATAGATATATGGCGCAACGGTAGCGGGTGGCTACACGCTGCTATCGAAACTGTAGATTTGCAATTCGTGGTATCGCGAAGATGGTGGCTAGGTGGGGCGGCGAGATGGAGATGCGGTGTTTATGGTAGTCGAGGTAATTCGAGGCGTTATTGTCCATATGCGCACATAGACATTTCTGCTGTGAATATAGTTCTGTTGCGGTAAGTAGCTCCTAGGAAGAAGAGTGTTGAGTGATGGTGTTTCCACTACGATGGTATCACTGTTGCGACATGGAATTACAGGCGAGCGTGACGCGGGGTGCGTCCACCACACGTTTGACGGGCCATCGAAAGTAACAGGTCTTGGCATGATCGACGCCGCTAAACCGAAATCGCGCGATCAGTGCAGCGCATCACACTTGACCTCCGTGTTCGTGCACCCACGACAAAAGCCAATCCGCAACATCTACATCGGAGCAAACATCGCGCGCCTTCACTTCACGAGTCTGTTGACCCGACAACGAATCTTTCGATACCGAACCCTCACCCGCCGAGCCACACTTGCCGCGAGGCCCCGCTCACACAATGGCAGCACGAAAGCTCCAGCAGGAGATTGATAAGTGCTTTAAGAAGGTGGACGAAGGCGTCGCCGTCTTCGAAAACATACATGATAAGATTCAGCAAACGAGCAATCCATCTCAGAAGGAGAAGCTCGAGGATTCACTCAAGAAGGAGATTAAGAAGCTGCAGCGGTCGCGAGACCAGATCAAGACATGGGCGACCATGAGCGAGATCAAGGACAAGAAGCCGCTGCTGGACAAGCGGAAACTGATTGAAACAGTGCGATTGACCGTCCTTGCCCCTCACGTGAGCATTCGCTGATCAATAACATAGCAAATGGAGCGTTTCAAGGCCGTTGAGAAGGAAATGAAGACCAAGGCATATTCGAAAGAAGGCCTTCAATTGGCCTCAAAGATGGATCCCCGGGAGAAGGAGAAAGTGGACATGGTTGACTTCCTGTCAAATATGAACGAAGAGCTGGAGCGCCAGGTGGAAACGATCGAGGCCGAGGTGGAGACATTACAGGTCGGCGTGAAGAAGAGCAAGAAGGGGGACAACTCTAGGGCCGAGCGGATATCAGAACTGGAAGATACAGTGGAGCGGCACAAATGGCATCAAAATAAACTGGAACTTCTGCAAAGAGCCCTGGAAAACGGCAATGTGGAGGTGGATCAGGTGAAGGAGGTACAAGACAGCATCGAGTACTACGTCAACAGCAACCAAGATCCAGAGTTTATGGAGGATGATACCGTGTATGACGACTTTGCCTTACAGGAGGAGGAAGCCATCTTCGGACTGGGAGCCGAGGCAGATCGAGTCTCCTCGCAAGACACTCAGTCGATACAGGACGATCTGACGGAACCGGACGGCAGAAGCAGTAGTATGGGAGCAGTGAAGGCGAAGACGGCAGAAACAACATCATCGGGCGCACGACGACCATCCACGCAGATGAAGTCACCTCTACCAGCACTTGCGACACTGCATACACCGTTACCGGGAGCTGCAAATGCGTCTGGTAACAGCATGAAACCCGCGCCGCTACCGACTCGAACCCCAGGAGAGCCGCTCAAATATGCCTCGGCGGCGGCGGCCGCTGCTGCGAGCGACAGGAATGGGGTGGGCATTGCACCTCTGCCACCACCACCAGGAGCGACCTTGGCACAGACAACATTGGGCCTGTCAGGTGCACGGACGAGCGCGACGAATTCCCCTGCTATTACACATTCACAGCCAGCTCTGCGAACACAAGTCACGGGTATTGACAATCTGTCACAGTCTCACCTTGGGAAATCGCCCGTCCCGTCTGTAAGCATTCCGGCAACCCCACCAACGGTTGCGAAGGAACCACCTACTTCCGCCGATGATGCGGCCCAGGCCACTCGGAAATCACAAACGCTGGACCGAGCGGAGGAGGAGGAATCGACATCAGCTACGCCGCCTCTGACTAATGGAGAGTCTCATGCGGATGATGAGGATGAAGATTCAGTGTATCACCTCCCTTCAAGCTTACAGGACCTGCTTGATTCGTTCGAAGCAACGAAGAACGACATCACTGCTTCGTCGACGAAACCTCCGGATGAGCGAATCCTGGCCGCGTCGATGACCACCGCTCCAGACACAACTGACACCGAGGCACCTCGCCATTATAGGCCAGAACATCCGTACCCATACACACCACCGCACTACCCTCAGGAGCCTCTTGCGATCTTCGACGATCCGCGACTGTATCAGCGCATTGAGACTGATGCTCTGTTCTATGCATTCTACTACCGACAGGGCACCTACCAGCAATATCTGGCAGCGAAGGCGCTAAAGAGCCAAAGTTGGAGGTTTCACAAGCAATACCAGACATGGTTTCAGCGACACGAGGAGCCCAAAGCCATCACCGAGGACTACGAACAAGGAACATATCGATTTTTCGATTATGAAAGCACGTGGTAAGCACTTAAATCCCACCCTCGCAGACTGACTGACAGCACCGCCCGGGACCCTGTGGATCTCGGAACGGGACTTGCGAACAGCCACACCGGCACCATGGACAGATCTCGCTGACCTAATATGTGCAGGATGAACCGACGGAAACAAGACTTCCGCTTTGCGTACAAGTTCCTCGAAGATGAGCTGTAAAGGAGGCGTATCCGCCTCGACTGTTTTAGCGACCAAAGGGCGGGCTGCTAGAACGGAAGGATGGAATGGCCCATCTGTCTGTACCGTCTGTACTGTCTGTCCGTCTGTCTTTGTATTGGTTCTGTAGTCTACATACCGATGATGATATCTAAGTAGCCATCGAATAGGTGGGGTCGCTCGCAGGGTGATGGAGCATCTTGGATGGGACTGGCGTATGACCTCATCGTGGTGTATAGGGCACGCCCACATGCAGAATCCCACTTTGTCCCCTCATTGAATGCCGTCGCGCTGCTCTGCGCTTTGCTTAATGTGTATAGCGCTCTGCCATGTGTCATGGAGGGTGGATCGCGATATTGATGTTAGTAGTGTGTGCGGTGAGGAACAGTAGTCACATTGTCATAATGTAGGTCAGTCGTGAGTGAGTGCGTTTAGTGAGTTGTAAAGTGTAGATGTCCAATGTCATCACACGCCCGAGAAGGATGCAGTAGGTGTTGGGCCACGACACCAACGTCAGTCGGACAGTCCTACGATCTGGCTGGCCCCATACCCGCTGTGGCTGTTCGCCCGCAATTAAAGAGAGCTCGTCTGACTAGAGGCAATCGAGGAAAGGTAAAAAAGAGAGCGGTACCGCCCATATGCAAATGGGCCTTGGGGGCCATAACCCACAAAAGAGCGCAGTAATAAAGCAATAAAGTAGGTTGAATGAGGTAAGGTAAGTAAATAGGGTCATGTCCAGAAATGTGATATGCTGCTGCGTTGTCTCGTGATTACTCGTTCGTCTCAACGGTTGTTGTGTATGGTTGTGGGTTGTTGTTGGTGGTGGGCACTGGGCAATGTAGACTATGTGGACATGATATTAGCTTGGCACGGCTTAACTTTCCCTCCGGTTCCTCCTTCTCTGCCATTCGCCATTCTCTCTCTCTCTACTCTGGCCTTCTCTTCTCCCTCATCCCTTGTTCCTGATCTGATCTCCTCCCACCCCCCCCATGCATCCCATCATCCTTAACCAACTAATTAGTTACTCCGACCTCGTTCAAGCCTCAAGGTCTCTACTCGTTGTCCACCTACCTCTTCGATCTAATCACCGCACAATTACTCCACTTTTTACTCTGTTGCTTGTTGTATAGGTACTCACTCAATATCCCCTTGCAAAACTCCAACAAGATGATCCGACAAGGCCAGGCTGATTCTTGACCTGTAACATCGTTTCTCGTTCAACTCTCTCCCAATAATGCCCCCCCTTGTCTCTCTCTCTTACAGACTCATCACGGTCTCAGATTCTCAGCTAATTAGCTCGTTTTCCTACTTTCTGCATACCTAGCATGTACTAGCTAGCATGAGCATAACATAACAGAGCATAGCATCATGTACCTTGCTATTGGCCAGATGGTTGGATACCTACAACACGGTATACTTCCGGCCCCCTCGACAGCCACCACCACCACCTTTTCAACCCTGGCCGACCGATCGCTGAACCACATGACTTGATCTCCACATGGCCATTCACCCTAACCACTCGCGCGATGTGCCATGACTCTCATTCTTCCCCAGCATCAAACTATCCCAACTCCTAACCGCAAGAACCTCACTCTCGCTCTCCTTGTGCACGCATGCTTACAACATTGTTGAACGGTCGACGTCAGAATCCAAGATAAGATTAGCTTTCCAGCATGGCAGAGCGTCCACTAGCTTCCCTAGGCTGAATGTCATCAAACGCCCCGTTAGAAACGCCCGTGACCTCCCCTTCTCCCGTCAACACTTGTCCAGGACTGGAAAGCACAGTTCTCAGTCCCTGTCCCAGTCGGCCTCTTGCTGTCAAACTTGCAATCTTCGCTAAACTTGAAACTCTCATCCAAATCCAAGTCGGGTCGTCTCACCGCTGCTGCTCTGCCTGCCCTGGACGGAACCTGCAGCGCTCTGCACGCATATCATAATGTTACCGTCATTGAGGTTTAGCTCTGCGGGATGAGGCGAGGGGCTTGACCTCTAGCAATTGACAAGCAGACATATAGAGCATGCATTACCAAGGCCAGCAGAACGCCCGCCAGGCTTCCGTCCCAACTTAGCATCTCATTGAACAAGAGATGGGGCCGATACAGCCAGTTCGAGACGGTGAGAACCTGTTCGATCTCGCGTTATCATATTGCAGCAGTACTGTGCATAGTCTTGCGTACCATCGAATGTGTTCCCCCTATGCAAAATGACAAATTCAAAGCATGCAGCACAACGCCCCGAGAACGCGGTGTACGCAGTATATGTCCACCAGCTTTCTCGTAAACAGATTCCATCGTTCGCAATACATTCTAAATACTGTTGTTGCGCAACGGCCCGCAAGCAAGCAGATGCGTGCCCCCGTTTGTGGGACGCATTCTAGAATACCTTGCTGTATGACGCATAGGATACGCCCGAGGTCAACTCTCAATGTGACCGGGATTCAAGAACACCAAATTACATGATATCCGGGAATATCATCTGTCGTGTTATGGAGAAAGGGACCTTGCATCGAATGAGCTTCATTATAATTTATCGACAATACTCGCCCATTTTGGTGATTTATCCCCAACCTTTTCGCCCGAGTCAGACAGCCCTGCAGCCCTATGTGCTAGCGAACTGTTATAAACAAGTTACTCCAACACTGCCTCAACCGAACAGAATGTGATCCTCCAACACATTGCAAAGGCACAGTAAAACTGCTTTACTTCTAATCTGTCCATCCGGGGAGGAGAAACTCAGCCGTACAGGTGCCGGGCCACGCTACTGCGGTGGCAACCTATTCTCCGTGTGTGGCTCACAGGCACCATATCCCTGTACCCTTTCGTGGGCGTAACCTATGGTAAGTTCGACTCAAAAGCACTGTCTTATGTTTCAAGATCAATCATAGAGGGTGGCAGTGACATTGGAACCTCTTTGCATGCTAATATATATACCGGGAAAGTTGAACTTCAAGAAAACATCACCAACATCCAGTGCAATCCATTCCAGTCACATCGAGTCCACTATCACCAAAAGATCTTTTAGATCAATCAACCTGATTTACTTATCACCATCGTGCCCGCTCTGACTGATCGCCATCGATATTAAAACGCCCTCGGCAGTCGCCCTCCTGCTCAACCCCACTCAAGTTCTACGCCCTTCCTCTTCGTCTTCTCACCGGTTCATCCTTCACAATGTCCTACTCACAAGTATGTCGCCTTATTTCCATCAAATTCAATACATAAAGTGAACGGTCCCTAACAGTGGCGGGATAGTATCCTGGTGGCGCTGACCAGTACACCACTGGCTACAGCGCGCCCATTCCTCAATACACAGAGTCACAAATCCACGCCTACTATCAACAATACCAATGCTATCCACAGCAGCCATATCATGTTATCCCGGATTACTTTCCTCAGCCGGTGTACACCACTTCTCAGTATCCGGTGACTACACAAGGAGGCTACTATCCACACGAAGACCCCATGGTCTCACTGCCAGAACCACACAAGTTAGCACCCCCTGAGGACGATGAAATGCTTCGACGAAGAAGATCAATGAAGGCTGACCGAAGGAGTAGGAGCCGGAGCGCCTCGCAACCTAGGTACGCAACTTGAACACGCATTCTCCTCTCTTCCGTCCAAAGAGCGAGCGGACGACTACGCGAGGGTACCATTGATCAAACAGTGACTAATGCAACTACTCTATAGGACATTTCCATGCACAGTGCCAAACTGCACAAGCACAGCAAACTTCACTCGGCTAGCCGATCTCCAGCGCCATCAGTCCACCGTCCACAACAAGAACACGACCCCAGAATATCCATGCGAGGTCAAAGGGTGCACTCGCATCGGTGACAAAGGATTCACGCGCCGCGACCATCTCGTCGAACACCTCCGCAACTTCCACCACATCGATATCCCCAAGCGGAAACCTGGAGAGCGCTCGGCCAACCCGCTTGGCCGGAGCCTGACTGGCTACTCATCGTAAGCGTCCCATTAATTTTGTGTCAGTTGTTCCGGGTATAAATTCAACACTGAACCCGTCAGACGCACGAAATCGGGACGAATACGGAAAAGGAAGACGGCGTGATATTGTTTTATGGAGTTAACTCTGGGCCGGGATTTAGAATTTCTCTCTCACACACACAAACCTGCATCAAAAGCGGTGGCGCAACAACAAGATTCTGTTTTATTACATTTCAAGAATTTTCTTTCATGTACTATCTAATTCGCCTGTTTGGATATGCCCAAATTTCCACCTGTCTGGATTACCCAAAGTTTCCCATCTGTCTCCTTGGACCCTTTCTTAGTGCCAGCATTCTCCACAGGCTGATTTTCCGGACGTGGACACGCATCATCATCCAATTCTCTATTTCCTCGTTTATCTCAAGTCAAGAAAAACAGCGATATTAGTCGAACACCTTTTCTCGTCTGTAGTTCCTCCCGTTCAGGATCTGCCTGCGGCAAGGCTGCTTTGCGGAGCATCGGGGCCAATGCGCGATCGAGGCACTGGGAACTTTCCCCTTAGCGCATGGGCGGTCATGGTTGGCATTGGCATGTCGCATGGCTGAAGTGCTTAGTGGGAGAACACACCCACACCCCCAACCAAGGACCGCAACGTTCCAACGGGACAGACGCAGTACATACTAACTATCTAGCCGATATTTGTTCAGCCCTGGGGAGATTTTCCTTTTCGTCTATCTGTCTATCTACCTGTCTATACTTTTCCTATCTGGTTTCTTTTTTGCTTTTTGTGCGGGGGGAAACACCACTGCATCGATCTCTCTTTTCGTTCAACTGGTCTCGCAAAGATGTACATTTTTGTTCCACAATCACCCCATCCGATATCCGAGCTTTGCTTCTAGTCTCCGGCGTTTTTCTTTTGCTTTCTTACACAATCATAGACATACCATACATTGTACAGTAACTACCTCGGACCACAAACCAGCATTGTTTCGACCGAGAGACCGGAGATACAGGAACTCCGGGCTTATACATTACATTACACCCTCGTCCTCAAATGTCATCGCATTCACTATTATACACCGATATTTCCTTTCCGCTTATCATTGGGTTTCCCTAGACAAAAAGCGTTTTTGATACCCTGTTCTCGTTCGTTTCAAGGGTTGGCTAGCGTTGGTGGAGATGATAGACGTATAGACGTATAGACGTATAAACCAACATCTACTAGTTAGAAACAATCACATTACATACGTACCTACATCACGCGCATTCCAACATAAACCACACAATATCGAGCAACGTGCATAGTCCATCGATTCGCCCTTACGCGTCGTCGAAGGTTCGCATGTACATTACATTGCATACACGTGCATACATACCTACCTACAACACGACTGACTAGTCAGGCTTCCCGCAGCCAAGAAACGGTAAGTACAGTCACCATACATACATCTCCACATACACTAGACACATACGTCCACCCTACGAGTGAGTACATACATAACAGTCTTCTAATACAAAACACCCTATAAGCAAGCGACTATAGTTCCCCCGGCCGAACCGCGCTTTTCGTGCGGTTCGGTTTAGGGATTTTCGTCGTTCTTTCGTTTTGGGAAATTTGGCCCCCCCGGGCTATATCGTGCGTGTTGAATGTTTCTCATAATGTGATATTGCATGGGTGATTTTGGGTTTAGGTTCTTGGGAGTTTGTTTGATGGAAAGGCATTTCTAAGGGCAGACTGGTAGGCGTATTGGAATTGATTGTAATGATAATACCTAGACGGTGGATAATTGTACGTGGTGTCAATTAAAAGGTTCCGATCAGCACTATTCGGTTATTTGAAGCGAGGCGGATTGTCTGGATGTCAATGCTTCAGATGAACCGTTTTTTGGTTACCAATATCTCGACTTGAGCATATGAACCGTGCGATCCGGCGAGGCTAACTAACTAAACCGTCATTTCGATATCTATTGCTCCTTTCAGTTCGTCAGATAATAATTCTGAAGGACGGGATCATCCATGGAAGCTGTTTGTTGGTGGAGACCGAAAGTATCGAACGGCATGTTTAGTGAACGATGGGCGTAATTATTTTTTTTGGGCTAAGATTACATCATGAGGGAGTGTGCCTCAGATCTCGATTGGGTTTCATCGTGATTGTGATGCAAAAGGAGGGGTCGTTCGTTTCGTCGCGGATGTGACTACAGTGCGGTGCGGTGCAGTGCGTGCTGTGCAGGGCGAGCAGGTGGTGCGCGGTGCGATTGCGATGAACGATTGGGACTAGTAAGATTCCGATCCGATCTTCATTTGTCGGCGGTCCTCCGGGTAAGCCGAGAGATGATACATTGACGACTGTAATTGGTAGTCTATTGGTGATTTCTTGTTGTTGTTGGATAATTGGTCGCTGTTGTTGCCGCATGGAGATGCATTGAGCGCGGCTATGACGGGCGGCGGAGATGGAGATGTAAGGGAGTACAGGTAGTTTGTCCGAATACCTGGTCGGATTACCCCTCGCTCTCCGAGCACCTGATCGGATTACACCTCGTTAGCTGGATCAGGGCATGGCTTGAACGTTATTCAATCCCACGGGGGGGCAGGGGCTTTGCTTGGAACGTTCGACTGTAGGCATGTGCAAGGTACGCGCGATACGGGATCACTCTCGTCCATGGTGTCTGCTTCTGTGGGGGCCATGATTTGCGGAGGGATTCGCACTCATGCTTAGTTCCTTTCGTCTAGCTTGGTCCTTGGGTCGACCATGCCCTGCGCCTACAAGGCACAGCGGGAGCCGGACGCATGACGGGTCTAGAGAATCTGAATTCTTGGGAATGTCCGTACAGGCGGGTCGCATACGGTCCCTCTTGGGAAATTGATCGTGAGATGGCATTGGGTTGGTGAAAGCTAACGATGATATTGTCTAGGAGGGTGGTGATTCGCTCAGACGATCCGAAAGTCCCACGCGACAAGGTATTCTATCCAAGCTCCTTTGTTGTATAGTATGCAAAGAGAATGGATGAACATACCGGTACATTCGTCTCGTGCGGTCAGACCAATGCATGGCATTCCTTGTCGAGCAACGTTGAAATGTGGGTGTAGGCGTAGGAGTGAGGCGAGTGCGTGGCTGGTCTGGCCTGGTGCGTGAGAGTCGGGAATATGATGAGACCGACCGAGTGAAGGAGCATGTAGGCGCAGGTAGGCGAGAATGCTTGATTCTCGCTGGGTTTGGCAGAGAAACCTGCTTGGTCAGCTATCCATGGCCTCGTGGTATCCATGGGTAAAGGAAATGGCCCCCGGGTATACGTATGTCGAGTACGTTTATTGAGCCACCAACAACATTCCATAGTAGTGGATGGCTGTGGTTGTTGCATCGTTGGCGGTTATGTTCCGAGATGTAGAGAATACAAACACGGACTAGCAACTAGCATGGCGGCTGTAGAGGAAACCGGTTATGCCATTGGCCGATTATGCGAGGACCGATATGCATGGAGAACTGATACATGGTCACAGGTAGATCATGTAGAAGTCTAGATAGCGTCTGATTTTCCAAGACGGGGCAACGAAGCGACCAGCCAACATGCTCTGGTTTATGTCGCCAGCTTATGGCAAAAGTATAGGGCGCCCTATGAGGAGTAAGGGCCAACATTGTAACCAACGTCCTTTCAATCTACTAGGCGCTGTGGACCCGGGTTGACCTAGTCAGCGCAGAGAGCCAACTATGGGAAAGATGATGGTTCGTAGAAGACCGTGGAACGTAGACCGAAAACCGTAGACAGACAACTAGACTATGCTTGTTGGCTGGGTCAGAGACATATGATGAAGACGCGGCATCTGTCGCATGCATAGTGACCGTTGGGTGGGTGGATGCCTTGGATGTTTCATGTCACAGGGTGGCGCGGCGGAGACGTTATCGATATCGCGCGAGATTTCAGAGTGGAACATGTGAAAAGCGTTAGGGAGGATCTAGGCAGACTTGTGATGGACACCCATGGGCACACATCATCTGGAAGAAGGTTGAATATCATGTTGTCGACTAGTCGGAAGGCTGTGATGGTGAGCGTGGTGAGCAGCATTGTTGGCTGAGGATCTGAGGTGCCAGTTGGCGGCATGTGTGCCAACGAAGCATGGCCAGCGAGATTGCCAGCGTGGTACTCTATAACGGTCGGCATGGAATGTTTGTCATTTACCTCGGACATGAGCTTTTTTCCTTTTTCACGCAGGATATGATGGACTAGAAAATGGAAATAGATTAATTCGTTGATATAAGTAGGTAGGGGGTAGATAGCTAGTAGATGGTAGATGATAGATGATAGATGGTATGATAGGTACTCGTCGATAGATGATAGGTGGATATGCAATCCCTTTAGTCCTAGAAGGGTTAAGCAGGTACAAAGGAGGATTAGCTCCATTTGACCTGGCTCGAATGATGACGATTTAATCCATTCACAGTTTCCCTCCCCGGATTTTCCCTTCCAAGTTTCGTGGTTACCTACCGACTACCTAGGTACGAGGTACGTACCTGTTGTAAGGCCCTATTGTCCTATGGTATTGTTCCTATTCATCCATCCGTCCACCCATTCAACATTATTCACCCAAATTGTTCGCCTTCTCTCTCTGCCTCTACACACACGCCTCACCTCACCTCACCTTAATCCTCCACACCCCACCAATCTTCTTCACTCAACACCAACCCTTTGAACTCCCTCAACAACATCCCTTGGTTACCTGTTACCTTTTTTCGCCTCCAGCTTTGACTCATGTCTTCTCGTCAACAGTTACAAATACCTTCTACTGCCTATCGCGACTCCATCCCCTGGCAATAACTTGCTGTCGACACAACTACCTTTTCAATACCTCCATTTCCCTCACCCCGCACTGCGACCTGCCTACCTGAATTTCGCCGCCAACACATCATCCGCCTACCTGCAACCTTGTCAAAAGGCTCGACCTCTCTATATCCCTTACAGCCTGCCGTTCTGGCCACCATATCCATATCTTCCGCCTGCCCAACATGCATGACCTCCGCCGTCAAGCCCTTCTCGAAAGCGGCAAAACCGTGTCGCGCAAAGCACGCTCACGACAGGCATCGGCCGTCTCGTCTAAAGCAAACTCAAAAGTTAATTCCCCCGCCCAATCGAGAGCCACCTCGCGCAACCCGAGCGGGCAGGTGTCGGATGATGAAGATTATTTGAGCGATGGCACTGCCTGGAGGTGAGTTCTTCTCTCGCACCTTTTCCCTCCTTTCTATATTGTTATTTTTTTTTTGTTGCTGCGGATTTCGCAAAGGAGCGTATGACATCATGATTCGGCGCTTTTCCTATGACTCCGACACCACGCTAACCACGGATGTCTCGAGCAGCACAAATTCCATAGACGAAATCCTCAATGGTGAAGATGTCGATCTGCCGGTCGATGCCTGGAAGACAGAACTCAGTAATCGTATTGAACACATCATCGATCGTAAACGTACCAGCACCGATGGCCGCGCCGAAAGCCTCAACATTTTCGCGCACATCCTCATGGCCAAATATGCCAAGGATGATATCGAATCTCACGAGAGTGAACTCTTGCCAGCTATCATGAGGAGCATCAAGACCGACACGACCGAACGCGAGACTGTTGCGGCTATCAAGGGTATGTCTCGATATCAACCTATGGACTGACTGAAGCTAATTCGCCCAGCATTGACCGCCTTCATCGTTACCATCGAGTCTGGCGATGTGTATGACGACGTGACAGACCTTCTCAAGCGAATGATCAATAACGCTGATTCTGTGAAAACGAAGGTTAGCGCCATTCATGGTCTTGGGATTGCTGCCTTTTTTGGCGGAGCATCCGAAGAAGAGATGGAGAACATCATGAGTTACTACCTGGAGATAGTAGAGTCTGACGGTCTCTCGGTCGAGGCGCATGACGAAGGACCTGTGGTGACTGCCGCTCTTGAGGCATGGGGCCTGTTGGCTACTGAGATTGACGACCTGGAAGAAACGACCGAAGCCGCTATCGAGGCCTTCGTGGACCAACTAGACAGCTCAGACGCTGGAGTCCAGATTGCAGCGGGCGAGAATATAGCTTTGATGTACGAGAAGTCGCACACCCCGCAGGAGGACGACGAGGAAGTGTCGGATGGAGGCATTGACTCCGATTCTGACGAAGCACCTCTCCACGGCCCCCGAATGATCAAGCGATATACCGTATACCGACGGCAAGATCAGCTCCTCCACAAGTTGGACGATCTTGCAACAGTGTCGACTCGCAGCATCTCCAAGAAGGACCGCAAGACGCTACACTCTTCCTTCGCTGACATTCGAAATTCGGTCGAGCGCCCGACGCGCGGACCAAAGTACTCAACCGCATTAGACCAGGAGACTGGACGTGTCTATGGTGGCGGTAGGATGAAGGTCAAGATCAACCGATCCGTCGAAGTCAGAATAGACAAATGGTGGAAGCTGTTGAGGCTCAACGCCCTACGAAGGGCGCTACAGGGAGGGTTCCCAACTCATTACGACGAGAACGAGGCGGTCTCAAGATGCCTCCCATTCTCAATGTCTTCAAGACGATAGACAAGAATGCATCACAACACATCACCTGTCGTTTCATCTATTTCATGAATCAGAGATAAATCGATGCATTGGGGGATTATTTGTAGCCTGAGTCTCCTGTAGGAAACCCAAAAATATTGGCGATTATCATGGCGTTGTTATTCTTGCTCATCTTTGTCATCTCATCTGCTCGCGGACTTCTTTCATACTCAAGCATATTTTACATACCCCTCTCACATTCTAATACATTCCTTGATTGGCTAGACTCATCTATTTATTCGATCCACTGTCTCGTATGTGTTCGTGATAAGAGTTACTCGAGTTCACATCTAATTCTAAACCTGATGCAGTGCTTCTCTACCTTCACGGTCGCTAGTAATCCTGATAATTTGGGCTCCTCAACCAATGGATTGCTCGACCAATTAGAGACAATGATGCGAACATGAATTTATTGTTGAATTAGACATTTGTAGAGACTATACAAGTATAGGAACACTATATTGGTAGTAAAAGTAAATGGACATTTTTCGTCTAGATTAATTGTCTCGATTATTAAAAGAAATCCTAAAGAAATCTTAAATTGATCTTTAATTCACTCTTAACCTGATTGAACATACCATTGTGAAGTAGGATGTTACAGCCGAATTTCGATCTTTTGACTAAGTGGAATCAACGTGAAGCATGATTCCATTGCTTTGCCCACCTTGAAAGCCTAGTGTTCTGTGAATGAAGTAGGGATACACTCTAGCGTCAATGGTGGGTTTTGTTCCTGCGGTGGGGTCTTGGCAGGTGACTGCGGGGGGAGCTCTAGAAAGTTCTGGTACCTCTGCACACAACGACAACTTAACTTCGCCTCAGCCTCAATTCATTGTCGCCTTTCCCTCCTTTTCTTCCTCATAGCCGGCATTTAGAACATCTTTCTGTGCACAGGAATAAGTCATTCCAAGAGATTTACCACTAGATTAAGCCTCGTAGCAAGCAACAAATATGGCTGATCACAGTAAGATCTGCACGTCGCACTGGGCTTTGTTTCCTTGAGCAAGCAAGCCCGCGAGGAATCATGAGACTGATATTTGGCAGAGCGTTCCCGAGTCTTCTTCGACATCACCATTGGTGGCACCAAGGCCGGAAGGGTTGCCTTCGAACTCGTAAGTCCCCTTGGAATTCACTCGTGAAGGCTGAGAGCTAACATGGCGATACACAGTACGATGACAGTACGCACACCTTCCCGCAACCCCCGCCGTAATTCAGAATCGCTAACCTCCTCGAAGTCGTCCCCAAGACCGCCGACAACTTCCGTTCGCTCTGCACGGGCGAGAAGGGCATCGGCAAGGCCGGCAAGCCCCTCCACTACAAGGGCTCAGGCTTCCACCGAATAATCAAGCAATTCATGATCCAGGGAGGAGACTTCACGCAGGGCAACGGCACCGGTGGCGAGTCGATCTACGGCGAGAAGTTCGACGACGAGAACTTCGAGAAGATCCACGACAGGCCTTTCCTGCTCAGCATGGCCAACGCGGGTCCCGGGACCAATGGCAGTCAGTTCTTCGTTACTACCGTCCCGACGCCGCATCTGGACAAGAAGCACGTCGTCTTCGGCGAGGTCATCAATGGCAAGAGCATCGTTAGACAGATTGAGAACTTGAAGACACAAAGCGGAGACAAGCCATATCAAGACGTCATCATCGCCGGTACGTACATATCCAATGCGCCTGTACATTAATCCAACTACTAATTCCTACAAGACTGCGGCGAACTCAAGGGCGAGGAGTACGATAAGGCCACCGAGAAGGCCGTCGACCCCACGGGCGACCCATACGAAGACTTCCCCGAGGACCAGAAGTCCGGCGACGTCGAGTGGAAGGGCGACGAGATCGTCGAGATCGCCACCAAGCTCAAGGACCTCGGAAACACGGCCTTCAAGAAGGGCGACCTCCACCTCGGCATCACGAAGTACCAGAAGGCGATCCGCTACCTGCACGAGTACCCCGTGCCGCTCGACTCGGACCCCGCCGAGCTCGGCCAGAAACTCAACGCCCTCAAGATCTCCCTGCACTCCAATAGCGCACTGCTGCAGAACAAGGTCGGCCAGTTCAACGACGCCGCCGAGAGCGCGACCAAGGCTCTCGAGGTCGAGGGCATCAAGGATCAGGACAAGGCTAAGGCGCTCTTCCGAAGGGCCCAGGCGAAGATCGGCAAGAAGAGCGACGAGGACGCCCAGGTGGACCTCGAGGCCGCGCAGAAGCTCGCGCCCGGCGACTCGGCGATCATCAAGGAGCTCGAGGCCGCGAAGAAGAGGGTCAAGGACAGGAAGGAGCGCGAGAAGAAGGCCTACAAGAACGCTTTCAACTTCGACTAGAGAGCGGGAGTCGCATGGAATCTCCCCCGGAAAGCGAAGGGAAAAGGAGGGAAACAGCCGGCCGTGTGATAGCAGGAGTATATGCCTAGCCCGCGGCAGACAGAAGTGGAGTACTAGTTCGCTAGCCTTGATATTGCACGAATCTGCGAGCAAAATCCTTCGTCGGAAGGACGAAAAGCACGATGATGATACCTTACGAGTATGACATTATATAGAACCGAAGAAATAAAACATAAATATCAAAAACATGAAAAATTTGCACTTCGATGTATCGTGACTTTTTCGATTCCAAGGTAGAAGAAATCAGGGAGTTGGAGAGTGTTAAAAGAGGTTTAAAACCCATAGCCTTTGCATTTCCATCACACGCAGAACTTGATTTTTTCATATTGGTTCATTGCAAATTTAACTTTGAGCTGAAGTTAATCCTCTACCCCGTCATGCATGTCTATGGAAAAGAACCAACTCTCCCACCCCCCTCTCTCTCACACTCCCATCTCCCATATCACAGAAAACAGAAAACACGATGATAATGGTGATATGATAAATATAAATTTCGGCTCAAAAAGTTGTTTCGAGTAAAGTAGCGCAACGGTTACGACGAGAATCCACCCACCCATCCCACCCATCCCTCCTATCCAAAAGGAAAAAAGACCCCGACAAACCAAGCCCCCAGACCTGACCTGACCCAACGTGAATCATTCATTGCAAAAGCATGCCCCCACCCCCTCTGCCGTCCGTGGACGTGATAAGGATGGCACAGCAACAACAGCAACGCAACAACGAAGCTTCCCTCCTCCACGGTATTCCAGCCCAGTCCTGCCCCCCTCCCAACCTGCATGAAACCAAAATCGTGAAAAGTCGTCGGTCGCGTACGGTACTTCAAACCAACCCCCTAAACCAAAAAGCGAGAAGAAGAAAAAACAGAGATATTGGGGGAGTTTTGTGATGGGGAAGAAGAAGCGAGGGGAAAGGGCATATATGTCCAAGCAAGAGGCGAGGCATAAATGTCCTTCCTTCCTCGTGTGTATATGTGTATGTGTATGTGTGTGGTAGGTGTGATGACGGTGATGAGGCTAGGTGGTGTGTGTTTTTAAGATAAGTGGAAGAAGATGACGAGGGTATGGAACAAGTTTTCGTGTGTCGCTGCCAGAAAAAAATGCTGTTGACGGAACGCTGGACGTTGGAGACGTGACACTCGGTGGACGTGACGGGTTTTGTGGTGAAGTGCTTTTCGTGTGTGGTTCGATGTCTTTGGGATTTCTAATTTTGAATGGCTCTCTTGCGTGGGTGCGGGTGGATTGTGACAGGGCAAAGTCTAAAAACTTCATGGTTGATCCGCGAGGCGGACATGTCGAACAGGTTGAACGGGTTACAACCTCATCTTCTCCAATTCTCCAGCACTCTTCCTCCTTCGAATCTCCCGCTGTACGAGGGCGCTCATGCTGGAAACGCGCTCGCGATCTCTTCCTTCCTCTCGTCCCTCTTTGCTAAGGTATCGTCCGGTGAACCAACCATCTAGTCACCAATCCGCACCATTGTTGTCATGTGGACCGCGAGATCCGTAGCCTCCTCCGCCTCTGTAGCCGGAATCTTTGTTGAAGTCGCCTAACGCGCTTCCCGATCGCTCGTTTCTATCGACGCTTCGCTCTCGGTCTTTGCCCTTGGATTCTTTGGACTCTTTGTGTTCCTTGTCTTTTCGGCGGGATCGGAACGGAAGGATCTTTTGGAGGCCGCGGTCCTTGTGCTCTTTTTCTTTCTCCTTTTCCGGTCGGTCGAATTGAGGCAATGCGGTGGTGTATTCGTCGAGTGAACCCGCGTCGCTTTCTTCGATGCTGTAGCCGCCGGCCGAGCGTGGTGGATGCGGAGATCCGCCCACGTGTGATAAGTTGAGAGGCATATTGGGATGAGTCGAGAACGACGATGCAGAGAGCGCCGCTGGAGGGTGCGCGAATGGCGGATGGGGAGGGAAGTGTAAACCATCAGATGAGCCCGGCGGTGTCTCATCATCCTCGGCAGCCGATGCACTGGCAGACGCGGAAGCGCTGGCAGATTCGCCGGGACTTGGGGTGTATCCTGCTCGAGATCCGAGTGCCTCCTTGCGCGAGAATGGATTGCTCAGCTGAATTGGCATCGGCGAGGCAGACGTGATGGAGCTTGCCGACGCTGAAATTGAAGATGCGTGTGCATGTCTTGTCTTGCCGCCACGGCCTGATTTCATCATCACCGGCGTGCTTCCACCCTCAGAGCTTTCGTCGCCGGTAGCGACTGCAGTACCGGGGCTCGCTGGTGCCGAACCCGGTACATCGGGGAGGCCTGAAGCAGTTGCTACTTTGTTCCGAGTCGCCGCACCACGAGATGGCTCGAATGAGGCAGACCCTTGAAGCTGCTCCACTAGCTCTTCCCATTTGACGGACAGTGTGGATGATGGACGTTCCGCTCGCTCCGCACGGTTAAGGCAGTCATTTGTTCGCTCATTCAAAGCGACACAAATGTTGTGGAAACGGAGCAGATCGCCATCTGTTGTCTGGATGTTCGGTGCTGAGCTCTGCGTGTTCTCTAACCATAGATCGACCAATGCTGCGAAATTCCTTGCATGGTCGACTAGATAAGGAAGACTTGGGAAACCCTCTCGGCTTGTAGGCGGCAGTCGCTGAAGAATAGCAAGTGGTGTCGAGTAGGAAGGAGGGATTGGAGGAACAGCAGCCGTGCTGCTGGGAATACTGCAAACACTGTCTAAGTAAGATTTAAACTCTTCGCGGTGTGAAGAAAGGAAGGCGTTCATAGGCTCCATCCAAGCCTCTTTTGTCCCAAAGGAGGTCATATTAGCAAGACCTTGGAGCGACTTTGCGATTAGAGTCAATGTTCGGCGAGCGCGAGGCTTGGGGTGATCTACAAATGTTAGAGTTATACATTAGGGAGTCGATCTGACCACATACCTTTGAGCAATCCGAATAGCTTTGGATTGAGGACTGCGGGAACGAAGAAACGAAGGAACAGGAATCCAGATACAGAACTATACTTGACTGTCCTGAGGAAATCGCCGTAGCGATCTTCGGCGCAACCGCGAATGTGTCTGAATATCAGACGCAGTTCTTGAGGACACCGTGGCGCTGAGTTATAGATTGCTCGCCAGAGGTCCTCGGTGAGGTTGATCAGCCTTCTCCAGTTTCTTTCCAACTCCTGCTTGCTGTTAATACGGTTCGGATCTACCTCGCATTCGTAATCTCTGTCGTTGATTTCTCGGAGCTTTTCGCTCAGTGTGTCTTCGAGATACTCCTTGCCAAGCCTCTTCATGTGAAAGTCTAATGACTTGGTAAGCAGAGTATTACCGCGGAATAGCAGATTGGCCTCCAGCTTTGCGTTGTTGCCCATGTCGCGAACGAAAAGCTCGCGGTCCATGTTGGAACCGAATTGAGATGCTGGTGTCGATTCACTAGACTCCGTGCTGCCCAATCGTTTGGAGAAACGTAACCTGCTCGCGGGAGTTTCTTTCAGCGTTCCATCAATCTCTTCCTCAACTAAGCTGCATATCCATTCGCTGGCTTGACCGGATACCTGGAAGATGTTGAGAAGATACTCGCTCAGTTTCTTAAGTTCGTTGGGCACCATCTGAGCGATTTGCAAAGTAAGTCCATTCTCAAATCGGTGCAGAAGCTCAGACATGGGCTGATAGTCTCGGGCCATGAGGATGACGCATTCTTCTGCGGAGACCTTTACAAGGACCTCACCAACAGAGTTGCCGTACATGTTGACGAGCGGCCACCACTTCTCGATCTCTTGATTGGGACCTAGGTCATCGAGATAGATATCGGACTTGCCACAGGTCTGGTCGAAGGAGATACCGGCATATCCACCTGCGTTCTCTGTCATGAACGAATCAGAGTCTAATCGTGATTCGTAAGAGTCCTTTCCGGAGCGGATCTGGCTAGGAGGACGCTTCTTTAGCAGCAGGGATGCGGTTGAGAGTACAGCTGGAAGATCTAAAAATTCAAACTCTTCTCTCCAGAACGGGCTCTGGACTTCGGATTTCACCATTGTGCGGGCTCTGGTCTCGCCATCTAAAAGAACCTCGACGTAATAGCCTCCTGCAGAAAGCGAGGAAGATGAAGGTCTTACTGCAGGCACATTGTTTTCGACCTTTGGGCTGACGGGGGGTATCAACCTGGCTTCCGTGACTCGAACAAATAGGGATCGTTCCATACGAAACATGTCTTGAACGCCAAATGAGGGCGATAAGGCGCCCTCCTCATTCAGGGTTGGCTGTTTGGGTCCGTATAGTTGAGGAATGGTGAATGCCCGCAATAGAACGATCCATACCTCGTAGAGAACTCGCGATTCCAGCGAAAGGAAGATAGGGCGGAGTAGTGATAAAGACGTGGAGGTTGAAGTGTATTGGGGGTAAATAGCAATGCAGAACTCGTTGTCTAGAACCGAAGGATCCAGTCGCTGAACCGCACAACGGGAGAGCTGAGAGAGCTGTACAACGGATACCAGTGTGACATCAGTATCAGAATAGAGCTTCAGTTCTCCGTTCTCTCGCAGGGTGCAGGAAACCCGCCTCCATCTTCGGGATCCATGGCTCTGTATCCGGTAGGCCTGGGGTCGGTTTGTATTAGATTTCGGGGTGCCGGTGTTGCTATAAGTGACGCTAGTGTCCCAGTAAATCATCTTTCCAACTTTAATGATGGGTGCTTCCTTTAGTAATGACACCTCGGAATGACGCCTGCTGTCCGCAAGTCTTCGCTCGGGAACAATCGCTGCCTGTGGCTTGGCCATTTTATTTTGAATGCCTTTTGGACGGATCGGTTGCCAACACAAGAGAGCAGCGAACCACGACTCGAATTCGTCCTGCGTTGGTGGCCGTAATGAGACCTCGAGGTTGGAGTTGTGGCCAAGAACATGTATGTATGCAGTGTAGGATTCTGCATCGTATGCGCTCTTCACACGGCACCCTCTCAGGTCTGGTATCAATGTCCTGTGGTATGAATTGTCGCTTTTCGGCTCGTACACCAGACTTCCTGCTTCTTCATTTATGTAGCAATACGACAGCGACCACGGGTTTGTCTCCCCACGCCTAAAGGCCAACATGCCTTGCATCTTGCCACACGTGGCCCTCATTAGTTTAAGCACCTTCCTAGCTTCGGAGGCAGGAACCGGCGATACCCACGAGTCTGGCTGAGCATTTGGGCTGTTGGGATTTGGGGGACCCGGCGAAGTGGAGCGGGGAGGTTGCTTTGTTATGCGCGCACGACTAGAGCTGGATGTTCGAGGCGGCGGCTGCGAGGAGGGAGGGGAAGAGATCGATGGATGCCCTATCGAAGTGACGACTGCTTCTTCTAGCCCCTGGAAATTAGCAGACGCAGTTGAATGCACCGACCCTATACGATGGCGACTGGTCACGAAAAGGTTTGAAGGGGAGCGGTCCCTCGTCGATCGCTCCTCCAGAGTCCTTGTCCTCGGGCGTGTTTGATTCTCTCTTGTACCTCTCAGCGAGTATTCGCTGTCGTTCGAATTGGCTCGCGCTACAAAGCTACGCGGATTCCCAGAGCGAGGTTGCGTATTGTGGGAGCGAGGCGAGATAGGCGGTGAATTGGCGTACTGGCTGGCTATTGTGGTGGTATCTTCTGGGATCGACTCGGGAGTTACGGCGCGAATGGTCGACGAAGAATATTCCCTCCGCTTCTCGGGGCGCACATTGGTCGTCGTGGCTTCGGACGCACCGGTCTCCCTCCTATTTCGTCTTTGTCGTGATTGCTCCATGGTGTTTGCGAGGTCGGGTTACCCCGGACGGCCAGGCGAAGGGTAGTTAATTTCGACCCGAGATGCTCGTTGAGGATGTGCGCCGTATGACAGGGTTGGATGCAACAGTCGGCGCAGAGCCGACTCGCAGTGTTCCAGACGTTGAATGCTGTCTGGTTGGCAGCATATGTACTTCCTGGCACACTCTTGCTATCCCAGCTTGTTCCTGCGTGACACTCTCATTGACACAGGGCAGCTGACCGACGTCGCAACGGCAGGTACCCGACCAACGGTCACCGGAAGTGTATGTAGAGAATACTTTGAAGGTCGCAGCGAAAGTTCGATGGGAATATGGGAGGGTTCGTGTGATTCGTGTAGTGCATCGCCTCTCTTTGCAGACGCCGCAGGAAGAGCCGGCGGGTGTAGCGGGCGGCGGGAAGAAGCGCTGTCAATAGAGCAAGACGCCAACACAGCTCATATCAGACTTGCAACGGAAGCGAGGAGGGGCGGCGTGGCGGAAGAGGGTAGAGAGGTGTATGAAGTCTGGTTCGAGACGGGCCGTGAGGTGCAAGGTGTGAAGCGTGAGATGGGCGAATATGGGTAATACTAATGGGTGGGAGGGCCTCGACGCCAAGGCCACTCTCGCAAACCCGCGATTCATGTTTTCTCCATATCGTTAACTATACGGGGAGATTAATAAACCTAACTTGGGAACTCTGTGTTCTCAGTGCTCTCAATGCTCTCTCAATGCCTTTAACTCCGAGCTCAATGCACCCTATCAAGATCATCACTGTCCATCTCTGAATTCGACGATGATGGCGTTGCGTGCTAACGGCCCGTTATCAAGAAAAATAATCCCCAAGCTTCGTGGAATCAATAACATTCGCCGCCAATTGATCCTCCCTGATAGTTGCATCCTCTCGATTGGAGCTAATTGTATTTTGTAACCTGCCATCGCAGGGTCTTGAATCGCCACAGGCCATCCTCTTTTCGACCTCTAGTCCCCGGGATTTGCAGAACACGGGTGGAAATTGCAGGGTAGACACCTTAGGGCTGCGCTTCGTGCACGAAATCGGGAAAGAAAGAACGAGTATTGTTCTTCATAGAATAGTATGGACGTCATTCAAGGCTTAAGAATTGCGTGGCTGTGACTGCTTGACATGCGGAATGCATCCCATATCTCCATCCTAACGCGCCGCGCTCTACTAAATAAGAGTCATGTAACGAGATAAAAAGAGCCTGTAAAAACTTGGTGGATATCGCTGCCCGCATCTGTTCCTCCTCGCGCCCAATAGTCAAATGAAAGAAAACAGAATCCTAATCCTTCACCAGGGTCGACGAAATTAAATACACAAAAATCTGGTGAAACAGAACACAATTAGGAGATTCGTCCCCCGAAACCCTCGAATCATCGTGATGATGGCGGTTTGCGGCATACAGATGATCAGTGTGTCGCAGAAACTGACCTGTAATCTGCCTCTTTGCTAGCAACATTACGCCATGAGGGTCTCTCAAAGTGTGCTTCACGGTTTGAAAGGGGGCTGGTCGGACAGATTATCTTCCAGACTCAATGCACTCAAAGGTTGAGAGCGCGGCGCGCTGGGCTCGAATTCTCCGTTTCCAGTCTTGCGAAGTGCCTGTCGCATCGTTTCGACATGCAGGTCACTCAGAGGAGGACTCTGCGTGCCTGGAGCCGGAGGGCTCCCGGGTGCGCGAAGGATCTTAGGGGATCCCAGATCTGTACCTTTCTCGGACGCCGCCCCGCTTGTTGGGGGTGAAGTACCGAAACCATGGGATGAAGTTGGAGAGCGTACCGGCGATGGGGAACGATTTGCCGTCTCCGAGAGGCTCATGAACTGCATTGCTTCTCGATCATTTTCCACATGCTCTGCCTGAACAACGTCTGCGAAGGAGATGAAACTCAATCGTCGCACATCGGTTGTATCCAGAGATGCATAGTTCGAAGCACCATCAGCGATTTCCGACTGACCAGAAGACGACATAGGTAGATCGTCCTGTGACGGTGAGTATACCGACTCCGGACGACCAGTTACTGCAGCCGCCGCAGGTTGGTGCGCCGAATGCATAACAATCTCCACTTCATCAGGGTTCAGATGATCGTCCGTTATAGCCAGAGAAGACGCCTCCAAGACAGGAGGGATATGGTCCTCCGTAGTTATGTGTGTGGGTAAGTGGGAGGAGAGTTCGCTGCGAGACAAATCGCTCACGCTTTCCTGAACATTGCGCTCGAATATCTGCGACGACGCGGGCGAATGGAGCAGACCTGGTGAAGAGGAACGGTTTACACGGCGGCTGGGTGAAGCACCAACTCCAGAGGGATAGATGCGTGGGCTCCCGCGAGGAGAGGGTCTGCCATCAAATGGAGGACTGAGAGGAGGTGATGGGGCGAGCGTTGTAGGCGCGGGGGCAGATGTAGGAGACATTGCAACTTTGACACCTTCTTTCTTCTTGCTGAGCTCGAGCAGTCTGCGCTTCTCCTGAGAGATAGGATCCGACTGATCCCAAACAACTTGTTCCGTGGTGTTCTTGGATTCGTGTAGGTCGGGGATGGAAGACGAAGTGGAGTCTTGCGTCGGGGCAGCACTCATATTGAAGATGGGGTCGAACAACGAGGGTTCCAGCGGGTTTGATGTGCTACTGCTCTGGCCAGGCAAATGCCACGCAGGCAGTAGCTAGTCGTTGTGAATGGTTGCGCGAAAGGTGGTCTCTCGGAGGGTTAGTGGTGGGATTCTGGCCAGAGGGGCAGAATAGAAGTACAAATAACGAGGGGTCGGATCTGGGAAATCTCGCTTCAAGAAAAGCAACAAACGGCACAGCACACGACAGATTTGTAACGACAAGACTAGAGGGGATAATGCCAAAGCGAGTTAAAAAGTATCTCACATTGGCGTCAACAGCGTATTGCAGAGAGATATGCAGTAGTTCGACGAGTCGTTCGTGTATGAACTTAGTCTTGTTTCGAAAAAGGTACAGGTAACTACGTAGTAGGTAGATGGATGGTATCTCGTATCTAGGTACCTGACAGATGAGCAACCATCACGTGCGTATGCGTATGTGGTCTTGAGAATTGCCCTGCTTCTGTGCCTTGGAAAGCGTCTTCTTGACGAAGAAGGAGAGAAAACTGCAGAAGAGAAAAGACGAAGCGGAGGAGAGAGCAAGAGAGATAGAGAGGATGACGTAGGCTGGCGCAGAACATCGTCTCGAATGGATTTAGCCCCCAGCCCAGGCCGGTAATTGCTCCATCCAGAGCCCAAACATCTCGCCATTTCACCAAATTGGGGGTGGTCAGGAGGACTGCTGAATTCGTTTTCATGCCAGGCACAAGTAATAATACTTGTATTCTCCGTGCACATCACACATCGCACACCTCGCAACGTCGCTCCTCATTCTTCTTCTCGGCCCTTGCTCGGACCAACATGTGGAGAACATGTTCGTCATCGTCGTCGTCGTGCTGCCCAGTGGTCGTAGGGACGGAGTACTCGTAAGGCAAGTAGACAGATAAGTAGGCAAGTAGACAGGTAGGTAGCTGCAATGCTATCACTGCGTCTGCTTCGTTTGCTTATTGTAACCAGGCACCTATTATGAACTGTTCACCATCTTCGTTTATTACCTTTATTTGGTTATGCTCGCAACAACATCCCTCACTCTTATCGTGGTGTCTCATACTAGACCTTGTGACTACATGTTTGCCTGGTCTCGGGTTTCGTACTCCTTTTGAACCACACCAGATGCACGTGCTGTTGACCAATGAGCAATAGTAGATGCAACTGATATCAATTCCGGCTGATTGCCAGATGCATCCTGTATTCTCAGCTATCTATAGCGCATGGGTTCGCGATAGATGTTTCGTTTCATGCCCTTCCAAATCTGCCTCAACACCACTGGTCGGTTAATCAATGCGTGCGTGCGCCTAAGAGCGTACGGGCTAACTCTGTTTCGCCGACTCATCCAGACCAAGAATCTGTCGAATCCCAAAGATTGGGCCAAGTGTTCATGGCGGACGAGATTCGATGGTAAACGACAGTAAGCCCAGCTGTTGGAGGCGTTGCTTCTGAACACTCGAGGCTCTACCCTGGGGCCTGCTGCAACCCTCAGTAGTGGGATTGTCAGCGGCCTCTATATGCTAAACACACGGTCCAGTATGTCGGTGCACATTTCTAGGCTGCTGACATGAATCCTAAAAGAACCTATCGTAGATGCTCTAGGTTTTCTTTTATCCGGGATAGCGGGCCTTTGTTACGGTCTGTTGTCTTGAAGCATCAACATGGTCCCATCTTCCCTGCGAACGACGCCTGCGGGCCGAAGCGCTGGGGCAAGTCCCCGCGCTCGGTAGCTATAATAGTCGAGCCCAGCTGTTGCTTAAATATTGCAAGCTCTACGGACTACATAATAGTATATATTGTGTAATAGTGGAATTCGACTTCTGTGTACTTCGAAGATATAGAGTGGCACTTCGATATAGGACCTCCGATATAGATATGTGTTTTAGAAGCGCAGACTGCTCCCGACACCGAGTGAACGAGTACAGAGTAGAGCAGGCTCACACAATCCCATGATCCATTGACGCATAATATTAAGAGCATAGGCATAGTAGACAGAGTTTGTGGACGACTGTTGTCAACAGGCAACTGCGCCATCCTACTGGTCACTCATCAACATTGGAACGATGCACTGCTCCCATCACTGACCAACACGAGCATCTTGGGGGACATGGCCCTCCCTGAAGAAACCCTGCCATCGACTCGTGTTGTCGGTACCCAGAACCACAGGCGGGGATCTTACACCTTGGCTGGCTGTGATCACCTCGTTCGCCATTCATGTTCTGGATTCGATACACAGTACTTCTAAAATACCTTGTTCCCACGCGATGATGTTGGGGTTTGGAAGGCAAAGTGGAATTGACTGCATCCAATTTTAATGCTTGGATGTATGACATCCTTCAAGAGCAGAATGCGTCTACCTAACATTTGGGAACCGACAATCTTCATGGTCGTTCAGGAGGTCAATGCATGGTCGAGCCTCTCCTTGATCTTACTCTTGGCCGTGACGAGTGGCTGGTTCTCGCAGCCATGCATACGCGGAAACGGGGGTGATTCAACCGCATCCTTCCAGCCCAGGACAGTCACTTCGGTGTCGATCCAGCTTTATATTCCTGGTAGACTCCCCCAGACCCAAAGCGTCCTGGGACGCGTTGTGTCGGACTTGGTCACTACAGTCGTTGACAGCACCGCTGGTCTTTGTCACATCTTTGGGACGTTTCATGAGCAAACATCATGTTTGCTCCTAATGACTTGGGCCCGACCGTGATTATAACGGCGTATACACTCACGAGTGTATCAACCCTGATTGTTGGCCTCAGGTAAGTGATGGTGACAGATGCAGATATCATTTCAGGCTAGAAACACTCACCAATATCAGATTTTATTGTCGAATATGGGTGGTAGGGAAGTTCAAGTCTTATGACTATATCATGCTGCTAGCTCTGGTGAGTTTCACTTTACTATATGTCTGCTTGATAACCATACTTACACTCCTCAGATTTGTACGTGGGCTACATGTGTGAACAATCATTTACAAATGCACTATGGAACTGGGCAACAATCTCCCCCTCCTCCCCCACCGGGAGTCGCGATTAAACCTGCAAGTCGACATTCTTCAATTCATAATTGACCTATGCTGACCTATCTTGCAGTTTCCACCTGAGGTACTCAAAGTGATCCGAGAGATGCAACTCGGCTCAGCTCGAACATGGTATGCTTATCAGGTAAGACAGCAGCCCTATAGCTTCACCAACAAGACACTCATACGTATCGTTTAAGATCTTGTACCTCGCCGATCTTGGCATCATAAAGTTCTCAGTACTTTTCTTCTACCTCAGCATTGCAACACAGCGAACGTTCCGGGTCCTGTCTTACGCCTCATTGATTGTGACTGCTCTTGCCACATTTGCATTGATAGCTGTAAACGCGTTTGAGTGTCCGCAAGACCTGTCTCTCGCTCTAAGGCCCGATATCTTCCTCAAGCGAAAAGAATGGGGATGCTTCGACCTCGCCCCGATATACTACGCCGCCGCAGCCTTCAATATCTTCTCTGATGCCTTCATACTGGTTCTGCCATTGCCGCTACTGCTCAAGCTCCGCATGCACACTTTGAAGCGAGTCTCTCTTCTGTTACTTTTCTCAATCGGCATTCTAGTACCCATCGCATCGGGTATTCGACTTTGGAGCATATTCCTTTGGCATGGAAGCAAAACCGAGGGACGCTACTATGGGGCATATGTCATATTCTGGTCCCAGGTTGAGGTCAATGTGGCTATCATGTGCGCATCAGCTCCCTCTCTCCAGCCGCTCGTCAAACGCATCTTCGGCGAAGTCGCCAGGCACCGGAGCCATAGTGCCTATTACTACTATGGCGGCGGATCCCACAATATGTCCGAGATCACACCACCGAGACGAGGCACTTTGAGTAATCCGGACTCGACGATGGACCTGGAGAGCTTGCCAGAGACGTATCAGCCGGACAGACACCGCGTGAAAGATAACATAACGGAGCCACACATTGACCGAGACGTAGTGAGCGTCCGGGAAATGACGGAGGAAGAGGTTTTGAGAGACCGTGTGCGACGGTTTGCCTCGCATCGAAGTTCAATGCAATCAGTACCTCCGAAGTCGCCTGCAAGGCCACACGATATCCTGTCACATGGATGAAGCCTTCAAATGCCTTTTCCCCGATTAAAATAATCATCTACCGAGAGCTTCCATGCTCGACGCTTCTTCTCCGGTTCTGTCCATGTGGATCTCGCCCACTCTTGCGACGAAAGGAACGTGCGCAAAGCGCATTGGTTGATCATCCAAGGGAATGCACGGCCGCAACAAGGCGGCTCAGAAGAAACGACGTTCTGAAGATATCTCTGTCAGAGACAGGAAGCCTTGGTTCCCAGCCATTGCTACCTAGGTCCGCGGAAGACCTGGACCTGACGGTCTATGACCATGGCACTGGATCTGGTACCAAAGCAGGGGCGCAGAACGTCCACAGGCACAGGTGATGCATACACTGACTGAAGTGAAATTTTGGGCCTTGGGAACGATTTCTTTTCAGGAGCGTTAGGTCTTTGAGAAGAGATTGGTATATGGAGATACGTATTGGTGATTTGTTCCAACTAACCGTTGTGTTGCCAACAGCGGCCATTTCTTTGATATTGGATTTCAATGTTCTTTATGCTATGAGGTCTTCGATATATCTACTCCTACATGAATAGAAAATGGAAAAGATAAACAATGTGTACATTTTTGAACCATTTCCAGGTTTGCCTGTTGTATCCACTACAATCGAGACACTCCAAATTCGGTACTGGAATTGAGCAAAACGATTCACGTGTCAGCCCCTTCCCCAAGTTCGCATCTCTAAGTTCGATTGGGAACTTTTCTTTGTCGTTCCCAATACCACGGTAAATCCAATCAAGAGTTGCATGTATCCCACTCCCGGAAGGGGTCCATCCGTACATTCCACGCCGCGGAAACAGCCCATGCATGGAAAAGCAGGGAATCCCATTCAACCAGGACCTGGGTTTTCCCATCCTCGAAATCTCAGAACCCTATCTGCCCACGCAATTTCAAAAACCTATCAATTCTCCAAATTTTCATTTTCCCCTCATAACTACCTATACTGTAGTTCACCTCTAGCGCAAAAAACACCACGTGTTGAGCCTCTCTCGCATGTCGTGAGACCCTTGTTACATATCACCAATCAGGTAAGGCGCGAAACCTATTCGATCTCTAGGTCTTGCATTACACAATCAACATCGAACTATCCAACTTTACTTCTCTTCCCTAAATATTCCTCTTATTCGTTTTCTTTTCTGTTTTGTTGTCTTCAGATGCGCCGGTAGAATCATGGTAGGCGTTAGCCACAGCCGTCGTGGCAATTCCATATCGTTGGCGCTATGCTTCCTGGCTGTCCTGCCGCTGGCTGCGGAAGTGCAGCGCGCTGCGTGGCCGTTACTCCTGCTTTGGGTGGGTGCTGGTGGCGTGAGATGGTGGTATGGCGATGAGACTTTACGAGCCGATTGCGTCGTCTTTGGGGGAATCGCATTGATATCTGCAAGAGAAGGATTGTGGAACTGGACAAGCACGTTGTCTGATTCTGTGCTTGGGATTGTCTGGGATGGCGCTGTGATACGGCGGGCTAGTACGATTGTCCTAATTGTCCTTGGATTCGTCTCCACATCCTACAAAAATGTTTTCAAGAGGAAAGAAGAGAGACCTGGTTCCGATTCAAACACTACGGATTCAAGTATCAAGCATCCAAAAGCCTTGATCTTTCCATGCCGGACGACTCATGCACGAATCTTCCCTAAACGCCATGCATTCAAGTATTCGTATTTGCTATATGGGATTCCGATCATTCCGCCATGGGCAGCAGCCAATGGACAGGGGATTGTAGATGGAAAGGACAGGAAGAAAGGGAATTGGTGGCTCCAGGTTAGAGCTGAGGACTACCTAGAAAGAGGATATGGCGAGCTTGGTTTCTATGGGAAATTGAAGAAGGTTTTGCATGAACATGTAGGTACTTTGTTAGCCCGTCGCTTGAACGTTTCCTCGAGAGACTGGAGAGAAACCATCAATCTAACATTCACAGGATGTGCCGGACTCGGAATGGTCATATGCTTATCTCGTTACGGCTCCGAGATTTCTTGGCTACTCATTCAACCCTGTTTCCTTTTGGTATGTTTACAACTCGTCACATGAGTTGAAGAGGATGATTCTAGAGGTCAACAACACATTCGGAGAGCGACGGATGTACGTTCTCGATGGAGCCAGCCCGCCAACACCCCCACAAACCCCAGACGAAGAGATGCCGAAACTCCAGATAGAAAAGGCATCATTTACAGATGCGTGGCAGAAGGACTTCCATGTGTCGCCCTTCAATTCCAGAAAGGGATCGTATTCGTTGAAAGCTACAAATCCGTTTCCAGGGTTTCCTGCGCCATGTGCCGCGAAAATCGATAATACGATTACGCTCAAGTCGTCGAAGGATCATGCGAAGATTGTGGCGCGTGTGTACTCTATTGGAACAGCACTGGATGCGAATACCCTTGGAGCCATGGGGACCCTCCGTTTCGTTGGCGGCTGGTGGTGGGTTGGTCTCGTCACATTCCCTCGGATCTTGAAAGAAGCTTTTCGACTCTTTTTCAAGCGCAGTCTGAATGTTTGGTTTCGGCCTGAAGTTCTATCATCAAGCATTGGTCGGGCACATACTTCGGAAGAAAAGTGAGTGTCGTCCCCGGCGTATGAGCGACAAGATTAGCATATTAACAACGCGAAGAGCCCTCCAGGAGATTTTACACTCGTACTTGCAGCACCTCGTCTGGAATTCGTCAGAACAGTGGGATATAACCTACCACACAGCTATACCATCCCGACCAACGGAAAAAGTGATGTCAACGCATGTTCCAGGTCGCAACATCCCATGCAAAAAGCTCGAGATCCGTGTCTTGACACCGGCGTTCTATTCTCGATTCGTGCATTATTCCTACACATGGGAAGCTTTCGATCGCGAGTGTTTGTTTACAGACGAGCGGAATCGGACGGTTTGGATCTCCAACCCGGAACTACTTGCCCTGCTCTTGTCTGGCGCTAAGAAGCAGTGCTTCGATTACGAGGACCAACTTCCACGAAGAGGTCGCCTCGACGAAATGCGGTGGAGCTTCATGAGAAGATTGAGGTGTCCGCCTGCAGAACCGGCCTATCCACTGACGCCGAAACGGGCAGAATTCGACGTTAATGATATACGAACATTGCCATTCTCAGATATGGATAAGTTTGTACGGAGCCGGCATTGTCGGTTTGACTCTGGTAGCTATCGCCGTATAGTCACGAAGACCTTCCTCGCCCAGAGATTCGCATTTGGGTTTGCTGAGGTCGTTGATTTGCTCGATTTGATGATTCGAATTCTGCTATGCTATTTAGCGGTTGTTACTCTGATGTTGTGGACCGGGAGAGACATTATCCGTTGGTTCACAGATCAGAAGGTTCAACATCAGGACGATTGGTTAGATAGCATTAAGGGTGGACTACTCGATATACCATCATGTCTAGGAACGTGGAGCTTGATTTGCGGTAGTCATTTGTATGGGTTGGCCAAAGGCTACTTTTAGAGAAGCTGTAAATACCAAAATGACCAAAAGAATGACTGCACATAATTCAAGATGACGACTACAGCGGGCTTGCTCCATTGCTCCAAAAGGCGGAAGCAGAATCCTCACGATTCTGACTCAAAACACCGGGAGCTTGAGTCATATTGTTATATGCCTCTTTCACCCGGCCAACCTGCTGTAATCAGACCCTAATCACGATGAATACTCGGGTTGTCTTCTCTAAGTCCAGCCCCAGTTCTGGATCGAGACGTTAGGTCATCCAGAATTGCCGAGGTCCATGTAAACCAAGTGGTTGATCTTCCCCAGTTTCCGGGCGCCCGATCAGGGCTAGCGCCTTCTTCGCGGCTCTTGGACGTTGTGCAACTCACTGCCTTTCACATGTCTCCCATGTACACATCAAAGAATTAAAGACAGCATGTGAATTCTTCGAGACGGTCGCGTGGTCCCAAAGAAATTCTATGCATCGGTAGGCGACCCTAGATTGCAGCTGAAGATAAAAAATCCCGCTTCACGGATAGATACTCCTAGTAGAAAAGGAAAACGCGGCATGCAGACCTGTGAAGTGAGGAGTTGATAGCCCATTATTAGCGAGGACTTAGCTATGGACGAGGATTGCTCTCATGTCGAACAATTGGCAAACGTCATCCCTCGTCAAAGCTCCCATCCACACACGAGCAGCCCAGCGCTCGCTCTCCAGATCAGCTTCCGCGTTTGGTCTCTAGCACATAATCCCCTTGGGCCGAGGAGCAATTCCAAGCAAAGCATGCGACCAGGCGATTTTCTTGAACTACCCATCATCCTCGGCGCCGCTGGTCGGTAAGCGCCTTCGGGCCAATGGTCGTCTTGATGCGTTCACCCGGACGGTCCCGAGCTAACGCTCTTAGTAGCGTATGGAGGCATAGCTGGGGATGATCTGGGGTTATAAGAAAGAGCTTGGCCCCAGTTGGCCGTTTAGAAGCAGACATTTGAGACGGAAGTGGTTGCCGCATTGTGTGTCATCGATATACTTTTCCCCCAGTTCAAAAAGTTCCCGATTCCCATTTTCCAAATTCCCTCTTGTCCGATACTATTCATACTTCTTTGTTAGACTAGAAGTATTAAGTGCATACGCTTATTACTCATTACCACGCATCTCGCCATAAGTTACCCAACTTGAACCTTTAAATATACCAATATGGCTCACATCGATGCCGAGGAACAGCAGTTCCTACAGGAGGTTGCGGACGTAAAGAAGTGGTGGAGTGACTCAAGATGGCGTTTCACCAAGAGGCCATTCACAGCCGAGGAGATTGTTGCAAAGCGAGGCACGCTGAAGATTACGTATCCCAGTAATGAACAGGCGAAGAAGCTTTGGGGCATTGTCGAGGGCCGGTTCAAGGTACAATCAGACTCTTCAAATCCTTCAGATCATGTTGCTTATGATTGATTGTAGGAACGAGATGCTAGCTACACATACGGCTGTCTGGACCCTGTGATGGTCACTCAAATGGCAAAGTACCTCGACACTGTTTATGTTTCTGGCTGGCAGAGCTCGTCAACAGCCTCATCCAGCGATGAACCCGGTCCAGATCTAGCAGATTACCCAATGGTGAGTTGGCTTCGTCTCATCTTGCAATGTGAACATTTCTGACTATCGTAGACAACTGTTCCAAACAAAGTACAACACCTTTTCATGGCGCAGCTTTTCCACGACCGCAAACAGCGCGAGGAGCGCCTGACCACATCAAAGGCCGACCGTGCGAAACTCCCTCACAGAGATTATCTTCGACCCATTGTCGCTGATGCGGATACCGGACACGGCGGTCTGACCGCCATTATGAAACTCACGAAGATGTTCGTCGAGAAGGGCGCTGCAGGTATACATATTGAGGATCAGGCACCTGGTACCAAGAAGTGCGGCCACATGGCTGGCAAGGTTTTGGTGCCAATCAGCGAGCACATCAATCGTCTTGTCGCCATTCGAGCACAAGCTGATATCATGGGTAAGCAGAATGAACACGATACATATTGGAAGGTATCGGAGAGCTAACAAATCGAAGGTGTCGACCTCCTTGCCATTGCACGAACCGACTCAGAAGCAGCTACCCTCATTACTTCAACAATTGATCCCCGCGACCACCCCTTCGTCCAGGGCAGCACCAACCCTGCTCTCCAGCCCCTCGGTGAGCTCATGTACGCCGCTGAGCAACAAGGCAAGAATGGCGCGGAGCTCCAAGCCATCGAAGATGCATGGACCAAGGAGGCTAATCTGAAGCTCTTCCACGAGGCCGTCATCGACACGGTCAACGCCGGCGTCCACGTCAACAAGGAGACACTCATCAACGATTTCCTGAAGCAGAGCAAGGGCAAGAGCAACGCAGAAGCGCGAGCCATTGCTAAGGGCCTCACTGGCGTCGACGTCTACTTCAACTGGGACGCCGCCCGAACGCGAGAGGGTTACTACAGGTACAAGGGAGGATGCCAATGCGCTGTCAACCGCGCCATTGCGTACGCTCCGTACGCAGATATGATCTGGATGGAGTCAAAATTGCCCGACCACGCCCAGGCGAAGGAATTCGCCGATGGTGTTCACGCCGTCTGGCCAGAACAAAAGTAAGTTGTCCCCGCACTTTCCCTGCATCCTAATTATGATAGGTTTCGTTTACTAATTTTCCTCTCAGACTCGCATACAACCTCTCCCCATCCTTCAACTGGAAGACCGCCATGCCCCGCGAGGAGCAGGAAACCTACATCAAGCGCCTCGCCAAACTCGGCTACTGCTGGCAATTCATCACCCTCGCCGGTCTCCACCAGACCGCTCTCATCGCCGATACATTTACCAAGGCGTACGCGAAGCAGGGCATGCGTGCTTACGGCGAAATCATCCAGGAGCCAGAGGCCGAGAACGGAGTCGATGTTCTCACTCATCAGAAGTGGTCCGGTGCTAATTACGTGGATAATATGTTGAAGATGGTTACTGGTGGTGTAAGCTCGACGGCTGCTATGGGTAAGGGTGTTACTGAGGATCAGTTCAAATGAGTATGATGTTTTTAATGGACGAAAATGAATGTCTGTTGTAGATATAGTATTTGGTTGCCATATATATCCCGTTAGCTTTGTCGAATTTTGAATATGCATTTCGGAAGTTTGTCCTCGTACAATAAGTCAGCGAAAGGCGTGTCGTCGTGGTGAATTTGTTGAACAGATAAATATCTTGTTTGATTGGCCGTAAAATCACTTATTACCACTCCTATTATATACTAGTACCAATCATATCATTCATAACCATGCCCATCTTACATAGATAAACCCCCTCCTAAAGCCCTTTAACACTCCTATGGAAAAGAATTGGTATACCCAGGCCAGCCTCGAAACAATATACAAAGAAATGTCCAAACTCAATCCCTCTACCTCACCTCCTCCCACTACCATCATCTTTCCTTTCCTGCGGCGTAAACAGCTCCGCTTTGAGAATCATAACCGCAGGCGCAACAGCCAATGCACCTATTGTCGTACTCCTCTTCTTCCCCTGCCGTGACGATCTACCCAACTTCATCAACGAACTATCGCCCTTGTTTCCAGAGTCCGAGGGTGGAGGTTTGGATTTCCGGGGTGGTGATGTTGTGGGTACTGCTGGGGGTGATGACCCTGATCGTCGGTGGGAGGGGAGGAATGAGGTTATTGTGTGGGCGCGTGAGCGAGATTTCGATGTTGATGAGGATGGTAGCTTTGGGAATGGTGGAAGGTCGAGGCGGATTTCGGTGTAGAGGGGTTCTGAGTACTTGAGTGGGAGGTCGTATTCATCTGGAGGGGTATTTGGTGATGATGTTGAGGGTGTTTTGGGACGTTCAATTGAAGGCATCGATGGGAGCGGTGATTGTTCCACCATCGTTCGCGACATGATGGCCGACTTTTAGATGCCTGAGGTGTAAAATGGTCCAAAGAGTATGAGGTCGTCAGGCAGGTCGCGATAGCTTCAAGGGTGTATGCTTGAGTGCCTTAAGGTTTGTCTCCCTACGAGGATCCGATTTTCGCCCCCAAATTGCCGAACAAGCCACTCTTCAAAGTTCAAAGTGATCCTCGACTCGTAGATTGCAAATGTGATAGCGCTTGCGCTTTGGAAACGTTGCTTTTGGTATTGATATTGATAGATACAGTTACAGGGCGACAAAATGGCAGACAGAACTCAAAAATCAATGAACGCGCAAAAGTAGCAGCGCGGAATATATACATGTACATCTCTTGCAGCCTGATCGCCTCAAGCAGTCAATGTCCAGCTGATCAGTTATCATGATAAGCCCCAGCTGCAATTTGGTATGGTGGCTGTTGGCTCAGCCGCCCTCAGTTCGTGTCGACGTGTTCCAGGCGAACCGCGCTGATGCTGGGGGCATTGCGGCTGAGTTCCAGCCTTCCAGGGCTGTGTTCACGAACGAGGGGTTCTCACATTAAACAAATCTTACCTACCACCCTCAATCTAATTTCCCCACAATCCTATGTGTTTCTAATTTCTTACGGAAATGTGCTGGCGTTATCGTATTACATTTGTGTGTGGATGTCGCACTTGGAGCAGAGCACACAAGAAATGCGACGTTGCTAATGACGGGAAGAAATGCAATGAAAAGAAAATCTTCAAGCACCTCTATTCTCCTCTAGGCCTCGAATGCGAGTACCATGGGTACAGTCGCTCGGTCCGTAATACATCGTCACTACAATTGCGACAGGACGAACCTCAAGATGGCGAGCAGGTACAACAAGTGGAAGGGGGATGCAGGACAAATGGATGCTGTCTGCCCAAAGGACATCCCTTGCCTCATCGGACTCGTAACAGATGTTGGATGGAAGGTTGCTTACTTTCGGGAGGCCACCCAGGCGAGCATAAAGTTATCTCCTTCACGCTATCAACTGAGGCCGCTGAGATCTTCGAAGAACACCTCAAAGAGTTATCCGCCAGGCTTCAAAAGCTCAATCGTACTGTTCTTATCGACATGGGAAAGCAGACATCTGTTCTCGACACTTCACAGAGCGCAGTGCAGCATAATAACTCTGCTAGTTTGTTTGACGACGTTAAACAGAATGCTGATGATGCCGACGTCCATCCCCTTTTTGGGCGAATAAAGCGTATCCGCCTGTTCAGACTCTTTCCCAGGGCCCCCGGTGGCAAGATATGCGGAGAATTTCAATTCGCAGAACTATACAACAGCCAAGCATATACGGCACTCTCATACACATGGGGGGACGAGTCGAATCAGCAATGGATTATGGTCTCCGGATCGAAGTTCCCAGTGCGTAAGAATCTCTGGGACTTCCTTCAACAGCAGAGCGCTAGGATTACCGAGCCAAAGTTTTTCTGGATAGACGCCATTTGTATCAATCAAGACGACGTCTTCGAACGCAATCATCAGGTCGCTCTCATGAAAGATATCTACCGCCTCGCCGCGGAGGTTTACATATGGCTGGGCAAGGGGGCCGATAACAGTGACCTTGCAATGACCTGGCTTGCGAAGAAGGCAACGCGCAAGTTGCGGCCCCGAGGACCGTCCGGATATTCCAATATCTGGAGCATGGAAGAAGGGAAAGCCTTGGTAAGACTCTGCGAGCGGCCGTACTGGCGCCGCATGTGGATCATCCAGGAAGTTCTACACGCGAACAACATTACGCTCCTGTGCGGAAGCAAGAGTGTGAAATGGGCTGCGGTCGAGAGCCTGTACCTCACGTTGAAGACCCTCGAGGACGAGAGTTGGTGGGCCCATCACGAGTATGTCATAGGAGTACTGCAAAGCCCTGCTGCTATAATGGTATGGCAACGCGCGCATTGGAGACATCCGGGGACCCTTTCGCCGCACCTGCAGACGCTGATAGAAATCTTCCACGATTGGCAGTGCAAAGACATCCGAGACAAAGTGTTTGCACTGACCGGCATGGCAAGGAAAAGTACCTCGATCGTGCCTGACTATTCGATGACCCCACGTGACGTGTACTTCGCGGTCTGCGAGAAACATCCAGATGCTGGCTGGAAGTTCGAAAACTTACTTAGCCAGGTTCTGGGTTTGTCAGGCCGAGATATCAAATTAAGGGGACAAACGCTGTGAGTTGCATACTTGAGCTTATTGCAGAAGGTTCGCTGACATCAATAGCGTTGAGTACAAGGTCCATCCCGCCGACTACGTTGTCCTCCGAAAGAGGCAGGACGATGACTGGTGATCACTTCACCAGAGTTCCATGACTGATGATTGACCGAATGCCTTGATTTGGCAGAACCCCTTTTAGGACGACATGACATCTACGAGTGAAATTCCCTAACTTATACACCATTGCGCGATGACCTTTATTAATGAAATGACCATAATATGTCTTGTAAATCTTCACTGTTCAAAGATCTACGGTAAATGTATGAACGTGGTCTCATTTCCAATATTTTCGGTTAGACATTATATGATATATACTTCCAATGATATACCTTATTACACGATGCAACAACGATGTATTGAGACATTAAGTACTGCGCTCATCGAATTGAAGGACACAGGTTAGACATGGTCCTCCCTCTTCTCCCTTGCCTCTGTATTCTGGCTTCCTGCAGAGCTTGTCGCATCATCATTCGCCAACCGGGCTTCTTCATCCCTCATCTTATCTTGCTTCAGGTCCGGTGCAGGTGCAAAGTTGGATTTGGCTCTGATCTTCTTGCCATAGAGATAGAAAATTATGGGCATAGGAACGAGCAGGAGTGCCACAATACCCAGCAGCTGGAGACAATCAGTATCCAATTCCGAACTCTCTGTTGTGAATGTAACTTACTGTGGAAGCCCACTCTATTCCCATGCCATTGAACATGTATGTCGCGAATAGTGGGAAGACTCCTCCAAAAATAGATCTCATGAACGTATTGGCCGCAATTGCGGACGCTGCAAACATCAAGTACGCGTCGACGAGATAGTTTAGCAAGCTCAAGAAAATCGAGAAGATGCCGAAGCCAATGAATAGTCCCGAGAAGACGGGAGCAACCCAAAAGGTCCGTCCCGTATAACCGCTCCATCCAAACCAGAAAAGACCAACTAGAAAGCGAGTTAGTAAGTATGCACATCTTGGTCATTTCAAGAAAATCTTACTAGCGAAAAGAACACCTCCAACCATAGCCACAGGTAGTCTCCATTCGGGAACCGGGATGTTATTGTTGGCTTGAAGCTTTCTGGCGTAACGTGGATTGTCGAGCCAAACATATGCGAAGGCAATCATTTCTCCAACGACCAAGCCGAAATATGCAAGGCCTGATTGTCCGGGTGTCCATCCGTACTTCCCCTCAAAGACAAGTGCATACGCCGTCAACAATAGATATAGTAGGCCGTCTTAGACAGGTCAGCAATAGTGATTGGGAACCATAGGTTTAGCATACTTACAAATGAAAGACATGTAGAGCGTAATAAGTAAAACGATCGGTTCCGTAAAGAGAATTCGCATTGGCCTGGAGACGTTCTTAACCAAAAGCTCTCTGAAGTCGACTTCAATTTCCTAGCAAACTGATCAGCGCGAGTCCTCAAAAGTGACTTCGAAAATGGCGGTTACGAACCTCCTGCTTCGCGTGGATACCCCAATTCTTCGTCCTGCGTCGCAGTTCGGCGGCCTTTTCGACAAGAACCACCGGCGGATATGTTTCTTCGAGGAAAAGTAAGAGAAGGACAAAAGCCAACCAGCCCATGATGCTCGATATATATTCCGTCCATCGCCAACCAAGGTGACTGGTCACTATGAATCCACCGATGCATGGAGCAAGTAGGGGCCCCATGAATACGGTGACTGAGAATACGGCAATGGCTAAACCTCGTACAGTATTGTTGAACATATCGGCGAATACGGCGGCTACGACGGCGAGGGGACAGGAACCGAATAAACCCGCGAAGAAGCGACATATCAGAATAGTCTGAATATCTTTGCCAACAGCGACTGCGATGCTAAAAACCGAAAATCCAAAAGCGGCGATTATTATGGGTGCCCTGCGACCGTAAAGCTCGGAGAGTGGAGCCCAAGCCTATTCGTCATTGATCAGCGGTTGCAGAGACATCGGTGGTAATGCAACATATACATACCAGAGGACCAAAAGCATAGCCAAAAACGAAAAACGAAGTTCCTAAAGTGCCGACCTCGGGATCGACGTGGAACTGCTTGCTGACAGGCCTGATCGCTGCACTGAAGATACTACTCCCCATCGTTGCAGCGAGAGCATCGAATGCTAATATTGCACCAATTCCAAGCTTTTTCCGTAGCGGCCAGTTCTGTGCGTGGAGAGGATCATCGACACCATCGAATTCTACAACGTACTCTTCTCTATCCGGCAGCAAGGGCGGATAAGGCTTGTTAGCACCAAGAGAGGGTAGCGGCCTTGAAGCCCGTGATGTGGCTCGCCGCGTCATGACCGCACCTACGGTGGCTTGATGCTGCGATCGATGGGTTTCAATTCTACGAATGGCTTCGGGGTGTCGCTCTGTCGGATGGCGTGCAAGCATCGATCCGGACGTACTCGTCGCTGTCGCTCGTCTGTTCATTATTGAAGCATCGCGTGGTGGATGGGTGCGGATTTCTTCCAACTGAGAGGCCTGGGCTGCGGCGGAGGAGGGGGTGGTTGAGCTTGAAGATGTAGATGAAGAGCTGGACATTCTGGATAGGGGCTCATGAGCCTCCTCTTTGCCAGTCGCATCTTGCTCATCAATCGGCTGTGTCGAACTCCCAGGCACTGTTCGGGAAGATGCCTGTTGCGATTGCAACCTCCTAGTCCGCATCTCCATGTTCTGATCCCATTCTTGGTACCTCTGAGGCTCCGCGCTGTATTGGTTGCGGAGAACATTGTAATCCTCTTCGTCCATCTTGGGCAATTGGTATCGAGGTAGAGCGGAAAATTACACACGATCAATCGTTGCGCAATGCCGCGATGCACACCAGGTTAATATAATCGTTATTGGCAGTCACCTCCAATTCAGGGTCTATGATTAGTCACTGTTATGGAACCAACAACCCTACGGTGATCACTCGAGCGGGATGCAAGATTGAGGTAGGGATAAGCATATGCCCAAAGCTTAGAATTGTACATATTTCAATCGTTGCCTTGACCCCGATATGAGGTACGGCCTTGGTCGGCATGACGACATCCAAAACGGTCAATGATATTGTTGAAGCTATGCAATTCGTTCGAGTACAGGTAGAGCATCGATTAGCAAAAAGTAGCGGGAGTCCGGCAGTCAGCGGGAGGAGGCCGATTTCCGTTGACAACGATTGGCTTCAGGTGGATATGGAGCGGAATTTACGACTCGGATATCAGCACGATCGTAAATAGCGGCGGCAGCGGCATATTGCGGAAGCATTCTGTGCATATTCCAATAATGCCTATGTAAAGCGTGGATGCAGCTCGGCTCTTTATTTTGAGTAATCATGGAAAATGTGAGATTCAACATATTCTACACGAGGTCTTGACGTCATGCGCTATGACTAAGCCATGGAACGATAAACGAAGGACTCAGCCCTGAGGAGCACAATGCCGGTTCGCTCTAGAAGTACAAGAGCTCTCCTTCGTTTAGTGACTTCGGTCAGGCAGCTATTAGATTGATAAAGTAGAACTGCCGCGATGGTGGAACTCCTGCTCTGTGTACCCTTTAAGAGGTGGGATGACATCCACGCCGATATGCATCAATGATCACCACCACAGAAAAAATCACGGGAAAGACGTGATCAAGCCTAAGATCTATGTACGGGCAACAAAACAAAACAGCCCTGGGTCAGTTAATACCTCGTAATTGGCTATGGATGTTCTGGTGTACGTCTAGACACCGAACGTCCTGGCGATCTAACAGAAACAACTGGTATTTGTGATTAGAACAGAAGTCTACACGAAGTCAGGCAAAACCAGTTTTATGCATTCAGGTATCTATCGCAAATGAACGTCATCCAGAAATACGTCCCTTCAAGCGACTGCGCAGTCCCCTTCCTCGATCTCAACATACGCGAATGTATAAGCCGATTGGACTGGGATTGAAATCTTGAAAGTAGTTCACAGAGAGATTTCCAGTAGAACACACTCCATAACCCACAGTCTTGCCAGCAGGACAAGCAGTAGTGAAAACATGATACTGGGCCCCTTCTGACAAAGGCTGGATTTTTATCACATCGGTGATGCCCGGTTTGGTGGACCAAGATGTTTCATGATCCATCGGCTTGTCCAGAGCGGCGAACACGAGGCCACCGCTACCCTTTAGCTCATAGGAACTGGTTTGGAGTTTCTCATGCTCCGGTAGAAAAAATATGACGGAGCAGGTCTTGCCGGAGAAACGTGTATGGACGTCGAAATTGAAGCCTGTGCACAGATCTGGTGCCTTGATTGTTCCATTGAGATGATTTCCAAACTTTTCATGTGGTTTACTTCTGTCTATAGGGACAATCAAATGTGGAAATTCGAAAGCACCTTCGAGATCCACAGGACACCTTTTCCGATTTGCCTTGGGCGACGGTGTTGGTGTGGAAGATGTTATACTTGCACTCGTTGAAGTTTTAGACCTAGACGTAACCGTAGATGAAATGCTCGTAGACTGTATGGCCGTGGATGAAATACTCGTCGACTGGATGGAAGTAGCGTTGACCGAGCAAGTATCGTGGATTTGAATTTCCGATGAATACAGATTGATAGGAACACACTTCCGCTGGCCCGGTGCGGGTTTGGCGTAAATGTTCCACTCTCCGTGGTCGTTGACAGGGCATGCCTAGAACTCCTGACTGTTTTGGTATGTGAATCCGCCGTTGCAATCGAAAGCAAAGCCGGAAGTTGCTAAACGAATTCTTGTCAGAAGGAATGGGACTAAGAGCTTGTGAAAAGCTTACGTGGAACCCCTTCATCGCATTGCCACTGAGTGGTAGCAGGTGTTAGGATGCAACCTCGCCCATGCTCGTCCCAGACACTGCCGTTCACGATATGGTATGTGCCGAGGGTGCGTCCACCTCCTATTCGATTCTGCCCATCATCTAGTTGTTTGATTTGACCCTTGATCGATGGTGGATTGCCGGGCAGAGGAAGAGCCTGAAGTGTCCACTTAGCGTGGGGGTATGTATTATGGAGAAAGATGAAACGATCTCCGGCTACACACAGCCCGAAGCTGAAGACGGCGAGAACAGATTTCATGATGAAGTATGACAACGATAATAATCAAGTGTCGTGACCAACAAAACCCCCTATTAAGTAGAAGAATGGGTCCCGCGGAAGTAATTTTGAATAGTAAGTATTGGAGAGTAAGTGTCCAAAACACAAGACGACAAATGCTACATTGTAGTTCTTGCAATGGCCCAGCAACGCGTAGCTAGAAGGAGCCTTCGGATATAGCAACGATAATGTAGATAGGTTGGCAAGAACGCGACAAATAGTCTTGATCGAGGAAAGAGCCCCTGGTTATCATCATAGGTGATGCGTATACCCGCTACCTAAGAAAACCTGATGTTAACTAGCGAACGCGTAATAAAATTCATTGTGTCTAGAATTTGAGCTCTCAACTTGTATACACATGACACAATTTGATAAAGTAACAGTGAGCTCTGAAAGGAAACAATCCCAAGATGCCATAGCTCTCTGCTTGCCATCGTCTATCAACACGGAGCAGACTATATAAATCCAGTCTTCTGTTAGATGCCGTGCTGTCTCATCATCTCCTGCTGAAACGATTGCATGATCAGTAATCGTAGATGATCATTCTCTTCTGGGTATACAGGTTGGGAAAGAAAATACCTACGGCATGTACCAATTGAGTCGTTCAATCAATCGAGATTGGGCGCGCCACATAACTTTAGCCACGTCCCTGTCAGTTAGATAGTCTGGATTTGGCTCGCGAAGCTCATGAAACTAGTTGACACTCCCAAGGATGCCGACAACAGCTCTCTCGGTATTTAATGGTATGCATGAATCTCATCCGAGAGGAGATCCTAAAGGGTGCAATGAAATACTGCTCATTATCTGATTGAGCATCGTCGACAAGTATTGTCGACAGTGATATCGATTTAGCTATGATGCTTGCGTTTCGGAGGGTAGTTTGATAGGCTCTTCGTACCCAGTACTCAAAATACCTTACCACGTACTTAATCTTTCGAGGTGCATGAATTGACCCTCGCGATTTCGAGTGGGGAAAGATCCACTCCAGACCCGGAGGAGAGTCCTAACCCAGATTCGAACAGCAGAGGTAAAAGTTGGAACACACGATTGGCGTGGGACAAGACCAAGGTTTTCTTTTGCTAGTTAGTCAGTCTTCATCGCAACACCCACAGAGAAGAGAAGTCAAAAGGCATGTCGCTCGCATAGGTCAGCAGACGCGCAAGTGTCATTTTCTTCTTGGCCGATGTCAGATCTGGCTGGCTTGCATCATCGAGCCCTGCAAAGGTACAAGGTTACTGCATTCTGAGAGAAGTCGCGTAATGTCGTTGAGAGTGGGTGAGTGCAGATCGAACAGGTAACGTTCCACGTACACGCACCGTAGCGCAACATAGTAACGAGTGCGGTGCAGGATGCAAGCCACATCACTGTGTCCAGGGTCATCTTGATGAGGGGCAGTCAATCTGCACTGCACCGAAGCCATGTTGATAATCATGAGCTGAAGACCGTCAATTATACGAATTCGCAGCTGGCAAACGCCCACGGTGACAGCCTCCGACAAGTTGGTACATGGAAACTGGGAAATTGCATGATTGAATGATTCCACCAATGGCTTCAGCTGCATCGAGAACAATTGACGGGGTCGTGTTTCAGTCCTTTTGCCTTCGCCTAGAGTCGCATAAGAGATCGTTAAGCTAACGCCCGCTGTCAAAAGGAAAAAGAAAGTCATGAACTTTACCGTTCTCGTCAGCTCTTGCAGCTGCAAGGGCCGCGCCCGTTAACGATCCCTGAGTGGGGGTTGTCTGAAGCATCCCCAGGGAGGACAAATATATCAGGGCATGCGATTGACATTCTCCGATGTAATGTCTATGAATTCAAAAGAGAAAATAAAACTCAGCCACTGATTAGATGGATAGATAGAAGAGAGCATGGTCGCTTTTCGTGTGACTAGGCCTGTCTATTAACCGAGCTGTCATACCATTAAGTGTTGGATGTGAACAACGTCGAAGCGGGCGATGCTGAAAAGAAAATACAATAGTTAGCCAATTATTCAGCCCAACACGGATCTTGAAAAAATCAACCGTGGACCACGAGTCGAGGTCACATGCAAATACATTGTTTTAGGACACGATCTCTACTGTATTCGTAGTAATGGGTTTTTGCATGCATGTGCAACTTGCAAAATGTGGTCAGCCAGCGTGGAGGTGTGCAAAGGTCGTAGAAGGACTGAAGAGCGAGGTCTATCCCTGCGAAATCGATGGCCCTATGCCCAGTGATTCCACTCCAATTCTATGTACCGTTGTGGACTGTTCACGTTCTTTGAGAAGGTATTGCATCTGTTCCCTGTCTACGTATCTGAGCGATTGGCGACTCGTTCCGATCGGTACCACCACATACGAGATTGTAGCGCGGAATGTCCAAACCTGTGGGTCGCTTTGTGCTACTGAATTACGAGGTATTTCTCGTTCCATAGAGATCAAGGTCGGACTGGCGACGGAATGCGTTGTTCGTATGGTGTCGTTGGTAGCAAAATCCGTCTGATTGCAAGTGTGGTGTTGTGTCAAATACTCCGTCTGAGTCTGTCATAGTCAAACATCATACACTGTCGTATTGACAAGTTTTCCAAGTCCTTTCCAGCAAATGAGAACGTACTGCGTACAAAAGCACCGAATCAATTTGCCCTGACGAAAAGCTTTGCACTACATCTTACGAGGTAAGCGAGGGTGGTACACCTTGGTGTGACCTCTCACGTTTTCGCGACCATGTTGCACAAATCAATCTAAAGAAGCATGATTTTCAATAATGAGATTGCAAAATCTCCACTATTTTCCCAAGTCGAATAATACCCACGGCTCTGGATCCTCATGATGAACAAATTATGCTCGCCGCATTTCCTCGGCCTTTCCATCTCCCATGTCAACTAAGTATATGGAATCATAGTCCGCAGATTGTATTTGCGCCAGTGGGGTAACACGCTTTTCGACAATTGCTGCACTAATATCGCATAGATCTTCAAATCGAGCAACCATGTCTCCTTCACACATGACTCGTTGGCCAGGCATATTCCTTTTGCAGCGATAAGACAAACTCACCCCTTCAAACGACAACGTCCACGCCGAGCTTTGTCAAAATCGAATATCTTTCAGAAATCCCTGTCTTGTATATGCACCTATCCTAGAAAGAGAAGCACCTGCATGAGGAGTGAACAAACTCATCCTCGATACGCTGCAAAAGCTTACACAAAAACAAAATGCACGCTCTATTCGAGTTACGCAGACATGCGGAGATTGCTCTTCTATCACAACAATCCCAGCAGTGTTCCCATTCCGAAATCGGCATATTCCACCCAAACACTGCCCGTACTGTCGTAAATCACTTATAGAGATCAGAGCACTCTGCATCATGTAACGGCTTCGTGCATCCGAAACATGTGTGTTTCTTTTTACAATACCCAGGAAGTCCAATTGTAATCAAGATCTCGAGGCAACTACCCGCTCCGAACATATCCCTCGAACACTCGTAGGGCATTCCAAATGATGAAAGAATCGGTTTCATGCACTTATAGCAGGCATCCCCCAGCTTCAAAGTTTTCACCTTTGGTATCTACACGCTATTATATCCACTTGATCGCGCAGTACTAATACAGTCTCACTTTCCTACAATGCCTGGAGGCATACACCCACCTTTGGCAGTGATATTGAGTTGGCCGACTCCAAACTATGTCAACCCAACCACGCGACCGAAGACAGTACTCATCACTGCCTGTATATTTGGACCTTTGACGACACTATTGCTGCTCGCCCGGCTATGGGTGAGGATGCGGATACAACGCAATGTAGGATGGGATGATTGGCTGATGCTGGCTGCGATCGTGAGTGTCTTTGTCTCTCCATGTTTGGCACGCAAGTATTGAGACATACAGGTACCTATCATAGCCTTGACCGTGATATTCCCTTTAGGTTCGTAATTCCCATCTACGCGCATGTTGGCATAAAAACTGATAACCCGCCAGTTACCGAAGTGTACGGGTTCAATAAGCACGTTTGGGACGTCGATCCACGAGTCTTTCCAACGCAACGCAAGTACGTTCTAGTCATAGAAGTAGTGTTCTGCGTCGCGTCAGGCCTGATCAAGATATCGATACTTCTCTTCTACCGGCGCCTCTCCACCAACGCCGTCTCGAAGACCTTGATCTGGTCCCTCAGAATCAGCATTGGCTTCATCGCCAGCTACTCCGTCGCTTTCACCATCGTCCCAATCTTCATCTGCAATCCAGTATCCGCCTTCTGGGACCAGGTGAATCACGCCAAGATCGCGAAGGGATACAAATACACATGCCTAAACGAAGGCGCCGATGTCTTCGCCGCCGGTGTGATTGCCGCAGCACAAGACCTCATCACAGCGATCCTCCCAACCTTCATCTACTGGAAACTCCAAATGCCATTCCGACAAAAGGTGTTGCTGTTCTGTATCTTCGCGATAGGATACGGCGTCGTTGCACTGTCTGCGCTTCGCGCCTACGCCTCGTGGCGCATCTTCTTCAGCACGTACGACGTCACTTGGGTGGCGGGCGACAATTGGCTGTGGACCATGCTGGAACTGCACATCGGAGCAATGTGCGCGAACGCCCCTGCGCTGAAGGTGTTCTTCACGAGGTTCCTTCAGCTCGACAGGCTTGGTTCGCGATCGAAATCGCGCTCGACCGCGTCCAAGCAGAACAGTGGGAAGAGCAGCAACCAGTACCGTGGGAAGTCGGGCGGGAAGATTTTTGATATGTTTGGGAGCTCGAAGAATAGTGGCTATCTTTCGGAACCGCATACGGATGTTTCGGTCGATATGCATGGCGGTGTTCAGAGGAGCAGGGGACAGGATGAGAGACCCCGGTCTACGACTGACACAATTGACATCTTCCTCGGTCGGCGGGAGGACGATGTAGAGTTGGGGAGTATGAAGTCGTTTGTGACGCGGGAGGAGGATTTACAGGCTCTGCCGCCTTTCCCTTCGCGAGCCGCGAGGAATTATCCCGAAGGGGGAGCAGGAATGTGAAAGCTCAGAGTATGCAAAATATCCGTTTCATCAAGCTTTGGAGCCTCGTTTACTTTTCTGTTTTTGATACCAAGTGCCACCACGAAAGATTCGTAACGATCGTTTAGTAATGATATTCCATCTAACGCTCCATCTTCATATTTGGTTGCTACTTTGATCTCATGATTAGTGGTTTATTCATCTAATTTTTGTTTATAACCTTCAATGTTGCGTAAATATCCACTTAGGATGAGAATCATCACCAAGTGGACCGAAATGGGTGAATGAGAAGAGACACAGCATCTTGGTACACGAAACGATTCAAAGAAAGACCGGAAAGGTCAGATTTCTAAATTGCGAAGAATAGATCTGTACTGAAAAGAAAAATTGAAAAGGTAACAGTGAACAAAGAGATAGTTGTGGCAGGATGTGACCCCGCTCTCGTGAAGATACGGTTGAAGAAATTCTCCAACTTGCGCGCCGGGCACTGTATCTAGCCAACGGGAACAAGGTCGTACGGGAGCCACACCATAACGATTGCAAAACAAAAGACAAGTGAATGACAAACAACAGAGAACAATCTGAATGATAGAAATCGAGCGAACCAATAGGAAAATCTGGAGGACGCAAAGGTCCAACCCGAAGAACCACATAGGGTTTAGAAGATGTACAGCATGGCCGAAGCTACTTATCCATGCGTTAGAAAACCGTTCGAAACATCGTACGACGAGTAAAGATCATTCTCTTACCAGCATTTGCAGCGTTCTCCTCACCCTCCTCATCCGCCGAATATGCCACAGTCGACAATGGCAATGTGGCGATGTGTCGGGGCACCCCAATGTACACCGGGCGCCTCTCTCTGACAAGGAAGTCGAGAATATTGTGGATATGCCAAGCGGCGGTTGCAGGATTATCAATGACGGTGACGGCACCGAATGTTAAGTTCGGAGGCGTGTATGGCATTCTGTTTGGGGATTAGCTAAGGTTCATGTTGGTTATGTATCTATGGAAGAACTTACGCTGATCCATGAGCATTGCCATGTTCGACTATGAATACAGCTGGTCCATCGCCAATGTAATGAGCAGCCCACGTGCAGCATGAAGAAAGGTCATTGTAATCGGAGGACGTTACAAATGCAGGTATCTCGGGGAACTCAGGGAGAGAGGTGACTTGATCCATAATCTCGTACTGAATTCCGTTGCGGTTAAGTGTTCCAGTGAAAGGAGGTACTGTGTCTGTGAGGATTATGATCATTTTGCTAAAAGAATCATACCTTGTCTTGGACCAAATGCTCGTCTTACGCCGATATCGCGCAGGCTGTTGAAAATGAGATTTTCGATGGTGTTTGACATGATGACCGCGATTCTCTTGTGTCTCGTTGCAGTGGTGTGTTTAAGGATCGTGAAGTTGATTAGTGCGGTCGATTCCATTCAGTTGTTCGATATTGTCATGATATATACTCTGTTCCAACACCCTACGATATTCAACTTGACTGAAGCCATGATACCTCACGGACTTGGCCGTTGCCTCTTCCTGTATGCAAAGGGGCCAAGTAAAAGGGTGTATATGGATCCAGCCAACTTCCCCGTTGAACAGGATCATAGACATAATTTGGAAGGCCTCATTTTTGGTTCCATGATACATATGCCCATGCGCCAAATGAGGCACTGTAGATGCGAATTCTGCCAACTCAATTGCGAGATGATTGCCGCCGACATGGTTCGTTGCATAGCAGAGCGGGGGAGACATCGAATCGGGAAGTGGGATAGGTTGAAAATGCCTACTGTTAGACCATATTGCATAGCTGAGTCTCTGAGGTGTCTGTGGTATGAGCATAGGAAAGCCTCGAAGATTGCGAGCTGAAGACCGGAGGAGAGAAAGAATATCTATGTCCGAGACTCCTGTGTTCTGACTGTCATGAAGTTGAGTCCGGAGACTGGCGCGATACAGACGACCAGCTGTATCTGGACTGGCCAATTGGATTGATGTTTCAGGCATTCATGAAGATAGCTGTGTGGGTTGAGGCAAACGCTTCATTAGAAAAATTTGGAATTCCTGAAATTCAAATGAGCGTTCCGAGACAGTTCGCGCTAGATTTACTATTTGATATAATGGATGAGATGTTCTTGAGGCTGTTTACCCGACACAGTGGACTCGGGTACCTGACATAAGCTTTCGGCGGCAAGGTAAGGTAATTGTGGCGGTGCTACGGCTCAGCCCAGGATCGTTCGCGAAATCATGACAATTACTCAAATATTCATGCTAAGCATCGCATTTAACATCCTGTTTTCAGAGTTCTGTGTCGGTCTCATCCGAATATTTGGTAGTTTAGCCTTCAGCATGGTGGTCGGCAAGGCTCTTTTTCTGCGCAGGCAGCCATCGATATCAAGTAACGGTTTAGCATCACGATTGGCAAAGGAAGCTGGTGGAGTGTGGCATATTCATTAATTCAAGATATTCTGATCCCCAACTCCTTATTAAGACGGTCTTCCGTCCATCCCAAGGGTATCATTGCTCCTGTCGTGACATCGCGATCGTTGTCAATCTGTCCTCTCTGATCCGTCAGGATTGCCAGCCAGGCTTCTGTTGGACTCGCCTTCTTAGTTTAACTTCTTGTTGCCGACCTTCACGGTGTTTCCCTGGTTGCGCTGGTACTGCAAGAAACCGAAGAAAGCGGCGCCGAGGACGAGCAGGATGACCACGTTTCCTTGAGACCAAGATTAGTACATTGTGTTTTGAAGCGATTGGTATGGAGACTTACCAAGCACAAAGGAAGCGATGCCTCCAGCGAGGTCGATGAGACCTTTAAAGAACTCGACGAAGACGTTGATTACGCTGGAGAAGAAGTTCAGTGCGAAGTTGAGGGTGTGCTGAACGAGATGGGCAGCAGTCTCGATGAAGGAGTAGACGACCTCAATCAGAGACTTGACGAGGTCAGAGAGAGCAGAGACGATCGATGACATGGTTGAGGTTTGTAGGTGAGTGTTCTGTGCTTATTCGAGTGCGTGGTGTGTGTTGTTAGATGTGAGGGAGCGTCAGTTGTACTCGCGTGTAATAGTGGTAGGATGGAATGTCAAGAACAGGACGGGCGAGGTGTCTTTATGAAGCTAGCCGGCGACAGAGCGAGGATAAGGATGATGTCGCTACTACCTCACTGGATATTCCGAGTACAAGATGCGCAAAACCAGGGCTTTGTTTGTCTGGATCACATCCCCCAGTCGCAGATCGCGAATGGTAATGAATGATTGGGCGGTTGAATGAGGTGGCTGTAGGGAGGAGTGACGTAGCCTTGGTAGAATACCTCGATCTTGATTTTAGCTCCCGCTTTGCTTATTTGTTTGTCGGGTACGAAGTGCGGAGTACCTGCACATTACTGTGTACGGGTAGATAGGAAGATGGGGATTGGGTGGAATGAGTGAATTGGGTGAATGGACAGAAGGAATGCGTATGTTGTGGTATGGCAGGCGTAAATTGCATACTGAATCAACAACGTCATCGTCTTCGGCCCTTCGTCATCGGTCTTGGCACATAGACGCCACAAAAGCCCAATTGCTGTGAGGTACCAGCCACAATTCGGCTTCAATTTCCCCACTCTCCGCATTCCTCACCCATCACCAATTCGCCCACCATGTCTGGTATGCTCAATAAGTACCTTGAGAAGGGCAAGGCAAAGTTGAAGGAAATTCAACAGAGCCAAGCAAGTTCAGGACAAGGCCACTCAAGCCAAGGCTACCCAGGTCAAGGTTACACAGGACAACAACAACAGCACCACCAACCGTATCCTCAACAACCCTACCAACAGCAGTCGTACAACGCTCCACCGCCGAATCAATATCAACAATACCCTCCACCTCCTCAGAATCAACAATGGGGTCCTCCTCCAGGTCCTCCGCCTAACCAATGGGGTCCTCCCCCTAATCAATGGGGTTCACAACCTCCCCCACAGCAACAAGCCTTCTCTCCACCACCTCAACAAGCCTTCTCACCTCCTCCCAACCAACCTTTCTCTCCTCCAGTTCCACAGAACAGCAAACCCCAGTCACAGCCTCCTCCCGTTCCGGGGAATCGACCGGGAGCTCCTCCCATCCCTAACAATCGACCGAGCTCTCAAGCTCCACCTCCGCAAACGCAATTGCAGCCGTATTGGCAACCGTCCTTCGATGCATCCACCCCCGTCTCCCATCACTTCCGCCACGAACTCGGTGACCATGGCTGGGGTAACAACGAAAAACAAAATTACGTCGACTCGCCGGCGAACTCTTTCCACCACGACAACCGATTGATCGTTCGCGCCCTCGTTCAGAATGGAAGCTACACAAGTGCGCGTTTGACATCGCATCAGACACTCTCAAGGTCTAAGGGGTACTTGACAGTTACGGTTGTCTCCCCAGTCGCGGAAGGTATTTGGCCTGCCTTCTGGATGCTGCCAAAGGATCCATTCCAATGGCCGAACGATGGAGAGGTTGATATATTCGAGAGCTGGAACGGAGACTCTGTGAATCATTCATGCCTACACTGGGGCCATTTCAACGGCGAGGATTGGAATAAACACCGCGTTCTCGAGACCAAGCTACCCGAGATGGGCAGACAGCCACACACTATGGGATTCGCTTGGATAGAAGAAGAGGGTATCCCGGATTGGCGCGGCCGGATGATATGGTACATCGACGGACGCCCCGTTATGAAGGGCAATATTCCTCCGGGCACGAGGAGAATGGAAGAGTTCCGCATTTTGATCAACATCGCCATGGGCGGAAACGTCTGCCAGGGCAAGCTGCCAGCAGATGGCTACTATGACTTTGTAATCAGTGACTTGAAAATGTGCGAGGAGCCTGTAGGTGGTTGGGGAGAATTCGAGCGGGTTTGGATCCACACTCCGGAGGGCAAGACCATGTAATGGGATCAGCCAAGCATATCGTCTATGGTCGAATGCCCACCCATAGGCGTTTCCCCAACCCGAATATGACAGACATGACCTGGGCTATTACGGCGTTTTGCATTAACCTGTATCTCAATGATACTTAGAGAAGATTTCACAAGTCCATTTATAACGCATTGCTACTTGCATTACCTATAGAGGTCCGTATTAGTGCATCAAATCGTAGCAATGCTTCTTGCATACAAGAATAATGATAACAACTAATGAGATCCAATAATTCTCTTCAAGATTTGATATGGGAACGTATTTTGTCAATTGTTTCACCTTGGTATACTCCGTACATTAAATTATACAGTGAGGTATCAAATTTGATACCTGCTGTTTGCAGTTCAAAGCGTTCCACAACGACGTTTAGTGGCAGCTGTTAGAAACAGTAGCACTCAGCAGCCTCCTTCAACATATAACATAGGAAGCCTCCAATCTAACCTTCAAGACGAATCATCAGAAGAACCATCGGAGGAACCATCAGGGGAGTAATTAGGATAAAACCGTCTCGGATCCATGCCAACGCGACGCATATCCATGAGCTTTTGCCGATGCTCATCCCGCCCACACCAGGAATGGTACCATGTGGGCTCTCCATGTTTAATTCTGCAGTTCTCATCCCACTTTCCATTGACAGCCATTGACTTCTTCCAGTAGTCTTCCTCAGCGTCCTTTCGGTTATGATTCGACCGATCCATGCAGTCGAGACACAGACGTCGAAGTAACCGTTGACCCTCTGGACAGCACTTTGGACAGTCAAGTCCCAACGCTTAGTGCAGAAACTGCAAGCCTCTGCTGGATCGAGTTTGAAATCGTCTAGAAGCTTCAGCATCCGTGCGATCGAGTTGGAAAGAACGCTTTTCTCAAGTGGATCGACCCTGACGCGAGACAGCTCTTCAAGATATTGTCCTACGACTGCACGGTATTGCTTGCACGTGCAGTCATAGCGACCTCTGGTCAGGATGTCGTCGGAGGCGTTGCAGAGTCCTTGGCCAAGGATAGTCTTGAGACGTCCGCGAGCAGCGTTCAAGGGGCCTGTGGATGAAGTCAGTATTACGCACGGATCATAAGACTTAACAGAGGGATACTCACCCACAAAGTCCTTCGGAGACAAGTGATGATACTTAGACGTGAACCCAGGTGGGCGAACCTCTCTGATATGCCCTATGCTATTGTACGCAAGCCATTTTGTGGTCTCGGCAAATCCTTCGGCGTGGTCCAATACAAGGCACGGGAAAGGAAGTGTCTTGACGTATGCGACAAAGTTGTACGGGAACTCTTCGCCGTCGTTTGAGTTGTTGTTACTCAGGCGAACATGGTGCCTGTACCATTTTTTAAAGAAGTCTCCCAGCACCTCGCCATCAAAGTTGTTCTTGTCGCCGACGCAGGCAAGGTGCCAGATAGTCCTGACGGAGATGTCGGAGAGTTGGTTGGGCTGCTGCAGCTCCTTTCTCTCCGCGTCGCCTTCTGCGTGCAAATGGCGAAACCAGACGTTCAAAGCCTCAGGGTCGTCGTCTTCCAAGGTAATTCCCGGAGAAGACTGGTCCCCGAGATGAGTGTAACGAAGGAGATTCTTGAAGTACTGCGACTTCGCGACCATGGTCTCTCTTTTAAGCGTGTAGATGGCCTGGTCATCGCCTTTGCGAATGCTCTTTACCTCAAGATCACCATCTGGACTGATCTCAAAGGTTAAGATCTTGTCAGTCATTGCGCTTGGCGTGTTATTGCGACTTCACGCTGCGCTACTTGTTGGATTATTTGAAGAAACGGCGGAGGTCAGAGGAGGATGGGTATCTATTGGAATTTCGCGCTGCGCTGCTTGTTGGGTGCTTGAAAAAACGGCGAAGATGAGAGGAGGATAGGTATTTATCGGAAATCGCGTTGCCCTAGTACTTCTAGAGAAGGTAAAGGAAAGAGTAGAGGCAAGTAGAGGCAAGAGGAGAAGTATAAGTAGAGGGAAGAGTAGAAGTAAGTGTAAGTGTAAGTCGAAGTAAGAGGAGTAAGAGTAGAAGTAAGAGGAGTAAGAGTAGAAGTAAGAGGAGTAAGAGTAGAAGTGAGAGTAGAAGTGAGAGTAGAAGTGAGAGTAGAAGTGAGAGTAGAAGTGAGAGTAGAAGTGAGAGTAGAAGTGAGAGTAAAAATGAGATCCATCAGACGGTGAGGGTGATCAGTCCCGTCACATGAAGGCAAGGCATAGTGAACTGTGGTGGTTCACTCATTGGGATCAGGGTGGTGAACGAGAGCAGCCTCACCAATAGTGTAGATTCTCTTTATCAAACACAGGTTGATATTGACTCTCAGCGGTCCTGACATGTTCCTATATTTAAACTGTTAATTTGTTGGCGTCGACAAAGCATTTCATAACTTCGCTGCATTCCAAAGTAATTCATTCATGCGTAATCAACTTGCAGTAAACCTAGATACGCAGCGCTACACTTCTTGTATTGACGTTCTCCATCACTGTGATGCTGAAGCCAAACGAAGCTCCGAAGCCCTCGGAACGCATTCCGAAAAAGCTATTCCGATACCGGTTCGACGCTACGGCCCACTATCTGCACGCCCTTCAAACAACAAGCATAGCATTAAAACCGCCATATATTCCCCCAATTGACCTCCTCTAATCCAACTCATTCGATCCAAACCGCGAACAAACATCCAAAATGCCAGCCATGCTCGACGACCCGACCTCTGCGCCCATCGCACGGGAGGTCCTACAACCCACCCTCACCCCTCTTATCGTCACCTTAAAAGACGGCACCACAAAAGCCACCATCATCCCCTTCACATCCGTAACGCAAGTCCCACCCCGCCTAATAAACTACCTCTGGTCTCAAATGTCCCTCGAAATCGAGAAAGGCGACACCTACCCTATGGCCGAGCCTCTCCCGCTCTCCACCTTCGGACCCTACTGGTTCGCGAAATTTGCCGCCGTCATGCTGCTCGGCGAGCATGGTAGCGTGGCGGACGTGACTGCCATGGACGCCGCCGAGGATGTGGAGTGGGAGAAAGTTTGTCTGGGGACGTTCTACATCAAGCCGAATTATCCAGGGCGGAGTAGTCACGTGTGTAATGCGGGTTTCATCGTCACGGCTGCGAGTCGGAATCGCGGGGTTGGGAAATTGTTGGGGAAGGCGTATCTGGAGTGGGCGCCGAAGTTGGTACGTTGGATCCTTGTGCTTTTCTTCAACTTGTCTTCTAGTTGCGGTTTTGGATGAGAGGGCTAACTGATTGATAGGGTTATACGTATTCGGTGTTCAATTTGGTCTACGAGACTAATGTTGCGTCCTGCAAGATATGGGATTCGCTCGGCTTCGAAAGAATAGGAAGGGTGAAGAAGTGCGGAAAGTTGAAGAGTTACCCTGGGAAGAGGATCGATGCTATTGTATTTGGGTATGATTTCGAGCCTGATTTGACGGAATGAGCGGGTCTTTGTATGATTGTAATGTGATAAGGTCTGTAGAACAGAAGATGAATCAATGCAGGGATTGAAGAACATACATAAAACTAGGGTGATGTGAAGAATACAGCGACATATGTAAATATCTCGGTGAGGAGACATAGTTATTGCCTCTATGTACGCATCTATCTACGCGAGTTGCCATGGGCTGGTCAACTGCGTGTTGCGCAATCTAGTCTTACAAGAACCATACAAAAGAAAGGGAAGTCGAATAATCAGGGGATATCATTTCCAAATGCGCCATTGTCTAAGCGGCCCAAGCTGCCATAGCGAATGCAATCGACAATCCAATCGAGACAGCGTTGAACAGAGAGACGGAAGCGATGCTTCCGGCACCAGGGGCTCCGTTTCCTCCGTTGCCGTTCCCATTGTTCTCGGTGGTTCCGTTCTGGCTCTGGCCAGCACCTGCCGTCGATGTAGGTGTTGAAGTTGGAGTTCCACTGCTGGTAGGGGTTGCTACCTCCGCCGCGCAGGTGAGGTTGTATTGGGGAGTGGTGTTGAATTCCTTAGTGATGCCGAACTTGGCCTCGTTGTCCGGGTTAGAATCCTGCAGGACATACCACCAGGTGTTCTGCTTTCCGAATAGCTTGCAGCCTACGTCTTGCCAGTACGACTCTGCGTTCTTCATTGTTGCCGTGGCTTTTCCAAATGTGGGGCCAGTGGTTGGCCAACCTGTCTCGGTGATCCAGATTGGCTTTTTGCCTGCTACGCCCTCCGTTGCTGAGATAGCTTTATCGAAGAGCTCGCCGGCCTTGGAGATGTCGTTGTCGCCTCGGTCGCTCTCGTAGTACGGGAAAAGGTTGGTTCCGATGAAGTCAACCTCGTTAATGACGGCCTTGTTGGAACCGTTCGTCCATGCAGTCCAGGTATCGACATGGCCGATGGGAATGGAGCCCAAGGCCGTCCCACTCAACTTAGATCGGGCAGCCTTGACGAATTTGACGATCATGGTTGCTTCCTGGCCAACGCCGGCCTTGTTCTTGATACCAGGCTCTGACACGCGATACTATAAGTCGAACACCTCGTTAGTTTGGATATCGGAACCATTTGTGCGCCATATGAGAGCTTACCATATCTTCGCTGCCAACCGAAAGGCCGACAACTAGGTCAGTGAAGTCCTTTCCATACTGATCAATAGCCTTGGTGAGCACCTCCAACTCCTTGTCGATGGAAGTGGTTCCCGAGCACCAGATTCCGAGCAGGAGCTTGGTTTTAGTCTTGATGGCGGCAGGGAACGCTGCGATCGGCGTGTCCTCCGTTCCAGATTGGACATTGGTGTACAAGCGGGCGCTGGTAAATTGCCCGACGGCACCCTTCAAGTTCTTCGCAGTCGTAAACTCCTTCTCGAAATCGGCCTGCGTTTTCGCTTTGCTGTCGTCAAAAGTTGCGCCGGAATTGAAGCCAAGGTAGGTCTCTTGAGCCAAGGTTGCGCCGAAGCTGGCCGCGAGAGCGAGGGTGGTTGCGACACGCATGTTGTGACGCAATAATCGGATTTTAAGGTCGAAAGAATGAGCGACAAGTGAAACTTGAGTAGTTAGTTATTAAGGAATGAATGAATGAAGTAGAAATGGAGAAACAAAGCGTTGAAAGCGGTGGTGACGCGCTGTTTATAATATCTGTATTGGGTCAGGGGCGCAGGATGACCGAAAAGGGTCTGACCGTAAGCCGCTCAGCCCTGTCCGTTTTACTTCGCGGGGTGAAGGACGACTGATTGGTTTCAGCTGTTCTCGCGCGGCTGTGATACGACATGTAATTTGTTCAGCTCAACACTTGGCGAAAGCTTTCTGTTGGATAGCGAGGCCCGTTTCATAATTGTCCGTTTGCCGGCTCACCGAATCTCGTTCAACGTCCATTTTAAGATTGTCTGCTGCTTATAACGCGGTCCTCCATTTCAGACGAGTGACATCATTCATCAGCGATAATACAGTATTCATGCACGGCTTCGGTAATAATTCGTCGATATGTCTAGGACAGTTTGCGCTTTATATACTCTTCAATTACCATTCAACAGCACGCAGAATAATTCAAACGCCGTACTTGCGACACACTTCCAGAAGAGATTCCCGGGGTCCAAGAAGAGCATCGGACATCGCTAGTTACATACTTTAAGTTTCATATCTGCAGCTAACACAGGAAGTTGTTCTCGCCATCAAAGCAATGTCGCCAAGTACAGTTCCTGAAGCGTAGGAAGGAGATGAGGCTGACTGGCTGTCCTACAACCCTAATAGACTACTCACAACTAGCTACAGTAAACTCTTGAATAGTTAGTTCTGTTGTAGAGGATAATTGTATTTATACTCCTCAACTTCATATTTGCATTCAGATGTAATTGCATGGAAGCTTCATTTCCGAATAGCCGACCAATTACTTGGCTGCCAAGCCCGACATTGAAGACATTGAGGACTTCTAGGTCCATTCTTTCATATCTCTCGTAGATATTTCTATGCTTCAAGTCGTTGGATGTTGTACTGTGAAACATCTAATATCAAAATCTATGACATCTTTTTCCTTCCAGTCATAGTCGTCCGTACATTCAGTCACCCGACACGACCACAACATCTAAGCTTTCTTTCATTGACCGCACGGCCTATTTATCGAACCATCTCCTGATCTATGATCTAAATCCCCCTTTATTGTTGTCCGGAAGAATGATATCAGAATTTTGTACCGTCTGCACAACAACTCTACACGCTGCATTGGAATCAAAGTCACATTGTTCTTAATTTAAGTCCTTGACCTGAGGCCTTGCGCCAACACTGTAACTTGGAATCCTTCCACAAGACTGTTGTATCTTCGGTCAGCCACTGTTCTTATAGATTTAGGTAGCATTGGCTCCATCAATGACGTCTCTATTCCTATGCATAATCCAAGTTTGGACGCCAATTTTGGTACGAGTGAACATCATCTAGCCGCGATGCACGTACCATAATCTCCAATCTTGGGGTTTAAGGGTTGGGTCATTCTAGGCCGGGGGGTCCAGGCTCATGGAGACATGACAATTGGAATGCATAGGAAGGTGTTAGGGTTTGTTGTGAGACATGGAGCGTGAAGTTCTAATTTCAATGATGAATGTGCAATGATGGGTGAAATCTGATCGCGGAAGTATCATTGGGAACATTCATGCTCTGTATACACTAGAGGGAGGTGGCAGTTTTCAGTTCAAGGGAGGAGTGCCTATAAGCACCTACAAGTGCCTAACTGCATTATGTTCTGCTGCTACCATCAATTCTCTGTCAGCCATTTACAAAGTTGGTTTGGCGTCGGCATTACCTCAGATCCAGCAAATGTGGAGTCTCCGGCACATAGAAGGCGTTCGAACAAAGCAAAGCATCTATCGGAGGTAATGTATCTAGCAAAGGCGATGTGATCCAACAGGCTGGGGAAAACTGTCTTGTCCGGGCTTTCCATCCCAACCATTGGAGCCTCGTCATTATTCCCTCTAACACATGCATTTGGTCTGTTCCATGTTGAAATTTTGTACCTTTACCTTCTTTCCATTCTCATTATGAGTACTATACAAACATGTATTCGAATACGGGCGGTGCATGGTGGGAGTCACACAGGGCTCATATTGTTTATAGGATTGACATTGCACATCTTCTCAATATGGTTGATTAGAACTAGGCTTTTAGGATCATAGCATTGGTATTGGGAATGGAAGATCCGTTATGTGATCAATTTACAGATTTCAGCCCTTGAACACAAAGTCTAAATTATACCTACTTAGATTCAACTGAAGACCCCATTGCAGTCAATAGAAGTCACTTCCACATACCCTCAACACCGGGCCAGTCGTACAAGCTCAGTTAGTTCTTGTATTACTACCAATTCCTTGAGATCCAAAGTTACTACAATAGCATTGTCGCGTATAGACGCCTCTATAGTAGGGAGCATCACAGGTACGTCTCGCAACTGGTGGACAGGTATGATAAGTCGTTATTTACTTCTATCGATAGGCCTCTGGAGGTAGGTGGATGGTGCCTCGATCTATCTACACCCTGCTTTGTGCCTTCCCCCTGTACATGTGATCTCCGAACAGCTTCATCTATCCTACTACACCACAGCATCATCTCCTCCAGCGCATAGGACAGGGAGATGTCTTTTGGCAGTACTTGAGTACCTCGAGCCGCGAGTTTGCCGCATGAAAAAACACTCATAACTGAGAACGATCATGATGATCTGTTGATTTAATGAGGTGTCTTATGCGCCTTTCATGCTCCGTTCGTTCCAGCATCTCACCATACCTCGTTTTTCTATCTGTTCAAAACAGCTCATATTCGCCATCAATCTCTTGGTCATGCCTAACTCGGACGGATAGATCTCCTGGTCCACCCATCGAGAACTCGGACCCACCAATGAGCCCATGTCCTCTGACCACCCAAGCCGCCTAGCCCTTCCAATAATTTCGTCCCTATCCAAGATACAGCCACTTGCGAGGTCTTTGGTAGAAGTAACTGGGTCGGGTCTAAGACCAAAGGCTTCCGTTTCACGGCGTTCCAGGTACATCAAGAAGGCGATCGCCGTCTCTAGTGTTGTCTTCACTGCCCTAACATCGCCTTCGTCCAACTCTTCAATTTTCTTGACAATGGGGTCGAATGTGATGGGAGCGCTCAGCCCATCCTCAATGCCGGTACATGTGATGACCACGGGAAGCTGCGATATCGGCAGCTCCGGGTTGAAATTGGTATCAGTGACGGCGATAGCAACAGCACGAAAAAGTGGTTGGAGGATGAAGAATTCTTGGTCGAGAATAGACTGCCTCATATCTTGGTCATAACCGTCGTCCCTACGGTTGGTTGGGCCGAGCTTTTCCCACTGCTTGTCAAAGTCGTGTTCAGCCAACTCCTGGGCTAGATTTTGGCATCGTTCTACCTTGTCGCAGAACGCTTCATTCAGCTCTGCAGCCAGATCGGCTACTTCGCTTAAGCTTGTCGTGTCTATCTTGGGGTCCATCGTGGGCGATACGATTTTGACGAGGAATTGCCCGTACTCGATTTCGCTCTGGTATGGACGGAACCACATGCGGTATATGTAATGTAGCAGAGAGATCTCGAGCCACTTAGTCACTCTATAATTCCTTCCTTTAAGAATGTAGACAGGGGCCGCCTTGTTGCAAAATTCGTTGGCGAGTTGGAGGCTGAAGTCAGGCATCTCTTCGATATCGTCAAATGAAAATTCATTTATATGACGATGATTGCTGTAGAATAGATACGTATTGTGCACCTGTTCTTGATCTTCACGAAGTTTATGAAGAATTTTGTGCAGTGGGGCGACTGCAGTTGGCCCTTCAGTTGTCTGATTTTGTGGTGACATTTTTCGATTGAGTCGTTGTTGGTGGTAATGCTAGTGGTGGTGATGGTGATGATGGTGTTGATGGTGGTGTTAATGATGATGTTGATGATGGTGATGATGGTGATGATATGATGGTGTTGATGATAGCGATATCTGCCTGGTACTGAATAGTGAGAAGAAATGAGGAACACTGATGGATGAAGGTGCAAAAAATCGAGGTAGCAGTCACCTTTTATAAGTCCAAGTCAACCTTCTACCCAATCCCAGAGCCATGGTTAACTAATTGAATTGGGGGGGTAGGGGAGCAATATGACTCAATCTTTGTTGAACTGATGAGATCTTTATCCAACGACCTTGAATCATTCAAAAGCAGTGGATCGTTACCAGGGTACTGGAGTATTAGATTTTCCAGTATCGATAGGCACCTGTTGAATGCCTTCTTCGAAATTAGAGTCAGGAAGGTAAGTGACACGGTTTCAAGTTTTGTCAAAAGCTCTGATATGTCAATGTAAGGAGAAATGAGGTTCCAACGCAGTGCTTTGGTGTAATATGAGAATATCATTCAAAAGACCCTATGCTAGATAACTTAGATGGGCTTCGAGAACGCCATGTTGACATCGATGACAGATACATATAATGTCAGTAATATGACAAAAGAAAAAGAAGAACGTTTACAGGCTAGCGCGCAAATGAAGATCAGTGTTGTAAAGATCATTCCCAACATGCGTGTATGATCGGAAACTACGTTTCTGGAGCATCTGTCCTGTGAAAACTCTAGCTTCTAGTGGGCCATTAATGATTGAACATATATGTGACTCAGTCTTCGGGATTATTGGATGTTGGGCTAACCCCTAGTATCCTGGTGAACATATCAAGGCTCAACTTTTTTCAAAAGGCGGGAATAGCAATGACGGATTCAGTAAACTTTTATATTATCTGAATTTCTACTTTCTATTGAACCGTCGTCATTGGGCGCATCACCGTTTGTACGAGCATTGTCGGCGCTACCTGCAGTCTCAGATGTCAAAGCCTTCACCCTCTGGACCTCAGCAGATATCGAGGCTGTGAGAGCAACAATATCGGCGCCGCAATTCACAAAATGGAAGCCTTTCTTGTATCTTTCCGCAGCTGGAAGTGGGGTCAGTAACTGTACGGAGGTTGACGCGAATCAAAATCTGACCTGTTGCAGCATCAAGTGCGAAATGACCCGCATACTTTCCTGCTGCTAATGTGGCTTTGAGAACGCGCTCTGTGGCCTCCTGAACCTCGGGAGTTGTAGCATGATCGAAAGCTACGTAGCCAAGTGAAGAGGCAAGGTCATTTGGGCCGATGAAGAGCATATCTATGATTGTCAGTTAAAGGTTATCCCATGTCGTCCCCTCCTTTCATCTATGGTATCGTACCAATTCCGTCAACGTTCGCAATCTCTTCTACATTTTCTACGCCTTTTCGCGACTCGATTTGGACAAATATCATAACATTGGTATTCGCATTGAGGAGATAATCACGCCCGGTTAGATTAAAAGCTGCTGGGGCGAACATAGCTCCAGTACCCCTAAATCCAGTAGGATACCTTTTGGAAGGATATTTTGCCGATTCGACGATTCTTTGCGCCTGCTCCTTAGTCTCGCACATGGGCACCATGATAGCATGCGCTCCAGCATCCAGTGCTCGCTTCACCATCCACGGCTCATCTGCTGGGAGTCTCACAACGGGCGAAACTCCGCTCGACGAGATGGCACTGATCTGAAGATACATGTCATGGTCGTCGATATGACCGTGCTCACAGTCGATGAGAACCCACTACAGAATACATTTCAGCTCGAAAAGCGGCGATAAAGAAAAGGGCGATACTTACGTCTGGACCAAGCGAGGCAATTGTCTTTGCGAGCGCATGGCCAGGAAAGGTTAGCCATTGCCCCAGGCTGGGTCCTCGATTGTCCTTCGCCTGCTCTAAAGATTGTTGGAGGCGTGTTTTGCCAGTGGAGCTGACGACTGGAGACGCATTCTGGATTGCCATGGCAAAAGGTGGCTAAATTATGATGAAATGTATTCCGTGTTCTCTTTAACTATGCGGATCGAGATAACGTATAATGAATGCCGTCCATACTCTTTCACATTAGTGTACTAATACCAATACGATTGCATTTGACTCGTGTATCTATGACCGGCCGGAGCTCGGACCGAAGTGGACCAACCCCGCAAAGAAAGGATTATCACAAGTCATGAGAGAGCCAATTACCCCAGCACTAATAATTAGTTATGACTAGTTGCTGATAACAAGAAAAGCGGACACGGTAATTCATATCGTTATCAGTGACCGGGGTGTAGCGGTCTAACTAGAATAGATCTCGTAGTGCCCTGGTAACCAGCAACAGTGGATGTGAGGCCTCCTCTGACTTTCACCATATCAAAGATCCATTGAGTGATCTGTACCATTGTAATTCTCATTAGCTATTACAGACATGATGAATCGAGAAGGAAGTGACACGACAGCGTCTCGCGTCTGGCAAGCCTGCGTCAATTGCCGACGGAAAAAAGTAATGTCATTGCCTGGCTGAACACTCTGCTTAGCATCTCACTGTTATGCAGATCAAATGCGATGGAAAAGACCCCTGTCACAATTGTAGCTCGCGCGAACTCTTGTGCGATTATCCAGGTAGCAATGACAACGCATCTAATAGTCGCAGGTGTGTGGGCTTGTTGTTACTCTGCCATGTCGTCGTTTCTGAAGTGACCTAGTTATGTTGCATTACACGAGGCAAGGATTCAGCAGCTCGAAGAGCTTTGCCAAAATCTACAGGTCATTACAACACAGCTTACACAAGCAATCGAAAAGATTCCTCAAGGATACAGCGTAAACGCTTCTTGTCAACATGCGTGTAATCGAGGCGAAATTATTCATTCACACCCGTACGACAATTCGGGCCACCTGGATACATCACCAGCAACTGGAACGATTGAGACGTCACATGGTTTACCAGCAGAGACTGACCCTCACGAGGAGGCTGCGAATTCCAGAGCAGGATCCCATCAAAGAGAGGACGACGTTGATGGAAATGGTCAGGCTGGCTCTTCCACGAGCCCCTTTGGATCCTTGATCCAGGATAGCTCCGGGAATTCAAGGTATACAATCATCTCGCATATAATGATCAATATATTAAGTCAATCAGGTTTATTGGAGGGGCGAGTAACGAATTCTTGGTTCAAGCGATCCGGAGCCTGACTGTCGCGCAATCTGAGGGTGAAGCCGAGTCCTTAACTTTCAGCATTGGGAGCCACCACGACTCTACTATGACCACCACTGCGCAACAGGGCTTTGACTTACCATTCATGACCCACGATTTGAGGTGGCGGAATCTACCTTACTTACCCAAACCTGAAGATTTGAAATTGCCTCCCAAATACATCGCTGATATGCTTGTTGGACTCTATTTCGAACACTATCATTATTCCTTTCCTGTGCTTTTTAAGCCTCATTTTATCGAATCCTATAGGCAGCTATATACAACGACCAGGGAGCCCGCGCATGACAGTGGATTCCTTTCCGTCTTTTTCGCAGTCTTGGCATGCGTATCGAATTTAACATCTTCCGAAGGCCCTAATTCAACCTACCCAGGTTTGGAGTTCTACGAGAAGGCCTTGTTACTATATTACTCCTCCAATGGAAAGATTAGCAAAGCACAAACGCAATGTTTGGCCCTGCTTTCCATGTGTTGTTCTGGTTACAATGAAGCATCCACAAGCTGGCACTTTGCCGGACAAGCAGTCAGATCAGCGCAGGAGCAAGGATTTCACATGAGTGAATTGGTAAGGGCAGTCCTTCTATAGAATCGCGGGAGAGATTGATATATTGATCTGATGGCTCCAGATATCTATCCCTGATGATCCCCATAAAGACGCATCATCGTCACTCGACGCCGAACTAGCCCGTAGAATTTGGTGGGCCATATATTGTCTTGATAGGTCAGTCGCTAATTCCATGTTTACTGGCCTACTGACACTGAGTTTAGAGTAACGTCTATCTCTCTTGGGAGGCCTTCAGCCATCAATGATAATGACTGCTCATGGGAACTGCCACTGCTGATTTCCGACGAGCACTTGATCGATTCTCATGCCTTAGAAAACACACCACAAGATGGTCTAAGCTCACCAACTCCTTTGTCAGGTTTTATCAGGTTTATCCGTCTGTGCCAGATATCTGGCCAGGTACACAGCATACAAGCACCTTCCGAAGTTAGAGATCTTGGCCCAAGAGCTAGGCGAGGGCGGATAATGAAGCTCGCTTTGGATCAAGAAAGGGACTTGGAAGACTATGCCAAAGAATTGTCAGATAACTTGAATGAGTATGTAGATCTTGAGGCTTTGCGTACCAACGTTAACTGTCTAAGCAGCCCCAATTATCATGAGAAACCCCCGGCACTGTCTGTCCCAACATCTGTTATTCATGCAGGGACGCTTGTCACGTTATATCGGTGAGGAATTTCCGGACTCTAAGTTACTATACTTGCTAACTGTCATATAGTGCTTTTGCGAGTCGAAAGAACCCTTTCAGTCAACGTCAGACCATCACTAATTGCGTCACTGCTGCGAGAAACTGCATCAACTCTGCTATACTGGTTCGAGATTTCGTCCCTCCCTCTCATCTTTTGGCATTGTGTGTTCACTACCTCATTATCTCTGGCCTTGTTCTGTAAGATGATCCATTCAATACCTAGGTGGATTTTACCTCGAACACTAACAACGCGATAACAGTCTCCGAATGACGCACCCGGATGATATGAGAGACGATCCCGATTTGAAACTCTGCATTCGACTTTTAGGAGATCTCGAAGTAACTTGGTCTGGTGCGACTAGGGGAAAAGCAATCATCGAACAAACCCTGAAAACATTCCAATATAGTCGGGAGAATCAAGCATCCAATGTGGATATTCAAACGTTGTTTCATCATCCTGGGCTTGACTTTGGTGGTCTGGAGCTGTCAGAAGGATTTCTAGAGAATTTCTGGATGAGGGACCCGTTGCGACAAACCTCTTGATAGCCCATTCTGCCTTGGAGCAGTAGGTACATAGCCAGCTAACGATACTTCTGGTCTGCCATTGGTAATAATGGCTCTTGGCATCTTTACACCGCGTTACCCCAAAGCTGCCCAACAACCTTCCTTACACGTTTAACTCCTTCCTGTATTTGCTCTTTCTGCAAAACAATCAGCGATGCCAAAGTATGCATAGTGTGATGTACTTACACTCGGAGTCGCAAATGAGAATCGGAAGTGCGCAGATTGTGGCTCCGCCCCCCGAGATACTGTCGAGACCTTATCAGCCCCTTGCCAGGCGTGATAATACGATCCGGGTGTAAGAAGCACAAGCTCTGCGGCCATAGCCTCCCACAATTCCTGGGCAAATGCCTGCTCGGGGTCTTCCAGCGATTGGCCCTGCAGTTTAGTGAAGCGGGGAACTCCATGGAAGTAGAATTTTGACCAAACAAACATTCCAGCCTCAGGATCTTCGAAGCTGAACACTGGTAGTAATTTTCCGCCGACGGATTCTTGTATGCAGCAAACATAGCCTTTCGCATGTGGCAACGGAGACTTGGCCGCCGGCAACACTACGAAGTTCTCGTGGAAAGCTGAGATCAACCAATCTTTTCTAGTTTTGTATTGTAGCTGCAAGCCTTGGAGCCACGATAAATAACCATCAACACCCCAATTTTCAAAGAGCGCGAGAACAAACGCTTGACTGAGTCCAGCTGGATCTTGGGTTTCAACCTCGGTCGCTCGGAGCAAGCGTTCAGTGAACAAGGGATTGGCGACGAAGTAGCCTAGACGAAGCCCTGGAAACAGGGTTTTGGAGAACGACTCAAGACGAATGACACGTCCTTCGATGTCCATCGACAGGAATGATGGTATCAATGTATTGAGAAACTCGTTCGGAGGCAGCAGTTGGGTAGGTTGATGTTGGCTGGGTGTGTTTTGGGGATACTGTAGGCAATAGTATGGGTCATCTTCGACGATGATTACGTCTGGGGCGGTTAGTGGGATCCAGGATAGATTGAATTATTACGTTTCCGTACCAAATTCGACGCATATGGCGTAGATTTCACGTCGACGCTGCAACGAAATGGTAACGCCAGTTGGATTCGATCCCACTGGTACTAAGTATAAACTGGAGACAAAGTCAGTTCAGATGCGGGCATGAATTTGCTTCTTACTTACACGCTTGGACGTTTTCGTCCCTGTTTGGCTTCATCCCAACTTTCAAGCAACTTTTGCAGACCTTTAGCCGACAGGCCTTCTTCATCGGCGGAGACGGGTGTTGCTTTAATACCCAATGGTATCCATAGAGCTTGGGCGGATGGATATGTGAATTCGTCTACAATGACATAGTCATCATCCTCGCAAAGGAGACCGACAACTTTGGACCATGCGTTCGTGTTTCCTGGGTGAAGAAGACATTCGTATTCACATGGTGGGGCATGCATACGTTCTGTCAAGTCTCGGGTCAAGCTAAGGAGCTTCTTATTACCTGCACCAGATCCTAGTAATATCCGTCAGAGAAGAATGCAGATAAAATATTTTCATTGCCTAAATTGCATATAAGAGGAGTCTTACCGTACTGTAAGAATTCATTTAAATCGAGCTTTCCACTTGTCGAATTTCGGCTGATGTCAAGGCTAACCGTATTACTTTCTATGGAAGGATCCGACAGAGGAGGAAGACAATCAAATTTAGCATTTAGGAGGGGAAACATAGACGGATGGGGAAGACCTTTAGGCTTGTAAGTATATGTAGACTCGTAAGAAACAAGATGATCGTTGGGTACCTCCTGCCAGACTGATCATGCCATCCTGGCCCATGAATTTTATGATCTCCTTGAGAGGGGACGGATGACGAGCTCTGCTTTTCGAGTTGATATGGTGAGATAGATCTGGTTGCCCAGACGTGTACGCAATGCTGCCCATCTTGAACATGTTTCGACTGTGATCGTTTGCAGGCTGAGTTTGGCGAAGCTACGTTCTTATGTTACATTTATTTTTCTTTTCACCAACTCAGGTATCAGAGTCTTTTCTATCAAATTTTGAAAAGTGATGTATAAACGAAGATGAGACAATTATAGCACAATGTTATGAATTGTATCCTTATTGGCGGCGAAGCTGCCTGATAGCTGATGATGATATGAGGGGTTATCCGTACACCTATCACTCGGTCCGAGTTCCGAAATTATGGAGTAAATGCCCAAAGAGGAAAAGACATTGGATTTCGGCCGGTTCTCGGACCGCAGGTGTGCGAATGTCGCCCCTATGCTCGGACTATGCATATCACACAATGCTTGAATTAGCCTACTTGTGAAAGTTCCTCGTCCAGTATCGATTCGCTACCAATGAATGACTCTTGCGCTTAATTGTCATTGACGACCACTTTTGACCTTTCAAAACCATCGTCGCAAACTCAATGGGGAACACGATTTCATATGCAACGAAGCCCTATGACTTAGATCTTGGCGAGAAGGGTACAATACGCGGCTTACAGCATGACGAAAAGTCGCGCAGATACACAGGTATTCCTTACGCACTTCCGCCAACAGGCGAACATCGCTGGCGCAAACCAAGGGCTCTTCCATCCTCATGGGTATGGGGAGGCGAGAAGGATGAACCATACGATGCGACCAAGTTCAGGGCCATATGCCACCAGAATGCATTCCACGTTGGCAAAGCCGAAGGGGGCGATGGAAAATTCAGTGAGGACTGCCTGTTCATGAACATCTGGACGCCCGTTGGCGACGAAAAGACCTCAAAATGGCCCGTGATGCTGTGGCTACACGGAGGCTGGTTCCAAATGGGCGATCCGTCCCATGAGGCAGGCATGGACCCAACAGAGCTTATATCTTCTGGAGGCCTCAATGCGATTGTAGTTGCTATTGGCTATCGCCTGAATATCTTTGGGTTTCTTGCCGGCGAAGGCGTGCTTGATGGAAATTTCGGACTTTGGGACCAGCGCATGGCAGCTGAATGGGTTGAGGAAAACATCAACCTCTTTGGTGGAGACCCTGAAAACATTACACTGGCTGGACGAAGTGCTGGAGCATACAGCGTCGAGGCGCAAATGCTCCATGAGTTTCGTCGGCCAGGACCCAAATCATCCCTTTATCGACGCGTGTTTATGGATTCCAACGCCGTGCCAGCACAGCCAAAATCACTACGAGATACAGCAGCTCAATTTGAGGAGGTTTGCAATTACTTCAGTATGGACAAAACTCTGTCTGGCGAAGAGAAACTAGGACAGCTTAGAAAGATCTCGGCACAAGAACTACTCGAAGCTATTCCCAAGCTCGAAAACCACACGTTTCGCCCGGTCACTGATGATTCCTTCCTACATTCCGGCATGATGGAGTACCTCAAGAGTAAAGAATTCGCCAACGAATTCCAATCTAGGGGATACAAGATTCTGATCGGCGAGGTCGCCAACGAAGAGACCCTGTACTCCGTCTACAATAGCCCTACTGAGCCAAGCATAGAGTCGCTGAAATTACAAGTGATGAACTATTATTCGCCCAATGTGACAGAGAGGGCAATTCAGCGCTATCAGCTCCCGCAGTCAGACAAGTTAGAAGACTGGAAGAAGGTGTTCGGTAAGCAACTCAGATTGACAAATAATGAGAAGACGATCAGTAGTAGCTAACCTACACAACAGGTAATATAATATCGGATGGCCAGGTTAGAGCGCCATCAAGATCTCTGGTCAAAGGTTTATCGTTGAACGGAGTGAGGATCCATGATATATGGCGCTATCAGATCTCCTACCGGCTCTCATTTATTGACGATAAGGTTGCACCTATGTCATTTGGAGTCGCACATGCAATGGATAAACCGTTTTGGAAGTGAGTGTCTATTTTTGAATGACCAGGTTGTGAACGTCACTGACGAAACAGTTTCTCAATATCATACGGCCCAACGCCACAAGAGAGGCAACTGATGGAGGACTGGATCCAGATCCTGTGCGCTTTTGTCAACGACGATGGATCATATGATTTCGGAACTAAATCTGTACGGGATATGAAAGTCATCACTCCTGCAGGTGACATTGTGGTTCGGGAAGATGAGCGCTGGGACGAATTGATTGAGATTGGCGGAATATTCAGTGGCGAGGAAGGTCGCGGACCTGGTTAGCAAATGAAGAATTTTGACCAACCTGACAAAACAATGATAATTCAACTAATAAAGGAGGTACCCAGACGTGACACTAGATATGGTTAAACTATCATGTACCGGACTATACATGTTAAGCTGAGATGGATTGAAATTGCAGAAGATGTGGCAATTTTCTTGCTACTAACTCGAACGATATATGTGGCCGGACGACTGTTTCAAGACCTGATACTATATCACTAATATAGATTTGTGTAATAGAGTCGAAATGAATGATTATGGATTCTCTTGCAGTGGCGAGTGGTGCTGGCCAATTGGAGTATCTACTGGAGTGAACAAATATGTGGAAATTAAAAAGTGAAAGTAATTAAGAGGTAATGATGTTCAATTTAGAGGACAGATTCACTGTAATGAGATGCCACCAACCCGGCTTCTCGCGTATATCGGTGTTATTTCTTCTCAAAGATGCATTGCAGACATCAGTACTTGTACTGGAAATAAATATTCTCGCGATCAGTCATATCGGCTTCAGCATTCAATTTCCCAAGGCGCAAGCATTCTTCCTCCGAGGTTCCCTGGTCACGGATGATTTTCGCACGGCGACGGTTCTCCCAAATGTCTGATGAGATATTTAGCATAGCACACGGAGATAGCGTTCAGAACTTACAGTAGAATCTCCATATACCCATGCTGCAGAACTCCACAATATAAAGGACGGCACAAGCTGTGAGACCCTTGATGTATTTCGGCGCGTCAGATGCGACGAACATCTGAGCTCCGACGGCATTGCCCACACAGTAAGCGATGAAAATAACCGTCGCTGTCACCGTCTTCTTGGTTCGGCCCGCAACGTTGGAGGGCAGGAATGTCCAAATCACTGGTGCAATGTTAGCCAATGAGCAGTTTGCAGAAGAGACATACGTACTGAGTCCGGGAAGTGATCCAAACACTTGTAGAATATACATCCCCCATCTTGTCCATTTCATGCTATTTTGTGGTAGGAATGCAAGAGCCATCATACCAGAGAAGGCTGGCACGAGAGAAAACATCATCATCAAGACTACAACAATTAGATCAGGTGAAGATCAGGCTTGGGGCATCCAAACTCACATCGAAGATTCGATCGTTTCAATGTGATATATCCCACAACAAGAAACCAGCAAATGCTAACGCAGTAGTATGGTGTGGATCCTTTGAGCAGTGTTTCGAGGGGAGTGAAGCCAAAAGATTTCCAGATTAGTTTTGAGAAGGTCGTGTTGGCACCGTTGGGAAGAGCGTTGATGATTGTTATGAAGAAGAAAAAGTAGGTCTGCGGGTCTGTGCAAAAGAGAAGTTAGCATCGTAGAGAATTCGCTTCAAATACTTATGCGTGCTTGGAAATAAGGTACCTTTGAAAGCGATCCAGACTTGATCCCACTTGAACTCGGATCTCTTCTCGCGATCGGAACCTGTCTGATTTGCGGTCACTCGTGCGATTGCAGCCCTCTTCTCCTTTTCGCTCAACCATCGGACCTCACGGGGCGTCCCGAGAATGAACCAGACGAGAATACCGCAGGTTATAGTCAAGGCTCCAAGAAGGAAGGAAATGCCTTTCCACTGCATAATCATTTAGGATTGGCACTGATCTTTGGACAAGGTAATAACATACAGCTGCTACGCCGCCAGGATGCTTCTCTGCATGGAGACCAATACCGTACATACTCAACCCGGCTAGAATATTCATTCCAGCATTTGAGGTGCCCCAGATAAGGGATCGGATCGTATGCTCTTGAGAGGTGTACCAAGCACCGGTCATGAGCATGAAGGTCGGGGAGATCGTGCATTCGAGCGCTCCCTGGATTGCGCGTAGAACCATGAGGTGCGTAAAGTTCTTAGCAAATGCGATGCATAGAACGATGACACCCCAAAGCACCATCACAATTGACAAGAACTTGCCCGTGTGACATTTCTGCATCAACCAGTTGCCTGGTGCTTCGCAGACCAAGTATGTAAGGTAAAAAATGGTGCTCAGCCAGTTGAACTGCTCACCAACAAGTCCTGTATCTTCGCGAATGCCGAATACAGCTTGGACGCTTAGGGACGTCTTGTCGGTTTGTTGCGTGCCATAGCAGACCCACATCAATGGCAGAAGCCAAAGATCGATCTTCCATAGCAACTTTCGATAGTACGCATCTGAGAATTCCTCAGAGTCTGTGACTTCTCCTGGTGCAATGTCGTCTGGTGTTTTGCGATCGGGATCAATTTGCTCCATCTCGAGGCTAGGATGCTTCTTGTCGTTCGAGGTCTCGGTAAGTCTTGCATCCATGTTGATGGTAATGCTGCAAAGCGAACGAGTACAGAATATTACTTTTCAACCATTCGGAGTCTCATATAAATCGACTTCTTGCTTATCATCCCATTGTTACTCGAGCGCGTCGCAATAGTGTCGTTATCATAGCCTCTCCTGGGAAAGATAAACTAGCGGTAACCCAACGCCTATCTCGGCCGGATCTCATCCGGCAGCCCCAATCTGGATTTCTGGCGTGACAATACCCGAATGATCTTCAAAAGGGTCGGATAATGTAGAGAGCCCTGACTCTGGACGATGCGCGGCTTCAGCAAGTGAACACTATCTCTCTGCTCATGGTCAGTTAATGATATTTGCTAAAATTGTATGTTCTTGGTCAAATTTCGTATTGCGAAGCAGTACCGCCTCTCTTGGGTCCTCTTACTAGTATTTTAACAACTGTCTCTCAGAGGTGATAATGGAGAGCCTGGTTAAGCACGTATCACATAATTGATCATTGAATTCATCCAGAACAATCGTGTCGCCCTGTATGCTTTGTAACCAAATCTCAACAATTAAGTCACTTGTACGACTAGTGTATCAGGAAGAGCTTTACAGGCCTCTACAGAAATTCTGGAAAATAGCCCATGATACGAAGCTGCCTACATAATACTTATCTTTCATTTGCGATGAATGCTCCAGTCTCAAGCAAGAAAGGGCAGTATTGTGCAAGAAAAACGTGGAGGAATGCACGAAAACTGAACTTGACCCTAAGTTATCATATTCAATTTATGCTTCCTTCTCCTTTCCTCTCCATTCCATGGGTCATTCTGAACATTGTACATGATGTCGATCCATCAGTTTCGTACCTAATTGCATTTTACGAAGACTGGAACGTTCTCGTTCGCTGCATTGAACGAGATGTCGCCACACTCTCACTTATTGGTGGACTCCAAACCTTGCCACGAAATCACATGTGGCTGGTGACTTTTCTAAAACGAAGTGTCATTCGCATAAACACGGATAAGAGTGCATCTCGATTGAATTGTATTTGAGACACTGATTTCTTGTTAGAATCTCTTTGACCATGGAAAGGTTTCAAGCTTATTGTGAACTCATCGAGAAAGGAGGTTACTTTGGTATTGGTTTCATTTGAAGAGTATCTGTGGGTAGAGACTTTTAAAGTAGGCCTTGGTTGATAACGCCATGTGGTATGCCTAGGGGCGATTCTCATCATAGACGTCGTACTTATATTTGCTGCCCTCGTGGTCGTCTCTTAATCCCTTCTGGCCCTTTCCATAAACCTTCTCCCTCGTTGTCAATCCATCAATATCTTCAGGCTGAGGGTAAATGCCTCTCCTCCTCAACTCAGGGATCAAAAGATCGACGACATCCTCGAAGGAGCCCGGCGTAGTAACATAGCCGATATTGAAACCATCGACGTCTGCCTCCTTAACCCATCTCTCAAGCTCATCCGCAACCTTCTCAGGCGTACCGATCGCCACAGGTCCAAGACCACCGATGGATGCCTTCTCCGCAATAACGCGGGGTGTCCACTTCGGAATATCGGGTGACGTAACAGTAAATGCGTCAAGCAAAGATCGCACACGATGATCGGTTGTCAGGTCCTTTTCCGTGAGCTCATGATCCGGGTCGTACTGGCTGAGGTCGATGCCCGACCATCCCGACACGAGGACCAATCCTCCAATCGTCGACACGTACTTCAAAAGCTCTTTGTGCTTCGCGTCCGCCTCCTCCTGCGTCCGGCCGATGATGGGAGTGAATGTGGAGAAGAACTTCACGCTGTTGGGGTCGCGGCCTTTGCTCTTCGCTAGCTCGCGGATCTTGTCGATCTTGGGCCGGAGGACCTGTGGGGAGTGCGAAGAGACGAAAATGGCTTCTGCGTGGGTGGCGGCGAATTCTGAGCCGGCTGCTGATGTGCCGGCCTGGAAAAGAAGTGGAGTGCGCTGGGGAGACGGGTCGACGATGTGGCGGGACTCGATGTTGAAGAACTTTCCGGAATGCTTGATGGTGCGGATCCGATCGGGGTCGATGTATTCATCTTTTTCGATGTTTTCGGTTATGGCGTCGTCGGACCACGAGCCTTCCCATAGTCTGGAGATATATTAGTAATGTTCCATATATTGGAAAAGATGGGAGGATATGGGGATCAACATACTTGTAAAGAACCCTCAAGTACTCATCTGCCTGCTCATAACGCTGATCGTGCTCAATGGGAGTGTCAAGGCCGATGGCCTTGAACGCTGCTTTCTTCCACGAAGTGACGATGTTCCAGCCAATGCGACCATCAGTCAAGTGGTCAAGTGTACTGAAGCGTTTTGCCAGGAGAAATGGGGGTTCGAAAGAGGTCGATGCGGTGATGGCAAACCCAAGGTTCTTAGTCACTGCAGCCATGGCAGAGATTGGCTGTTACTCAGTCAGTACTGTTCCTCAAGAAAGGAAGCGCCAATGTGAAATACAATAGTTGGGTCAGTCATTGGCCATTGTGCCGCCCTTCGGATACAGTTGTCGAGGCTGTTCTCATATGTGTCGTATCCTCCGTATGTGTCTGCAAGGAAAAGCGCATTGATTCCTCCTCGCTCTAGGAGCTTAGCTAGATCGATCCAGTATTTGAGTTTCCTCTTTGTAGCAGATCGGTCATTGGGGTTCTAAATCCTCTTGTCAGATAGCATCGACGGCGGTGATAGACTCATACAAACCTTCCACTGCCCGGGAGACAAGTGTCCGACGGTTGACATATCGAACGCATTGATGAGAATCTGCTTCTTGGGCGCAGCGGCACCATTCGTAGTTGTTTCCGCCATTCTGATGGATACAATGTCCTCAGTTGTCTGGGATTATGTCTGCACGTGATTTGCTCTGTTGATAGAGAACGTGTTATAATCGGACAATACAGCAGCAACAACGGCCTCTTTCTACTTTTTCAATCAAAATTCCTTGCCCCTCAACGCGCGACAAACGCGTGAGATCAACATGCATAAAGACAATTCTGCCCCGCTTGCCCCTCTGTAGCATCCGATGTCGTCGTTGTTAATGCCACTTTCGCCATGCAGGAATCCCATTGCGCAATCCCCTCTTGGTCGGAGAATTGCCGGATATGTATGTTTGTCACTCTACAACAGTAAACAAAAGCCAATACCATTCCCGGGAATTGGAGATAAGCTTGATTTACGTCTACGCCTATATGACCTGTTAATGGTGTGTATGGTGACAGGGGTGTTCGCGGTTCCTAATCGGGATCCCGAATAAGGCGTTCACTGGGATGTAGTTGAATTGCATTGGATTGCACAATCTACGCTATCATGACTCCACATATCTCTCGGATAGGCCTTCCGTCAAGGGTTGCTTGAATCATTCTAAGTTGACCTGATTTCTTGTGAATATGAAGGACTGGGGTTGATATTATTCTCGCTTTGTTCCGATTGGACAATGCCGCTATAATTATTCCATTGCCATTTTGGTGGGCATCATATCACAGAACTATCATCAAAGGGGTTCCTATCAGAGTATCTAGAATCGAAGATATAAGATATCTTATCAGAGCGCTGGACGGGTATTAATGTTTACATCTTAATATTGAGCCAAACGGGAAGACGTACGTTGATAGTTTGGTCACGACTGAAAAGGGTTTAAAGATCTATTATGATGCGAGCCATATTACCTTGTATCATACGTACAGTGGCATGCATATTCTGGTCAGAAGACAAGACGGATTCTGACATTCCTTCGAATATATTCTGTCCTTTAGCGAACGAACTGGTACTGTTTGCCATACTGAAGAATAAGTATGTTGGGTCCGACAGGGACAAAGTCAACACGTGGGAACCCAAAAGCTTAAATTGCCATAAAGACGATAACGACGATCTATGCAGTCGCGAACGAAATAAGCTCTTCTCCCTGGAACTCTAGATCTTCTTTCAATCCAGAAGTGTAGACATTAACACCAGAGGGTCTTAGCGACTGCTCACCATCAGAAAAGGTATGTATACACAACTAATTGATGCTTGATTGGCCAAAGCGCTTCCGAAGATACAGATGGAACGATCATTAGGGTTCCGATTCGAGATCAGTTTGTGTGCTCTTCCATGTTGCCTGGCTGACACGCCATTGGGCATGCAACGGGATTTTGCTGGTGGCAGTCTATGGTGATGCTGATTGAAGAACATCAATGGAATAAAACACGATCGATGTCTTCAGATGTATCTCATGTAAGCTTACGTTGGTAAGTCGGACTTTCTTTACTGATTTCGTATTCACTGCCAGGGATTTGGCTACGCATCGTTGTACGCGACCTATCTCGACTGCAGGGTCTCGCCATGCACTCTGTCACGTTGTAACTTGGGACGGGGAGACTAAACTTCGGGCTAATTATGGAAAGGGTCCGGGAAGCACGCTTCCACATGGTACTTAATTGAACATGATTGCTAAGAGACGCTGATAATAGTCGAAACCTGAGTCGTCCGGTTTATATCGTTCCAAAGGGCCGGCGGCTGGGACAACGTGGGCGAGTACGGGGTTGAACGATACCGTCAACAGGTGGGGTGAAGACGTGATCGCACGAATTGTAGCGCCATAGTGACGATCTTGCCCAGCGCAAAGGTACCGATAACGGTTCTTGACATCGGGTGCAGCAACGGACGATAACCTGACGACAAAGCCTGGATTCAATAAGAGCTCAGCTCCAAGTTCGTGGCGCTGAAAAAAAAACGCAAAGCAAAAGAAGGTCCGCTTCGATTGTTGTGAACATTCACTGATTTGGTGTTACTCTTGCTTGGTGCTCAGGTACAGTACAATTGGGGACCGCGCTAGTCGATAATAGGAATGGCATCATCCAAAGTCATTCCAGATACCGACAAGGTTGGTGAAGAGGCACAAACGTCGAGCTCTGTACGACGCGTCGCACAGCTCACTGATCATCTGGCATCTGCTGAAGAGACTGAGCGAGTGAACAATTCTGCTACGCCTTCACAAGAATATCCCAAATCCAATCATCAATTTGAACCCAATCGTTACATCGATGATGTAAGGGAATTGAAGGTAGCAGTGGTGGGTGCAGGCCTCGCAGGTATCAATGCAGCGATCCTACTCCCTGCGAAGGTTCCACGGATCAATCTGACCGTCTTTGAGAAAAACGAGGATGTGGTAAGTGAATTCATCATCTATCAAAAAGCCCAGGACTTACAATATCGAAGAGTGGGACATGGCTCGAAAACGTCTATCCTGGTGTTCGATGTGACATACCTGCCCACGTATATCAATCAACATATTCGCCAAATACGCAATGGTCCGAGCAATTTGCGGAGGGATCTGAGATTCGAGATTACTGGCAGTCTGTCGCAAAGAAGCACGAAGCATATCGGTACATCAAATTTGGTCGACGCGTCGACGATGCGTTGTGGGACGACAATGAATCACAGTGGATTTTGAGGATACAAAATCTCAAAACAAAGAACACAATTGTCGAAAAGTTCGACTTTGTGATCTTTGCTCTTGGTCGCTTTAATGCCTGGAGATTACCCGACTACCCAGGTATTGATGAGTACAAGGGGCACCTCAGACATACATCGAATTGGGATCCTGCTTTCGACCCCAAAGGCAAAAATGTTGCAGTTATTGGCAATGGCGCAAGCGGTATTCAGGTCGTGCCTAACCTACAGCCTCTCGTCAAACACATCACTCATTTCGTACGCAACCCCACTTGGATCGCAACTTCTTGGGCAGGAGACGAGCGAACATTTGAGCCACAGCCTTTCTCCAAGGAACAGCTAGAGTCTTTTGAGGATCCCGAGAATTACGTCAAGTACAGGACGGAGCAGGAGGATAAATACTGGCGGCGATTCAAGGCAATGGTGAGAGGCACGGAAGAGAACGAAAGCATTCGGGAGCTTTTTATTGAAGTCATGAAGAAGCGGGCGGCAGAGAAACCAGAGCTTCTCGATGGACTGATTCCGGATTTTGCACCCCATTGCAGACGTCTTACGCCTGGCCCGGGGTACCTCGAATCGTTGACCAAAGAGAACGCAACTCTTGTCAAAGACAAGATTAAGCGCTTCACGGCTACCGGTATAGAAACCGTTGACGGGGTGCATCGCGAATTCGATGCGATACTGTGTGCTACTGGTGCCAATACTGACCTGGTCCCCCCATTTCCAGTCAGGTCAAGAGGAATCAATCTTCAAGAAGCTTGGAAACCAGGCGGCAAGTGGGGTTTCCCTTACACATATCTGGGAGCCTCAACCCCTGGATTTCCGAATCTCTTCTTCCTTGCGGGTCCGCATGCCACTGGTCCATCCGGAACCGTTCCTTACGCAGTAGAGACATCCTTGGTCTATTACAGTAAGATTCTCCGCAAGGTTTCATCGCAAGGCATAAAGAGTATCGTGCCATCCAAAGAGGCCGCCGACGATTTTGTCGACTATTGCGATGCCTACTTCCCATCTACTGTGTTGACAGATAATTGTTCCTCGTGGAACAATGGCGGGATACCTGGCGGTCGGATTCATGGATTATGGCCTGGCAGTGCTGCACACGTCACCATAGTGAAACGTGACCCACGATGGGAGGACTGGGAGTACGAACGGGTTCATAAAGGCAATCGGTTTGCATACTTTGGCAATGGCTATACCAAAGGTGAAGTCGATGATAAGAGCGACCTCACATCATATCTTAAAGCACCTGGAAAGGAGACAGACTTGCGAGATCTACATGAAAGTTGGTGGGACTATCCGGGCGCAACATTGAAGCAAGAATAAGTAGCAAATAGAATCAACGTAATTTTTCATCGATTATGATATCGTACTCGTGCAATTCTCACTAGGAATTTCCAATGTCTTATTCGCCACAGTCTCAGATAAATGTGCATACAACTTTTGTCCATAAACTTTCAAGCTTTGACTGCTCTAAATCTTTGATTATCCTTCATACCCGATACTCGGGCAGCGTTCCGCGCGTTGAAGTAGCAGGTGCTTTCGCAATTGATGACTCAAGCTTGTGAGGCTGACGCCTCGATGTCGCCTTCACCAAATCTTCTCAATCAAAGACTGATTTTACGCTTGATAGTTTCCTAGAATGTTTGATTTTCGATTTCCGACCGATCGTCATTTAGGAAATTGTAGTGTCGGTGCATGGAGTTTCGTGTTGTTGTATCAGCAAATTATCGGGTCGATGGCGTGCTCCCTCACCAGTCTTGACCCAACCTTGGAAAGTGCTCAACTCCAGCATCCCAACCCAACGTTGCATATGTCAAAATTCGCCGGACAAGCTCCAAACGAGTCGGCAAATTCGACGCCATCCTGGTTTTCTCCCGGCAGTGCCGTCAAGTCCAGACCTTTCCTGGGTCAAAGCTACATTGCTAGAAACTTGGAGCACATGGTTCACATTGGGTCTAGTGCCCGATATTTGAGATCGACGCAATAATGCACACCCCCATGCTGCCATATATATTGACACCCTGAATCCTTCATCGTAATGGCATCAGTCTTGTCAATCTTTCGTTTTTCAAGATAATTCTGTAGATATTGTTATAATATCAAAATGGCGGACTCAGAACGATCCCCTGCTGGCAGCGACTATGCTGAAGAGAAGCGCAACCATCCTAGTACGTCCATTTCACCTTTGAGATAAACAAGCAACTGACCATATCAGCCAAATGGTACCGCTCTACCTTCTTCAACATGACCATTCTAGGTCTTTGCAATTTCTCAGCACCTGGGTACGATGATTCCTCACCAAGTGTCGCGATCCAGTATTAACTATCTTCAACAGAATTTGGGGTGCCATGAATTCACTTGGTGCTGGAGGCGCGGCAAGCCCTCATTTGATCAATGCTGCCAATGCCTTGACATTCTGCTTGATGGTTGTCTCTTGCTTCTTCTCCAGTGTCATCGTCAAGTACATCGGCATCAAGGGTGCATTGATCTTCGGAACGTACGTTCAAGTTCCATCCCTTCTGCTCCGAGCGATATACTCACAAATGCAATAGTCTCGGCTACGCTCCCTTTGCAGCTGCTCTTTACACCAACAATCGCTATGGCACCGAATGGTTCGTACTTTTCGGCGCAGCTCTTTGCGGTATCTCAGCAGGTGTTTTCTGGATGGCTGAGGCTGCCATTGCTATTGCCTACCCTGAGCCATGGAACAAGGGTAAAGCCCTCGGATACTGGCTCACATACCGTCTTGCCGGTCAGGTTTTGGGCGGTGCCATCAACTTGGGTCTCAATGCCGACCGTGATCAAGCTGGCAAAGTTTCCTACACTGTCTTCCAGGTCTTCATTGCTCTGCAGTGCCTTGGGCCCGTGGTCGCACTCTTCTTGAACAAGCCAAGCCAGGTCCAGAGGAAGGACGGAAAGAAGGTCGAGCTGACCATCTTGGAGAATCCAATTTTCGAGATGAAAGAGACAGCGAGGCTGTTCTTCACAAAGCGTTTCCTCCTGACCGTTCTCTGGATCGGACAGGCCGTCTTTTCCGAAGCTGTGTACTTTACCTATCTCGCCCGTACGTTTGCTCCCCCCTCACATATGATATTGCAATCATCTAACAACCACCACAGTCTGGTTCTCCGTCCGCGCCCGTGCTCTGGGATCATTCGTATCCGGCATTGCCGCTGTCATCTGCGGTAACCTCGTCGGAAACTACCTCGACGCCACACGCTTCTCCCTCAAGCTGCGATCGCGCTCTACTTTCTGGACCATCGCCGTCCTCCAGGGCGCATGGTGGATCTGGATCACCGTCCTCGTCACCCGCTACCGCACCACGCAGCCAACCTACGACTGGTCCAGCAGCGGATTCGGCCACTCGTTCGCCGTCTTCGTGCTCCTCACCGCCGGCTTCCAGGTCAACTACCTCTTCCTCTACTTCTTCATCACCAACCTCGCTAAGAACGAGCCCGAGGTCATCCGCTACGCGGCGCTGCTCCGTGGAACGGAGAGCGGGTGGCAGGCTGTATCCTACGGTCTCACCAGCATCACGCTCTTCGCGGAGGTCGGAGCCGTCTACTTCAACTTTGCCCTCTGGGCCGTTTCCATCTATCCCGCCTGGTTGGTCCTCAAGCATTTCGGTACCGACAACGAGAGCATCGTTGAGCACCATGTCGGGGACACTGTCGTCGAGACTGGTGTTGTCAGGCACAGTGTTGAGCAACCTAAGGCTTAATTGGATCACTATACACTACAAAACTGGCGCGGATACAACAGTTCTGATTTCATTTTTCAAGTAGATGGAATGAATACCAGATCGCATCTTTTGAAGCTCAGCAGTAATAATTAGACCGTAGCAATTATTAGATATGCAATATTTATTTTCCATACTACTTTTCTAAATGCAAAACTTTGAATACAACCCACTTTCTTTCTATATCAAACGCAAAAAAAAAGATCGGCATATCCCTCCATACGCAATACGTATAGTACCCAACCCCATCACCCGCACCACGAACACATAAAAGTCACAAACACGCACACATATGAACACGAACAGCCCACCAACCCCAACCCCATCGCCTCCCGCATATCCAATTTCCGTTCCACCTCAGCTCACCGAACTAAACATGCCACAATATCAGTCAATTGCACCATGGACTCCCTCCCTCTCCGATCCCGCACAACCCGTCGTTGTCGTAACACCAAACGACGCGAAACCCGTCTGATTGGCCCGGCGCCTCGTAACACGTTTTCACCGGACGCCACACGTTCGTTTACTCCAGGTCCCTCGTGTGGGTGTGGGGGGTACTCGGTAAGGGGGAGAGGGATGCTAGCGGCGTCTTGCGTGCTTTGGGGACGTGTGCGTGTGCTGTGGAGGGTGGTCGTTGTTGGAGGAGGGTGATTGGTTCGGTGGGCTGAGGTGCGTTTGGGGCGGGCGAATCAGAGAGAGGGAGAGGGCGAATGGAAGATGGGCTGGGGCACGTTTTTTGGGTTGGGTTGGTGATTGATCGGTGGAATTGTTGAATTACTGGGAGCCATTGGGGTTTTTTATGCATTTGTCGGGCCGTGGTGAAGCTGTGTTTGTGAGGGCTATTATGGCTGCGGGAGGTGTAGTTAAAGGTGTGAAACTTGTCTGTCGTTCAGAAGAAGATAGAATTGTGCGTATTTGAGCTGTGTACAGATATCCAGAAATCCCCTATGCATAAAAACGCCGTGATGCTTCTATGAGCTTTTAAAACGCAGAAAAGAAGGCTCCCAAAATCTGTTCATGAAAGCGTTGCAACCAATCGTCCTCCCCTGATCTCTCTTTTCCTTAATCTATCTAGTCCGTCATTGATTCCATCCAGTCCATCTACTGTTCCAACGACGTCCGGTGGAAGAAGTGCTTTGCTGAGAAGCAATCGCTCGCACCACTCACTCAGTGCCTCGCCTATTTCTGGAATCTCATGGTAAAGTTTAATTGGAATGCTGTGTAGGGCGGTGTTGTCTGGAATGTCGGTCTTTGGCAGACCTGTGAGGCCGACGAGATGTGAGCGTTGAGTCTTCGAGAGCTCTGAAGGGGTAGACGGTGGAGTTGGAAGTTTTGTCTTTACGGCTTCGTAGTCTTGAATATCGTTTGGCAAAGCGGTCTTGGGGTCTGTCGAAGCGAGAGATCGTAGAAGTTGTGCCGCCGAATCCTTGCCCTGGGTATCAAATCCAAATCGTGCAGAGTTCTCAGTTGCAGCACGGATTACTGCGATGGCGCGCTCCGGGTCGTGGCTGTCGACGATTAAATCCGGCCTGATTGATTCTGTGCTCGAAAGACGGAGTCCATGCTTTCCTGTGTCTACTACCGAAATGATCTTAAGACCTGCCGCGCGTGCGATCTGCTTCATCGTGTGTGCGCATGTCGAACTTCCACCCCAAATGACCAAAAAATCACCGGATTTTGCCCTTTCCTCATCCTCGATGCCCTTCAGACACTCTTGCCTAATGTCTTCTGGTAGTCGCTCGGGGTCAATCTCCCGAACAATTTTACGTAGATCGGGCCCGTTCTCAATGTCTTCAAAGCTCACGCCCATGCAAATACCAAGGGCCAACACCGCTGCAACGAAGGCGACACCCAATATCGAACCAGACTCTTGTGATGTGTGCTTGGGTAATCTTATTGTGTTGAATGAGGACGCGATTGTGTACTCCTGGAATGCTGCTTTTCTAAGGTCACGGTAGTCAGTGGAGGGGACGATGACGACGTCGCCCTTTTTGATGCGAGAGTTTGGTGCGGATGGTGCCTGGACGACAGTGCCGACAAGTTCGCGGCCAGATATGAAAGGTAGGGTTGGGATGCCGAAGCCATAGTCACTGCGTATAGTTAGAACGACGTAGTCCGTTGGCTAAAAAGAAGTTGAACATACGGTGACTTCCAGTCGATAGGGTTCAAGCCCACTGCATTCACTTTGACAAGAAGTTCGTAATCGTGCTCCAGCTTTGGTATCGAATATTCGGAAGTAGCCTCATAAGGCTGACGAACGGCATGAAGAAGGAGTGCGGATTGTTGCTCGGGTATCTCAACGTCGGCGGTGTCGCGGTGATAGTGGTGGGCGTCCTCTTCCTGGACAGAGTCCCTTTTGACGGTCTTCTCCTCCACGGACTCAACTTTGAGAGGCGAGGCACTGAAGGTGCTCTTCCTTCTCTTTGCGAACGGCCAAGACACCATGATTCCAGGACGTTGGCAACCAATGAATTCAGAAAAACAACACGTGAAGGTGGTCGAAAGGTCGAACGATGGATGGATGGATAGATGCAAGGTAGCAGCAACGCAGACGATGTGACTTTCAAGTAACCAGCCTAAGATGATAGATAATGCATCGATCCTTTCCGGCATTACCAATAACGATATTTCCGATAGTACCGAATTCGCGCCATGCACCAGTGATATGCGCCATGACAGTGGCGACTAGGGCGGGCAGAGGAGAATGCATTCATGGCATATCCTCTTCTGTGATTGCTTCCCAGACGTGGGAAGGATTAGCCAGGCGTCATTGCGTGATAGCGGAGTCGAGTCGCAAGCCCCCCACCCTGTCACGAAATGCATTGTGGACGATCCATCGTATGCTTGCTACTAGGTAGGTTACCTTGATTGAACAAAGTTGTAGGTAATTAAGCCGAGCCACAAGAATTTCGTATCATTGCGAATTCTGTATGGTAGGTGAAATCGTGCGACATGAGTCGTGCGCGACAGGTAGTTCCCTGTCAAGTCGTGCAAGTACTTGTTGTGTAATTGGAGTTAGCAAGCGACTTAGTTATCCATTCGGTGGATAAATGTTGTTGTTGCTCGTACTGTGATGTGACGTGATTGATTGATTGATTCGTTGTTTCGTCGCGGCGATTGCGTTGATTTGGAGGTTGAGCACATCATTCGCACTAACAATTGCGGAACACAACCCCATCCCATCCCCATACAATTCTTACCTACCAAACGCAGCACAATTCGACAAAGCGACATCGGATGATTAGAGACTCAATGCCTTCTCTTATCCTTCAAAACCCGCTGTTGGATGCGTATCTTTCCAAGAGCACGACATCTGCAACTTTTACTACGACATCATGGCCCCCAAGAAAGTTATCCTCAATGCCTTCGTGGAGATGTGTAAGTCATAGCACGTGATATGAAATACCATATTCCCGATACATGCAAACATTGTTATGCATGCCAGTAATATTGTAACTGACTCGACATGCCACTGATTAGGCAGTGGACATCAGTCCCCTGGACTCTGGAGACATCCCGATGACCACTCGCACGAGTTTAACAACGTCGAGCACTGGGTTGAACTTGCCAAATTGCTAGAGGAGGCAAAGTTCCATGGTATTTTTATTGCCGATGTTTTGGGTATGCCTAAATCCAAGATTCGTACCATAGTAATCGTGGGTATTCACATCAAGTAGGCGGTTACGATGTATACAATGGCAACCTTGATGCCGCCATTCGCTCCGGCGCACAATGGCCAGTCAATGAGCCTTTGGCGGTCGTCTCTGCAATGGCTGCCGCTACAAAGAGCATCGGCTTTGGTGTGACGGTATCGACGACATATGAGCAGCCCTACCACTTGGCTAGGCGGTTGTCCACCGTCGATCATCTGTCCAATGGAAGGTAAGAAACTCCGCAACCCTATACAGACCCCTTGCACTGCTAACAAAACATATAGACTTGGATGGAACGTACGTTCTCAATGTACTCATTCACTATGTGAATTATGTCTCTAATATTCAGTAGATTGTAACCAGCTATCTCGACTCGGCGGCCCGAAACATGGGTTTCAAAGAGCAACTCGCGGTACGTTGTCCCCTCTCATGGCCATCACTGGCGATACATTCAGGCCACCGACACTAAACCCACCTAGCATGACGAGAGATACGCTCAAGCAGAGGAGTACGTCAAAGTAATGTACAAGCTCTTCGAGTCCTCCTGGAGAGATGATGCCGTCGTTCTCGACCGGGAAAAGGGCATCTACACTCACCCAGAGCGCGTCCGTGAGATCAAGCACGAAGGCAAATTCTTCAGTGTGCCAGGCCCCCATATCTGCCAACCGAGCCCTCAACGCACTCCCTTGATCCTCCAGGCTGGTGCTTCGAAGGCCGGAAAGATCTTCGCGGCGCAGAATGCTGAGGCTATCTTCGTGTCCGCCCATGCGCCGGCCGTCTGCGCGAAGAACATTGCCGAGATCCGGGAGATTGCTAAGACACAGTTTGGTCGTGACCCAAGCAACATCAAGGTCCTTGCTCTCGTGACACCTATCCTTGGTCGAACAGAAGAGGAGGCACAGGCCAAACTCGCCGACTACCGCAAGTATGCTTCCCACGAGGGTGCTCTCACTCTTTTCGGAGGTTGGACCGGTATGGATCTCGGCAAGTACGGTGATGAGGAAGAGCTTCGCGAGGTCGAGAGCAATGCTGTCCGCTCTACTGTCGAAGGCTACGCGCGCTTCTCGCCTGGAACGTCGAAGTGGACGAAGCATACTATTGCCGAGCACGTCAGTCTTGGCGGAAACGGTCCTATCTTCGTTGGAACACCTGCACAAGTCGCAGACGCCTTCCAGATCTGGATCGACGAGGCGGGCGTGGATGGATTTAACTTGGTGAGTTGTTTCAGTGAATTCATGTCGGAAACATGACTGACAGTATTAGGCGTACACACTTTTCCCCCAGTCGTTCAAGGACATCATTGAGCTTCTGATTCCAGAGTTGAGGGCCCGTGGATTGTACTGGGACGACTACGCCGTTCCGCAGGGTACTTACCGCGAGAACTTTTACGAGAAGCAGGGTCAGAAGGGTCCCTTGGAGGAGCACGTCGCGTCGACATACAGGTGGAAGGCAGGTGTTGATGCCAAGGACCATACGATACCTCAATAGGTGTGCATTTAGTAAATAAATAATACGTATTACTTGAATCAGCTGTCTACACGGATTATTGCATGTGAAATTATGAGACTGCCAAAATACAATCTGTTGACTACAACGCAGTAACACAACCCTCGACCGTTCTTGTAACAGTGACTTGTATTACTTTAATCATCATGAGCACAACAGCTCTTGCATTCTATTACACAATCATATAGAATAGTTGTGATGTTTTGTTTGTTTACTGTGGAAGAAGGGAGGAGCAGCTCACTCTAGTATTCTTGTCTACACCGCCCACTTACAAACATTCTTCATCCTCCTCAACCCTCGAACGTTTTTCATCATCCACAACCTTTGAACATTCTTCTACCGTCCTCAAGTTCTTGAACCGTCCGTTTTTTGCCTCTGTCACCCAACAAATTTAAACATCTTGTCCTTTTTGTCTTTTCTTTTCCTTGAAAACGCATACAAATCATGTCAACCCATCAGTTTTTGCGAGCGACAGAGGATCAGGAGTTTGCGACGAGAGGGCGGCGAATATTCCACGAGATCGAGGAGGCCATTCGAGTCCGGCCCTTTACCTTTGTTCCGATGCCGGTTGTAGAGGGCCTTTATGCCTTCAACGTGGAGCCAATACACTATCAGGATGGAGTCGAAAACGCCAAGTCATTCTAACAAACTACGCCCACGAAGGCGGATCGATGATTTCGTGCTATTCAACTTTTACTGTCACGACATTGACCGGGGGGTCAATGTCGAAGCTTGAAACTGTCTGGCGAGTACATATCGCCAACAGAATGATCCAGACCACCGCCAAAGATATAGAACGGCGAAGAAGAGGACAAGTCGTAGGTGACCAATATCTTGATGTTGCTGCGCCAGAGGACGATTTCTTTCTGCTGTTGGGAACGGACAATGGGAAGGGAATTGGGAGAATGCTGGCGGCAAGGCCGCTATACTTTGGATGGAGAAGCCTGAAATCTGTCCGAATTTTTCTAAATCGCCAAGAAGCATTACATCTTTGCTGGGTCCTTGAAGAGCCGGAGGAAAAACCCAAGCAGAAGGAGATTCCCGATTGAAGTTCACCGATGTCAAGAAAAGAAATGCGCAAACATAAGCGCCAACAATCCTCGACAGCCTCGAAGGGTTAAACCTGAAATACCTGGGCATGTGTTGAAGAGAGAATGGTGACAAGGCTCCAATATTTGGGATGGAAAAGCCCCGGACAAGACAGATTTCCCCAGCTTGTTGGGTCACTTGCTAGATTCAGGCCTTAAACACAAAGCCTAACTTATGCTTTTGGGCTCGATTGAAGAGTATATTGTAGTCAATAGAAGTTATCTTCACAACACCCTCACCTCAACACTGGGCCAGTCATACAAGCTCAATCATTGTGTGAAATTGTGTAAATCATTACCACTAATGCATTAAGATCTAAAGTACTGACAATTTATCGTGGGGCAAACTGAGCATTATCGCGTATAGACGCCTTTGTAGTAGGGAGCATCACAGGTAATGAGTGAATCACGAGCAAAACGGATCTTCCGCCCCCGTACGAAAGAATAGGATGTTCAGACAGTGCTCATGAGAGAATACAAAGAAGGTTTGCCTGTAGCAATTTGTGGTGAGATAGACCCAAGTGTAGTGACTAGCACCGCAAAGACAGGATTGGTTATTTTCACACTTGCTTCATTTCTTGTACGCTGCCTTTAGCGAATCAAAGCGGTATATTTCTCATCGGTCAAAGGTATTGAACATTCAATAGTTTTTTTTGGCATACATATTTTACATTTTGAACTTAGAGGGAGTTACTGTGATTTATGGTAATTGGACAGCTATAATATTACATGACTGAGAATTCCTTGTTCCTCCTACTCCTGACCTTCAAGTTCTTCAACCTTATCGAACGCATCAAAGAACATGTTTCCCGCTTCATCATCATCGTCGGAATATATCATCACCTGTCGATTATCATAGATCTCTTCAGCTTCAGCAAAGAGCTCCTCGTCCGAGTCCTGGTCCCCATCCTCTGAAACATCATCCTCAATGAGTTGTTCCTTGGAGAGCGTGTGCTTGGAGATGTCGCGCTTCTTTTCTCTGGAATCGGTTGCGAAGAAAGGATGTTCTGCGAAGAGAGGTCTGCCAGTCGTCAAGAAGCCCATGGGGGTATGTTCGATGTCTTGACCTTTTCGACGAAGTGTAAGCCACTCATGAGCTAAGTCCTGTTAGTAAACCCTTTTCTAATTTTGACAGCTGACTTACTAAAGCTTGAAGCGTCTTTGGTAAATCCTCCCCAATTGTCAGTCGGACTCTGCGCACCCACGGTCTCGGAGAGACCAATATAATCCAGGAGCTCCGAATGTTCATCCCAAGCAAAGTAAAGGCGTCCAGCGAAAATTCCAAGTTCGATTTTGAGATGTACAGGGAAGACGAGATCGACAGGGAGCGGTGGGATAGCAAAGTAATCTAGGTTGTTAAAGTGCATCATCCGACGCGTGACTGGGGCAGCATAGACAATGAGATAGGCATGTGAACTATCAGATGGCGATTTTCGGAGAATGGGAATGACCTGGTCTGCCTCCTCTTGAGAAAGGGCTACGGCAAGCCCAGATTCATTCACAAGTATCCAGTGACAAAGTCGAATAAAATTGTCGTTTGGACTGATTGAATTGACCGTCCGATTGAATTCGCTGGAAAGGTAGAGATACGGCTCAGCCTTAGATTTCATAGCACCTTGAAGGACGCCCAACCCAGTACGCTGTAGAACGTCAAAGACAGGTTGATAAGCAGGACTTTCAAGACGCAAGATGCCAGTCTCCGCAAAGAAAGATATGTCCTGATGAAGCTTCCCGACTTTGTGTGCCGTAAAGTAGAACGGTTTCTGGACTTCTCGGACGTCTTCAACCTCATCCTCCACTTCACGCTCCACCTCCACTTCTTCAAGAGCAGAAGAATGTGTAGCCCGTCCACGATCTTGAAATGCCTTGCGTCGCAGTTGCAGTTTCTGTGCATACTGGCAGAGAGAATTATTTGAGACAAGCTTCTCTGTAAACTTTTGATGGAGTTTTGGTTCGTAAAGTTCTTGAAGGGTCAAAGACTCTCTCGACTTCAATGATGTGCAGTAGAGACTTCTTGAAGCAATACTCTTCAGAAAGTCCGCATTGTCCAACTTGCTCTGACTACGGTGCAGATAATTAACTCCCTGCGCGTAATAAAGTGGTTCTGTTTGTTCAATTGCAGTACAGGTTTGTTTAAGAAGCCATGAAATGACATCCGACGAATCAATATAATCGCCTTGGATCTTTTGCTGGACATCTGGAAAAGGTCAGTGGGGTTCATCTTTTAGCAGTTCCGTACTTACCGAGAATCTTCTGGTGTACTTCGGGTGGTGAAAACGTTGTAACAGATTGAGTTGTACCAAGCAGTCGCATTCTCATGGCTGCTTGCGCAAAAGCGTCCTTTGTCAGATGCGGGCCCAACGTCAACGCAGCTTTGGCATTTGGCGGAAACTTAATGTCGATTCCACGACAATGACTTTCATCAAGATAGACCACGCAATTCTCAAGACGCTCTGCGAATGGAGATGCAACCAGTGGGATCAATTTGCCATTCTTGTAGATCACCCAAGCACGGTGATCAGACGAATCGAAATAGACCGCCACGGAAGCATCATGATCAATTTTAAGCCATTCCATGGCGAGACTCCGGTTGTCATGCTCGAGGATCTGAGCACCGGCATCAATAAGGATTCGGAGTCTTTCACTATGACTGGGGTTCTGTAGACCTTTTCCAAACGGGTCCACAAGTTTTGCCAGTAAATCTGTTTCACTTAGACGCTTTCCTTGATCATCTACAGCAGGCACATATCTCCGATTTCGTCCCTCGAGTAAGTATGACAGAACTTCTGCATTAGTATGCTTCAGCTCTGCCAGATCATTCTGCTGAATGGTCATGGGAAGTTGATGCCGAGAGTCATTCGTACCAGAAAACCCGGTGGTCGCACAGTTGAGCTTGCGGTCTGGGTCAAATTGGACAAGGTCCCAGCCGGACGCTTGTAGTTTAGTCTCGAATTGTTTTGCATGCTTCGGAAAGACGAAGTTATTCAAGTAAAAGTCTATCATGTGGATGTTGTGTCGGACGTGCTGATAGAGAGTTGCGAATTGAACAGTGTCATCCGGATTGATGATCTTGTGGTCACTCAGGCTTTCGGGAACACCACTGCTGACCCATGTCTCAAACTCGACGCCTGGCTCATCAGATTTGAGCAACTGCTCAAAGGAGTGCTTGAACTGGCTAGTTGTGAGGCCTTCATAATAGAAGGATAAACACGTCAGAATGATTGCTACATCTGGGTGGCCCCATTCGGACGTAGGCGATGGTACACCTTTCGCATGATACGGCACGGCGATTGGTTCGCGAGTTGGATGAAGACCGTATTGCACATTCCACCTTTTCTTCAGGGTTGACAGAAGTATGCGATGGACCAGCAGCCCTCTTAGCAGGTAGACTGCTTTCATTAAATGAATATTATCTTTCAGCCCTTTGGCAATTCTTTTGGCAATCTTCGATGATACGCTAGGTGATGAAATGAAAAGCTTCATATCATTCATGTCGCTCTCTGTACATCCTGAGCATCTAATTAACTGTCCTTGGCCGAAAGCTTCTACGATTTGACTGAGAAGATAATCCTCAACGTCGTGCCGAAGAAAATAGAGCAAAGGATACTCGCCGCGATGTCGGTGTACAACCTCCAAGCTTAGAGGGAAGCGGTGAAGCAGGTCCGGAATGAACGACTTCACAAGTCGAAGGAGTGACTGGATGACTTGCCAACGTAAAGGATGTCCGTCTACGGTTCTCTGTATGCCAGATGGATATATGAGCTGTGTTCGAATCGCCAAGGTGACATCACACTCATCTAGAACATCCCGAGCATGCTTGTCTAGGAACTTCTGTATCCTGATCATTGGGCCCGCCGCTTGCATGCGCTCCTCACATAACCGCTGTAGTCCGCTAAGTCTGAATGAAAGGAGGTGCTCCGGGAGAGCCAGCACGACACCTTTATTTATTCTCGCGTCGTTGTGAAGATTACCGTAGAGCTGAATGAGCTCATCGTTGGTAGGTGTACTTCTGGAAAATGGTATATGGATGACTTCGCGATTCAAAGCCCCTCCAAGTTTCGCTTGTAGTACTTGCGCCGATTGCAATAGGAGAGCGCGAGGTACCACGACTCTCAGCAGATGATTTCCATCTGCCAGGATAGACACGACCATAGGAAGAATGCAGGAAGTTTTGCCCTTGCCCATCAATAGTTGAACAACTGAATTCTTTCCGGACGAAGGTGAGATGACAGCCTCTGCGACCTTCACTTGCTCTTCTCTAAGCATCACGTTGCTATCGATTTCGAGCAAGAGCCAATCAGGTCTCTCAATTGGTTTCCAATTAGTGTGTCCAGGGTTCTTGCGCTCATCTTCCAGCTGTTGGGTTTTCCCTGTTAGTGATGCATCTTTTATTCGGAGTAATCTCTGGTAAGCACATAGCTGCACCCCAAGATCAATAAGGGCCTGACGCACACCCTCGCCGAAGGAAACATTTGAGATAGAACGGAGCTCCGAGAGCAGATCCAGTGGAGACATGGAAGGCCACAAGTCTGCATGCTTCAGCCATATTGAGCGACGGTCTTGAATAGCAAGCGTCTTTCGTATATGCTGAATCATTTCGTTGTACAAGCGGGCCGCCTCATGTACTTCGAAGTCGTGTTTAGTAGGTATGAATTCAGAATTCATAACTTGTGGCATACTCAAATGGCCGACAAGTGACTGTACACTGTCGTTCATCTCTGTCGCAAAGTCTCTTTCCACCGTTGACGTTGTGTTCTGCAGCTTCCTAACAATCATCTCCAACTCTTTAACGGATTCTGGAATTCGTGCTAACCGCTTCTTTCTTTGAGCTGGAGGATTAATCGTATGACCGCAAAGTTTGCTTCGGGACGCAAAAGGTACGATACCAAGAGAGTTACCACTAGAAAGGCTTTCCGTAGCTCTTGAGGAAATGCCTAAATGACCTTTTTCCATCCTGGTCGCGAGCAGATCGCCTAATGTTGGGATATCATGGGCACGCAGTCTAGATTCATAGTACGTATCGTCCAATCCAGGATTGGGCGGATTGATTTCAGGATTTCCGATAGTGTTTGGTGCTGTTGTTGGAAGTGATTGGCTGCGGTCTAGAGCAATTTGTAACTTCTTCAAGTGATGGTCTAAGTCGGCGTTCTGAGCCAGTCGCTTCCACTCTGCCGATACTAGCTCAAGAGCCTTTTTAACATCCACCAGAGATGCATCAATAGCTGCAAGCGATTCAGCATCGATAATTGGACGTGGCCATTGTTTGCAGATATCTTTGGCAAGCACCTGACAACTGGCTTCAACGTCCTTTTGATGTTTGATTCTCATGAGGGCAAGTTGGCCTGACTTTCCTCGGCTGGTTTCACTTGTTGACTCGAAAGGTACACATGCATCCTTCATAAGCAACATCATTTTTGTCGCTACCGGTAGCTCACCAGATATGAAGTCAACATAAGAAGAGTGATTTGAAGGCAACTCAATTGCTTTGACTCCCTCGAGCATCGCGAAAGAAGATAGAGCTCCCAAAAGCTCCATATTCGCCACTTGTGAGAATGCCATAGTCCCAAACAGGAACATCAAGTGGTACCGCTCAGGCTTCTTGGAGGAGATTGCCAACAAGGATATTGGGCCCCATTCTTGTGCGAGATCCACTAACATCATATCAGACAATCGAACTTTCTCATATGGCATATCATAGCTTCCGATCAAAGGATAGCCCTCAAGAAGATGCGGAAGGCTTTTCGAGGCTTTGGGAGGCTGGGTTTGATCCAGAAACCAAGTTGCCACCGCCTTAGAGTAGCTGCACTTATTAGAAACGTGTGCTAGGTCTCTAGCATCATATTCCCTATCTTTGGCCAAGGAGCTTTTCTGTACGCGACAGAAAGCACGACGCTCAAGATGGGATAGTTGATAGGAATGCATTTTCATCAGGTCATGTGCACTCTGAGTGTTGAACTTGCTTAAGGATGTTGATTTCAGAAGAATCCGAGCAATACACGCTCGAAATCGATCATCCTGTATTGTAACCGTCAGATCTTGGCGCCAATGCACTCTTTCCATGGATTTGAGATCCTGGGGGTAGTAATCTCTAGCAGGAGTTAACGCCGAGATGTTTCGTAATAGCTGGACGGGAGTCGGTGTAAGTGCAGTCCAAGGTTGATACAGTCCACTCTCGAGACATCTGATGGCCTCATCGATTCCCGTGCGACCAGTGAGGCTATCAGGAAGATGGTGCGAAGTATACGCGTGACATTGGGCTTTGTAGTAGAGAGTCAGCGGCTCAGCGGGGCAATCCAGACGGCCAAGAATCGGATCAATGTCAAATTTGAGGTATTCTCCCTTACTCTCTACCACAATGAGCAAATGTTCGCCTGGCGACATGATGAATTTCAAGTCTCCGAAAGGTACCAGTATACTGCGCCGCTCCTTATTTTTGACGGATCGAATAACTAATTTGCTTAAGAGGCCCGTCCACACCCCAGGTTCTTGCTCGGGGCCATAGGGTACCACTGCGTCGTGCTGTTTGCAATAGAGGAGACCGGAGTCCCTAACGTGGAACACGAGCTCCAAGCGATTGAGTTCCACACAAAGGCGAGGGTATCTTGCATGGGACTGGTACACCAAAATATGCCTGCCATCCTCGAAACGATGAAAATTTCGGGCGACATCTTTCGCAGTCATACTGTGTGGGTCCAATAAAACAGATTTCCTCCTTGTTGCAGTACCTGTGCGAAGATTTATCGTCCAGTTTCCGTCCCTTTGCTTCCAAATATCACGCCTTCGGATTTCCATCACCCCAGTATGCACGTCCAGCCAGTGGTAACAATTGTCTATCATTACGCTGGGTAGGTCGAAGTGGACTGGCGATTGGAAAATCGACCGTTGGATCAGTTCCAGGGTCGAGCCGTGCCTCGTTGCTCGTACAATTACCGCATTGTCGCGAAGGCCCAGGTGGATTCTATGACCATTTGGCATTGGCCTGTCTACGTAATAGGCCATGCCATTGAGCCACGATGGTCGCACACGAAAATTGTATGATTCAAAAAGGATCTTTACTGCTTGAGACTGACGATATGCCACTGGAAGAGTACCAGACTGTTGTCCATCGATGAGAAAGTCGCCTTGAAGAAAGTGAATGTGAACATGATGCGTGACATTCTGTCGAGCCATTTTTATTCTGATGTGCACCCAACCGGTGTTTTCAATGAGCTCAATCTCTAGACGATGATCTGAAGACTCAGCGGAAACAGGCCAGATCTCTTCAAGGACATCTAGTATCACTTCTGGTTGCCTAACGATGCACGCTTGAAGTTTTGCGTAGATCTGTTGGCCCAAATGAATATCGTTCAACAAATTCGTGCGTAGGCAGTGTGGTATATTGTCGAAAGCTCCGATGTGGGCCTCGTGTAGGAAGATCGATGCACAAATGTACTGTTTTGTTTCCTTTCGTGATAAATCGAAAGGCATTTGGGGCGCTAAACGAAATGTGCTTTTCGTTAGCACGGCAGCCCAAGTCGCGAAGATGGCTGACTCGCTGGGAAGGTCAGGGCATGATCGCAACATGATGCACCATTCCCAACAGATCGCTCGTGCATTATGAAGCATTTCGGATGCGGAACGCACCACATTTGGATCATCCGACATTGACTTGACTTTGAGCAGCATGAGTACCAGCATACTCATCTGAATTGGTTCGCGCCAATTCTCCCTAATCGCCTCAAGCCGTTGGCTCACTTGCTCAAGTAACTTGTGGCAAAACGTTACGTCCTGGAATACCTCATGAACCTCACTTGAATTTCCACCCTCCAATGCCGGGCCCACTTGCTGAGCCAATGCTGTCACAATTGCCCATGTCGATTCTGCAGAGAAATTCAAATTGGTAGAGCCTAGCTCCCTTAAAAGAGTGAGCCATCTACAGTGAGTTCCAACAAGCAAGTTGTTCCAAGACATAAACTCATGAGTATTCAAAGTGACCGGACACTTTGATTGTTCTGCAATGATGTCGTTGGATGTTGGCCAATGGTTGAAGGACGGGCGAAACATTGAAAAGGGTGATCCTGCAGGTAGAATGAGAGGGAAATTTGACGCTGGTGGAAGATGTTCACGCTTCGATGTCCACATGAAATTCTCGATGTCGTAGTAATCCAACCTGAGGCCACATGGCCGGCAGACCTCGTCAAGGGAAGTAGGGAATCGTACGGTGGCGTAGTGGGAATCGAGATGGGACTTCTTAACTGAAGCCATCGACACCATCGTATTGGAACTTCCTCCATGCAATTTGAGGCCTAAATAATTAGCAAGCTCAAAGATTCCGTCTACTACTTTCGCATCTGCGTAGAAAAATCGGGTCAAGAGTCGCCACGTAGCATCACGGTAAGCAGCAAAGGCTTCCGGAGGCGCGAGCTCAAATACTACGGCCTTAGCAGCGTATTCGGGAGTCGGCAGCGGATGTTCGTGGATTTCGATTTGAATATTTCTAGCTTCATGCATGTATCGATGATGCCAGCATACTGCCCGATGTTTGCTTTGCACGGATCCGTCGGGCATGATTTTGTCCTCAAAGCCCGGGCACCGAGACTCTTTGATTTTTTTCATGAGTTCCTCATGTTCAGCGTTCTTTGTAGTCCATTCCTTCTCTTTGACCTGACGATCAATTTCAGCTTGCGATTCGATCCTTTCCCGCCGAAGACGCATATTCAAAGCATGTGAAGAAGTATCATAGTATTGTACCGCAAAACAATCCTCAGAAGGAGTGTCATAGATGGTCTTTGGGTCTTTGCCTTTGCGGCGTCTGCATCTTCTCAAAGCGTAGCATTCGACACGTCGCAGGCGAACCAGATCCTCCAGCGAAAGAAGTTGCAATTTCTCGAAGATCTTTAAGTGGAAACCGGGCTGGTACTCGCTCAGTATGCTATAGCAAAATATAGCACATCGATCTAGGATGACCCAAAGTTCGAACAAAGTCAAGAACATCTGACTTTTAAGGTTGGGATATTCATCATACGCAGTTCCGACGGTTTCAATGTACTCCTTAATAAGTCTAGAAACCTTTTTGCAGATAGCCTCGTAGTCGATTGATCTAGAAGAGTCAGACAGCATCTGTCGATAATTGGACGCTTTCTGTCGCATACGATCGTCCATTTTGTTCAGAGTCAAGTATTTATCTGTGATTCGAGAAAATATTTCCGTTTTCGCTTTTGTACGCTCATAATTTCTGATAAATTTTGAGGCATTGAGAACCGGCTGTTGCGCAGGCAGTGGGTTGAAGATGATTCGTCGTAATAGTGGCCCACTGAGTGTCAAACTCAGGACACAATCCGAGGGGGGTGCCCGCACTGGCAGCAGTTTGATGACACGCCTTGTTTTCTTTTGTACATCTTCCCACTGGCGTTCTATGTAGGTCATTGCTACTGTGAGTGATCTATCATAGATTGGATGCAATGCACGGATGAGGCGGTCCAAAACAGGGGCGGCTTCTTGCCAGTCGAGTTTTCTATCACTCTCGAGCTTTGCGATCCGGAGTCCGAGTTTGCGTTTGAGATGGTAAATCTGCTCTGAGGGGATTTCGCCTACGGTATCGTCTAGGAGAGACACCAAGAACGTACACATGATGAGCTTGTAGTATACGTGACCAACCTGACCACCTAGCAATCGATATAGATGCCGCTGCAACGCGACGCGAAGCACGAGATAATACGGAGAGCGTCTCCAGGGTTTGCGAGCATTGTCGAATGATACGGTGTCTCGTACCCTTTTTCGCAGCAGCGTGCAATTAGCAGACTGGCCAGTTGCCTCGAGGATGGACATTAAAAGGCCGCTTATAATGGCTGGATCTGCGGTATCACGGATTTCGGGCAAAGGCGCGTTCGCCTTGTAGGTCACGGCGGAGAACTTCTTGACACATTCGATGCTGGCCTGCTGGAGGAACGTGCCCAAAGCATCACGGAAGGTCTTGTCGGCTATGATATGGGCTGGTACAGTGACTGCATGTCCTGGGAAAGTTCGCCGTAGGGCGTTCTCCGCGGCCAGAACTGCAGCAGATGCGGCGGAAGCCTCGAAGACTTCGAACGTTACGCATGGCTCAGCACCCGCTCTGGTTTGAAAGTCAGTATGTCGGTCAGTTACTGTTGCGGTATTTCACTCACTTGTCTTCCCGGTACACGAGCAAGGCCGCATTTTGCTCCGTAGCATGTAAGAACAGCGTCTGTGAAGTATTGAGAGTCGCTAATTCTTCCACGAAAACGTCTTTGTCGATCTTTCCGTCGACATTGATGGCTTTGCTCTTAACGAAAGATACACGAGCTGCTTCAATCGCGTAAAAGTGATCAGTTGATGCATGAGGGCTAACGGCCTTTATGGCACGTGTGAGGCGGTCGTGAAGTTCTCTTTCAATGGAGAAGAGGTTGGAATCCTCTCTACCAGGAACGTCTCGAGGCAACACGACATGGTAATACAACTTCTGTAGAAGGTGTGCCGGCCCGCCTGAAGCAGCTGCCATCGCGAAGATTGAACAGAAACAAACGCGAGGGTACTGGTTAGGGAAAGATAGGAGAAGGGAAGCTGCGTTTGAAAACAGCGGTCAAGAGTGAAGCTGGGGTGGGTGGAAGGGTTGTTGTTGTTGACGCAAAGATGGGGGAGTTAGAGCGAGGGTAACGGAAGGTGAAGGAAATTCGTCGTAAATCCACAACGGGAAGCTGCATGCTCCCGCGCGAAGTAGAAGCAAACACGGTTCCACGTGACGCGCTCAATCGCGTTTGAAATGATAGAATGCTGCAAACTTTCAGTGTGACCGAAACCATGTCAAATTGCATCATCGTTATGAGCGCTCGATGATATGAGCGGCTCCCAGCAGTTATGTTGACTATCAAGGCCTTCGGATAATTTATGAATTAGCTATTTAAATAAGGCCAATCAGTCATAGGGGCATTCTACTGAGGCTTTAGGATACGATAATCAAGTTCCTTTCCATTCATCTATTGCCCTGCCCTCAAAGCGTTTAGAAGAATGACTGCCAGATCGTACTAATCCTTGGATGTATTGTGTTTCGTGTATGACTTCACTCGCCATGTAATTCTCTACCACCACATCAACCAATCCGGGCCCTTGGAATTGACCGAACTTGTGATCACTGGCATTGATGTACCTTCTTCCTTGATAGGAAATGAAAGCGCTGTTCTACACCGCTCGCTCTTGTATACGAGGACTTCTTGCACTGGTAAGCTTCCAACCCACCATCTGACAGATTCCACGCCAATCACATGATCTAGCCTTACATGTGATTGCCCGCACTTTCTAAATCAATTATTTGGTGTATTTTGAATGATTTAAAGTACCTCATAAGAGGTTGTACCTTGATTTCGGAAACGGCTCTAACAACACCAGAAATCTGAAGGAACCATCCATGTACTCCTGTCTCTCATGAACTGGATCTAGCTAGTTGAAGTCAGATTATTAGCATCAGTTAGATTGAGTCAAATCGCAAGATCATGTCCATGAAAGAACTACTAGCGAATAGAAGAAAGCATGCGAATGCTTATCAACTTGGTGCTCATTCATTCATCTGCGACCTTCCTGAATTCATTCCACTTTTAGCGAAGTCTAATGAGATCAATGTGCATCGACAACTTTGTTCATTTGGACATCTTGTGTAGTGTTATCTGAATTCACCTGTTCACACATGCATCAGATCATAGACTCCTCATAAGTGAAGCAAGACATGCGGTACCAGGCATTCATGGCGTGCACACATCTTCGCACAGAAAGCCGGTCCATGGCCATGCAGCGAAATATTCCCCTTTCGGTTCATAAAATAGAGTCAGCGCCGAAAGTTACTCCGAGTTTGTAGCTTTTCTTCTACGATGAGTTTTTTCAAGATCCGGTGGTGTACCAGTAGGATGTGACTTGTGACTTGATCAACGACTTACGCGAACATACGAGATATCCTTGGACATTGTTTGGGGTACTACGAGATGTGCCTAAGACACTGTACTTTTCTTACTGGGCGCGACAACTAATACATTCAGAGTCAGATCAAATTCGCCGGTGGTTGCTCGTTTTCTTACTTCCAAACCCTGGCATTCAATTATAACTCCTTTCTCGTCTCCTTGGGTGCTGTGTTCTAGTCTTTGAAGATCGAGATATCGGAGGTGCATACAGACAAATTTCTCTTTGACATATAAACCCAAAGTATTCAGGACTCGACGAACAATAATCAATTAGCCACAGCACGAGTAGGTCACCAAACTCCATTTGCACATTTAATTGCAAAATTGAGCATGACCTCATAGACATGAGTCGCGTGGTGACGTATGATGGGAAAGATTTAGCCTGATGAAATGTTGAGAGGCCTTCAGCATGATCTATACCCTGAACTTCAGAGACCTACTGAAGATGACCTCTATGAAGTCGAAGTAGAGAAGGCTATCATTTCGGTCCTTCATGGTTAGGGAATTGACTATATGCAGCGTCTGAACGTCGCACCTGCCTACCTGGAACATGTTTCGACGGATAATACCCAGGCCTAGCGCCATAATGTATTACAACTAACACGATCGCTTCACGGTTCAATCGCACAAAACATTTACTACCCCATAACTGATCCCTTCCAAACTCTGATTCGAAACGCTCCGCAATAGGTGACGGATTGGGTATCAATCTCATCAAACATTGCCATGTCGGATCCTTCCCGGCTGGACCCCCGAAAAACTAAACGCTAATAAGACGGACGTCTTACGACTATCGGATCAGGACGTTCCCCTGACATTGGGCACCACCTGTGCGCATTTCGCAAACTTCATGCATATCTTTTCAGTTCCTACTCTCGTACGTGAGTGTGCGAATCCAATAAATGCAAAGGGCGCATCCACGTCACCATCGACATCTCTAAGCGCAAATCCCAACGCCCTTCACAATCGGCTTCAAAACTGATAACCGAGGTTACGTCCACCCCTCATGGAAAACCAACTCATTGGACAAACCCCCTACCAGAATCGCCAAATGATCCAATAACAACCTAGCAGCCTTTTCCAAAAACCAGAACCCGCCGATCTCGCGTCAAGATTGCCGCAAAGGGGGCACGGGGATCCTTGCCACCCGACATCTTTTCCACGATTTCTTTAGCACTTCGGCCCGTGGAGGGGGAATAGCGCGTGGGAAAAGGCAAACGCGATCACCTCCCCACCTCGAAACGGCAAAGCGGCTCCAGTTTAAAAGCGCGGAAGAGTTCCGGCCGTGAGGGAGTTAGGCGTTATCGCCGGTCAGCAACTGTTATTCTCCTCTGCGTGCGTAGGAACAGCCAGCGCGAGCGCCCTATCCACACACCCCCCGGCCCCACGCCCTGTGGGTTGGGAGGGATGGTGGAGGGATGGAGGACTTTTTTCTTTAGCCATGAGTCGTTCGTTGGGTCGTTGATTCGTCCCTCGTTTCGCGAACGTTGACTCTTTCTCTCTCTCCTTCATTCTCTTTTCTCCCCTTCGATCCCCTCCCGTCGAATTCGCCAATCCGTGTCCGTTCGTTCGTTCCATGGGATAGAAAGCGCCGATATATATAGAGCGCCCTCGCGACAATGGCAATAGAAGAGAAGGAATACAAAACGACCACCTCGGTGGATCGATCAACCGAGGCTGAGATCGAAGATGACGACGGCGACCATTCATCCATCTCGTCCCTGTCGACGGACTCTCAATCCTCATCAGACGAGATCCAGTCAATCCACCAGTCGCTCAGTCGCAATGCGGGTCTCGAAGAAGGGCTCGACAAGGGGGGTTTGGCGGCGATCACGACGGTGACGACGAACATGACGACCGACCCGCGCTTCGAGGTGGACTTCGAGGGCGCCGACAATCCGCAGGAGTGGGACATGAAGAGGAAGAGCGTCATCATCTTCTTCATGTCGTTCTCGACGTTAGTCGTGGTCATGTATTCCACGAGCTACACGGCTGGTATCCCGGGCATGATGAGGTCGTTTGGGATCCACGAGAAGACGCCCGTCGTCCTGGGAGTGACTCTGTATCTTTTTGGCCTCGCTCTCGGTTCAATCGTGCTGGCGCCCTTGAGTGAAATATACGGCCGGAGACCCGTCTACCTGATCGCCGTGTTCTGTTTCCTCGTTTTGATAATACCATGCGCCCTGGCTAAGGACCTCGCCACCATCCTCGTCGTGCGGTTCTTCGGCGCAATCGCTGGATCCGCAATGATATCGAACGCCCCCGGTACCGTCAGTGATATCATCCAGGAGGAATGGAGGGCACTCGCTTTTTCAATCTGGAGTATAGGTCCGATGAACGGCCCCGTTGTTGGGCCCATCGTTGGTGGTTTCGTCTTGTAAGCTCGCCTGCCACCTTTGAAATTACCTTTCCTAACAACCTTCCAGCCAATACATGGGATGGCGCTGGACAAACTGGGTCGTAATGATCGGGTCAGGAGTAGCATGGGGCATGGTCTGGCTCGTACCGGAGACGTACGCGCCCGCAATCCTGCGCGCAAAGTCCGCAAAGAAGCGCAAGGAGACCGGCGAAGACCGCTGGTACTCCCGGTACGACGAGAAGAAAGCCTTCTGGCCTATGCTGAAGGAGAACCTCATCCGCCCAGTCGCCATGGGCGTCAAGGAACCCATCTGGTACGTTTACAGCCTCTCCCTCTTCCGTTTACTGCTTCGCTTGCTAACCAACCCCCCCCCCAGCATCTTCTGGAACGTCTACATCGCCCTCGTCTACGCCCTCCTCTACCTCTGCTTCGTCTCCTACCCGATCGTCTTCTCCGAGCTCCGCGGCTGGAGCCCCGGGATGACGGGCCTCGCGTACTGCGGCATCGGCGTCGGGGGCGCCATAACCGTCTGCTGCGAGCCCCTCATACGCCGCTTCATCAACTCGCACGCCCCGGACCCCTCAACCGGCAAGCCGCCCCCGGAATCCATGATCTCCATCGTCTGCATCGCCGCGTTCCTCTGCCCGATCGGCGAGATGATCTTCGCGTGGACATGCACGCCCAACGTCCACTGGATCGCGCCCATCATCGCGGGAATCCCGTTCGGCGCGGGCAACAACGCGATTTTCATATACGGCTCGAACTACCTGATTCATTCGTATGGGATATACGCTGCGTCGGCGTTGGCGGGTAATGCGGTGTTGAGGAGCGTTGTCGGCGGTGTGCTGCCGCTTGCTGGTCCCCAGATGTGAGTTCCCCCCCCCCCCCCCCCCCCCCCCCCCCCCCCCACCAACCAACCTTCAATCAGATATGCCTTTTCTTGGAACGAATCTAACGATACGTAGGTACGCTACCTTGGGCCCCCACTGGTCCGGCACAATGCTCAGCTTGATCGAATTCGCGATCGTGCCCATCCCGCTCGTGTTCTACCGCTACGGCCACAAGATCCGCAGCAAGTCGGCGTTGATCCGCCGTATGCGCGAGGACAGGGAGAAGCTCGAGGCGAGGTTGAAGAAGGCGGCGGAGAGGGAGCAGAGGGCGAAGGCGAGGGAGGGGACGATCGGAGGGGACGAGAAGAAGGAGATGGAGGTTTGATTGACTTGCTTACTGTTGTGTAAAATCATGGGGCATTGTTTGGCGTTTGAGCGTTATTGGAGATACCATTTTTTGCGGGTTATGGGCTGGGTTGGTTGGGTGAGGGTTGGGTGTATATAGTTGGGGGCATATGTTTGAGGTACATATATTTGAGGTACATATATTCGGGGTACATATATTCGAGGTACATACACGCATTTTACGCATAATTAATACTTATTCACCATCAACAAGGTTTCAAATCTCTCCGAACGAAGGATCCCGAGACAGATACATCCCCTCCCCTCTTTGTATATATACAAACCCCAAAAGCCAACTCACCACATCTCAAAACCACAACATCGGATTGCGAATCTGGGAGCAGGGTTCGAAGGGGAGGGTTTGAGGTTGGCTTGAGACGGGGTGATGTGGCAAGGAGGATCGCAAAGGGTTGGATACACAATACTTCTGCTACAACATGGCTGAAAGGCATAGCTGATGTGTGCGATGTATGCACTGATCTTGGTGGACTGTTGGAGAGTTGCTCTAGATTTCGAGCTGGATGTTTGCATTACTATTGGGTATCATATCATATCATATCGAGTTACGCCAGATCACCTTCTGAATCCGCAGCAATTTCCGACCATGCTTCGGTGGAGGCTTCAGAAACGACGTCCCAATCGTCTGGCATTGCGTACCAAGCTTCCTCTGCCAGACCGTCCTGGAACGCTTCCTCGTCGGATGTTTCAGGATCAGATGTATCCCACATCAATCGATCCCAGTCCAGCACCGCTGGATCAGACCAAAAGTGCCAATGATCCAGCCCCGTATACGGCCGCGGCTCATCCCACTCCGCAACACAAGCACAATACCCCTCCTCACACGGAAAATGACTCCTAAACCACCCCCCACCCCCCTCAATCCGATGCCACCTCGGATCCATCTCTTCCCACCGCGGCTTCGTCCCCGTAAACCCCACCAACCCCGCAACCCCATAATCATCATACAGCCCACCGACGACCTTATGCCCAGGATAAGCATCCCACTCGATATGGTCGTCACACGGACACGGCGGACAAACCCACCCGCAATCCTCGTCCGTCTCAATCTGCCCCCATCCGCCCCAGACGTCGTCGTACCATTCCCGCGACAGCAGCTCCTTCGTCGTGTTCTTCTTCGCCTGCTGCCGCCGCTCCCACTTCGGAAACGCCTTGTGCATGGTCTTCCGGCTCGAGCGCTGGTACGTCGGCGGTTTGGCGAACTGTGCTTCCAAGAACGCTTCGCGCTTCGTGAACTTTGCGACGGGGGCGTCGGAGAGCTGCGCGGGGAACGTGGAGAATAGGCAGAAACGGCCCGGGTGGGAGGGGCAGGATGAGGGGAGGTAGTGGGGTTTTTGGGAGGGGGATGACGGGAGATCGGCGCGGGTTAGGGAGTCGAAGTTGGAGTATTTGAGGAGGTGCTTTCGCGTGCGGTTCTTTGCGCGGCGGGCGGAGCGGAGGTCGAGGAAGGGGTGGGAGGAGGTGCGGCCGGCGTGGTTCATGGCGGTTTCGTGGGACATTGTGGAAAGTTGGGATTGCTGGAAATGGGATGTAGTGCGCTCAGTGAAGAGGACTTGTGTGGTGATTGTGGTTCCTGGCTGTGGTGAGTTGTGTGGTAGGAATTAGTGGTGAATCAATGGAGATATAGAGTTTTCGAGTCTGAGGCGCAGACGCCAGATGTGACTCTTTGATCAAGATGGCCGCCATTCTGCTCGTGGGATTACAGCTCAATTGAGAGAGTTGTCGCCGCAGAGGGCTGAGGAAGAAGATAGAAGGGCGGAGGTTGTTCATGATGATGAGCACTTGTAGATCCAAGCGTTAGCGGAATTGACACGTGAAGTGGCTTTGCAGTCAAACAGCCACTTTAGCTCAGCCCCTCATGATCTCCCCGTCGAGAAAGCGATCAACTGCCGAATGTCAAACACGCATTTCTGGTGTCCATTTACTGATCCCGTCATGAAGAGGAGAAGATCAATTGTAGCCCCACATTCCCATGTCTCCGCAAGTAGACCTCCACTGGCGGCCAAATGCGTTGAAACTTGATATTTACTATAACCTCGCTGTGGCTCTGTTCTACGCTTATGGCCTCGTTATTGCAATCTAAGCACGACATGCCTCTACCTGCAGGATCAACCGTTCCTCTCTGGATCAATGGAAGGGCTGTTAGCGACGACCAGGCAGCCACATTTCCGGTCGTCCAGTCATCCACATCAACCACAGTCCACCAGGCACAATCAGCCTCCCCCGCCCAGGCCATAGCAGCGGTCGAGTCATCATGGACAGCCTTCAAGACATGGAAGAAAGCATCGCACACCACTCGCCGCGACTTGATTCTCCGAGTTGCAGCCTACTACGAAGCCAATGTCCAGGCATTCGTCGATCACCAGGTCAACGAGACGTCATGCACGGAAGCATGGGCGCGTCAGAATGTAGATCTCGCGACTCGCTACCTGAGAGAGATAGCTGCATGCATATCCAGCGTCACGGGCGTGATCCCCCAGATCGAGAAGCCCAACACAATGGGCTTCGTGTTCAAAGAGCCCGTAGGACCGGTTCTGTGCATCGCCCCGTGGAACGCGGCCCTCATCCTCGCGACGAGAGGCATAGCCAGCGCCATAGCAGCTGGCTGCACGGTGGTGTTCAAGGCGAGCGAGCTATCCCCGCGGACGCACTTCGCGATCACGGAGGCGTTCACTTCGTCTGGTGTCCCGGAGGGAGTGCTAAATCAGATTCAAGTGCGGAGGGAGGATGCAGCGAAGGTGACTGAGGAGGTGATCGCCCACGAGGCCATACGCAAGGTAGAGTTCATTGGTTCGGCAGCGGTGGGCCGGATCGTCGCGCAGGTCTGCGCCAAGTACCTGAAGCCGATTCTGATGGAGCTGGGAGGGAAGTGTCCTGCGATTGTGCTGGATGATGCAGATCTTGACGAGGCGGCGAAGCTGTGTGCTTTGGGTGCTGTGCTGCATCATGGACAGATCTGCTTCTCGACGGAACGGATCATCGTGCACGAGGCTGTCGCTGATCGGTTCAAAGAACTGCTCATAACAGCGATCAAGGGACTGGACGGTCCGGCTGGATCTGCCGTCACAAAGGAAATAGCACAGCACGCTGAAGATGTCTTGAACAATTCAAAGGCGAACGGGGACGAGATCCTCGTGGGAGGAGCTGGCTACCACAAGCCCATGTCTCTGAAGCCCACCATCGTCGTGAACCCCAGTAAGGAATCACGTATCGTGGACGAGGAAACATTTGGCCCTTCAGCCTCGTTGTACGTGGTACAAGACGATGCAGCTGCGATCGCACTGGCGAATAGGTCAGCCTACGGCCTGAACGCGACGATCTGGAGCAGGAACATGGAGCGAGCGTTGAACATGTCGCGTGAACTAGAGTATGGCCAGGTGCACATCAACAGCATCAGCGTGTACACGAGTCCGACGGCGAGTCAAGGCGGGGTCAAAGGAAGTGGGTTCGGACGGCAGAATGCCAGATGGGGGTTAGAAGAGTTTGTGGTGGACAAGTTCGTCAGCTGGCATGGAAGATAGGTCCAGGAACAGGAACAGGGACGATTCGGTGGGCGAGTCACATAGTCGCGCATCGAGCGTCCGGTCCAGATTCGATCTAAAGACGGGCAATCGAGTGGAGTAAATTCTCCCTGCACCGCACGCGCGATACACTGTAGACACTTTACGCACGTACAATACACTATCGTAGATCTTGCTTCAGACTAAACGAGGGATGATGTTAGTTGTCAATTAGAAAGATTGAACATGTGAGCAGTCGGTGTGAATGTGCTCAATCGCATAGTACGACTACGGGGTAGAATTGTTGCAATGCCACCCGTACTGTCTTCCACCTTGTATGGAATAAGCCCGACTACGAACATCACCTGATCTCCGGGACAAAACGAGACAACGATGCGATGCATCGGGTTATTACTTATTAGTGTTTCTTCCCTAAGCGCAAGTAAGTGTGACCGCGACAGATAACTCCATATGGACGGAGTACGATCATGATGGTTAACGAGCAGCCCCCAGCAACAAGCCAACACGCTCTGGTATTGGTAGATGGGATTACAATGAGAGAGAGAGTTTATCGAGATCCGGTGTGAGCGAATGGTCTGGTCTAGTCCCCAGGGTCCAGAACGGCAAAGATCATCAGTCCGGGCACGAACCATCAGAAACCACATGCACGCCAGCAGCGACACATGGCCATACCTAAGGTAGTGGGCGATGGTGGAGGGGATTCGTGGACTGGGCTTTGGCGACCGTTGATGAATTCCATGCCCTCCCACTCGGGATTAGTGCATCGTCTCGGAAGAGCCCGAGCGTGGATTTATTGGCGAATCAGAGGGAAGCATTACGGTTTGTTTTGGCCGCGGGCGTCCGAGGAGACAATAAATGCCTACTGTGTACAGATGGAAAAGAAAACCTAGACATTCGATGTATGGATCGCCATGGACCACGATGGGCAGTGCAAAGACTTTGGCGGGTATTGCGCCGTTTCAGCCGCAAATAGGGCAGGTTTCCCTTTGGCGATGGCGAGAATCGTTCCGATCTTGAAATCTTTGATGAATGTGTCTTTCCGTTAGAGACAGATGATCCTGTGCAAAGGTTACGGTTGAGCCGGATGTTGTCATGGGTATGGGTTGTATTCTTTGTCAAGAGGATGATAAAACTACCGATGATGAATATTGAATTTGATTGCTTCACTCTGCCTGTCGTGCCAGCTTGTGACACTGTACGGGGGAATGAGTGACAATATTACAGGGAGCAATCAAAATGCGATGTAAATGCGATGCGATGCGATTCGATCCGATGGTGATGGGCAGAGAGAGGGAGAGAGGGAGGAGGACAGGACAGGGAAAGACGGAAGGAAGAGTCTAGACCGCGACAGGGGTTTCACTGACTGAAGGAGACTAGCTTGAGCTTAGCGTGAGCTTGTTTGTTCTAGATTCCCATCCAAAAGTCCCACAGGTCAGGCCATCTTTCTGCCTCTGTCATCTCTCTATGGTGGTTAGTTACCTAGTAAGTAGTCCAGTTACTGTGTAGAGGAAATGCCAGAAATGCCAATACCAATGCTAAAGCTAATGGTCAATTCATTCCCATCCCATCCGATTCCATTCTTACTCCCCTCCCTGCCTAACGTCCTCCTCCCTCTCTCCCTCTCCCTCCACCAACTACATCAAAGATAGTTGATTAGTAGGTAACTCGGCTATCTAGTATTAGTTTTACCCCTCGTCGTCTGTAGGCTGTAAGGTAGGCGTTAGACTTTTTTTCGTTACCCACGGACAGCCTACAGGCTGGCTACTCTTACACAAATCACCACTACCACCACCACCACTACACGACCGCGACCAACACCACCGTAGCGGCAAAATCCATCACACACCCCCAAACCATGTCGTACCCGGGGACTAAGCCGGACTGCCTCAAATATACACTCCTCCTCCCCCTTCCCCATATTCTGTCTCTTCTGCTGTTCCTCGTACAATCATGAGTGATTGCAATTCCTCACCACCCTCGCCGGTTCTTGCCATGCCACCACCTCCTTCCCGATCTACCCCCGAGGCTTCTGCAACAATCATGTTGGCAGCTACCGCTACATCACCAACAATGAACACACCTACCCTCATCATGCCCATCCTATCAGAAGTCCTAGAACGCCTAGGCTTGGTCGAGTATTCAGATGCCCTTGTAGAGAACGGTTTTCGCAACTGGGAAACCGTCTTGGATATTACAGAAGACGACCTCATCGTCCTCAATTTCAAGCTTGGACATCGACGTGCCCTGCAACGAGAGATTGCATCTTTCCGCGGCACACCCACCTCATTGTCATTGGAACCCGACAGCAACCCCAGCGAACAGACATCTCTATCCTCCTCGGCACTGGAGTCGCTGTCAAGACAGAGCGCAACACCCCCCGTCCGAGAGAAGAGGCGGTACAGGCGACACCCGAGGCCTGACAGCAATGCGCCCAAGAAGCCAAAAACTGCCTGTACGTCCGCCCTGTTTAATCAATCAATCATCCATCGCGTTTGTGCACAAACGAGAGTCCATAGTTCTTGGAAATTAATGCATTCCAGATGTCAATTTTGCTGACCAGCTCCGCACGGATCCCGTGGTCAGCGCGCTGTCATTTGTCGACATTGCTCGCGAGGTAGGTAGGCAATGGCAGGTCCTACCTGCAGAGAAGAAGCGCGTCTGGGAAAGCCATGCAGCGCGCACAATGCAAGAATACGAGGCCCAAATGGACGAGTACAAGAAAACAGACTCCTGGCGCAAGTATCAAACCTATCTTGCCGACTTCAGGATACAGCAAGCACCCTCGCCCGTGTCAAAGCTTACGCGTCCCACTGCACCTCGTGTGGACTCTTTCATTCGCACAGAATCGTCTCGTGCTAGCTCAGCATCGTCCGACGGCCCTGGATCGGCACCCTCTTTCCAGTCTACAGGAACAGAGGCCGAAGTATGCTACAGCGCCCTCACGCTTGCATTCAACGAGCTCGTCTCGTTGAGGGGCGAAATATTAGACCAAGGCGTGAGACCCTACGACATTCACCATCTACCCGCCGAGGATCTAATGCGGCGAGCAATGTACGCCTTCATTCGCGGGACCGGGTCTCTCTTGTACATGTGGACGTACAGCCAGGCCGATGACATTCTAGAACAGATCTACAGGCCACAAAGGCCCGTGGACCCAATGGCTCTCGCGGAATGCTTCACAGTAGCTGCCATGGGCGCGCACTACGACATTGACTGCTTTCCTGATCGCATAAGGAAGACATTGTATGCATCGGGAACATTGCACTTCCACGAGAGCAGCGCGCGGTTGGATTACATGCGCACGATGAGATTGCTCCTTTCCATGTCTTTTTATGCCCTGCTCGAGAAGCACATGAGCGCGCGCTATTTGATTGGTATGTTCCTTCCTTGGTGACGTAGTGACGATCATAGCCTGACTAGTCCTAGCCGCCGGTTTGCAGATCGCACGCCTGAAGCGTCCATCATCCCGATCTGGGATCGATGGGATCGGCGATAATTGGAGACGGGTCTTTCGAAGTCTGATCTTCATGGATTGCTGGCTCTCATACACTTTAGGGTACACATCAGAAGTCACGCAAGAAGATATAGCAGTACGTTCCTTGACGAAACATGTCTTTGCATAGGACTGTACTAACACCCAACCAGGTTGCTTGCACGTACGAGCAACACATGCTATCCATGGACGAAACCATTCATATCCAGACGAGCAAAATCAATCTCGTTGCCGCGGAGATTTCCAAAACTCTTGCATCTCCAGAACTCGTCACACGTGCCAACATCGACATGCTTATCAGCAAGCTCGAAGCCTGGCGGGCAGAGGTGCCACCTGCATTGCAGCTCGCCGTTCTCACGTCAAATACTCTGTCCAGTCTGACGCTGTACCAAAGGCGAGCCATACTGATGGTACATGTATGTTATGAGCCAGAAATGGAATTCTGATCAGTACTGACCAAAATTGCAGATCATGTACCTTGGCGCTCTGATACTTGTGTACAGGCAGTTGCTGATAGCAACGGCGGAGACGCAACTCACTGACGGTGCTGCCTGGAACATCGATGTTTCCGTGGAAGACGCCAAGAGATATCGTTACGAATGTGCCATGGCTGGACAGCAAATTGCCCGCATTCTCAGCCTCATATCCTTTGACGGCACACTCACCAGGCGGTGCTGGATCATCATGTAAGTTATTGATTAGAAATATCCAAGTGGAAGGCGATTCTGACCGGATACGACAGCTATTGGGCGTTCAACGCATCCATTGTGCTCCTATTCAGCGCGACGACGAAACTCCTAGATGGACAACCCGACGGAGTAGAGATTGATCTCGATTACGCCAAAGGCTGCATGGACATTCTAGAATCATGCCGCAGCTTCGAGCCCATCGCCAGCCGGTATCTCGACATGGTGTGGCCGCTGTACGATTCCCTCCGAGACATCCACCAACGCATGGTTGGCCGGGCTAAGACGCGCATCTTCATGCTCCTCCAGACAGATCCGTCGATGCTCAGCCCGCCAGTTCCCTTCAGCAAGGCTGAAATGACGCCCATTTCGGAGAAACTGAGCGCACTCATCACAGACCCGTTCGGAAGGAAACAGCCAGTGGACGACGGCGACAGCACGAGGCGTGTTCTGAATGCAGATGGGTCGTGCTCGGTGTTCTGGTGGAGATAGGAAACTCAGCCTGTTAGTTTGGTAAATTTTACCATGCTATTGGAACTGCACAGGACGCGCATGCATCCGCGCGGCGACATGAGGCGAACGTGTGCCTGCGTCTGAACTACAGATGCTGCGGAAGCGAACATCGCGTGGCTTCCCATCTTCCAGGGCTATGGAACCTAGACTCTCGGTTCTTTTCACTCTGAACAAGCATGTATACCATTCAGCCGCACCGTGCGTATTGGTTTTTCCCGTACCTTGCGATTCGTGCCATCCGGCAAGGGCTGTAGATGCGACTCGGCAATCTTCCTAAGGTCCACGTGGTGGGAAATTCCGGCGACGACCACCACCTCGACGGACGGAAATTTAGTCAGCGTGTCGTTGCACCTGGGCAGCCACTTAGATGCGATCGATAGACGGAGCCACCAACCACACCAGGCCAAGGCCAGATCCAGACCCAGACCTGGGGAAAAAGGAAAAGGTTGTCGATCTAGAAGGTTGTCAGCTGGAAGATGTGGGGGATGGAATGAAAAAGTGGCCGTCCATCTCTCTCGAGTCTCGACTCTATCGGAGATTGAAAGTTGGGAGTCGGCCTGGACTGCGGGGTCTCACCTAGCTCACGCCTAGCGATGGACGGCGCCTGGCATATGGGCTGAGAACATTTGTTTTTTGCTTGAGGCTATTCGGGACGCCACCGTCGGTCTTGGTGCGCGCCCGCCGCAGCGCCACAAGAGACGATTCCAGTCTTGCGCCATGAGGAAAAAGAAAGAACCGAAAAGGGGGAGAGGAAATGGGAATTGCCGTTCGAAGGCAATTCTCGAGGGGGGAAACCGAAAAATCCCATTATTGAATTATGACTTTCATCGTTTAACGTTATGAGTATGATAGATCATGAGCATCATTGTTGTAAGAATTATGTAGAGGGAATGAATAGTATTGTTATCATCGCTGTCTGCATCTTCACCTTTGCTGTTGACTTGATGTTCACCTTTGCTGTTAATTTGATCTTCACCTCTACTGTTAAGTGATCTTCACCTCTACTGTTAACTTGATCTTCACCTTTACCTTTACCATTATCTTCACCTCCACTTTCACTTCCACCATCTTCATCTTCACGTTCACGTCCACCGTCGTGTTCTTCATCTTCACCTTCATCCGCATCATCGGTCAGTACTGCGTCCATATCTAACAGCGTCCTCCACAGTGTCCTCCACAGTGTCCCACGAAATATTTCCATGTTCTAACAAGCACACTTTCATCCCAACACCAATGCGGGCGTTCCTCCATACACACGTAACACATACCCTCTCGAAAAAGTCTCCATCGCCCCCTCTTGCATTCATCCGTCTTTCTTTTCTTTTCTTTTCCCGCCGATGCAATCAATCAATCAATCAATCTGTCTGCTTTGATGTGATACCGAACGTACCGGTACACATGGATACAACCTACCTACCCTCGGACCAATCCATCCATCTACCGTTCATTTGTGCTCAGGCTTGACGTACCTGCGGTATGCGATGGCGAGCGGAGGGTGAGGTTGGGCGTTGCGCTGCGCTGCGTTGTACGGGTAGTTATATTTGTTTTCTATGCTGGATTCGATGGGTGTGATGGGTATGATGGGATGGGGAGGAGGAGGGGAGGCACGTGGGGGGGTATGGATGCTCGTATACCACGACCCGAGCATTTTGTACGCTTTTACTTTAGATGCCTACCTAGATTCGAATCCACTGATTTCCTTTACGGTAAAGAGAGGGGCGTATGTCAGTGACTACGCTTTTTACACTGTAACCTACGCCGTACGCAGTCGAGCGCGGTAGGGAACGACAACTCCAGTGGTTTTTCTACAGTTTTGCTGTCTCATTATTCTTGTTGTCATTTTTGTTATTATTATTTACAGAAGCCTATATACTCGTTGGAAATACATAAATGCCTCCCCTCCCCAGGTAAGCAAGCAAGCAAGCGTTAAGCTGTAGGTAGCTATTAACAGTCGGAGAGCCTACGAGCGAGTTATTGGATTGGTGGGTCCGAGAGTATTGACGGTGCGAGATCTAGACCGGAGCGTAGTGGGGTCGAGGAGATCTCCGAGGGAGGGAGAGGGGGGTGATTGCGGATACAAATAGGTACCTTAGCTTCCCCATCTTGATTCTTGCTGTATGAGGATGGTATGCAGGAAGGTGCATGGTACTCGTATGTATGTAGGAAGATAATGGTACAATTCGATTGATCGCATAACATGTATAGATGGGTGTTGCTTTGGAAGTAAATTGAGTGGGTTGATTGTACTGTGTATGTATGTGTGCCTGAGGGAGTAAAAGCGCATCCACGTGCGCACCTCACTGCGAGCGTCGTGGTCGTAGCCATGTAACTCAGTAGGCAGCTGAACATTTACCAACTATCTACCTTCCAAGTACCTCTTCGTATCTAGAATCCCTCGTACTCGTCTCCATAAACCATAACCCTACAACCACCATCTTTACTATCATTCACTCTCCATCGAAGAATCGAACCATTATTGCTCAAACGTGGCTACTTGTGCTCTTTGCTCTATCCCCCCCCACATTTCCTGTCTATTTATAATGTCTGTCGTCGCACGTTGGCTGGCTGGGTTCACTGGGTCTGGGTGGACTAGCTGGGTGACTGGCTGGCTGGGCTGGGCTCTCGCCCTATTGTGTGGCTGAGAGTCTAGTACCTACAGTGTACCTTTTAGGGCCGCGGCCGGGGGATGCTGGCATTCAAATGGTAGAGCTGAAACGGCTTCGGCAGTTTGCGTTGCTTAGGTATTGTAGATACGAGTATGTATTACTTGTTGAGGAAATGTGTAGGGTTGTGGGATTTTCAATTGTAGATGTAGGTTCCTAATTAGGGTGTGGGTGATCTGTTTGCGGGAGGTAGGTTAGATACTAGATACCGTGTAGAATGGTAGATGATTGTCTTCCAGCGCATCGTATCGTATCGCATCTCGTCGGCCAATCCGAGGATTAGGAGGGACGATTGCTGGGCCATTTGTAAGGAGTAATTAGGCGGGTTCCCCTGCGCGGATCGCTGTGGCGCTCTTCCTTTCCATTTCCACCTTCAAAGGAACTTTGTAAGGGAGATACCCGCCCGTCTACCCACGCCGGCCGTCCGTCCACGCCGCGCCCACGTCCCAGGTTCAGGTCCAGGTCCAGGTCCAGCACTTGCATGGGCAGTGATATGTCAAACACCCCTTTGAGCGTCCGAGAACCTACTACGGCCTACCTATGGGTGTTGCAGAAAGCCCATGCGTATTGCGATTCGTGGGGCGTTGTGATTGAATAATGCTTGTTGGGAAAGTTTGGGACTGGGAATATGAATATGGGACGCCACATTGGAATGGTATTGGTGGCTAACTTATCGTGGCGGCTGCATGCATTGCGCTGCGTGGTGGTCGTGGTGGTCGTGGTGGTCGTGTGCTGTTCTTGTCTGGTCTTGCATTTCGTCTTATCTTATGGTGCATGGTAGTTATCGATTGTACCTATATTGACATGGTTGTGGAGCGAGGTGCTGGTCACCGGTGATGGAATAGGACATTGTTTGTCTACCTACCTTTAACTATGTTTACAGTAATGAAGGGTGAGAATGATGATGGAATAGTGTGAGGGATAATGGGGGGTGGATAGGGGCGCTCATCGGGAGTTTGCTTGATTAGACTCAGGATCAGTTAACCCATGTCGGTATGGTTGTAGATTATGTTAACCCACATGGGAATGGTGTTACTACTGTAATTAGAGGTTAACGACGTTAGTTATGACTTAAGGCTACAGCGTACTCCGTCTACCTGAGTAAGTCCAAAGTCAAAGAGAGTCCAAAAGAACGCCATCGTCCATGGTCCAGCCCTTCTTCCCTTTCACTTCAGGTCCAGTCGCTATTTCCCTTATTGGAGTCGTCATTTCCCAATCCAGCCAACCAACCCAATACAGTCGGCTCCCCCTCCACCTCCTCCTCCATCACCAACCATTGTCGTCGCCATCTCCATCTCCATCTCCACCTCCACCTTCCACCTCCTCTTTCACACATACTCTCTCATTCTCTTACACATACCTCGTACCTACACTTTCTCCTCTCCCTTCTCTTTTTTAACCATTAGCCTCCTCCTCTAAACAAACCCCATCCGCCTGCTTCATCGCATTCGCGCGTCGCATTTCGCCTGTCGCCTGTCGCTACCGACTTTGCCCTAGCATTAGTCCCACGCCTCAACTCCCCTCCCGCCGTCGTCGTCTTTAATCGCATCCACCCAGCTGTCTCACGATTAATCCACCCGTCTGCCTCCTTCCCGCTCTTCAATGCTGCAATTCCAATCTGCTGCTATCTATGAGGCCCTTTCCATACGCGACATCTTTCTAACTCCACTACAACGCCATGAACTCTGCAAGCATTCCTGCTCCCTCTCCATTCGAGATCCCCCATGATGATCTCACCGGCCTGTGTGCTTCCCCGGCCTTCCAGATCCTTCGTGACTATCTCTCCCACCAGGCAGAGTATGTTCCTTTACCCATACATCTATCAATCAACAACACACGCTAACAATCTACAGCTTCTGCCATCACCATGAGCGCTGCTCCGACGACGCCAAGCAGACATGGCTGCTCCATCGTGACATCCTGCATGCACTCACCATGCCCGTTGCACAGCTGTACAAGCGAGCATCAGCCCTTGCTGCTGCTGCCCTATGCTCCCAGAGAGTCGTCGATCTAGAGCTCGCGTTCTCGGGCGAAGCTCGTGGCGCTTTCGTATGGCTCCAATGCTTCGTCACGGAAGAGGAGGAGTGGGTGGTTACCAGTGGTTGCCCAGGTATGTTACACAACCGACAACGACGACTCGTCCTTTGGCATGAAAGCTGCCGCTCTTGCAAGACTGTACTGACTTTGCGTCCTCGTAGCATGCATCACCGCAGAGACCATGAGCACGGAATCGCACCTTCGTTTCACAATTGCAGCATCTCTCCTCACCACCGCCTCGATTGCTTCTCCCAATTCCTCCGCCACCAACAGCTCCACATCTACCCCCCTATCCGAGGATGGACCCACGGAAACAGACTCCGGCTCCTCTACCGGCCTCACGCTCCCGGCTCTCCCACACATACTTCCAGCGCTTCGGACGGCTCTCGAGAAAGACGAGTTCTGGGGTCCTGACTTTTGGCCGTACCTTTTCTCACGATCCACCCAACTATCGGCAGGCCTGCAAGCGCTCATCACCGAATGTGTAGACTTGGAATCTCTGGTGTCCTCCCCCGCGGACGAGCGACCGACAGCGGCACGCAGCGTGACTATGCCGGGCGTTTTACCTTCGGAGGACGCGGAGAAAGGAATGAAAATCAAGAAGAGCAAGTTGGCTAAGCGACAGTTGCGCTTGAAGAACGAAGAGTTGGAGCTAATGAGGAGGAGCGCGATGCAGTGCTGGGCCAGGGCAGCCATTCCTAGCAAGATAAGGAACGAGCTTCTGGGTCGCAGCCCCAGGCGGAGGAGCTTGACCGCACCGTGATTTTTCTTCGTCGAATTGTTGTAGATATTGTTGAGCAGCAGTGTGATTAAGGTATATGGCCCATCGGCCAATGTCTAGGCGTTTTTGTCATCAGGTCAACCAGGGCTTGGGACCGGGATTAGGGATTTGGGAACACGGGGCATTGAGGTTTTGATTGCATCATATATACCACACACCATCCTTTTTGTTTCATTTCTTTCCATTTTGTTCACGACATGGCGGAAGCGTTCCTTTGGATATCATTCGCATATCTCCATTTTTCGTCATGGCCACACAGACCTCACGTGCGGAGGCATATAATGCTTGGTCCCCAATAATCTCGTCAATCATCTCTGGATTGTTCGTCACTCCCTTTGCAGAAAGCATCTTTAGCGTTTTCTTGGTCGATAACAATCGTCATACTCGTTCCTTTTACTTTTACTTTACTGCATGGCTTTTCGTTTTTGGAAGCGGAGCGGAGTACGCAGGGTTTTTCACGGGTTGTTCACAGGTTGGATGGGGATAATAAGTAATAATACACTGCATTGTCTTTTTGAGTATCTATCTAATATCTGCTGTGATTCATTTGTTGGGTACCTGTTGTGCCATTTAATTGTAGGTGGCCGTTGGGTTTTAGCGGCCCGCCACACGTTGGATAGGAATTGTCGATCACCGTTCCATCGTACGTCGATCGTCGTTCGGGCAATGAAGAGTCGTCGATCTTCGTGACCGTTTCTGTGGACCCGCAATATGATGATCTGACAGGTTTCGTGGATCTTTTTAATGAGCGAGGGAGATGTATGTTACCTCGATGGAGATCTCGGGGGAGCGTTGGTTACTTGGAAGACTTGACTTGTGCTGATTATGTCGTGTAGAATGGGAGGGGAGGTCGGTGGTGTATGTAGATAAAGAAATGGATCTTGTATGCTCGACGCTCGTTGTAGATCTAACCTTTTCGCTTGGTTTGATAGCGTAGCCAGCATCTCGTTCGATTTGACATTCCAAGTATATATCTCCCTCACATCTTAAACCCCCATCCAACTACGTGTACGATGACATCACATCCCCCTCCCCGTACTTTGCCCAAACACAATATACCAAAATCATGCTGACACACGGTGACTATACAACCGCAGATCTCGTAGGGCAGCAACATCCCACTTTATCTGACGCGGTGCTGTGCGGTGCTGCAGAGTGCGATAATATGCAGGGACCTTTTAATTGCCGAACAGGGATCCCACAGCGGAAGATCTTCACATGCATGCATGTAACGGCTTCACGTGAACTTAGATGATCTTGAGAAGGGAGATAGGATCTACGGTTTCATTGCAGGTGTTTCGAATTATTTGGATTGAGGGGGGGACGCCCAACGGGGGTTCAACACTAGATGACCCCACGGGGCATGACGATCATTGTGGGGATATACATGGGCTTGGCGGGATGCATTTGTGTGATGAATGTACAGGTACCGACGTTCTGGGTTGGGTCAGCGGGATGTAAGCGGGCAATTTGGGTTGAGGTTTAAGATGTGCGTTGTGGTCATTTGGGATGGAGATCTTTCGTCTGCTTATTTCACCAGGGAACGGTGGGGGATTGGTGGTTGGAGGACGATATGATGGCGTGAAGGAGGGATTGGCCACGTGCGTGATCTGTTAATTTCCCTATCGGTATATGTATATTTGTATGTGCTGAGGACGCAATCGCGGTGATTAATCTTTTGGATCGTGGATGTGCCTGGTTTTGATTCACTTTGAAGATCGGATTTTGGTATCCTTTCTGGGTTTTAAAAGACTGCTTTAATTCCTCTTTTGAGATTGATGTAGCGTAACTGTCACATCCTGTCTCTTCTTTTTGTCTGCAACCTCGAGCGTTTCTAACCTCAATTGCAACTTTCGAACTTTCAACCATGCAGTCGGCGCTCTACCTTGCCGTGCTATCACTCCTGGCAGGACAGACAATAGCAGCGAAGGCACCGGACTGGAGGTCAAGGTCCATATACCAAGTCTTCACCGATCGGTATGTTCTCATCTGATCCGGCTATAGTCTCTTTCAAGATCTAACATCAACCCAGATTCGCACGCACAGATGGCAGCACGACACACCCCTGCGACGTCAAGAACAACATCTACTGCGGCGGGACATGGAAGGGCATCGAGAACAAGCTCGACTACATCAAGAACATGGGGTTCACTGCTGTACGTCCGAAACCCACCACCCACAATACCATCAAAAGGCTAACCATCGTTCTAGATCTGGATATCCCCCATCACCGCCCAAGTAGACGGCGCCTACCACGGATACTACCAAACCGACCTCTACAACGTGAACTCACACTTCGGCACAGCCGCAGACCTCAAGTCCCTTAGCACCGCACTGCACTCCCGCGGCATGTACCTCATGGTCGACGTCGTCCCCAACCACATGGGCTGGGCGGGATGCCACGACACAGTCGACTACAGCCACTTCTCCGTCCTCAACTCGCCCAGCTACTACCACACCTACTGCGAGCTCAACGACATGCGCAACCAAACCGAAGTCGAGCAATGCTGGCTCGGAGGAAACTGCGACATCACAATGCCAGACCTCAACACCACCCACCCAACCGTCATCTCCTCTCTCCAATCCTGGATCCGCGCCCTCGTCTCCAACTACACCATCGACGGCCTCCGCATCGACAGCGTCAAGAACGTGCACCCCACCTTCTTCCCGCCCTTCTGCGCCGCCGCCGGCGTCTTCTGCATGGGCGAGGTGTCGGAAGGGCTCGCGAACTACACATATCCCTACCAGCAGTACATGGACTCGGTGCTCGACTACCCGCTCTCGTACGCCATCACCCGCGTCTTCCAGCGCAAATCCAACATGGCCGACCTCGTCGTCAATCTCGCGGCATGCACGCAGGATGAGAACGCAGGGTGTCGCGACGCGACGCTGCTGGGCACGTTCTTCGAGAACCACGATAATGCGAGGTTCGCATCCGCGACGAAGGATGTGAGTCTCGTGCGGAACGCGCTGGCGTTCGCGGTGCTGAGCGATGGGATTCCGATCGTGTATCAGGGCCAGGAACAGCACTTTGATGGCGGGGACGACCCGGGGTGTAGGGAGGCGGTGTGGTTGAGTGGGTTTGATACGAGCGCGCCGTTGTATAGGCATGTGGCGTATTTGAATCAGATTAGGAATCATGTCGCGGCGAGGGAGGGGGGTTATTTGGGGTACTGGACGCGGGTGCTGAATTACACGGAGGATACGATTCAGTTGAGGAAGGATGTGATTAGGACGGTGCTGACGAATCAGGGGGAGAAGGCGAGGTCGGGGACGCTGAAGACGAAGGGGATGGAGTTTGCGAAGGGGGCCGCCGTGGTGGATGTTTTGACTTGTGGGAAGTATACTGCGGGGAATGATGGCGAGGTGGATGTCAAGATGGAGAAGGGGTATCCGGTCGTTTTGGTGCCGGAGGTGACGTTGAAGGGCAGTGGCATGTGCGGTCAGTCGTGAGTATGCGATTGAATGACATGGGAGAAGGGAAATCAAAAGATACCACATGGGACAGATGAACAAATATTAATAAAACATCTTATACAATTAAGAAGAATATTGTTAAAGTCTACACGCCACACCACCTCAGTCCAGGGGAATGGAAACTTCGCCAGCACCGTCTCACTCGGGATTCAAACTAATCCGAATAACTAAAGTCTCTAGGAGATGTAGTTCGCTACTACATATGGGAACGATGGTTGAATAAAGGTTCAATGGCCAGCTGTACATGATTGGAATACAAGGAAAAGATGAAATAGCAAATGGCTGTTGAAATATAATGGAGACCCCTTGAAATATAGCTGAGATGACTCCGAATGACCCACCCACAACAACAATAACGGAGTGGCAGATACTGAGGGGAAAAAACGCCGTGGAAATGCAATTCGCTTGTGCATGTGCGGATGTATGCTGACGACTTACAGCGTGAGATGAAACACAAAACACTGAAAGAAAGAAAAAGCATATGTGATAAAAAGATAACAGTAGCGGCGTGTACTGATAGAATAGGAGAAAAGGCAGAGCGGTGTTAAGTACTGTAGTAATAAAGTTAGCATGGCTACGTGCAGGCGGATTAGGGACAAGACTTACTAAATCTCCAACGGTGCAATCTGGTCCACAGTGTACAACCAACCTCCTCCACTCTCCTCCTTCTCCAACCACTCATATGGCCAGACGACTAGATGCCCTTGGACAAGCTCGAGCAACTGCTTCGCATCCTCCTTATCGAGCAACATGGCCTCGTCGGTGTGGTTGAATGCGCGTGTGCTTGACTTGGTCGTCGCTCGTCGTCTCCTTCTCTGAGAGGCATGTGTGGAGATGGTGTTTGCGTGGGCGCGGGACTCACGTGTGGGCTCGCTGATGGTGACAGTACGGGCTCGAGCAACACCACCGTTTGCGTTGGCGAAGTCAGCAGTAGCTGTGGTTGAGACTGAGGGGTCTGATGGGATCGGTGGAGGAGGTGGGAAGGTAAAAGCCTTTTCTGGCACTGGTGGTCCGATGGGGGACACAACAGCATCATCGAGGGATCGCTTGAGTGCGGATTTCTCGTCAAATTCAGCTGGTGGCGAGAGATGAAGCTTGCCTGACGGAGCGTGCTTCTCTTGGTCCTGGGCCCATTGCTCTACGTTGCCCATCTTGTCATTGGTTTGATCGCTATGGCCGGTTGAGGGATGATCATGACTGAGCCTCTCCGACAGTTTCTCCCCAACTGCTTCAATATGTCGGCTGGCAGATCCAGCGGCGGAGGCAACTTTCTCGGACGTAGTGCCTCCGCTTCCTGGTGGACCGGTCTTACCCGGCGTTTCCTGCTGCTTCCTCTGAGTTGACTTTCCGCCACCCTGTGACTGGCTGAAGCGCTCGGCAAAGGCAGTATACTCCTTGTATTCCTTCCAAGTCTTGACTTCATTATCCGGTTGGCAACGGAACACTTGACGGAAAAGTTTGGTATTATTTTCCGCGACGGCATGCCACGTGTCGAGGTAGAAAGAATCGTTCAGAGGATCGCGCATGCAGTCATCTGTCACGATAGGTCTTCGCATATCTTGGAGCAAAGGATTGATGACATGTGAGGATGCATAGCTGAAGGTTCGCTGAAGTGGCGGACCTCCAATATCTGTGTCGTCGGAAACAGGCAGGGCAGGAAGCTGGCTCAACTGAGTGAGGCCAAGCTGTCGAGTGTCCATGCGAGGCAATCTTGGGGGCGGCAGACCTGCATACCCTTCTGGCAGGCTGCTGGCCCCACTGGCCCTAGTTCCTGCAGTGTTGCTCCGGGGCCTGGTCTTCTTGGGCGGACTCCGCTTGTGATTGTGATGATGGCCCTCAACGGCCACGTCTGACATAAGTACTTCCTGTCCCTTGTCGTTAACATAGGAATCCCGGCCGCGAGATATGCTGGGGCGAGATTGCAAGTCTCGCATGTTGTCCACACCCTCGCCTCGAACATCTTTTTCGTGGGCGGCATTGTTGGTGATGCGAGAGTCCGTCGTAGGCTTCTTGCTGGACTGGAGGTGTGGGTTGCTGTCTTGCTCCCAATCAATATCATGATTGAAGCTATGTAGCCTCTCTGAACGCGCAATCAAATCATCCTGTAGGCGATGCTGGTTCGCCGTAAGTTTCTCTTCTGTAGCTCGGTCCGGGTTTGGAGAAGATGGCGACGATGAATCGGTATGGAAAAGGGCGCTTTCATCGTCATCTGCCTGGCTCGGCCACTCATCCTCGTGGATGTGGTCGACGTCGACACCCAGGTGTTCCCGCATCAGGCGGACACGCAACGTGTGAGGGAACTTGCCGACCTTGTACGGCTCACCAGCCATATAAGAGTCAAGCATCTCAGTATCTCGTACTACAGCAGCAACCTCGGAGTCGCGCGATCCAAGCATAGATCGTTCATTGATGTTTGCAGAGCCAATGATGGCTACACGATCGTCCACAATCATGCATTTGGCGTGAATGTACAGCTGTTCCGTGACGAGGGTTTTGGTAGGACCTAATGCACCCCATGACCTTAAAGCGTAGAATTGGATGTAGTCTTCGGGCTCGATACCAGCGGCACGCAATCTGCCGAAAATGGACGTCGGGCCGCGGCAGATGCTGCGATATTGACATGTCATGATGAGACGGACGCTACTACCATCCTGTTGGTCGACGGTGTTCTGGAAGCCAGGCATGAGTGGAATGACTATGCATGCCCTCCAGTCCTCTGAATCCTTGTGTGCACGCTTGATTCGATCGACAAGAGCATCACTAATTCTGTTCTCAATCTTGGTACCCAGAACCTCACAACTGCTGATGTAGAACTGGTTCTCAATGTAGACGAAGTGTTCTGAAGTAGAAATCATCTGTACGTAGGCGTTCATGATGCTATGCTCCGTCTTGTTTGGGGTTCCTAGAGACCACGATGTAGCAGAACGCAGGATTTGCACCTCGCATGTTCCGTCCAGCCCAAGAGCCTCGATATCAGCGGGATTGAAGTCAGGCGGAGGCAAGAGGAATGGCGTGGGTCGGGATGGTTTGCGCTGGCGGAGAAGATAGTTCCATCGTTGAACAAAGTGACGTGTCAGATCGCGCGCCGGCTGCCCTACTATTTGCATGCCGATATCGTGCCATGGCATCCGTGGGACTTTGCTTCGATCATACATCTCCTCGTAGGGCTTGTCAAGGCTGTAGAAATCCTGGACACGCGGGTTGGAGTAGTCCTTTCCAGGCCACAACTGGCAATGGTCAGCATCTTTCGGTGTATCATCAAGCTCGAACCCGGTCAGCTTGTCGTCGACCACTGCGTGCTGGGGCGTATCCCAACGTCCAAAACATAAATCAACTCCACCACAAAATGCAATGGTGTGATCGACAATACAGATCTTTTCGTGATGCGCCCAGAAGAAAGTATTTTGTCGAATCTGGTTTGGAGATCGTTGAACAAAGACATTCGGATGTAGATCCAATAGCGAGTACTTGGAATATTCCGAGTCGATTGGAATGGCAGTGTTAATGTTGCGGTACATGATGACGAATACCTTGACACCCTCTTGCGCTTTTCGCTGCAAAAGTCTGTCCAGCCTCCACTTCTGGCTGATGGCAGCAGGTCGTCGCATATAAAGTTCAGGGCTCAACCACCAATCGTGAATGTAGATGACGTCCTTAGCCATGCTGATTGCCCGCGAAACATTCCACATGTAGTCACGGCCGTCGACCAGCCACTGTGCATAGATCCGTTTCCGGACCGGAGCGAAGCTCCCGAATCGCTGTGGTTTCGCCCATTGGGTGTTGCCAACCATGAACTTGATCGAGTCCATGAATTGTGCGGCTTGTCTTTCGTTCTTGGCTATCAGCTTCATCTTACGTTCAGAGTTGAATAGTCGCAATTGATGGTGTCCGGAAGCAGCAGCTGCTTTGGTATCGGTAACAGCATCTTTGGTCCCTGCGGATATTTTGCTGAGGGCTCCACCCTTTGCCTCGATTGAAAAATCTGAGTCGACCAGGAATACGTCGTACACATTCATCTCTTCTGGTGAGTCGACGCAGACAACATAGCTATGCCTCACGAGGAACCACTTTGGCCAGTGTCTTTGCACCATTGGGTTGCCGCCCCATTTCTTCCTATTATCTACTCCCTTGGCGGATCTGATCATCATATACCCTTCTTTTCCATGGTAACCCCCCTCGGCGGCCAGTCTTACGCCCAAGGCCGATAGTTCGAGGAACTTGCACAGCCGATTGCTGTCTGGTCGAAAGATGAGAAATGTGATCAATTGATTCAGGTATCGTTCCAGAAGCTTTCGTTGCTGCTCGTATTGGTTCTGCTTCGTCGCCTGTCCACCAACGCCACCAACGAAGCTTCCTTGTCGAGTTGCGGTTCCCTCTTCGTTGCCCGCCATACTTGATGTTCGTCGACCTAGTTGGAATGAGGACTTCCGTCGCTTGACATTGGAAGGCCCTGGCCTATCCAAGCCACTAGCATCACCCTCTGGACCGCTCATTCCACCGGGGGTCTGGACAACATCTTCATTGCCATCCTTTTCGACGAGATCCTCGTAGCCTCGAAGCCCACGCAGGTAAGGCATAGCTCGGAAGGGGAAAGAGGGAAGCTTTGGGCCCTTGTCGACTTTCTCCTTGTCGTCGTCGACCTTTTGATTTTTCTTCTTGGAACCGCCAGAAAGACTGAACTTTTCCTGTTGCTGTTGCACTTTGTATTTCAAGTGCAGATTGGCAAAATCCCTGAGCGAGCGGTGGATGATCCATTTCATCCTAGTCAGGCCGCTGCCATATTCTAGCTCTATGCGAAGAACGGTATGTCGTTCGCCGATCTTTCTATCTTCACCGCCAGGGTAGCTGTCTGTCACTGACACTTTGAGCTGTTCTAAAAGGATGGGAATGCGCTTGCGACCGTGCTCATCACGCTGGAACATACTTGCCAGAAATAACGCCGCCGGTGCGCCCGATAGAAGTTCTGCCATGAGTTCTGCTGACTTTGCATGGTCGACCTGCCGCTCGGCTCGTTTGCTTGCGCCGATCATCTTCAAACTATTCTTGATGGATCTCCACTTCTGAGCACTGAGGCTGGACGTACGCTCACTGCGCATGCGCCATGGTGACGGCTGCCCTTCACCTCCCGTCCCGCCAAATCCAGTCAGTCGTCGCAGCTGGCTGGGCCGACGATCCTCAGAATCTTCACCGTTGTGATCGTGCCTGCGAAGTCCTCCATATGACAGACCCCTGGCGCTGTGAAGCCCCCTCGTCCAGGCACTCTCCTTGGCGAGCCTATCGCGTCCCTCATCTTCCGATACCCCTTGCCTTTGGTTCTCTGGAATATCGCTCATTGTTCCGCGTCGTAAGAAGCTAGGACGGTTGGCAGTGGTTGAAGTTGGTGTGCCTCCCGGGGAATCTCGAGAGAAGAAATGCGTGCCGTTTGTGCCACCCATCTTGGGCGTTGTGGGTGCGGTCTGCGTTCCATCATCGAACCAGCGGCGGCTCTTTCTTCTCCTCCGCGCTGGCCGTGACGGACCCTCGCCAGCGCTCTCCTCCGCATCAGCGTCCGCCTCACTATCCTGTCCATCGAACCTAAAATCACCACGTTCGGAAGCGGGAGACATTTGACCGTGTGGCGATCCTTCGGGGATCGTGTTGCTGCTGCCAGCAAATGCACTTTGTGTCCGGCCGTGGCCTTGCATGGGCGTAGCAAATGCTCCCCTCAGCTTTGTTATTAGGGACGAGCCCTGCCTTTCCTTCTCTTTACCCTTTCCACCTTCCTCGTCAGTGTCCCAGGATTGGTGCCGGGAATGTGTGGCTGGATTGGAGTCGAAGGTCGCAGATCGTGCGAACTGGACACTTCTCCGGCCTTTGGGAGCATCCGACTCGTCCCCCTCAGCAGTCGGGCGTCGCGATATCGGTTTCGGTGGGTTTGCGCCTATGGAGCCATTGGGTCCGACAGAGCGCGGAGGGAATTTCGATGTTCCTTCGCCGTCTTTGGTTTCCTTTGCTTGATTCGAGTCTGGCTGTGACGAAATGGCATGAAATGGGAACTCGCTGCCCTCGTTATCCGATGTGGGTTCACCAGTCGGGGCTGACTTTGTTATAATTGGGGTGCCGTTGGGGGCAGTGTTTGGGGCGAGGGTGGCAGAGCCATTGCTGGAAACTGTTTCGCCTTTCCGTAAAGGGGAAAATACTCGTGAAGAGTCTTTCGGTCGGTCTGTGGTCGCGGATGCAGGCGTAGGAGAGCGGTCGCGGGGGGTACGGGTCAAAGGGGAGACGTCGTTCGAGCCAGGAGTGTCACCCATACTGGCGGTATGGGGAGGTGGGAGGATCGATCAGCGGCGACGCCGTTTGAGTAAGAAGTAGAAATGTCGAGATAAAGAGAGCGAGGATGGCTTCGCCTTCGGTGTCGTAAAATATGTTCTGTCACGAGCCCATTATTCTGGTCGGAAAGCGCGCAGCGGAAGCAATAACGTCAGGCAGGAGGTTTACGCGAGAGCTGAAGGGATGGATGCGTGATTTAGAAGGAGAGTAATGGAATCCCCTGATGGAGAGAGGAGAGATGAGTAGGGCCAAGGATAGATCTAGTAGACAAAAAGGATGGATCAGACAGAACGCAGCAGATGATCGTCGTCGTCGTCGTTGTTGTTGTCGTTACAGTAGTCGAGCTGTCCACTGTCATACTAGTGGATATGAAATGTGGATGTTGTCCCCATCAGCCAAGACCCAAATCTCCATTCGAATCCGGGCCAGTAGCATCCCTGTCCATCCCTGTCCATCAGCATCTCTTGTTTGAACGGAAGGAACAAACGAAGAATTTGGGGAGGAAGGAAGGAGCATTGACCCTTCCCTCAACCTCAACCTCGTCCTTCTTCCAACCTTCAACCTTCAACCTCTATACAGAGTACTCATCTCAACTTCTGCAACTACTCATGCCGAGTACGAATCCATTTCCCCATCTCTCTCTACCGATCCCCGTGTCCAATGTGCATCCACCTCACCGCTCGCGTCGCTTCCAGTGAACCCCGCTGCCGAAGGATGACTACACCATGACAATTGCATCCTGTACGGCATAGTGCACGCCACTACCATACTTCTAGAATTGAAATGCCTGTTGGAAATCTTCTCCAATTCTCCAAGAAACATCCAAATCTGTATCATCGACAGACTAGAACAAACTGACACAGAACCTGTCTTCGATCCCACGTTTGTGGTAACCGTCAAGCTCCACTTCGTCTACTACTGCAATACCCCCCCAGTCAGTACACTAATGCGGAAGAACAACCTCGGTGCAAACCAGGGTCCCCGCGGTCACATCCTCTAAAAAGTGCTCCACATCTTGCAACAGTTGACAGTTCCTAGAAACATTACACACATCATTAACACAACACCGCGCAGCACGCAGCATACCGCAGCACAAGTAGCGATTGGATACTCTGGTAGCAATTGATCATGGCAGCAACAACGAACCCCCTCCACGGAACATACCAGCCCACTGGCTTCTCTGTCTCTTCCGAAACCTTCACAATTGCCGGCATTCTCACAACTGTCCATGGACTCTCCGAACTACCTCCTTCGACCAAATCAGTCGCCTGCTTATGGCTGCTACATCCACGCCTCCAGACGAAAGAAACCATGGCACCAATCGCCGCCCAAGTAGTCACAGCCTGGAACAAACGAATAACCGAGGGACGGGCTGGGAGACATCCTACAGGCTTGATATGTGCTTCTTTCGATCAGCGTAACCATGGTTCGCGGCTTGTGGACAAACTGCATAACGAAGCATGGAGGCAAGGCAACCCTCGACATGCGCAAGATATGTTCTCTTGCTTCCAGGGCACCGCGGCAGATACCTCGCAGCTCCTTACCCATATCGAGTCCTACATATTCACTGCACCAGGTGGTCCAAAGATCACACAGAATCTTGTGTTAGGGATCAGTTTAGGCGGACACGCGGCATGGCAATGCGTGCTCTCGGATCCCCGCATCACATCTGCTGTTGTTGGTATCGGCTGTCCAGATTACACTCGCCTCATGACGGACCGCGCACGCCTATCCAAACGTACCACATATGTAGCCTCCGCTACACCTGGTTCGTCATTCTTAGGTTCTGTCGATTTCCCCCACGCTCTTCAAGAAGCTATAGCGAAATACGACCCAGCAGGTCTGCTTCTCCCCTCCTCGTTCAACCCCGCCGTCCCCGATGCCCTGGATCCACAGCCCGACAAGGCCAAATTGGACAGGTGCAAGATCGTCCTTCGAGAACGCCTGCACGGAAAGCGTATCTTAAACCTTAGCGGTAAGGTTGATAAGTTGGTGCCTTACGCTGCAGGGCTACCTTTCTTGAACGTGTTCAAACAGGTACTGCGCGAGGAACCGAGCTTGAACATTCAATTTGAAGATGTCCTTTTTGACGGAGTTGGACACGCATTCCCCGCCGCTATGGCAGACAAGGCCACGGAGTGGATATGCGATCTCTTATCTCAGGACGACGACACAGTCACAAGCAAAATATAAGTATCGAATTCAATTGATTTCATCATTTCATAGTATTCTCGTATTGCCTGACTCGAACTCCGTGATGCGGCCAGACTTGGGTTTTGATTCAAGCAGGTATTAGGGTATATGACTTTCCAAACCCAACCTCATTAACTGCACCATGACAAAACCGTTGCAAAATTTCTGACGTCCCAGAAGCCCCCCCATCCGCGATATCCTGAACCATCTGTCTTCAATCCAGCTCTCCTCCGCCTTTTCACCGATGTCCCTGAATTCCAAACTTTGTTTTACTGCATCCAGCCAAGCGTTTGAAAAGAGGAAAACCCAAACTTTTAAGCCCTACTTCCTACTCCTCAGACAAGACCTCTTGTCATTCGCCTTCACAGAAGCCCTAGTCCTGCCCCTCGGATCCAACTCCGTGTTCGCATTCGCAGTGGCTGTTGGAGGACTGGTCGTCGTCCTGGAAGCAGCCGCAGTCACTACAGACGAAGTACGCCTCCGGACCGCCGCAGTAGCGAGAGACGAAACACGATCGGCCCTACGATTGATGGGAGTCGCGACGGTCGCCACTGACGCCTCCTCCTGGACCGCGAACTTGACCTCGGCCTCTGCTTTCTCTGCCTTTTTATCTTGGTCAGCATTACACGACGTGTTCTTAGCTTGGGACTTCGTGATCCTCTCAGTATGAGTGAATATGGACGTACGATGAGTACCACTAGTAGCAGGGGCGGCATGGGAAGTACCCGCCGCAGTTTTCGCGTCTTCCGAATCCACAGAACCCGCGTCGCTCGGGTTCTTCGTCTCAGACCGGGTGGTCCGCCTACCGTACCTCGGCTGGAGGTCAGTGGGCGTGAGGTCCCGCTTCGCGATCTTGGGAGCGGTCTTGTTTCCCTTTGATGCGGTCTGTTCGTCCTGATTGCGTTTAGCTTTCGAGGAACTTTGGGTATACTTCTTGTTTGACCGTTTGACCGGCGGAGGTGTGGGCAGCTGAGGCTCTCGGTCGCTGATGAAGAACCCTTCAGGGTAGTCCTTTGCGACCGTGATGCAGCTGGAGATTGAGGAGTCAGAGTAATATCTTACCTCGTCCAAAATTTCTTTGCTACTTTTGCGACCATCGTTCTTGTTACCGTTATGGGTGTCATTGTCAGTGGCTCCATCCATGGAAGACCTCTTTCGTCCGGGCTTCTTCTTCTTCAGACTGCTCGACAGGGCTTGCGCCATGCCGCCGCTACGTCGACCCCTCGTGCTCCTGGGTGTAGTATCTCCATTCGCAGAACTCGCAGCCGTCGTGCCGAGGCTGCTCTTTCGCCCTGACAACCTACTCGTCGTGCCGCCGCCCCTTCGACCTGATAATCTACCTGCCGTGCTCTTTGTACGCTTCCGGGCCGGCTTCTCCCTGTCCGAAGACGAATCATCCACCTTGCCGATCTGGAAATCACCATCAGGGCTCTTGCGGTTGCTAGCGGACGCCGCCGTATTGGTGCGCGCATTGCGGCGCCGCTTGAGGTTCTCGGTTCCCTGCGAATTGGCCTGGGTGACAACCTCTGGGAACATCGGCGGCGGCGGCGTAGTCACCTGGACGAGCTTCTCCTCGGTCGAGTCTCGCGTCTTTGAGGCACGGCCGGTACTAACACGGGGCTTTTGGACCCGGAGAGCTGGCTCTGTCGTCTGAAGTGGTTCACCACGAGACTCTTGGAGATTGTCTTGTCGAACAGGGAATTCAGCCTTCACGGGCGAAAAGTCCTTGTCGGATAGATCTGTAAGCTCGGAGCCTGAGGATGGGTTGTTTTGAGTGATTCCATTAGGCTGCAAGATCGTGTTCAGAAGAAGCTCAGATGGGATGTTCTGGGTCATCTCCTGTCCACCTTGCTCGACAGTCTTGGTGTTGTCCTTGTCAGACAGTGCTGGAGTAGCCCGAGCTTGCACATCATTTGAATCCTGTTCACCGCGCATCGTCTCGGAAGACGCAGGAGAAGCCTGAGCTTTTGCGTCCCTTGAATCCTGGTCACTGCCATCCTGCTCGGAAGGCACGCGAGTAGGCTGAGCCTCCAAGTCTTGCACACTCCGGATGGCACTGTTGTTCTCGAGAGGTGCGGGCTCCGTGACGGGCAGCTTGACACTCGAAACATTGGAATCTGGAACAGGCTGCTTTGATTCCGTGATCTCGGCATTAGCTGTGGTGGTCTCCTTCTCTTGAGAGCGTGGGGATGCTGCGTTTTGTACATCAGACGCAGCCTTCGCCGGCTCTTTGGCCGCACTGAGATCCTGGCCAGGGTTGCGATTGATATGGTGCCAATTAGACGTAGCCTCCACTGGCTCTTTCAGATCACCAGGATTCTGCCCCAAGTTCCGATTGACATCCTGTCCAGGAGACACACCCATCGACACCTGCTCTCCCTGACCAAGACCCTGGACCAAATTACGAACGGCATCCAGTCCAGTGTTCGCCGGCTGTCCAGCTTGACCAAAGCTCACCCCCAAGTTCCGATTAATAGCCAGTACATTCAAAGCATCAACCGGTCCAGGCGGCAGCTCAGGCATCATCCGTGCCGGATGTCCCACATGCAACTTATTCGCATTATAACTACCCGCAAACCTAGGATCCGCCGCCGCAGACCCAATGGGCCGCATGTGCTGATACGGCATAGGCTGCTGCGCCGGCACCGCTGGGTAAGACCGATGGGCTACGTTGGCGAAGTGAGGGGAGCGTGTTGGACCGCCTCCATAGCCATTCATGTGCCGCAGACTGTCGATTGCGGCTTGGGCTCGCTGCTCCGGATTACCTGGTTGCTGTTGGAATCCAGACGGGATGTAGCTGTAGTGTGACTGTTGGATGGGCCACTGGTCGTTATTGCTGGGGCAAGGCGGGAATGAGGGCTGGGGATTAGCTTGGCTGGGAGAGTGGCTGGACGGGACGGGTGGAGGCAACATGGAGCGGTAGCCGTTCTGATAACTGAGGGATTGCTGCATTTGGGGCCCGTTCTGAGCACTGAGGGCATGCTGCACTTGGTGTCCATTCTGTGCACTGGGGAGATGCTGCGCTTGGTTCCCACTCTGAGCACTGGGAGAACGCTGAATACCGAGTGCATTCTGCGCTTGGTGCACTTGCCGAGCCACTTGTTGAGCACTGAGAGAATGCTGAGCTTGCTGAGAACTGAGAGGATTCTCCACTTGCTGAGTAGCAGCTGCTCGTCGGGCTGCAGGACCGGCCGGAAACTCTGGTGGGGGATTATTGCGTGTGGGTGCAGGTCGCTGTGAAGGTTCCTGTGCAGGTAGCTGTGGAAGTTCCTGTGGAGGTCCTTGTGGAGGCTTCTGTGGAGGTTCCTGTGAAGATTCCTGTGGAGGCCCTCCCTGCGGGACGTTTTGCGGTTCCGCAGCCTTCTTTCTATTCCGGTTGTTGGTTCGACGCTGCTGCTGCTTCGGACGAGGTGGTGAAGCGACAGGCTCGTCCGCAAAGGACACCGTCTTGCGAGGGGCGGATGCCTCTGGCTCATCTGGGTCGATCTGAGAGAGCCGCGGATCCACGTACACAAACGGTGGATTAACGTTCTCAAGACGTGGATACGGAGGGATAGACGGACTCGAGATTGGTGGGTTCGCGGCAGTTAACCTCTGTTGCGTGCGCGCGTTGAGGGACGACTGTGTCTTCGAAACCTTTGCCTGTGTCGAATTTTCCGGATTAAGCAAGCTATTAGAAGCCGTCAAGGTTGTCGAGAACGGTGGCGTAGTCTCGTGAGTGTTACGATTTTGACCATTGCCGCTCTGTCGCGCACGCTCGTTGAATGCCGACTGAACCTCTGAATCCTGTGTCTGTGTCGAACCTTGCGGATAAGTCAAGGGAGTCGGAGTCGTGAACCACGTCGAAAACGGTGGTGTTGGCGGCGTGTTCCCGCAAGCAAAACCGTTATTATCCTTCCCGTTCTGTGCTTCATTCTCGTCACCGGACATAAATGCAGGCCACTGAGGATCAGTGTCAAAGCTTAGAACGCTAAGGCATTCGTCAGGCGACAGAGGATTGTTTTCAGGCGTGAGCTGCGCGAAAGACCTCCTAGCCTTCTCTTCCCACCTCGCGGTGGTCGGAGAGTCCTTGCCGTGCTGCATCCTCACGTTGTTGACTTGCTGTTGAATGCAATAAATGCGTTCTCGAAGCGCATTCTGGTCTTGAATGTTGTTATCCAATTGCTGCGCACAGAAGGACCGAGCTATGGATTCGTGATCGTTGATACGACGGGCCTCGGCCGCCCCGGCAGGTAGATCGAACTTGTCCAAATAAGCCTCCGATGCAAACTGGCTGGGCGGTGGTGTCGAAGCTGGAGGCGATACCGGTGCCGCAATGGTCTGCTCGACAGGAACTGCTTCAGAGTGAGGTTGGTTCGATGGAAGTGGCAGTCCCGCAGAGATGTTCTTCTCTGGTGCAACATTCCTCTCACTCAAGGGACCGATAGGAATCGGATTCTCCACCGTGCCATCCGTCGGCTTCAGAGCAGATGCTCGTTCGGCCGCCGACTTGGATGAACCTACTTCAAGTTCTGCCTCAAATACAGACTCTGCTGGGCATTCAGGAAAGACCATCCAGGCGTCCCAGTCCACTTGGTCGATCTCTTTCAGTCCCTCTGCCCAATTCTGCACGGGGACAGTGTAGTTGTCCGAGATTTCGGGCAGTGAACCATCGGGATAGGGCGCTGGTGACATCGGCCTGTAACACTTACCACAATCATGATGACCGCAGAAAGGCTTCTGCCATTTACCCATCTTAAATGTTTCGTGGAAACGTTATCTTTCAGAAGTGCTGTGATTGTTGAGGCAGGCTGTTGAAGCAGACTCTGGTGTACCGGTTGTTGTCTGCAGGTGGAGAAAAGTTGTCGGTGGTGGGTTGGAAAAGGTGGAACAGGTAGAAAAGGTATATAGTGTGGTAAAAGATGAAGCAAAACGCGTAAACAAACAAGATGATAGACCGCGCGTGGTCGCGAGTTCAAGTGAAGGTAAAGAAAAGTAAAGGCACAATGCCCAATCGGGAAATCCTGCGTGTGGTGGGTGATAGTGGGCTAAATCTCCACGCAAACATTGTAAATAAACTAAAAGACACGTAACTTTGTTCATCTAGCATATCACGAGTTCATTGTTTACTTAGAATGTTCACAAGCCCATCGTGGCCGGATATAAGGATTAAAGCAGTGAAGGGGCAAAGCCAGCATAAACAATCACTCGCGGTGTTATTATAATGATAAACAAACTCGAATTATGTCCTATTGGCCGAATCATCCAGAACACACATTGTCAGAGATACTGTAAACTGACACTATAAACCATTTCACGTTCGCTCCGGTGATTCGTAGTGGTGGTAATATCAGATTGGGATAGCTCTGTTGACACTGTTCCCCATATCCACCGGCGCTGCGAGCACACTTGACCGCACATCAGCCATGAATCGACACTTCAACTAGAAAAATACTCACGATTTTCCAGCATCCGTTGCACAGCAGCAGCAAAGAAGAGATGCTGGCCAGCAAACAATCTAGTCATTATTAGCGGTGTGAGGACGGAAAACAGGATGGTGAATTACGAACAGCAGCGCAGACCGTAACAATGAATCCGAGTGTGGGGCCGACCACTTTGCAATGGCATGGGTTCTGGTCACTGTCGAGTATTAAATGAGAAGCTTATTCAGATTGGTGGGTATCCATACGTTCCGCATTGGAAGCAGACCACAGGGAAAGGTACGCAGTCCATATTGGGATGTTCGGAAGTATCAGTGAAGTTGAAATTTAGGTTAACGTGTTCGGAATATAGTAGGATGAGTACAGGATCAATTTGATAGCTTGAATAAGTGAGGTAAAGCTTGAAAAGTCGAAAATGTCAGGATGAGGTGCATCAATTGACGTTGTTGTAACACAGTCGTCGTCCATGACGCCAAGCGTTATTTCCATTTTTGGACATTTTTTCATGTGATTGACATTTTACCACTCCATCGTCATCAAAAGTACCTGCACACCCGATATGTATTGGATATGTTGTCAATACTCTTATTCCGGGCCACATTTTGTTTAAATGCAATTTCACTTATGAATTTCTTTATATGTACATGAACAATGTAAGTCAAGCATCAACCCAACAAAGTATGACGTCATCACTTCGTCGAACAGCTTTCATCTACCTACCATTCTAACTCACAAGTCTAGTTTTCCATATACTGCGAACTCCACGAATTCAGATCAAGCATCGAGGTATCAATTGGCCGCTCCATGGCTTCGATCACTGAAGATGCAGGCCTTCTTTCCCGCATGCTCATCATGGCATTGGCAGAATCATGATGTCATATCAGCTCAAGAGAACACCTTCGATGGACCCTACACAAGTCCCACATGATAAAAATAAAGGGGAAGTATATTCCCTACAATTGAAGCATAATCATACATAGCATAGCCGGCTCGTGAAACGGATAGGACTTCCGGCCATTCAAGAGCCGCCGGCAAGGCAGAACAATCGAACGCCTGACAGAACGTCCACAATGCCATATTTTCCAGCTAACGACCAGAACAAACAATGGTCTACCCACGAATCGACGCAATGAAACGTGTTTCTTCAAGTTCCTGTCTCATCCCTCGGATACCGCATCGAACATCTAATTCCGGAACTGCGCCTTGTTGAATCGAGAACCCAGCAAATGTAGTTTTTCAGCTTCATATGAAACCCAACATCCCAACCAATTGACCAATGAACAGACACAACCACTATGTTTCCAATATCAAAAAACGCTCCCTCGTACCTTTCGCATGGATACATGCATGCATGCAATGCAGCCCTACAAGACAAGACCTCGGACAATCACAACCCACCCCGCTTACTGTGCCCCGTGCTTACCTCGCACCGCACCCACAGGAGACTATTTGCATCGCCTCAGGCCGCCGGCCGTCCAGTCTCTCGGAACAAACGAAGCGTGGCAGCCAACACACACAGAACACAACGGCTTACAATCTCACCACGCGACTTGGATTTTCCCCGGCGGACGACGACGCGCGCGCTTTCGTTGTGGGACGGGTGGGTGGGTGGTGAGATGGCGTGCTCGAACGCATGGCCTCAGGCCCCTCAGCTAGCCACGAGAACGGCGGGCGGGTGGCCGGGCGGGTGGTGGTGCTTCGAGGTCGCATTGTGAGGGACTGCGATGCGATGCGACATTCGGCACTTGGGTTGGATGGAACTGGGTGTATGCGTTGTTGATTTTTAATTCATTGACTCTTGTCATCCGGCGCTCACACGGCTGGAGAAGGATGGAGCAAGAGATCTTCTGTGTATCAAGCCTTTTTTTAGGAACGTTTCTTGTTCATCCTAAGCACGGTTTCTGCATTGTACATATATTGTACATACACGGAGCGTATCGTACATACATGGATCGTGCTTTCAATTTCACTATGCCAGAATTTTTCCCAGCCCAGCAGCACTTCCCACCACTCACTCACTTGAGATAGTTATTTATGAATTCACAAGGAAAAGTTGGAGGCTAAGAAAAATGATATCCTATCTGATGAACAAAGTGATGTAGCGAATCAAGGCTTTGCATGCTTAGAAATGAATTGGTTTGAATGGAACATATTTCGTAGACAAACAGATCAAAGGCCAAATGATCTGATATAAATTCCAAAGTCACATCATGCTGGAGACCAAAGACTCGCACTGATATACCCTGTATAACGCTACACAGTTGCCCATCTCATCTGTGACCCCGGGGCAATCGACTGTGTGACTTGGATAATTATGTTTTTCTACGAACGAAGAAGCTTTTGGGTGTATCAATTATAATTTTGTCTATCCCATCCCAATCCCCCCAACACACTCCCCTTCCAAACACTTGCCCAACCGCATCGAACCCTCATTTCAACTTCCTCATCACCCTCTCCCTAAACCCCGTCTTCCCCTCCCCATCCTCTTGACCCTTTCCCCCCTCCTCCTCCTCCTCCTCCTCCTTCCCTATCACCCTTCCCGTCACACTCCCCCCAAGATCATACTCCCTACTCACCACCCCCCTCCTCCGCCGCTCATTCATCTCCGTATTACTCGTCCTCGCCCTCCACAACACGCCATACACCTCCTTCGCCTCCGCTTCCGTGCGATACCGCAGGATATCATAATCGCTATCCCTCGTCATCGCCTCGTCGCGCTCCTCCGTCACGATCGCGTCCTCGACGTGGCGGACATTGACGCCGAGCGAGAGGTAGGAGTTCCGCCATGAGGGGGTGAGGTACTCGAAGTGCGCCATGTAGATGGTGATGTGGGAGGGCGGGACGGAGCGGGAGAGGAGGTGCTGTAGCGCGAGGGTGTCGACGCCGGCGACGGGGCCGATGATGAAGTGGTGGGAGGAGGCGATGGCGGCGTCGAGGAGGGGGACGTAGTGGGTTTGGAAGTAGGATTCTGAGGGGTCGAGGGGCCCGGATATGAAGGCGATTTTTGGTTTGGAAGGCGTGGAGGAGGAGGAGGAGGAGGAGGAGGTGGTGGTGGTGGTGGTGTTTTCGTTGTTGGCGGAGGAGGAGGGTGTTGTGTTGTTTGTAGATGCATCAATTGATGATGATGTCGACGCCATCGTAGCGTTTCCTTTCCCTTCCGGCTCTTTTCGTCTTGTGTTTGGCAATATCGATCCCCCTTAAACGTACTCCCAACCTATCTCTTCCCCTTCCTCAACCCGAAATTGCACCTCGAATCCCCCAATAACAAACGCCCTCGACCTCCTCCAACCAGCACCCAAAGCTCCCCAGAAGGTAGACAACCCTCCCGCAACAGCAACCACCAACCCAAAAACCGACAATGGTCAACGCAGTCTCCAGCCAAACAAACGATCCTATCTCTTCGGCGACTCCGCTCGTCTTGTCGTGTATAGTCTGCCTTCTTATCTGCCTCGCGATATCCCGCTCCGTTTTAGCACCTTTTTCTACACAAATCCCACGATGCACAACCCGGTATCAAACAATATCGGAAGCCACGCCTATGCGCCACAACTGGTGATCACAAACCAGCCACAGCTCTGCAAGATTCCCGACGGAGAACGCACGCCGAGAAGTGTGACCGGAGCGGAGTAAGAAACCCAAACGGTGTGTGTATGCACGCTGTATGTTGTCACGCTGGAGAAATTGACAGACGCACGAGATAGAAGAAGGACGCGCGATCAGCAAGCAAAACAAGCCCAAAAAGCCCAGCAGGCGGCCGCAGTAGAATGAGAAACCCCAGACGACGTCGAAGGTTCGTCGGTCTTACCGGCGCCAGAACGACCCCACACGCTCCTTATGAATGTTACGGGCGGGCCGAAGGATTGGGTGTGGCTTGACTAGGGGCGGGGGCAGGGCAGGGCACCAGCCACAGATCCGAGCGATAAGACAGCCTTGCGGAACGCGATGGGATGCGATTGGGTCGAGTGTCGGGTCGAAGTCGATTGGATTATCAAGCGGATGGAATTGCCGTTGCTGTTGTAGGCGGTAGACTCGGTGACGCAGAGAATATGCAGTCACTCAGTCAGGTCCAATGCGCGGCAGTGGGGCGACAAGAAAGTGATGATTTACTGTATGAGGTGCGTCGCGACCGCTACTTAAGGCTGACGTTCTCGGGAAAGTATTAGCGAGGGCATGCAGGAATGCAGGAATGCATGATGCAGTAGCACGCGCCAGTCGGGCATTACATAGGCGGTGATTGATTTCATTGAATTACTGAGAAAATCGGTGTCAAGGGACGGGGCGGGCCTCCATTGGGAAAATGCTGTGGCGTGTGGCTCGTGATAGTTGGATGTTCCAGCCACGATAGATGGATGGGAGTACAGATTGCTTCGTTGTTTGGTAGCGAGTGCGAAGAGATATTGCGAAGTTGATGGGATGCTTCCGTCTTGGGCAGGCAATGCGAAGGCAGTCTTCGCTGTTTGATCCTTGTGCAATGGCATGGAACATGCAGTGGATTCTAATCCAGACCGGTCCAGCTATTGCTGCCTAGATACGAGGGCTCACTGACGCAAGTCCAATTGAGACGTGATCAGGCACCTAGGATCTGCCTCATCCTGCACAGCATCAAGATATCGAAAACTTCGTGGCTTCGGGGGTGGCAGAAAATGTAGTGTTCTGACAAGTACTGTAGGCAAAGGAGAGAATCAGCGAGGGGTTCGACTTTACGTATTACTCTTTCATTCGAAGGATCTCAGGGAGATGCCTAGACAGTATAGCATGACATAATTTGAAACGCGCCGGATCGATCGATTGAGTTCTGACAAAATCGGAGGAATCCATTCTCTGCCTGAGGCGACAGCGAGGATCTATATTCTCTTTCTTGTGTTGCTTCACGTTCAGTATAAGTGTGAGAGGAAGATTTAGGTTTGTTAAAAGAAGAACTAAATCAATTCCTGCTAGTAATCATATCAATCGCTAAAATATTCGAGAGACGCGCAAACAAAGGGACATATCTAATCTTGCCTTATTTTGCCTTGCTGAGATACCAGACCTCCACCATCTTGATTCCTTCATTATCTTGCATTGTAGGAAAAGAAAAGAAGAAAGCCGTTTTCTCAAAAAGCGTGGAAAGGTGTAAAGAAAAAAGGAAAAGAAAGGAGAAGGACTACTGTACAGTAAAGAATGGCCGGAAAAGGAAAGAAGAAAAGAATAAACGTCAAAGTCGAATCATCATGTAAGCCTGCATGGTCAAAAAGAAATAGCATCATGAAATCGATCCAACATTCATACTGACCTGAGTGGAATCATTGTGATTAACGCCCCATGCTACCATTCAAATTGATCAGCGACTGGACCTGGAGCATGGTTCGTTGAGCTTCCACAACTGCGCCTGCGTGTTCCAGGCCACAGCCTAGAGCACCTCTCAGTGCATAGAGGGAAAAGCACTTGCGTGTCCAGGCTGCGTTGGATTGTCTCTCATCTTGATCGAACATCATGCCTGGTTGATGTGAAGAGGTCGCCGCGCCACCTACGAGACAAATCCACAAAAACACTCCGTTCATCTCTCCCCAGTATCGATATCGGTCGGTGTTGTCCAAGGCCTGTCGCAAAGCGCAAATAACACTAATACTTGTATTATTCGTCGTATATCGTTGTGCGTGGATCATGTTGCCAGACTCAGAGAACGGGAGCCGTTGAACAATCGAACGACAGTAAATCAAAGACGCGAGACGGATGGATTCGTATGTCCAATCGGGGGTGACGTCGCTTTCTATTGACGAAGGACGATAAAGTAGACGGGTGTATATTTGTTGCATGCTGTTATCGTACGACATGAGCTCTGGGCTCGCTTGTTGATGGTACATGCTGTTGGCGTAGTTCCATCTCGAAACGAACGTACGAGTGAGCTCGTGCATGTCACATAGTATCTCGTATGCCTCTTCTGAACAGCATCCATACATCCGTGATAGATCACCATGAGGTGCGAATAGTGGGGAAATTGGGAACGGATGTTCGATAACGGTGGATCGTCTTCGGCTAGGAACGAAGCCACTAAGCATTGCAGGCTCAGGCTGACTGCGAAGGATCGTGAAGCTTAGTGTAACACTATAATGTTCAGTCAGACCCTAGATAGCGGGAGAGGATAAATGATTCAACCTACATCGTAAGGAACGCGGATATCCTAGCCCCAAGATTGGCAACTCCACCTCGCTGGTGAACTATCCGGACTAGGCCGTCGAAATGCATGTTGAAGACATCTTCATCGGAGCCACCAATCTCGCTGATGAGAAGATGCAAGATACTCAATATCATGAAGTCATCAGCCTGGGTCTCGGGATTATGGAGGTTATCCTTAATCATGCGAACGACTTTAGTTTTTGCATATACTGTCAATGCACCGTCTTCGATATACCCTTCAGCGACGTCCTGATATACACAAGATGCACTGACGTGGCTGAGGAATGACATGTGCGTACGACATACCACTTCCATCCAAGACCGAGCTTGGCTTAATTAGCTACTGGAAGAATGTGTAAATTTATTCGTCGTACCTTGACAGAATTCGCCTGAGTCTGCATACTGGGCCTTGAGGTTCTCTAGCGACTCCTGGCTCACCGATCCCCTCGAAGGGAATGGATACTCGGAGCCCTGACTGAATGTTGGAGGGGCGCTTCGTGCGGGCTCTGCTGTTATGGCTGAGATGATTCTAGCTGCGAGGCTCCGTATCGGGTCCACCGACGGCGACTGTGCCAGGAGCCTCTGGAGCTCACCGTCCCAGACAGTGCTTCGTCTTCTAGCAGAAGACGGTGCCAAAAACGTCCCATCCCCCGGAAACCCATCATAGACAGTATCATTAGGGCTCGGAGTTCTTGTGTATCCTCGAGCTGATCTGTGGCCCCCATCCCTACTTCTGGACCGCTCACTAGGCGACACTGACTCTCCTCGATGTTCTCCGCGGTGGTTGTACATGACATGCGACCGTACATGCCTCATTGTTTGGTCGTCCTTGAAATGATCCGGATGGCTTGCGACGACGAACTTGAACTCTGGGCCAGGAGCAAGGGGAGGCAATCTCCTCCTTCCGACCCTTCTCTTTGGTTGCTTTGGTTCTCCTGGAGGGGACATGTTGTAGAGGAAAGAACGCGTGTTTGATTTGCAAATGATTACCGATACTTGATCAAAGGAAATAAACAAAAGAGTGTTGCTTCCAGTCTGGTCTTGATACAATGTTCGAATGTGGCGGTGATATATAAAGCCTATCTCAAAATGGATGATGTAAGACTCGACACTGTCTACCGTACATTGTAGAACGAGTGCCGTTCGGATAGAGCCAGGGCATAGCCATCAGCCACAACTCAATGGAGTGGGGAGGAGATCGCCGGTAAGGATAGTTTGCTGTGATATGTTAAGAACCCCAGTGTATCAGTCATGGCCTGTGGCTCATTGATGGCTAGGGTTTCGGAGACAGGTGAACTACCACTCTACAGAACGGAGATCTGAAACGACATTGGTCAATCGCACTTGAAATTGTTCTCCTAATAGACGTTTGACACATATCTCACATAGAAAAGCATACCATGATCACCCTATGAGTCCGTATGAGTAAAACTGACGCCTGTCGATGGACATCATTAGAATAGCTGAAGTGCACCCTCATTGAGATATTCTCGTCGATTGGATTGCACGATTAAAGGAGTACGCATGCAAAAGCTTGGTTCGACTGGTTAGTACCATTTCACCAGAAAGAGCAAACCGAAATTTTGAAGCCAATTGAGTCAATTGATGATGAGGGTTGCTGGGAGTGGGAGTGGGGTCCGAGGGGGGTGCCAAGCCGTTCTGTATTTGGTAAATTGGTTTTGGAATCGGCCTGAGGCTGTACTCGGCGACGTCAAGAGCGAGCTCCGTAGCACCGTTGGTTCGTGAGCATATGAGAAGGCGAGGAGAATAACGTTGGAGCATTTCAGCTGCATCGAAACCCGGTCAAATTGCTGCATGGCAGGCGGAGCCGGTAGAACAAAAGCCCATATTCCCATCACAGGTTAGAGGCCGCCAAATCCCTGCACTTGCAGGTCAGCCCAAGCTTGACCGATATGGAAGCGAGAGGCCACCAAGGAAGTCTAAACTGATATCGTCATTGGTGTCGGCGGCAGGACTTCAAAGGGTTATCTGGAGTCATTACTCGTGCCTCGATGGTGTACAGGATAGTCAGCTGAAGAAGGAAGGGGGTTACGAGAAACGCTACTGGCGCAAAGTGCGTCATTCTTTAGCTAAGGCAGAATGCTCAGGAATCAGCAAATGGCAACCGACAATGGCTTTCTTTGTTTGGGAGACTCTGTTGATGGAGTTGCATGCCATGAAACGGAGCAATGTCAAACCGTTGCGCAGCTTGATTCCATCCACTGGTGGCCTCCAGACACAGGTTACCTGGACTGCGTGATTGCGCAAGGACCTTCACCTGATACAGGCCAACATTTGCTATCCCGACTCTGCGCAGGTTGCCAAAAAAATCAAACATCCGCGATGCGCGCCTGGAAAGATATCGTACGTCAAGATGCAGAATTCTGCTCGGCATTTACTGGTGGCAATGGTTCGAACATGTCGGCGAAAGCAATTGAGTCAGACCATTTCTTCGCGTTGCAATGTGACCCGATGAGATTCGATGAGATGCAATGGAACAATCAGCAGCCTGAAAACTCGCCTCGAGTATATGGATGGGGTAGTATATTTCAATCGTTTTTCGCCGTGAGTGAGTGCTGATTGAGGTCTATTAGACCTTGTGGGACCCTCGGAGACGGTGTACCTCTCAGCTTACCTCGTGCTGTGGAACTACGGACACAGGAAGAATGAGAGAGAGACATTGGTGTGAACTTGATAGGAGTTTATGGTGTAGATGCATCTCTTTGCGTTAATCGAACTGTTTTCTTCTTCTTAGTTATCGTTCGACTTATGCGCATGACTTGATAGCACGTCGCTGATCTGGCTAGGAGGTGGGTGGTGTGATGATTCTCCACTGTGGAACAAAGAGGGTCGACCATAACAGAAACAAGCAATTATGGTATGCGGTCAAAGGTGTTACTTTGAAAAGAAAAGAAGATGGGAAATGCAGTTGATGAGGTTGAGAAGCAAAGGCATTGTGGTACTTCCTGATGTGAGTATAGCTGCCTACCTACTTGGGTAGGTGCATTCAGGAACTGCAGCAGGCGCGATCAGGATGGACTTGAGCAAGGATAACATGACACGTGATCAGACATTGTGGGTGACGTCTACGCAATAGCACGACAGGCCACAAGGAGTATCTCTTGAAGTGTTGCAAATTTGGAGTATAAGTAATTTCAAAAGTTTCCACTGAACCCCCGTCCTAGGCTCATCCGCTCGTTAATATCGTGTCTCGTCTCGAGCGATGCTTAGTGAAAGTAGGGAAGGGTACGAATACATGCGAAAAACGCCCCAAACAAATGTGAGCAAGAGGCAAACCTTGCAGGGGCCAGGCAACTCATTCACCGATGTAGCAGACTAAAACCACTCAGAGCCATCCGCCGTCCTTCTTTCCATCTGCCACGGAAAACCCATCGCCCCGTCCCGTCTGCATCCAGGTCTAGCAACTGTGAAGCAATCGTTCTAATTCGTTTCGTTTGGTATGTAGCTAAAGCAAAACGTTGATTTATGACGCCCTGGCCAAGGGGTCGACACTGTCTCCGTCATGGGTCTTGCTCGGGTCATCGCGACGCATGATGCCCTCGACGGGGCCAAGTAACCGCTGGAAGCCGTTCTTGCCCAGAGTTGCAACCTTAACTTCAGTAGAACTGATGACGGAGGCCGCACGAGGGGCATCGTTCAGAAGAGCCAATTCTCCGAAGTAGTCGCCCTTTTTATATCGTTTCAAAGACTCCTCACTTTCCCTCTTATAAACATCGGCCTCGCCAGACTCCAGGATGTAGAAGGACTCGCCGACGTCGCCCTCTTTGATGATTGTGGTGCCAGCTGGGTATTTCTTGGTCTCGAGAGCATCCGCGATCTTGGAGCGCTCGTAAGGAGTCAGGGAAGCCAGCAGGGGGACCTCCTCGAGGAAGCCTTCGTACATACGACGCCGTTGGAATGCGCTATCCATGAGGATCCGACGGAAGGTGACACGGTCCAGAGCCCAGAGAGTGGATGGCTCGCTGGATATGACCGTAGCGGCTCGGGGAGCATTGTACATGAGGGCAAGCTCGCCAAAGGAACCACCTGTTCCGACGCTGCCGACCTTGTTCCCGAGACCATCTGGACCGGGTTCGAGCTTTCCGGATGGGTTCACATAGTAGTCAAAAGAGCCCGACTCCACGACGTAGAAGTAGTCACCGACGTCACCCTGTTGAATGACCTTGATTCCTTTTGTTGGTATGGGTTTCTCCTGTAGCGCACCCAGGACTTGGGTAGACTGCTCGTCATCTAGGTGGGAGAAGAGGAAGTTGCCAGAGACCGCAACCTTCAGGCGGGCCTGCTGGTCCTCGGACTTCTGGTGGAATGGTGGCGACCAGTTGTCATTGGCCGACGAGGCGGGGTTGAGGGACTCTGCGGAGACGGAGGTGCGTCTGTTCAGGTTGTAGTTGTTCGGGAAGCTTTGGGGATCGATTGCGCTCATGGCAGGAGGGGGTTGCGAGCGAGAGCCCTGAGCAACAGAAGCACCGAAGCCTGCGAAGTTGCCAAATGTGCTGTTGCCGGTGTTGTTGCTTTGTGCCTGTGGCAAGTCAGATTGAGCGTACGTAGAGGTGGCGGGGGACGCGACCTCGCCCTCTTCCTCTTCTTGAAGACTATGCATGTTACCCTGATGGTTCGCAAACCCACCTCCCGTGTTGGAGGTGGTGCCGAAGGGGTTGTTGCCCGGAAAGCTGCTCTCGGCCATGCCGCGGCCTTTTTGGGAGGAATGCTGTTGTGAGAGAAGGAATTCGGCACGCTGTGACTCGAGGCGGCGCAAGAAGAAGTTGGCACAGAACTGAAGGATGTCAGAAGGTTGATGTTTTAGGATTTCGCGGTTGAGGGCGGAGATTTCATTGGAGTAGTTGGGGGGAAGAGACATCGAGGAACGACGGTGGAGTGGGTGAGGGGTCGATTGCCCGCAGCTCTTTGACGTTTTTGGTTCGCGAGGGGCGCAGGGATGATGCAGTCAAGTCAGGCTGGGTCTGGTCTGGTCGTGCAAAACGGGGGATTGAGTGGGTGTGGGTGGCCCCAAGCGAGCAAGACGGGGCGCCGCTTACGACAAACAATGGGGTAGATACGGGCAACGGCGACGACAATAATGACAATGTGGTCGATGAAAGAGAAGCAAGTAAGCAGGTGAGTAGAGTAGGTGTGTGTGTTTCTTTGTTGTGAGGTAGTCAACGAAGAGAGGGAGAGGGAGAGGGAGAGAGGAGGGGATTGGCGTAGAGAGTAGACTGAGAGTGGATGGGACGGAATGGAGCGTATTGTTGTTCGAGTAAGAGAATAATGTAGAGACGTAAGAAAGTAAGTGCAGGAGGGTATGGTAGAAGGAGAGGAGAGAAGAGATGAGCACGAGAGGCAGAAGAAGGATTGAAGTATGACTGATCGACGGAGGAGGCGGGAGGGCCAGGGAGGAGGGAGGAAGAGGGGAGAGGGGGTGGAGGTGGTGGACGACCTGAGGCTTGAGGCTGGCGATAATAGGGCGACCAAAAGCAGCAGCGATGCACCAGACCAACAGACACAAGACCAAACCAGGAGAGATCCACGAGAGAGCAGCAGCAAAAGCAAAGTGTGTATGCTTCAACAGGGATAGGGTTAAGTCGTTAAATAGTAGAAGGATGAGGATGAGGATGAGGAGGATGAAGAGGACGAGGATAGACTTCGAAACAGGGCGACCATACACCAGGCGGCGGTGGATATTATGTGTACGAGGTATGTCTACCTATATCGTGAAGGGAGATATAGGGAAACAACAAGAGGGGAGGGGAATCGAATCGAATTAGGTAGGACGTAGGACAGAAGAATGATGGAACAAAACAAGCAAGACAAGACAGGGCAAGGTAGGTAACATGTATTCATATGAACTGCTTCTTCTTCATTCTTCTGCTTCTGTTTCTATTTCTTTTTCTTCTTCTAGAACACGACTGAAATGCTTCTAGAAAGAGGCTATGGAAACGTTTCAGCTGGGCGCTTCTTCCTCGTACTTTAATTGATGGATGCAGATGCAGATGGGGGGCAAAGAAGCAGGCACCCACCACATAACAACCCATCATTATTGCCTTACGAAACACCTCGCACACTCTTGCACCACACACACATCATCCCCTCAGTACATTTCATCAAATGTCAACCAATTACGCCGACGGAAACGTACCAACGCGAGGCACCACGCAGCTACCCATCCATCCAGTGAAACACATGGGACGACTCCCCGTCAGGCGCTGAACGCTCCGACGTATCTACTCGTCCAAGATCCCTCTTCCCCGCGATTATTGGCGGCTATCCAGTCGCACAGCGTACGAGTAGGGCGGTAGCGGACGCATGCTGTTCCTAGCACTCCCGGTTTTGATTGACATTAATAATGATAGACCTCAGTATCAGTTACGAACCCTTTTCGGGCTGATGAAGACGACATCAGGAGGCAAGCTATTCGACTGATGAGAATCGTTGTCGTGTGCAGTGCCTGAGACGTGAAGAACGCCATGTCTTCGTGTCTATTGTGGATCATGTATCATGCATGTATCAAAGACAGACAAACAGCCGTGTCAACCCTCTGATGTGCCTCTAGCTGGTCCCAGGTCGTAGGCATGATTGTAGGACACACAGTAGCTCCCGTTCACACGGACTTGACTTGGACCAAAGCTCCCTTCTAGCTTGCCCGGTCCCGCTGCAGCAATTACAACGACATCACAGCAGTATACCTGACCATTTTGGACGCATCTACGGAATACTGTTCTGCAACATGGTACTACCCGTCAACTCACTGTTCATTCTGACCCACCAAACACCCGTCGTATTTCCAAAATGCGAGAAACAAAACAACTCAGCCGCTTTTCGTTGACAAAGGACTCAGAGCCGGATGTACGCAACCGGCAGGGTAGCTCCGGATCAGGTGTAGATGACCTCGGACTTGGTTATCGATAACAAACAATAACTACAATCACCCGCAATTCAAAATACTACTCGGTCAACCACGACTCACTCGTACTAAGACTTTGATTAAGTACAATCAAAAGAGGGATAGGAGAGTCGATGGGGGATGATAGACATTTCAACGCCGCGATTTGCGAATGGAGTGATACTTTGTTCTTTGATAGGGCATCCTTAGTACGAGGAATATGCTCGAAGCAAACAACAAACAACACGAGGATTTGACAGCGAATAAGACATATCCCTAGCCATGTCGAGATAAGAATTATAACGTCGCTGTTGCGGCTGTCCCTTGACGCTATCTGCGTCGCTTTTGACTTCATTGATGATTGCCATTTCGACCAGGGTGGTTATCAGATCTCCACTCGACGATTAAAATAATCCTCCTCAGTAACTACAATTATAATCCTCACAGCTTCTACTAAAACCCTACCTACACCTACCTCATACACAAGTATCAACCATCCCACACAGCAATAGATAAAAATAAAAATAAAACAAACACGACAACTATCCCACTCCCTGCAGTAAACATGCTATTTCGATCCACGTGACGTATATGCTCTCAGCCTCTCACCCACCCACTCCATCAACCCACAACCTTCAAACTCAAAAGCACAATCCCAAAAAAAAAACCCATTCCAACCCCCTGTGTGCACACCCTACTATACGGTATTATCAATAGTCAAAAGCCCAAAATAAAAACCGTTGAGGAGGATGGATTATCAATGGCCCCTCGAGCGAGCGAGCGGTGAGCAATTGGCGGTGAATAACGACCGAATCCCCCCAGGTTTGGCGATTTGAGGACGTGGGTTTTATGCTTGCTAGCTAGCGCGGTTGAGTACAAGTATGGACGGGAGATCCGAGGGACAGAGATTTAAATGGGTCAGTACTTGAATGTGATGATGGGATGGTAATATGTGCTGGCAGCTGTGGGTGTGAAGAGGCTGGGTGGATGTGGTTAAGGGGAAAGGAAAGGGGGAGAGGGTGTTTGCCTTATCGTCAGGGCAGGAGAGATACGATGGGAGTGCATTATCGTGTGCGACAGCGAAGAGCGAAGTGATTATTAGGGGATTTCGTGAATGCAGCTGTGTAGTTCACAAATTCGGTTGAGCATGTGCTCGATCAATTACTCGTTAACTTATGTAGTTACATACTGTGTATAGAGGGAGGACCTTGTCTTGTAGTGCTCCTGTCGGTGTATACGGTATTATACCTACACATGCACATGCACATGCACTAGTTAACTACCACCACGCAAGGGCAGCGCTGGTTGGAAGGGACGGCTTCTCATTGGACGGGTCTGGCCCACCAATGACGCAAAAGGCGCAACGAGAGCTCTGGTATGGATGGGCCAGCTAGCATAGGAGCGAGATGCGAAACAGTCTCAGCAGAGAAATGAACTTATAACTGAATAAACCAAAATGAAGACCACAATTGAGAATTGAGAATGAGGATAAAGCACAGTCGACGCACAGTGCAGTTGGAGGTTTCTCGAAAGGTCGGACGCTCGGAGCGAACGGGCGGTGGAGTGGAGCTGGGGGCTTTCAACCCGCATGCGCAGAGAGACAACAAACAAGCAAGTCATGGCAGGGGGGATGTTCCATCATCCCAGCGCCATCTGGAGGGGCGCGCGCACACTGCGATAAATGCATAGGCACCTCTACTGTGTACTGTACATATGTATGTATCTGTTGTCGCACACAAATGCGCACGCACGCAGACACAGACACACGAGCTCTGGGGACAGTTACTCAACAACGGCAGACCGGCTAGTAGCGGGCATTGGACCTCCTGATGGGAATTGACAATGACGATGGGGAGGGAGAGAGGTAGAGATGTCGTCATGTTCAATGGTACTGGTACTCGTTCTCGTAAGAGCTTTCAAGTATTTCTTTGGTACTCGTAGCGTGGGTATTGTATTGTATCTGTTCAGCTTCGAGGGCGGTAACAAGTACTCCATGCGGCATAGGCCAACGTCCATTCCGGTACTTGACAGTAAAGAATGGCCTGAAGTGAATTGGCACAGAATTACGAACAACTACATATCAATTAGTCTACCAGTAAGTTTACGTTTGAAAAGCTGGTTATCAATGGGCATATGGCTTGGCATGGAAGTAACTAGAGCTCCATTGCACGGATGTCAAAGCTACTCTCTTTTGAGGTCTTGACTCTTCGTCTCCTCGTCAGACTCAGTCTCCTCCCACCAAAACCATCCACCATCCACCATCCACCAACAATCCTGCTGCTTCTCCTGCTCCACCAGCCTCGCCAATTCCCTACAAGCACTAACTCATCTCGGTGGTCCCAATTCTTTTTCTTCTGAACTCGTGCCCTCACATCAATTCTTCTTCTGAATTTCCTCACTTCCTCCTCTCTAATCATCACTACTAATTAATTTACTCCTCCTGCCTACCGTTGCACCGCTCCCCTCGTGTGCTGCAGAATCCCCCCCCCCCCCCTCTATCCTCTACCCGTCCTGAGCCGCATCTCATCTCGCCTGCAGCCTCAATCCTCTTCGTCTAGCGCCCGCGCCGCATTGCCGTTCGCAATCTCAAACCCTCTCCCTCTACACCTCCTCCTGCGCTCCTGAACCTCCAACCCAAACCCTCCATCCAACCATCAATCACCTTCCACACACAGTCTCAGATCTCATCTGCGACTTCTCCTTCCCCGCTACCACTCATCTTCGCTCCCTCGCACCTGCCGCTAGAACATGGGAAGCTACACATTTACGTGGTACGTTGCGCCGCAGCCTATTCCATTTCCTTCTCTTCCGCTAACCAATTCTTCTTGAAACAGGGCGCACGCCGCCAACGAGGTCTACGTTACCGGTGACTTCGATGACTGGAAGCAGACCGTCAAGCTCGAGAAGGAGGACGGCGTCTTCCAGAAGACTGTCGAGCTCCCCAAGGCAAAGACTGCTTACAAGGTGCGTCATCTCATCCGTCGTTCGTCCTGCTTGCTGCCTGCCTGCCCATTACCCTCTCTTCTTGCGTGTACCCTCGAGTCCAGTCGCGTCTTCATTACTGACTCAATTCTCGTCTACAGTTCGTCGTCGATGGCCAGTGGGTGACCAACGACTCCCACCCCTCCGAAGACGATGGCAAGGGCAACCACAACAACGTCCTCGTCCCCGACGACATCAAGGACGAGACCGCCCACACCCTTTCTTCTGCCGCCCCCGCTTCCACAACTGCCGCCCTGGCTGGTGCTGTGCCAAAGGAGGAGAAGCCTGTGAAGGCAGAGGAATCTCTGCCTGGCGCATTCCCCATCACCCCTGCCGCCGCGACCCCCGGCAGCGAACCCCAGACCTTCGCCGTCAACCCCATCCCAGCTACTTCGGGCCTCGGCAACCCAGTGGATCTTGCGCCCGGCGAGAAGGTCCCTGAGCCCAGCACCCTGACTGACAACACTGTCGAGTCCACCGTCAACAAGGACGGCAAGGAGCCGGAGGAGGAGAAGGTCAGCGTCGCGCCAATTCCTGCCACCGCAGGCGCCGGCAACCCCATCACCCTCGCACCCGGCGAGAAGGTCCCAGACGCAAGCACATTGACCACCAACACCGTCTCCAGCACCGTCAACACGGACGAGGCTTCGTATGAGAAGTCGGATGCTCTGCCGCCTCAATTGGGTCCTGTCGTGACTCCCGAGGCCGAGCGTGACGCCAAGGGCGGTATGTTTGCTTTGCCATCTTCCCTTGCAGGCAGCTTGATCCCAGAGTCCAGCCTCCCCAAAGATACCAATGCTGAGACAGAGAAAGACCCCGGCGTCACGATCCAGTCCGCTGCTCCCACCAGCACCACCGCTGCGCTCGCTGGCGAGGTTCCCAAGGAACCCAGGGAGGTCCCCGAAGCCGTCGTCGAGAGCCAGAAGGAGGCCGGTTTCACGCCCGAAGCTTCTGCCAACCCCGAGGCCGTCGTCGAGAAGAAGGAGGTTGAGGAGGAGTTGAAGGCCAAGGTCCCTGAGGAGCCCGCGACGTCCGAGAGCCCTTCGGCGACCCAGCAGACCGCCGAGAAGGTGGGAGCTGCCGCCGTTGCTGGCGCGACTGTCGCTGCCGGCGCCGTCACTGCTGCCGCCTACACTGCCACCAACAAGGCTGCCGATACCATCGGTGTGTACAACCAAGAGCCCGCCGCTGGCGTCCCAGAGGTCGTCGCCGATAGCCAGAAGGAGGCACACGTCAGCCCCGAGGCTGCTGCGAACCCTGAGGCCGTCGTCGAGAAGAAGGAGGTCGAGGAGGAGCTTCTCAGCAAGGCTGGCGCCACCACCGAGACTGCTGCTCCCGCTGCTGCCGTCCCCGCCGTCGTTGGTGAGAGCTTGAAGGAGGCCCACGCAAGCCCCGAGGCCGCCGTGAATGCTGAGGCCGTCGAGGAGAAGAAGGCCGTTGAGCAGGAGCTTCTCAAGGAGGTGAAGCCTACCAACGAGAGCGGCGAGCCTGCCCCTGCTGTCACCGCTGCTACGAGCGCATCCGCTCCAGGTGCTGTCGAGGAGGCTCCCAAGGAGACCAAGACCGATGGTCTGAATGCCTCTGCCGCGCAACCCGCCGTGCCTGAGACTTCCGCGCCTGTTCAGGACTCTCGCGATGTTTCCCCAATGTCCAAGCCCGCCACCCACGAGCAGACGCAGCCTACCGTGGTCACCGGCACCGAGAACAGCACCACCGAGGCAAAGACCTCTGCCGCCCCAGAGACTCCCAAGAAGGATACCCCATCGTCCGCCAAGGCAGCACCAGAGAGCGTTGCATCCGGCGCCACCACTGACAAGAAGAAGAAGAGGAGGTCTTTCTTCGGCAAGATCAAGGACAAGTTGAGCTCCAAGAACTAAGGCGATGGCTTGCCTGGGATTGGACCAGACACTGTCACGTGCACGGTCCGATCATTAGCACTATGTTTGCAAAACTTAATATCCCGGATCTGAATGGATCTTCCCACCTGCGATACCTCCTGTTCATGTTCACGGAGTTAGTCCCTTGGCTTATACCACTCTCTATTGGCCTTGTTATGCTATCGTCCTTTTATGATTGTTGTCCTTGGTTTTCTTTTTGACCGTTTGCTAGTCACGTATACGTGGACTTCAAACGAATGCGTTCCATGATGCATATTGGTTTTCTTGTTTACTCTTTTAGTTCTCCCGTTCGTACGTTGGGGCTCTGCTGCCGGTACCTTTTTGTTCAGAGAGGAGAGAGATACCTAGTTTTTGCTTTCTTGTCTTGTGCATGTTGTTCATGATCTCCCTCCCCCGTAAAGGCAGAAAGGAGGTCTTTGGTTTGCTTTGCTCGCAACAGAGATCCGACGTCGCTGTCAGGATGGGATGGTAGTCGTGACGGATTGGATTAAAGACGGTAATTACTTAATCGGCGGAGACGGTGGTACGTAGGAGTGGCGGTAGTAGAAAGATGCATATATGATTTCGAATTTTCCAATGTACACAGTTTGACTTACTTGCCGTCTCGTCATTTCCCCTCCACGAGTGATTCAACCAACGATCGATACTCTTCCACCACGACCGTCTCCTCGACCTCCGAAGTACTTACTTCCACCCGCCATCGCATCCCGTCCCATTGTCACTCACATTGTACATACATTCGCAATGTTCACTCACCCACGCCGAACAACGCCTGAGACCAGGTAGCACGGCAAACACATCCTTTTGATCGCACGTCGCATTGTGCAGTACACACACTAACCAACATCTACATCTACATCCATGTAGACGTGTGCGTGGACGTGGGCGTGGGCGTAGGCGTTTACATGTATGCTACGTAGCCAGCATACACGCATAGACGTATGTATGGAGGTGTCTCGACATATGTTATGTTATTCACTCATTTCATCCTCAGCCTTTTTCGCTTTCATTTACGTTTATTTCACTGCGGGTATAGGTACGTACAGTTGCTACGCTCTAGCTTTTCACCATCTTAGGTGGGTACTACGCATTATTCACCCAGTCGCCCAGCCCACGACATTGTCCGCCAACATATATGTGCACAGTGTTCTGTGTACAGAGTACAAAGGTACTCTCTTCACTATACCCAGACAATCTCCCCCCGCAGAGTTTTTGGATTCTACTTTCTTGTCGTTTTCTTGGTTGATTGCAACCCTCCAACTATTCCACCGAGCGATTGTTCATGTTTCCAATTGAAATTGAAATTGGATATCAATTCACCATAACAAACCTTGGGCTTGGTGTCGTCCGAGGATAAGATACCATACCATTCCACTGCACTGCACTCCACGACACGGCGAAGCACACAATACGACACCACATCTTCATCTCCACCGAGAAAGAGAAAGCATCCAGCATGACCTCAACACAACCACCGCCAGACCCCGGAGCCTCAACCCCAAACACAATGATGGCGTCCCTGCTCGACGTCCTCGAAGCCTTCATCGCGGAGGCCGAATCACTCTCCCCCTATCCCTTCTCCTGCTCCTCCTCCGTGTACTCCTCTTCCCCCACCATATCCTCCTCCTCCTCCCCCGAAGATCACTGCGAACACGAATTCAACGACCCAGAAACCACAACTACCACCACCACCAGCGATAGTAGCGGAAGCAGCGACTCCTGGCCCTCAGACCACTCAACCCTCGTCGAAGACCGGCCGTCGTCGAGGGGCACCCTGATCGTAGACTGGGACGGCCACGGGACGCCTGTCGTCTCGTGGCGTGGTCGCCGGGATTCGTGGGCTGCGGTGGAGTTTGAGGTTGAGGTGGACGTTGAAGTCGCGGAGGTTATGGAGGAGGACGAGGGGGAAGGCCCTGAACTCCCGTCTGCGGCTCATTCTTCGCCGCTGCCGCGGAGGAGGACAAGGATGAGGAGGCAGAAGAGATTCGTACTCGCGGTTGTCGGGAAGGTTGGTGGGTGGCTTGTTGGGATTGGAAGGGGGGTGTTTGCGTTGTGTGGTGGTGATGAGGTGAGGAGGAAGGTTAGGATTAGGAAGATGAAGGCGAAGGGTTCTTCGGGTGATGGGGTGGGTGATGGGGAGGGTGAGAGGATGAGGTGTCGGCGGTGTCGGTCGTGGGATTCGAGGGGCCTGTTTGAGTCCCCTCCCCCCCTGATGAGGGAGGATGGGATTGAGTGGGTTGGGGATCGGGAGGCTAGGGAGGAGTGGGAGCGTGAGGGCGTGGGGTATGGGACTTTTTGAGCGTGGGTTGGGTGCGTGAGGGTGATTGAATGGGTTTTATGGCCTGCGAATATCGTGTTGATTCTGGAGGATGAGTGTAAAGATGATGGATCGAATGGTAATAGTATGCTTGTACACAGCTCCTGGTTCTGTATCCATCTCAGTTCATAGTTCCAATCATCACATATGCTGTGTGTTGAAGTGCGTCACCCGTTCTCTCGTGGCTAGCTGAAGCTATGTGCTGTATCAGCAGGACTGGAAAATGAAGGTTATGATGTGTAGTGCTGTTTTGTACGCTAGTGGACTACATCACGTCTCTCCATTTCTCAAAGCCTGTTGCTCCAAGACAAGATGGGATGAGCGGGTAAAGGCCTGCTGGGAGGGAATATGAGTATAACATGTTGTGAGATATGAAGAGGATAGTAGATACGTTCTCACCAAGTCATATCAGAATCTGGTTTCTCGTTCCGGACAATGTTCATATGATTACTAGACTTAAGTTCTCATTTAAGACTTGTCATATTTTCCTGTTCCCAGCATAACGAGACTTTACGATCAATTACAATATTCTTGCCCCTGTGTTTGTCCATGACCTTTTACCTAGGTATATATCATTACACCCAGTCTGCTAACCCATTCCATTCTCAACCCCCCGCCCCATATCCCCCCCAACCCAACCCAAACCCATCCGACCACGTACCCATATCCCGAACCCACCGCTCCCTCCCTCAGGAACCTCCCAACACCATGGCGCGGCGAAACCCGGGGTTGTGGAACTCTGGATGCGGGGAAACAGGGGGTCTGGAAGCTTGGGTCGGAGTTTCTTTGCACCGAAGATAGCCGGTAACCGTACGCGTATGGAATATGTACGGCTATGGGCTTGGTATGGCGTTTGGGATGATAGTGATGTATGATGGATGTATGTGTGGGTGAGGGAGTTTTGTGGAGATGGTTGGGGTCGGTGATGGCGGGTGGTGTACGCGGGAACGGGAGTGAGGCTTGGATGAAGTTTGGTTTCTAGGGGATAATTGTGGGGTTTTGACAGATGTGTGGAGAGTTAGTTTGACTGGGGTGGTATAGTGTTGGTTATGAGATGGTAGTACGCGTGAGTTGTGGTGAAATAACCGTTTAGAGATCGTATAGTACACAAGGCGTTGGGATATACGATATACGATTACAAAGAATGTCAATGCGAAGATGGGTTTTCGTGACATCATTCTTCTGCATGGTGAGCGCTGGTACGAACGTCGGATACATGAGATGTATCCGTTTCGTACAAAGGTTGTCCTGATGGAATTACTTTTTCTTTCTTATGTAGTCATTCTCTAGATGTATGACGCGTGTTGGCGTGTTGGGGATAATTGTCGTGTGTTTATGATTTGAATTTCTAGCTGTTAAATACATAGAAATTGGCCAAACACCATCATGTAACATGTGAAATGTTCTAGACTTTTTAATTGAAAAGCCAAGTTAGTTACTAAACTGTCAAAAATATGAATGATTTCATTGAGGGCGGTGTTTTCGCATGTTTCGTTCAAGTGATGTTGGGGATAGGTGTCTCGTGGTAGGTACATTCACGAATTTGCCTGACTGTCGTGGAATCTGCATGGAAGAAACTTATCTGTAGGATTCATGGAAGGCGATGTAATTAGTTTTTAAAGGACAAAAAGGCAGCGATGTTATACGGCTTATTCTTTTCATCTATTTCAGTGTAGATGGGCGACAACTCCTATCTACCATGGCTTCGGCTTCAATCGAATTGTGAGATTGGGCACATGAAGCAACAACAATATGATCTTGTAGTGCACGTTCACCGAAATGAACTTCCGTCTATATCACGATATTCCAAAAGTAAAGACACTACATCTGGGTAGCCCAGGTACCGATCACAGCACTTACTACCCCCATACACCGCAAAACGCATCCATCACAAACACACACTACACTCTCACGAAGCAAAGCTAAATACAAGCATTGCCTCCCCAACACTAGTCCACCAGTCTCGCCACGACTCACTCACGGTACACACTGGAATGCTATGTCATCACGACTTTACCAACTTGGTCGACTAAGTGGGTCTTTCGTTCGACAGAACTGCCACTGGACGACCATCTACTTCAAGGTTCTCGACCTTGGGTATGTTTTAAAGACTGACAAGGAGTGGGTATCCGTCCGCTTCAATCGTCACATGACGATCGTACCTCGAAGTTCTCGACCTCCGGTGCGTTGAAATCTCAAATAATTTGGGTGGGTCTTTGGTTAAATGTGATCGTCACATGGCGACCGTACGTGCGGGTTCTCGACCTTGCGTGCGTTCTAGAAGGTTGACAGGGGGTGGTGGAGGTACCTTGTTTGGGGGAAGAGGTTTGCGAGTTATGTGAGGAAATAGAATTATGTCGGACTGGGCAATCACGAGGGAAACTGGGGAAGAGATAATGTTGTAGGGGGAGGTGGAGGGGAAGTGGAATTTGGACAGTCAGGCGGATCTATGGTAGCTGAACGGTAGTCTGTTGTATACGATGAGTACTACGTTTGGGTGCTGTTTTGCAGAGTCAGTGCCCCTGAAATGTCTCGATTGGATTCACTGGTTTCAATGATCATACTAAAGCACTGTTCATCTTCAATAAAATCCCCAGGAAAGATGTCCATGACGCCCAAAAAGTCGCAGACGTCTCAATTGAGAACTTCTTTGGCGATTTCGCGGCCTCTCCGAAGAGCCTCATTGGAATGCCAAAGACACGTTCTTCCTGACACTATCGAATATGCATGCTTCGGCGTGTTCGCGATAGTCGTGTCAAAGCTGATAGGCAGATAGTACGAAAGCCACAGGTGATGTTCAGACCAACAATGAGACAATCGGACCAATGTGGTGTCTCCATAACTGCACACTTTCCCCGTACCTTTGACCCATACGAGAGTTCCTCGAACATGGAGTACAACCATTGGTGATCTGGGGCAATATCATTGATTTCCAAACTTTATCACTCCTTTCGCCGCTGCTGCGTGTGAAAGTTGTCCATTCTCTCCGGTGGGGAATTCATCACTCCTTTATCCGCTGCTGCATATGCAGGCTGACCATCCTCTCCGGTGGGGTGGAATTCGGCAAGATGGAAGTATGCGCTCGAGCGCAATTATCTACTGCGATCGAGGCTGGGATTGTATCTTCTTCTGGGGTGTTCGAGGAGCTGATCATGAAATTATGGAAGAGGCATCAGTAGCAAGGGATGGATGTCATGTAGCAAATTCATGCGGCATCGAGACCTACATCGACCAGCCCTCAACCCGGTTGGCCCAGGGTGGAGTTAATATAACCCATTGCTCAAGACTATGCGACCGATGGAGCTGGGGACTCGAGAGACCTGGAACATGGAATTTCCTAATCCTGGATGTTGGGAATGCAAAGGCTTGCGCGGTTTTCGTGATCAGCGCGTGTCTATGTTTAACCCCGCATTGGTGCTGAGGATAGGGAGTGTATGATCTGCTGGTCAGCAACTGTATCTGTGTCTCTACGGCGCAATAGTTGGAGAATGAGGCCGAGCGCATTGTCGACCCTTTGTGTAAGCAGCGAAGGCTTTGATTTCAAATTGCGACGGACTCGATGGTGGCGACAGAAGTCGACCCAGCGATGAGCATAGAGGACGAATATGATACGACAGGCTTGCTCTATTTACATATACGGCTTGAGGCTTAAAGCATTGTGGGGAGCGGCTACCTACCTGTCTACTCAATGACAGTTAGCTATTCACAAGTGTGTACATGTACATACGCTATGGTTAACTTATTTCTTCCCGCAATGGGTTGTGGAGAGAGAGAGCGACGTGTGAAGGCGGGCGCATTACCTGGAGAGAAAGGGGCTGGGCGGGTAGGATACTCAGAAGGGGATTAGGGCACTTAGTTCGATCTCTCTTAGCACGTGCCTGGTTGGCGGGACCGTGGATGCAATAACAATTCCTCGTAATTCGTCGAGTAGTCAGGACGAACTGGTACGAGCGCATTCAATTCTTGTATGGGCTGGATGTATCTAGTTACTCTAGTAGTGTTTGAGTGTTACAGTGCTGACTCTGTGGGGAATGGTCCCATGGAACAGGTCGGAGATTGGTCGCTTTTCGGTGAGATGATCCGCAATCCTTCGCGGGAGAGGCAGAGGGTCGAGTCTGATAAGTGGAAGAATGACCTCTCCGGGGGTGGGGCCTCGTGATTGGATGTTACCCCGTGGGAGCCTCTCCACGTGCTAACGGGAAACAACAATGGGTCCGCACCAATTCTCCACATTGGCCAACTCAAGGACGAAGCACTGGGGGCCAATCGAGGATGCGATACCATAACCGATACCACATACCGCCTACGCGATGCGACGGACGTTTTGAGACTTGTTTTTTCCTCGTGTTCTCTTGGAAGGAGTACGAGAGCTGAGACTATCGTACAACAGCCGTGATGTATTCCATTTTGTCCAGTATGGTGTGTATGTGGCGTGCTGGAAGGCGGAGAATGTGGTCGTCCAAAACCTGGGGCCCGGGGGACAAGTGGGCCCGAACTCACGAGGTACTCGGGTGAATTCAGAGCAAAGAGCCATACTTGCCACAACCAGAAACACGCCCAGCGATGCATGCCATTCAAGCCATTCAAGCCATGCGAGGACGCGGGGTAGACTTTGAGGAGTCGATGGGCGGCTAGTGAAGGAGGCACTGGAGGTGGAGGAGGGATGGAGCCAGTAACAAAGGGAGATGAATGGACAAAGCTTTTCAGCCAAAGTCTTAACATACCTCCACAGTAGTTGCATTTCGGTGCAGACATCACCGAGGACTTTAACCAAAGTCAGCCACCTCCGTGATGCCGGATCCAACTGGCGGCAACGGCTAAGGAAAAAACGTTGGGGTTACTCCATGTTCCATGGCATGCACTCGTACCGTGTATGGCACATGCATGCAGTGTAGAACGCCAGAAGTAAATTCGAATCGTTATTGCCTTGCCCTACCTTGCAATTGCCCTTCTAGATGCCCAAGTGACAATCTTGGAAAGAGGAGACTATTGCTAGCACCCTGGCTTCTTGTTCAATTGAAAAGCTCCTGTCTTCCCCCCTGTTGTCGTTTCTGCTTTTCTTCTTTTCCTTCATCCTCCATCTTTCCCTGCCACTCATCTACCATCTTGGCCAAGATCAGCAGCAATCATGAGTGATCCCGTCGACCGCAAAGTTGATCCTGAGGTCAGCAAGGCTGATGTCCGAGTCGAAGATGCCGCCGTCGACATCGAGAAGCAGAATGCCCTCACAAAGGCAGCTGCCATTGAGGCAGAAAACGCAGAGCATGCCTTGGGTGTCATTGACACCGTCAAGGCATACCCCATGGCTGCTCTGTGGGCATTCGTCATGTCTTGCACAATTGTAAGTAATCGCCATCACTACTTCTCGTCCTTGACCGTCGGTCAATTCGAAGGGAACCCCAGAGCTAACAGCCATTGATAGATCATGGAGTCCTACTGTGTTTTCCTGATGGGCAACTTCATTCCTCTGCCTGCTTTTGCCAACCGCTACGGACATTACAGCCCTATCAAGGATAAATTCATCATCGCGGCCAGCTGGCAATCCGCCCTTCAAATGGCTGGACCCGTTGGTGCTATCATTGGTGTCACTCTCGCCGGTCCCCTCACCAGCCGTATCGGATACCGTTGGGCAACCATTGCCGGCCTCATGCTTTTGAACGCCTTCATCTTCATCTTCTACTTTGCCGACTCGCTGCCCGTCATGTTCGTCGCCCAGCTCCTCGAGGGTATTCCGTGGGGAATCTTCATTGCCAACGCGCCAGCCTACTGCTCTGAAATTACCCCCATTCAGCTTCGAGCCCCCGCCACCCAGATGTTGCAGATGTTCTGGGCCATTGGTGCTATCATCGTCGGAGGTGTCACCTACAAGTACAACAAGCAGCTAGATCAAGCTGCATTCAGGTATGTAGATGCGCCTTTACTCTAGGAGGAATTTTCGCACTAACGAAAACCCTAGAATTCCCATTGCTCTTCAGTGGATGTTCCCCACCCCTCTCGCCATTCTTCTCTTCATCGCACCCGAGTCTCCGTGGTGGTTGGTCCGCAAGGGACGTCTCGAAGAGGCCGAGAGGTCGGTTGAGCGCTTGGGACGCAAGTCGATGCTTAACAAGAGCGAGGCTGTTGCTATGATGCGCCGTACCATTGATCTTGAGAAGACCGTCAAGGAGCCCAACTACCTCGAGCTCTTCAAGGGCACCGATCTTTACCGTACACTCATCGTTTGCGGTGTCTACGCTGCACAGAATCTTACTGGTAACTTGATTGCCAACCAGGCCGTCTACTTCTTTGAGCGTAAGTTCCCACCACCGTCTTTCTTGCGGAAATGAGTATGCTAATTTCGCCACAGAGGCTGGCATGGATACCAACACTTCCTTCGCCTTGGGTCTCATCACCTCCGGTCTTCAGTGGCTCTTCGTCATGCTTTCCTGGATCTTGACCTCCTACCTCGGCCGCCGTACCATCTACGTCTGGGGCTCCCTCATCAACGTCGGATTCCTCGTCGCTCTTGGTATCGCAGGCTCCGTCGGTCTCTCCAAGGCCGCCTCCCTCGCCCAGGCCTCTTTGGGTCTCATCGTCTCCGTCTTGTTCACCCTTGGACCGGCTCCCGCCTCTTGGGTCATCATCGGAGAGACATCCGCCATTCGTCTCAGGCCTTTGACCACCGGTATCGGACGTGCCTGCTACTACATGGTCAATATCCCCTGTATCTTCCTTGCCAGTTACATGTTGAACGCCGACGTAAGTACCATTTTCCGCCTCTTACTCCTAGACTTCAAACGCATACTAACCTCCCCAATAGGAGGCCAATCTCGGTGGAAAGTGTGGCTACGTCTGGGCTGGTACCGGCTTCGTCTGCTTCGTCCTCGCTTACTTCTTCCTCCCCGAGATGAAGAACAGGTCCTACCGCGAGATCGACATTCTCTTCAAGCGCAAGGTTCCTGCCCGCCAGTGGACCAAGACCTACGTCGATGCCGAGGCCGACGAGTAGATATCGAATCAAGGCTCGGAATCGAGAAGCACCGACGTATTGCTGGTGCAACGTTGTTGTTAATATGTACATTGAATGATGCTTTATATCGTTCGAAGAAGTCGAAGAAGAACAAGTATAACAATAGTATTCGCTTCTACCTGAAATCAGTGTTCCTAGCAAAAGTGAAGGCGTGTCTATTACTCACTGTCGCAGATTTTCACTTACCAAACAGCTACCCACTGGCCACACGCTCCAAACAAAGCACGGTCCTCCTTCTACCCAAAGTTATACCTTCACTCTCTTTTATCGCCTTTATAAACCCCAATATTTGAAAGTACTTCCATGAGAACCACGACCCGGACTTTAGGCTCGATCGACCAGGTGGCCCACAGGGTAGCTTGGCCGGTTGGGAATCCTGGGCTAGGCCGTTGGTTCTCTGTCGTAGGCTGTAGGCTGTTGTGTAGGCTGTTGAGTAGACCCATATTCGAGTCCCACTCTTCAGAAATTTCTTTTTTGCTTTTTTTTTGCTTTTGTATAAAAGATGGGATGGTTTTAGCGTCGTCTGATCTTCTGGTTATGGATGGATGGGTACATAGATGGATGGCGGCGGGTTTGAGGACTGTGGGATTGTGGGATTGTGGGATTGGAAGATGTGATTGATTGATGGATGGATGCATGGATTTGAGGAGGATGGGGTGTATATGTTTTTGTTTGTATAGATAGGAGTGTGAGAGCGATCTTGAGAATGCACTGCTGTTTGAAAGAGATGTGAAGATGGCACAGTATCTATCGTATGGTTTGCTCACCAGATCACCTTGAGAATAAGTAACATATAAGATGTGACCTTTTTTAGTCCTTGAACATAGCATAGCCTATGGAATAGAGGTGACTAGGAGGATATATGATTGCGTTTGTGGGAGAACGCAGCGCGTTGATAGTCTGTCTGCCCGCGCTGTGGTTGACGAGTTGTTTATGTATGTTTCCGAAGACAACATGTAAGTTCCGACGGCGCATCAATGCCACGAGGAGGGATCCTATTGGCATCGATAGATGAATACCTCTGTGTTCACCTGCAAGTTCACCTGCAAATCACAGCACTCTGTTCCATCAATATCGCCCTTAGTACGTTATGTTAAGAGAAAATTGAGGCACAATTAGTGGGCGACGAAGGAAGAGATCTACATATGGCCGAATCCTGCGGATGGGATGCCGTTCTCTACCAAATCTATGTTCCGTTCCCTGAGAAGGAATGTACCCCGCATGTTTTGTTAGTTCCCTTCCCCTCCCCCACTCGGAACTGGCTTCGGAACAACAATGTAACGCGAACCGAACAAAATTATATCTCTCTCTTCGTAGTTCTTTTGCGAAAGAGGAATCTGGTACTCATTATCATGCTTGATGTCTATGATAATATAACAATAGACTAGATTCTGAACTGCCATCACATAACGAGGTAGCCGCAACTATGGCCGATCCTACAGCGGCCAATTCACAGCTTAAACCACAAGAACAAGATCAACAACGACAACAAACCACAACTTCCTCACCTCAAGACCACACCTCCACCTCACAAACCCGCCCACCGCTATCCGATGTCATCACGCCCTTAATCCAAGGCGGAGCAGCCTGGTCCTACCAGCTCCACCCCTCCCCACACTCCCTCCCCGTCGCCCAAACCCTTCGTCGGGCGCTCGACCTCAACATCCGCGCCTTCGACACCTCTCCCTACTACGACCCATCCGAGCAAATCCTCGGCGCCGCCTTCCAGGACCCCCTAATCAGCTCCGTCTACCCCCGCTCCTCCTACCTCCTCATAACAAAAGTCGGCCGCGTCGCCTCCTCCACCTTCGACTACTCCCCCGCCGCCGTGCGTGCCTCCGTCGAGCGCAGCCTCACCCGCTTCCAAACCTCCTACTTCGACGTCGTCTTCTGCCACGACGTAGAATTCGTCTCGGAATCTTCCGCCCTCGACGCCCTGGCCGTCCTCTGGGGCCTCGTGTCCGAGGGCAAGATCCGCTACGTCGGCATCTCCGGGTACCCGCTCGGCACACTCATCCGGCTCGCGGGGCTCGCGCGCGAGAAGTTCGGCCGCCCGCTCGACGTCGTGCAGAGTTGGGGGCAGCTGACGCTGCAGAACTCGCGGCTGCTGAGTGAGGGGTTGGAGGGGTTCGGGGCCGCGGGTGTGGGCGTCGTGTGTGCTTCTTCGCCGTTGGGGATCGGGTTGCTGAGGGATGGGGGCGTGCCGGAGGGGAAGTTGGGGGATTTTCACCCCGCGCCGAGGGAGTTGAGGGAGAGGGTTAGGAAGGCGGCGGAGGTGGTGAGGGGGAGGGGGGACAGGATGGCGAGGTTGGCGCTTAGGTATTCGTTTTGGGAGGCGGCGAGGGAGAGGGGGGAGGGTGCGCCGAGGGTTTGTGTTATTGGGGGCGCGGGGAGCGTGGAGGAGGTGGAGGACTTTGCGAGCGCGTTTGAGGATGCGAGGACTGGGTGGAGGGAGGAGGATGAGAGGCTTGTGGGGGAGGTGAGGGAGGTGTTGGGGGATTGGGTGGATTATTGCTTTACGTGATGGATGAATCTCGTTTATATATGGCGATGGAATTCTGGAGGGATTGTAAATATCGAAGGGAGCAAGAGAGGAACATCAAATGGACATGGATCAAGATTGCCTACGATAGTCATCTATGGGCGTGTGAGAGGACCTTCGGGCATCATCAGGTCAGAACATGAACATGAAGACTACTCAAGTCTCTGCCTACAGCTTGTTAAAGCTGCTATCAGTTCACCCAAACCGCCTCCCCACAGCACCCAGCATCCTGAGTGATGACCGCCCTCCCATAGCTCTTAATCTTCACCGTCCCGCCCGTCTCATCGAGCCCCATAACCGCCACCATGCCTCCAGGATAGGTCGTAACCGCCACGAGATTTCCCCCAAACGGCGCTGCCGACAGCGCACTCGTCACCGTCTCCGCACTCCCGCCCGCATTCTTGAACCCAGCCCTCGCGACCTTCTCCTTCACCTCCCCCGTCACAGGATCCAACTTGAAGACCGTGATCTGCGCCTGCGTGGACGACTGCGAGAGCGTCCAGAGCGTCGTGTTGGCGGACGGGATCGCGACGGAGGAAGTGAAGAACTCGCCTGGCTTCGTGTCCTTGGGGAGGATGGTATGGTGCCTCGTAGGCAGGGAACTATCGACGCGGTCGGTGGTGCTGAGGAGCGCGAGGTCGATGAGCTCGTTGGTGTCTTGCGTGACGACGTAGAGGCGGTGGCCGCCGGGGTGCGAGATGATCTGGCGGGAGGTCGTGACGTCGGTTAGCACGTCTGTGCCGTTGAGGTCGTCGAAGTCGGTATCCTCGCGGATGATGAAGTTCATGATGGAGTTGCGCTTGAAGTCTAGGGCGCGCAGGTGGTGGCCGTCTGGGCTGAAGACCAGACTGCGGACGTCGCCCGCGATGTCGCTGCTGCGGTGCTGGTAGTAGCCTGAGACGGAGGTCGAGAATATCGCGCTGCATGATCCGGTGCTTGCGGAGCCGAAGATCGTGCTTGGTGGTTGCGGGCCGGATGTCAGTTTGATGTTTTTGAATGAGGTCGTGTTGCCTGAAGGAAAGTTTTAGTGAGCGTTGGTTGGGTGGCCGGCTAGCAAGTGAAGACTTACAAGACTTGGGAACATCCATTGTTCCTTCGTGTATCAACGAGTAGTCAGGGTTCACGAGGTATCTGGACACTGTGCCATCGGATGGTCTGCTGCTGAACAGAAACTTCCTTGACCTCTGACACTGTTAGCCTATCCTTCGCGATTGGAGGTCAAGACGTACGTCAAGTACAAGAGCGGACGCGGCGCCAGCAGCTGTACTGTTCTGGACGATATCAATCGTCCTGTACTCATCCTCAAGCTCCAACGCATATATCGAGCTACCATCAACAGAGCCCACATACAAGTGATGCAGCGCCGCCTGCACCCATGGCACCAAGAGAAGACAAGCAGCCAAGGAAAGCATGCTAACAACTTTCTAGGCTTTAGAAAATGGGGAAAAAAATGCTTGTCCTCGCGTCCAGAAAGAGCAGATAACGTCTATAATACAAATACAATAGCTGTGGTGCTGATCGACTCAGGGTCCAGTTTGTGGGGTGCAGGTGATGGACAGGGATACATCTTCCGGTCGTCGAATATGGAAGAAACACTGTCTGGCGAATGATTGATGCTCAATATAGTGAATCAGTAGATGCTCCCACTAAAAACACTCAATGAGCGATATATGTCTCCGGCACTTTTCAATCGTTTCCATTTCTGGTGGTGGTTGCCACGCATGGTTCGGCGCATTCAAAGTCCTCGGGGCCGGTCCGGAGAGTACAGCTCAAGCATGCAAATGGAAGGTGAGGATCGTCTGCAATCTGCCTGGCGCTCGGTCGTGCTGATGCGTCGGTTTGAATCATCTCTTTCGTCCAGTGTCTGACGGCGCGTAGCTCGGGCTCTTCGATGGATAATTGCGATAGCCATTGCTGCACGCTCGTAACGGCGGAATAGTACGGTCGTAGTTGGCCTGTCTCGGTTTTCCCTCTTGCATTTTCAAGTGCCCCCCAATGAGTCTGCGTCGGGTTTGTTTCATTTGTTTTTGAGACATCGAGAATGGTTGCGATCATCTCAGCAAACACACAACCAAGGGAATAGATATCTGCCGACAGACCACGTGATTCCTGTAGAATAACCTCAGCAGCAGCGTATGTGCGAGTGAATGAAGTTGGCGTTTCAGTTTCACTCTCTTCAATCGAAGGATAAGAGCGAGAGATGCCGAAGTCGGTGAAGTAAATCTTGTATGGGTCCGAATCGTTCACGTCCGAGCCTCGAATGTCGCGGACAAGCAGGTTCTGCGGCTTGATGTCCATGTGCTTGAGCGGGAATGAATGCATGAAATCGAGCACCTTAGCCAGACATGTGAAAAAATGGCGGAGTGACTTGCGTCGTATCTCCATATCTTCTGCTGTGGTGAGCGTCCGCATGAACACTTCCAGATTCCATTCGGCGCAAGGGTATGTGAGAATCGCAAGATCATTTCCGATTACGTACGTTCCAACGAGTCGAACGATGTGCGAATGTTGAACTCGGTAGAGGTGTTGTACTTCTCGAAGCGCGTCTTCCCGGGTGATGCCGCTCCACTTCGTGCATCGCATCGTTTTGCGAACAAGCCGGACCCGCTTACAGCGAACGCTTTCCACTAGGGCAGTCCGAGTCTTCCCCAGAACCATCTCCACCTGTAGCGGAATGTCGTCGTGTTCATCCTTGCCGTACTCTGCATGCTGACCGCGGCCAGACCAATTGGTTTCCATAGTGGGCTCTGGTATTAGGTCATGCTCTTCTAGCAAGGTACGATAGGCGCTGCACATAAGGTCCTGGTCGAATGTATTCGAAGTCGCGATCGAGATAAATGTGCTGATACTGTTCCTGTTGCCCGATTGGTGCATGTCCGATGTTATGGAAATGTGAGTTTCGGCCGTGAAGAAGGAGTTGTGGCCAGAAGTGCCAGAACGGGCACTCTGTGCATCATCGAAGATTATAGGATGCAGGCTATCTGATTTCCGCAGCTCTTTGATTCGCAAAATATCGATAGAGCTTTTTCTGGATGCATGCTTAATAGATTTTGTAGACTTGCTTGAAGGCACGAGAGTACGATTGCTATCGTTGGACGATTCTTCTTCCGTGATGGTGTTTAGTTGGGTGTTAGTCGTAGAACCCACGATGAAATCTTCGAAGAGTCCATTATCCGGTAGTAATTGAGCCTTGGGCCGTACTAAAGTTTCTCCAAGAGCAATTGAAATAGGACGATTGCGCGGAGTGATTCCCTCAGCAAGTTGATTAGATTTGTTCGATCGACGTTTGGAACCTAACCGTGCACTCAACGCTCTTCGAAGGCGGTTCACTGAAGTATCCAGCAAAGTTTCCTTTCGTTCTATCTGTACTGGCTCAATGATCGCCTCGCTCATAAGCAGCTGAAAGGAGTAAACTCTTTCATAGAGGTGTTCGCTTTCAGATGGATTCCAATCATGAATGAAGCCAAATAGAACACCCGAAGAGCGATCAAGTCTGGCAGAGCCAAGTAGATCGCTCAATTCGATTGTCACATCCAGCAATATTCTATGAAGAACAGCCTCAGATACCAAAGACAGTTTTCTCGTATCTTCTGTCACCGGCCATGGGATCCGGTCATCGCTCGCACGTAGGACACCGGCGCTTAGGAGTAGCACGTAAACAACTTCGCCAATTAAGTGTCCCAGATGCGGTACTGGGAGGCTGGCGAGGTGATTTGCTCTGACGGAAGAACTCCGTGATGGAAGACCATTGTTGTAGTCGAAATACTTCGCAATGTATATCGTGAGGAAAACGCGGAGATTACGCCATGCAACACGGTTGGACCCGTTCGCGCAGAAAGCCTCAAACGCGTCCAGCACATCGTTGAGAATCGGTCGGTAGCGTTTGGTGTTGATGAACCGTTGGGTAGATACGGTCTGTCGCATCTGGTTGGTTATGCTATAAGACACATTGGATGTGTCTGAATACTCCTCGAGGGTACACAATCATTGCAAGGTCAGTAGGTTTTGGTCGCTTGGTGACGACTTGGAGACCTTCGGTATTTACATGCTGATTGTCCAGCTGTGCTGAGCCACAGTCACCCCTCTCCAGCAGCAAGCCTCGACAAGGATGGTAATTCTCCGCACCAATTGAGCGTCATAGAAATATGCAATGCGCGAGGCTGTGTACAACATACGACAACTTCATTTCCACTTTCTCCCTCGTTCTCATTCTCTCCCTGTTCGACTTTCAGTGGCAGCTCAACAAAAATTTGATACCAAATGCAATTGCATTGGTTGATTGATGATAAGTAAGAAGCCGCCGTCGAAGTAGGCGGGGTGGTCGGTATAGCCGAGAGGCTTCCAGAAGGATAGACACAATTGACCCATTGTTGAAGACATGTGACGTTGCATTTCTTCAAATTCATTCAGCACGACATCTGTTTAATAACAAAACAACTGCTTCTAGGATCATATGGCCTAACCACATCGGGGAAGCTCTTCATGCTTCATTCAAGCAAAACAGGCCCATCCGGTACATGTGTGATCTGCATCCCTATCAGACCCTTCCTTCGCTGCGCTGCAGAATGATGTGATATTTATTCAATAGACTTTATGCCTTCTACTTGGGAGATGATCTTGACAATTCTCTCTTTTAGAAACTATACTACGGCACAACCACTCCTAGCGGAACCCCTGATTGCAACGCTGGGCGATAAACTGGAATTACACTGAAAGCTATGCTGTGAATTGTGCTGCAATCAAGCTTCGTGCCCCGTGCCAGCCGCATTCATATTGTCTGGATTTACTCCACTTGCGGGTGTCTCGAGACATAGGAACTAAACCAGTCTCATCCCTTAGCGATAGCTCAGCCTAGCTTTCAGCTCATGACGATATCTGAAGTCAAGATTGTATCCTACTGTCATGCTCACATGGCTACGTCGGCAGTCTTATTGCATTTATCGAATTTCGAAACTATTCAATATCCCTACCACCCTACTTATGCTTTGGCACCGGAATCATTTCACCTGGAAAGGATCTGGGGAAAATAGACGACGACTCAGCGCTAACGCACAATGAATCATCTCTCCGGATCTGCGGAACCATAACACTGGCGACTTGACAGCCACAAGGGGTTTTCAAAATTGCATATGCTTGTACACAAGGTCTTCTTAAACGAGATAAGGCTCTACTTGAAAGCCTAGACCCGTCGTGTCGAGTGGGTCGATTTCATTGTGGCGTTTCTGGGGTCCCCGCACCCCGGAAAAGGGCTTCCCATGAAGGCTTGAAGTTTCCCGGGTGCTATACACGCTATGACTTAGTAGATATAATGCACGAGTGGTACCTCAAAAACAATATATGTTATGATGAAGTGACCGCGAGTTCCGGGCTGCATCATCAACAATTCCACAGTGCGATCATCTCAGTTTACTGTATTTGTTTGAGTGCCTGAAACCTACACCACATTGATCGTTACAGAGGTCCATCATGTCCGACAAATCATCCGGCGTCGAGCACGTCGAGAACGCTCCGAAGGCAGACAGCATAAACTATCCAGCACACGATGCCGAAAAACAATCTCACGATAATGCAGCGGGTGCTAATCTCGAGCTCGATGAAACGGCACTGCCACCGGGTTACTACCGCAGCAAGTTCTTCATAGGAACAATGGCGGGTATCGGGTTGGGACTTATGGCTGGTGTATGTGTGACTGCTCAAAAGGCGTAGGGAATTCTAGCTCACAATCATCGTCAATACAGGTCGCAGCATACGGCTATGCAGCACCAATCTTGGGCATCATCAACGCAGATATCGGACCAGATCCCAATGTCGTCTGGGTGGCACTATCATACACCCTCACCTCAGCAGTTACTCTAACCATCATTGGTCGAGTTTCCGATATCTTCGGCCGCCGCTGGACGTTCGTTGGTGGAGCAGCTCTTGGTGTCATTGGATCTATCATCTGCTCTGTTGCGCAGAACGTAACTACTCTCATTGTCGGCACTACGATTATGGGAATTGCTGCAGCGACACAGCTATCATACTTCTACGTCATGGGTGAACTTGTACCAATGAAATATCGGCTTGCTGGTAACGCGTTCTGCTATCTTTTTTGTATCCCCGGATCTGGAGTTGCACCTGTTATCTCGAACGCGTTCATCTTGTACCAACCTAGTGTCGGCTGGAGAGGGTGCTACTACGTTCTCATTGGTATCAATGCGGCTTCGTTCCTATGCTGGTTCCTCTTCTACCATCCGCCGACATTCCACATGAAACACGGCGAGAACGCAAGTGTGGTCAAATACATCAAGCAGTTCGACTATGTCGGGACAGCATTGTATACCGGAGGACTGCTGATTCTCATGATGGGTCTCTCCTGGGGAGGATCTGTTCACCCATGGAAATCCGCATATGTCATTGCGACTCTTGTGGTCGGATTCATGTCTCTTGTTGCATTTGTCTGCTGGGAAACATTCATGGATCTCAAGGAACCACTTGTTCCCATGCACATTTTCAAGAATTACTCCTGGAACGCGGCGGTCATTCTCACTGGGCTAGGCGCATCGGTCTACTACGCTTTTGCCATCGTGTGGCCAAGTATGGTAGCCGTTCTGTACGCTGATGGCGGACCTATGACTGCAGCATGGCTTTCCGCTTTGGTCGGACTCTGTATCACCATTGGTCAGATCGTGGGTGGCTTTTCAGGAAAGAAGATCGGGTACCTGAAATGGCAGTGCGTCGTTGGTATCACTCTTGGATCGCTATTCTTCGCCACGATGGCCACCTGTGGTGTCGGAACAATGGCACGCGCATCCGCTCTATTGTCCTTTGGCGTCTTCTTCGTCGGCTGGACTGAAGGCGCTGCCATTACCATCGTCACCCTCGCCGCGCAGGATCAGTTCGCTCTGGGAACATCAGCAGGTGTCGCAGGTTCCATCAGGTTCCTCATCTCCTCCATCGCAGCTACAGTCTTCTCGACTGTCCTATCCAACCGGCTAGCGGCTACAATCGCCGCACAGGTTCCTCCAGCCGTCACTGCTGCCGGACTGCCCGGATCCTCCATCGCATCTTTCATTGCCGCGTTTGCAGTCGGACCCGATGCTTTCAAAGCCGTGCCAGGAATCACACCGGAGATTCTTGCGGCGGGAACGGCAGCGTACCAGCATGCGAATGCCGACGCTTATCGCACAGTGTTTCTGTCGAACATTGCTTTCAGCGGTGTCGCCATCATCTGCGCTTTGCTGTTGCCGAATGTGGATCACCTTTTGACTGGGCAGGTGGCTACTACTCTACATAAGGGTCGTGATGAGAAGACAATTGCTGGAGAGTGATTGTTAGAAAGTGTAGATACTGGCTTTTAGTGAATCGTAAACAACGTAATCAATTAATTGTGTCACCTTTTTATTCTAACATCTGTTCATCTACGCTCTCTAATCATTGGTGGCGTATCGTTTTCACCAACATCTATTCTCTTCTGGCATCCGTTCCTCACTGGCGTCTATTGACATTAGGGTACAAGCTCACTACGATGTGTTCTGCACGGCCCAAAACATAATGATTCGGTCACTAGAATTTCGCTATAGCACCTGTCACAATCACTCATGTCATCTCAACATACACTCGTGGAATAGCATCCATACCATTTTCTAAATTGAAGCTACAACGCCAGTGGCACATCAAGAGCCTGGCTAAAATATATGTAAAATACGTGTACAAGAAGTAAAAAAGAGGTGTACAGCCACCAGCTAGCTATGCTTGCGTCTTTCAATTGATGGAACCTTGGCTATCGTTTCCCAGTCACCATGACTTAGGTCAACTAGTCTAGACCCAGAGGCCATGACGACGGGCATGCACATCCCTCCTTCGATCCGCATACACAGTAACCCTTTCAGTGGTAGTCGAGATGAACGTCTCAGTAACAGGCTTGCACTCGGGAGCCTGAGTGATTCCAGGCCTGGCCGACGTGATAGACGAGGAGGGTGTGTTTTCCTTGACGGGTTCATTGCTACCAGATGCAGAACGTGCGACTAGCTTCGCGACAGAGGGGCCGGGAGTCTTGTATGTAGATTCCTTGCCCTTGCTGTAGATGTTGAAGGTCACGCTCTCGTCTGAAGCCTTGACGTATCCGGGGATACTGACGGTGGACTCCGGGACGAGGTTGCCTTCGCCCTCGATCTTGATCTGCATGCATCCGGTAAAGAACTGAGGACGACCCTCGAGGGCGTTGTGAAGGGCGAGCAATTCAGGCTTGGCTAGATACTCTCCGGCTTGGAGGCCCTTTGGCAGGGTGATGGTGAATTTTCCAGTCGGTGTGTATTTCGTGGTGCACCACTGTCCGCTCGCCGAGTCGTAGCCCTCGTCCCAGACCTTGAACCAGCCGCTACCCGAGCCAGCGGCCTTCTCGGCAGAATCGACTTTCTTGAGGTACACGGCGCAAGGACCTTTGTGGCCGGGCTCGAGGCGGGGCTTCGACTTGTCGATGAGGGATGCCTTGAACTCGAAGGTCAACTCCGCGCCCTGGGGAACGCTGATCAGGCCCTGCACGCCGGTGTCGCCTCCGACGTTGCAGGCCATGTCTTTGCTGGTGACATCTTCGAGGGGGTAGTTGGAGGACTGCTTGCGGTAACGGACGGCCTTCGTTTCGCCCTTGCTATCGTTTAGTATTTTGAATTGAGGGAAGAACCTGATGGCATTACCTGGTCTACACCGTTCACATGAAGATTGGTGAAAATTGTATGGGCAAATGCCGCGGGCGCAAGGGCGAGAATAAGGGTGGAAGTCTTCATCTTCTCTAAGATATCGGATAGGTTGAGAATAACAGTTGAATGGAAATCCTAAATCACAAATGATTGAAAGGTCGCACGGCGACAAAATGAACGAATGTGAACAAATGTGGGTTGCGAAAAGAGAGCGAGTTGCAATGGATGGCGTTCTCCATGATGTTTCTAACGTTCTTGAACTCTTATAACAATCGCATGTCTCTTTTTCGTACGTCCGTAGGGCCATGATCATCGACCGTATTTACATGTACCCTATAATTTCCCTGCCGATGGATCTCGTCAAGTACACATCTTGGCCACAGCCAGCACGCCTTACCGCGCTTCGAAGAGAGGTGGCCAATCATCTTGCCGTTTAGCAAGAATCCTAGCCCATCGGCCAATAGCGAAGATTCCGAGTAATTCATATCCAAATAAACTGAAAATCAAAGTATAATGGGAGTGCAATCCGGGGGCAGTCGCCGCTGGGTCGATCACCCAACGATCCGCTTCTAGCGTTGATTCTGCGGTTCGGCCGTAAAGAAACTTGGGTAGATTGTGGAGATGTTCTGGACGAAGGATCGGATGTGGAGATTTATATCGGGACGATGGCGTGGATGGCAAACCGCCGCAAGGATACTACCTGCTCCAGATGGATTGGCATGCCGCAAGGCATTTTTTGAACAACAATTGCGACGTTGAACTCCAAGTACTTTCTGTCATCCTGCTTCCAATGAAGCATGCGCTCGTATGATCAGTTGCCTTTGGCGTGCCCCTAAAATTGGAGGCGGTGCTCAGTACAGCGTTAGGAGTCTTTAAAGGCCTCCAGCAGGACTTATGAAGGCTAAGTTGTGACCAGATGAAAGTGCATTGAATCCAGCCAGAGTAGTTAAGTGTCAATACCAGAAATTCCTGAAGAGAAGTCGTACTCTAGGGTCAAGTTGTTAATAGTCGTGTATCTTATATATTTATGTATGTATATGTGCCACTGGAATGATAGCCGCTAGTGGGCGATCCAATCCAAGATGCTCTAAAAGCAGATCTATGTACTTTATCACAACGTCCTCAGACGTTGATGATAAGTCGCGACGCAATATTTATAGGTTTATTCGTGTCGTGATAATCGTGAAAACTCCAAACAAAACGCCGCCCTTTTGGTACTTTTTGGTGGGTAAACACGTAAATGGGCCCCAGACTTGCGTGACGATGCTCCTTCACGTGAAATGTGATGCGGAAACGATACAATACCATGATTATGCCTTTTCTCCTTCTGAACTTTTGTTTTCGGTTTCTTCACTAAGCCTTTGTCGTGCTATGCCGAAGCTAACGAGCAGACCAGCGCCACTCACGGCCGTGTAGAATATCCACGATCCTCTCAATGCGCTCAACATCGCTTTTCGCACGACGTCGCGCTGGTAGTCTGGTAGTGTCGCAACCGCGCCCGCCTCGTTGATCGCTTTCCCACCCGCCAGTCGACTGGCAAACTCTGCGCTTACACCACTGACTAGGAAGTCGCCGTAATGCGGTTTGATGAGAAGCTGGAAGACGACCTGACCTACTACAACACCAATCGCACCGGAGACCATTCGTACGAAATTGAACGCTGCTACACCGGATGCCATGTCTTTGCCTTGGATGCGCGCCTGCAAAGCCAATATGGGTGCTTGGAAATTAGGACCAAAGCCGATGCCAATGACCACGAGGAAGCCAATGATCTTCCCAAGATCGCGCTTGATACTCAACGATATGAGAAGGCCTACTCCAAGGGTCATAATCGCAAGTCCACCTTGGAGTACTTCAAGATAACGATTAGTCTTGCCCATGATGATACCCGAGATAAATGAGACGAGCGCAAGGGGAATGGCGACTGCAAGCATGAGCAATCCTGTTGTCGAAGGAGATTCGTTCAAGACGATTTGGAAATACAATGGAAGGAAATAGGCGACTGAGTTGAATACCAACGCGTCGCACGCGCATACAGCCAATGCTGAGAGATTGCTGACATCCTTGAAGATCCGTAGTGGCATGATGGGGCTGCCACTTCGCTTTTCGGTAAAGTATTGAGTGAACGGGAATGCGACATAGGCGAGGCATCCGAACACGATCAGGCAGATTACCAGCGGCTTTGCGTACGTTGACTCCCCTCCTAGCTGGAGCCCGACAAGGAAGAAAATGGTAGCAGTTACAATTGCTACGCATCCAGCCCAATCCATTGAGAGCAATCCAGCGATCAAAGGAGTCGATGATTCCTGGAGATGCAGCGTAAAGTAAAGGATGATGATCGCGCCGGAGACGATGGGCACTGCGATGAGATTAGCTGCAACAAGCAAGACAACGGCTTCGATACTTACAATTGACATAGAAGCACCACCTCCAGTCCAACTTCTCTGCGAACACACCACCCAATACGGGACCCAAGGCCGATGCAACTGCCCATGCAGCTCCAACAATACCCAGGTAAAAACTTCGGATCCTGGTTGGGGAGTCAGCCATTTGGACCGACCAATCGCTGACGCATGAATCCGCCAATCCAAAACACACAAGGGCGGTTACACGAAAACATAATGCAAACGTCAAAAAAAAGAAAAATCAGAAACCGTACCTGATACTGAACATGTCTGCGACACAGACATGGACCAACACCACGACACCTCCCCCGCCCAGACCTTGCACTGATCGGCCGGCAACGAGCATGGTCGCGTTAATGCTCACTGCGCACACGATGCTCCCGACGAGGAAGATCGCGTTCGCGATGAGTATTATGGGCTTGCGACCAAATATATCGGATAGCTTTGCCCAGAATGGAATTGACGCTGCATTGGTAAGAAGATAGGACGATCCGATCCAGGCGTAAAGAGAGTCTGGTATCGAAAATGAGGCCGAGATCGTTGGTAATGCTGTGGGAATGATGACCGAATCGAGAGCGACCAGGAAGATACTCAGAGTGAGAGCTGCAAAGCAAAATAAGACCGAAAGCGATGGTCTTGTCGATGCATGTTCTCCTGTTGGTGTTGAAGCAAAAGAATCGTCGGATGGCTGAGCCGGTTCTCTCCGATCATTGCTTTTGAGCTGATCGTTCGTGGTGGATGCGCTCAAAGATTCCGAAATGGAAGAATCTGGGAAGGAAGACGGCCTTAATTGGGCAACTTTTGCTTTTTCAGGGCTCGTGGTTGTGGTGATACTGTCGACAGATGCCGAATTAGGTGATGAGGGCGTGGTGCTGAGGTATGATCGTCGTGGTGTGGCTTCTGTTATGGCGTTGGAGGACGACCGCATTTGTTTTCCTTCTTCCATGATGAGCTTTCAACAGATGCCAGTTCCTGAATTTGATTCGAAAAAAACGTGGCCACTGCAGTCTTTAAAGAATGAGGCAAGTCGGGCGCTCCACCCTCAGGCCATTCGTCTCTGGGGCGTGCAGGGTTTGATGCGGAGAGTCCTTTGTCGCTGTGAATAGAAGGTGGATGTACTTCATCCGCAGATTGACGCAAATAGCGGGTCGAGGTGTAGGAATGAGCCAATAATTCGATATTCTGGTACATGAATGCGCCTCATGCAAGCGCAAGCTCCATGGATGTATGAGGCAGTTGGGGCCGGAGAAGCGAGTCGGAGCTTATGCTCACCAAACCTGCGGGTCGTTGAGGAGTTCTGAAGCACTAATGTATGTACAAGCTGGAGCTGTAAGTTACTGATCCTACGAGGTAAAGTCGCCCTGCCAATGTAATGCAATATGTTCTTCATTCGAAATTATTATTGGGCGTAATTCTACGATTAGCCGACTAGACGCTGCAACGATCGGTCAACCGCTTCAGCGAATCCTGACTTCAGCACTCAGCATTGCCCAAAGAAAGACATGGGACCTATCGACAATGGCTAAAGGTATCGGTTGGCATTACAGAATGGCCAAGTCACGATATCCTCGTGCTTGCGAGGTAGTCCCTTATTCTACAATGCTCCGCGCAGCTAGAGAATGAATCCTAGATCCTTGCATGTCATTGATCGCGCCCTCACGCCAGCACCCGTGAATGAAGTTTGGTACCGGCCCATGAACTTCAATCTTCGGCGCGGTGATCCGTTAGTGATTGGTTCAAGGTTGATGGGCTAGGTAATTGTTGCGTTCATAGGTTCGTAACCATGTGGCACAGCAGCATAAGCGATGTGGGGACGGATTCCAACACTCATGGGTATGATGTTGAATAAAGAAGGTCAAAAAGAACTCAGCATGTGAAGAGATTTCATGAATAATCACTCACAGTAGACGAGCGGTTCGCATGTTTGCATTCGTAAAAGGCGCCAATATGGAATGGCATTTCGCGATGTTTGCGAACATGTACGGAGTAGATGCTCGTATCTGTTATGGTGTCACAAAAAGAGGCTCTTCACCGCTGAATGCCACGCAGAAAGCCATGAGGCAAGATGGGTCTTCAAGGCGGCGCATGGGCAACCTCGCCGGCCTCGTGGCACGGGAGTCTTTACCAAGTTGAATGGTGGCTGCATTCGACTGACCGAGTCCCCCTCGTTCATGCAACAAGAAGGTGCATGTCACCACGCCGGCCCTTAGAGAGGAACTTTCTATCTCTAGCCTAGTCTGAAATGGTGGAATAATTTCTGGAAGAGTAAAGGCGTCGTATCACGAAAATGATCAAAAGTGCTGGCTAGATCAGAATGCGATCATGTTCTCCCGGCGGTCCGCGGTTAGCACTCGTGATGCTTGGGACAAGAGAAGGCAGCTGATCGCCTAGTGAAGTATAACTTTAGCTGTGGAGATACGGAGCAAGTGCAGAGTAAATTCTAGTGGCACGCAAATCTGTGTGTGGATAGATGCGGCTCCTTGTGCGTATGTTGTGAACTCATGCGGCTCATGGTGTATGCATTATCGCAGCGACCTCTATGCACTGAATTCTATACCGCTCTTCAGCCTGAACTTTGACTTTATATCTCCATGTCTGGTACATCTTGTGAGTGGCATTTTCCTGCCGAAGTCCAGCGCCATGGGGAATATCCAGGCGAAGATCAAGCGCCTAGTTCAAAATGATGGTGAGACCAAATTACAAGCGAGCGATGGCCGTGCGACCAACGAAGACCACATTACCCTGTGGCATCTTGCGAATGGTGGTACATGAGGCATGCTCTTGAGACAGTTCAAAGAATGTGGCGATGTCTCACCTCGTGGCAGTGTTTCTGACCTGTAGATTTCGTTGCCCTCAGCTTCAGGTGGCGGGCACTGCATGAACATAGAAGTGTGACATAACTTTAGGGATGCCAGCAATGGGTCAATTAATAGATTGTTATCATTGACATCGACTCTCATCGTTTGCTTCTTGTTGTAGTTTAGCGATAGATAGACCGAATGAGAGTAGACCCATTGAACGTTAGGTGGATTGCCATACAACATGTGATGACATTATCATATCTTAATGTCCATCTTTGTTTAGGGTTCCAGTCTAACCATAGTCCACAGATAGGTAAGTGCCCAAAGATGTACCGAAAAGACGCTGAGACTATACGTTTCCATACATTTCGGCATCTTGTTGATATCTGTTACGAGATCCGGGGCCTTCCCTTTCAATGACTTTGCAGTTTTGGGCATATGACTTAATTGTTCAGTTGAGGTTGCCACGAAAGGTACAGGGCTTTATCCTACCAATCAACTTTTAAGCATGTTATAGTGAACTTACGCGGAATAATGTATCAGGAAACTCATTCTTCATAGACTTCGGGGTTTTACCACGCCATGATACCATCACTACGCCTCTTGGTAAACTGATTAGCCAGGTGTTTGTAGAACAGAGGCAACTACGCACAAGCAATCTGCATTATTTCTAACTATACATGCAGATTATATGCCAGTATATAACCTCTTACGTCTAACTAAAATCTACCTGCAATAACCCCGCGCTAATACAATTTTACCGTTGCCATAATCAATAGTAGGATCGGAGAAGGGAGGCAACGTAATCCGAGTGTCGTAGCCCTGTCAACTACCTCCTTTGAACGAAAGGTCCTACCACGATAGGCTTTCTTCCCATACTTGAAGCGTTCCACATACCTTAGCTCTCTCTTCACTCACATCCTACTGTAGCCTAGTACTGATGATTTCTCGTCGATAACATTCTTTTCAGGATATGACCAATAACATCATTAGTAGAACAAGGTATCGTTATCCGAGTCTGGTGAATCTTCCTAACTTCCTCTCGTAATTGAAACGTCCTACCTCTGGAAACATCTCCCCAAACAAAATTCAAGCGAATATAGAGAATTTTAAATTACTTAGTCGCGCTATGGCCAAGAAAAGCCTTGTTTGCACTTCACTTCAACGATGTCAAGGCAGCAGTCGAGAACACGCTAAATGGCACTCGAGGAGCCTCGAATGCGATAAAGTGAAAGGAAAAATAAAATGAATAATCTAGAACAGACAGTTTAGCTAGAAAATCTTCCCCCTTATACAGGCAACAATTTTCTCCCAACAATTTTCTTCCTAGCTAACGCAACCACCATTGTGCACTGCACCCTCCACTTACTACAATATGTCACTCATTCGCGATAACGAGACCGAGACCGAGACCACGATCGAGCCGAAACTGAGTCGAGACCCAATCCGGATTTGCCATCCTGACTACGAGCCACCTTTGGATGTCTTGCTTATGTTCAATACTCCAGATAGTCAAGACACTGAAGGCATTCAAAAAGGTGTAAATGCTCAGGTTGTATTCGATGCCTGTAATATCGTTGCTGGGAACCCTGCCACTTCTTGGCTGTCTATCTCACGAAGTTCTAGCTCCGACAATGCCATCAAGCTCGATACTGTGCTCATCGGAGAACAGTACTTCTTCCATGTTCTAAACGATAGCGGAAAGCCTTACAAGATTGTGCCGACGTTTCAGGAATGGCGATATCCCCATGGTCGTCTTCCTACTCACTGGGCCCAGGCTGTCTCCGATACGAGTCGTAATACAATTTCCACAATCACGAATGATATCGGCGCCACCTTGCAGAATCGTGACCTACGATGTCGTATCACAAACCGCTATGAGGGGACAAATATATCGTATATCGTGCCGCAGCGGGAGAACGCGTGGTGGAAGAGGAATAGCATGCTACGATATAACAACAACGACATCTCCAGAAACACATCGAACAACCTAGCCAATACTATGCTCCTTCGCTCAGATCTTCATGCTGCATTCGATGCCTCAAAATTCGTTATCGTCCCGAAACAATCAAAGGACAAGAATTGGTGGTTTGCCGTTCATGTAACAAATGGATCGTCAGAACACGAGTATTACATCCATAACAGGGCACTCAAGACGCCCCACCCTCGCGTGGAATCGTTGTATGCTCGCTTTGCGTGGTCCGTGTTTACCTATCTGGCACCATTTCTCACCGCGGGAAAACCTCGCATGCTGTCTGTTTCCACTAGCGAAGAAAATGGGTCGGCCACTGAGGGCTTCGTCACCGCGAAAGAATGCGAACGATATGTGCAATCTTCATTGGGAGCCTTACATGACTGTAGGGCAAGATGGACAGAAAAGAAAGCAGCTTAGATGAATCAGGCACAGATACCTTGATGCGATACTTCAGAGATTCAAAATTTCGAAAGATGTACACTGTGACTCTGCATTTGCGTCAATACTGAATGTTTTCACAGTCAACATTCCAAAACATCTCCGCGAATTCCATTCAATACTAATTGATAGAGAATCACCACTAATACAATACCTCCAACATGAGTAAAGATGCAACAAAGAAAGATACATCGCCCTTCCTTGTCAATCACTTGAAACGGTGCCTTCAATCAGCGAGTCTCACTTGACTTATTAGCATATTGTTTCCACTGCTTGACCCTTGCCACATAATGAACTTTCACACAAATCCCGAAAAGTGACATATTCTACTTATTGCGAGGATGAATTATCGATCTATTTCTACATGTTCAAGATGCCGATCCCCATTACCTGCACGCGCTGTGGGATATTTACAACTGCGATTTAAATTCCCTTTGCTGATCCAAGAAGTATGAAACAGTATCCTTCATATCTCTCCAATTGATACCCAGGATGTCCTTTGCACGGTTCGCCTCAACTAGCGGTGGCTTTCCAAAAGTACCTTGAATCTTAATGCCGAGATCTGAGTACTTCTCGTGTGCGAATTCCGCAACACTATCCCAAGTCCATCCCTTCGCCTCAGGAGCGCTCAGAATGTACTCCTCAAGTTCAGACGCTTTCCCTTCGACTTTAAGCGCTCTCAGATGTGCTTCAGCGACGTCTCGCACATCCACACTGGCCATGGGGATGAGCGGTTTCTCTGACTGTAGCGAGTTCCAAAGCATGGAGTTGGAGCCGTCCACTTCGCCGCCAGCTTTCCTGGTGAGATTGCGACCGAAAACAAATGATGGATGAATGGTAGCGACGGAGAAGGCAGGCTTGTTGTTTTGCACCCACTCCAGGGTGGCACGGTGGGCTAGCACCTTGGATGCGTGATACATCAGACCAGCACTGGCTCTCGGGTCTGCTGGGAACTGCATGTCAGGATCGACTTGAATATCTGGACTGGATCCTTCTGTTGTATTTGTTAGTTTCAGGGCTCTGAAAGATTGTTTGCACTGAAAGACTTGCCTTTAACCTCGAATTGTCCAGTGATCAGTCCCTCCGCCGGCATCATCGCGAGAACTGAGGAAGTAATGACAACTCGCTTTATTGAGGGCGTGTTCTTAGCAGCCTCCAACAGATTGTTCGTTCCTTGTACGGCAGGAGCTAGATAGTCGGACTTGAAGTCAGAGCCCTTGCCAGGCATAGGCGAGGCTATGTGCAGGACATGGGTGACGCCCTGAAGAGCTGTGTCGAAAGCACCCGGCTTTGCTAAATCTGGAATGATGGCATAGTCGATCTGGGAAGTGTATTTCGAGAAAAGAACTTTAATGTCGCTGATCTGTGATTCTTTCCGTAAACTCAGACGAACTTTGTAGCCCGCTTCCAAGGTTTTCTGCAACACATGGGTGCCAATGAAGCCGGTTGAGCCGGTGATGAAGACAAGCGACGAAGTCATGTCGAGTGGTAATTGAAAATTGTATGAGGTTTTAGTGCGAAAAGTGGTTTGAATCGATTGTTCCTATTATATTGAACGTGGATTTGGACACGTTCTTAAACGAAGAAATGAAAACAATCGTACCATCCTTCCATTCTACTACGATTACTGAAACGGAGCAACATCGTCCCGAATTCCTAAGAGCACTTCTCTTTTGGCATGTGCTGCTCTGGCCTGTTTCATGGCCAGCAGTCAATGGCCGTGTGTTTGTCATTATTGGAGAGTAATCAGCATGGCTTTGTTCTTTAGATAGTAATCATTGTCGAATGCACTGCCAAATCATTGAGATGAGTAATCTTGTCTGCGTTCGTTATATTGTCACCGCTAACAACCATAGGTTGACCAACTAGCGGTGATCGCGATCACTAATCGTTGTCGGCCACCATTTCGCCCGATTGAGGTTGCGTTGGTATTAACCATGTCAAGGCCAATGTATAAATGAACCTTCCTTTATGCAGTATGGTGCTCTCTTCAGTCCATTATCCATCATCCTTTCCATTCCGATTACAAACTCACTCGGCCTCCCACAACAACTTTACCATGCCGCTCTGGAACGTTTACCACCCCGAGAGCATTTTCGAGGATGATGCCAGCAAGGCAGCCTTCTCAGCCGATGTTGTCTCCTACTACACCGCGGTCGGTTTGCCTGCCTTTTATGTCGTTATCAATTTCATCAAGATGTCCGGAAACACCACGTGGGTAGGAGGCAAACCGCCCAACAAGGAGGAGCCCTTCGTCCGATTTACCATGGACCACATCGCTGTCCATATGCCAGACATCGACAAGGTTTACAGAGCGGAGTCAGATAAACTGGACAACATCATCAGGAAGCACCTGGAGAAGAAAGGTCACACCTGGGAGTTCCATGTCAACGAAACGGAAAGACGACTATGGAAGATCCACGGGTTGTTCCCACCACCATTCGGCAGCGAAGCAGAAAAAGTTTGGGTCGAACAGAACAAAGCTACGCCATGGGAGAAATTGTGAACGATTTTTCGTGAGGTCTATTTAGGTGATCTCCAATTGCACTGCTCCAATTTGTTGCCGCTCTCTGCCAGCAAGATAGAAATCGGTTGGACAGACAAAATATTGCTGTATCTAAGCGCATAAAAGTACTAAACCAATACAAATTGTGGTTCGAAGGAATAATCCTCTCCGGTCATAAAGAATTTGACATTGAGTGTAGAGTCAACTTGCTTCAACGTACAGTGCTACGGCTTGTTGAGACAGATCGAGTTGAGATATACAGAATGACTACTCTGTGCGTCGCATGGTTTACATGGGGCTGGGACGAGAGTTATAGATTCTCATAGTTTGTGGAGAAGTGAATTTCAGTATCTATATTTACTTTCGAGTATTATGGTATCATTACGGGTACATTAGGTACACACCTCGAAGTGTAACATCCACCTCATCACGTCATAGCAGCCCGGCACGAACGTGGAGCGAAGGCACGTGCACGACATCCTCTCTTGAACATTCCATTTGCAGGCATTGAGCCAACGTCGCACGTTAGGGGCGTCGCATTGCCTCTTCTAAACCTCAATTTACCATCAATCAAAGCGCACACCTTGTAGTGTTCCTCTACATAGTTTGCGATGGTCTTCTGCAGCGTGCTATTCTCGAGTGCGGCACTCGGCAACAGCCGCTAGTTGAAACCGCCTGCGTGTGACATGCGCCGTCTCCTATCCGCTCAATTGGCGTTGTGTTGATATTTGCGCGCCTGTCCTACAAGGAGGATGCGCCTTTCTTCAGGATCGTTTCGTCCACTTTGTCTCTAGTCCACACTTTCTTGGGCTCCGGATAGATAGACTAAGGTGGTACAATAATTGTGGTTTGATATCGATGCCCCTGGCCAGTTCGCCCGCCTTGTGAGGTCATCGACTGGGGTCATGACCAGTTGACTGAAGCACTCCACATCCAGTTCAAATTCATGCCCAGATAACACTTCCTCTGGCCCTCTTTCAGAATTCCTTACGCAAACCTTACACACGACCTTGCGCAACCTCATCTGGACGCTCGAAAATTATCATGGCGAGACCAAAGAGCATGCCTGACTTTGCGAGCCTCCTGGACACAGCCTATACCCCACTCACCACTGGGAAAGGGAGGCCGAGGAAGAAGCCCAGCATCTCGCTCGCGGCAGGATTGATAATGAATTCGGAAAACCAGAGCCCTAGAACGATTCTTGACACCTCGGAAGAATCACAAGAGCACATACAAGAGGGTTGGAGCAACGGCTTGTTCTATGCCTACGCTCAGAAGGTATTTACTCCAGTACCTACCCCTTTCAATTGCTTTGGTCGTACAGTAGAGAAACACCAATAGCTAACAGAGCTCCTTTGTCCCACAGAGCGACTATGCCCAATCGCCGCCCTACATTCTGACATTTGCATCCGCTTCCGTCGCTGAGGAGTGGTGGCGACTCGTTCAAGCCGAATATCCGGGCTCCAAACGTGCTGGTCCGCAACTTTTCATACTCAAGGGGGATGATATGCAGGAACAGATTCAGGACAATCCAAAGTTCTATGGTCTGAGGAATAAATGGTTTTACACTCCCTCCGAATCAGCGGCAGCTGGAGTCATACCTTTACAGGATTCGAAGGGTCACCCTGTTGGTACAGCGCCAATTCCTGCTTCCAGACCGGCCAGCAAAGATGGCACGAAAGAACCCGACTTCGATATGGCAAGCCTGACGGCGGCTTTGGACCGAATGAATTCTATGATATCCGAAAACAGCGCCCAGATTCGTGCTCTCAGCGTTGCTCAATCAGAGGGATTGCAACGCATGCAAGAGATCAACGAGTCGAACAGCACCCAGATCAAAGCGCTCGCTGACGGTCAGGCTAAGCTCCAGTCACTCATGGACCAGAATGCCTCGCACTACATCGCACTATCGAATTCGTCCTTTTCGAATCAAGAGCAAGTAAAAGGTGTGCTGCAGACGAATGCAGAGCAAATCCGTTCCCTGGCGGATGGGCAAAGTAAACTTGCAACAACATGCGCGGGTCTCATGAAAACCATTGACAATCTAGGCCGCTCTGTTGGTAAGGTTGGCGACACCGTCAAGGACCTTGCCGCGAGTCAAGGAGAAAATGCTGCACGTTCAGACGCCGGAAGTACCGCGCCTTTCAGTGCGGTTGGGAATCGAATCAGCCCGCCTCCGAGAAAATTGAATCGCAGGATCAAGGGCGTGTGGTATGAGTACGATGCAAGCCCTGCATCTTCACCTAGGCACAGCGTGGGCTTTTTGGAAACGCCCCCCAAGAGCCCAAGTGCACGAACTTGACCTTCCACATGATGTTATGCGGCGTATAGTGCCAGTAATTCCATCTTTATCCGGCGTTGGAGGATTATTCATAGCGCAGTCATCTTTAGCATCCTGTATCTATAATGTAAACGAAGGCCCATATATCAGTACATACGAATACATACTGTACGTCTCAAGACCAGTTATCAAAAGAATGATGCACTTCACTCCGTTGTTTTTGATCTCGTCCAATCAGGAACCAGGGGGCCGACGACTACGCATGCTCGTATTTATCGCGTTCTCTATTAACCACGCCCAACCGAATATAGTCTAGACATCACAGAGGCGAAAGACCCGTTGCCAACTTCCAAATAAGCATTCGCCTACCTCATACCCTCATACCGTTCATCGACCCTCGCTTACAAGATATAAAGCCACTCTTGTATGCACGTCAGGCGTGATTACCAGGGTGGTAACACTTCAACACCAATCAAAAACCACCTTCCTATTCTTCCTGTAACAAAATCAATTCTAGAATCTTTAGAAAGCGGTTCATCGTGTGATATGTGAGTCATTTAGAAAATGCGCCCTCTGCTTGATTTCCGCTGATGAGAAGGGTGTTTTCTGAACGATACATAGGTAGTACATCTATTCCGCCATCGCAACTGTACAGTGATCAAAAGAGATATATTAATTTCGTCGAACAAAAACACCAACCTCCATCGAGCACCCAAAACCCAACAATGGCAACACCAAGTCCCCCAACCCTCTCACCACCAATCCTCTACACCCCCCAAGACCTACGCGCCAACCTCCCGCTCGCCCAAAGCATAATCAACCTAGGAAACGAAGCGTTTAAGCGAAGCAAGCTCCCCGCCCCTGAGAAATGGTACCTAGGCGACCACAAACGATTCCCGACGCCGCAGCACCTGATCGATATGGTCGGCGAGCAAGGCGTCATGGCCGTGATCCACGACGACTCCGTGCCATTTGAAGGTCTCCGCGGCAAAGTCATCGCGTGTGCGGCGATCCTGCCGTGGAAAGGCGGGTGGGAAGGTGAAGGGAAGGGGGTGGAGGAGGGGTGGGAGTTCAAGGCTGTTTGTGTGGATGGCGGGGAGAGGTATTTGAAGAGAGGGCTTGTGGGTACGCTTTCGAAGGTGTTGGAGGAGTGGGTTTTGGAGAGGACGGATGTGGAGAAGAGGGGGGAGCTGAGGTTGTGGATTCTGGCGGCGGATTGTATTAACGGGGTGTATTGGCGGAAGAGAGGGTTTAGGGAAGTGAGGAGGAAGACGCAAGGGCAGGGTGTTTGGGGGTGCAAGACGAGCTTCGAGATGGTGGTTTTCGTGAAGGAGATTGAGTTGTCATGAATGGCACTGAAGGTGAATTGGATGTGGTAACTCTCTATCGCAAGTTTTGCGAGTATCACAAGGGCATGAAATGGTACGTGATTCTCAGAAGGGGATGGTACGGACTTGTACAAGCATCTAGGTATATACTCTTCCCTTACTGCATAGCGAGGACTGCATCGTAATACGAAGAATCTGCTAGTCTGGTGCTTATGTCTTCTACGTGTATAGTAACCCCTATGCTCAATACCTGCATGTGGCAAGACTGGAGCGGGTTAAGTTTCTGTTACTAGGCCTCGAACTAGTTCGAAGTGATTGAGAAGGGGTTAACAAAATGTGTTGTCGCAGAATGCTTACAACACAGACGAGAGATGGAGTCGTGCTAAGCAGGCCCCAAATTTGCTCGGGTCCTTGCAAAGAAGGGTTGCTGACTGAACCCTTCTATCTCTGATGTTTCCCCATGTCACTGATAACTCTCTTTACCTCTCTTGCTAGAGCTTCAGCTGCTTCTTCTGGTCCCATATCTGTCACGTCAAAAGTGATCCCCTCAACACTATCGAAATGAAAGAGCTGGCACCTGGATCGCATGTCTACTAGGATCTCCGGGTTCAAGAGCTTCGTAGTTGCACTGCTTCCCCGTTCGAGACTTGTCACTCTCCGTATGTTTTCTTTGACGTCGCACTCGAGGTAAACAGGCAAGAAAGAACGTTTAGCCCGTAACGCGGCAGCCTCATATTCTCTTGCCACGTCACGACCAAGGTCATTGTTGGATTGGAAATCTATTAGCAAACGTGAGCATGAATTAGATATTGGTAAAAGAAAAATCATGGGCGATTGGTTTGACTCACCAGTGAAGATGATGATGCGGGCCCGAAAGGCTGGGTCTTCCACACGACTCTTGAACACAGCCTCTCTCCCCCGGCGTCTTTCCTGCTGATAGTCTGGATGATCTCGCGAGTATCTTGCATCGACCGGGTCGATTAGACTGTGGTTGTGTATCAACAGAGGGTCGCCATCGCTTAGAAGAGTCGCGGTGAGCTTTGCGATCCTATATTTGCTTGTGCCAGGGAAACCGTTGATCCAAATGAGAGGCCACGCAGACCTCGATTCAGTGGCGTTCATTCTGCCGTAGCAAGAGAATTTTCCGAGTATAAAGCTGGGTTCTGAGGGTTCCGGATGCAGAGAGAAGTAGGTGAGGTAGAAATGGAGTGGCGAAGTGTTACATGTTTGCTACCAAACGGTCGAGTGCGAACGTGCCGGTTTGTTTGGATCGGCTCGGCCCATCCGGTTTGCTACCACGTCTTATATGAGGGGGTGGTTGCATGGCATTAGTACATTGGTTCACCCATGTACACCTTATCGAGAATGGTATTTTTGAATTGTCTATAAATTAGAAGAAAATGCTGCATTATTGAAGTATTCCTTTTCATCGCAATATCATACCAGTGGAGTTTTGTGTCCACACTGCTGTTTGGAATTCTGTAATGTCGAGCTCCCAAAGTTGGTCTGTGGTCCTCCACGGAGGCTGCAGCAACAACTGCCCCGACGTCGAGACGCAGCACAAAATCCAGCGAAATCTTGAAGCAGTTCTGGAAACTGCTGTTTCTGGGCTAAAAGCGGGTGTTACGGCCAGAGAGGTGGTTGTCCATGCAGTGACAGCCTTGGAAGACTGTCCGCTATTCAACGCCGGAAAAGGTGCTGCACTGACCATCGAAGGCGATCACGAGGTATTTCATTCAGCCCAGGGCATACACTTTACTGATTCGTATGAAGCTCGAGGCGGGACTTGTCGACGGTCGCTCAGGCTTGTATGGTGCGGTATCTTGCCTGATGACGACAAAGAACCCTATCCTCGCTGCAAATGCTATCCTCCAGCATGGAGTGCACTGCATGATGGTAGGTAATGCTGCCGATAGCATGGCTCAAAAGGTTGGTCTGGAATCGGTCCCGAACACATATTTTGAAACCGCAATTCGTCGAGCGTACTGGGCATCAACTATTCGAAATCGTCAACGTTCTATCGAGTTCGAGTCTGGCACAGTTGGTGCCGTTGCCCTAGATATCCACGGTCATATCGCAGCTGGGGGTTCTAGCGGGGGCATATCAGGAAAGAATAAAGGAAGAATTGGAGATACTGCAGTGTTTGGCGCCGGCCTTTTTGCTGACTCGAAACTGGGCGTTACTTGGTGAGTGTTGATTGAGAGATCGCTCTCCGACGTTCTGCGCTAATCTTGGGACAGCAGCGGTGCGGGCGACGAGATATTCCGGCAACTACTCGCGCGACAAAAGTTGCAACCCAGTATTCCTGTGGCTTCGACCTTGAGAACGCCACTCGCTTCGCCGTTTCGCAGTTTGCCCATTCAGGAAAGCCTTGCGCAGTCATAGCACTGGACGGCCAAGGAAAGCTCTCCATACAATCGACAGCTCGACTCTTCTCGACAGCTTCAGCATCATCCAATCACCAGGCAACTGTGGATATGAGCTGTACCACATTTCCAGTGTTACCCCAGCATGTTTTCTTCCGCAACTGGCGACTTGTCGCCGGTTTGTCGCGCTATCCTACTACTCGCGGGGAATCTTTTGTAATTCTCAAACAACCGGGCGTGCACCTATTTTCACTTGAACGCAAGGAATTTCTGGAGATAATGTCCAGCGTAAAGAATCTTGCGAATGCACTCCGCGACCATTACAATGTCGGAAGTTGTGCACTTGTTATCGAAGGTAATGGCTCGATCTCGATCCTTCCACTGCATGGTTTGGAGAAAACATGGAAGCCTGTTACTAGTCACGAAAAGGAATTCCATGAAACATTTCCGGGCTATATTTCCTCCAAGGACGGACCAACCATGGATGTTGGGAGACTGGCTCAAATCACTGCTACAATTCGGCGAGAGACCGAACTCAAGGAGCCTGTGAATTGCCACTTCGAAGGTGATGATGGAGACAGTAATCTTTTCGCTAGGCTTGTCCGCGGGGAGATCCCTCAGTCACGCGTTTGGGAGGATGAAGGACATGTCGCGTTTCTCACGCCCTTTGCGAACACTCCCGGTTTCACGGTGCTTGTTCCTCGCGAACATCTCACAAGCGACATATTCGGCCTGGAAGATACTCATTACAAAAGCCTTATGGATGCTACTTATACTCTCGCTGGCTATCTGAAGAAGGCATTTGGAGCACCGCGCTGTGGGATGATTTTCGAGGGCTTTGAGATTAATTATGCGCATGTCAAGCTCATTCCCATCCACAGTCGTGATGTTGGTGGTCAGATACCAACATCTAGCCCAACGACCGAGGTGGCGCCATACGAAGAGCGGTATTCGGGATATGTCACCTCTCTGAAAGGTCCTCTTTTCCAGGATCAAGAATCTCTAGCACTCGATGCGTCATCTCTTCGAAAAGCTACGTGCGAACACAACCAGCCGAGTCTGTCTTGAGAAGGATTCCGGGAGCACGCAATTGTCGATTGGTTGGAATCACGGTATCATGATCTTTTCGAGGTCCAAGATCGGGCCTTCCCCTCGCCCGTCAGTGTCTTAGAACGTAGGCATTAATCACAAGCACGTTTTGAGTCCAATCACTACCAAAGCAAAAGGCTCTCATGTGAATCTGGGTCCTGCGTTCCAGCTTATATCCATAACTTGAGTGACTAGGAGACATGTGTTGCGGTTTGCGCACTTTACACTGGAGATGTGAATGTAGATATTTCTGGGGTGGATTTTCAGGCATGATGATATTATGTATCTGGTAGTAATGCCGAGACTGAAAGAAACCGAGTTTCTTGTCCAGTTGTCTTTACCTTGGCTTCTAAGTTCTGTCCTACGGATAGAATGAGTACCTCAGCTGCTGTGATCTTGCCCGAAATGGAGGCGCGACACGGTCTACAATTTCCTAGCTAGTAATGGTCAGAAGATTTTGGAAGACTCTGTATAGATTATCTAAGTGAGAAATCTGGAGTTCCTAGACATGGGAGTAATCATTCCACATCCGCTAGGGTCCCTAGAATTTTCTCGCTTTTTGTGTAGGCCCCGCCACTGGTAAGAGGAGTCAGTCATACAGTGTATTATCTAGTAAAATATAGATTTTGGGTTATACTACAGGAAACATCTCATATCTCACCACTAGCCTAGCGTAGGCTCAGTGCGCATGTTCGTGCACATCTTGTCCTAATGACAGTAGTGCCTTGTGAAATCCCCCTGTTCCTCAGCATGTTGACTGACTGTCACTTCAAACTCGTCCAGGTCTGAGAAATTATCGAAGCCGGCATCCTTGATGTACCGCTCTCCAAAGTCATTCTCATCCCCATCGTCCTCATCCTCATCTTCCTCATCCTCATCTTCCTCATCCTCATCTTCCTCATCCTCATCTTCCTCATCCTCATCTTCCTCATCTTCCTCATCATCATCTTCCGAGTCCTCATTATCCGCGTCTTCAGCATCCTCATTTTCAGCATCCTTATTTTTAGAAACCTCGTATCTTCGAGAGCCCTGACGTGTAAATACGATCCGGGTTAGTATACACCAATTAGTGGGTTCGATGGAAATCATGTCAAAGTTACCCGCTTGTATATCTGCTTGCCATGTCTTATTATCCCTCGTGAGAAGTGCTTTGGTCAATTTGCCGATGATGCACGGCCTTTCTCGGTTATAGTACTTGATCTCTATTCTCGTGGACTTATTCCTCATGTAAAATAGTGGCAAGATAAAAAGAGGCCTCTTCGGTAATGGTGGCGATGGAATAGGATCAAAGTAGACCGTTATCCTTCTAGGATTGTTCTCATAATCCTTCCATGTGGGGTAGAACAACTTGAAGAAGTCTGAGAGGTGGTACTGCAAAAGGTTGAAATGGCACGCGCGGAGGTACATTGGTCGATACTCCTTTCGTGTTGCTGTGCAGACTTGTGCCAGTGCGATGCCTTGAAGTGGTTGGCCCTTGCCAAACACTACATTACGCTTTTCATTCGGGTCAATCTCCTCAACTTTGGGAAATATGACTGAAGTAGGTACGTCTTCCTGAGCGTACTCATAGATCCGGTTTCTCAGCTCTGCAGGTAATTCCATCAATGAATGCGTCCGTGTGGAGATGCAGACTTCCTTGACGCTTTCTTCAAGAATCGAGGTTGCATCTTGCTCCATGGGTGAGGGCACTTTTGCAGTGGACATGATGTCTTCCAGATTCTGAGAATAAGTCGGAAGCTGTAGATCGATAGGTTGTGTTTAGAACTCGACGAGAGAAGGAAGTGCTCTCAAGGTGGAAAAGCACGTACCTAAGTACTAGACCGCCCACATTCGCCTGGAGGCAACGATCTTTTGTATTGGTAGCTGGACTGTTTAAAGTTGTAGGAACATTGTTCAAGGGAAATCATTGTAAGCCATCGTGGGTGGCTGATGCTGAGCAAAGTGATTGTGATGGGTCAAGAGCATTGTGCAAGCACACAGTTGGGTTTGATTTCTAGGTTTGATGGTTTCCACAAGCTCAAACCACCTCTGAACATTGCTTCCTCTCATTAAAGGTTTCCCCATGAACAGGGTCAGCGTTTCGGCAATCTCTGTCTAGGAAGGTGCAATTCAGAAATCGGACTAATGTTTGGCAGATAAGTAGTAAGAACCGACAAAAATCTTCATTTTTAGGTGCCATTTTCCAGATGGCACGAGTAACAGCACACAGAAGCTAGCACACAGAAGCTGTTGACGTTTCTTCCAGCAAGCTTCCAGCGTCCTTCCACCCACCCCAACTTCCAGCCATTCCTTTGTGCGGGAGCAAGTGAAAACCAACGCAACCCCGTGGGTTCAGGCACCTCCGCACAGTGGCGACATGGTTACACCGCTCTTTACTTTCGCTATGGCGATTGGGCCTATAGCAACGGTCGTTGTGCGCAGTGAAGTAGAAGCTCTGGACAAGACTTTCACCTTCACTTCGGTTTCGCCAAGCTCCAATGTTTGTTTATAACTCTCTCGCCCTCCTTCAGGTCTCCTGTTCTCTTTCTCATCGACATCGCAGTTGAGCAGTCAATCCGCTTAGTATTGCTCGCCCGCGTTATCGCAACGTTTCAAGCGGTATTCGATCAACAATGGCGTAAGTCAAGCAATAAGATCCTTCATTCATATTGGATTCACAATACTGACATTCTACTCCTAGACGCCTGTCTTCCCCACCCCGATCGCCATCGAGCAAAGAGCCTCGGGCTCGAAAAGTAGGCCCAGATGGCAGAGTTGGGAAGGCTCATCAGAAAGACAGGTTGAAAGTCTTCTCCATTGAATCGGGTGCCGCACCTGCGTCTGGTGGTGTTTCATCGTCTTTGTCTTCTTCTGATGCAGCCCGCATGGAAGTACAGAACAAGTCATTCCGCTTCCTAGACCTTCCCGGAGGTAAGTCGAAAAAACTCCCGCTCATCTATAACATAGCTCACAAGAAATTAGAAATCCGGAACCAGATCTATGAGTTGTGTCTGACAAACACTGAGCAGGCGCTTATTGCGCATCTTCCCCGCCTTAGGACTCTCCGCCCTCGCCGGAGCGAATCAACTGGTCCGCGGGTCGACCGTCGCCGTTGCAAAGGCTTGACGCAAGTGTGCAGTGCAATCCGCAATGAGTTTCGCCCGATGTACATGCTCGGCCAAGAAGTCGGTCTTGACTTCACCGACTTAGCCAAATACATCGAAGCGTTCTATCCGAAGGGTATCGCTCTGGACGCCCAAGTTGGCAACATTACTATCGCCATATCCTCAAAGATCACGGCTGCAGAGAAGGATCCTAACGGAATCGATGTTTTCCCGATGCTAGATATCTGGGCCAACTCCTATCGTATCGAGGCCGGCTTTGGTCGATACTTCACGCCCCATTACGATGCTCGACTCGACGGTGAGGCTAAGGATCTCTATCGGCTCTTCGGACGCAAGGTTCTTCCCGATCGAAGCTGCTCAGCCATGAACCGGGACTGGCGTCACGTCTTGCGACGTCGTATGCTCGCATCAGTCCGCGTGCATCGAGCACCTACTAACGGCGACCGACCCTTCCTTCAGATCTTGTACAAGGCTGAATGCCGGGAATCTTGCTTGAAGTCTTCCAGGTCATATATCGATATGAGCACATTGGACAGCCAGGGTATGATCATTCCCAGCTGGTTGGAGCGTTTCGGCTTCGACGATATGGAGTGGTTCGAGGTAAAAGTCGGCGCGCTTCCACTCCCTCCATTGCCGAAGGGTCCTGTCCCCCCTCAGCCTCTCTTGCTCACCGATCACCCCTAGTTCCGACACAGCATCATCGTACAGGATTGCTTGAACAAATTGTTCGCCAATTGAGCTTTGTTCAAAGACTCATGAATCGCCAGCATCCTGATCGACACGCATCACGCGTTACACTTCGATGATATTACTACAACCATCACACATGGACTTATATCATCGGTGCATCAGAACTACGAACTCGATGATTATCGATAGGTCAGGAATCTTGAAGATAAGTTTTTGGAACAGCCCACTTGAACAATGATTGATGAACGAAGAACAGCCTTTGATGGATAAATTTGGAAAGGCAAACTTTCAAGTGGCAATTTTGGGGGCTAAAGGTCGGAGTACAGGCTTCAAAACATGACTTTACGGGAACAGCATCGGGGGTCTTTTCTTTTCTTATTTTCCCCTCCCCTTTTTCCATTCCCCTATGGTTCCCCTCTTTCTTTCTTTCTAACACGGCATCAAATTTCTCATTCTGATTTACATCATCATCTGGAGTAGTGAGAGTTTGCTCGATAAGCTACATATTTCTGGCGTTGGTTAGGCACTGCTTCTCACTTCGCCAGGATATCGATCGAGTAGCAGCATACTTAAGTTAGTACTCACAATTACTCTATCATGGGCCTTCGACTACTGTAAGGACTGGGACTTTGCGGCTCGGTCTAGCATATACACCTTGCATACTTGCAAGGTTTTCACGGCGTAGCTCCATAGTTTCGAAGGCACAAGTATATAGCAATAAAGGAAAACACACACAGATAGGATGAAAAAATGCAAATTCAACATGAACAACATCATTCTTGACCAACTATCACATCTTTCAAAACCCGTATCTTCAAATCCCCCCCACCCACCACACTCACCCCAAGCCCGTGACCTCCGGCCCAACCGTCCCCGTACTCCCACCCCCCGGGCTCGCCGTCCTCGTAGGCACAGGCACAGGCGTAGGCGTACTCACGACACCCACCGTCGTCGGCCAAGTATAAGTCCACTCCTCATTCCTCTCCGGCCACCTCTCCGTCGGCAGCGCCAGATACATCGGCCTCGCCGCCGCCAAAACAAGCGTGTCACACACGCCCCACTGCTCCTCCGCCGTCTTGACGTCCTGCGGGAACGTGTAGAACGGCGTGTACATACCCTGATAGATCCCCTCGTACGCGTACGCGTTGCGGTGCCATTTGTCCGCGGGGGCGGTCGCGAGGTCCTCGAGGGAGAAGGGGAGGGCGTACGTCGAGCAACGGCGGAGGCAGTGGCGGCAGGTGCGGGTGCAGGTTGTGAGGGCGGAGGAGAGGGGCGTGGCGAGGGGGTTCTGGGAGAGGGTTAGGGGGGTTGAGGCGGGGGTGCCGATGGGGCGCCAGGCGGAGGAGCTGGGGTTAGGGTCAGTTGCTGTTTTCGACATTGTGGGGTGGGTTTTGTGGAGGAGGGAGTGAAGGGGAGGGGGGTCTTACGCGCCGCTGACGGTAGGGCCGGCGTAGGTTTCCATTGTCGCGTTGTCGAGGATGTAGTACACTGTTGGAGAAGTCAAGACCAGGTCTCCATACTTCGCGGTGTTCGGCTGGCCGGGGATAGTAGGCGTTGCCTCCAGCGTTGAGCGTGAGACGTTCGATGGAGCGCAGAAATCGTCGCCCGGTGCGATGGTCACGGGCCAGTAGAGCACTTTGTACGTGAGTGCGTCGGTGTTGAGACTGCAGGTCACGGGCGTCGGGGTGGTCGCGTAGGAGTCCACTGTGTTGCAGGGCGGCTTGAGCACGTCGGTGATGCTCTGCGGGTCGTCGAGAGGGAAGTCGGTGGTAAATCCTGCGCGGCTGATGCGGTCGATTATGGAGGCCTCCGAGGCGTGGAGCTGTGAGCAGAGGCTTCCGTAGCTGTCGACCGTGCAGGTTGGGGTTGGTGGAAGCTGTGTCATGTTATTAGATATGAGAGGCAGGTGATTGATACTGGACGGAGTGGAGCTCACCCAGGTTTCCGACCATGTCATGTCGAGCACGACAGTGGTGCTGACGTCGTAGCCTGTAGGTGTCTGTCGACCTGTAACGCGAGGCTCGCTATCACAGAGCGTGGTATCCGGAGATGGAACGTAGGATACGTGGGTGACCAGACTGGTTGTCTCGGTGGTGGTGTGGGTTACATAGCTCTTATCAGTCTCGTCAGCATAGTGCTGGACGGTGGAAAAGCTGGTCCACGATACGTGGGACTCCCAGCATGAGAAGGCTTCCTCGGGGACATCGTCAATTGGCGTGGGGAAGATTTCCGGGGGACTGCCACTTGGATATGTAGGTGTTGGTGTCGTGGAGGAAGTGAAGGTCTCATTGCGGGCTAAAGGCCGTCAGTGATGGCACAAATGTAATCTTTGGAGGTTTGCTATTTACCAATTATAGCAGCATTAGCAGCTGCAAAGAGCAAAAGCTGAGGCAAAACACGTGGAAACATCATTTTCCCTTGATGATACCACTGCATGTACGGTATGAGTAGTATCTCCAAGATCTTCATGGCCTTTTATTGTCCTTGCTAGTACTACCGAGCTTGCTCAAGCGGCAAGATTCCCTTATTCGAAGTCAGAAATACGGTATGATCTGACAATTTGAGTTTGCACAGGTGCATGCCGAGATCATCTTGATTGAACACGACGCCTGGCGTGGAAGAAAGGTCAAGATAATTATAGATACGTCAAGCGAAGGAGCTTTAAGGCGTCCATGGTAGATGACAATAGGGAAACTATGGTCGGATCATCTCGATACTGTCTGGATCAGGACGCGTGGGTAGATGGTTTAGATGAAGTTCAATTTGGCTTTAATGCTACTGATCTAAACAGGCGAAAGTCGATGCAGGTATCGCATGGTCGGAACCGACTAAAGAGGAATGTTATCCACCAGACACATGGCAAAATGTAGATAAGTGAATCAATAGTTCAACCTTGTCCACGACTGTACTACATGGAACAATAATGGTGGAAGCCATTTTGCATATCTCTTACAGTCATCGGGATTTGCGCTGCCCCATGGGATTTCCGATGCAATAGGACTAGCATGTGACAATTTGGATCTTCTTTTTGCGGTAAGAAACTTTGCTCTGTCCAGGACCGTTCAACAGCCCTACTCGACTGTCTAACATTATTAGCTTTCATTTGCGAATAACTGACAGACATATTTTGGTTCATTATTGCAATGCATGGATTGATTATTGGGAGTCAAGTCAAATGTTGGATGTTGAACGGGGGAAACCAAGGTAAGTAATCCGGGGATTGGTCACGTGTACGGAAGGATACGCCGATTGCGGAGTCTCTTGCCCGCCCATCGACCTGCCCACGTCTCCCACTCGTCCAACCACGGCTTGTTAAGATGCTTTGGGACGGGACAGGAGGGTGGAAATGAGAAGTGTTAATTATCATTAGTCAATGTCTTCAGGAAACGAGGAAAAGTCGAGATGGCCAATGGAGGAGCATGGTTTTCAAATGATGCGCAGGGTCTTTTCTTTGCCCCACGTCTCCAAGAGTGACGAATCAAGGCTTAATAATGATAAAGAAAAAAATACATACAGAACAACATCCAACAGGTAGGCGGTGGGCGAGTCAGTCAGAATCAAGCATATTACGAAGGGCGCTTAATTCTATTTCCTGCTTGCAAACCCCCAGTAATTTCGTGCTTTTAGGAATCTGGATTGGATACGGTATTGGTTAATTATCTCGTTATGCGGTTCTGGTTTTGGTTTGGCTCGTGTCTTTGGGTCGGCCCTCTCGGCAGGAAAAAAAGAAGGCCGAAGCTTGGTAGAAAACTTCAACTCCAGCCGTTCAAGACTACCATTCATCCTTCACCATGCCACCCTATACGTGAAACTTATTCGTCACCGCCCTCACTGAAGGCGAACTTTTCACTTTGCTGCCTGCACAGCTTCAGGCTGTTAAAAATACTATCCCTCCCGCTGCTCCTATCCATCTTCACCATCCATCTTTAGCCGCAGCTTGTCCTCCCACCATCTACCGCTTGTCATTCGTCATCCCGGCATCCGACATTCACAATGGTTCGAAACATCGTCGTCCTCGGAGGGAGCTCCCACCCCCAGCTCACCGAGACAATCTGCAATCACTTGGGAATACCTCCGTCCAAGATCCTCCTCTCAAAGTTCGCTGTCGGCGAGACTCGAGTTGAGATCATCGAGAGTGTGCGTGGTAAGGATGTCTTCATCATCCAGTCCGGTGGTGGAGGTAAAGTCAACGACAACCTCATGGAGCTCCTGATCACCATATCGGCCTGCCGCACTGCCTCGGCAAAACGTATCACCGCCGTTCTACCTCTGTTCCCGTACTCGAGGCAGAGCGACATTCCCTACAATAAGACCGGAGCACCTCTTGCGAAGGTCCCTGGCGAGCGCAGCCGGAACAATACATACACGTTCGACAGCCGACCCCAGACGCCATACCCTGGACAGCAAGAGAGTCAAGGACTGGGCAATGGCACGCAAGCCCTCACCCGACAGCTCTCGCGCATGAAGACTGAGCAGACAAATGGTGTCCCAAGCTCTCCAGTTAAGAGCACAGCAGAGGGCCAACCCCCACGCCGAAGCGACACGATCGACTCCGCTAGATCTGACAAGTCGAATTCCACCAAATCTGATGGCTACTTCAGCAACGTTAATGGCGTCAATGGAATTGCAAAGCCCACCACAAAACCTCCGGCATTCCAGCCTCAACCGGGCTACAAGCAATGGGTTGCGCAGGCCGGCACCCTCATTGCAGATCTGCTCACCTGCGCTGGCGCTGATCATGTCATCACCATGGACCTTCACGACCCACAATACCAGGGCTTCTTCGACATCCCTGTTGACAACCTTTACGGTCGCCATTTGCTGCGAAAGTATATCCAATTCAGCATTCCGAACTACCAGCAGGCTGTGATTGTGAGCCCGGACGCGGGAGGTGCGAAGCGAGCTACTGCCATTGCAGACGCGCTGGGTGTGCCATTTGCACTGATTCACAAGGTTTGTGCTTGTGTCTGAAAAACGCCCCCGGGCGCATTGTTAATTCTCGGCAGGAACGTCGACCTACGCAGATCAACGACCGCCAAAACGCCACGATGATGCTTGTCGGAAACGTGAAGGACCGTACGGTCATTCTCGTTGACGATCTCGCAGATACTTCGAACACGATTACGCGTGCTGCCAAACTCCTGAAGAAGGAGGGCGCAACCAAGGTCTTTGCGCTCGTTACTCACGGCATCCTGAGCGGCGATGCCATTGACCGGATCAACGCAAGCGCGTTGGACAAGGTCATTGTTACGAACAGCGTGGACCAGACCGAGCACTTGAAGCGGTGCCCCAAGTTGGAGGTCCTCGAAATTGGCAATGTCTTTGCCGAGGTAGGTGCACATTGACACAGAGTTATCGATTCAAAACTAAAAACCCATGCTAGGCTATCCGACGTGTGCATCACGGAGAGAGCATCAGCGTCTTGTTCGACTATAATTGAAGCAGCAGCCAAAGGTGCCATGGCCCGCCCGCAGCCAGCGGGGAGTAGTAATTTGGATAGACCAGTAGACACGACCACACCCAGGCGGTATAAGGTGAGAAAACCTTCCCGGAAAGGCATGATCCAAGCCTCGGGAACGTTATAGATCAGGAGCGGCCCTCCCCCCAAAACCAAACATCAAATATCCAACCATGTTCATTGCACTTGTAATCAGGCGTTCGGATGGCGCAAAAAGTTTACACCCTCCCCCCAAACCAAAGACGTCCCTCTATTTTGAGATCTTTGTTAGAAGAACAACAAAAAAACATATTTAGAGGAAATGTCGCATTGGTGTTGTATTGTAATCCACGACACCAGGGGGTTTGGGGAACTTCTTCATTTCATCTGTTTTTCCAAATCATTGCGCATTTATAATGTCCATCCACACGCACAACTACAAACACACACACAACATCTCACTGTGCTTGCTCTCGTCGAGTCTGCAGTGCACTTGTATATTTTTCCCACATCTACGTAGTCCAGTAATTCCAACGTGCTGGTCTTGTCTCTCTATATGGCTTAAAACGCCGTGGAGTGTTGTAAAAAGAATTCTCCTCAGATACAAGTACATATCATACGGTACATATAACATGTATCTTTGTAAGTCTATGTACGACTTCTTACGACATAGAAGAAAGAAAGAATAGCATCATTATCAATCGTCACCTTGAATCTAATTGTCGTTTTGACACGTGCAATTTCAGATCCCTTGAACGGGCTGTACGCGAAATCACATCTTCATCTTGATCGAACAGAGAAACATCTCAATAACAATCCAATTCATGACTTATTCACCAACCATCCTACCTATCTCCCTCCCCATCCCGCCCTCCCCCCTGGTCTTTCCAGCCAAATCAACACCACCACTCACTCACTCCTACGCGCCGGGAAAAAAAACATTTCGCTCAGAGATGACGTCACACTCCCTCCACCTCATACCTCACCTCACGTCACCTCACTCCCATTGCTTTTGCCCCTCGCCTCCCCTTTTCTTTTCTTTTTCCTGTGTGACGCATGTTTACGTCCCACGTGCGCGGTTACTACATTAGGTTAAGTGGGGGTTTGTAGTGGATGCCGGACGGATGGTTTAAGTGACTAACTAGTCTTTTCCTGGAATGGAAGATCTGTGGGGAATCAGTTTTCTATATCACGCAGGTATGTATGGTAAGTTAGTAGGTTGGTGGGGATTATAGGCACATATAGAGAGAGGGACAGACGGGAGCAGAGGATTGGGTGGACTTGGTGGGTTGTTTGGGTATGGGGAGGTTTTTCGTGTTTGGGAGGGTGTGTGGGTTTGTTGATTGATTTCCATATATGGTGGACTATTCTAAAGGTACTTAGGTACGTACGATTGTAATTGAGTTCTAGCTATTTATCTTTTTTTGATTCTTTTTTTTGAATTTGGATCGGCTTGATAATGTTCGCAAAGTTCTCTATCTAGATTGAATATACGATCAACTACTTTGTTCCCTCCAGCACCAACGACACTTAAACCAGGAAGGAAAAGAACAGAATAGATCACAGAAAACCTTCCAAGTATCTCTCTACACGCATACACGTCCACAACCTCACCAAAACCCAGCCCCCTTAACCCTCCCAACCAACGCCTCCCCCTCCTCCTCCCCCTCAAGCCACCTCCTCGCCTTCTCAACCACCAACTCCCAACTATTCCTCAACGCCACCAGCCTCGTCTCCATATACGCGACCGCAATCGCCGTCGCCACCTTCCTCCTCGCATCCACGTCCGATATCTCCTTCGCCTTGAGAAGGGCTTCGGCACTGGATTCGGACAGAGATATCGCGGAGAGGAGGGCGGGCTCGAGGTCCCAGTAGCCGGAGAAGGATTGCAGGGATATCAGGGTCGTGAGGATTGCGTCGTCTGTTTGCGGGGTGGTGGTGGTGTATGCGCTTGGTGCGGGTGGAGGCGGTGGTGGTGCTGCTCGGGCTCCGGAGAACGGAGTGAAGGGGTTGAAGGTTGCGGGCTGGGGGCTCCATGGTGCTGGGTTGGCGCTGCCGAAGGCGGGTTGCGCGGTGGTGCTGCTGCTGCTGCTTCCGCCGAAGAGTGCGGGGCTGTTGGAGACTGGTGATGAGGATGTTGGTGAGTATCTGGCGGCGGCGCTGTTGAACGAGGTTGTTTGGGCGGGTGATGGTGCGAAGGGGTTTTTGGGCTGAGCTGCATAGTAGCCTGAAGTAGAGGGGAGGGGACTTGGGGTAGAACCGTGGGATTGTGATGGGGAGAGGCCATAGCCTGTGGACTGTGGGCGTCCGACCGACCAGCTGTCGACGCTGGTCATGCCGCCTAGGCTCTGTGTTGCAGGCATAGAAAATCCACACATCTGTGGCTGAAGAGCTTGGCCGGATGGTGGCATATGTAGTCGTTGTTGTTGTTGTTGTTGTTGTTGTTGTTGCATCATCAGTGGTTGGGGAGTAGAACCGGAATCCATCTCTTGCCGTGCCATTAGCTGTAGCTTCTTCCGTGAAGTCGACGGTGATGATGGCCCCAGTCTGCCCAAGCTCACACCACCCCCGAATGACGGCCGAGATACATCTTCTTGGAGTCTTTCATCGAGCGCAAATGTCCTCCTGGTCCCTTTCGCATCCCACCATTCGCCATCAGCATTCGCTTGGTCCGGGGACCCATTCTTCTCGACAGCAACGAATGAACAGTATTTGCCGCCAACTTGAAACTGGACACCCAGGCGGACAGCCTCACGCTCGACCATGTCTTGAAAACGCCCCTCGCACTTCTTCTTTAGAAGTTCACCAGTTTCGGCATCTTTGGCCTCTGTCAACCACCCACGGCCCTGCTCGAGCTCGACGATTGCCCTCTTAGCGGCCAATTGATGAATGGTTTCTCCAGGCGTGTCTAGAACCTGAATTGGGATTTCAAGCTCCAGAGGGCCATGCTTGCTTGTGCCGCGTAGTGTGACCGAAATCGGCATCTCGCGCGGTGCATCGGGACCGAGAAGTAGGTACACTGTCGTCCTGTTGAATGCAAACAAGGTTGGAATTCTCAGTGGAGCTTCAATGATCTTTGGAATGGCAATCTTGGGAAGGTGAGAGTATTTCGTCTGATTCTTCGGGTGATGCTCCGCATCAGGGTTGGCGGCAGGATCGAAGAGGGAAATTGGCTTCTGGTCGATGTTAGTCGCAATATCAACATCATATTTAGGGTTTAATCTTACCTTCGGTTTATCTTCTTGTTTCTCGTCATTCAAATCCAACTTGACGTTCAGGCTGTCCACCACTCTTTCCACCAACTCGAAGTCATCGAGCTCCTCGGAATACTTCACCTCCAGCGTGTAGTCATCAATGTGAGGAGACAAGGCACCCTTGAGCATACGAACAACCTTTGCGTCCATCTTCTCGCCATCAGCAACAGTCTGTGCAAACCCGTTTCCAGCTCTTGCAACACCTTCAATCAGTGCCGTAGATGCTCCACTGCCTACACCCAGCGTGAAGACGCGAAGAGGCGTCTTCTTGGTCGTAATCTCGTCGTTCAGATGGTCGAACAACTCCTGTTGGTTCCAGATACTTCCATCAGTGAGAAGCATAACATCAAGCGGCATATCCGACCACCGGTTAGCGATAGCCGCTTTCAGCGGCATCAGCATTTCAGTGCCGCCATAATTGGCTTGAAAGGTCTCGACATGCAATGTAGCTTCTTGAAGGGTCTGCTGAGAATATGTAACGCTGCGGGGCCAGAGGAACGAATACGACGACCCGAAAGAGCAGATGTTGAACTTGACGCCAAGTGGGAGGGATTTGAGGAAGACCTTCAACGCTTGTACCGCTAATGCGATACCGCTCCCGCTCATGCTACCGCTTCTGTCGCAGACGAAAACGACTTCGGGCATCTCGGGCGGGAGGGAGAATTTAGGAACCAACGTAGCCATCAAAGCACGTTGGTTAGGGATTGTGGGATGAGTTTCCAGGATTGCTTTGGGGACACCAGTGTCTTTGGCAACGATCTGAACAACGAAATCCTTGTCGAGATGGACGGTACCCAGACTGAGTGTTGCGGAGGCTTTGTTCATGGATGGCTCAGCATTTGGGGCAGTGGTGGTGGTACCCATAGACATGGCGATTGGATGAGTTGGTGAGCGCATCTGCTGAATGAAGGAGCCTTCCGCCATCTCGGCATCTATTGTGATGGATATACCATTCTGAATGATATTTGATGCCGTATGCAAAGAAGAACAATACGGGAAATCGCCATATCGTGGGCAGATGACGGTAGGGATGGTGAATCGAACACCATCAACCTCCATGTCATGCTTGAGTTCTCCGAGGTATGTAATCTGAACAATAATCTTAGCACCAGCTGGTACATTCCCGATTGTCGTCGTAAAGACATCGGATGCATTTGGAACTTGATCCAGGAGCGCTGCCGTCTGTCCTTGGGAGACCGCCTGGTCAAAGACCGCTTTAGCCTCCTCTTTCTCCTTGACCTCGCCCACAATGGTCCGGCCCGCGACTTGGCATGTAAAGCCGACGACGCTGACGCCGTCATAAAGGGGAAATATGTATCTCAACTCCCTGATTCCTTTGGTATCAGACGGGTTGATGTATGTTTGCGTTAGTACCGTTCTTGATGTCGTCGAGATGATAGTCGAATGGACATTCACATCGATTTGGGGCACGTAAACCTTCGAGGTGGACTCAGAGAGGAAATACAGACCCGAGGGGTGTTGATGCCAGACAGCACTTGGGTTGCTAAAGAACGACATGGTGAAGGTATATAAAGCAATCAGTAACAGATATCAGGCAAGCACTGATGAGACAAAGTCACTGATACGTAGGATGATACGCAGGATGAAGAAGGATCGGAAGATTGCAGTCAGTAGATTGTACACAGAGTCAATTGTCGATGCCTTTATGTAGATTGTCTGCCTGGTGGCTTGCGTGGAAATTAAATCAGTTGCCTAGTGAGCAAAGGTGGAAATCGAGCGAGTGCTCACACGCGCAGTCAGAAAGCGGGGAAAGGTCTTGGTACAACAGTTGTCAAATGTGTATACGAGCCTGATAGACTGATTATCTAGGTATTTTTAGATGATAATGTATTGTACGAAGGAAAAGGGGTGATTGAATGAATGAGGAGGAGAACACTACTTATATACGTTGCTGGAGTAGGGGGAGGGGAGATTCTGAATACGAGGTTAAATGAGTGGTAGCTGGCCAGAGTGAGGCGCAGCTGACTAAATGCTGGCTTGGCATGGAACACGTGCGCAGAAATATGGCTTTAGCAACAAAAGAAAACATGGTAACTACCTCGTAATCAAAGCTACTCCTGTGACAGAAGAAGAAGACTGGTGTGTATACAACTAGAAAGGACCTTTACCAGTCGTGTAAGATATGATGTGCCTAAATTGAACGAGCGGTTAGTAACCAACATCAGGGATTTGTTCACACCATCAAAGTTTATTATGGTACTGGCGACCATCGTGGATCATCTGAGTGGACACGGCAAAACGTAAGTAAAAGAGTAATAGCTACCTAGATATCTTGATCATGATTGTCCAGTTTTCCATAGATGAGGTCAAGTTTTCCTGTTCGACCAATATCAGTACTAACCTATATTGGCTAGCCGCGGGGTGAGCTTTCTGAGCCTCTAGCACGTGCGCTTGTTGCCTCCTCCAGATATAATTTTCGATGAGCAACAAGCATTTAAAACATAACAAGTCAAGACAACTAGATACACTCGAAACTACTCCAAAGGCCTACCGACAGCAGTCCCATTCGATCACGCTCAAAAAGGTGCCGTTACGCCATGGGTTCCGTCGTACTTCCACATCTACGCACAGGATGGCACGTAGACCAAGCCATCCTCTCTGAAGAGGACCGTCTCGTTGTCATTCGCTTTGGCCGTGACGCGGACCCAGACTGCATGAGGCAAGATGAAGTTCTATACAAGATCGGTAAGTCCCATAGACCAACCACGTCTTATCAAATACGGAGAAAACTAACATTTGCTCCAGCCGACAGGGTCAAGAACTTCGCAGCCCTCTATGTCTGCGATCTTGACGAAGTGCCAGACTTCAAGGCAATGTACGAGCTCTACGATGCCTGCACAGTCATGTTCTTCTTCAGAAACAAGCACATGATGTGCGATTTCGGAACGGGTAACAACAACAAACTAAACTGGGTCCTGGAGGACAAGCAAGAGCTTATCGATATCATCGAGACGATCTACAGGGGTGCGAAGAAGGGACGAGGTTTAGTGGTGAGTCCGAAGGATTACTCTACCAGGTACCGGTATTAGTGTGATGTCATGTGGACTTGTGGATCTAAGCGGCATTGTCATGAAGGCCTGCATGCACTGGGGAGTGGTATTTCGAGGAGTTACGAGGAGTTCAGTGGCGGCGTTTAACACGCCCTGATATCAAAACTTTGGCCTTTCAATTATTCAATGATTCATTTGACGTCCAACCTTTGGTGGTGGATTTATTCATTTCTCTATTTCTTTATTTCATTGCTTTTTGGGTCCCATCTTCGTACAAACATGCTCTGGCTCCCCTCCAAACTTCTTCCAATATCGCCAGTCTCGGCAACAGGGTTGGGAACACGATCAACACCTCCCCTTCGCCCTTGATGACAACCGCGAGATAGTAGCGAACCTCGAATCCTTTGAAAGCCTCATGTATGAAGATATCCTGGATGCTAGTGGTGGGTATGAATCGCTGCGTAGCGGCCTGCAGATAAGTAGAGGAGCTGGTAGAAGTCTGGAGACCGAGACCATGTAATACAAGGAGGGATTCTTCTATGATGGTGTCAGTGTCTGGCTCTTCCGCAACTAATAGAACGAATTACGCATACCAGTGTATCCTCTACGAAGCGCAAGCCAAAGCACAGCAAGCACTCCCGGTAACAGATATCTCCATTGGATATCAATGAGACTTTGGATAACCAGCATCTCTTCCAAAACACGGAGTTGCAGGCTCATGTACTTGTCCGATCCTTTTCTCCATTTCGTAAAGACGGCCGCAAGGGCTACGGCTGCAAACAAGACCTTCAACAAAAGCGAGGCATAGTGCGCTATCTTCGCATCGATCGTCTTTGGAGTCGGGCGCGTCGACACAGTGTATAATGCGGTGGATTGGGTGGGCTGAAGTGTACTGAGTATCTGGACCGGCGGCTTAATGAAGCGCTGAAGTATTTCCGACATCATCGACGTATCATATTGAGAATGGGGTAGGTCTCAAGCACTCTTGCGGCACAGAGATCGAATTGAAGAATGCATGCATGATCTGAAGACGAGGAGCTGTAGGGCTGAGCGGGAGCAAGCGAAGGCCCAAGCTCCCTGCCTGTTTGCTCCAGATTGTAGGCTTTCCTTGGCAACTCTGACTTCATCCTCTGAAAGCTGGAAATCAAGGCACATTCTGCCCAAAAACAACTACCACACTTGTTTTTCGTTCTCGCGGTCGAGCTGCAGTACGAAAGCTGCGACTAGAAAAACAAAAACCTAGCATACCACTCTATTGAAGGACATCGAGTGGAGAAATATCCCACCACCATGCCTTCGCCCTCCCCTCCACGAGAGGACCGTTCGCGCTCAAAATCCCCGCAACGAGAGGATTCCTCACGTCGCTTGAGGTCTCCCGGCCGTGCGCCCAGAACTAAAAACTTCTCAGGACTCAAGTGGAAAGACAACTCGAGGCGTGGCGACGACCGCGACGACCGAGACAATCGTCGAGACCAACGAGGCGGATTCCGTGATCGCGATGACGACAGGAGGCGTGACGACCGCTATGGCAGAGGGAACGATTCGAGGAGAGACGATGATCGTTTTGGACGGGGACAGGATTCAAGGAGAAGAGACTTCGATGGCCCGAATCGTGGTCAAGGGCGCCTTCGTGACCGGGACGATGGTGATGAGAGGAAGGACAGGCGGCGAGAGCAGTTCAGAGAGGCGCGGGACAAAGTAAGGGAGGAGAAGTCCAAGGAATCGAAAGACAAACCCCCGGCTGCACCGCCAGCGGCTCCTGGGCAACAGATGATCATTGTGACGGTCAACGATCGTCTCGGTACCAAGGCACAGATTCCTTGTCTACCTAGCGATCCTGTCAAGGTCTTCAAAGCGATGGTCGCTGCGAGGATAGGTGAGTACTCTGGTAGAATATTATACTCATGTTTCATAGAAGACTAACATAGCGCAGGTCGTCCTGTACATGAGATTATGCTTAAACGGCAAGGCGAGAGGCCGTTCAAAGATCAACTTACGCTGGAAGACTATGGCGTTTCGAACGGTGTGCAGATTGATCTCGAGTTGGACACTGGTGACTAAGTTGATTCGGAGGACAGCAGCCGTCATGATGGGGGGATTAGGCATACTTCATTGGGCCGATGAGCGTCGCTCAAAGATGTGACTCCAGCGCAAGCTGTATAAACCGCTGCACGTCATATATATAACCATCGTCTACATCTCGTACTCAATATAATCCATACATTCCAGATGCTAGAGCGGGGTATCTCATTGTCTATTCTATTTGATTTCCTACATATCTACTCATCTGCAACCTCTTCTTTCGCCTTTTGTCGTTGTCCACCATCCCAACCCTTCCTCTTTGCATACTTCTCATTGATCACCTCCACCGACTCATTTCTCTCCCGCTTCATCACAGGTGTATAAATCCCCTTCGCCCTACCAAAGTCCGCTCCATCGAACACCCTAGGCCCGCCCTTCATCGCCCCACCTGCCACCTCCTCACTTCCATCACCCAACTTGCTCTGTCCTTGGGCCGCAATAGCATCAAGCAACAGCCCGCTCAACGTCTCATCGATCTTGTTCCCATGCCACACCTCCCACACATCGTCAATGACCCCGCCTCGACCCCATTTGCCTCGTCCTACAGGAGTCCCGTTCGCCTTGCCCTTCGCTTCGAAGCCGCCCTCGTCGCCCGCATACACCCATTCCAAGCGGTCTTCGTACCCTTTCTCCCGCTGTTCTGCGGACTGTACCTCGTCTGCATGGGGGAAGATGCAGTCCCACAGCACGAGTGGCGCATCGGATGCCATTTCGTACTTCGGCCTGGTGGGATTCTTGCTGACGTCGAGGAGCTCTTGTACCAGGGATGGGGACTCCAGTCGCTGTCCGACTAGAAAGAGAATGGCGATGATGGAGCGGACTTGGTGCCATAGGAAAGCGCTGCCATGGAGAGTGAAGCTGTAGATCTTGGGTTGGTCGGAGGCGTTGTTCGGGTTCTGCAGTAAGGTGTGGGTGATGAAGGATGGCGTCGTTAGCGGCGACACTTCCTCAATGTCGGCGAAGAAGATCCGACGGTTGAAGTTGGTCAGCTGTTTTGAGGCGTCGATTTTGCATAGGTTGCGGAAGTCGTGGAGGCCTATGAGGTGCTTGCAAGCTTCTTTCATAGCACCTATGTCAAGCCAGCCTTCCCGCATGGGGTCCTCGCTGCCAGAGGATGCAGCAGGGGTGTAGAGTGCTGGTGACCCAGGCACTGGCGCGAAACACGGATTCGTGAAGAAGTACTTGTAGCGTCTTTCCTTACAGGAAAATCGGGCACTGAAGTTCGGCGGCGGGTTCGGGCACCAGGCGTACATGCGGATATCAGGAGGTAGGACACGATTCAATAATTGTATGTAGGGTAGCTCATCGCGGAGGTCATCGAAAGGTTTCTGGTCTTCTGCACCCTGATCCTCCTCTGCCTCGAGGATATCACCATTGGTCTTTTCGATTGTCTCTTCCGGAACAGTAGAGGTCTCTGGTGAAGATATCGGTGTAGACTTCGGGAGAGGTCTGTTACTCCGCACCTTGATGCCAATGACTTGACCGAAGGCGCTCACTCCTCGATCTGTTCTACCACACTTTGAGTATTCGCAGCCATCCCAATTCACATCTGCCCCTTCACGGTCCCAAGCCTGATACGTCTTCTTCGTTATCCGATCGTAATCCCGTTTCTCTTCGGGACTCTGGGGTGTGGGAGCTATGAGACGTGTCTTAACCAAAGCCTTCCAAACCTCCTCTTCTATAGTAGGCAATCGTGTCTTATTGTTCTTTGCGTGTTCGAATCCATTGTATTTTTGCCCCAAGTAGGCGAATTTCAAGGCGATGAGTCTGGTGCTGTATTTGCTCGCATCGAACGGCTTAGATGGCTGCTTCGGAGGCTTGCGAAACGGTGTTTGTTTCGATGCATTCTCGCCTGGAGAAGGTATGGGGAAGCTCGTAAATGTGGCGCGGTTTTGAGCTTCAATGTTGGTAGTTGTTATCTTCTCTGCCTGTGCCAATTGAAGTTCCAGCTCCTGTATCCTGGTGACAAGCTGCTGCTGTGACCACCCTTCATAGTCTCCAGGTGCGGTGATTCGCGACGCCATGCCGGTTGCTTGGTTGACCCGCACACGTCGCGGTACCCGAGAAAGCTTATGAAAAGACCTGTGCAGGCAAAATATGCGATGCAGCGAATACTGAAGCTCTGGAAACGCGTGGGGTAGTGGGGAAATCAGCCGCTGCATTGTAAGTGGCATGCCCAAGTGTGACGCAACTTTTTTTATGAAGGAAGTTTTTGCCCAGGGAAAGTTTTAGCGAACGACCAAAAAACGAAGATTGACTACATCTGTAAACAATTAAGGGAACTGGCACACTGGTCATCTCCAAGAATTCTCTTTGATCTCATTCTTTATGAGAGACAGTATGGTCTCCTCGTTTATTATAAATACAATGTTTACGATCTGTAGCCTTTCAAGGAACGCCCTGTCGAAAGAGGAACCCCCTAGCTGCATGCAAATGACCGTGAATGCTCATGGAACTTGGGATTCGAAACAGCCCCGAACCTTATTGGGCAGTCTGGTTGCCATAGAAAACCTCCCGCTGCTGGAGTCTTGCGACTTTCCAGAACCCTGCGAAGCAACGTGCAATCAAACAGCTTCTTCAGCTGCTTTCCGGAGTTGGGTCACCAATTCAGAGCGATAGATGTGGAAAGAGACTGAGCAGATAGTCTTTGTAAGGCGCCCCCGGCTCATTGTGCCTGCTTTTCCGAGTAAACAGTTGCTGAAGTGCATTGGCCGCAGATGGAGTCATCAAGTTGTGCCTCCTTGCACATTGAATCAGATGATTTACGTAGTGCCGTTCCGCTGCAGCACGTCTCTGAACCACTTCTTCCACGTTCTGGTGGAGTTGACTCAATACTTCCTCCTGTTGGTAGAGACGTTGGAGCTCCGACTTTGAAAGCCGGAGCTGTGACTTGATACGCAACGACTTCGCCCGTCGTGACTCGATAATTGGTGCCCTCCTGGTTGGAGACTTATTCGGAGCGGCATCGGCCATAGCCATGATCATGTCTACCATGTCCATGTCGAGCTGGTTCTCGCGCGCAGTGTCTAACATGCGCGCAGCTTGTGTATTCAATGAATGGACGTCGACTCGACGATATCCTTTCTCGTACAGTGCCTTTCGGAATTGGCGCAACAAGACGTCATTCACATCTATATACAATAAGTCACTGATTGCAATATGTGTCAGAAGGTAACTGCGTTGTATCCATTTACTCACCAATACCCCTGTCCTTCGCTATGGCCATTTTCCGACGAACCCGAGGAAAGCCACTCCAGGGTGCAACTCGCAACGGCTGCAACTCGCTGTAGGCTGTGGTTCTCTGTGTGCCCCACGGCACCGGTTCTGGCCCATTGAAGTCCCATTCGACTCTGGGAGTTGGTGCTGTGACTACGGTCGTCAGTAGAGGCGGTTGCCCGTGATCCGTAGATGTCTGTCTGCAGGAAGCAAACCCGCAACACGTTCCAAGCAGTCGCTTTTCCCGAGAACATCTACAGCGAAGAAGCCCCTCAAATTCATTGATGACGTATCAGCCTCACTTACCTTGGTGAGAGCCTTGCTGGCGAGGGCGAATCGGAAGTCCAAAACTAAATGTCTGTCCGGGGTTTTGGGAAGGCACATGAGTCCTTCCGTTGAGACCGAAACCTTGCTGGCAGAGGCGAATCGGTAGTCCAAAAGCAAAGCTACCTGTCTGTCTGGGGTTACCGGGAGGCATCTGAAACCCTTCGTTCAGATCCCTATTCGGGCCATCATGGCCCGAATCAGATAAGAGACGGACGCGATTTGGATACATTGCAGTGCTGTTCTGACCGACTGAGGGTTCCTGTGGAGTGCTAACGAAAGACTGATATTGAGCACTCGCGCCTCTCACAGTGGGCACTCCGCCACTCAAATCACGAGTTGCCTCGACTGCTGGAAAATGATAAGTAGATTGGGCGAATCTCCAGAATGGATGGATGGCATCTGGCTCACGCTCGATGCCAGCCCCATCTCCTGAAGGTCGCTGTGGAGAGGTCATGTTCTTCAAGGGAGTGTCACTCCGATAGATGTGAGTCAACTGGGGGAGGCAGAGTGATGAGCTTTACCTACCTATGATTGTGGTAACGTAGGGTCGAAGGAGGCCGGGGCGGATGGTTTGGGTGGTGGTTCAGTGTGGAGGAAGCGTGTAAGTCTCGGTATTGGAGTAAGGTAGAGTAAAGTAGAGTAAAGAGGGTAGGGAGGGAAAGAAGGGAAAGGAGGGCGAGGACCAGGAGAGTAAAGGTAGTAGCTGAGTGTGGAGGGAACGTGTAAGTCTCAGTACTAGAGTAAAGTAAAGTAAAGAGGGTAAGGAGGGTGAAGGTGGTGGTTGAGTGCGAGGGAAGTGTGTAGGGCTCGGTACTGAAGTAAAGTAAAGTGAAGTACCAACACCTTACCATTGGCGGGTATGTGGAAAAAATGCTCTCCAGAGGACAAATGTGGCTTGCTGGCAATCCCCTCAGTACATTGCACATGCTTTGCCCATGCCACATCGCGATATGAGTACGACATTCGAGAATCTCTAGACCTGATTGAGCGCTACTGTTAGAACACTGCACGCTGAGCCAGCCATCCTCTGCGAACAAGAATCTGGATCTTGTCATATATGAGTAGATCCTTGAAACAAATGAAGCACATGAGACAACCACACTCTTTTGCACGCCGGGATGAAAGTAGATGAACAATTATACAAGAGGATATATCATTCCTGAACGAAAGATGCAAGTATACACACGTTAAACTCCCAACGCCACGCAGTCCGCAATGACTAGATGTGAACAAGCTAGAGTACATTGGGCTTCGCCGTCTCTAAAAGACACTGATATAGTTCCCAATCCGCTCCTTCTGGTTCTGTGCGATGCATTCAGCTATCCAGGTGATGTTGCGAATTTCCTGTATATGGTCAGCAAGCTATTATGTTTACTGCTCGAATTTTGCACGAACCTGTTCTCGCAACTTTACCCACCCATACACGACAGCGTGCGTGAATTGGCGTGTGAAGGCCAACTTTGATATCTCCATCTCCTTCTGGTAGAAAAGATCCTCCAGACTCCGGGACTCGCCACCTGCACCGCCTGCCATGTTACCGAGGCCGCCACTTCCACCCTGGCTCAATCCGGTCTGGTCGAAAAAGGACTTGTAATCGGATACGCTCTCGACAGCGATACGCACTCCTTCCACGTCATCTGCTCTTGAGAGCATGAGAGTGCCCTCCGGGTGTAGGCTACCAAAGTTCGGGTACAGCTTCTTTCGGTCATTCTTAGAAAGTTCGGTTCCAAACGAGTTAAGCGTGATGTTGATGCTCCTTCGGTCCGCTTCGAATTCCAGCACCTCAGACATCACTTCGGCAGTAGGGGTTCCCGCAACCTCCTCTGCGGAGTTTACCCACTGGTAGAAATCTTCGAGATAGTTCTTATACAATGTATTACGGATAATCTCGATGTTCAATTCGTCAAGATCCTGGTGGCTGAGGGATCCCTTGAAGTACGGTGCCAGGGGCGTTTCGATCAAGACAGAGTTGTACAGTTCCTCTATGTTGGTCGCGACACACAACACAGGCATTGTTTCAAACCATCCAAGTGGATGGCAACGCTCCAGTAGTTCCCTTGTATCGCGCTCGTGCAGTGTGCCTGTGATTAAAAGGGCGACGTTATCAATCATGTAACCGTAAGTAAGGTACTCCATGAATTTCGCGAGGGAACCAGTGGCATTAGCCTGGAGATAGCGAAACTCTGCAACGAGTTTGTCTGTTGTTTTACTGGCAAGCGCGGATGTCGATGGATTGGGTGGGAGGGAGGCGAGGAAGTCGCCGTAGGCTGGCGCAAGCTGTAGCTTTACATCTACCTAACGCATCAGCATCGTCCACTGGTACTCGGTAATCGGGGCGTAGGAGCGAGCTCACCATCAATGGTCTCGCACTGTGTCAGGTTGTTGTAGTTCTGGCTCGTGAGCAAAGCATTCCGATAGCCGCGGACGATACCCTCAATATAGCTGTTCGGTGTTTAGTCTTTGTCGTTCGCAATCCATGTACCAGTCCACGTACCCGTATTTGACGTTGTAAAAGAGGCCTTCCATCTTGAATCAATGTCCAATGAATGGGAAGGCGAGTTTCCCTTTAGGCAGACTGTGATGCACGAAAGTGACAAAACGCAGAAAGGGTAACGGTGTTTGCTGGTTGGAGGTTGCAGTAGTGATGTAAGTAAGCTACCTATGTGCTGCTTGGGATGGAGCTCTTGCCTGTCGGCGGAACTCCGGTTGGCACTCCCAGCCTTGTTGCGATGGACTTGGCGCGCTAACCCGACCGGGGTTTGTTGCGCTCGAGGCCCCGAACTTTTGTGAAGTCAATAAACTCGCGACCTTTACCTTTACCTTTACCTCTACTCAACCTCCCACCAACAACAAACATTTCGTCCCTCAACACATCAACACATCATCCTCACAACATTACCACAACACCCGCATCTACGCAACTTGCGTACAAACATCATCTACTCGATCACATTACAAGCAACCAGCAGCAGCTATGGTTAGCACTCGCCGCAAGGCCAATCTCAACTCTGTTGAGCCCGAGGCAGATCAACCTCCGCCAACTCCCAAACCGCGTCGCCCAACCAGGGCCAGAGCGACAGCTGCGCAAGCCGCGACTGCATCAGGGCCTTCGACTGCGCCTGCGCCAGCGCCAGCGCCTGCACGACAGAGCAAGCGTCTGCGAGGAGATGACTCTGCTTCACCCCTGCAGTCACTGCAATCCGAGAAGAAGCCAAAGAAGCGGGCTGCTGCATCCACCAGCGCTACGCCTCTTCATAAAGCATCTAAGAATGCCAACCGCCAGGTAGAGCAAGATGAGATTGAAGAATCCGTTTTCTTCAAGATTGAAAACCGTGAGCTATCAACTTTCCTTTCCCCCTCATGAACACACTAATGTCCAGAAGAACAGTTGAGAGAGCTAGTCGGAGAGCTCAACATAATAATCGGTCTTCAGAAAGATGAAATTGACTTTCTCCATGCAGACCGCCGACGCTTCGACTACGAAATCGAATCCCTTCGCAGTGAGAACGCGCGATTCCGCAAAGAAAGAGAACCCTTGAGCTCCGGTGACGAACTACTCCGGCGCATTGAGAACCGCAAATACCAAAATGACATGGGCGTTCAGACTGATGTATCAGAAACTATGGACATCGATGGGCCTCATGTCATCACAGAGCCCACTACTCCAGCACAGGCCTCCCAATCACCCATACAATCACTACTATCACCTGCTCCTCTCGAGACTACTGGCTGGGGCTTGAGGTCATTATTTGGCAGGGTTGCGTCCGTTTTTCGTTCGCCTGCGCCCGCGCCCGCTATCATCGTTCCCCCAGCGACAGCACCTCCAAAACCTCTCAGCTCCGAGGAAGTGAAGGAACTCACTGACAGTCTTGGCGTTAACGACACGCCCACGCGCGCACCCGCAAAACGCGCCGCCCGTCCCAAACGCACCACCCAGCGTGACGGCACTGCCAGCACTGCTCCCGGGGCCCAAGCGGACAACAACACTGCTGCCGAGACCCCGCGCAATCAACGAACCATGAAACCCAAGGCGCAGACCGTTCATAAATCCGTTCCAGACCGCAAGTCCATCATCTCTCGCGTCACTCAAGGCATCCAAGATGACATGGAGAAGAACGCGGCCATGGATTGGGCCAAAACCCATGCAGCCATGCTAGCAAAGGATGTCGCGAACCTCGGCGACAAGCGCAAGCGACTTGATGAGCAATGGAAAGTGGAAGATCTCGCAGAGATTCCTGCTTGCAAGCCATGGCAGACTGGATCTTTTGGGCTTCTTGACGAGTTTTGGGACGACTCTGACGAAGAGCATGATGTTCCCGAGTGGGCCAAGCTGGCTGAGCTCACCAAAGAGCAACCACCTAAGAAGAAGCGCAAGACTACGTCTTCCTCACCTATTATCATGGATACCCAAGGCCATTCGTCTTCCTTGAGCGACCTCCATCCTCGCCCCTCCACTACTCCTTCCCCCATGTTCGAGAACCCAACCTCGCACTCCTCCAACGCCAATGTCTTCGATGAGCACAAGGTCCCCGAGAAGGAAGATGATAACAAGCGCTTCTCGCATTTCTTTGAAGGAACATCTTTCAAGCCCAAGGAATTGCCTCCAAGCATCAGCTTCGACACCCCCAAGAAGCCTGCAGCAGCACAAGAGACTGAGGAGCACGCCTGGACTCAACCACCTCCCCCACCTCCTGCTCCCGCACATGCCTCGCTCCCTGTACCGCTTACCAGCGCTCCTTCTGTTCCTGCAATGCCAGCCACGCAATCAGGCATCTTCGCTTCCACTGAGTCTATTGAGGACCTTCACGACCCAGTAAAGACTCAGCGCCTCCAGGCTTTGAAGCACACCCCAGCAAAAGCTTCACGTCTCCGCGAGATGATGATCCCATCTCCGAGCCTCAAGTCTGATGGTGGATCCCCTCTCGGACCCCTCAGCTCCCCCACCCCTAACGGCTTTTCCGCTGTACCTGTCACAACCTCTACTACTACTTACGACATCCCCGACGCCATTCCCCTCGATTTGGGCTCTCCCGAACTTCTTGAAGAGGCGCAGCGATTGTTCGACTCCGAGGAGTATAAAGCTGCCACGGCCAATGCCTACGGCGGCGCTGAAGTCTACTTGACCTATGAGTCAGATGAAGAGGCACCCAGCAGCTCCGATCTCGATTTCGATGAGGAGTTGTAAGCGCGGCGACCAGAACTCATCAAAGTTCAGTCCCTCAAAAGTTTTCCTCCCTCTCTCCCTCCCTCTCTCCCTCCTTCCCCCCACCACCACCACTTGTACTTTCATGCATCATCCCAGGCGCTCTTTCCATTGGTTTAGATAGATATACCCCCCTGTACTTTAAAACTTTTCATAATGAATGAGAGAACCTCATCAGGCATTTTTGCCTATGCTTTTTAGATATCTAGCTCACTGCCGTGAAGTCTTGATAGAGTGTGTTCGCCTAGCCTTGTGAATAGTATGTTGATGATGGTGAAGTCATTCGGAGCTACATATTGAATGATCTTTCTGGTGATTTGAAGCTTCAGTGTAGTCATCATAATCACCGCCGTCGTCATGGAAAGTGAAGGAGAAAAGGGTTGTGAAAGAAACCTAGCCCACTTTTTGGAGTCTATTGTTAAATGGTATCTAATAAATACATCATCGTGACATGAAGGCGAGGGGTGTTGAGTGGAAGCAAGCAAGCAAGCAAGCACATCACTCACGCACGGCGGAAAGCCCCAGAGAAAAGCCCCTAGACCTTCAACGCCGCGGTACCCTCCACGATGTCCTCATCCGCCTCCACCTTAATCCTCTTCCTCACCTCAGCAACCAAATCCTTGATATCGACCAGCACGCCATTCTTATCCGGGTGGTCCTCGGGCAGCCCCATCTCCTTGAGCTTGACCTTGCCCTCCTTCCACTCATCCTCGCCGAGGATGACGGCGAGCGGGACGCCCGACGTCTCGGCCGTCTTGAACTGCTGCTGCAGCTTCGGCTTGACCTTGTACGAGAACTCGGTCTTGACGCCGGCGTCCCAGAGCTGGCGCGCGATCTGCATGCGCTCGAGGAGCATGCCGTTGAAGCCTTTGCCGCCGAAGGCCATGACGAAGGCGTCGACGTCTTTGGCGCGTTGGGTCGTTTGGCCGCGGGCTTTCACGATGCTGATGATGCGGTCGACGCCGAAGGAGCTGTAGGGAGGTGGTTGTCAGTATGGGTGGGGAAATATGGGCGGTGAGGGCTTGTTACGTACATTCCGACGCAAGGGATGGGCTTGCCGCTGAACATGCCCACGAGCTCGTCGTAGCGTCCACCGGCGGCGACGCTGCCGACTCCAATGGCGGCTTCTCCCTTTCCTTTGCCTGAGGGGGCGGAGCCCTCCGTCACGATCTCGTAGATGACGCCGGTGTAGTAGTCGAGGCCACGGGCGAGTGACAGGTCGAAGGAGATTCTGTCCATGACGCCGAAGACTTCGAGGTAGCTGAATAGAGTCTCCATGTCCTTGGTGCCTTGGATGATGTCCTCGTTCTTGGACATGTTCTCGTCTTTCCGGAGGAGGTCGATGATGTCGCTCTTGCCCTTGTGCTGCACGAATTCCCAGATCTTGTCCGCGACTGCGGCGTCCAGGGTCTTCTCGATCATCTCCTTCTTCACGTCCGCCCAGGGGAGTTTGTCCAGCTTGTCGACGGCCGAGGAGATCGGGCGGATCAGGGGTTCAGGCACGCCTGCGACCTTGAAGATGCCGTCGAGGATCTTGCGGTGGTTGATCTTGATTGTGTAGTTCTCCCAGCCGAGGGATTGGAAGACCTCGGTCGCTATCCTGAGCACCTGCGCGTCGGGGATCATGGAGTCGTACACGCCGGCGATGTCGATATCGCACTGGTAGAACTCCCTCATCCGGCCCTTGGTCATGGCCGGCTGGTCTCTCCTGTACACCTTCGCGATCTGATATCTCTTGAATGTTTGTATGGAGGGGTTCATGGCGAGATAGCGCGCGAGGGGCACGGTGAGATCGTACCGCAGACTGCAGAGTTCGCCGCCCTGGTCTTGGAGGTCGTAGATGAGCTTCGAGTCCTCGCCATATTTCCCGCTGAGGATCTCGCGCAGCTCGAACACGGGGGTGTCGAGGGTCTCCGCTCCGTGGCGCTTGAAGACTTTGGTGACCTTGGAAAATATCTTGTCCCGCAGGGCAGAGTCGGCGCCGGCCCAGTCTCTTGTTCCCTTGGGCACTTTCAGCGTGAAGCTTTCTTTGCCCGACTTTTCCTTGTCCTTCCCCATGTCGTCCTCGAGTTCTAAATCAGTGGTGGGGGTGAATTGGCTGCTGAATCGAATGGGATAGGAGGGCGATCTCGAGGGATAGTGTTTTACAGATGTTAAAGGAAACGAGGGGTATTTGCGTAGTCGTAGTGGTAGTAGTGGGGTCGATTGTGCGAGGCGGGGCGACAGCGACGGCGGTAGGAGGTGTGAAATTATAGTCCGCATGGGATGGAAGGGAAAGGGAAAAAAAAAGAGAAAGTGTTATATGCGAGTGAGTCAGCCCCGCCACAAAATATGTCTACTGTGACGGAATTGAACGAAAAGAAATGGTCACTCGATTGTGCTGTCTGCGCGGAGGGTCTGTGCGCAAGCCCATGTCCTTGCATCTTATCATACTCAGACCTTTTGATTCAAATCGCGACTCATATTGGATACATATGGGGGAATGCAATCAAAAACGAAAAGACCAAGTTCCTTCAAAGCTATCACATGGTAGATTGAAAGAGTCATCCTTATTGTAGTCTGGAACCTTTGGAGTTGTTCGAGTATCAACTCAAAATTAGTTCAACCCAAAATAGGTCTGTATAGCAATTTCTCGATTAAATATTTGCGAACGATTCAACACCTTTAATCTTATGAAGTCTTAATTGATTGATTCATGAGCTGGATTTTCTTTGAGCAAAATCATATACTGAATTTTTATGAAGCCCCTGAGAAGAATTCCTACGAATAGAGCACATATACACGACCGTCGATTGCCTCTGAAATGTCAGACAGTGCTGACAGAATCTCGGAAAGTAAGTGATTATCCCCATTTATATTCCATTGGAATATGAATGACTCATGTCTCATGGTCATTACACACCGGGGCAAACGAGGCTCCATCGCTTGCAGTGTGCTAAGCTATGACAGTGGGCGAATCGATTAGAAAACCAGTCATAGACCCGCGTCAAAGAAGCCAATTGACGTCTCGAGCAGACCATTTTTCGAATTTCCCATTAAACTGCTGATCGAACAGAGCGAGCGAATGTAGGTTGGACAAGAAAGTCACCAGTCCGGTGAGTACAGGTTAGGGTTGGTTCTATGCTACTCATGGATACACAATGTTTTTGCACTACTGGAGCAGTAAGTATATATGAAAGGGAAACGACTAATGCTGTCACAGGTGGATTAAGAGTATTTTCGTCACGTAGACATGAAGAATCACATACCTAGAAATAAATACAGAGTGTTCAGTATCGGTGGAAGCTTCAAACAAACACAGTGCAATTGGCTATCTGGCGAGCACATGTTATGAAGATCACTCGCACGACCAGTTTAAACCAAAACCCTCCGTAATCCCCTACGCAGCTTGTGAGACCCTTCTCTTTACTCGACTAAGAACAAGGTCATACTTGAGGTTGATTTTTCCAGTTCCTGCAAGTAAAGCATATAACATCAGTAGAACCAGCCCTAATTTCCCAACGAGTACCTTCCTCACACACTAGATTGTTTCCCGCTCATCGACAGACAATCGTTCACAAAACGGACCCATAGCTAGGAATCTACTTGATATTCATAGGACCGCATTTCTGATCGATCGCTTCGCCCACCAACAAAACCACCGCCCAGTCCAGTCATCTCCGCGAGAACGTCGTAGATCTTGATGAGATGGAATCACTTCCATTTAGAACACACTCCTTCATTCCTTCATTACTTCCAATCCTTACCAGCTTGATCATTCTCTCTCCATAGCTGTACCTACGCAGTGCACCACCCCGATGCGCCCATAATTCAAGCGCAAATATCAAACCGCACCGATAATCCAATATACACCAAGCCGCGTCGTGTTATAGCAGACAAAAACATAATCACAATCCCATCTTTCCTATCGAGAGAAAAGGAGGAAAGAAAAGCATACGGATAAGGGAGCTGTGGCTACCGTACCTCATCTATTTCCTCTCGTTACATACTCTTCCAGCCAGACAGGGAGCCGTGAAGCGCACGATTACGCTTTGTTTTGCCCAGAGGATGAATGATGAAAAGGAAGCTTCAATCACACTCCTCCTGCGGAGCTCACTATGGGAACAAGAGATATCGTCCGTAGACGAAGATACTAAAAGACTCGACAGCGTATGTGATTTCTGACTCCTTTACGATACTCCAATACTCGAATGCTCGGATGAATAAATAGAAGTACGGATAATAATATACACAAGAAGACGGTATTCATGGGACTAGTATATGTACGCCCCTCACGACTTCCCTCCCAGGACGAAAGTAATCATAATGTCCTTCCACCAAGGTCCCAAACCCTTTTTATTCATCAATTCTAGCGGATCGTTCATAAGCGTCGTTATGCATATACCCAATTCTTGGGAGGAAGACGAATGAATCGATTTTCCAAAATAATAAACAGCACGAAAGCCTTCAATAAAAACTGAACGAAATCCAATATTATAACCGCCGATCCCCATCTCCCCATTCCCATTTCTTTTTCCCACCACGGAAGAAAACGTTCAGCCGCACTGATTGGTCGATAACTTTGTATGGCTGAGCTGATGGCTGATGGGAGGGACAGACAGGCGAATACGCCGCTTGGCGTACCTTCTACAAGGAGCTAGTGAGATAGATGGCTGAGTGAACTACAGGTATCCATTCACCATATGCACTGCCACCGTGAATCTATGGTATGAAATGGTACATTTCGTCTTTTAAAGAGCCCTATTTATCTTGCTTGTACGGAGTAGATTGAACACACTAGATCGCCCCCCTACGCAGGCGAATACGCCGCCTTTCCCAATTCCATAGACCGTGACGGAGATATTGCCCTGCCTATGGCGACGACGATGGAGGTGAACCAAACTGTCTTCCGCGTCGCGGTTCGCGCTCCACACGAGACGACGACGACAGTAGCGCCGCCGAAACCTCAGGCATCGAATGTTCCGCGAGTCTTCCATGCACGCAAGGCGCATAGCAAGTCGAGGGGTGGGTGCGAGGGATGCAAGAAGCGTAGGCGGAAGGTGAGGTGATTACTACTACTACTCCGCACTATGCTATTGGAGGGAACATCACGGGATATTGGATGGTTAGCTAATTTGGCAGTGTGATGAGATGAAGCCTGCGTGCTCTGCTTGTGTGGGAAGAAGCGCGAGGTGCACGTATTACACGACGAATCGAGCATCTGGGAAGATTGGGAATGGAAGGAGAGGAGTGGAAGTAGAGGCATCACGGGCGATGGTGGTAATGTTGAGGCTATGGCCGGGTGCTTATAGTCCTGCGATACTGACCGGAGGTGACTCGACTGTCATACGGCATACGAATCACGACCTCTTTCTCATCGACCACTTCGTGAGGAGCTCGGCGGTGGAGTTTGATAGTGCACAGCACGGCCGAGTGTACTCGACTTCGGCGCTGGAGTTGGCGAAGCTGTATCCGTTCCTCATGCACGGCATGATCGCGCTGTCTGCGTGTCACGTACAGCATCTGGGGGTCGTCGATGCCAGAAAGTACCGCAATGCGGAAGCTTTCCATTGTCATCTCGCCAGCCAAGGATTGAGAAACGCCGTCGGAGGTATTATTGCAAGCACCAACGAGGCGGATTCCATTCTGACGACAGCAATGCTGCTCAACACATTAACGTTCTGCGCGGCATCGTATCGCGACGACGAATCTGCGGCTCCTCACACGCCCGGCACAATCGCAAGGGGCGATCGTGGTGGTAGTGGTGATGGCGGCCGCAGACCCCGCTTTGACTGGCTTCGTATCCAGATTGGCCTGACGGATCTGCTCATGCGCACGCAGCCATATCGGGCGGACAGCATCTGGAGGGACGTCTTTAGTGCAGCCAACGACCGGTGGATCCTCGGTCCCGCGGTGAATAATCTGGGTGATCGTCTGTCGGACTTCTGCTTGAACAGGAATACTGCCGGTTCTACGCGTCCTACTGGTCGTTCTGATGATGGCGCTGATGAGGCTCTTTCTGCAGATACGGAGACGGGAGACAACGTGTATGCGCAGGTCATCAGTCAGCTAACTCACGTGGTGGAGCGGGATCCACGTCCGGAGTATCTGCTTCTGTATCTCCAGCCAGTAGGGGCGATGACGTCAGAGTTTGTCGAGCTGCTGGAGGCGAACGACGTGAGGGCCCTGCTGCTGTTCGCGCACTGGCTGCGGTTACTGTGCTGCGTCGATGCCTGGTGGTGTGTGCGCAGGACGAGGCGCGAGTGTCGGGCGATCTGTGAGATTCTGTGCAAGACTTTGCATGGCGAAGACTTGGATCTTCTAAGGCTTCCGGCGGCGGCTTGTGGTTTTTGGCAACGTCACGGTGTGGAGGGACAAGAGGAGGGGGGGAATCTGGGGATCTTGGGCAGAAGCGGAGAGACTCTGGAGATTGTGGGAGAGGCGACAGGCTAACTGGCTGACTGCTGCTGCTACGTAGGAGGATGATGAGATCAGATCTGATCGGTGGCCGAGCAACAAGTACACCTACTATTCTCCTCACATGACCAAGATTTTAAAGGACGACTTTCCATCTCCAGAGCTTCCAAGCTTGTTTTCCGTCGACTTGATGTCTGTGTCCGCCAATACCAGACTACCACACAAGACTTCACCACCAGAAGACTTAAATCCGAGCAAAGGAATCATAGCGGTCACGGCGGCGGTGCTTCGACGGCAGGACGCCTTGACTCGGTGCAGTGCTTGCCTCGCGCTAAGAGTACAATACCGGTACTAAAATCGCAAAGCGCAGAATTTCTCATTGCAGGGGGGTTTGGGCGCAAAGATCAGGATCGGCAGACGTCGACGATCGTGAGAGAATTGACCAGGACCTTTAGAGGGTGGTGGACGCCACGCGGGCAACGGCACCGGCACCGGTTGCGCCTCCCCTCCCCTTTCTCGTTCGTCCCGCACCAAAGTGCAAGCCACTAGATGCATGTCGCAAGTAGCGCAGAGTAGCAACGACGACGACAAACAAACTGCGAAGCAACGATGCCATGCACTAGATACATGTAATTACCTGCATGCGTATTTTTAGAGAGAAGATTCGATTTGGAATTGTCTGTTGGATTGTTAATACACTTTTCTCGGGGCAAGGGCAGAGAGGGGGAGACGCGCAAGACTGGTGAGGTGTAGCTGCATCACGAGCCAACTTCCTCGAAGTGGAATCGCGCTCTAGCTGGGTTCCTCATCTTCAGTATCATGCAGATGTCCACGATTTTCTTCATGCCCTCTCGTGCCTGAGCCAGCGTCTCTCCGTCGAGGACAATGGGCCTATGCGATGTCCGCATAATAAGCAAGCAGCACATGGCCGCAATGAACTCTACCTGCGAGAGCCTGAGTCCCGGCCAGTTCTGTGGGTTTTCATCGCGACCATGCGCGTAGGCCATGCGTCGAGGGGACGAGTACGCTCTCTGTGCCTGAGAATTCTTCCTTTGCTATCCTGCTATCCAACGTTCTAGTGTCCAGGCGACTGGATTGGGCCAGTGCTTGGTGTCAGTATGGAACGACAAGACATTGATCGTGAGCTACGTGTTCAGTGGTACAGAGATCGTCTGTAGACCACCACCACCAACGTCGACGACGATCTTTGAATTCGGGCCTGTCGCTTTGGAACAGCACATGATTGGAGGCTGGAGCGTTGAGATGCAGGGACTCGACCTGTATGAGAGCCGCAGCCGGATCAGCCAATTTTTCGACCAGGCCTTTGGAAACAGTCGTTAATATATTCTTGTAGTTACTGACAATCACCGCCCTACATCTTACTAGCCCCGGGAAGATTTCATTGTAATCCCAGGATCCTGTCTCTGACGATGTAGTGCACACCTTCTGAGTGCGCCAGCAACCCATTCCTGAACTTCAGGATACGTAGAAAGGAGAAGGATTGCAAGGGTGAGGGTGTTTGCGGTGGTATCGTGGCCAGCAAATTTGAAGACGAAGAGGTTTCCAAAGATTTCGATCATTATACCCTTCAGTTTGGACCTTCTGGTTCTGATCCAGAGCACCCACAGACGACGTTAGTAGATCACTGGGAAGCCCCATCACCACGATCCAGTGATGTCGTCTCTTCACCCACCATTCCCAACATGTGTTTGTTGAAGTCTTTAGCCACACTATCACCCCCTGCATCCATTATTCTGGAAGCCAAGTGTACTGGAAGGTTTCACGAGGTACGCAGAGGATGAAATCGCATTATCAAGCACCGTTTGCAGAGCAACACGATACGCAAGCATGGCATGCTTGCCGTCTTTTTCTTGTCCGGCAGTATTTTGCTGCCTCATCTCCGAGGTCAAATGAATGTTTGAACGCGAAAACAGCAATGCACATTTACCTAGTGGCAGCGTACGAGTACCATTTGCAACGCTAGTTACCCCCTTCTCGGACCACACGTTAACCATCTGACAAACCTACTAGATGGACTCGTTCCAGATGGCTCGCATGGTGGGTTTGGTCATGAAGGAGGACGCGAATACCTTTCCACGCCGAGCCCAGTGTTCCGGGGCGGCGCTGGAAATACTGGGTCCAAAGACCCTCAATATATCCAGAAAAGCTTCTTCCCTCTACTGTGTAACAAGAAAATTCGTGCATGCCAATCATGTCGCTTCTGTGCCTGAGAAGTGAGAACGCGGACGCAGGGTAGTGAATCACTTCGGCGTATCTAGGTGTGCATGTGATAAAAAACAACGCAAACTGATCGTACATTTCACTAGGCCTCGGAAAGCCATTCCGACGAGTGAGGACATCGTGAATGATACTTGGATCACAGAAATGCAGACATTTAGCCTTGAAATTTGCGCGTGACTTGCGCATAAACAGGACTCAACTCATCGATGATAGCCTCTCCGCATGGAGCGTGCAGCTCTGGGGAGAGGTAGGTGGAGGGCGTCAACTAAGGCAAAAAGGTGCGGCTCCAAGACGTGGCCGTGGGACGTTGAGGCAGTCGATCGGAATTCGGATCAATGGTATGCCCAACTTGGATGCCCGGCGGTGGTTCAGTTGGAATGATACGAGCGTCTACCTGACATAGACTAGTGCGGCGCATGTGAGTAGCTCGGATAGCATCTTGGTGGCTGAGCGGCGGGTGTCTGTGTGAACGTGCATGCTTGCAGGCTTGCAGGCGTGCGTGGTTACAGTACTTGTACTCGTACGGTTAGGTCATAAAAGTGTGCGTTGTTGGGCTTGGAACAGATGCAATGCAAGGCAAGGCAGGATGCGGTGCCGAATCGTTTGGACAGTAGAGGCGCTTGACCGGTCCAGCATGGGACGATGGATGAGACTTCGGAATACGAGATATAGAGCAGTATGAGACATAAACAATGCTTGGATGTGGAGTTTAGAGTGGCTGGTTGTTCCTGATTTTTGTCTTGCTTTGTAGTCTTGCTAATTTGGTACGTTGAGCATAAATGGAATAGACCATTGCAGGAATAAGTAGACGAATAGAACTTATCCGGCAGTGCTGGGATGGGTTAATAGTTCTTGGACGGCAGCTATGACAGTAGTCTTCTGGATTCCCTCACTCATGAATATCATAGATGATGGAATACTCGACGAACGGTAGTGCTGACGCACTCGACAAACGCCAAGTGAATGGTGACGAGAAGAGTTTTGGGGATGGTCTGACAGGCAGGCACTTGGAGGAACGCCATCGCGAGCGCCTAAATCTGGGGAAAGCAACTCTAGCGGAGCACTACCCCCTGCGCGACTAGAAAAGAACGGGAGAAGAAAAAAAAGAGAACGGAAACCAACAAGTAAAAAAGAATTACTTGTTTAGACCTAACAAGAGACTCGTAAGAACAGAAAGCGAATTGGTATTGTGTGTAGGCTAGTTAGTGCTCGTATTGGAATTGTGGATGTTTGATTTGATTTTTGAAGAAAGCAACGAACGAGAGTAAAGAGAAAGATGAGTAAGAGGTACGGAGTGTAACCGAGAGAGGGAACATATGCTGTCAATCGCGAGGATCGAACGACGATGGAAAAGATGGCGTGAATGTAGTGCAGGGTAGTGTACATTGTAGAGACAGTAGGCCTTAATAGTGAGTTGTAGTGTAGTTAGTGTTGTCTGCCAAAATAGTCTGATACATTACGGTCAGAGTAGTGTGTGCACGCGCAATACGAGAGCGGCCACCCCGAGGGGAGAACCAAGCGATGGCTGGTCGGTGAAGGATGTGAAGGCGGAGGAGGAGGCGGAGATGGAGGGATGATGTGGAGTCGGAGGTCAAGAAGCTGAAGGATGAAGGTTGAAGAAGGAGTGCATGCATCACGTGCTGCTCCACGCAGTACGGCACAGCAGCTGGGGTGGTTCGGGTGGGCAACTCCACTTTATGGAACAGTAATGAGTCAAAAAGAAAAGAAAAGAGGGCAAGAAGGAGGCTTCTCAAGAATTAATCCCGACTGCGACTGAATTCAATAACATACAGATACTCTAAAGGCATGGACACAGGAGATGCAGTACTACTCGGTGGTTGCAAGTACCTTTAGGTGCCTACTTGTAATGTACGAGTATGCAAGTAGGTAGGCCGAACCGAACAGAATACTTGTAGATACCCAACCCAACATCGATACATCAGCATAAAGATACATGAATATGAAGATGAGCTCTACCTATTGTGCAATGTAGAGAATGGTTTGCCATGGAAGTGCCAATGCCAATAAATTGCCAATCTAAGCCAAATTCCGCCTTTGCCAAGGGGGATGTTTAAATTGCCTCCAGCCGCTGACGTTGACGTCCGAGTTGACGAGTACGAGCAGCAGCAGCAGCAGCAACAGTTTGGAGTTAGCCGCGTTTTCTCTCTCTCTGCCTGCCTCTGCATCTCTCTCCACCGGAAAACCAACTATCCACCGGCAGCCAGCCAGCCAGCCAGCCAGCCAGCCTAAACCATGTCCATTCAACCCCATGCTCATTCCCATGTCAATCCCCATGTCTATCCATTCCACCCCTCATCCATGGCCCGTCCGCCTAAACGCTAGGGGAGCTAAGCTACACCCGGGCATCATCGTCATCGTCACCTTTTTTCTTCATCACAATTCCCATTGGAACATTCCGCGGCACGTCTTACAGAAGATCTGGGGGTACGGGATATATCTATCCCGTCTCGTGCATCATAAATTGAAGAAGATCACAGTGCCATTGAAGAAGGAATTCGTTGATGTCGTTGGGCTCGATATAAATCTTGATGATGAATCAATTGTGTAGTACGAGTACAATTGTGGGTAACAACAGTCACAGGGTAGATGATGGAGATGGACGGTGGATGGTTACACTAGGAGAGTCTTGTCGGACCTTGTCTCCCTCACCATTTTGGCTTGATTCTCACCTTGAATGGCTTGATCTCACCTTGTCTACTCCTTGTCGGTCCTTGTCGGGCCTTGACTCTTTGTGGTAACCCACATCAACCCTGTTTAGCGCCCCATTTCTTACTTCTTTTCACATTTTGCCTCCACCACCGTCTTCACATCCCACCAATGCATGCATCCATATGTCTGTTCAACCATCCTGGGACTTTGAATCCATCCAACCAACCCCCGATGTAACAACAACACCGCTCGTCCTCTCCTCTCGTGCCTCTCCATGGGGGAAACTGTGGGACCCCTACCCGTTTCCCTCCCATACTTCCTCTTTCTCTCCACAATTCCTCTCCCCATTCTTCGCCCTCCATGATTTGGTCGGACAAGCCTTCTCCAAAGAATAATAATTCCCGCTTAGTCTCTATAACCCTCTACTAAGCTCATCGCGGGTTCGCAACTCAACTCAACTCAACTCGGCGCCATATCCTGGTCCTAGCCTGGTGCCGCCTTGGTACCGCCCTGGTGCTCCCTACTGACCCTAGTGGGGTTTGTCTTGTCCTGCATTTTGTTCCCGTTGATGGTGGTGTTTCTGCAGCTGCAGACCAGCTGCAGCAGCTGATGTTGCTGGGAGTGGTGGTAAAGGTGGTCAACCATTAGGCCCACAAGAGCTCTCCCTCACCTCTGGGGTCCGACCTTATCCCGGGCCACCATTTAACATAAACACAACATCCCCCCCCATCCATGATCTGCTCTTGATTTCTCAACCTCGAGCTGTCCTCTTCCTGCAACTACAATATAGACACTTGCCATTTGCAATCATGTCTGAAAAGGTCGAGAAAACGTCTTCGGACGCCGACTACACCACTCACAATGAGAAGGCACCTGTTGAAGGTCAACAACAGCATGACCTCGATCCCCCGCGCAATGCCTCAGTAGCTCTCAACCTCGTAGAGAACCCTCTTAGGGTATGTTCTAAGCTTGATTTCCCCCCACCTTCGATTGACAGACTTCCATATACTAATCGTCTCTCCTCTCTATATAGGCAGTCTCCAAGGAGCAGAACGTCTCCGATGCTCGCGCCTGGGCTGAGAAGCATGGCTTGAGCGAGCATGCTGCTCTTTTCGGTCGTGCCGCTCTGGTTGCTAGGGACCCAGACGGTTTCGCGGCTGTCACTGAGCTTGACGAGGAGGAGCGCAATGCGCTTCAGTACGAATTGGAGCACAAGTGGCACGGCCCCAAGATGCTGTGGTACTCCATTGCGCTTTGCGCCGTCGGAGCCGCCACCCAGGGTTGGGATCAGGTATGTTTACTTTTTTTCCCAGACTTTCGCGGGCGCGCAAGGCTGGTCGTGAATGTAAACAACTAACAGCAGCGTACAGACTGGTTCCAACGGAGCGAACTTGTCTTTCCACGAGGAATTCAACATCGCTGGAAAGGGCAGGGACGAGTGGATTGTTGGTCTTATCAATTCCATCATTTTCTTGACTGCTGGTCTGATGTGAGTTTCGACGCCAACTTTCAACCTCTTTGCGAACAGCGAACATGTGACTAACATGATTTCCAATCCAGTGGTGCCTTCATCGTCGATCCCCTCAACCACTACCTTGGCCGTCGAGGTGAAATCTTCGTTACTGCTCTCTGCCTTACTGCTACCCCGATCGGTTCTGGTTTTGCCAAATCATGGCAAGGTCTTTTTGCTGCACGATTCATCATGGGCATTGGAATTGGCGCAAAGAACGCCACCGTTCCTATCTACTCTGCTGAGATGGCCCCTCACCGTGTTCGCGGTGCACTGGTCATGTTCTGGCAGCTTTGGGTCGTTGCTGGTATGCAAACATCATTTTATATATTTTCTCGCTCTTCATCGCTAATTTCTTCGAACAGGCATCTTCCTCGGTTTCTGCGCCAACGTCATTGTCAAGGATACCGGCGATATTTCATGGCGTCTCCAGCTCGGTTCTGCCTTCATCCCATCCTTCATTCTCGGTGCCGGCATCTACTTCTGCCCCGAGTCTCCTCGTTGGCTCATGAAGCATGGCCATGTCGCCAAGGGATTCCGCTCCATGAACAGACTGCGAGCACACCCCATCATCGCTGCGAGGGACTACTACTACTCCTACATCATCTACGAGACTGAGCTCAAGGTCGCTCGTGGAGCTGGATACTTCCAACGTCTCTGGGACTGCTTCAGCGTTCCTCGTATCAGGCGTGCCAACTACGGAGCCTCCACCGTCATGCTTGCCCAGCAAATGTGCGGTATCAACAGTGAGTTTGAACCATGTAAACGTGAAAGCCATTCTCTAACATAATTTAGTTATCTCCTTCTACAGCTCCACCATCTTCACCGATGTCGGCTACACCGACACCCAGGCTCTCTACGCATCCCTCGGATACGGTGCGATTCAGGTCGTTTTCACGATCCCCACTCTCTTCCTCATCGACACCAAGGGCCGCAGGACTCTTTGCTTGATCACCTTCCCTCTCATGTGTATCTTCCTGCTGGCAGCCGGTCTCTCGCTCTTGAACCATTCCGGCAGCGAAGCCTCGCAGATCGGCCCCGTCGTGCTATTCGTGTACCTCTTCACCATCGCCTACTCCCTCGGCGAAGGACCCGTCGCCTTCCAGTACTCCGCCGAGGTGTTCCCCACCATCCAGCGTGAGCAGGGCATGGCCTGGGCCGTCTGCATCAACAACACCTTCGGTAAGCCACCCACCCATTCCCCCCACAAACCCCCACATCATCCGCTAACATTTCCCTTCTAGCCGGCATCCTTAGTCTCACCTTCCCCCGCATGAAGACCGTCATGACCCCGACCGGCGCATTCGGCTTCTACGCGGGTCTCAACCTGATCGCCTGGTTCATGATCTTCGCGTTCGTGCGCGAGACGAAGCAACTCACCCTCGAGGAGCTCGACCAGGTGTTCTCCGTCCCCACGAAGCAGTTCCTCGGCTACGAGCTCAAGGTCTGGCTGCCCTACTTCATCAAACGCCACATCTTCCGCCGCAAGATCCCCAAGCCCGCTCCCATCATCGAGAAGGCCGATCACCAGATCACCACCCTATAAACGTGTGCGAGGGAATGTCGGTGGGCAACGCGCCCAGAGGGCGGGTGTCTGCGATGCAATGCGCACATATAATACCCCACGTCGGTGCACGCAAAATGGGAATCCATAACGATTTCATGCGGCAAGGATAGTTAATTGGAAGCTTTTTTCTTTTTTCGATACTCATACCCAGAAAGTTTTACCTACCATGATTGCGACGACCGTAGAGAGAGAGCTGGATGAAAGGCGGTTTTTCGTCAATCTCTCATCACGGAAACGCTACCATAATTAAATACCCATACACTCGTTCATGACAAAATTTCTGCTCTTTCGCTTTGAACCAATGTTGCATGTTGAATAATTGATGATAATCGCTTCTTGATGACGTAGCTTCTCCCCTCTAACAACGATATCACATCACTATACATGTTATTGCACTTCCAATAGATATAACCTGTACGCCACGTCGGCATGCAATAAATCCATCATTCCCCCCCCCCATTTTCTTCCTTGTCGTGTCTTGCAATTTGCCGCCGTACTTTCACTCTCCACCGCACGAAAACAAACCAACATCAAAAACCAAAATGCGCTCGCGCAATTAATGTGCAGGTGTAACGTCACGTGCCCGCGCGCCTCTCTCGCGCTACTATCTCCACCCTTTTGTCCAGATCGCGGGGAAGATAGATGTGGGTTGTTCCGTATGTTTCATTCAAGCACTTCTTTTTTTTTTGGGGGAGGGTTCCCTTTAGTTCCCGCGATTTGAGGTCGCGGAAGCAGGTAAACGCGCGAACGGCGAGGGCGGGATGGGTGGGTGAGGGTTGATATAACGTTGAGATCTTTCACGTGTCTATCTACCATGTGCGTTTCTATTTTTCATTTCTAATGGTTCTATAAGGAGCGGCAATCTATCACATTCAATTCATGAAAGCACAATATAAGTCGCACCACAAGCACGCTAGATTAGTCGATTTCAAAATCACGTACCCATCACGACCCACTTCATCAAAAGAGTAATTGAATGGAAAATGATTTTGCTCTCATCTATCTACATATATACACATCCCGAGCGAGGATGAATCCGCTTTCTAGCAGCTAAAAAGAAGGGCGCTGAGTGTTCTAGAAATGCCTAATAGGGTAATGATACAAGAAAAATACGCTGGCCGTGCAATGCAGGCGTGTGCGATGGTGTTTGATGGCGATGTGGATGGAGGAGAAAAGGAGGAAAAGAAAACGCTCACGAGGCTTCGTTGGTTCGTTTCATCAGGATAGATAGATGTATTGCTGCGCGTCATGAAATACAAGGAAAAAAGAAGAAGGAGGAGGAGGAGGATCCTAAGCGTACGAGTTGGCGTCGCAGGTGAAGGATCCGCGAACGGCGCCGGAGGAGTACTGCGTCTTGATGTCCTGGACACTGGCGTAGGTGCCGCAGCCGAGGACGGCGACGCCGATGCAGAAGACGATGGCGTTGAGGACGGAGAGGGCGATGTTCTTGGGGCTGGAGTTCCACTTGCCCTTCTTGATGAGCTGGAACCAGAAGAGGGCGGGGAAGTAGAAGGTGAAGCCGCTGATGAACAGACTGGAGATGAGGCCGAGGAGAGCGTTGAAGAAGGGGATGGCCTCGGCGATGATCCAGGCGATGATGGTGATGACGGCGAGGAGTCCAGTCCAAACGGCCCATCCGCGGGCGTTGTTGATGAAGCGGATGGGGGAGTTGGTGAAGGCGCGGTCGATGATGTAGCGGGCGACGACGGTGCCGTTGATGGACCCGGAGATGAAGATGACGGGGAGTGCGATACCGAAGGCAATGCGGGAGACGGTGCTGCCGGCGGAGAGGAGAGCCGGGCTCTTAACATCGGAACCAACGAAGGCGTAGATGAGGGCGCCGGTCATGGTGTAGATGAAGATTTCGATCAGACCGAGAGCCCAGATCGACTTCACGTAATCCTTAGGAGTGTGCATCTCAGCCATGAAGCTGAATTGACAGACGGCGAAAGAGTAGGCGAAGATGATGTTGGTAGTAGAGAGGAAAGCCTGGTAGAAAGTCACGCCCTCCGGTGGCCATACTGACCAGGGAACGGCTGCGAGACCGCCAGGAGCATTGCTGGCTTGAACTCCGGTTGCGATGATAGTAATGAGAATGGCAGCGATGATGGATACGAAGTCGATGTATCCCAAGATGGCGAACTCGTGGAAGGTTGGCGGCAACGCAAGGATGAAGAGGATGATGCCAGAAACCACGCCCCAGACCAATGCGCAAATCTTGTAGTTATCGACGATGTTGATGAAGGCAATAGTTCCGGTCAAAGCGTGAGATCCAACGAGGAGAATCAGGAACAAGGCAAACATGGCACCCGTAAGTTCTTTGCCGAAGCGACCCCAGATCAGCTCGACTGCATCTGAGTAATGCAACACGTGCGCGTAGCGCATCTTGACCTGGCCGACGACGTAACTAGTGTAGATTGCGATCAACCCCAGTCCGACAGTGAGGAGAACTCCAGCGACCATTCCCACTGTAGCGAATGCGCTGGGTACACTGAGCGAGCCGAGGGCGATGGCCTCCACGATCAAACAGACAGTCAGTCGCTTCCATCCCAACTTGTGGAATTTGGCCTCGCCCTCATGCAAGGTAGTCTCTTTCTCCAATGCCAGCTCCGCATCGGTCTTCTGGCCTGGCTCGATCTTGTCGGAATCGGATCCATCATAAGGGGGAACGGCGCCCGGCTGGCCATATGGCCGGGCCACATGGGCTGTTGCCAGGTTGTTTGAGTAACCTGTGTCTTGTGCGGTGGCCATGATGGTGTATGTAGTTGGTGGGGGAATTGGTGTTTGGGGGTATGGGGTATTGTAGAGGAAGGTCCACGAACAAGTGAGGGAAGGCAAGAGAGAGGAGGGCTGGAGCAACTATTTAATAGGAAAGACTGTCACGACGGTCACACGGGTTAGTTCCCCCAAGGTTGGCAAGTGTGAAAGACGATGGTTGATGAGGGCGGAAGTGTACCTAATGTGATTTTGGAGCTACCTTATCTCAACCCCGACTCTCCGGCAAGGACCTGCATTGATAATGGGGAAGAACCACGGGGCACATTATTGCAGGAGAGAAACACCCGGGTACCTAGCAGCACCTAGGGCCCTTGGGGTGAAAATTGAGAGATAAGAAGGTCTGCTGGACAGTTACTGGATCACTGGACTGGCGCAAATGCAGTGGGATGGACGAAGAGGCGAAGAGTGACGTGCCCGTGCGTTGAGATGCATGTTGGTCCTGGCCGTTCGTGGCCGTTGTATGGTGTTGCAAGCTACGAGTCCATACCACCGTCGCATCTAGCATCGAATATCTAGGGCCCACTTAGTCGGTTCTGACGTTGTGGGAGCCGAATGCGGCATTATCCAGCGGTAGAGTCCAGTACAAGCTCCGGCTTTGTTCGATCAAGCATTCCCGAGGATCGAGGACGATCGTCGTCATCAACAACGGCTTCAATCACAGCCTGCCTTTCGAAGTTGTTGTTCTTTTCTGATCCAGGTACGAAAGGTACAAATTGATGACATTGTGAGTAGTTACCGTTTAGGTAGATGGAAGCACGCGATGGTTGTTCTTGGGGGGCACTGGACTGGTGATGATGGTGGGATGGTGGCAGTCAGGGCGAGTTTCTGTGTGGTAATGTCAAGCTTTAGCGTCCGGGATATCCTGCTTGCGATCGACAATAGCGTCCGGCTTGGTTTAGAGCCTCATGGATCTTGTGCCACCCAGTGCCACCCGCTGGCCCTATGCGCTCAGGCAACCCCCCCTTTCACCGACAACAGCCGACTGCCCAGCTTGCTATTACAAACAGAAGTGGTCTGCTACGCCATATGACCTGGAAAGTATATGGTAATAGTCGACTTTATGGAGAATCCGTGCATCTCCCACCAGGAACCGTCGAGATAAGATTCATTTCTATGACCATTTTCGTTTGACGAAGTTTACCCTTCTCCACAGAACAGTGCATTCGTTACGATCACGCATCACCGGAGTGTTCTGGAGAACTCTGGGGAAGCAGAACCCTGGAGGGGACGATCCCGGGATTGAATAATCATGATTGAGAAAGCCGAAGCGAAGAGCACATGCTCGATGTCCATTTCAGGAATATCCGGCGGGCACTCACACGACTTGGGAACTGAGAATAGAGAGGCATCCCAATGTGGGTGGGATCGGACTCCGCGACTTTGTTCCAGATGTTGACAATTATAATTTAGTAGTAATTTTCCGCACGTGCTATCAAAAAAGAAATACCAAGGACTGTCAATTTCTTGGGTCGCCGAGAAGGATATTTTTGGTGGTGGTGGGAGTCGTGGTTCTTCTGGTGGTACGACCGCTATGGAAGAAAAATTTCATCGGTATCATTTCGGCAGGGTCTGTCCTGTCAACACAGCCTCAGCTCCTGTGGCTGTAGATAAGTACCGAGAGAATGGAAATTGCGAAGCTTGATAATCATTCAACAAGACACGGTCAATCTGCCTACCCAAGTTATCATGCAACGGAAGGTTTTTCGCGACTTTCTGCTCGTTGGGTGACGTACGTGTTGTCGATGCTGGCTGGTTTCAAGCTTTTCGTAAGAAACGCCACTGGGCTTGACCCAGAGCGGATTGGGCCTAGCGTGTTTCGTTAAACTCTTAAGGTTCATTCCGAGATGGGCTGAAGTCACGTGGGAATCTCAAAGCATCAATTCACAACAACGACTCTAAGCATTTGCGGCGATCAGCTATTCCAGTGAACATATCTATACTGAAATGGATTACCTGGCCGCGAGTACGCTTTGAACTCCACTTAGCCCCCAGCGTCTACCATAAGGAACAGGAATCGGATCGAATCTCAGTGTGTTAGGCTGCCCGCTTGCAGACTGTTAAGAAGGGTGTGAAGGCACCTATGAATAATTGATGTGTCAACTTAACTTCCTTTATACGCACCTGTGTCCAGGAGAAAGGATATATCCCCATTTTTCTTTCCCCACGGGATGGATTTCCCCAGTTTCTGTTACTCACCTCCGACAAAAATTCGGCCCGTCTTGACATCGTGCCTGGCTATTGAGGCACCGCTCAGGGACTTGCTCTCCTGATCCTCTAACACCTTAGTCGTGACATAGCGATATCTCCTTTCCAGGAACCGCTCAATCTTGAAGATTGCGGCTGAACTTGCATCTCCGATCGGATCGTGCCGAGTTCTTCCGACGGCCCAGAAATCGTTGTTTGAGTCCTGCGTGATACTTGCGATCGGCATGTCCATTGCGATGGAATGCCTATGGGCGAAAGCTCCGCTCTCTTCTAGTTCGAAAATGCGAATTTTATTGTCAGCCAATGATGGCACATACATTCTGTCATCATTTCCACGAACAAACTGACCCAGAATGGGCAGCTTCTTCGCGGTAGCCGTGTATTTGTCGAACCAGTCATCGTAGTGCACTAGATTGCCTCCACCAAGAATAAGATCGAATCGTTTTCGCAGTCCTACCTTTGCAGATCTATCATTGCTGACGACGAAATTGTTACTGCCCAAGAATGCGATCTTGTTCGGCGAGTGCATCGATGAGTTCGTCTTGGTCGAAACGTAGACCATGCTCTGTTTGCCTCTCTTATGCTCGTACACTTCAATCGTAACATTGGATCCCAATTTCCTTGCATCCAATAGGTTTCCCCCAGTATCACGTGGAGGTCTCTGGTTTAGCAGCCAGAACCGAACCGTACTTGAGTCGATAACTTCAACATCGAACCCGGCCAAATCCAGGTGTCCTTCGCCGCGTCCACTGCCATACTTCGTAGGCTGGATTCTATGCATCTTGAACTTTCCGTTCTTTCCAGGCTTGTCAATGTATATAGCCATGAGTTGCGATCCAGTCGGGCGACGGCCAGAAACGTTGAACTTCGAGAGGCTAGCAACATACATTCAGATTTGCCATTCCACTCGTTGTAACTTCGTCAAAGCGCAGATACACGTACCTTGGATTCCACTCCCTCCGAGCCTCGACACCCGTACAAGCCGCATACAAGATTCGATTTCTCTCGTCTAGCCACATATCTCCGCAGCCCTCAAGTTTGTTGGGTACCCGTTCACATCTGTAGGGGAACTCTTCGATTGGTAATACCGATTTCCCGATTCCAAGCGTGATGAAGAGTATGTCTTTCAGCCATACTTGATAGAAGACAGTTAAAGCCGCAACTGTAATTGCCGATTGTAGGATGCCGTTCACTCGAAAGGCCATTGTGATCAGTATTATGCAGTTTTCGTACAGGGCCAACAACCACAGGGCTCAAATAACGGATAATCGAATCTCTGAATTTAAAACAGACTGCACTATCGTTGAGAGGAAGAGTGGTGTTCACTCGCCACGTGTAAAGATGTACTCTCCTCCCTCGAGAGGTCGTGGGTTTGCGGCCAATATAGCAGTCCGGGTAAATACCAATCTGCCGTACCGCAGTTCAAAAAGGCTGCAGACTCTATGATCACATCAATAGTTGGACGCTTGTATAGATTCCCTTTTAATATTCTATGGTTCAAACTACAAGACTGGGCACCACCTGCTTCCTTGATACAGGACAAGATCTTATTGCTACTAATCACTTATGCTATGAGTGTGTGCGTAGAACGAGCACGGACTATCAAAGTATTGATATCATTAATGATCTATGCCTCAAGTGATAAGAGGTAAAACATGGTAATATTTTTCTATGGATCTGAAGAACTGTTTCGATATCTTTGTGTATCTGCGAGAGAATACTCCTTTGTATTCAAGCAATGGTAAGCAGCCATCTCCTAACCCTGAGACTCTTTGTAATTTCTCTGCCTTCAGGAACTTGCATTTTAGGACGGATGTATCACCAGGGAATAGATATCCGGAGCCTCAATTGCAGCCAGGCTCCATCATCAGACAAGTGTAGGCTCACACTCGATCACTATTTGCCCTGAATATCTTCTCAAAAGAACACGCTACGCCGCGATTCCAAATCTCCAATCCAATAAGAGTCATCGGATTGACCTCCCGATAATGCTCAGAATTGCTCTACGGGATAAAATTTTGTTATCATTGTCCGAAGATGAGGCTTTTCACATTTGTGAATACTATTGTAGATCTTATCTTGGCATCGATGGTGGAAGAACAAAGAGAAATCCGCCACAAAACTTAGAACAATACTAAGAATCATCATCAAGAATCCAGGAGAAATTTATCCAGCGTAAATCTCCATCCTGAAAAACTTAGCTGCATTATCTAAAGGGGGACATAGCCTCCACGATCACAAGCACAACACTCAGCATTCACCCTCCCTGGACATGGTCAGAATTTTTACCCTCCAGAAAAACAACTTGTTTCAGGCTGCAGCCAGTGGCTTCGAAGCATTCGCACGGAAAATTCCACATCATTGTGCAGGCCAATTTAGAACCGCTGCCGTTAACCAGGGTCTACATGTCCCTGTGGCGCGATGGTGGTTGGAAAACCTGCCTTCCAAATCGCGGATTGCAACTCCCCCAATAATGAAGATGGGAGGTGACGTATGATGATAAAGGGATCATGATGCCCGCATCGTGTATCTGCAGAAGCTTCATCTTCACTCTTGATCACTTTCTTTTTTTCATTTAGTCACTTCGCTTTGTACTTGCTTCTCATGACTTCAAACTCTCCCAAGAGATCGGTGGCCATTGTCGGCGCCGGACCAAGTGGCCTAGTCGCCGCGAAGAAGCTACTTCAGACCGGAGTCCTTGATGTCACTATCTTCGAAGGCCATGAAGGCGTTGGTGGCCTTTGGGCAAAAGATGGCCCCATCAATCCGGAGATGCGGGCCAACTTTTCAAAGTTCACGGTCGCGTTTTCAGATCTGTCCTGGCAATCAATACTGCTGGACGGAATTTCAGCTCCCGTGTATCCGAAAGCTTCGATGGTCGAGAAATATCTCCAAGAATACGCAAGCAGATTCGGTCTGTTTTAAAGATGCCAGTTTGGAACTTGGGTGAAGAGGGCAAGTAGGGTGACGAATGGGGGAGGGAAGACGTGGGAATTACTCATCCAGCGTCAAGACGAAAAGGAGGAAGCTTTAGAATTCGATTACTTGGTCGTCGCGAGTGGCTATTTGTCGACTCCCCGCGAATTAAACTGCGAGATGGACAAGGCTATGAGATTTGGCTCCTCTGTCCCTATCCTCCACAGCACTGAGGTCCGAAATTTGAATCAACTCTTTCCCAACCAGAGTGATTCTTTTGAACCGGAGACTTCACGGGTACTGGTCGTTGGTGGATCACATTCGGGAAGCGAGATAGCAACTACGATTGCTTTGCTTGCATCTGATGCTCGTTGGAAACCAGGAAGCTCTATTCTGCGAGAAAGCTCAAATCTGGAAGTATTTCACGTCACATCTCATCAAATGCATGCTGTTCCAGCATTTTCCAGGGATTATCGCGCGAAGTCGCCTGCCTTTCAACCTCTTGACTACAAACTCCATGATCGCGCCAGTCGCCCAGCAGAACAACTTTCCTTTAGCTGTAATCTCACTGGGCCTGTCGAATCTAAGATCGTGAAAACGATGCTAAAGGCTTTTGTGGAAGGCAGCACGGAAGATGATGGCATTGAAAACGAATTACCACCATATGCTGTGGTCAGTGAGACCTATCCACAATTTGTCAAATCACATGTCATCCGGCCGGTCGTTGGAGAGGTGATACGCCTGGGATCCGACTTGAACCGTCTTAGAGCTGTGGCGACTGTGTCCCTTGACGGCAAAACCACCAAAATCGATAACATATCTGCCGTAATCAACGCTACCGGATACGATTCATGTGGAAGTCTGTCCTTCTTGTCCAAGGAAGTGAAAGATGAGCTCGAATTTGACGCAAGCAATCATCGATTGCCCTTGGTGTTGGATTCAAGCTACATGTCGCAGCGAGAAACAGTGCCTGACATCGCTGCTTTGGGCTTCACTGGCGTCAATTGGGGTGTTATGGAGATGAAAAGCCGTGCAATAGCAGCGAAATGGTCAAGCTCTTCACCGAAAGAATCCCAGGATAAGTCCATATCGAACGGAATTGCGAAATACATCCAAGAAGTGAGAACAGCAATGAGACTTGGCCGCAAAGAACACATTCCCCAGATCATATTCAGCGATTATATGGGAATCATGGAACAAGCTGCTAGAGAGTTGAATCTAGAGAAGTTGAACGGAAATTACGATGAGTTCGCGGGCATGGTATGCGCAGCGAGATATGCAGACTCGAAGGACGACAGTAGCGAGGCTAAGAAAACGCTCTCGAGCCTAAGTCTGATTGAGAAACGTGCTCACAAGGATGGCCTATACCTAGCACGTTCCGTGTTCCACGGACTTTTGGGCTCATGGAAAGGTACCGGAGGTGAAGATGACTTTCATTCACTTCCAGAGGCTGTTCATTTCCATCCGCGATACCCCACTTCAAAGGAGTACGAATTTGAATATCTGGTAGTCGAATCCATGGTAGAGGAAAGCCTGAATGGAAAACCACGTACCATGGAAACGCACACAATCATGCGATACGACGAAAAGAGCGACGAGATATCTGTCTGGTCTGCCAATGAAAGCACCCTTGAGGCGGAAGGACTAATCTATCGACTTAGCTTTGCCCAGGGAGAGAGCAATATCACCAACGGTTCCACTTGCTCTGCGAAGATCATTCGGATTGGGAACGCCGAGGAAAATGCTGTTATGCTCAATCACTACGTCTTCGACTTCCAGGGGGCAATCTTGAAAAGCTTTTGTATCGTTGAAGAAACACGCCCTGGCAAAACCTGTCCAACGCAGTACGTAAGAATTCAGAACAGAGATCCCTTGCAAAAAAATGCGAAATTCGATGTATCTGCAGCTTTCAACCAGGCTACCCCCATTCAGATAAGCCATCCACCATTCCTACCCAAACACGCCACCCTATCCAGTCCAGAACAACCGAAGAAGGCCTCCCTAGATACCCCGCAGATGTTACGAGTGGGGAGGCCATCCAGGGAGAGGACGCTGAGCTATTGACATTGAAGTGCGGTACGGAAGTTCTTGGACTTCTGATAGAACCGTATTTACTCCCTTCTTGCATTCACTTCCATATGAGTTTTCTATTCGACCATCTGCGCAATCTCGCATATTTGATTAAACCATTGGTATTAATAAAGTACTTCAATTATCACACTATGCATTTATGACTGATGTATGTACATGATCGCACTATTGCTTAGGGGGCGGTGTCCCTCGCGTCTCTGTGACTGTAGAAGGATCCTTCTCAGAGGATGGTGGTATCGGATATTGTTGGTATGGTTGTGGTGATGGTGCCGTGCCGATGCCTCCTGCGTTATCATACGGTGCTGGAGGTTGCATAGGCTGTCCGTACTGTTGCATCGGAGGCGGCGACGTTGCTTGCCCAGGATGCGGTGGCTGGGTGCTCCAATATACCGACTGCCCTGGAGGAGGAATTCCATACATAATAGTTGTACCTGAGACACTGGGTGGTTGCGTGCTCCAAAACACAGGCGGCCCTGGAGGAGGGGAACCGTACATGACGTTCCCTGGGGTACTAGGAGCAGGAGCAGGAGCGGGAGGAGGAGGCCCGTATGCGACGTTACCGGGGGCAGCATATGCCGGGTGAAGTAGTAGCACGTTTGGATTCGGCGGCGTGATGCCGACCGTGTTTTTGGAATACGGTCCCAGCAACTCCTGTGGATATTTACGTCGGAACCCCCACTTCCACCACAGTTTGAACGCCCGCCCGGAACCCATCTTGCTCCATTGCTCCCGCAGCAACTTCTGATCTTCGGCTGACCGCGACGACTGGGTGCGCGTGAAGCACAAAACCAACAGGCTGATGAAGACCCAGCATATAGTCCCGCCTCGCAGACATCCCTTCCCCAGCATCAATCGGCGGAACCAGATCCAGCTTTCCAGGAACCCCACGAGGAAGAAGGTAGCCGGTATGGTGGTCGCTAGGACGATGGCCAAGTCGTACATGTCGACGCAATCGCCGTCACCACATCGTCCACCTCCTCCGCCTCCGGACGGTTTCCCGAGCGAACTGCTGGGCTTCCTACAGTACTGGACGAAATTCGTGTAATAATACGCGGTCGAGGACGTGAATGGCGCCTGGTCTTGATTCAACCAGACGGTCGTCGCGAGCCCGTTATCCTCCGTGGAGAATCCGGTGACTTGGTCTTCTACATCAGTGGGTATGACAACGTATTCCGATTCGACGGCCGTGAAGCTGCTCGTGCAATGCGTCGGGGCAGTATAAGTGACCATCATCTTGTAAACATAACCCTTCGTCGAAGTCAACGGAAGCCCAGTTGACAGGAGATCGGTTGATGGAACGGCGTTGGGAGGGTAGTAGACGGAGACATAGTCGACGTTGTAGTATGTGCTCACGTCGGTGGTCCTCGAGGCAGGTTGCGCAGTTGGCGTTACGGTCGGATTGATCGTATTAGTAGTCGTATATGTGGTGGACGAGTCGTCAGAAATTCCGTATGTGAATACCGAGTACTCAAACTGATAATTTGACGTGACAGTCCAGAACGAAGCACTTGCGCATTGGAGATGGACAAGCAGCGAGAAAATGACTGCCGAGAGCCACAGGAAAGCCATACTGGGCGCAGAACCGTTGGACTATCTCGAGCGACGACGAGGCTGGCGAAAGCCTCGCTCTCGCGGCGTACCAGTCGCCTTATTAAACTTCTGACAGCGAAGCCCAATCACTCGCATGTTTAGCAGCCTGTGTCTCACCGGTCGCTAAGGCTTGCAGATGTCGTTTCCTTCTCCTCGACAGAGACCCTGCACATTGCACGATTTGCTAGGAGCAGCCAATGGTGTGGAATAACGAGAGTGAATGCCAGTCAAGATGGTTCGTATTACAGCGATTAGTGTGCTAGGTGACTGGTATACCCCAGCATGGTGGCACTGGGGGACGATTTCTGGACCACGATTATAATCCGCTTTGTAGAGATTCTAGGCTCCTATGGAGCGCGCGCTGAGAGATGATTGACATGCCAAACGCGCCGAATTTTCCCCGTTGTTCCTTCTTAAACTGTCTTTCTTGTCATCGTATGTATTGCACCGTGTAGTTTCAAATACAAGTTTTGTACAAGAGGGCGAGGCATCAGTGTAGAATATTTCCAATTGAACGTGAGATGATCAGGATTTGGTGGCGTCTGCAAACGCGGAATACGAGCAATGCGATCCAATGGTCGCAGCCCGTTGGCCTGCTTAAAACGACAGCGGGATACAGAAAGCCACCGCCAAGACGGGGCCGCATAAAATCGTCTTATAAATATCTTCCACCTTGTGATCTGCTGAAGACTCATCCAATTCGGTATGGTGTTGATAATGTGAAGAATGTGTCGGGAATATGGTAGGTAGATGTTGTGATGCTTTCTCTTGACACCAGAACGCCGATCATCCTTGAATTGATAACTAATCCATTTCGCCATGTTCTAGGTCCTATATCCTCCACTTCGCCCTGCATCCCGAGGTAGCAATTGATTTCGAATAGGATTCAATCTCCTGGACGTCGGCTGTTGATGGTCCTCCATCGGCTGATCCTCCATCCTGCCTGGATCGCGTGCTGCTCGCCCACTCGCCGTCCTCATGGGAATTGTCACAGGCTCATCCAAACCGTCGTAGTCACTGGACGCTCGAGGTCGCCCCCCTCTATATCCCTCAGAATTCAGTGAATCACGCGTTGACTGAATCGATGGAACTCGCAGAGGCGCTGGCGCAAACTCGGATTCCTGCCATGAAGGATCTGAATGAGCAGAGTGTGCTGAGACTGCGGAATACGCAGAATGGGAACTCTTCGCGCTCTGGTAACTTTTGTTCTGACCCTCTCTTCTGAATTTGTTGATTCTAGGCCTGGAGGACCTTGAATGTGTCGACTGCCTGTTCTGCTGACTTGATGTAAGTTGTTTCGAAGAATGCCGAGATGACGGCTCTCTGTCGACTGGACTTCCACTGTCTCCGGAAACCGTTTGTTGGAAACTACCATTACTCTGCATGTGGTATGGATCTGGTGGGCTTCTGTTGCTTGCATGTTTATTCTTCTCGTTTGATAGCGTCGAGTCGCTGTTGAACATTTGCATATATCTCCTATGCCAATCGCTTTTCTCGTAGTCGAATGGTACATCGCCTTTGCGTCCGAACCATAACGGTTCCTGAGCAGCAATCTTGACGACAGATAGCCAGGGACGCGGTGTTTTGGAGGCGAGATAAAAGAGTACATCAACCTCCTCCAGAGAACGATAGGCCGTCTCGGGGTACAGGAAGTATATCAGGGGGACGATTGCGAAGTTCGTACAGGCGAAAATTATGTATGTGCGGTAGCCGATATTGTGAAATGCGATTGGGGCAATCAGGACAACTCTGTCAAGATCGTTAGCTCTCGTTCTCTGCTGGAGTTTTCTGTCGAGACGCTTTCCCGTACTTACATGAAGTTAAAAAGCCAATTTCCACTCGTACTCAACGCATTTGCAGGTCCACGAATCCGCAAGGGCACGACTTCGACCTGATATAACCATGCCATTCCCTGCCATCCAATCGCGAAAAATGTAGCAAATCCAAACAAGAACACCGTGGCAGCAATGTTACTACCGCCTACTTTGTGTTCTTGCCACAGATAAGTCAATATGGTGAGCAGCACCATACAAAGACACATGCCCCCGGCACCAAACATCATTAACGACCTACGACCCCAGAACCTGTCAATACCGACTACAGCAATGAACGATGCTAAGAAGTATTCGGTAGCCGCACATCCTCCTAGTAGTCGTGCAACCCATCCAGTGTAGCCCATTTGTTTGTAGAACATGAGCGCTAAGTACTGGAGCACGAGGTTGATTCCGGACATCTGTTGGAATATCTGCACACAGTACGCAAGCACGGTTCGATGAAGATTCCGCTTATCCTTATTGCTCCTCATCGAGCTAGTGGAACCCTGGCTCATGATGAGGATCGCATCCTTGATCTGCAGGAATTCGTCCCGGATTTCAGGTCCATCCTCGTCCTCGTCATTGAGCGCGGCAAGGACTGCCAGTGCTTCCTTCTCACGACCTGTAAGAATAAGCCATCGTGGGGATTCGGGCATGAAGAGAAGGACGAAAAAAGCGACGACAGCAAAGGCTATTTGGAGGGCGATAGGAACACGCCATGATGCCGAGGGATTTGAAACAAGGTACGCAAAGCCGAAAGAAACCCAATATGAGATGGCAAGTCCAGCAGCGATGAAGGCGCCGGCGGAGATCATCAGAATGGTGCCTTTGCGATGGGACTTGACACATTCTGCTTGATACGCTGGAACGGTGGAGGTGGTGAAGCCGTTGCCTGTCTCTGTCAGTGCGGTGCGCGACAGTCTGAATCATCTAACATACCGAACCCAGCGATGAATCTGCCAGCTATGAATTGACCAAAATTGTACGATGAGGATTGAATGATCTCTCCGATGATCCATATCACCAAGCCTAGCAGTAGAGTCTTCTTACGGCCAAGATAGTCTCCGATGAAGATGGTTAGGATCGCAGAAGCAAAACATCCAAGATTCCATGTCCCCATTGTGATACCTATCATACACATCAACGGCGTCAACTCGGTAGACGGATAAGCCTACCCTGTAGGCGTGCATTGTGCCCCGAAAGATTGTTTATGGTATCGATTTGAGGAAATTCTGCCAGAAAGGCTGGCATTGTCAACAATGCACCCAGGACTCCTTGTGCGTAGCCAAAACATCTGTGAAAATAGTCAATGATCCGCTCAATATGATCCAGTTCTGGTGACATTACAAGAAGCACAACCCGCATACTGCGCTGATCGTGGACCCGAGTCGAGCTCCTCTCAGACCGAGGAACCTTGTCATTGTTGCCGTTTGTCTATTCAGAGGCGTTTGAAGATGGAATTAAACGGAACTGAAGAAGATTGCGATGTGCATAGCTACCTCAAACGAAATCAACGTTGGGATGGTTGGATTGATACCCCAGGAATAAACGTCATAGCTGATCGTTCAACCGCGTGGCTTTATTAGTGCTTGCATTCGAACATGAGAGGATAATTGCATGCCCTCAAAAGAATGCTCGTCATGTCTGATCATCTAGATTTCGGAGGTTGAGCCGCAGATGCGCTATTGTACCGATCTTGATGTCATTGACATTAGGGTTCATCGATTGGTCGATTCCCTTTGGGGCCACCAAAGTCCATCGCACGCTACAGATGGAAAAGCGGAACCACACCATAGTCAACGGGCGTCATGGACGGGAGGGCCACGAGGGAGCATGCTTAATGGTGGGGAGGTAAACTTAGTTTCCACGCCACGGTTCAGTGAACGTCTCGATCTCAGATTCAACGAAGATATCGGTACCTAATTGTGGAACGCAGTCATACAAATCATTCGATATACAAATATTGTACAATATCTACTTCGATAGGAAGCTCTGGAAAGCCTCGTGGTCGATGACGACAGATCCCACTGCCCTCAACTTCTTTCTGCCCTCCTTTTGCTTTTCCAGTAGTTTCCTCCTACGACTGATGTCGCTGGCGTGAAGCTTGGCCAACACGTCCTTTCGGAACGGCTTGATGGTCGCGCGGGCTACAATGCGTCGACCAACGGCGGCTTGGATGACTACTTCGTACATCTGCCGATCCACATGTTCCTTGAACTTTTCCACCCATGCCCTACCGACTTTGTCTACTTGGCTTGAATGCAGCACACGTGCAACGGCATCGACAGGTACACCGTTGACAAGCAAGTTCAACTTCGAGATGCTCGACTTGCGAAAACCAGCATCTTCGTAGTCCAAAGATGCATAGCCCTTCGTGACGCCCTTCAATTTGCCGAAGAAGTCGTCGACAAGGTGCGACAGGGGCAAATCATATTTCAAAATAACTTGTGTTGCTGTGAAGAAAGTGAGCTCCTTCTGTTCCCCGCGATTGCCTTCGCATAACTCGATCACCTTTCCCAAGTACTCATCGGGGAGGGTAATCGTCGCGGATACGTATGGCTCGTGGATCTCCGCAACTTTCATGTGGGCGGTATCCTGGTCTGGGAAATCGTTCGGGTTGGAAATAACCTCCTCTTTCCCATCCCGCCATATGACCTTGAATGGCACAGACGGAGGTGTGATAATGATGTTTGCACCATGCTCTTGACGCAGGCGATCTTCAAACACAGAGCAGTGAAGGGTTCCGAGAAAACCCAGACGCCAGCCTGCACCCAGTGCATCAGATGATTCCTTTTGCAAAGTGACACTGCGGTCATTGAGAATAATCTGTTGGATACTATCCTCAAGGTGTTCGTAGTTATCTTGATCAGTCGGAAAGGCCGCGACAAAAACCATGCTCTTAGGTTCTTCAAAACCGGGATAAGGCTCCACGAGTTTCTCCGAGCCAACTGTAGTGTATGTATCGCCGACCTTCGCTTCTTGAGACTTCTTCATTCCAGGATTGAAGTGGATATATCCGACCTGTCCGGCCTTGAGCACGGTCTGCGGTGTTTGATCGGGATACATGATCCCCACTTCACCAACAATATACTTAATGCCTGTAGCAAAGGACCTGACACTATCTCCAGGTTTGACTTGCCCGTCGAATATTCTGACGAGTAGAATAACACCCTTATACACATCATACCAAGAGTCTACCAGCAGCAAGCGAAGGGGCTTTGAGCTATCGCCTTCAGGTGGAGGAATCTGTTCCACTACATTTGGCAGCAGCGATTCAACGTTGACACCAGTCTTTGCGGACACAAGAACAGCGCTGTCTGGATCAAGCTCGAACGTATCCTTCATCTGTTCCAGCACTCGTGGAGTATCGGCGTGGGGTAGATCGATCTTATTGATAACTGGCATCAATGTCAGGCCCTGGGCGAAGGCAAGATAGAAATTGGCCACCGTTTGCGCTTGAACACCTTGGCTGGCATCCACAAGAAGGAGTGCTGGATAAATTAGCGCTTCGTCATAGCACAAGATTCTGGTAGCACATACCTCCACCACAGCTAGCATAACTTCTTGACACCTCTGCTCGGAAATCGACATGCCCGGGCGTGTCAACAAGATGCAGCAAATAGTCATCTCCTTTGTGATTGTATATCATAGTACAAGTTTGTGCCTTGACAGTGATACCTCGCTCTCGCTCTACATCCAGTTTATCCAAAATTTGTTTATTTCCACCGGGCTGGATAGTTCCAGTGAGCTCCAGAAGGCGGTCGGATAGCGTCGATTTGCCATGGTCGACATGCGCTACGATGCAAAAGTTACGATATCGTTCGATCGGAATCTCGGCGATGCGCTTTTCAAGCTCAGATTGTGCTCGGAAGGGAACTGCATAGTTTCTGGCGTAAGCTGGAAGCCGTTCAAGGGCATTCCGCATGCCATTGGGAAGGACAGTGCGGGCCCGCCCACATTGCAGTAGGCTGCTCGCTGTCCGGAAGCATGCTCGCATGAGTTCGCATGAGATCGAAAGACAATTGACTGCTTGCGAGCTCTTCCTGGCGTCGAGAGAAAAAGTTGAAGGCTAAGGTTGCCGGCATCGAATGATGATGACATAAGCAACGATATTTACCAATCGGGGCTGCTTGGTTTTCAGATTCCGACCATGCACCCACGCACTCCACGATACACTGCAATCCATCAACATAGCTATATCGAGCATAAATTTGTGCAAGTCTCATCGTCCGTCCTTTGTTAGAAAAGCATCCATAAGGACCAAACCTTCCCAAGGCTTTCAAAGAAGGAGACTGTACACACTCACCTTACAGTTGCCCCGACAACAAACATAAACATTGAGGGCCCCTATCTAGAAATCCTCACCTTCTACACCATAAAGTAGCCATGTCGCAATCCACTTCATCGCGGTCGAAATCATCGTCCTCTAAGAAGGACCCTTCCAAGGTTCATAAGCTTGCATTGAAGGGTACAGTTCTGGCGTTCATAGTTGTATACAGCGTGCGCTGACAGTAGTCATAGGATCTTCAAAGGTTGTCAATGAGTTTTTCGAATATTCGATAAACACGATCCTGTATGTGTCAAAGCCGTTTTTATGAGCCAAAAAAATCTAATTATTTACAGGTTTCAACGTGGCGTTTACCCAGCAGAGGATTTCACTGCGTAAGTTTCGGCATTTGGACAAACGAGAATTCAACTGACGACTAAATAGAGTCAAGAAGTATGGCTTGACGATGATGAGTATGCCAATATTCTGCCACGATATAGAAAATTCACTGACAAGTAGAAGTAACGGCCGATGATCAGGTCAAGGCATATATCAAGAAGATCATGGGCCAGCTGAAAGAATGGATGTACGGTGGAAAGATATCTAAGCTGGTTGTTGTAATCACCAGTAAAGAGACAGGCGAACATGTGGAGCGATGGCAGTTTGATGCAAGTTACCATTCAAAATTCCTGAGACTTTGGACTAATAATAGTTAGGTACAAATTTTTGGAAAAGGCTCCAAGAGTAAGACATCAAAACGGTCGACCGAGAAAGAGAATTCCGCACCAGAGTAGGTGAATTTATTTGGATTTTGGAATTGCTCTAACAGGATTTGTAGGGCCAATGAAGGCACAGCCGACAAGACGGATGAAGAGATCCAGGCCGAGATTCAGTCTATTTTCCGCCAGATCACTGCCTCTGTTACCTTCCTGCCGATGTTAGACGGTAATTGCACCTTCAACGTTTTGGTCTATGCGGATGCGGACTCAGAAGTGCCGCTTGAATGGGGCGACAGTGATGCAAAGGAGATCAAGAATGGGGAAAAGGTGCAGCTGCGAAGTTTCAGTACGAGCAACCATCGTGTCGATACTCTCGTTAGCTACAGGTAAGCCTCATCTCCCTGTTACATTAATGGTACTGACGGATTCCAGGCTAGCCGACTAATTGGTTTATCTTCTGGGTTCCACGAGTACGGCGTGTTGTCGCACAGGAAGATGTGTTCGGGAGTAAGGCGTCTAGGATCATCAACTCACTGCAAGCTTGGTACATTGAAGGCGTATTATAACTTTTCGGCCTCCTGCTGATCACAGATGGTATACTCTGTAATTTAACGATCAACTTTCTCGATTCTGAACAGAACTACGGAAGCAACTATACACACACCCTGCATGAAGCTCTTCTCAAATGTGAAAACCTGCATTCGGTGCGCTCACAGCCACGAGTCCACAAGCGTTGCTCTTGCGTAACGCTTCTCCCTTGTGCCGGAAAGCCTGCACCTAGGCATCCTATCTAGACCAAATCTAGGGCCACGACGACCAGAGCTACTACGAAAAAGATGCTTGACCCAAGCGTTCTCAAATCTTGTCATCAAACCCCCAACACCTTCCCAGAAGAGGTATTCAACGTCTCCACCCGCTCTCATTTCTTCCGTCACCCGCACCCCGCTATCACGCACAATGAGGAGCCGACGACGCGCCCTACTAGCTAATTACCCCATCCTTCTCCGCTACAATACCGAGAACACAGACTGGGAACACGAAAGTTTTCCCATACAATCTCCATTCTCTTGGCCCTCTTTATTTCACCATTGAGACAGGTAATTATATTTGCATAGTCGAAGCGTCAACAATGTTCATCAATCTTTGTGGTTAGCAGAGTCCGAGAACAGACCTGCTACCCCACACGCGCGTTGTTCGACCACAGGCCCGGGTCGATAAGGGATCAACACGTGTGGGAGACCTTGGGACCAAATTCAACATCGCATCTTTTGGCTTGACAACATACTTCTTGGATCTTTTAATGTGTTGATGATGCCTTGGCAGTTTGAATTTCACTAGGTCTCTCGGCGACCACAAGGGCTAGGTCGAACCATGGAAGATAAAGGGTTGGGTTCGAACGAATGCGATAGTACTGTATTCGCAAGTTTCTCCCAACTTCTCTCTGCTTACACGCTACGCAGATACAGTATTACAATCCGCGATATAGGAAAGCCAAGGATACAGTCGGTATCTATCGACCAGAGAGCAGTCGAGAACATCGTCGATGCTTCTCCATTTCCAACGGTTGAGCAAGACACCGTTTGCTAATGATGTGTAACCGTCTCACCACGCCTCTCCCACCAACCTGGGAGGCTACCATCCCTCGTTCAGCCCTGCCAATGAGATGGGCTTGCCCGGTTCAGACAGTTCCATACAAAGGTACCTGAACTGCACCCCTTCACGGACCCGTATGAGGTTCTGGTACAGACAGCGTTTTTGTGTGGCGGATTTAAACGGCCAAACTCCTGCACATCCGTCGATTTCCCCCTCCTCTGGATTGCGACATTACCACCAATTCAACACATTTGTGCTTTAGCTTCTCCTATATCTGGCTGGCGTGTCCAATCTTGAATCCAGGGGGAGTGCGCTGGTGGCCTTGCAATTCCTCTGGAGGGAATTCAAGCACATACATCTACACTAGGAAAGTTCTGCAAAAAAACACATTGCATGAGCAGCGAGCAGTAGCAGCCATGCCACTTTTCAAAAGTTACCGTGCGCCAAAACCGCCGCAGCAGCCCGCACCACAGGATGCCGCCATCTCCCTCCCAATCACTTCCGAAAAGCCTGACCCCTCAGTGCCTTTGAGCCCCCTCGATACCCCTCCCCAGGCGCCGACAACATCGACCTGGCATCCGCACCAGGCGCGCTCGTCGTCGTCTACAGAGAACACCGGTCAAACAGGGAGCTATCCCGATGGCGATTTCCGCAATGAGTCGGCTGCCACCATCAAGGATATCAAGTGCGAGGTCATGGTGAACTGGCTGCACTCGAAGCAAGAAGAGCGAATCTGGACGACGGGGCACCCGGGCGAGGGTGTAGTGCTGAAGCAGACGAAGGGGCGATATGTATGCTGTCCTTCTGAGCTGCAGGATGATGATTCGCAATTCTACCAATCCGTTTCGAGCTTAAATGTTAGGGTACGTGTTCTTTGCGTCTTGTTTAGATTTTTTTCGTGTGAATCATGGATTTATCTTGGTTTTGAGAGAAGGAATTGACAAGTGCTTATATGTATTTGATAGGTGGCTATGACCGTGAACACTCGGGTCATCAAGTTGATTCTGCAGAGGAACGACCTGCCGTTCGTTGAGATTACGAGTGGTCTCCGGTTACAAGTTGTACCCTCGCTCCGAGAACTGCCATACTGCCAGAAGCACCAGTCGGCAGCTTTCATCCAGGAGGAGCAACTTTTGGTCGTATGGGAAGACGACCCGAAGAGACTGCTGGAGCGAGCCACCTTCATTGAATCGATGTTGATGCAAAGAGTGTGGGGGCAAGATCCCGCAGTCCCTGGCTCCAACGACCAAAAGGGGGCATTCGCCACCGTCACGCGTGCAGGTGAGGACGATACAGAGGTCGCGGCGGAGAAACCTAGAAGGCTCGTTTTGAACCAATCCGTCCTGACGGCGGCGACATTGACTCTTGTGTTGTCGGCGATCGGTAGCGGATGGAGGAACATCGCTATAGAACTGCTCGTCGACAGGAACTGGATCCGGATGGGATTCCTAGCTTGCCTGTTTCCCCAGATATGGCTCGCTTTGGTAAGAACCCCAACCTATTAATCATGCTGAGCGCCCCTAAGATCTCTTTACGCCCGCTGACAGACAGAAATAGTTCTTCTTCCAAGCGCTCGTGGGAAACTTTGCGCAGCTACTCGGTCCCATCGGCCAGGTCCGCGAGAACACGAAGTACTACTCTGGCCAGCCGCCTCGACGTCTTCAGCGCGACGCTGGGACGGGCCTTCCGCATGTAACCATCCAGATGCCAGTGTATAAGGAGGGCCTCCACGCGGTCATCGAGCCCACGATCCGCTCCGTCAAAGCGGCCATCTCGACGTACGAGCTCCAGGGCGGGACGGCCAACATCTTTGTCAACGACGACGGGATGCAGCTCATACCGTCCGCCCAGGCCCGAGCCCGACAAGACTTCTACGACGAACACAATATTGGATGGGTGGCAAGACCGAAGCACAATCCGAAGCCCGCAGAGGGCGAGCGCAAGTTCGTGCGTGCAGGCAAGTTCAAGAAGGCGTCGAACATGAACTACGCACTCGGTGCCAGCATCGAGGTGGAGGCCAAAATGGCAGATGCCCACCGCACGGATGACTGGAACCAGAGAAACGAGAATGAACTGTACAGTGCGGTGCTGTCTGAAGTCATCCAGGCGCGCGAGGGCGAGATGTGGGCTGATGGCAACATCCGCGTTGGAGACTACATCCTCCTAATCGACTCGGATACTCGAGTGCCCACAGACTGCCTGCTCGATGCGGTCAGTGAGATGGAGCAGTCCCCGCAGGTTGCTATAATCCAGTACGCCTCCGGCGTCATGAACGTCACTGAGAGCTTCTTCGAGAAAGGCATCACCTTCTTCACCAACCTCATCTACACACAGATCCAGTACGCCGTTGCAAACGGCGATGTCGCACCATTTGTAGGCCACAACGCCGTGGTCCGCTGGTCCGCCATGCAAGACATCGCATACGACTGCCCTATCGACAAGCGCGAGAAATTCTGGTCCGAGAAGACCGTCTCCGAAGACTTCGACATGTCCCTCCGCCTCCAAACCAACGGCTACGTCGTGCGCTTCGGCGCCTACAAAGACAAAGGCTTCAAAGAAGGCGTGTCCCTAACCGTCTACGACGAGCTCGCGCGCTGGGAGAAATACGCCTACGGCTGCAACGAACTCATCTTCCACCCACTCCGACACTGGCTCTCCAAGGGCCCCTTCACCAACCTCTTCCGCCGCTTCATCTTCTCGTCCATGCCGCTGCCTTCCAAGGTCACCATCCTCGCCTACATCGGCACGTACTACGCGCTCGGGTCCGCGTGGATCCTCACCCTCATGAACTACTTCCTCGTCGGCTGGTACAACGGCATGGTCGACCAGTACTACATCGACTCGTTCAAAGTGTACTTCTCCATCGTCGTCGTCTTCACCGCCATGGGCAACGTCTCCCTCGCCGTCCTGCGCTACCGCATCGGCGAGAAAAGCCTCATCGCGTCCCTCTGGGAAAACCTCACTTGGGTCCCGCTCCTTGTCTTCTTCCTCGGCGGCGTGAGCATCCACGTGTCCCAGGCGCTCGTCTGCCACATGTTTAGCATCGAGATGTCGTGGGGCGCTACGGCGAAGGAGGTCGATAACGTAACGTTCTTTGAGGAGATTCCGAGGGTGATTAAGAAGTTTAAGTGGACGTTTCTGTTCTGTATTGCGTGCGCCGCGATGATGGTGGTTCTGGCGACCGTGGTGCATCCGCTTTGGAGGATCACGTCGTTTACGCCGATTTGGTCGCTGTCGTGCGTCGTGGTTATGCATTTCCTGGTCCCGATCGTGCTGAATCCGAATTTGATGCTGTTTACTTGGTAGGTTTGTGCTGTTTGTTTGGGGGAGGAGTTGGCGTAGGGGAGGGAACTGGTGGGAATGTTTTAATTCATGGTTTCACAGTTTGGGATTCATTCATAGAGAGGGTGCGCTTATTGCAATAATATGATATAATTCGAGGTGTTTGTTATGATGATTTTAGGACTCCCAAACAATGCTAAGGTATATCTCTCCCCATCCACATCATCCGTCATGAACCACCTTCAACTTCCGAAAATGCAACGCCTATGATATGCACAAAAACAAAAACCTCCAGAAAAGGTCTACACCATTCACAAAGCATCCCAACCGTCTTCGAACATCGTTCTCTTCGGAGCCAAATCCTCGTCGTCGAGATTGAGTCTGCGAACGACTTGCATTGCTCCCGTGCCAAGCTTGACGCTCTGGCCCATGATGATACACTCCGACACGCCGTCGATGTGGTCGACCTTGCCCTTTGAGGCGGCCTCGAAGAGATGGTCGGGCGTCTTCTCGAAAGAAGCGAGTTGCAAGACTGAGTCTCTCGTCTTCTGCAGACCGAAACGCGTGATACCGAACACTTCGCCCTTGAACGTCATGACGTCGGCGAGAAGCTGCATGTGACGCGGATCGATGTCCATAGAACCCATGACGGATCCGATTTCGGCGATGATGGTGGAGCGTGCGGCTTCGATACCGAGCACTTTCTTGACTTCCATGACGTGGTTGGACCTTGTCTTGTACGGCTCGATACCGGGCGTGGTCAAACAGTCCTTGAGGCCGTAACCTTCCACAAGCAATTGGCACTCGTAATGGCCTTGGTCATTAGGCGTCGTATTCTTCTTGATGATGGCACGTTGACAATCGGCATAGCCCTTGATGACGACCTCCAGAATCAGGTTCTTGACTTGTTGCACGCGCTCAAAGTATTCCTTCTGATTGCGGGTTGTCTTGGCGGTTGATCGTTTGGTGGATGCACTTGGGTCCGCAACCTCTACACGAAGGATGCTGTTGGAGAATCGAATGCCTGTGCCTCCTTTGCCCCATTTGAGAGGCTTGTACGTCTGGATCGCATTTGCAATCTCTTGCATGCTCACCTCGACAAAGAGGCTGTTGACGACATCCCAGTCTACTTGAAGCGCAACGTAAGCACCACTTGGATGCCACACGTCTTCGACGTACTTTACGATATCGCGAAGGAAAGTCTTCTCCACACGGGCCTTCACAACCCGAGCAGCTTTATCATCGATCTTGTTTGACAGCTCGCAAGCAATGACAGGAGTCGAAATGTTGGAAGACGCGTTGATGATTTCCTTGATACGCGGGACACCTTGAGTGATAGACATACCAGCAACACCAGCAAAATGGAAAGTCTTCAGCGTCATCTGTGTACCAGGTTCACCAATGGACTGGGCACCAATAGCGCCAACGGCGTGGCCAGGTTGCACCCTAGAACGATCATACTTCGTCAGGCAAAGCGTGATGAATGTGTCCAAGGCAGACTGTGAAATCTTGGCAATGCCATCTGCAAGGGTGAATTTATCGGCATCTTCGGGGCCACCACGCTTGGGTTGCATGATACCAAGGTGGTCAAGAGTTGTCTGTAGCGTATTGGCCTTTTTGTTGATGTAGTCTTGGACCGTATCTAGGAAATCACGGATGGACTCTTTCTGGTCGATGCTGTCGTCGCTCTTGTCGTTGTAGGGAAGCCTGGTAACACCATCAAGTTTGTAACGATGATACTTGTTACGCTCGGCATTCAGTTTTGCAAGTGTATGAGATTTGATCTCCTCAGGCGCCAAGCTGGGTTCTTCATTGTTCCAAGTCGACGTGACGGCATGGGAGAACGTACGGTCAAAATTGACAGGCTTTGCCTTGCCCTCCATGTCCACAGGATCCAAGTTGTCATCTCCATATAGGAATTGTACAATGGTACCAGACGAGTTCCGAACCGTGTCATCGTACTGTGCAGACAGATCTTCGAGGGACTTCATCAATCGTCTACTCATGTAGCCAGTCTCGGCGGTCTTGACAGCAGTATCAACCAAACCTTCACGACCACTCATGGCGTGGAAGATGAATTCGTAAGGCAAGAGTCCAGAAAAGAAACTATTCTTCACAAACCCCTTGGACGCGGGCTGACGAGAAGATTTGGGGAAGTGCGGAAGTGTTCTATGATGGAATCCATCTGCAACTCGAGCTCCGCCAATCATTTGTTGCCCCACGGAGGCAACCATCTGGGACACGTTGATGTTGGAACCTTTAGAACCGCACTTAGCCATGAGCAATGGAGCATTCCATCTACTGAGCTCATCGAAACAAATATCTCCAGCGGCTTGTCGCACACCCGAGAGAATACCACCGATTCGATTCTCCATTGTCTTCTCTTCGTCGCAACCGGGATCGCGTTGCAGTCTGCCGTTCTCGAAGTCTTCAATGAGCTGGTCACATTTCGCGTACGCCTCCTGGATTAGTGCCTCCTTCTTACGTTCAAGCATCTGTCCAGGAGTGACATCGGAGATACCAATGGAAAAGCCGTTATTGGTCAACCATCGAGCAGAGAGCTTCGCTAGTCGATTCATGCCCTGGACTGCGTAGTCGGGCCCAAAATCTCTCATCAGAACGTAGAAGACCGAGTCTTTTTTACCATCGCCCACGGTAGCCTTGTCCATGACACCGCACATCACTTCCGAATTTCGGATGACGAGATAGGCATCGTCCATACTGAGATCGTGGGCCTGGCCTGGAGTGGGCTTGAACTGTTTTGCCGCCGCCTCGAGGTTGACCAAAACCTTTGATTGCTTATTTGGTCGCATCAACAGATTGAATACTTGCTTGCCCGTCCAAAGTGCTTGAGGTTTCCAGATGGTAGGGGGTGGAATCTCAACAGGGAGGGTTTTGCCAGTGTCCGGATCGTAAGCTCCATCTCCATTAAACATGTAGTTGACGATCTGGCAGAATGTCCTGCGGTCAAAGAAGTTGTTCTTGCTGCTTAGTTGATAGGCAGCCGTTATGAAATCTTGAATAGCAGCAATGAGGGGTGTTCCGTTCTTGGGTGTGGCCAAGTTGTTCTTCACACCCATCAACTCAATTGCCTCGGTACGTGCCTCTTCGGTTTGGGGAACATGGAGGTTCATTTCGTCACCATCGAAATCGGCATTGTACGGATTGCACACGCACTCGTTCAAGCGGAAAGTTCTCCAGGGTCGGACCTTTGCTCGATGACTCAGAATACTAAGTTTGTGCAAGGAAGGTTGTCGGTTGAAGAGAACCACATCACCATCTTCGATATGTCTCTCAACAATGTCTCCAATTTGTAGAAAGTTGGCCTGCTTGTCAAGCTTATTCTGGCTATCTGCTGCACGTGAAAGACCCTGTAAAGTAATCTTCGTGTTCGTCTTCGGCTTGATGATAAAATTGGCTCCAGGGTAGCGGAAAGCACCGTTTCGAATGAGTTTCTTTAATTTCTCCAAGTTGTATCTGGTAGCCTTCTCTGGGTATGTCAAGTTCTTCGCGACACGTTCTGGGACTGCGACCTCTTCGATACTTAGGTTGGGATCGGGACCAATGACTGTACGCCCAGAGAAATCCACACGCTTTCCTGAGAGGTTCTGTCGGAATCGACCGCCCTTTCCTTTCAACCTTTGACAAAATCCGCGCATCGTTTTGGTGTTAAGACCCTGTTGTTTGAGACCCGGAACTTCGCTGTTGATATACATGGCGATCTGTAGTTGTAGGAAATCCCATTGCTCCATGAGTACCTGCAAGGGAAATCCACGCTGGAGGCCAGCTCGGATGATGCCGCTTACATGGACGATGTCACCGATTTTGTTTGTGATGTCATCCTCGGTCGCGCCTGCCTCCTGCATGACTGAAGGACGAATTGCGACCGGAGGCACTGGAACGTATTCCCAGATCAACATTTCTGGTCGAGCATCGTCTGGAATCATACAAAGGAGCTCGCAGTCCTCGGGGGCGATCTTCTTGAAGAGGTAAAGGACTCGCAGGGGGTGCATATCGTCGACGGCTTTCTTCATGTGCTTATCGACCTCGGGGTTGGTTGCTTTGGTGGCTGCGAATGACTGGTCGAACTCTACTTTACCGGGCGGCGGTTTCTTTGTTTTTGCGGTGGAGCGGTTGAAGGCATCGTACTTGTTGTGGATGATCTTCAGCGGATGGCCAGCGACCTTGCGGATAGTACCATTGACAGCGTCGCAGTGGGGACAGCGCTTCTTCTTCCTGCACTCCTCCATGATCTTCCTAGCGATGCCGACCCTGAGCAAGTTGTCCTTGCCAGCGCGGCGCATGGTGCGCAGAGATCGCCTCCTCTCGTCGTGATCCAACAGGACACGCGAACATTCCTTGCAGATGCAGTGTAATACTTCGATGATTTGCTTAAGGTATCCAACATGAAATGCGGGCAGAGCCAGCTTGATGTGACCAAAATGGCCATTGCAGGTATCTAGGCCTTCGCCGCAGGTCTCGCAACGGCCAGTTTTACTCGATATGCCCATATGGGCATCCATGGGCCCGTGGGCGGTGTGGGTGCGGACAGCTTCGTTGGCATTGGTGAGGTCGTATACGTTACGGTCAGAAACCTCGAGAACAGCCTGGTTGACTATGTCTTGGTTGGAGCTGTAGAGATGTGTTAGTAGCTGGAATAGCGCGGGCGCAAACGAGAAGGGAAGGCGCACAAGATGCCGAACTGAATCTGGCGGATGCGCGCTGGCACCTTGTCCACGACCTGCTGTTTTGCCTCCATTGCGCTGGCCACAGGATGGGTGTGATGTTATGTGAATTACGATTTGCAGGTGCGCTCTGCGTGAAAGGGTAGGATATTCTGGAAGCCGGCTAGAGGGAAACGACGACTGGTGGTGATTGCCCGTTACGAGAGCGTCTCATGGCGTGGATAGAATTTTGGTCCGAGTGGGATCGGGTGTCCGTGAGTCTACGAATGGAGGGAGGACGCTGAAGAAGATGTTGCTGTATAGTCACAGTCGCAAGTTGCTTGAGGACAAAAGTTTCAGTGAAAGTTGGGTGGGGCACCAAAGCTACTTCCTATCCCAATTGATGCTAGCGACGCTAGTGATCTTTTGGACTAGCGCGCGTGTCGTCCCGCCGTCCCCTTCCATCCAAGCCCGAGTAGAACAGTCATCGACTCAATCCTGCCAAGAGACGCTAAAAGGTGGCAGGTCAGGTGTTGCCGATAAGGAGACACGATAAGGAGGGGTCATTGATGGGTGAATGCAATAGACCGGAAGAACGGAGACATGATTGGCTGGGAACTTCAAGGCAGCTACTCTGACGTGTGACAACTTACGAGGTACATCTTGCGACTTGCGACTTGTTACAATTGCCCGCTTTTATATCTTACTGTACGGTACTCGGTACTCATCTTATGAGTACAGTACACTCATATACACCTAAATGGAATCATCAGTACAAATAATAGTGCAAATGGGACGACCTCTGCTCATCATTCATCAAAGTACTTCTTTCAACGCGTCCCTCCCTCTCTTAACACTTATGGGCGGTGTGTCTATCGTGTCACTAGATATTACCGTAACTAGAAGACAAGACATATTCCCCACCTTTTTGGCATACGCAATACAATACCATGTATCATACCGTGCATATCTCCTCATCTAATTAATTACCACAATATCGGCGAGTGAATGTTACGAGCAAGTACCTAGATAGGTAGATACCTGGTGAGGCACACCTACCAATAGCCAACGAGTTATGTACTCGCAACTCCAACTCCGCCTTCCATACATCGGCCTACTCGTGCTTCAGCCTAACCTCATCTCTCTTATTCATCTCGCAACCTACACCTCTACTCTACTCTGCTCTTCTTCTCCTTCTTTCTTTCTTCACACTCACCACAGCTCCCTCTTATATACTCCCTCTCATACAAACCTTGGTCGACTTTCCGCGTGCTTTTGCTTCTTTGACATACACCCCGCCCCGACCCACGGTTGTGAAACCCCCGTCTATAGGCTCCTCGCCCCTTTGGAAGCTCCGGACCCCCGCCAGCCTACGAATGATCTAACTTCCCACCCGACTTCACTCTGATCCCAAACCAAGGCTTGCTCCCGTGTTGAGTTACTTCATTCTACAAATCGCCAAGTCAATAAGAGTGACCGGTACTGCGTACACATACCTAAAGCATGGCTGGTGAGTCTATCTATATCTTCCCCCAACCCCGCATCCTCCCACTGTGCTCACCAACCCAAGATTCCATGGAAATTAGTCTCCTCTCCTTAGACGGAAGAGACGACTTCAGAAAGCGCACGTTCATCATTACTCCTTCCACGACGGTGCCCATCGGTCGAAGCTCCAAGAACACCATCAAGAATCTCATGCCCGCTGCCGACAACGCCTACATCGACAGCCCCGTCATCTCTCGCGACCACGCAAGGCTATCTGTTTCCGCGCCTTTCTACCCCTTCGACACGCCTGGCGTCTACATTGCTGATAACGGATCCATGCATGGGACATATCTGAATGGCAGCAGGCTGCCACGGCATGAGCTACAAAGACTCCATGATGGGGATGTCCTCCGTTTTGGAGATAACGTCGTCCGCGATACGGGTAAGTCGTATGGTCTGGCAACAGGCCCCACTTTCCCCGTTTCCCCACATCGCTGCGCACAACCAGACGCTAATAAGACAACAGAGTCCTTCATTGCCAAAACATATCGCTACAACGCTCGCAGAGCCCCCCAGATCAAGGCCGAGGGCCCAGATGGCTCTTTTCCCAGAGGAATCAGTGTTCCGGATGGCGCCACGTCGGACGACGAAGAATTACACCCCGAAGAAGTAACTCCTCCTTCGCGACCCAATCTTTATGGCAGCAAAGGCAATCCTGTCAATGTCGATGACTTTGAGGATGGGCCACGTTCTCTTCCTTCATACCATGAGCTTGAAATCTTGGCTGAAAAGGATGACTCTTTGCTCATTGAAGTATCTGCAACGAATTTACATAATAGGGGCCAGAAGGCAACTCCGTCGGCGGCATCTCCGAATGCATTCAACGAAGACGTGACTTCTCTTCCTAGCCCGGCTCACTACACTCTAGCAGACGGTGATTCATCAGAGGATGAAGATGATATTGATTATCCGGATGAGGAGAGCGACCAGCCAATGAGCACCAGTGACGATGAGACTGATTCTGCCAGCGAGGGCGATCTAGATGATGCAGGAGATAATGTAATCTCTGACGTCGATTCGGAATGCGATTCCCTCAACTCCCCAATCGCTCGAGCCGATCAAGACACCCAGACTACTAATCCCAGCCTAAACGCTGTGCTCAACCAAGAGCACGAAGAAGTGACTGTTGCTCCAATAGCTACGCCTACGAACGCTCCTCCCGCGCAGGCGCAGCCGACAGAAAAGCTCGACGACACAGCCAGTTACGAACAATATCGAAGCATGCCCAACCCAATATCCTTCTACCAACCCACTGGCCCTCAGCTACACAGTGAGTCTTTCTCCAACGGCTACTGGAGTGACAATATCGGAGGATCTCTTTCTCGCCCATTAGCACCTAAGTATGTCGGATGGGACGATTGTCTTGATATTGGCGCCGTTGCCGCACGGAATGACGCAACGCCCGATCATTGGTACCGTGGTCCCGACTTTACCCGTGATAACATGGCAGGATACAATAGAACTCCAACCTTCGACACGATCCCACATCCAGATGGCCAGGTTTCGGGCGACCCTACGGACAACATGCGCAGAACATACACAGATGGCACAGTTGCGGTCGATACAGCCAATGCTGTGATTGGTGTGCCTACTCCAGCCACCCCGGACATGAACAGTACAATCATGGCCTCCCCTCCTACAGCATTCAGGACTGGAGTTTCCATCGCTGAGATCGTCGACAATTGCCCTCAACAACCACTCACACCTCCGTCGGAACCAAGCCCTGCAAACTTGAAGCGGAAGGCAGATGTGCTCGATGATGTGGAATATGACGAATTGCCTCATTCTGCAGAGGCAGGAGCAGCAGAAGATGCAGTTGTTCCTCAAGCTCATCCGGAAGTGCAGCCCCGACCGCCGAAGAAGAAATCAAGAGTCATTGGTCCTATGGCCTCTGGAGTGGCCGGTTTTGTTCTGGGTGGAGTAGCTGTCGTTTCAGCTCTTTTGTGGACACCTGAGCAGGTGTTTGAGCAGTTCCTTTCCTAATTAAGCTTGTCAACTATCGGGATCTGGTGGGTATGAATGCCACCAATGTCACGTGGTGGATGGCTTCGACGATGGGCGTCATCAGTCTCTCTCACTCGTTCCACTTTCGTTTGAGAATCCTTGATTTCTAAGATTACGGGCAATATTTTATGGCGACGGGAATGGGCAAGGCGTTAAAAGGTGTCTTCTCCTTGCACAAATCGCTGGTCTTCCAGGGGCTTCACGAATATATTACCCCATCTTATACTACCGAGCCGGTCCTGCGAGGAACTGAGTTTCCATTTTCTCTTATGGCGTCGAATTTGCGATAGTCTGGGCCCCTCATGCATCTTATGTCAAATACCTCATGATAATCAATGAATTTTACTCTTACTATAGACCACTGCTTGGCCTCATCAGCCCTTCCCGTTGAAGTTATCTAATGCAATTTTGCTTCCATAAAAAGCCGGGCTCAAGTACCCAGCATTGCTATTCTGTGTCAGATTCAAGAAAGTTGATTTGAATATTACAATATAATCCTACAGTCCAATAATCATCATGTCATAAAAAAAAAGGAGAAACGAAGTGAAGACAAAAGAAAGGGTATGTCCGCATCGACGTATATAACACCAAGCATAAAGCTTAATAAAAGAAAAACAAGAAACCAGATGAATGCTTCAAACCTTCTTCTCACCCCCAGCATCACCACCATCTCGATGCTGGACCAATGTATGCTCCGGAATCGCCGGGACAGCTTCCTCCACAGTCCACTTCTTCCACTTCTTGCCACCGTCATTGTCGTAGGGAGAAATCACATCGTCATCCCCATTGACAAGCGTACTCGTTGTATCGACCCTGACAGGCGGACGCCTCCCCACTGGACTCGCAACCTCAATATCATCTTTCTCATCATCCCCTTTCTTCTCCGTCGTATCGTTCGTCACGGTGTCATCGGAATCAAAGCTCTGAACCTTCTTCACCACCGCCTTCGTCGTCACCTCACCCTTCAGCGAACCCGTCTTCGACGACGTCTCCGACACCGACTCCTTCCCATCCCACCCCGCAGGCGCAACCAACCTCGCATGCCCCCAATCCCTAACATCCACCATCGCCAGCTTCTCCCCCTTCTCCCCGACCGTGACCGGATGCCCCAACCACCCACCATACCGCCACGTCCCGACGCCGAGGTTCTCGTGCGCGAGCCGCTGGAAGTGCAGCGTGGTGTTGAGGTTCCACTCCGCGCGGGCGTACGCCGTCGCCTCGTCCGACGACGAGGTGCGCGGGATGAGGCGCGGGTGGTGCGCGTGCATGTACTCTAGCAGCGGCTCGAGGAGGAGGTCGAGCGCCATTATCAGCGTGCCGATGGACAGGATGAGAAAGATGCCGAGGACGGAGAAGGACGAGTATTTCGTTGTTGTGATTTTCTGGCTGCGGCAGAGGGAGGTTTGTTCGGTGCCGTTTGGCGCGCGGCGGAAGCGCTCGTAGAGGGGCGCGGGGCCCTGGCCGGCTTCGACGAAGGAGCCTTGGACTGAGGAGAGCGAGGCGTCGGCCCAGTGCTCGACTTCGTGTTGCCATTGGAGGTCTGGGAGTGGGCCTTGGTTGTTGCCGGTTAGGCCTTGTCGCGCGGTGATGGCGGTGACGCCGAGCGTGTCCACGATGCCGGAGATGGAGAAGAAGCCGAGTTGGAAGATGTCGACGGCCCATTGGAAGGTTTTCTTCTGCGAGGGCGTTTTGTAGAGGGTTTGCCAGTCGAACGAGTCGTCGGCGTAGCCGCTCAGTGGGCCGCAGCGCTCGCCCTCCGGGAGATTGGGGTTGCAGAATTGCGTCTGCATGGCGCAGCCCATGACGCCGACGGGTTCGTCTTGCACGTAGGTCATCCGGGATGTGGAGGTGTTGGCGACGCTCCAGAATTTGTCGCCGTTGCGGTGTGCGGAGAACCAGGGGTCGTCGACTTTGTGCTCGAAGAAGATGCCCGGCGATGAGAGGAAGAAGAGCATCACGTCTGCGTCGCGCCGTTTGAGCTCTGGGATGGGTTTCCACTGGCCGTACTTCTCCAGCCAGTCTGGGCCGCCGTAGGATTTGATTACACTTGAGTAGATGGTCAGTGATAGGTTCTAAGGAGTGACAACTCGTCAGTGTTTCGGACGTACCCAAGCTTGTAGTCTGCACGGGGAGCAGCCCTCAAGGGACGACCCCTCGTCTCGAGCTTGCTATTACTCTCCAGCGTCGGCGTCTCCTGCGTATAGTTCTCTCCATGCTCAGCGTGCGTCAATTCGCCATAGTAGTACTGCATGACCTCTTCGCCATCGTCCTCGCGTTTTATCCGCATGTTGTAGCCCTCAGTGACGACCGGAGCACAGTGATGCACGAGTCGCAATTGGAACCGGTTCTCCTTTGGCGTGTTGATACCCAGGTCCTTGAGGCTGTCTATGTATCCAGAGTCGACGATCAGATTCTTGTCCTTGGACTTGCACATCTTCTCGTCGAAGGGGCAGCTCGCGTTGCGGATCACAGTCGTCTTGAGCTTCGACTTCACGTATGGATGGCAGTCCTCCGAGACGGACGAGATGTTGCGGCTGTAACATTGCAACGCGTAGTTCGAGTACGCCGTCACCCTCTTGCATTGCATTGGGAGGAAGAGATCCGAATAGCTCGCATAGTCGAACTCATCGTTACTGACCAGCGGCCCGCAATTGTCGCCCTTCAGCAGTACCTCATTCGCAGTGTCCGTCGTGATCTGAGACGAGAAGACACCCGCAACACCAAACGACACGGACACGAATATCGCCAACACAATAAGTCCCACCAATCTCAGAAACTGCCTCCGCAACCTCACCGGAATCCTCCAAGCCCACACGATCTGCGACAACCCCCACGCCGCATCCTGCGCGGTGTCGCAATTGCGAAGGATGGCCTGCGTCTGGTGATAGATGCCATCTTGGGGCGTGGGATTGGACAGCATGCGATGCAGGAGGTAGCACGCAAGTCTCCAGAAGCTCTTCCCCGCGGCGCCGACGAAGATGGCGATGAATGCGACGAGCAGACCGCCCTCGCGCCGGCCCAGCGTCAACGTCGCGCCATTGATTTTCCCTTGCGACCAGTTCGTCCAGAATCCGAGGTGGACGTGGTACGCTGCTCCTCCCGCGTTGCTCATGATGTTTCCGCTTAACTAGGTAGCTGGCGGGGCGTGTTCACCAGCGACGACTATGGAGAGGATAGTAACGAACGAACGAGTGAACGAACGTATGGGGGGATGTGGGTCAGTCGTAGGGCGATACGCGACGGGAAGGAGCAGTAAGAATAATCGCCCGCTGCTGGTTCCCCTGACGCAGGAAGCAGGAGAGTCCGCAGTCGTCTTTTTAATCTATTTCACATGGAGGGAGAACCCTCATGATGGCTTCATCCCTGGGCGGCTTGATAATGGCATTGGCGTTGTCTTCTTCGCCCCCATGGCCATTTCGCTCTGGCGATCGCAGAAGTGTCGTAGTGATCTACCACCCACCAACTCAACTAACAAACAGCCCCCAAAGAAAGAACAGATACTAGTCAGTCGAGGGTCGAGGAACGAGGAACGAAAGAAGAGAAGGATAAACATAGCATAAAACCAAACCAAATTCGAATAGAAAAAAAAGATTCACCCAAGACTCCAAGAGCTCGTTTCAACCCCATGAACCAACCCTGCATCGGAAGATACGCCTCCCAGCCAGTAAGCACAGCGGGAAAACCGCTGGTTTGGCCGTCCCCTGGTACCTGCCATGCCCTGCTTACGGGAGAAATTGTTTGGTTTAGAATATTATCCGGGGTGTGCATACAAACTTATTCCGTTTTCTCGCACGGCTTTCTTTGGGTTCGGCGCGTAGGTATGTTGGTATGCCGTTGGTAATGTTATCTATCTGGGGCCAACAGTCGCGGAATCGGCTTGTCTGACGCTCACGCTCACGTTCGACGTAATGCCATGTGGAGTATCTGACTATGAAAACCCCGACTCCGGAAAGCCACGTTGGAGATCGATCTATTGCCCATTGTCCCAAACGAGTGGAGAAATCGAATGATGCCGTAGTCGAATTAGTATTCGTAGTTACAGACCAAGTCAAATTCGACGTCGAGGTCCAGAATGCTTACCTGACCCTGATCGCACCCTGCCCCGAACTCCCTATAATACAACCAGCAATATATTGAATGAGGCAAGGAACAAAGGGGCGGGGTTATTAATGATGCGTTGTATGCTCGTGCGTTTATTTCCTCGCCTGTCACCCTCCTACTTATTTTGTACCTAGACGAACGATCAGGAACCCTATCCGTGGAGATGGATTGTACAATGATGTCGCTCGGATCTTATAAATGTCCGGCTTATATGCGTGTAGTTACAATCTTTACATTGGTAATTTGAATACGAGGATTGCCAATGTGATTATTATAACGCAGCGTATAATTTGCGGGGCAGGAGATGGGGGATGGGGCGAGAAACATAGCGATGGTCTTGGAAGAAAGTGTCCAGACTGTTTCTCAATATGTGATCACTTGGTAGGCACATTCCATTCCTGAACTAAGAAAGGCAACTAAGAGTGTTGATCGAATACGCTGGGTGAACTGATGGGATTCCTAGGGGTTTAGTTGCAAGGTTAATATTGGGTGCACAGTGCAGGAAAATTGTTGGAGCAAGGAACATCGATACAAGGCCTGCCTGCCTGCATGGGTAGGAAAGATGGGTGAACCTCGATAGCGTGAATTTAGTGTATTTGGAAGAAAGAGTTATCGAGCTGAAGCTGGACCTATTTTTGCATGTACACCTTTTCACTCGAGTGTCCACGCACTTTTCGACACAGAAAGCTGCTTGCTTCCCTCCGCCACGGGCCCATTTCGCCATCATCCATTTCCAAACAAGGGATGTTCCAAGTTTTCTCACAGCGTGTACCTATAGAACGGGCTCTTGTCCCCCAAATCCAACAACTCCTGCTCCGAATATCTAGCCCTAATCTCCTCCTCAGTATTGTCCCGGAACAGCTGATCCCTCCTCTTATTCTCCCTATCGTAACCCCACCTAAGCACGAATGTCATCAGAACAGACAGAACGCACATGGTAAGACTGACGCCGAATCCGGTGCGATACTTGGGTGCCTCGCGGGCTAGGTAGATGTTCGACCCCATGATGCCGCCCATGTTGCCCACGGAGATGAGGAGAGCCATGCCGACAGCGCGTTTGGAGGACGGGGCGAGGGAGTTCGCGATCCAGGCTACGAGGCAGATGAAGGGGCAGTAGAGACCCCCCGCGACGGGGAATAGGAAGGCGTAGGTTAGACCTGGGTACTTTGGATGCGGGATCGCGAGTTGGGCAATGAAGCCGCAGGCGGCGATGCTAAAGCCTACAGCGATGAAGGGAGAGCGGACGCGGAGGCGGTCGGAGTACCAGGCGAAGATTAGAGTCAGGATCGAGGAAAAGACGTAGATGGGAATGGTGAGTAGTTGGGCGTTCGCGGCCGAGTAGCCGAGTTCTCTGATGACGGTAGGAACGGTTGCAGTGAATCTGGCAGTGAATGATTAGGCATATAGTAGTCAAGTGGGTTGCGAGGCTGAGAAAACGTACCCATAGACACCGCAAGTGTTTCCCCAGAAGATGACGATTGCAGCCCAAATCTTCCAGTCGGAGAGACCAGCAATAATATGATGCTTTTTGATCTTGTCCTGGTTGGTGACTTTTCCTGCACCCGAGCCAGTCTCATCTGCCAATCGATTGACCAAGAAGTCTCGCTCAGGCTGCGTTAAGAAACTCGCGGTTTCGGGCGAGTCGGGCAAGATCTTCCAGATGATAAGGGCCAAGGCAACGGGGACGAGGCCCTCAATAAGGAAGATCCACTGCCATCCAGACAGACCGGATCGGCCGTCGAGTTTCTGGATGCCGTATGCCAGCAATCCCGAGAATGCTCCTGACAACGACGCTGCGACATAGAAAACTGCCATGCGCCGTTGGACTTCATATCTTCGGTACCATAGAGTAAGCAAGAAGGTCGCGGCGGGGAAGAACCCAGACTGTGGCGTTAAAGATGAATTAGTATAGGTAGAGACATGTAGCTTGGGGTGGCTGCAGGCTTGGGAATGCTTGTGAAGCTTGGAGAAACGCACCTCAGCAACTCCAAGGAACCAGCGCGCGGCCAGCAAACCAGAATAACTGTTTACGATGCCCATGAGACTACATTTTGCATTAGAACATGACCTGCGCACGCAGCGACGAAGGGATCTACCCACGTCATAACCAAGCCCCAGGAAAACATGAGGATGGCCATCCAATGGCTTGGCCGCATCATCTTCAGAACAATATTGCTTGGGACCTCTAGCAAAGTATATGGGACGAAGAACAGCGTTACAGCCGTATTGTATTGCAAGCCATGCATGTTGAGATCATCTGTTAGACCCGCGATCTTTGCGTTGCCGACTGCGCAGAGGAGATGTGAGCACTCAAAAACCCAACCCCCGAATAATCATGAAAATGAGGGGGTTCTTACTGTTACTGCGGTCTATGAAGGCAACGAGGTAAAGTAGCGAGAGAATCGGAACTAATCGCACATCAACTTTCCTCAAGATGCGGTTCGCCTCCGCCTCTGGTATCTGGATGTGGTGCGCTTCGGCGTCATTGTCTGAACTTGCTTGTTTCTCATGAACATCTTCGATCTTGTTGTCTTCGTTGGTAGAGACCCTCTTCACGTCATTAGGTGCCTCGACGGCGTCGGTCGTAGTCATGGCGCTGCTTGTGCAAATGGAATTAAGAATTACTGTTCAATGAGAGGGGACGTGTGGGAGAGTGACCTTGTTCAACCTGACGGGCGGCGGGGCGGCGACGACGGCGGGACAGGAGCTTCTTTATTAGAGCACCCCATGTCTTTTCGGTCTGCAGGATCTCGGTAATGAAAGACGGCGGTAAATGCAGTGGATGTTGTAATGATGTGGGATGTGGGATGCGGTGGAACCGACAGAGAAGAATGACAAGGCAAGGTAAGGCGTCACGGCAAGGGAGGCCAAGTTGGTCAACCAACCAACCAGCAAACGTCACAATCTGGGGTTGATTTGCAGCCAAACTTGCCCATATATGCGGGGTGTGGGATACGAGTCGGCAAGAGGCCCCCGTACGAGGAAGATCATCCTTCCCCAGTTTTTGTTCATGGCTCCTCTCCACTATGAGTATGATCAGGCACTCGGAAGAGGGCACATTGACAAAGACCGAGGTTCCTCTTCCCCGACATTCACGCCGAGTCGTGGGGGTTTTAAGAACGGCGTTAGAGTTTGTAACTAATTAGTAGATAGACAACGAAAGCGGTGAATACAATCGGCAAAAGTCCTGTAGATGGGGTGATGTCAGATTATCGGTTCGCGGGGTAGATCAATCCGATGCCCAAGTTGGGTAAAAGAGCGACATCAGCATTTCGGAATACCTAAAACGCGTTGATGTCAGGTAGATCTTGATGTTACTCGTAAATGTTGAGTTAAAGTGATCCACTGAAAATCGGTACACCTTCCTGAATACACTTCGTCAGATAAGTACTGGATACCATTCAACATGAACCGACCACTGTGAAGTTAGTCAAGTAGTTGCAAGTCTTCACGCATGACTTCATCCATCACTACATGTGGAATAGCAAGATAATTGAAAGCAGAGCATACCGCACCAAGAGATGTTGAGAACAAATAATTCACTAAATAACAAATTAAAGACTTGAGACTTGATGACTAGATAAAATAGGAAAAACACGTTTAAAAGACAGAAAAGCTTCAGACAATAACATCAATAGAAACCAGCGCCATATACCAGAACACCGAATCAGACCCGTACATAGGAAACCGCCCATATCTCTGCGCAAATGTTACCACCTTTCGGAGATGATCAATTTATTCTTCATCCACAACTTTGCCATTACTTTCCCTTCCCTGGGTCCGTCTTGGTTCGGCTCAACCCTATCTTCTTCACTAGGGCGCCGATTCCACTCTCTCTTCTTTCAAGTTTCTTGATGTCATCCCTCTTCGGTCGAGCCTTCTCTCCCCATGGGCTCATCTCTTCCATCTCAATCTGCTTGCGTCTCTCAACAGCCAGCAAACCGACTTGTTCATTGAAAGACGACTTGTCAATCAAATCCTCGACCCTAATCTTCAGGTGATCCTGATCGAGAATGGATGCTACTTGGGCCAACCCCATAATATCTCCGCCAAGCTCGAAGAAGTTTGAATTCAATTCGAGGGCGACGGGCTGTCCATTTTCGTCGCGGAGAATCTGTTCCCAGGCTGAGCGAAGTTTGGCAGCAAGGGTGTTGACCTCGTGTTTCGAGAGACCAGTGTCATTGGGTAAGGTTACTGGCTGTTTCTCTGTTGATTTCTTGACGCTCTTCTCGGAGTGAAGGGTTGTAGAACTCTGGGAGGTGAGTTCGGATGGTGACGGCATCAAGGTATAGGGGTCCTCCCCGAAAGTTATCGCGGTTGCGCAAAGCATATCGAAGACGTTCTGTGCGTAATCCGCCGTGATGGTACTGTTTGGCGCGTATGTCAGGGTGACTTCAAGTTGATCTCCCCCACGATGCGTGGAAAGAATGGAGAAGTCGGCGAAGTCTTCCTGCGATCCCACAGCGCCCACCTTGTATTCGATGCCACCAAGCTGAAGAGTGGCATCATCCGAATGGATGTTTTGGTTATGCTGGACCACACTAGAAAAGTTTGTCCAATCCGGCCAGTCTGTGCAGTTGCGCGTTATCTCTCTGAACCCGAGAGACTCATATGGCATATTCGAAATCTGCTGGTCTTGAATGTATTCCAGCAGATGCAGTACCGTCCATTCGGGGCGGTATACCACGCGTACAGGGACCATGTTGATGCATGGTCCGATTATGCTCTCAACGTTTGGCACTCCACTGTTTCGGCCTGAGATGAGGTGGCCGAAAACAATGTCGCTCTTACTTGCGATACGCGCCAGAGTAGATGCCCATGCCGCTTTGATGACTGTAGCGACAGTAATGTTGATATGCGATAAGGTTGGCACTGTCAATGTTTGCTTGAGAGTAACAGTTCTTCCGGCCGAACGCTGATAGTTTGGACCATAGCGATTGACGACCTCGGTCATCTTGGATCCACGTAGCACCTCACGCCAATGGTCATGGGCACCAGCGACGGTCTTAGCAGATTCCCGGACATAGTTGCCAAAGCTGGGTGCAGAGGAGATCGGAAGGCCATTGTACCCAGCTTGAAGCGCACCAAGGATCTTCGGCAGACAGAAACCATCGTATTGCGCGTGAGACAATCGCATGAAGATACGATAGTGCTCGCTCTTCTTCTGCTTAGCAACCACGAATTGGACAAAGGTCTCACCAAGTCGAGGACCGTGCTCACGATCCTTCTGGCGAAGCTCTTCAGTGAACTCATCTAGCTCAAGGTCTGTGTCTTGGAAAATGAAGTCGGGCTGCAGCTTCCTCAGTACGACCTGTAGGAAACGATCGCCGTATGGCACAAAGACGGTTCGCAGAATGTCGAAAGCCTGCACTATGCGGAAGGCGGTTTGCTTTAGCTTGCGAAGATCCAGAGGCCCACTGCCATCAAGATAGAAGTAGTTCAGCATCCATCTCGACTCAAGCAGAGTGCCAGTGATGGCAAGAGATTGGAAATCGGTCACAGGAATAACATCAGAAATGCCACCCTTGAAGACTTGTACTTTGGAGATGACACTGTCAACGTTTGGATCGCCAAGTAGTGAGACGGACTTAGGATCCTCGTGAATTGTGGTTACTCCAGCCGGTCGCGAAAGCTTTTGTCGTTTCTGGCTTGCAGCTCTCTGAGGCGGAACTGTGTTCTCGAGGCCGGAAGTGAAACCCTGCCATTTGTTGAACATTTGTTCCTTCTGTTCTTTCTCGGTGCCGGGCGAACTTGCGTGCTGAGATTGATCTTCGTCCAGAATAGCTTGTTCGGAGACGATAGATTGGAAGTCTCTCCAAGCGGAAGCAGTCCTATCTCGAGATTGCCCTCCCAGCTTCGAGGAGCTTGCAACAGCTTCTTTGATAGAAGCTGCATCTCCTCCGGCCTGAGACATGACTTGGTCGATGACTTCACCAGCCACACGGACAACCTACGCCAATTAGCTCAAGCCTTCTAAACACTGGCGTCTGATGAAACTTACCCTTGCCATATCGGCAAACGTTGGATTCTTGAATACGTCGGCCACCGTCATAGACAGACCTTCTTCTCTTGCTGCACCGACAAGCCGCATTGCGACAATACTGTCGCCTCCCAATTGCTAAGGGACTGTCAGTTTTGATTGGAGGCGATTTAAGAAAGTAAGTACTTACGAAGAAGCTATCTTCGTTACCAATAGAATCCTCCACCATATCCAGTAACTCGCTCCACAATGACAACAACTTCTTTTCGACAAAATCGGGTGGCACGGATTTAAGAGCTTCGGTTGCCATGACTCCTGCCGCTGCGACCATATCCGCAGCAATGTTGATCCTGCTCTCAGTATCGCTGGCTACGCTTAATCGCCTGGATCGTATGGACCCTGTTTCGAGATTCGGGCGGCCTCTCATTGAGTGTGATGCCTTGCGTGTGATCATACCAACCATTTGGTTAGTCATACTATCGACCGTTGCAGCTGCCGGCGTTGGGGCAAATTTGTTCTTTGCAAGCATTTGATCCACGATTTGAGGTACCATTTCAGTCACGATAGAACGTATCAAGCCTGACCAATCTCCAGAAGCTGCAGAGGCTGACGGCGCAGGTGTGGGCAACTCAATCTTAGGCACTGGCGGTAGCGAGTATTCTGGTTCAGGCCTTTCAAAACGTGGTGTCGACTTCAAAGATCTTAGAGGCGGTCGAGGCATTGAGTTTCGTTGCGACTGAGGTGGCTTTTCGGAGATTGCAGCGTCGAGTTCGGCAATCGTCTGACTCTCGTCATTGAGTATTTGTATGAGTATCTTGGCCATTGTCTCGGAGATATTGTTGGCCACATCATCTGATACTGAGTCCGTCCAATATGCAAAGCGTACGCCTTCATCATTGCGACTTGTATCAATGTTTACCGTGATGGCAAATTCACTTGGATCATGTACGTCCAACATGTCAAACTCCACGCTCGAGTCCACGCCATCGTTCGGGATGGCAGCACCCTGGTTTTGTACAGAGACTGCAGTGTTGAATAGCGCCTTTCCGGAAAGGCCAAGATCATGCTGGAACTGAGCAAGAGAGCAATGTTGATGCGGAATGCTCTCAATGAAATCGTTCTGGACTTTCTGGAAGATCTCTAGAAGAGATTGACCCCTTGACAGTTGTGTGCGCGAGACCAACATATTGATGAAAGCTCCTACGGCATTTTGGATGTTTTCAACGGGTATATTCCTCCCAGATGTGAGATATCCATAGCAGACGTCAGAGGATCCCGTGAAGGTTCGGAGAACCATCGACCAAGCAGCAAGCATAATGTTGGACAGAGTGACACTGTTCCTCTCTGCAATCGCATGAAGCTCTGAGAATCTATCGAACTTGAGATACAACGAATGCAGCTCCCTCTGTTTCGATGAGTGTTGTGGGGTTATGGGGAAGTAGCATGGCTGGAGCCCACGCAGTTGGTCCTTCCAGTACTGTATCGCCTTTTCTGCGGGCTGGCTACGTATGTACTTGATGTAATCGCTGTAGAGTGGGCCCTCATCTTCTGCTAGTCGTCCTTCATACGCATCTTCAAGATCGCGACGAATAACAGCGTGCGATCCACCGTCTATGACTGCGTGGTTGATTTCCATCTTTACAAATGTTTTGCCAGAAGTTGTCTGGATGATGGCAAATTGATGAGGCAAACGCGGCTTCTTGGCCCCGTTGAGGTCCCTGTACTTGATGCTCTTCAGCTTGCTCTTCAGCTCGGAGTCCTTGCAGGAGTATGTGACGACGCCACTGTCGGGAGATTTGATGACAATCTGATCAAAGACGCCACCTTTGCAAACACTGTCAACGAATGACGTACGCAAAGCAGGATGGCGGTCGACAACCTTCTGCCATGCAGATGCAACTCGGGATGCGTCCACCTTCCCATGCTTGGACTTGATTTCGAACGCAGAATACGATAGGTATGACTCTGGGTCTTTGATTTGGCTTAGGATCATTCCCTCTTGCATGGATGCGCAAGGGTAGATATCTTCAACTTGGTTATACGAGCTGATACCTGCGTTGGAGATGGACTTGATGACCTTGCTAAGCCTGTCGTATGACTCCAATGGCAACAACGGGAAGTCCGAAATTGTCGGCTGAGGATTGTCAATGTCTCCTAGATCGGAAACAATTTCCTCCAGCGTGCGTTGACATTCAGCAATCCAGCGGCGAATTCCTTTTTGGTTCTTCATCCAGCGGTTGTACATGAAATTGAAGGTAATTTCACCTTGAGCGACTGCTGCAGAAATTTCGAACAAAGCAGGGCGCGCAGTCTTTATGCCCAAATCAGACATTTCAGCCTCTTGCTCTTCGGTAAACTTGAGGGGTTTGAAGAGAGAGTCTTCAGCTTCAAGTTGTTGCATCTTGCCAAGGTAATTGAATAGAATCTCTATTGGTTCATGCTGGGCAAAACGTTCCTTGCCGTCGCTGGTAAGATATCGATGGGCATAGTAGGGGCGTCCGTTGTCGACAATATTTCGTCTCAGGTCCTTCACTTTTCGTACAGTCTGCACCACATCATCCTCCTCTTCAGAGATGGAAATTGTGACAGGATACATCGTGGTGAACCAACCAACGGTCCTAGAGAGATCGAGATTGCTCATTTCCCAGGTTTCGCGACCGTGCGTCTCATTGAAGACGGTTGGGACACGCCGGTTGATGAAAATACGGGAGAAAGAATGAATGATGGCAGACACAAAAATGTCTACGACATCGGTCCTCAGCACTTGATGATTATTTAACGCCTTCTCCGCAATTGAGCCAGTGATCGAGAATGAATCCCGTTCCACGTCGCCATAGACGTTGCGGCGCTTATCCAAACCCCAGAAGGCGATATTGGCCGGTTCGACTTCTAGTCTCTGTTTCTTGACAGACTCTATCTGAGCAGGGTCTCTCGCATGCGATGCTTGTCTTTGAACCCAATATTGGAAAGGAAGTGCGCTCTGAAGTGTCGTGGAGGCAGAATTCAGGCACTCTTCAAAATCATCAAGAATGATGCGCCAGGAAACAACATCGACGACTAGATGGTGAGCGACGATGAAGAGTATTTGTCCGTCGTCCTTGGTATTGAACATTTGAACTGCAAACAGCGGCCCTTGAACAATATCGAGGGACTTTTGGACGGACGATATCAATGAAACAACATCGGCCAAGTCGTTGACCTGATGGATGTCCAGGCTGTACGTTCCATCGACGGTGCTTGGGATGGTCTGTACCCAATCGCCTTCAGCGTTCTTTGAGAAACGAGTACGAAGCATTGAATGTCGCTTTACGATTTTCTCAGTGACATTCTTGAGAAGTCCACTATCGACATTTCTTGAAAGTTGCAGTGTAAAGGATTGGTTGAAGTGAGAGTCCTTTTCATCTCCAATGGATTTGAAATAGAAATTCTGGATCGGAGAAAGTTCGAATGGCTCATCGTACTTCTCAGTTCCCTCAACTGAACTAAGGCCGGCCTCAGTAATTGACTCTGCAAGCGTAGCCAGAGATTTACTGCGAAGGACTTGGTTCAATGAAAGATTGATCCCCTCCTTTCTTGAACGAGCAAGTAGTTGCATTGCAGTGATCGAGTCACCACCAAGAGCTAGATACAACATCAGTTTCTTGCATCATGAAATAAAATGATTTACTTACAGAGCCATGATTTGTTCAGCTTGACAGTCCCAATAGGAATATTCAGCGTCTTGGCCCAAATTGACTGAAGTTTCTTTGCAGTAGCAGACGCAGGTATCATTGGCTCGGAAGCACTCTCTGAATCCAGTATCTCGCGATATTGAGCGTCGTCCATATTCTCCAACCAGGAGACAGCCTGCTTCCTGTCAAGCTTAGCTGAAGCCAAGGTCGGTATCTTGTGCACCGCGATCCACACAGTCGGCACCATATATGAGGGGACCAAGTCGCTCAGCCTCGTTCTTGCCTGATTGATTTGCTTTAGGGTCTCCGGATCTGCCAATGGTATGTTCCATGGCGGACCATTAGTCTCGGGTTGCGGAGTTGCGTGAAGGCTAAGGATTGCAGTGAGTTTCTTCTTGCCCGGTCCAGCCTTTGGCATAAGTACCACAGCCTGTTTGACAGCCTTGTCCGATTGCAAGTGGTGTTCTATTTCTCCAAGTTCCATACGTTGGCCTGCTAGCTTCACTTGATTGTCTTTGCGGCCGATGTAACATAGAGAACCATCTGATGCGTACTGTACCAGATCTCCAGTGCGGTAGATGCGCATGTCTGCGTTCAATGGCAAAAGGGCCTTGGCGAACCGAGGATTATAGATAAAAGACTCTGCGGTTTTGACTCGGTTGTTCAAATATCCCCTCGCGAGAAGTGGTCCTTCGATACACAGCTCTCCAACTGCACCGACTGGTGCCAACTTGTTAGGATCGTTAGGATCGACGATCCAGGATCTACCGCTGCTGAGTGCATGTCCGATATTGGAGGTGCCTCGCTGCTCGGACACATTTTCGTTAGCAACGGCAACAACAGATCCCTCAGTTGGGCCGTATGCATTTAAAAGGTCCAGTCCAGAAGCCCACTTTTTGATTGTTTCTGGTGTGAGAGCTTCGGCTCCAGAAGCAAATGTCTTTAATGTAGGCACCGCCTCTGGGCAATCGATGACATTTGCCACAGATGGAGTGAGACATGTCCAACTAGCCTTCAGGCGATTGATCGCGGAAGTAATGTCGGTAGTGCGCTCCTCTTCTGATGGGATACAGACAGTAGCACCGCATGTCAACGATGTGAGGATCTCCATGACAGATGCGTCAAAGACAAAGGATCCAAACTGGAAGACGCGAGATGATGGGTGGATATGAAGTGCCTTGCATATGGCAGCAGAACTTGAAGCAATGGCTCGATGCTCAATGACAACACCTTTAGGCAATCCTGTGCTGCCTGATGTGTATAGCACGTAGCATATGTTTTGGGGCTTGCCACGCAAGGGAATTGTACCTTGTCGGCTTGGAAGTTGTTGAATTGATGCCTCGCTCACAGGAAGAACTCTTTCTACTACGTTTTTGAAATTTTGCTCATAGACGGTAGAACAAAGGATGATCGATGCGTTGCAGTCCTGGATGATTTGGCGATGTCGTATCGCTGGATGCTCGGGAGAGAGCGGTACATAAGCAGCACCGCTGATCAGAATCCCCATGATTGCCACAACTGCCCATTTTGATTTGTCGACGCACAATGGAACCATCTTTTCGGGACCTGCACCCATCTTGATGAGCTCCTGTGCTAAGCCTGAAGCATGATCACAGAGCTCGGAGTAGGTAAAATCGCCGTCAAAAGCGGACACGGCAACTTCATGTGGCCTAGTCCTTGCCTGTTCCAAGAATATTTCATGGATGGTCTTTTCGACAACTACTGGCTCTTTTGAATTCCAGTCGCGTAGGAGCTGGACATCTTGGTCGCTCATCACGCGTACATCGCTAACTGAATTGGCCAGCGTGAGTTGCCCAAGAATGGAACCGAACTGGTAGATGATTCGTTCGGTCTGCCACGATGAAATTGTGTTGGCATCATAGTAAGCCGTGATCTCCACATTGGAAGATGCCACCTTACATTCAACGACCAGTGGATAGGTGAAGTAATTTGTTTGGATACCGTTATTGTGGAACTTCCACATAGAACTTTCCGGTTCCTGGCCGCCTGTCTGAATTGCAAGCAGGTTCTGGAAATCACAAGCAGCAGAAGTGTCCTGGTCAATACGCTTGATTTCCGACAGCCCAACATGCTGATGGGGAATGCGGTCTGTTGAATTTCGGGCTATGCTTTGTAGCAAAGCCAGAGTTGTCATTGACGGGTCGACCTTGACACGGGCTGGGACCGTTGTTAGGGTTGGTCCACATATTTCAGTGACTCCAGGCACGGCGATATCGCGGCCAGTGATAGTCTCACCAAAAACGACATCGTCGCTTCCTGTGTATGTGGCCAAAAGAAGAGCCCAAGCTGCTCGCACAATTGTTGACGCAGTAATATCAGATGGCCGTTGATGGGGTAGCGTGGCGGTGTGCTGCAGGACTTGTCCATTCGGTGTAGTGTCTGGCCCCGACGCATGCGACCGCTGTGGAAACTGATAGGGAGATGAGCCTGCCAGGTTATCCTTCCAAAATCTCGTCGAAGTTTCACCGTTCGCGTCTTGCAGGTATTTGATGAACTTGTTATAGGATACCTTTGGAAGATTGCAGAGACCTTGCTGGTAAATCTGTTCAACTCTTTGTAGCATGAAAGGAAGGCTCCAACCATCATATAGCGCATGATGGAGGGTCCAGACGAAGTAGCACTCGTTGTGCTCAGTTTTAACGATAGTGTAGGCTGACAATTGGCCACCAACATGTGACGGGACCTGGTTTGTAACCCCTTCAACCTGCTCGAGAGATACAGATTCGTTCCAGGAGATGGGATCTTCCATCAATACCACCTGTACGAAGCTTCCCGTCTGTGTTTGAGTAATACGCGTACGTAGGAGATCTATTTCTTGCACTGCTTTGTCCCATGCAGCCTTGAATTTGGTAATGTCGATGGATGGCGAGAGCTCGAGAACATGTTGCGCGACGTAAGCACCTGGCTGTTTGACTGATAACGTAACAAATGCTTCCTGCAACGGACTTGCGGGATATGCATCTTGGATAGTGTTTTGATGAACACGGCATTGAGATGCTAGTTCGCTGATCATCTCGCCCCTAGGAAAGGTTGAACCCAACAATTCAAATGCATCAATGGCTTTGTCGATCTTGACGCTCTGACCTGATGATCCACACTTGGCTGCTAAATCGGAGATCTTGGGGCTGTTGAATACATCGATGACAGAGAGTTCAAGGCGCTCCGCCTGTGCAGCCGCAACAAGACGCATGGCAGCTACAGAGTCACCACCAAGGCGCTGAGGTTTGTTAGTCGATATCATGAGAATGCGGAGTTCGAACCTTACAATAAAACTATCGTCTGCTCCAACAGCCGAAGCTGATAAGTTGAGAACTGTGCACACAAGCTTCTGGAGTTTCTTTTCGGTCTCAGTTGCCGGCTTCCTCTTATTACCTGCACTTGCCAGCCTATACGGCGCTAGGGTTTCTTTGGTGAGATTCTGGACAAGCGTTCGAAGGCGGTTCCGATCCAGTTTGCCAGCTGATGTCCACGGCATCTGGGTAATCGGGAAGAAAATCGAAGGAATCATGTATCTAGGCAATACACTGGCAACTCCATTCTCAGTAGCCTTGCAAAGATCTCGCAGGTCATCTGATAGAGGCAGAAGCAACTCGTCAGCAGCGGGTTGCTCAGATGAGGCGGGCTGAATTGCGTTCGCCATGTCTCGTCGATTTTCCCCATCCAATGCAAAGAAGACAGCCAATGCTTTTGCGGAGGAGCGGCTCGCCGGGGCTACTAGTTCTACTGCAGACTGTACGCCTTCCGGCAACGTGTTCTTGACGTGGAACTCTATCTCTCCCAGTTCGATTCTCTGTCCATTCAATTTGATCTGAGTATCTTTGCGACCGACGAATTGAATACTACCATCTGGATTCTGTCGAGCAAGATCACCAGACTTATACATAGATGTGGTGTAGAAGCCTTCGTTGGTAGGAAGACTTGCTGTCCATGCGGGATTTCGAATGAACACCTTTGCAGTTTTCACTGGGTCACCAAGATACCCACGGGCAGCAGTGTGTCCTTCAATTACTAGTTCTCCCGCACTTCCTAGCGGCATCAATTTGTCATGGTTGCGTGGATGTACAATCCAGAAGCGACAGCCTGAAGGAATGCCAATATTAGCAGGATCAGTATTGAGGATGACGCTATCGAAGGTTGACTTCGTGCCAGCACTCGCGAAAACAGTGGTCTCAGTAGGACCGTAGCCTGATCATAGTTAGAATCGCGCGCCAATCATAGTCAAAGATACATACCATTGATGAAATTCGTGGTGGGAGCCCACTTCGTGATGATCGGGGCTGGGACTGCTTCTCCACCTGACACCAATGTTTTCAAGTGAGGTAGTCTCTTCGGATTCATGGTACCAAGAACTGATGGGGTGAGGAAAGACCAAGTAGCTTTGAGCTTGTGCATCGAGCCAGCGGGATCATTTATTCTGTCATCCTCGCTAGGAACGCAGACTGTTGCTCCAACAGTGAGCGCTGCTAGAATCTCGGCACAACTGGCATCAAAGGTATAGCTCGCGAATTGGTAGGTCCGAGATGTTGAATCTATGCTCATGATTCGGGTGAATGAGGCAGCGCTGGTACAGAAAGACTGGTGCGGGATTATTGTGCCCTTGGGGGCTCCCGTTGTGCCTGAGGTGAAGAGGCAGTATGCAGCATTATCCGGTGTAACATTTGAATGCGCTTTCAGTCCCTTGGATAAGGGAAGTTTATTGATCGCCATTCTGTCAACAATCACTGCACTGTGAGCGACCTCACTCGCTCGCGGATGATAGTTTCTCGAGCAGAGAACAACTTTCGCGCCCACGTCGCCGATGAGTTGGCGAAGTCGCCCAGGTGGATGCTTTGGATCAAGAGGAACATAAGCGCCACCGGCTTTCATGATCGCAATCATTGATACGATGGCCCATGATGACTTCTCGAATAGAATCGGGACGAAGGTTTCGGTGGTGACACCAAGGTTGTTGAGATGGATCGCCAATCGATTCGTCACTTCATCAAACTCTTGGTACGTAAAGGTCCCGTCCCAGCCTTCGACGGCCTTCGCAGATCGGGGGCGGAGCAGAGCTTGTTCTGAGACCAGATCATGTACACATCTGCGAACAGGAGCGGGAATTTCGCTGTTCCACTCCATGATCTTATGCAGACTTCCTTCTGTGCACATTTCCAGCTCCCCTATAGTTAAGTTCTTATCTGTATTTGTGACAATGTCTGAAAGAACCTTTTCAAACGTTTGAACCATATTCTCCGCATGCGAGGGGCAGACCTTGTCCTTCCAAAAGCCAAAGTCGACTGTCGTACCCTCATCAGAAACATCCGCATTCACCGTGATGTGGTATTCTCCAGGATCAGCAGCTTCAACATTCTCATATACGAGGGCAGTCTTTTCAGGGTCCCTCGCAAGTTGGCGTCGCTGGAAAGTAAACACAGTGTTAAATAAGGATGGAAGCTGAAGTTCGTGTTGTACATCTGCGAGGGAGCAGCTTTGATGGGCCAATGCATCGACAGAGTCATTCTGGAGTTTCTCCAACAATACCTGAATTCTAGTATCATCAGAAAAGGTGAGCCTACAGATCATCATATTGACGAAACATCCGGCTGCCTCTTCGATATTGCGGACTGGGATGTCGCGGCCCGAGGATACAACTCCGAAGGAAATATCAGAAGCTCCAACGTAACAGTGCAAAACCAGCGTCCATGCAAGCTGCAACACGTTTGAAAGCGTGACTCCCTGCTTCTTACAGAAGGCTTGGAGTGCAGAAGCGTTGGAGAGATGAACTTCGTAAGACCCGAGCTCATGAGGTTCTGGCTGAGAATCTTGTAGTGTAGGGAAGAAACAAGGCTCAACACCTGACAGATACGACTTCCAATAGCTCACATCAACATCTCGAGAGCTCGAGAGGATGTGAGCAATAAAGTCACTGTACAGAGGACCGGCATCTGCGCGGGAGATTTTGCCTTCGTAGGCTCGAGCCAGGTCGCCAAGAATGTTTGGTATCGAGCTACCATCGCAGATGGCATGGCTCATCTCAAGTCTGACCCATACGCTATCGCTCACGGTTTTGCAGATTGTCAAGCGATGAGGGGCGTTGAACTCCCGATAGTCTACAGCCTGCTGTGATCGTAGAATCTCCGCAGCATTATGATCGTCACAATCCAAGATCCACGAAATACGACCTGCTCGGTCTTTGAAAACAATCTGATCCATCAGCCCGGTTTTGGATAGGCTCTCGATGAATACTGTTCGCAAAGCCGGATGGCGGTGCACGACAATTTGCCATGCTTCTGCAATCTTGCGGGGGTTGACTGGTTTTCCAGGAATTGTTGACCGAACTTCGAAAATACAGTAATATGCATAAAATTCGGGGTGCTTTAGTTGCGAAAGCAATATACCCTGTTGCATTGGCGAAGCTGGATAAATGTCTTCGATGTCATTGATGGTTGTTCCAGTTGGAAGAACTGTGTTTAGTTTCGATACCCCGTTGTAGGAGAGGGGTAACAACTTGAAGTCACTGAGTGTTGGCTCAGGTCGCACTTGGAGTAGCTCTTCAACTGCATCCACTAGAGTCTGGCGGCATTGCGAGATCCACTCTTTGATCTCTGCCTGGCGCTTCATATGTCGATTGAATCCGAACGATATTTTGATGGTACCTTGTGTCACCAATGCTGTAACCTCGAATAGAGAGAAGCGAGGAACATCCGGGCCGACGTCAGATGTTGAGATTCCGTCCATTTTCTGCAGCAGCGAGTCTTTGCGTTCAAGATTCTGCATCCGCCCAAGATAATTGAAAGCTACCTCGGCGGGCCAGTGGCCGGCGAAACGTTCCTCGCCTTCCTGTGTAAGTAATCGGTAAGAAAAGTAAGGACGTCCCTTGTCTGGTATTCTTTCACGGACGTCTTTAACCCAACGAATTGTGCTTACGATATCCGTAGGTTCATCGGCTAGCACAGGGAGATGTATCGGAGTCAGGGTAGTAAACCATCCGATTGTGCGGGAAAGATCTTGCTTGACATCAAATGGTTCGCGACCATGACCTTCGTTGTGGATTGTGATATTCGAGCGGTCTTGGAACACCTTGCGGAAAGACTCGAGCAAAGCAGCGATGAAAACATCGAGAGGCTCCGTTGCTAGAGCGTCATGGGCTCCCAACAGAAGCATAGAATCCTTGGGACTCAGCTCGATTTCTTCGGTAATGACATCGGAGTTGATGTTTGGTCTCCCATCCATTCCCCAGTAATCGAAATCAGCTGGTGGAATTCCCTGCGTGGGTAGAACCTTTCGGGCAGTGTCTTGCTTGGCTTGGTCTAATTGTTGCTGAGCCCAATTATGGAACGGCAAACTTTGAGGTGGTGGTTTGACACCATTCAACAAACTCTGAAGATCTTCGAGGACAATTCCCCAAGAAACGACATCAATGATTAGATGATGAGCGACAAGAGCGATAGCTTGGGTGAAAGTATCGTCTACCTCAAAAAGGTCGACGGAGAATGTAGGGCCGGTGGTGATATCTAGCGTAGCTTGGCTCTCATCCGTGATTTTTCCAATCGTATCATTTGAAGCCGTCGGTACTGTGTGATGGCGTAGCCTGAAAGACCCAGGAATATCTTTTATGATTTGTTGTCGCCAGGTCTTTGATTCATCTGTTCTGAATCGAGCGCGAAGCATTGGATGTATAGTTACGAGCGATGCTAAAGCCGCTTCAATTTCTTGCAGCTCGAATGATCGCGAGAGACGAAGAACCACGCTCTGGTTGAAGTGATTGTACACGCTTCCTGCAGCAGAGAAGAAGACCTTCTGAATTGGAGTTAAGTCAAAAGGCAGATTGTGCTCCTGCGTTTTGCCATCTGACGCACTGTCGTCTTGGGAGACTGAGACCTTTGAGGCCAACGCCGCTATCGACTTCGAACGTATAATGTCCTGGACAGTGATTGCAAGTCCCTGAGCTCGACATTGCGAAGATACCTGCATTGCGGCAATCGAATCGCCGCCAAGATGCAAGAAGCTCTGATTCAGTCGGATATCCTCTGGAGGAAGATTCAGGACATTGGCGAAAATGGCCTGCAGTTTGCTCTCCACGGTGTTGACTTCTTCCTTCGGCGCTTCAAGGCCAAGTGTGGAGATGGTGCGGTACATATCCTTGTCCATCTGCTCCAACCATTGGACGACTCGTCTGCGGTCCATTTTACCTGATGGCATAAGTGGAAAAGCGGACACGGCAATCCATAGCGAGGGGACCATATATGCTGGCAATCGCTCACATACGCGATCTCGAATTGCAGCAATATTGAATGTCGCCGTTTCAGTAGGTAACAATTGCAGTTCAACGCCTGTTAAATTAGCCAAAGAATGCTTAGTATGACATTGACACTGTTTACCTGGATTCTGGGTCATTGAAACATTGTGCAATGACACAACACCAACAAGGCGTTTAGCACATGGGCCAGCTGTCGGCACAGCTGCCAAAGCATTTTGAACTGATACATCCTCAATGAGGTGATGTTCAACTTCTGAAAGTTCAAGGCGCTGCCCTCGAACCTTTGTCTGAGAGTCCTTGCGACCAAGGTACTATTCTGACTTAGCACAGGCATCTCCATCCGAGGGTATTACTTACAAGTAGGGTGCCGTCTTCATTGTACTTCACCAAATCGCCGGTTTTATAGATTCTGCGAGACTTCAGTTCGCCCGCACGAGCTCCCAACGACCATTTAACCTCGCCGATGAACGACTGGCTTGTCTTCTCTGGATTGTTTAGGTAGCCTGCGCCGACACCACCGCCCTCAAGCAGAAGTTCTCCTACCGCGCCCATTGGCACGAGAACATTGTGATTATCCTTGGATACCACCCATCCACGAGCAGTAACAGCTCTTCCTAAGTTATTTGGCTTAGTGGAAGGTGCCATGATGTTGACTGTAGCAATAGCACTACATTCGGTTGGGCCGTATCCGTTTCCGAGGGTGACGCGCTCTGCCCATGTGAGAAGATCTTGCTGTGACATTGCCTCTCCAATCAGTACAAGGCTCTTTAGGCCTGGTACTTGAGATGGCTGCATCATTCTGACGACCGAAGGTGTGAGAGTCGCCCAATTGATTCTCATGTTGTTGATCACCCCGGTGAGGTCATTCGTTCGGGATGCTTGGTCCGGAACACAGACCGTACCACCCAACATCAATGTGCTGAAAATCTCGATCAGGCAAGCATCAAAGGTGTATGAAGCGAACTGAAGCACGCGTGATGTCTCATTTATGCCCATTGCGGGAGCAAAAGCAGTGGAACTTGAAACCCAGTGGCGATGGTTGATGACTGCACCCTTGGGTTTTCCGGTGGACCCTGACGTGAAGAGAACATATGCAGGCGAGTCGCTATCAACGTAGGGCAATGAGACAGATCGCCCAGTTTGTTGATTCGTGGTGTCCCGGTTCACTACCAACGTCTTGCAAGGGATTGATTGGCAGAGCTTTTCGTGTTGGGCAGCGCAGAGAACCAGCTCAGCTTTGACATCGCCAATGATCTCACGAAGACGGAGAATTGGTGCTTCGAAGTCCAAGGGCACGAACGCAGCACCTGCTTTCATAACGGCCAGCATAGCAATGATGGTCCAGCCGGACTTGTCGAAACAAAGAGGAATAAACGCGCCTGGTTTTACACCTTGTGATATCAGTGTTGAAGCAAGACGAGTTGCGCGCTCATCAAGCTCCTTGTAGGTCATGACGCTTATGTCCCATGCATCGATGGCGACAGCAGATGGGCGGAGTATGGCCTGATCTTGCAATATTGCGTCGTGGATGCATTTATTGACCACATTGACAGGTCGTTGATTTTGCGACGAGATATACTCTTCATCAGTTGGTCGCAACAGGACGAAGTCAGAAAGAGGTTCTTGGGCGGCTTCATGAGAGTTGAACCTCTGAAGAATGAAATCGAACTGTTGCAAAAGTCGCTCCACGAGCCAAGAGGAGATAACCTGGGGGTCATGGTGTGCTTCGATGTGCACCTTGCCTTGAGTGACAGTACAGTTGAAAATCAACGCGTAGTTGAAGAAGTTGGTGCCAATAGTACCAGTGCTTTGCAAGTTCCACAAACCTCCTTCAGGATCTTTCATGCTATCACCTGCAACAATTGCAAGCAGACTCTGGAAATCGCACGCGACAGCCGTATCGGAGCTCAGCTTTCGGATGTGCTGCAGACCGGCGAACTGGAATGGGACCGCAGCCGATGACTGTTGTTGGACCCTCTGCATGTACTCCTGAATGGTCAACTGGCGATCAAGCTTGATCCGCATTGGAGAAGTTGTGATTGTTGCACCAATGATATCTTCCACATCAGGAACCGGGACGTCGCGACCACTATTAGTCTCACCCCAAAGAACGTCGTCAGATCCCGAGAATGTAGCCAATAGCAAGGCCCACGCGGCCCTGATCATGGATGGCATTGTGATATCCGCACCGGCCCTGCGAGATATAGAAACATGATGTTCAATTTGATTCGATGCCTGGACCTTGTAGTCTGGGTTGGGTAGCTGGGGGAATTGCGGTGCAGTAATGCTCTCGAAGAGAGAAAGCCAGAATTCATCCGACTGCTTTGCATCAACAGTAGCGAGATACTTGATAAAGCGAGAATATGGAATGGAGCCCGCTGACTCAGGGCTATCGCGGCTATTGTAGAGTGTCTCCACTTTTTGCAGAAGTGCAGGCAAACTCCAACCGTCATATACAGCATGATGAGCGGTCCAGACGAAGAACGGCGAGGAGGTGTCCTCCCCCACGATAGCGTAGCTCGCCAGAGGTCCGCCATGCTTCGCTGGCAGTTGTCGATGAGATTCTTTGATGTCTTGTAGGTCATCAAAAGTGAGCCACTCAGCTCCCTCGCGAATGACGATCTGTAGGAAGCCGTAGTTCTCGACATATATGATGCGTGTTCTCAGAATTGCCTCAGAAGCAATAGTCTTGTTCCACGCTTCACGAAACTTCTGTAGGTCAACGTCACGCGGGAGGCGGTAAATTGTCTCAGCAACATAAGCACCAGGTTCTTTAGTAGACAGTGCGATGAGTCCCTCCTGAAGACGGCTGCAGGGATAGATGTCAACGATTGAATCGGAGAAAACACCACATTCCGCGGCGGCAAAGTCAATAATGCGACGCCTGTCGCTTTCTGAAACAAGTTCGAAGGGAACTGTATCGAATGAGGACTGTGCAGACAGCTCATCGGAGGAAATCACGGTAGCGTTCGCTGCCATATCAACAAGCTTGGGGTGGGCGAAGATGTTGGCAACGGAAAGAACAATGCCGCTCTTACGACTTGCAGTCACGAGCTTCATGGCGCCAATTGAGTCACCACCAAGACGGAAGAAAGAGTCGTCGGCTCCCACTGCGTCTGGTCCAAGGTTGAGAATGTCTGACCAGATTCGGGAGAGCGTACACTCAACATCACCTGAAGGTGCACGTCCACTCTTGCCAGCGAGACGGAAGCTCTGCATGTCCTCGTCCTTGATGCCCTGCGCGAGCTGTCGAAGGATTTTACGATCGAGTTTGCCAGAAGTAGTCATTGGCATGTTTGTCACGGGCACAAACATTGATGGAACATAGTATGCTGGAAGGGCTGCTGAGAGGGCTTGTTCCATCTGCTTCGCCACGACTCGAAAAGTTTCCGTCATTTCACCTATGGCAGAGGTCGTGTCATTCACTGAACCAGTTGGCTCTTCAGTCAAACACAAGAAGCCAACAAGGGCTTTTGTGGCTTTTGCGCCTGTGAATTTCACAAGCTCAACGGCAGACTGAGCTTCAGCAGGTAGATTGAGTTTAAGATGGTGTTCAATCTCGCCCAACTCAATGCGCTGTCCATTAAGCTGTACACCCCATTAATTAGTTTCATGTTACATACCAACAATTCTGAATAGGCATGCTTACCTTGACTTGATTATCTTTGCGACCAAGATACATCATCTCTCCTTCAGAGGTATAGTAAACGAGATCGCCAGTGCAGTAGAACCTGCGCCCTGTTGACCCATTTGCCGCGGCCCACTCCGGGTCCGTGATGAATGCCAGAGTAGTCTTCTCGGGATCATTGAGATATCCCCGACTCAGTATGGGACCCTCAATGAGCAGCTCGCCCTTGCAACCGATTGGCACAAGCCTGTTTCTGTTGTCTGGGTCGACGATCCAGGAGACACTGCCAATTGCTCTTCCTATATTCGTTGGCTCGCTGCCGTGCTTGAAGTCCTTCCAAGCCGAATTGATGGAGGCCTCACTGGGCCCATATTGGCCGTGCAAGTGTACATGCTCACTCCATTGCTCTACCACGGCTTTTGTGAGGGCCTCACCACCCAAGGCCATTCCTTTAATGGAAGGGACCTCGGCGGGATTAAGTAGAGCTGCCACTGTGGGAGTAAGATCCATGAAATTGGCACCTAGCTCGGCGATAGCATTGGGCAGATCGTTCATTCGTTGCTCTTCGGACGGCACGCAAACACAGCCGCCACGTTGAAGAGTGGTGAACATCTCTTCGAGGGAGTTATCAAAGGTGTAGCTTGCAAATTGCAAGAAGCGCGACCCTGGTCCAATTCCTAGATTCGCACCATGAGCATTTGCACTGGTGACCATAGCGGCATGCTCGAGCACGACGCCTTTTGGTCGGCCAGTGCTGCCACTTGTAAAAATAACGAAAGCTGGATTTTCTGGTCGGACAGTTTCACATGCTGGCCGCGAAGAGGTATCTGTGTCTGCCAAGTCGTCCAACAGCACCGAATCGACAATGATCACATCCGGTACGACGTCTTCGAATAGTTCAGAGCGTTCGGCTGAAGTCAGCACAACTTGTGCTTGAGTGTCTTCAACTCGAGACTCAAGCGCTGGTTTAGGGTGCTTAGCATCCAAGGGTACTGCAGCGCCACCAGCCTTCAGTACGGCGAGCATAGAAACAACTGCAAAAGTGCTTTTATCGAAGCATGTGGGGACGAACACCTCTGGGCCAATGCCCAGCTCTACCAAATGGCGAGCCAGCCGCTCAGCAACAACATCAAGTTCGGCATAAGTGTAATCGCCATCAAAACCACGAACGGCGGGGGCATCTGGCTGGGATGCTACCCAAGAAGCAAAGCGCTGATGAACGCATTCATGGAGGGTCTCTGGCATCACGTTCCAGCCAAGTATCTGCTGCCACTGCTTCCCGCTCAGATGATCAAGACTTGCAATACTTTCTTCAGCGTGGAATACGATATTCTCCAGAGCTCGGACAAAGGTGCTTGCCACATTAGCAGCTTGACCAGTCGTAAGATGATCAGACCAGAAGTCGAGATCGACCAGGGCTGCTTCCTCGGCTATCTCGATGTTCAGTGACACTGGATACTCCGTCGGGTCGTAGATGGGCGCCACTTCTCTGAACTTTAGTCCACCTTCTTCAGAAGGAGACTCGGGAGGAAGCTTTCGGTATGACAATGCTGTATTGAACAGATTGGTACCAGACAAGTTGAGAACGTGCTGAACCTCCGCAAGAGAAGAGTGTCGATGGGGCATGGTGTCCAAATAGTCCTGTTGGACACCGCGAAGGATATCCAGCAAGCAATTTGAACTGTCTGTGAACTGTACTCGACAGACCAAAGTATTGATTAGTGGCCCCACCAACTCTTCGACGTTTGGAATGGTATCCGAGTCTCTTGCTGAAGTAAGATATCCAAATGTTACGTCTTTAGATCCGACATAGGAGCTCAGCGTCAACGCCCAAGCTACGTGGAAAATATTTGAAAGTGTAATGCCATTCTTGTTGCAAAATGACTGCAAATCGAGAACACTCAGATTCCCGAAATCCAGACGGAGCGATTGAAGACGTCTCTGGTCTGGAATCAAATTGTCATTGAGGATAGGGAATGAGCAGACCTCACTACCGGTAAGGTAGTTCTTCCAGTAATCCAAGCTGACATCAGCCGATTGATCTTGGAGAAGTTCGATATAGTCGCTGTAGATAGGTCCATTTGGATCGAGTGATCTAGCATATGCCTTGCGCAGATCGGAGTAGATAATGCTCATGGAGTGACCGTCCATGACAGCATGGCTGATTTCAAGGCCGCAGAATACTCGGCCATCAGATGCAGTGCAGATAGTAAAGCGATGTGGGGGGCTTCTGCCATTCTCATAGCTTACCGATCGCTGCTCGTTGATGATGCGCAAGGCTTCTTCCTCACTTGCGCAATTGAAATATGCAATGTTTGGATCCGCCCGCTTCAGCACAACTTGATCGTATAGGCCATCGTCTCCACCAATGTTCTCTAGAAAGATAGTTCGCAGAGCTGCGTGGCGCCGAACGACGTCTTGCCATGCTTCTGCAATTCTCTGAGGCTCAACCTTTCCGTTAGAGATGATGAATTCATGTACTGTTGCAGCAGCATAGAATCCAGCATCCCTGTTCTGAGAGATGAGCAGTCCTTCTTGCATACTTGAGCAAGGATAAGCGTTCTCGATCTCCGCTGCAGGGATGCCGATGTTTGCCAACCGATTTATCATCGATTGGAATCGATCATCCGTAAGTGACAGTAGTGGGAAGTCGCTAAGAGTTGGGGTGGGAGACAGTTCCATCAAGCTATTAATCATTTGAGGGAATATCTGCGAACATTCAGAGATCCATCGCTGGATACTTTCTTGGTGCTTCATGTGACGATTGAAGGTGAAGGCGAACTTGAGTCGTCCCTTGAAGACGATGGCGGAAATCTCAAAAAGACCAAAGCGTGGTGCATCGTGGCCAACATCAGCAGTGCCACCAGCTTCGCGAGTCTCTCCCGCCATACTTTCCAATGGCTGTAGAAGGGCATCGGTACGCTCCAATTGCTATGGTTTTGTTAGAAAATAAAGTAAAAGACTGCAAAGTGGGCACTCACTTGGTACTGCCCAAGATAATTGAAGGAGATCTCCATGGGCCAGTGGCCCTTGAAGTACTCTTGGCCTTCTACTGTCAAACATCGCTTTGCAAAGTACGGCCTTCCGTTGGCTGGAATTTGTCTTCGGAAGTCTTTGACTCGGCGGACTGTCTCGTGTAGATTTTCTGAAGGCTGTGCAAAGACAGGGTACACTATTTTCACGAATGAGCATTCCATCCAAGTGATCACGTTGGGGAGAGGGGCGGGGGGTCATTTACCTGTCGTGAACCAACCAACTGTGCGTGATATGTCTAGGTCAGAATTCCATGGTTCGCGCCCATGGCCTTCATTGAAAATGGCAGGCACGGGGCGATCAGTAAACACTTTTGACCACGACTGAATCAAACTGGCAAGCAGTACTTCAATAGGTTCAGTCTTCATCGCTTTGTGACAATCGTTAAGGAAGACAGAGGTAAGAGCTGAGTCAATTTCAAAGCTCTCGTGACCTGCATTGCCGTATGTGTTGGCTTTGTGCTCAATTCCCCAATATGAAAAATCGAGTATTGGAAGATCAACCGGGGGCAAAACCTTGTCGACCTTGAGAGTCTGCGCATGGTCCTTTTGCATTTGAGCCCAGCTCTGGAAAGGCAATGCTGGAGGGAGTAAGGTACCGCCACGTAAGATTTCCTCTAGTTCTTCGAGGAGCAATCTCCAAGTGACTAAGTCAATGACGAGGTGGTGCCCGACAAGGAAAGCATGTTGCTCTCCGTTATATTCGAACAGATCTGCAGCAAAGAGTGGTCCTGTTTCATGGTTCATGCACTTTTGTGAGTCCTCGATCATAACGTCTATCTCTTTCTTGGTGGTAACAGATTTGTGTCGGAAGCGATATGAGCCCGCCACATCGTTTGTTAGTCTCTGCTTCCAACCGTTCTCACCAGTAAAGGAAAAGCGAGCCCGAAGCATCGAGTGTCGCGATACCAGCTGTTCAACGGCAGATTGAAAAGACTGACTCGTAGTCTTCTCGCGAACCCGTAGATAAAATGACTGGTTGAAGTGGCCATGCCCTTGGTTTGGCAGTTGAAACCAAGATGCTTGTATCGGCGTAAGATCAAACGGAGATTCCATTTCTTCGGCGATGTTGTCCGAAATAGTTTTGATCTCTTTGACAGCCGCCGCAAGCTGAGGAATGGATTTACAACGGAGGATCTCTTGTACCCCTAGTCCGATCCCCTTTTTGCGGCAATGTCCCATGACCTGCATGGCGGAGATAGAATCGCCGCCAAGAGAAAGGAAGGCCCGGTCAAGAGAAACTTGCTGCTCTGGAAGGTTCAGAACATGAGCCCAGATTGAGCGCAACGTACTCTCAATCTTGTTTTTGGGGTCTGCAACCGTTTCCGAAATTTCACTTGCGGGAATCGCGCGGTGATAGGTGTCAGCGTCCATATCTGTGAGCCATACTGACACGCTCTTTCTATCCAGTTTTCCAGACGTCAATTTGGGTAGCATTGAAACTGCAATCCAGACGGTAGGAACCATGTACAGGGGCAGGCGCTCAGCAACTCTGCTCCTGATCTTTTCGATCTCCAAGTCCATGGACTGTTTTTCGGATCCGTCGAAGAGCTCCAAGGGGGTACTGCCCTTGGTGTTTTCGGCAGTAAGAGATACAACGGCAACTAGTCTGTCCTTACAAAAGCCGCCTTTGGGCAGAGCAACGAGATTGTACTTAATGGACGAATCGAGATTGATGTGATGTTCGATATCAAGGAGCTCGATGCGCTGGCCGTGATATTTCTGCGTAATGATTAGCTTATTGCAAATATTGGTATCGAATTCTACCAGACACATACCACTTGGCTGTCCTTTCGGCCCACAATGCTGTAACTACCGTCAGGATTTTGAAAGACCAGGTCTCCGGAGAGATAGCCTCGGAAATCACGGTCTTTCGCCCAGGACACGTCGCTGATGAATGCCTGAGACGTCTTCTCTTCATCGTTGAGATACCCTCGGGCGGCTGTGTATCCCTCAATTAGAAGCTCCCCAACACATCCAATTGGGACGCGCTGATGGTAATTGTTTGGATTTACGACCCATACACGGCAACTACTTGGGTAGCCAATGTTTTTAGGGTCAGAGTCAGCTGACATTTGAGGGTTCAGGACAGCCGCAACAGCACATTCACTGGGTCCATATCTATGACGAATATTGTCAGCTCTTTAAATGTGAAATTCGATATTGTGGAACTATACCCGTTGATAAGTGTGATCTTAGACCAAGTGTCTAGATTGGCTTGCGACATCGCTTCACCAACAAGTGCAATGACAGCCAGAGAAGGGACCATTGAAGGTTCCAAGAACCGAACAAATGTAGGGGTAAGCGTGGTCCAGTTAATCTGCATCTCGTTGATAGCCGTCGCGATATCGTTTAAGCGGGTAGTCTCGTCGGGAATGCATGTGGTACCGCCAATCATGAGAGGTGTGAGATACTCTATGATTGATGCATCGAAAGAGTGTGCCGCAAATTGCAGTGCGCGCACTGGTTTTACCTTGTCCATTTGAAGGCCAGGTACATGCCCCGCAACGCTCGTGGAGAAATTGCCATGTTCAATTACGGTAAGCTTTGGATTTCCCGTTGTTCCTGAGGTTGGGATGATGTATGCAATATTGCGGCTGGTCGCACGAGACGACAACGGCGCAAGCATGGGAGCGAGTTTGTCGAATAGATTTGCATCAATTGGTAAGACGGTTTCGACAAGCTCGCCCAACTTCTGCTCATAGCCAGGGCTACAGAGAGCTAGTTGAGCCTTTGAAGACTTGGTCAGGTGCTGGGTTCGCTCCTGAGGGTATGCCGGATCAAGAGGTAAGACTACACAAGTTAGTGGCTGAATGTATACAAGCATGGTTGTGATTGTTGCAAGGAGACAACGCGGATGACTGTCGTGACTAGGATACCATAATTTCTAGATTTGGACTTACATGCGCCCCCAGCGAACAATACACCAAGCATGGCAACGACATTCCATTTGGATTTGTCGAAACACAGCGGAACGATAATCTCAGGCCCAACCCCCAATTCAACAAGACGTACCGCAAGCCTTTGGCTATACGTGCAGAGTTCCTGGTAGGTAAAATTGCCATCCCAAGAGCAGACTGCTTGCGCATCGGGAGCATTTTGCCCTACCTCGTAGATGATGTCGTGAATTGTTTTTGTGACATTTTCCAAAGGCGCGGAGTTCCATTTCTCGATCTGGGTTTTGTTCCGTTCGCTTAAAAGATCTATCTTCTCGATTGGAACATCTGGCGAGACAAGGATGCTGCAAAGGATCTGTTCGACTGTACCCGCGACGTTCTTGGCTTGCTCAGTGGGTATGAACGAGTTACGATATTCAAGAAAGATACTGATTCCCGTCTTGAGTATCTTGACAAGAAGCCTAATGTTACACTGTGAAAGTCGTGAGTAATATTTTCGAATGTATTTCGATGCCGCACGAGCTACCTTCTCCGACATCATTGATGCCTTGCTTTGCGGCGTGATCGCACTCTGTGGCGCAATTCCATAGCGGATCAACACCGATGTGTTGGACTGGCAGTTGCCACTACTGTTGCAAACGATTGAGTCGCTTTCCTCGCGAGCTTGTTTAACGAGTTCCTTTGTCGGGACCGCGTGGTCAATGTGCAACAAAGACACCAAGTCAACAGGATCGTTACATGCTGAAGATTGAACAGATTGGAACCCACCAATCTCTTCGAATCCAAAGCAAACAGTATCAAGACCAGTATAGCAGCTTAGAGTGAGGGCCCAGGCAGCGCGCACCACCGCAGACAATGACTCGCTCCTGTCGCCCTCATGGAGGAACTGTTGTAGTACACCAAGCTGCCGCTGCTCAATTCGGACAGACAAAGGCCGCTTTGGTCCCCCCTTTTGTTTCCCGGTCGCAGGAAACTGGCAGGAAAGATGCGATGCCATGATTGAAGCTGTTGTCTCTTGCTCGAACTACACGTCAGTATCACAGGTGCTCAGGTTCACTCACTGAGAATTGTAGTCCGGCGGATGAGAAATGAAAGCTGTATATCAGCTTATGTTTCTTGTTGGAGCTATGGTATAGCTCTAGGAAGCTTGAGCGGTAGCTCGAAATGGCCTTTCCAGGTTTCAAGCCCGTGGTGGGAGGTGAAGTAGGTATACAATTATCATACAATCACATCGAAAATGTAAACAAAGATGTTTCGAATCCTCAGACCATGTCCATTAGAGATCACGATGTGAGACTGAAGGAATTGATCAGAGATTATTTTTTTCGAGCTCACACTGGGGTCGTGGAGCTTGGGTGCAGGGTGCAAAGCTTACATGTGACGAGTAGTGAAAGCTCTGTTGCTACGAGACCTGTATGGAGAAAAGATTTACGAAAGGCTTGGGGCACGCAATAAGGAGAAATTTGGCAGCGGAGAAAGTGTGTGCAGGAGCTGATGCATATGAGTGGGGAAATGGAATGTTCCTATTTCCATGTCACCTGTTTGCCTTTCACGTCAATCACTTCTTGATTTTAGCTCAAAGACAGATTTGCAATGCCCAAATCCCAGTTCAGAAAGCTCGATGAAGTCATTACCATTGTCACCAGAATAATATTCCCGAATACGGTCGTGGATCATAGTAGATGCATGCAGTGCGCTAACTCCGATGCTTTACGGGTAAACAAGCAGACAAGGATGAAATAGAAAGCTGAACACTAAGAAAATCAGGGGCTTTACAAACAGAGACACAAGATCGACACCGCGGAATCGATATTTGATCGAATCGATGGGAACTCATATTTCAAGATTCGGCGAGTGTAGCCAGAAGGTATTGGTCGCGGATGAAGCCTACCAATGAAGGGAGCCATATGCGGTTGAAGTCCGTGTATCGAAAACACACAGCGACATTTGAATGTAATATTACGAGTGACTCGAATAGGCATTCAAGCGGGCGGTAGCAATGCGGCTCCATTTCCTGGTGAAGGGAAAGACTGGTCATGAAGCAAAGTGTCGGAGCTCATTGTTACACAGGCGGATGACAAGGTAGTGAGCAAACCATGTTGTCAGTAAATTAAGAGGCGTGCATGCATTTGCATGGGAGAGACCAGCACGCACGTCGCATGTAACACGAACGAGAATCTTGAAGAGATGTGGATGTACGGATGTAGAATGTACGTACGGACGGGGGGGTTGGGTGAGGGGGTGAGGGGTGAGCGAGGACGAGGACGAGGAAGAGGAAGAGTGAATGTCGATGATGGTTGGAGGTTGAAAGGAACCCTGCACCCCTGTACCCCTGACGCTTGGCCAGTCACATCATCTCCTTCTATTGGCTCGCATTCTCAGAGAAACAAGTGGGACACGTGACCCACCGTTTTTCTTTGGGATGACAGCTGAACGGGCCGACGCACGGAGGAAAACTCTAAACCTAAACAGCATCACACAAGACGCGGACGCCTCTCCTCCGCTGCATCGCTCACTTCCGATCCACCTGCCACCGCACCTCAGGCTCCTGTTTACCTACCTACAGCCTGTAGCTAGGTAACCACCTCGTATTTACGAGGTTCTTGCTGCCAACGCCCTCCATGATCCATCCATCCATCTCTCCGCTCGTATTCTGGACGGATACCCGCATACACACATACACACCTAAAGAACTTTCATACAGTAACCTACTGTTCATCTCCTGGAATGCCTACTCCTGTACGGAGAATAGAGCATCGTGTTCTCCGTACTCACGTCTCTCGGTGCAACCAAACACTCTCTCTCCTCTTTCATGCGTCCGCAGTACGAGAAACTCCATTCACACGGAGTACTCACCTATATTTCCGCCTCAACTCTGCACACTCTACGGGTATGCCATACCTTAGGGGCATACACACATAGCGTGTACTCAGGGACCTAGTCCCACGGCCCCGTCTGCCAACGAACCGGCTCCACATCATACGTTCTTATTCATCGCGTGGGCGCAATTGCAATTTTTTCTCTCTTTGGGCCTCTTATTGATCAAACAGGAAACCTGTGCCAGCAATAGTGGATCTAGTCCCCTTTGCTCTGGCATCCACATTTCCACAAAGGAACGCGCATACTCTCAACGTTATGTCGTCACTCACGAAAATGGTAATAAGCCAAGGCTTCTTTCACTGGTCCTCGATGTTTCGAGCAGCCAGCCATCGAAATCCGTTTCCAAGAAAGCGGAATGGACGCCGACCTTCCTGCACCTGACATGCAAGTAGCACGCCCACATCCACCTGTTAGTAGAGTAGGTACAGTGGCTGTACTTCGCGCCGTCACGCCGCCAACAGCGGCCGCCAATGCGTCCTCTGTGTCCATAAGCGTGAAGCCATGCTTCCCTCTCCTTTCCCCAGACTGTCTCCTCCTTTTTCCCATCTTTCCCAGTCCCCTTCTGTCCGCTCGCCAACCGCCGTAGTAACCCGTCTCCGGGCCCACCACTCTAGTGCGTAGATCGGCGGCTGCACCCGCACTCCACCACCAAAGCGCAAGCACCAAAATATTAGTCCCCGCTACGGTAATTGCTTGCGATGCACCCGTATCAAGGAATCTGGATTTCTCGTTGACGGTCTGCGTTCCACAGCATCGGTCCTATTTCACCAGAGCTGATCTGTCTTGACGGCATATCCCGGACTCAAGTGCATCCCATGTCAACAGTCGTTTTGGCGTCATCCACAAGCATGAGATCATCATCCAGCGCATGCAGCCAGCGGGCTTCGAAGGTCCGTGTAGATAATCTCTATTCAGCCCAGGGCTCGTACGGATGTAATGCCAAAGGCACTGCACTGCCAGTCTTCCAGGTTGTTTCAGGCTGAAGGACTGGAGCAACCCTGCACTCGTGGCGTCTGCAAGGAAGGGAGCCCTTCGATCCACTAGCTCGATGGATCAGATCAACGGTAATCACTTACCTAAAATGCCACCACATTTGTGGGGTGCTTTAACTGCCTTCGGGATCCCAACTTCCCAAGACTTTTGATCCAGGTAAGAGGGTTCCCAATTTATCCAAATGAACCTTGCCTGTTTCTATGGGATTTTCACATCTATTCTTACCGGTCTACCATGTCGTGTAACCACCAAGGCACAAACTACACCGTCACCAACCGGTAGTTGATACCAGTGCTGAAATATACGCAATCTCTCAATCCAGCCATGATCTGTCTTTGCACAGGTCCGCTGCGACTGATTTTCTTGTGTTCCTGGACCTGGGCGCTTTCTCTCGGATTGAAGCTTGCAAGTTCGTATAGCATAAGCACCGAAGGACTTACCATGGGCGCTTCATTCCCTCCACTTATCCAGCAGTGTATCTCTATCACGCTCTTCAAGCGAAACAACGTAACGGATGAAAGAGGGATCGTCTCTGTTGAAAAGAATCTGGCCTGCGAAGAAATCCAGCTATCATCGCAGATGACACATCATGGTAGACGCTGACACAACGGGGAACACGTAGGTTCACTTTCGGTGAGTTCTGCCTAGTGCATTTTAGCAAACACAGACCATCTGTTTTATTACCACATTTGCAAGGTATGTAGCGAGTACAACATGCCGGCAGCTATATTCCTCAGTTTCCGACAGTGCTATTTATGTCTGGCCCTCGAAAGCTAATACCATTCCACGTTCTCAGTCTAGACTAATCATTTTGCTGTCATCCCTCTACAGTCGGGAGGTCCTTGCGGTAAACTATACCAACATTGTCGAATATCAAAAATGCCATATGTCCTTTTTTTTCGTCTTGGCTGCAGTGGCTGGTTAGAACGCAACCAGTACCTTGTGCCGATGCAGACTCGCCACCGGCAATGTTTGAATACCTTTCCGCCTGGAATCATGGGGATCGCCCCCATTTCTTGACTCCACCAATATGTGGAACAGCTTCAGCTCGGCCACTTTCGGCGCCTAACTATGCCTGGTCACATGGTTGAATCACGCAGCTTGCCTCTTGTTCATAAGTACTCTTCTAACTTTTATGAATTACATCATCTCAAATCATCGGAACCCTCTGTAGGCTTTGTGTTAGAGCTTCACGCGTACACCAAAGAAGGCACTCACTGCGAATCATCGACACGATTTCCGATCAGCGTCATCAGCGTCTAAGCCTACCCCGAGACACAACTCCCTTCTACCGTGGAAAATCTTTTTGTTGAATACGATGCCCATGCTTGTGCTGGCCATTGCTAACGACAGAGATGGAGAGAATCAGTGTCGATCAGTTGAGGAAATATATGCTCCTTTAACGCAATGCAACCTAAGTCTGCCTCATTTCTACAATCCAACCCTCGGTGACCTTACCCTATTTTGATACTTCAAGGTGCTCAAACCTTGTGGACTGATCAGAACCCGACCCACACCTAACAGAAGGCCTTGAAAAAGCTGACATATTGCTGTTGCGTTGGTAATTGCAGTACGGATCATAGCAAGGTTCTTGGAGTCGGGTTTGATGGGCAGGCGGCAGCGACGATCCGGGTGGATCATAAAACCGAAGAACAGCAGACGTTAGAGCTCACAGAGCAAAAGTTGTTCCTGAGCACTTTTCCGCCAATCACCAAATGGCAGGCATGGTAGATGTGGCGCTGATCTTTACTCCAAATGCGGTAAAACCAGATACGAATCTGTAGGCAATCAAAACACAGTGACCAACCAGAACTTACACCCTCTTACCTCTCCAGTCACTCTAGGCTACGGAAAATGCGGCAGTCTCCGCAAGGAGTTTTGGACTGGTTGACTACACAGAGATTTTCCATTACCTAGACTTGCATCATCAGCTGAGCCAATAGTCCCAACCCACAAAATTCGCACTGTCAAGGGCAGTGTTACAAGGTAGTTGGAATTGGGAATTGACCAACATCCCGCATACCAAGTCAACGTCACGCCAATGTGGCCGGACCGTGAGCTCCCAGCAATGATTCTAGTTCTGAAGGCCATTACCTACAGGCTGGTTACTGCAATGCAGCACCCAGCAGTGTCCTGATCACGCACTAGCATTGTCCAAGCGTCTCGTAAGGACTTCCAGACGCCCGTCGCCGCCTCTTAAGTCAGTGGAGGTGGTGAAAATCTTATGCCGCCGGTTGATCCATGTGAAGCTAAGTTTTGAACTCCGTGGTAGCGGGGGTAGCAACTAGATTACCATCCTCTGATCCCCATATCTATTCTATCTATTGCCCAACTAGAGGATTCAGGTTAGGCAATTGATTTTCTTTGTGGACTCAATGGCATTGCACACTCCTTCCAGGTGTTCGTTGGTTGACGATACCTTTGGACCTTACGCTGGGAAAAATTGTCGAGGCGGATTCGACTTCACATTATTGTTCGAAGATGCTTTCCTTTCCATAGCACCTCTGGCACTTCTGCTTTTGATAACACCTTTTCGACTTCTTTACCTTTTGAAGAAACCAACAAAGGTTTCCAAGTCCTACCTGCTTCCAGCGAAATTGGTATGTATCGAGATCTTTGACAGGCTCTCCCTGTCTACCTAATCAATAGGGACACATCTAACTTCAGATTTAGCTATCATGGTCATTCCTGGCTGCTTTCGACCTGGCGCTTTTGGTTCTTTGGGCAAAGCGTTCAGGATTCAAGACGAGGGCGGCGATACCTTCAGCTGTTATCAGCCTTGTTGGCGCCTTTGTACTATGTCTCTTGTCTTACATGGAACACGTCCGCCATGTGCGAACATCTTTCTTACTCAACTTCTATCTACTCATCACGCTCTTTCTGGATGCCGTGCGATCCCGGAGCTTCTCGATCAGTAGAGATTTGGAGATGATATCGGTTCTGTTTACCACTCGAGTGGGTGTCAAAATCTTCCTTATCATTTTTGAGTCAAGGAGTAAGAGAAATCTTCTGCTACCCGGGTTCTCTCATTATCCACCCGAAGCAACAAGTGGAATGTACAGCAGAGCTCTGTTTTGGTGGCAGAACCCACTGTTCCGTAAAGGATATTCCAACGCTTTGCGGTTAGATGATCTTTTCCAGCTTGACAAGCATCTGCAATCCGACTATCTCCTAGATCGAATACAGTCTGCATGGGACAAGCGTAAGTCGAATTAAACTTTGTTCAACCACGGATTGGAAATCGCACGCTAACTCGCCCTTGATAGTTTCTGAGAAGAAGTCTAGGTCACTCTTCATGGTCACATCTGGAAGAATCAAGTGGTCTATTTTAGCAGTAGTCCCGCCCCGAATCTGTCTCATTGCATTCAATTTTTGCCAGCCTTTCTTGATCAATCGAGCAATCTCCTATTCCGAACAAGAGGACTCACCGCAACATCGTAACATTGGATATGGCCTTATTGGCGCGTACGTCTTAGTTTATGTCGGGATCGCGGTAAGTTGTGTTACTTGTTCTCTTCCAATCCAGCAGGACTAACAAATCAAAGATATCAACGGGACAATACCAACACTTTACCTATCGATTCATCACAATGATGCGAGGCGGCATGATATCAATGCTCTACAACAAAGCTACTGAAGTCACATTGAGTGGCGTTGATACGGCATCGTCGCTTACATTGATGAGTGCCGATATCGAGCGCGTAGTCACTGGAATGCAGACAGCGCATGAGCTGTGGTCCAATACTGCCGAAGTTGTGCTGGCTATATATCTGTTGAGTATTCAACTCGGAGCTGCATGTGCAGTGCCTATTGGAGTTGCTATCGGTATGTTTAATGATTAACAACCATGGAGTCCTCGCTAACCTTCCTCTTAAAGTATCATTGGTGGGTTCGATCGGGGCATCCAGCCTCGTCATGCAGCGTCAAGCTCTGTGGTTGGAAGCAATCGAAAGGCGAATTGCAGCAACCACGGCCATGCTCAGCTCAATGAAGGGCGTCAAGATGGGTGGTCTGACTGATGTCCTTCGTGATGACCTACACAACCTTCGCATTCAAGAACTTGATATTTCCAAGAAGTTCAGGAAGCTCTTGATCTGGACCATGGGCTTTTGTAAGTACAAGCTTCAACAACATGCTGAACACTAGCTAATACGCAAAAGCCTATATCTCTCCAGTAGTGTCGCCGATTGCGACGTTTGCTGTCTTCTCGGTCATTGCGCGCAGCAAAGCCGGAGAGTCAACGCTTGATACAGCCACAGTGTTCACATCTTTGTCTCTATTCACACTCTTGACCGAGCCTCTCGGATCCCTTATAATGGCTCTTGCAGCTTATATGGGAGCTGTCGGCTCCTTCAGGAGAATTCAAGAATTTGTCGAGTCCGAGAGTAAAGTCGAGCGCCGAAAACTACCAAATATCCGCAACAGCATTGGCTCGGCCTCCGAACTTGAAGGCGATGAATCTGACAAAGGGTCTAATGCCTCACAGAAGAGTCGATTCTCACTTGAAGGCGACCGCAACTTTTCCAGCACTATGGCTGTCGTGATCGAGAACGGTTTCTTCGGCTGGGACAAGGAGAAAGAACCCAAGGGATGCCTGCAGTCGATCACAACGGCTGTGCCTCGAGCCAAGATTACCATGGTCGTGGGCCCTGTAGGTTGCGGTAAATCGACCCTGCTAAAAGGTATCCTAGGTGAGTTGCCGGTGATGGGTGGCACGGTGCAGATCTCGTCAGTGCGCATTGCGCTGTGCGACCAGACACCATGGCATATGAATGGAACAGTACAGCAAAGCATTGTCGGCACATCAGATTTCGACCAACGATGGTATGCGTCGGTCGTCCGTAGTTGTGCGCTGGACGAAGATCTGCGACTATTGCCACAGGGAGATCAGACTGAAGTTGGAAGTAAGGGTATTGCTCTCAGCGGAGGGCAAAGTCAGCGTATTGTGAGACATACCCTTGTTCACCCCACTATACATAATGTACTAACAACCAAATCCACAGGCACTTGCTCGAGCAGTATATGCTCAAAAGGACATTATCATCTTGGACGATTGCCTCAGTGGCCTCGATACCCAAACCGAAAATCGAGTTTGGCATTCCCTTTTCGGAAGAGAAGGTATACTTCGAAGGTGCAGGACAACAGTCCTCATTGCTTCATCGTCTGGTATGTATCGATCGAATACTTTATCTCACCATAGAAGGAACCAACTGACAATCATGTCTTCACAGCCAAACGCTTGCCGTATTGTGACCACATCGTCGCCTTGAGCAGCGACGGTTCTATCGCAGAGCAGGGTACCTACGACAAGCTCAACCGATCCGGTGGATACGTGTCCAGCTTCGACCTCCCACCTCCTGACTGGGACTTTTCTCCCTCCAAGCATCTCTACGAGGCGCCTCCAAAATATACCGAGCGCGCAAACTCGGCAAAGATCACCGAGGATGATATACAAGCTGAGGCGAATCGACGCACTGGTGATGCGGCGATTTATCTCTTCTACGTACGCTCCGTAGGCTGGGTTCCCACAATCATCTTCATTGTTTCCATCACAATCTTCATCTTCGGGCAACTCTTCCCCACCTGGTGGGTCAAAGAATGGGCTGCGTACAATGCGACACATCCCAATCAAAACCTTGGTTTCTACCTTGGTATCTACGGTATGCTAGGAGGTGTCGCACTTTTGTTTTTGATCATCAGTTGTTGGTGAGTATCAGTTTCCCATTGTCTTATACATCCTGCTGATGAGAATTTAGGCAATTGATTATTACCATGGTTCCCCGATCTGGTGTCAACTTCCACTGGAAACTCCTCACTACTGTGCTGGGGTAAGTACTATATACTTCAGTCATCTAGTCGCAAAGCTGACGAGCGAACAGGTCACCAATGTCCTTCTTTGCATCGACTGATACCGGTGTAACACTCAATAGGTTCAGCCAAGATTTGCAGCTCATCGATATGGAACTTCCGGTTGCGGCTTTGAACACGTTTGCCAGTAAGCCACCAAAGCGTTGTATTTCCAACTGCATGACTAACCCCAGCTCTAGCTTTCGTTATGTGTATTGGGCAAATGGCTCTCATCGCCGCGTCCTCACCTTACGCAGCAATCTCGTTCCCGATTGTGGCCGCCAGTCTCTTCACTATCCAGAAGTTCTACCTCCGTACTTCTCGCCAACTCAGATTCCTTGATCTCGAGGCAAAGTCACCTCTATACTCTGCTTTCAACGAGATGCTAGACGGTCTGGCTACAATCCGCGCCTTTGGCTGGCAAGACTTCTTGGTCGAGAAGGCGAAAGCCTTGCTTGATCGTAGCCAACGCCCCTTCTACCTTCTCTTTGCCGTCCAGCGCTGGCTTACATTAGTCCTGGATTTGATTGTTGCGGCCGTCGCGACCTTATTGATCGTTCTAGTTGTCACTCTCCATGGCAAGATTGACCCTGGATACGTTGGTGTCGCTCTCTTGAACGTCATTCTGTTCTCGCAGAGCGTCAAGCTCTTGATCTCCTTCTGGGCTCAACTTGAGACACACATCGGTAGTGTCGCAAGGATCAAAACCTTCACCACCGATGCAATCAGCGAGAATCTCGAGGGGGAGGACCAAATGCCTCCGCCCAACTGGCCGGGTGACGGCAAGATTGAGTTCAGAGACATCACGGCCTGTTATCGGTACGTACTTGTTTAGTACCACCTTAGCCATGACTAATTACAATAGACCCCATGAGCCAGTCATCGAGAAGCTATCTCTTACGATCGCACCTGGAGAAAAGGTCGCTATCGTGGGCCGCACTGGAAGGTAGGCGCAACCCTTTAGTTTCTCTTGAGATATGAGCTAATTTCTGCCAGTGGTAAATCCTCTTTGGTTGCAACACTTTTCCGAATGTTAGACCTGTCGCATGGTAGCATTCTTATTGACAATCTACCACTACACCGCATTCCTCGACAGGCCATTCGCAGCCGTCTCGTCGGCCTACCCCAGGATGCCTATCTTCTGCCAGGCTCCGTTCGCCTTAATGCAGACCCCTTGAAGCTCAGCAATGACAAAGCCATCATGCAGGCGCTCAAGGATGTACAACTGTGGGACATTGTCGTCAGCAAGGGTGATGAGAACAAATATGCTCATCCTCTAGACGTACTAGTGGAGGATCTCCATTTCTCCCATGGCCAGAGGCAACTGTTCTGCCTTGCCAGAGCAATGCTCAGGAAAGAGAAGGGCAGTGTTGTCGTCCTCGATGAGGCTACTAGCAGGTGAGTTCTCATACAAGGACACCCCTCCGAATAAGCTTAGCTAATGCCTACGCAGCCTCGACCACGCATCTGATACTCACGTTCAGAAATTGCTTCGGTCAACCTTTGCGTCGCACACCATTATTGCAGTGGCGCACAAGCTTGACACCATCCTCGACTTTGACAAAGTAGTCGTGATGAACCAGGGCTCTCTCGTCGAGTACGGCAAGCCTTATAAGCTGCTCGAACAAGAGGGCAGCTGGTTCAAGTCACTGTATGAAGATGTCTCCCGGCATGAAGGGGTGGGCCAAGATGATGATGTTATCCAAATTGCACAGTGAGGGCCGGGATGATTGAGCATTTTCTAGCATTAACAAACTCTGTTATATTAGGGAGCTTGGAGACTCTCCAAGTGGTTCTCATTGTCTGGTTCACTCATAGTTGGTATCTTGTATGTTTCATAAGCAAAAATAGTTTGTTTTGATGTTCTGTACACGATCATATGGGGTGTTTGAGGCCTTGGCTAAGGCCGAACACAGTTCCACTCACTTCATGGGCTGGGCGGGCGTATGAACGCATCTTTTGCCTGTACATACATAAGACTTACGACTCCGAGTGGAGTCGAGTCTTCTCTACTAGCGTAATATGTGAAAGAAAATTTTCTTGGATGCATTTCGTCTAACCTGGTCACTGTGTGATGCAATAATAGCCCCTCTCAATATGAGAACGATATGGAAAATACCGTACTTCCGAATCTGAAATGCCCATGCTTCCAAAAACGAATGTCCGAGCTCTGTTTGTCAGTGCACATACGCTGAGGCTGAGAGATTCGAGACCGCTGAAAGGGGTCGATCCTTTCCTCATTTCGCCCAACTTCTGTATACAACACCACGTGCCGGATAAGTATCTCTGTCTTAGAAGTGCCGTGTCCGTTCATCGGACATTGATAAATAGGTAACAGTAACACGCAAACAGTTGCAACCTGGTCCAAGGGCGGCCCGATTTGGTGACGGGACAGACCCCCTCTGCAGCAACGACTGTACATGAGACATCCTCAGATGCCGTGTGACCCTTGCGGATCTGTTCTTCATCGGGGGCCTTGCTTCTAGGGAGGTTTCGTGAGGATCTACTAGAAATGGGGGTAATGCAACTTCTCGTGCTAGTGACAGCTCTCATGCGAGTCACTCGGATGATTCTCCCGTCCCCATGATTTGGTGTCCTACAGAAACGGGGCCTTGGAGATGATGATCGTAGGTCTTGCGTCATGTATTAGATCTGGGATGATTCTCTCCGACTTGCATCGCGGTACCACTAGCTCATGTACAGTACTGATACCTGATCGAAGACCCCTTTGTACTATTTTGAAACGTGAGCAATGCCATCATACTGGGTGACCATAGCGGCTCGGTATCCAAGGGGAATCATCGTTGCTACCAAGCTGGAACGACACCTATCAGTCTCATCAGTGACTGCTAGAAGGGCTTATTGACCTGCCTCTTTCGCGCGGTACTGACCACCCTCAACAAAAGTACATTCGACTCGTCCTGCTAAGGCCCAACCGCTTTGTTTCCTCCTACACCCACGTCCTATCATTACTACTCCACCCTAAACGTATAGTACTCACAGGACCCTGCGTCGAATCATTTCATCCTGGTGATCGTCCTGTATGCGTGTCATCGATCACAGAATGCCAGGCCAGACATGGGCGAATGGAATCGTAGCGGGTCATTTGCAGTCCAGCGGGATGATCTTTGCTGTCTCACGCCCCCTCCATGCATGCATGCGTGATTGACGGCACACACACATTCGTTCCACAGCGTTTTCCCATCGCAACGGTCTCTTCCTCCCTGGATGGCGATCGCGGGATCATGCTACCATGGTTGAGAGTGCGGGAAGAACCATTCCATGCCATGCCTTCTCCCGATGATCTGGACAGGAGTATGTCACGGCAGGAAGTAGAAGTCAGTTCTGGCTGTTTTCACACGTGGGCGTCGCGTCGCGTGCTTGCTTTTTCCTGTTCTCCTTTCTGACTTACTGTCGTTTCCGGCTCTTGGGTCATTGGTCGCTCACGCTGGCCAGCTTTGCCCTCATACAGACACTGATGCGTGATAAGGTGGTGTGCGACCTTATCAAGGCGTGGGGCGACGTTCCCACGGCTCGATATTAATGGCACTTTGGTGTACGTCCTTCGCCTGTCAGGGGTTTGTGTCCATCTCGATGCTGATGTACTATGTTATAAAGGCCAACGACTCGCTGAGTGACTTTGTGAACGAAGATGTATTGGCAACTTCAAAACTAGAGGGAACTGAGGCCCTTTTATTCAGGTTGGAAAATCACGCCACCTGCAGCTTCGTACCCGGTACATAGCTATGCGCGTGCAATATGCTGGGACTTCTATTCTTGGGTCATCCAGCCAGCTACAATTTCACCAGAGCGTCCGTGTTTATATGTTCTCCGATTAATGATTTTCAAAATACATAGTTCATTACATATTTAATGGAATAAAATAGGATAAGTGAGCTGTGTGAGAGACACTGCAATATTGGTCACGTGATGTGAATGTCAAGATCACGTTTTCATAGATTGTGGCTCTTTGTCATACATCATAAATCTTCGAGAAAATGTTCACATTTCAAAAACTCTTCTCAAAACCACTCGAGATTTAATAAGAAAAAAATGAGTTCATGTATATACGCTATCGTCAGGGTGCTTTAGGCATCACCACTCATTGAATCGTGAACTCTCCACTAGTACCTTCAAACTGGGAGATCTTCCCTCCCACCGCTTTCGAATCGCCATAGTATTTGATTCTGTACGTTCCGCTTCCTGGACTTGCAATTCCCGTATCCCATGTGATCTTGACGTCACTCGTTCCTGTCAAGCCATTGACTCTCTTCCATTCATACACGACTTCCCAGTCTTTATCGTTGCGAATCTGCGTCCAGGTGTTTCCGTCTGCCTTCTTCTCAACGGCAACAAAGGTACCTTCAAGACGCAGGTTGTTTCGTGGATTTGCGCCCACGAATGTCACCGATATTTTGGCCCCTGCAATATAGCTAGGTCCTGCGTTCGTTTGAACGTCGCCAAACTTCTTGCCAAGTGGTGCACCATCGTAAACAACGCCTGTGATAAGCGAAATGCTTCGATTCCTATTGTCGGCAGGAGTAGGACCAGCGGGATTGCTGCCTTGCACATCATCGGCAAGGTACGGCAGGTAAGTGAGCGTTGAGTTGATGTACGCGTTCAGCGTATGTGGGCCGTAGAGCGTGGAAGCGCCTTCGTACCTCTGAATGCCGTACTCCTCCTCAGTAGTGATATAATGACCGTACGTGTTGGCTGGTCCGCCAATGACCACTATTGGCGAAGATGCGATCTTCGAGGAGACTACCTTGTTGTAGACAGCCTCCCGCCATCGTCTGCCAGACATTGTAGTTGCTTCACCAGGTGTTACAATGATGATCAGTTGACCAACGCGCAGAACTTGGATGTCTACAATGTTAGGTGACCAGTCGTAAGGGGTCTTTGCCTCTCCAACATTTAGCAGTACAGGTTTCGGGTACTGACATGCCTTCTGCTTTGCTGAAGGCGGAGCGATGGCGCTACCGACTACATTCCAAAAAGGATTGCTCGGTGCACCAGGATCATTCTGCACGAAATCGAATGCACCAGGTCCGTCCGTAGTGCCTGCTGCAAAAGAGTTGCCGAGCGCAGCTGGGCATGTATGCACAGTGGAACCATTTGGATGGGTAAAATTGAAGTTGGAGAAGTCAACGAAAGTGTGGAACGAGCGAACAGCTCCTGTGATCGATGTGAGGCCGGAGTTAGCATTGTAAATCTGGAGCGCTCCATCGGATTGGCGTTTTCCAATCTCGTAGCAAGACTTGGCACCGCCATCATTCAAACCAAAGAACGGCCCGCGTCCATGGCAATCTTGAGATTTCCCACCACAAGTGCTATCTTCAAATTTACATTCTTGGTTAGACCCATCTTCGCACCAGGCACCGAGCACATTGGGGCTCGTGTCACCGACATTGGCTTGAGAGAATCCGGCAACGAAACCAGGTGCTGCGTTCAATGCACCTGCATTTGCTTGAGCCTGTTGTTCAAAAAGGTAGGCTGCGACACCTTTGTTGTCCGCGGCGACAATTGTTTGATTGCCAAGCAAGGAAGTGCCGTGTACGGCAAACCAATTTAGAACTCCGATATGCTTCCCGTCGCTGACTCTGGTAAACTTAAGCAGAGTCATAGTCTTATCGACATTGTCGGGATAGCGGTCTCTTTCTTCTTTCGGATTAGCGAGGTAGGCATACAGACTTCGGTTGATATTGGCATTGGAGATCTTCGTAGTTCCCGAGCTGATCGTCCCGACTGTGATCCCCTCGTGGGCTCGCTTGATCGACAGCAAAGTACCATCCACGATGGCTTGGTAACTCTGTTTATCAAATCCCAAGCTGGTAATCTGAGGTAGGAGGTAGTTCAGCCAAGCTCCTGGGCCAGAATGGCTGTGCGTTCCAGTAACGGCCACATTATTCTTTCCATAGATAGCGTATTCAGATCCCAGGTTCTTGAGGCCTTCCAAGACACCATTACGAATCGCGGTATCCCCGGTCGCAGTATCTAGCACCAGGTATACTATTCGGTCCTTGGGATCGCTCGGATTGCCAATGATGAATGCACGGGAGTAGAGCCGTTGGCGGAGGCCAGTTCCAATCTGCGAAGAGTTCGCATAGCCCATAAGATTGAGCTCGACCACGGGTCTAAGTGCTGGTTAGCTGAAATCCCTGGTCCGAATTCTCCCTTGGGGCTAGAGCATATATGAGAATTTACCCTGTGATATCGGCCTTTCCAACGCCGATCAGATACTGTGAAGGATCATCGACATTGACTCCAGCTTGCTTCCCATTGTAGAAATGGGTCTGTTGAAATTCTCGGTGCTTGTCCTGGTCTAGTCGCAAATGCCAGAAATCGACCTGAGGGAATCCGAGCTGTATGACCAGTTCGCAGATAATCAGCGAAGCAACCAGGGCGGCGCCTATAGCAACCACAATATGCGAGCGTGCCATTCTCGCTGTTAGAGATAGAATTCGGAGGAGAAATGCGATAGTGCTGTACGCAGCATCGAGCGGGCGTGGTGCTGGGGCTTTATCAGACTACCCTCAACCGACTACTGGGGCAATACCCAGGATGGGAGAGGATGGCAAAGCTGCGCGTCGCGTGGATAAAGGTCTCGGAGGATTGGATGGGAAGGTGGCTCAGGTAGCTAGGGTAGCTAGGGGCGATGTTTGAAGAGACGTGGATTCATTGGCCGGGCGGTTCAATGAGCTGTCCAGAAGAGGCAGCCTCGAACTTCGATAGAAGGGCTTCTGCGGGGGTTTTGAGGGGGGTTCGGAGAGGCACGAGAGGGTGGTGAAAGCTACTCGTGGAAAGTTTGTAAGAGTTCAAGCGTGTGCAAGAGTGTGCATACCATCCAGGGCAGAGGCGGATGAGGGCGGCGGATGACGTCCCATCTGGCCTATTATTATCGTTATCGAGTATCACGAGCAATGATTGGTCAGGTGCTAGGCTGTGATGGGTTTAGTCAGGTTTCCTCCATCCCATCTCATGCACAGGCCATCCCCGTCGCATGCCATCCCAAGTCTCTACCAACTTAGTTGAGTGGCAGAAGAATTAATTGAACTTCCTCTTTCCCTCACACCGCACCACCACCCATTCTCCTCAGCGCCAATTCAATCTCCACAACTCCGTCGCTATGCCTCTAATCAACGAATACTACGAATCTCTTCCCTGTACGTGCAGTTACCCCAATATACTCAACCTTTTCCCCTTCTCCATCCCCTCCTTCTAGTCCGGAAACTTCCCAATCTCCGAGGCGCATAGGATCTTATGCATAGTGACTGGCCCTTCTCAATAGTCTACTAATTCCCCATCACTACAGACGTTGATGCGCCTCCCAGCGAGAACGCCATGTCCGCCGCGCGAGCGCAAATTGAGGCCGACATGAAGAGCGCGGGTGTCGACCCAACCCAACTCCATCCAGCCCTCATCCCATCCGCATCGTACACACCTACATTTTCGCCTGCCATCGAGCAGGAGCACGCACGCATCCAGGCCGACGCGGGTTCAAAGCTCTCTGCTATCGACTCAAAGCGCTACCAGGAGCCCGAGAAACCTTCCAATACGACTCCTACCTCCGATGAGGACAAGCCAGAGCTCCTCCAGCAATGGAACGCTGCTCTGAGGCAGGCATACACGAGCTCTGAGTACCTCCAGGCGCGATCAACGCAGCTGGGATTGCTGGAGAAATTTGGCAAAAACGCTTGGTTGACTGGCAATTTTCAGCTGGAGAACATTCTGAAGGACATCGAGACTGAATTGGCCCAAGTGAGGAAGCAACAAGAAGACATCGACGCCCTGCAGCGTTCTCAACAGGAGGCTGTGCGTGGCGAATTCACAACATTGGAAGAGACCTGGAAACGTGGCGTAGGCAGAGTCCTGGAGACTGAGGTTGCCGCTGAGGGGCTCAAGCAGCAGATACTTGAGCGAAGGAGGGCTGGCGCTGTTTAAATCCGTTGGAAGGACGCGAAAGGCATTTGCATTGTTCTCTTGGTTTTCAAGACAGTACTGGGATGCAGAAAAGATGATGGATTGATCCAGTAGAACAGGCGCTATATGATGGAGAACCAATGATACCCCCAAAATGTTTTCTTGATACAGCTTCAATATCTCAACGGCCTGCAATCAAACATGTTTTGCTATGGGGCGAGCTTATGCGGTAATATACAAGATGTCCACGACAGTAGGAGCTGTCCCAGATTTTTACAATTTGGCAGCAACAAGAGCACCTCCATCCAAGGCGATCGTTGCACCGTTGACCCAGGCTCCCGCACGGCTTCCGAGCCAGATACACGTTCCCGCGACGTCCTCGGGGCTTCCAATACGTCCAAGAGGGACACCACTCTCGATTACATCCTGAAACTTCTCTAGAGTAGCTTTCATCATTTTGCTCTGGAATGGCCCGCACGCGATGGTGTTGCTCGTGACATGTCTCTTGCCAAGATGGCTAGCCAGCACCCTGCTCAAATGGTGCAGTCCAGCTTTGGATGCAGAGTACGCGAACGTCTCCAGGGCCGGAACGCGAAGTCCATCAACGGAGCCAATATTGATAATCCGCGACGGGTCTGTGCTCGATGCGGCCGCCTCCAGAAGAGGAGTGACAGCCTGGGTGAGCTGGAATACGCGCTTGAGATTGAGGTTCAGGACTCGATCCCATGCAGCGCTGGGATAGGTATCATATGACTCTCCCCAGTTGCTGCCGCTGTTATTTACGAGGATGTGGAGCTCTAGATCTTCGTTAGCCTCGCGGTGAGCCACAATAATAGATTTCGGTTTTCATACTCTTCTCTCTCCTGCCAAGCTCCTCTGCAAGGTTCTTGATATCCTCCTCCTTGTAGAAGTCCGCGGTAATGTAATCCGCCTTGCCCTTACCGAGCGCATTCAAGTCTTTGCAAGCCTGCTCGCATGCCTTTGCGTCTCGGGACGATATGTAGACTTTCGCTCCATTGGCGACAAAGCCCTCTGATATCATGCGGCCAATTCCCTTCGCTCCGCCTGTGACGAGCACCACCTTGTCCTAGATGGTTGTGAGCACGTGGCGTGCTTGATAGTAGTAGCTAGAGAGAAACATACCTTGACACCGAAAAGATTCGAGACATCCATCTTGCTTGTGTATGTAGAATTACGATATCAAAATGGTAGAGGAAGAAATTTAAAGGGAAGAGCTTGGAGTTGAATAATGATCGAAATGCCGGAGTCCCTCTTGAACCCCGGGAATCTGGGGAGATGTACCGAGGCTCGGCGGGACGTTATTCCATCCCCGGGCTTCAGGTATACTCCTTTTATAAGATCGAAGGTGAAGTGAAGGTTGATCTCTGATCTCATCGCTTTGTTCTGGAAAGACCAGATTATTAATCCTAGCATCTGAAGTTTAGATAAAATCGCCTGAGACCGGATCGGTTCGTGTTTGGAACGCCGGAATCCGTTGTTGCTTGGCGCGGCTACATTTACCATCCGACTACCGTCTTCTCTTTTGCTCACTATTGTATTATGTGGTTCTCAATCGCAAGAGTTGGATTTTCTCCTTACTAAGAAATCATTTTCATGTTCACGGTCACAAAAAAGTATTCACTTGAGCCATTCTCTAGATAGGATTGAGTTGTTGGAATTATAGGAACAGTACTCCGAGTTCAAGATAGATTGAAGAACGCCGAATATATCGTACATCAGCGGAATCATTCCTTCATATAATCCGTTCAAGAGAAACCATACATAACCGGCACAGCGGTTCGTTCCGCTGCTTTCTTTCCACATTTATCTAAACCAAGACCGGTGTTGTCCACCTTCCCCACATCCTGTATCATCCCGTACGTCTACTTACCTTTTCAATCAATAAAACATGCTAGAAAGCCGTGAACTAACCGCGCCCAAACCCTGTAACGCATTGATATGTATCAGTGTACTTAAACATGCATTCAATGAAGCGGTTTGCTATTCGTCTTCAACATCCGATCCGTTTCAGTCAAAAGAAAAACGAGTGCACCCACTACCCCTGCAACGGTACGACAGTATGTCACCCGTACCCGTCCAAAAAGTTATATAAATCCCGTTCCCGAGAGTACCTCCAACTTCCGTGCTGCTCTGTCTCCCCATCCCTATCCTCACTTTCATACAACCAACTCCCAACGTCGACATCAACTCCTTAATTGCTTAACTCCTTCCCTCCACCCACACAGTCTACTTGTAACGTGACAATCAACAAATACTCTCAAAATGGCACCCCTTCGAATCGGTGTGCTCATCGTCCCCCCAATCCAACTTCTCGACATAAGTCCCATCGATCTCCTAGCCATGCTAAAGCGCTCCTACTTCGAAGCCTGCAATCGTCCCGCGGAACTAGTCGCCCAAGCCATCCCGGACGAGGACCTCCAGATAACCTACATCTCGCTCTCGGGGCCCAGCACCAGCGCTTCGACGACGGCTGCGTTGGATCTCAAGGTCGACGCGGGCCTCGACGACCCGAGCGTCGCGCCGGGGAAGCTCGACATCTTGCTTATTCCGGGCCCACCGCCGGGTTTGAGGCCAGAGGAGGAGGTGCTGGATTTTGTGAGGGCGCATGTCGAGAGTGGGGTTGAGCTGCTGACGATTTGTACGGGGGTGTTTGTGGCGGCGTTTGCGGGCGTGTTGAACGGGAAGAGAGCGACTGGTACGAGAGGGGTTAAGGGTCTGCTCGAGGAGAGTTTTAAGGAGGTGAAGTGGGAGGATAAGAGATATGTTAATGATGGGAAGATCTGGACGTCTGGTATGTGCCACCCTTTTACGATTTTTCAAATTTCCGATGTGAAGAGCCAGATTCTAACCGTCGGAACAGGTGGAATTACGAATGGAATGGATATGATGGCCGTTTATTTGCGCCAACGTTGGCCGGGAACTCTGTCGGAGATTGTTTTGTCCCAAGCGGATGTCGAACCCAGGCCAGCAGATTATGGATCTTAGAAAAGACCACCACTTCTAAGGTCGTTCGCTTGCTTAACATGGGTTCCAAGGGATTGATGAAGCAAAAATATGTTCGAGAAATCTCTTGTATGACTTGTTTGTACAGTTGCGTTGCGGTCCTCTAAGGGGAATAATGTGAGGAAAATTCTAGCCCGTTCTATGCGGTGCATGGTTTACGTATTACAATGATGTACAAAGGGAAATGATATTTTTAGGACATCTACAGGTGAGTGGAAACAAGGAAAAGAGGAAAAGGGTATCATCATGCTCAAATGAACAACAACCTTCAGGCCAATGACTACTGCGGTGCACCCATGGCCTGCAACCGTGCCAACTCCCAATACACACCTTTGCTTGCAACCAACTCATCGTGGCGTCCCTTCTCCACAATCTTGCCTTGGTCGAACACAAAGATCACATCGGCGTGCTGAATAGTACTAAGACGATGCGCGATAGCAATAGTAGTTCTTCCTTTTGCAGCGGCATCGAGAGCAGCTTGAACAACGCGCTCGGAAGAACTGTCCAAAGCTGATGTAGCTTCGTCAAGAAGGAGGATTTTAGGATCGCGTAGGAGTGCGCGAGCGATGGCGATGCGCTGGCGTTGACCACCAGAGAGAAGGGCACCTTTCGCGCCGACTAGGGTGTTGAAACCGTCGGGCAGTGAGGTGATGAACTCGTAGATGTTTGCGTCTTTGCAGGCACGCTCCACAGCTTCATCCGAGACATCCTCTTTATCGGCCAAAATATTCTCCCGGATTGTCCCTGTGTAGAGTATAGATTCTTGCGAGACAATGGCCAACTGCGATCGGTAATCTTGTATGTTGTATTCGCGCAAATCAACGCCATCCACAAGCACCGCTCCGGATGTTGGGTCGTAAAAGCGCTCCAATAGTGCCATAACAGTAGACTTTCCACTGCCGCTGGCGCCGACAAGAGCAATGAACTGTCCTGGATCAGCGGTGAGGCTGACGTCACGAAGAACCTTGTGATCTCGTCGGCCAGGGTAATGAAAGCGCACGTTCTGTAGCTCGACACTTCCTTGCAAGCTATCGATCTGTTTGCCCTCTGTTGACCAAGAGTCAATCTTCGGTACCCTGTTCAAGAAGGTCTTGAGCAACTGTGCGGCGTCGCGGGCCTCGCCCATATCAGGAGCAAATGAAAATATAGCTCCAGCGGAGTTGGCACCGTTGATGATCGCGGAGTAGACAATGAAGAACTGTACAACAGTGTACTCCATGCTCAACATGAGGCCTCCTCCATACCAGAAGACCAGGGCAAAGATGAATAAGGACAGACCCTGTGAGAGCGCATAGAGTATTGCCGAGATGTGGGTGAAGCGCATGTTGCCAACCGCTTGTTCACCCAGCTTCTTGCGGTACTGCTCCAGAAGGTGTGTCTCGAGTGAGAGAGATGAGACTGTTCGAATGGACGACGCAGCCTCGCAGGCAAAAGCAGCAGCGTCGGTCGATTCTTTGGTGCGCTTCTCCATGCGTATGAGAGCCTGGAAGTTGGTCAGTGATTTGTGCCCTTAACAGTCATGGAGGGCAACATACATAGAATCTGAAGTAGCCGCAAAGGAGTAGAATCGGGATTGTTGAAGTGCAAACCAGCGCAAGCTTCCAACCAAAAGAAAGACCAACAATCACAGCAACGACTACGGAAGCCCCGGCATTGATGATAGATCCCAATGTAGACCCACTGACACCTGCTAACCGGTTGGCCTCGGTGGATAGAAACGTTGCTAGAGAACCCGAAGTAACAGTATCACCATCGAAAAACTCAATGTCCTAGAAGGATTGTCAGTCATTTAGAGAAAGAATGATAACTACGATCAGACATACTTGGCGGAGTACAGAGCTGAAAGCCTTCTCGCGGACGCGAGCAATAAGGCGACTGTTTGATCGTTAGTAGGTTTCGTAGTTGAATAGGGCCTGTTCACTTACGCTGATCCTCGAGACAAAGCAGCTCCTTGCAAGAAGTAGAGTATCCAAGTAACAATGCCCAACATGAAGAACATCCAGCACCAAAACTTAACATCGTGGCCGCCATTTGTTAGTTCTGGTGCCAGTAGTGACGTGATTGAATTACCCAGGAAAATGGCCTGTATAGCTGGTGTCGCGCCTGCGAGGAAGCAGAAGGTAAATCCAGCAATAAGCAGCATATGCTCGCCGTCATTCATCTGCCAGCTGAACTTTATCAACTCCCAAGTTGTCTCTTTCTTTTCTTTGCCCATGATAGATGCCTTGACTGACTCCGGCCTAGTGGTGGCTGTTCGTACAAGCTCCAATTTTTCAGCGTCAGAAACAACCTGGCCATTTCCATCTTTGGTGGCATTTTGAGCTCCAGGATGAATATGCGAAGTAAGTTCTTGGGCCTGCACGAGGCTGTGGTAAACGGTTCCGAGAGCTAGAAGTTCGTCGTGCGTGCCTTGTTCGACGATCCTACCCTTGGCCATTACTACGATATTATCGGCGTTCTTGATTGTGGAAAGACGATGGGCGATGACGATGGTGGTGCGGCCCTTAGATGCCTTGTCGAGTGCCTCCTGGACTGCGCTCTCTGATTTGGTGTCCAAAGCCGCAGTGGCCTCATCAAGAAGTAAAATTTTCGGATCCGATACGATGGCTCTGGCAATAGCAATACGTTGTTTCTGGCCACCAGACAGCAGGTTGCCGCGCTCGCCTACTTTGGTTTGAAATTTATCAGGAAGCTCGTCAATAAAGTTGTAAGCGTTGGCGATCTTGGCAGCTTGCTCGATGAGTTGCAGTTTAACTTCGTCCGCAGCCTTGGTTTGATTAGTTTGGCAGTGCTGGGGCGGCAAAGAGGACTTACATGTTCATGCTCGGTCCCAACAAGACCATGGGAAATACTTTCGTAGATTGTAGTACTGAACAAAACCGGTTCCTGGCTGACTATTGCCATTTGTCGTCGGAGCCATTTAAGATTCAGCGCGCTAACATCGTTGCCATCCAAGGTGACTTGGCCGGCCATGGGGAGATAAAAGCGTTCCAGAAGACCAAAGATCGTCGACTTTCCTGACCCTGAAGCACCCACAAGGGCGACTATCTTGCCGGGCTGTACCGTCAAATTGAAATCTTCTAGAACAGTCGTATCGGGTCGCGATGGGTAGATGTGCTTGACATTTTTGAACTCGATTACGCCAACATATTTTTCTGGTTTTAGGCCCTCCTCGCTTTCAGGATTGATCGGCGTTTCACGCTCTATAGTGTTGAAAACCTTGGTGGCAGCGGCGACAGCAGAGCCAAAGGCTGCAATGTGTGGAAGGGTGTGACCAATGGAGATTCCGGCTATCATAGACGACATGACAACCGTGAGAATTTGCGCTACGCCGAGCTCCCCAGACTGCAAGAACCTGTGACCCTGCCAAAATGCTAGAGCATATTGCAGATTTAGCACGCCCATCATGCCCGCAATCATCGACGTGAGCCAGAATTTTCCGCGAAAGTCAAAGGCAGACGCCCTGTCAAGGAATGTCTTGTACTTGGTCTCGTGACGCTTCTGCGTTCCGTAAGCAGTGACATTTCGCGAGGATGAAATGACTTCTTCGGCCAAGGTCCCTGCTGTGGCATATTCGTCGATAGATTTTGTTTGGTTGATCTGCATGTTTCGACCATTCACGCCCATCATAGCCGCGATCGCAACGGTGGCCGAGAACATGATGAGTGTGAGTTTCCAGGAGCGAATGAATCCAACGAGCAGCGCAGCGATAAACATGGACACTCCACTGACGAAGAGGCCGATCTTCTGACCAATTCCATCCTGGACTAAATTCATATCTACGCCATAGCATTAGCAAGCGGTGAGTATGGTAGTCGTTTGCAATAATCACCAGAACTGATTCTTGTCGTAATCTCTCCGGATCCTAGGAAGTCAAAGAAGGCAATGTTCTGGCGGAAGATAGCTCTCAAGTACAACTCTCGAATCTGTTGGGTGATTTTCTCTCCTGTGTGGGAAAAGCCGATGATGCTGAAGTACACAAAGACAATGCTGGCAATACCTGACAACGACAATGATTAGACTTTTATTTTTGAAACATCAATAGGTCTGGACTCACCGAGATAGACGAAATACAGACTGAACGTATTGATTTGGTGCCTGAAGTGGGCCGCAGCAACAGCATCCACCGAGAAACTCGTGAAGGTTCCAGCGAAATTTCCATACACAAGGGTCATCAATGGCATCACAACTCCGGCACCGATGGAGGCCACAAAGGAGGCGAACATGATGAGGCGTTCTTTCTTGTTCGCATACCTGAACAAGGAGAAGTAGCCAATGCTCATGCTTGGAACATGGGTCTGCTTTTCTATGATGGCCTTCTCCTGTTCGCTGAGTCCCGCTGTAGCCTCGACGGGCAGCTCCTCGGCAGACGAAGCGCCCTTTTCATTATTGACGACTTCAGCAGCCATCGCGGGCTGACTTGATCGAACAGTATCTGAGGAGGTTAGTGAAGAATACAAAAGAGAGAAAAAGAAAAGAGGAGGACGAAAACAAGAGAGGATGGATTCGAAGGAACGCTGAGCCTCGGCCACGCGGGTTGGGTGGGGACTGGCCGATGGTGTGGCTCTGATCAAGGCACTAATCACTCCATACACGGCAACAAACTTACCCTTGTGGTAACCGGGTGTTCGTTAGCGAAAGCGAGGCCGCCAAGCAAGAATAAGCAATTGTGAGTACAATTTAACGCAAGCGATTGTTATGGTGGGTGTGTATTATGTGCGTCTCATTCGTCAAAGTACTGCGTACGGGTGGCTAGTGTTTCTCACGTTGCTCCCAGTACTTGTAGTACTCGTACTCGAAGCGTAGTACCAGTAACTAATGCGAACTCTCTGGAAGCTGCTCTACCCTGGCTCACTCGAGCGAGAGGAGTAAGACGCGCAGAGGGTTTTTAAGAACAAGTTGCCAATTGAGATGAAGAAGATGAGGGAGGGCAGGGCCGGGTGAGATGGTTGGCGACCTTCTTAATGGAGGAAAATAAGGATAGAACGGCCCAGAAGGCGATCCTAAGCGCGATGCGGGTTGCAGGACAAGAGCACCCGCTCCCAACTATATATGTGGACGGTATGAGTACTCGTACGGCATGAGTACTATTAGCGAGTTGTCCAACACATATGAGTGAAGAAATGCGAAGTGTAGGAAAGAGACGGAAATTGTTGAACTGTTCTTTCCGGACGAAGTCACCGGCACGATGCAAGAATATACGCGGTGTGTCTGCCTAAACGGACAGGATTCACGGGAACAATTCGATTCTAGCGGCTGGCCTGATATGAGATCAATCGCAGGGAAGGTACCTAGTGTCTCCAACATGTCACCGGAATGAGTGAGATGCAATAGGCGGAGGCAAGCCGCGTATAATACGAGAGCGACACGCAATAGGCGGCGATGAAGAGTGGCGTCAACCGATTAAGAGGAGGGATCCGACTGCATGAAAAGGGGCAAAGACGGTGGGGGAGGGGGTGAGAGAGAAGTGGAGAGTGGAGTGGAGACTCAAGAGCGGGTGGACAGCGTATTGTTACTGTAGTGTACTTGGTACTCTGTAAATACTTGTAAATTCTCATAACTACAGCGTGTACGGAGACCGAAACGGCGACCATGAGAGCTAATAATTACTGATATTCATAGTTAGTGTTTTGTACATTATACCCGTAGCTTGAGAGACGACTTGAATTCATCCCATGAAACACGTTTGCTTGTGGCTGGAAACGTAGAATTAGATAGACGATTGCGGACAAGAACACGACCTGGGGGGCATTGGGAGCGGATGGTCGGAGGGTGAGAGAAGGAGGACGAGGAAGACAGAAGGGAAAGAGTCTAGAATGATACTCCATGCGGAAAGATACGACGGATACGAGGAATGAATCGTCGGAACATCGGCGTCCCGTCTTGCCGTCTTGCCGCTTGGACGTAAACCAAACCATCTCAGGTTAGTCACTTCCCTCATTTCACTCACGCCAAACCAACCTCGTCGCATGGGAACGAGTCCGTAACAGCTCGCTTCGCATTCGGATTGGCTCATACCATTCATTCAGTGTCAACCATTGTCTTCCAATTTCAACCACTCCACTCTCAAACCTTGACGTAGTGTTAATGCTACTCACTCGTACACGATACAATATAGGTATGTACATTTCTTAGCCCTTGGTGCATAGAGTGCCTTACCCGCTTCGCGTTACAGACATGAACCAAGAAGGCTTAACACAGACAAGCAATGCATCTCCTGAACGTCCATGTCGTTAATATATACATGTTATTCCATTCATCTCTGTTAATCATCTACAAATACTTTGCCATCAACTCTTTCACCTTCCCAAGATCCAGTGCCTCCACAGTCGCGCCATGTCCTGCCATCGTCTCTGCCATACACACTGCATTCAGGATCGATTCCTCGACCGCATCTGCTGCTGATTCGAATAGTGCATTAATCGTCTGATCATCGACCATCTCGATTCCCACTTCCCTGGGTGACCATGGATTGACCTTTTTGCTGTTGGCGGTCACAGTCTGCACGTCTAGATGGTTTCCTGTCGAGAACGCCAGGAATATGTCCCCTGACGGATTTGTACCCCAGCCTCCGACCCTTGACAGGCCGACCGTCGCCCTCTTCGCAAGGCGCTGGAGTTGGGTAGGATGTAGGGGTGCATCGGTGCCCAAGATGACGATGATGCTCCCGTCCTTCTTATCCTTTGCTTTTGCGATCTGGAACAGCAGCTGAGATTGTGCAAGTAGCTCTGGGTCATCCGGATTCTCTCTCGCTTTCCTCTCCTGCTCCTCGTAGATCAGCCGGCCGATTGGTGCACCAGATATCTTAAAATCTCGCATTGCACCGTAGTTCGCTTGCACCAAGGCAGCAACTGTATAAGTCTTATCATTGTCCGCGGGTACGATGCGCGAGGATGACCCCGTGCCTCCTTTAAACCAATGACACAACATCCCCGTCCCACCCCCAGTGTTTCCTTCCTTGACGGGCTCACCGCTGGCTTCATCCATGCCTTTGATAATATGCTGAGGCGTCACTGCAAATTTGGTCACGTCGTGCAGGAATCCATCAAAGGTTTCCGCAACTACAGGAGTCAAGAACCAATCCACCTTCCCACTCTCGTCGGAGTGGTCACGAATGGCGTGTTCGTAAATCCCGTTGTATGCAGAGCCAACTCCAAAGCTTCCCGTGATCACAATGGGAGAATGCAATAGACCCGTCTCCTCGATCCAATGAGTCCCTGTCATCTCGCCGGATCCGTTGAACCGGAATATACCAGCAAAGCATGCTTTGGAGAACCAATCCTTGCGCGGCAGAATGGTAGTCACTCCAGTGTTGATAGAGTTTGGTGCTGCATTGGGATACTTTGGCGAAGAGTGGATGGATTGCGTAGAGACTAGCACTCCCGGGATGTCGGTCAGACTATTCTTAGATCCAGTATTGTATCGTCCGAGATAGACCGTCGGAAGCAAATCCCTGATCCGCTGACGAGGAACTTGGGCAGAAGTGGAACGTGAGGGAATTGAAGAAGACATGATTGAAACTATTAGATATCAAGCGTAATGAGGTAGTGGCCCTTCAAATTGAAGGACTCGAGTATCCTCTTATGTTCTTCAAGATGGATAGGATCGTTCATGTCCTTCCACATTTACGTTCACCAGCAATCCCTCGTCCTTCTGAAAGAAGGGTAGTATCGCCCAGCAAGCGGGGTATTGGTAAGAGTCACATCTAATCTCGCAGTGCGAAAGTAGGATCCACAATCAACACAACAAAGAAGACCCTACAACGCTGCTTCAATGATTTGCTTCAATTTGTGTAAGATTTACGAAGCAGTCAAGGGCTGAGGGAACCGGAGTCGAATTACTGTTGGAGTTCGTCCACAAGTTCGTCCCCAATAGGAAGGTGGTGCTTATGTGGGGCAAGTAAGGAGTCATACCTGAGGCAGAACGCGGTGCAATCAACCTAATAGCTTACCATCATAGGCAATGGAGCACATATACAATTAATCGAGGAGTCATACAGCACAGATATGTCGTATGTTCTAACAAAGACTCTTGCCCAAAACTACCCATCTCGCATAATCGAGCTATGCCGTAGCTACACGGCCAGGATTCAGCATCCTACAGTCAGGTTCACTCAGCCCGCTTTGGAACTTTTGGGACGAGCACCCAAGAGATACCCATTGCGACAATCAGTCCGACAAGCATAGGCTGCAGCACCTTCACTCCTGCTCGACTTGCTATTACGCCCGTCAAAGCAGGAAACAGAGAGCCACCTGCTTGGGCCAGCACAAACAAAAACCCTGGAAGTTCCGTTGTTAGCAAAATGATTCAAGTCCGTTCTTTCTATAGAAGAGGGTAGAAATACCTAGTGCCGTAGGTTGGATATGTTTCGGGAACAGTTTCGAAGCAATGCTCATCCCCGTTGCAAACAAAGGTCCAGAGAAGAACCCAAAGAATGATATCGTGATCGCGCTGCTGATCAGGTTTGGAACCAGCCAGAATATCAATTGCAGCGCAAGCATCAATACGCAATATCCCAGGGCCATCCTCCTCTCTCCATAGCGATACGTGGGTTCGGAAAGGAGGACTCGTCCAAGAAATGTCCCTACCCAGAGACCAGCCGGAACATATCCAACTTCGGGGAGTTTGCCATTTCGTGCCGAGATGAGGTATTCCACGATCCAGCCTCCGGCAGTGATGACTGTTCCAAGCATGAAGAAATAAAACATGGAGAGCAGGTACACTGATGGGTTTTTAAGTGTGTCCTTGATATCTTTGGTCGCATTCTTACTGCGACTGGTGTTATCTTCCGCAGCCAGCTGCTTGTGAATTTTCAGAGAGTCGCGGAATGCAATGAGCACTGCGATAGCATTGATGGTACCGATTCCGACCAAGAAAGTATAGAAGAGATGCCATTGTTGCGGAATGCGCGATGCGATGGCCGTGGCAACGAACGGCGCTACAAGGCAGCCGAGAGCATACATGGCGTGGATAAAACCAAGCCATCTATGCGCCCCTTTGATCGAGGTGACAAATGTGTTCGAATGGGCATCTTGAATACCCATACCGGTCGCTTGGCAGAAAAAGGTGACGACGAAGAGTCCAAATGGTGGACTCCAGAAGCGGAGCAGTTGGCCGATCAATTGTAGCACGGTACCAACGGTGAGTAGAGCGCCGAGATCAAGGTAACGAGACAAATGGCTGTTTGTCGAAGCCGCGAGAAGCCATCCCGCAAAAGACGATGCATATCTAATGGTTTGATAAGTATCAGTAAGTACAGCAACTAGGTGCTTAAAGATTGAAACTTACATGATGGCGACATATTCCGTTCCAACATGATACTTCCGGATTATGTACCTGGAACCTTATTAGCAAACGTATATTGTTATCCTTCAATTGAAGACCTACGGCGTAAGGGCACCAAGGCTACCATCGTTTACCCCTGAGAAGAAGAATGAAAAACCAGCAACACAGATCTTGATCATGTTATCCTTATTCAAAACTTTAGAATCATCCTGTGTGTCTCGGACTGGATCTCCGCTGCCAGGTTCATTGGGCGATGCTTGCATATCCCGCATTTCGACATCTTGTCGGTGTGGATCTATGTCATCCAACGAACTGGTCACCGCTGGTGCTGTAGAAGACATGCCGTCAGGGTCAGAGGGATCAAGGATAGATGGTCGATTGCCCCATGTGAAGACATGCAAGATGCGTACAAAGACAACTGTATGCGTGTGAAATTGATATATTGTTGGATTTCGCAAGCATCACTATTTAGAGAAAGGAAAGGCGGGGGATTGGCCTACTGATGGGGAAACTTCGGGGGCCTTTTAGCATACCAAGACACACGATGATGAGCAGATGCAATAGTTACATACGAGGTAATTGGCATGCAGAAGGAAGGAAATGGACTCCTAGCCCGATCTAGTATCTCTTCCACCGGACCGGAAAGACATTCATCTACGGAGTACTTCCTTGGATATAGGTACCTAGGTAAATATTTTACTTGTGATGTGTAATGTCAGTGACCGGTAACATGCACTCATGCTTACTTATCTACCTACTGTGTAGGTAGTTAGACATACAATAATAACATATCCATATGATAACAACAATTGGGAATCCGGGGTTTCGACCTAGTCGCAACTTGCACGTAACCGTTCGCATACCATCATCATTATTGGCGGTCCAAGCGATCCACTTAGAGTCCAAATCAAGGTGCAAGTGCTCGAGTTCCCAGGAGTTCCGCCACCTCGTCGGATTAGCCGGCCACCAATAATCCACTCTTGGCTCCAACCAGCTCTTACACTCCTCTTCTCCTACTAGAGTACAAAGCACAAGTAAGCGAACGTGCATGTGAGCATTGAGGCTGAGCAGTCACCAACAAGAAAAAACATCCCGATTCCTCCATCAACATCTTCGCCTTTTCTTTCTCAACCTCACCATTCCACCCTTCATACATTATTCACGAGCGGCTTTCTTCGACCCATCCGTGGCACGTCCCATTACTTGTAGATCGCCAGGCCGATCATCGAATCCGTCGCCATCGTCTGCCTAGCCCGGGCCATCCCTGGTAGACCCGACTGACATCATGGTCATCTTCGGCGGACTCGAATTTGTAGTGGGAGGTTATCTAGTCCATCGACATTATAAGAACAAAAACGAACAGAAGAAAAGATCTCAAGTGCAATACGGCCAGCAACATCGACAGAACACATATCCCGGGGCGATACAACAAGCGCAGCCACCACAGCAACAGGCAATTCCTCCTCAGCAATTAAAATATGCCTGTCATGGTGTGCAGCAGCAACCTCAAGTTCGGCCTGTCCCCCAGCAAAGGCCATATACAACTCAGGCGCTTCCAATACAGTCGAGACCATACCCTCAACACCCTTCGAATGCAGCTCAGTTCCAGCCACAAATACAGCCATTAAGTCGCGCCGATTCATTCGCAACCATATCTCATATGCCGGTTGCGAACGGCTTAACGCAACCTGAATTTATACCTCCTCTACCGACTCGACCCCAACATCTAAATTCAACACACCGCCACGGCCATGCAAACATGCCGCAACAGCAGCATCCGGTATATAACAACGCACATTTCAGCGCGTCAACTCCTGCCTTCTATCACCCTTCGAACGATGGGATCCAACGTCAAGAACCCCGTCCAGGCAGAGCAACGGTGGACGATGCTTCAGAAGCTTTCGGGTCTTCTTCGTCTACACATTACTCCGAATCTACTTTCCTTGGTGAACGGGACGATCCCCCACCACCTTATCGACCGTGACCCGACGATAAGACGACTCTTCTAAACCAGTTTTGATGCAGGCATCCAAGCACTTTCGCTTCGACACCGTGACGGTTTTTGTCCATGGTTTTTTCTTTACTAATACCTTTTTCCTCAGCTTTCCACTGATTCGGCAAGGCTCGAACGATTATCACAACGGATACCCTTGCTTGTCTTTTGCACAGACGATAACACACATTTCTAGTAATTGTTATAACTATTAAATTTCAATTGTCACTTGTGTCGATTTCCAGAATTGTACTTATCCTTGACACTCAATATAATCTGATCTTCCACTTCACACTTTTACACCGTTCGCGAGTCAATTGCTGTCCTCCGCCCCAAACATGAAAATTTAATGTGAATCAAGACAGAAACGCACAGCAGCATCCTACCCTTGTCCAACTCCCTTACAACAAAATACACCTCACATATCGACGTCGGCCAAGCAATTGTACTGTTCATCCTACCTCGAATCTTGACTGGTATAAGCAGTCCGCCAAGGAGATACCCCGCCGTTCAAGGGTATTGCTGCATGCTCATGCCTCGAAAAGGCAGCTCCAGCGGAGCACGACATTACGAACATGGGGTCTATATGGATGTATCGCTGGTTCAAGACTGGGAAACGATTGCTACCTTGCATTTCGGGTACTTGACTGCCGATAGCGCTGCGGCAATGGCGTCAACGTTTGTCGTCAGGAAGTACCAATGTCGCTTTAAAGAAGTGTGCCTTTCCACTTTTCAATCTTACAATAATATAGTCTCACTCTGCATTGAAAAACATCATCAGATTCGGTCACAATGGGGCGACTTCTGGCGCTTCTAATGCTCTTAGGTGGTGCATCGGCTTGCCAGCGAGACTGGGATGCGCTTCACCGTCGAAAACATCAACACCAATCGCATAACAACCATGCTAAACGCGCCGAGGTTGACTATCCACCAGCACTCAGCGACGTTGAATCTGTGTTGGTAAATTCATTTGACAACAAATCCATCAGCGATTGGAGTTACTACTACACCCATGGCGACCACCTGGGCTCACACAACAAAACCATGGCAGAGTGGACGGCTGATAAGTGGAGAGCAGCAGGCTTTGATGCATACCTGGCCGAGTATCCAATATGGGTGACATACCCCAATCACTCTAGTTTGACACTTATTAGGCCAGACGGAACGACTCACAAGGCCAATCTGGTCGAGGAAGTCTTAGCAGAGGATGACACGAGCTCTTACCCGAACCTCATCCCCGCTTATCACGGTATGAGCGGGAGTGGAAATGTGACTGCAGAATATGTCTATGTTGGGTATGTGTGTATTCAGTGCCTTCCCCGTTTCATGTTCCATCGTATTACTGATGACCCCAAAGACGTGGCACTCAAGCGGATTTCAAGGTTTTGGAGGACGCAGGCATTGAACTTAAGGGCAAGATTGCACTGGCGAACTATGGAGGCATCTACCGAGGCACCAAAGTAAAGAATGCGCAAGACAGGGATATGGCCGGGGTGGTCATCTACACAGATCCACTGGATGATGGTGAGATTACTGAAGAGAATGGATATGCAGCCTACCCCAGTGAGTCGACCCCCAGAGTTGGCCTAGAAGTCGACATACTGACTCCGATGAAGACGGACCTGCTAGAAACCCGTCTTCGATACAAAGGGGGAGTGTTCGCTTCTCTTCCATCTACTCTGGAGACCCAACAACTGTTGGTTGGGTAAGTCCTTTCCTTTAGCTTCAGGATAAAGCACAATAAAAGATTGTGCTAATATCTATTCAAGGCGTCTTCCGAGGATTCGCCTCGCGGCGATGTGTCTCGTTATAATCCGTCCATCCCATCGATACCACTGAGCATGAAAGACGGTCATGCACTGTTGCTAGCATTGCAAGGCCACGGCGTCACTGCCAAAGAAGCCAACAAGAGTGGTTGGACCGGTGCATTTGGCAACATCACTTATGACAGCGGACCTGCACCTGGCGCGGTCGTAAATATCGATCATTTGATGAACGGCTACATTGCACCTGTCTGGGATGTTATTGGCATAATCAACGGCACGAGCCCTGACGAGGTCGTTGTAGTCGGCAATCACAGAGACGCTTGGGTCATTGGAGGAGGTAAGGCTGAACTTCTTTATTGCGCTACCATTATACTTTTTACATGCTGATACCTTTTGTGAAAAGCTGCCGATCCAAACTCTGGCAGTGCCATCTTGATCGAGCTGGCGAATGCTTTTGGCAAACTACTCGAGAAGGGATGGAAGCCCCGAAGAACAATGTAAGTCCTAAATTCATAGTCCTCAATTCACGTAGACCACACTAACGTGAACTTCTTCCAAGTGTACTGGGATCCTGGGATGCGGAGGAATTTGGGCTCCAAGGATCGACCGAGTGGGTTGAGTCTCACCTTCCATGGCTCACCTCCACGGCCGTTGCCTACCTAAACATCGATGTTGGTGTCTCTGGTCCGCGAACCTCTTTCTCCGGCAGCGGCGAGATTCAGACTTTCGTCGTGGAACAGATGAAGAAGGTCCTGTACCCCGAAGGCTGGGGTGATTTCCCAACACTGTACGATATGTGGTATAATGTCACCGAAGGCGAGATCTCTCCCCTTGGAAGTGGAAGTGATTATGCGAGTAAGTCTTACCCCATAGACACGCCAGTAAATCTTTCCATGCTAAATCGAGCTTGTAGGCTTCTATCAAAACGGTATCGGATGTGTAAGGACCCCCTTCTACCTTGACCTCTGTTTAATCACTGGACTACACGTCGTACTGATAAAGTCACAAACAGATTGACATCGGCTCAGATGGAGGCAAAAAGGACCCCATATACCACTACCATTCAAACTACGACTCTTACGCCTGGATGTCCCGGTTCGGCGATCCCGAGTTCTCTCTCCACGCCGCGATAGGCCAATGGCTATCCTTGATCCTCTACCATGTCGCCGACGACGTTCTCGTCCCCTGGGACCTCCCCAACGCCGCCACGGTGCTCGAGGCCTACCTTTCTGAGCTTAACGAGACAGTCGCGGATTCGGACTTCCCCGACCTGGATATCAGTCCCATCGCATCCGGTATCGCCGAGTTCAAGAAGCAAGCTGCCAACATAAAGAGAGTCGCGGACCAGGCCCTCGCCTTCAACGACACAGTCATACTGGGAGTGGTCAACTCGAAGTACCGGGACTTCTCGAGGGGGTTCGCGAGCGCGGGCGGATTGCCGGGTAGAGAGACGTTCAAGAATACGATCAGTGCGCCGGGTATCGATAACGGATACGGCGCGGATGTGTTCCCGGCGGTCACGGATAGTATTAATAAAGGTGATGAGGAGGCTGCTAATGAGTGGATTGAGAAGACTGCAGGGGCGATTTTGAGAGCGGCGGAGATTCTGGAGGTTAATTACTAATGTGTGGTCTTTCTTCACGGCTGTTGTGGGAGGGAAACATGGTTGTTGTTTGACAATGCGATAGATGTAGTTGAGATTGTTTGAGACTATCAATGTCTGAAAGGTGCATATTCTCAACGCAATTTTGTATACTCGTGATGAGATGCTCTAGTTATGAATCATGTACAAGACGAGAGCACCTAATCCAGTACTAAACTGCCATATACGTGTAGAAAAAGGTCGAAATGAATCGAAGACACCTGCACGCGTGTACTTATTACAAAAGCTCTATATTTCAGCATGATCCACCATTTTTTGTATGATAAGAACGGGTATTGGGTATTGGGTATATAGCGAATGTCCGAATCCACAGAGAACCCCGATAAAATAGATGAGGAAAGGAGAAGAAGTAGGAAGAGGAAAGGGCTTCGAAGGAGCCATACACCGTTAACACCGAACCATAAAGGATAAAGTCGAAGAGAAAGAGGCAGACAGCGAGCGAACTTGATGCCTCGTCCTATCCGCCCGTAGTTCAGAGAGAGATTCCGCACTCGAGCTCACGCCTCCATTCATCGGCGCTAGGGACATACACATCCCTATTCGACGACAACACGCACTCGAACCACTTCCGCACATTGAAGCCCAGAGCCTGTGACAGACTGTTCATCCTGTCGCGATTCGAGGCCGCATCATCGCCGTAAGTCATGTACAACAGCGGGTTTCCTTTCCTTATGAAATCCCGCTTGAGGGTTGTACTCGGCGCGCAGCTGAACGGCGAACGGCCGAGCACAAGTACAAGCAGCGTCATGGCCAGCGACCACAGATCGGTCTCGGGGGAAGGCTTGTGAGGCGTGATAGAGGATAGGAGGGTAGGACTGAGGTAATCCCATGTTCCTGCGCCGGACTGGGCGGCAGTGATGGGGGTCGAGGACCTGGCAGGGTGGGAAAGAGTGGCAGACGAGAAGTCGGTATACACGACCTCCATTGCTGTGGTAGTGGATTCAGACTCGGACCCAGACCCAGACCCAAACGATATCAAGATGTTGGCTGGCTTTATGTCGCCATGTGTGCATCCACGCCAAGCCAGCCATGACAACCCTTTCAGTAATCTCCCAGCCACGCGAGGAAACATATCAGCAAGCATCTTGGACCGAGCGAATTCGGTAGCGTTGTTCAGATCTTCATCAATCCAGGATTCCAGTGATTTGGACATCGCCTTGAGGACCAGTGCACCGTTTCTCGTGTCGAGTCCATGGAATGTGACGATATGGTCCCGAGAACGCGGATCTCGGGACAGGTAAGATAGGACACGGGCTTCTGATTCGAGAACTGCCTTCGCAGAGCGCATGGCTGGCACTTTGATAGCGTATGCCTTGGGTACGACTGGTGGAAAAGCGGACCGTTCCCGCTTGGTCGGGGTCAATGGAGGTGTCGCTTCTATCCCATTTTTTGGACCCAGAACGTTTGATGAAGTTGCTTGTGAGGGAGATGGATCCGCGAGGTATACATCACTCCAAGCGCCTTGTCCCAATTTGTTCTTCCTGTTGTAGGAATAGTCGGTGATAAGGTATGGAAATGCCTTGGGCTCGGTTTCGACGACGTTGAAATCCAGATAGTGATTTCCTGATATTGTTGAATCTATGCCAGATCCCGAGAGGGCCAATCTGGGTGGCTCTGTTGGGCATTCCGTCGATTCTGGAACCGATTGAGTTGATCGTGAGGGAGTCAGTGGCGGCGTGATGGGAACTGCGACTGTCATGGATGGGGAAGACTGGTTTGCGACGGTGCTGGCACAAGGCCAATCAGGGGGCGAGGTGGCGACCCGAAGAACCTGGGGTCTCCTGGGTGTTTCCATGGTGCTTCTGTATGAGAGTTTTCCTTCCTTTTCAGAAAAGAAAAATGGGAAGATGCTTCAGGGAGTAGAAGTATGCCAAAAGGGCAGGTCAAAATAGGTGTTGATATCAGGAGTTGGATATCCAATGATTGATCCTGGTAACCCGAGTAGGAAATGGTTGGGTATGTGGTGGATGGATACCTAATACAGTGGACGGTATGCCGAAATGCTGATGTCGGTATGGGCTCTGATTGGTCTGCCGATTGCAAGTGCAGTGAATGATAGATAAGACGATTCGGGGATTATAGATTTGCTGGACGAGTCCCCGCGTGGAACAGGAAAGTGGCAGTAAATGAATACGACTTGGTGAACAATGAATAGAATGTACAGCGGTGGGAATTGTTCTCCAATGAAAAGGAAGAAGAGGAAAAGTCCGAACAATGAGAGACACGGACGAAGCGAGTAGCGATGCGGGGGAAAGATGGTAGAGGGAGGATGTGGCGTGGGCGTGGCGTAGGGAGTGAAAGGTGAATAAAGGTGCGATGATGGAATGAACAGAGTGTAATGCGATGCCGTTGTACATGCAGTAAAGGGTGAAGATTCAAGAATAAGGGAAATACAATTAGAGAGAGGACAGAGTATCTGCCCAGGTATGAGAAAAGAAGAAGTAGAAGAAGAGAAGGGAGCGAAGATTATGGCAATACAAGAGAATATAGTACAAGGAAAATGGGACGGACACAATAGAAAGAGAGACCAAAGGAGGATACGTAGGAAGAGGGAAAGGTCAGATGGCCCGGAGCATGATTGTGGTTCGGAGTTGATCAAAGTGGTATTCCTGGTGTTGTTGCTGGTGTTGGTGCTCGTGCTGGCTGCTGATGTGATGGGCAATGTGATGCGCAACCACCGCGTGTGTGAATGCTTGCCTCTGTATGGACTGTGGATGTGTGTGCGTGAATGGGTATGGATGCGGATGTGGGTGTGGATCGCGACGGCGCAGAACGACCGCGCGGGTGAATGAAATTGATGCTGCAATACAACACAAATCAGAAGAAAAGATGGGAATGGAGTTAAATAAATGAGAGAATGAGAGGGAAGAAAAGGTTTGAGAGAGGGCAACCTCAAGGCTACCTAAAACCCCCCTCCCGTTCAAGGATTTTCTTTTGCATTACAGACGATTACGGCCAGCGACCACCGATCCGACGACCCAACGACCCAACTGTGCCAACCGTGACAACCGTGACAACGAAGAGCTACGGTTGGTGGTGCTACGGCCTCGTGCTACCCGAACGTAGGTGTAGGCTACCGCTAAGTATTCCAACTAATCCCAAGCTTACCGTTGTAATCCGGGGGCGCGGGTTATTCAAGATACGAGCAATTGTTACGGAGTACATGTGCATACATACCTAGATGACTTTGCTATATAGGGGTTGATTGGTGGTAAAGAAGGGGGGAGAGAAGCCATGAGGGATTTCCACGTCTTACATCTCACCACTTACTCTTTATTACTTAACCATCACTTACTTTTGGAATTGGACCTGACTTCAGAATGCATACATAGATAGAAGCAGACAGACAGATTGTCTAATCCGGTAGTTATGCGGACTAGAGATGCATCCGAAAAGAGACCGACCCATAATAACCATCGGCGTTCATGCACATCAGAAAATCCATTCCCATCACCATCACCCCTCTCACACACAAGATGATAGCCCGTAGAACCGGAATTGATCAGTGTCAAAGCCCTGGGGTAGGCATATCATCCAACAGTGGAGAAATAGAGTTGATTAGGGAAGGGAAGGGAATGGAATGATGAGTTAGAAGGGGAATATCATCATCCTCATGGAAAGAATCCGAAGATTTTTAGTCGTTGCCGCTATCCTGTTAGAATGGGCGCCGGCCCAACGTGCTTGACTTGGTTGGTTCGGCGTTCCTGCCATCCCTCCCTCATCCACCACTGACAGCCATGTACCTTCCCATAGACGCTCCCCTAGTCTATCTCTACCTTACTCCGTTACAATCTCTTCCTCCATCGTGACATCTTCAACCCTCACTTATACCATTACTCCTAATACTGCCGATCACTCACGTACTCTTTACCCATTTTCTCTTTTCTTCATTTCTCAATTACATTCATCATTCCTACGAGTAGTATCCTCCAGTCACTGCTCTCTTCCCTCCTCAAGGACTGATCATCCACCTGGCTAACGGAATGTCACACTGATAGCGACACATAACAGTGAATAGCTACGTCAAGCAATCAACCTACTAGATATCAATAAGTTGGCCAGTCAGTCAATCAGTCATCTATACTCGAGTCGGCTAGGATCATGTTTACCTCGCGTTGGTTGCGCATACTTTGTAAGATACCGAATATACAAAGTAGTAGTAGTTTAGTACCCGTAGCACCGAATCGACTCAGCATTACTGAACCACCCACCACCACCGATCCCATCTTAACTGTTTCCATTCGAGCTTTATGCTTCATGACATCCATACATCATACATTTTATGTACAGATCCCCAATGATACAAAAAAAAAAGATATGTATGGTATGTCCCCTCCCCCCACTCAACCCCAATCTTCTATCATAAATGGTGCCGGATGCCGGGGATGGTGACGTCGTCGTGCGTTACACTTCACTAAAAACAACCTCACCATCAGCGATCGCCATGTGCACTAGCTTTCCTTGGTAGCCTGCTACCTTGCCTGCCTCTATGCTGTACTTCTAGCTTGACGTGCAATCCAAGTCCAACTCCTCACTCGTCGTTCTTGAACAAACTGGAATAGTACCCCATCTCGCATGCTCGTAGCAAATACCAACCACATATACAGCTATCAAAACATTGTCACGCAGGCGACTCAGAATGGATAAGAAGCTTTTCTTCTTGTATTTCCTTTCTCATTTCATCTACAAAGGTTTCCTACCCCTTCCTCCACCAAAACTGGACAAATGTCTCGATATCATACCCACAGCCGCAATGTCCTACCGACACTGCAGGCACATTCATCTCCCCGATCTCCCTCCCTTCCCGATATCCTCACTCTCGACTAAACGCGGCTTGCCACTCCTCTGGCCCTACAGAACAATAAGAAAGTGGAAGCAAAGATACTCGGTCGGATCGAAACAATTCTTGATCCCCAGAAACCACTCGCGAGAGCCCGTGATGCGCCTTCCCCAGTACACAAAGGAAAGAATCCAGAAAGAAAAATGTAGGTCAAGAATAAGATGAAAATATGGTGCTGGGCCCCACGAGGCCGAGGAGATGGAGATATTATATATATAGATGCTCCTTTTTGCGGATCCAAATAAAAAAGTCCACAAGTACAAAAATGATAAACGCCACCATTTCGCGTTCCAGTGAATTACCCCCCGGGTTGAGGGGGAACTTGGAAAAACTGCCGACTATGCACAGATGCAATCATTATAACTTGCCGTCAGATCTTCCCAGGAAAGGACCTTCGATCATACATATCGATTATCTTTTCCTGCTCCTGGCGTCAATGGTCGTACCCAGCGCCTCGCTGCCACGGGCTCGAGTTGTTCGCCGACCGGTACTGTCCCTCGTTCCTCAGGCTTCCTGCTCGTCCATATCCGCCCTGTGATGGGGCGGGGCTCTGCCGTCCGTAGTACGAAGGTGGTGCAGCGCCGGGGCTTCGCGGAGGCGCTCCGTAAGGTGTCATGCCAGGCTCTACTGGGCTTCGTGGGGGCGCAGGTTGATAATGCTCGGTGAAACCGCCCTCCTTCGCGGCCATCTGGCGTTGTTGCTCTGATGAGGTGAACGAGTCGTCATCGTCGTCGATCCTGGACTGAGGGTGGGTTCCCTTGCCCTCACCGCGGGCCGTTGCACCTAGGGCATCAAGCTCGGTGGTAAGCTGGGTCTGTGACTTGATAAACGAGCCACGGTCGTCACGCATGGGCTGGTAGCGAGTGTCGGGATTCTTGGTGAACAGCGCGAAACCGGAGGAGACGAGGACCATGAGTAGCAACACAAGAGCAAAGACGGCGTTGTAGATGAAGAAAATCACACCCATGACTCCAGTCACCATTCCCTATGCGAGCGTTAGCGAAAGATCAACTGATTGTCGTTGAAAACGTGTGTACTTACGGGTGCGTTGAAGACGTTCGAGAATACGAGGAAGAAGATGGCACCGACAAAGTTGATGGCAGCGATAGCAATGTTAAATCCGTTCGTCCTCTTGTCCATGTAGGGTCGCATGACGGCAACTCCGATCAGGAGAGCGGCTTCGATGAGGACGAGAGCAATGGCCTGAACGACGCCGTGCTTCTGCGACAAGCCGATGAACATGGCCTTGATAAGGGTATAGAACAGTAATGGGACGATGAAGTAGTAAGCTGCGGCCTTGAACTGGACGTAGAGGAAACCCCACTTGTTGAGAGACACGGGGTCAGAGTAGAGGATGTAAGCGGGATTCTTGTGCATGGCGATGGACCTCTGTGCAATGCGGATGACCTTGGATGAAGCCCAGCCGAGAATGCAGATCATGGTGACGAGTGTGAAGATAGCCAAGACAACTTCACCAGCCGAATCACGCTGGGTGAGCTCCCAGAAGGAAAGGACCATCATCTGAGGGAAACCGATGAGGATGACACGGAACATGATTCCCTTGAGGACGGTCTGCCAGCCGTTGCGGAAGTCGACGAACTGGTCACTCTTCATCTTGCCAGCCTTCACAAGTCCCTCGCAGAGGAACTTGAATGCGATGACGCCGAGGGTGACGAAGATGACGAAAAAGATGAAGAAGGCGTATCCGGTGAAGAAGATGTTGGACTCCTCGATGTGGGCTCGGAAACCTACACGCTCAATACCACGAAGGACGACTCGGTTCTGATTTGCGACATCGAGAGCTCCAGCGTTGCTGCGGCTCAACAGGCGGCCCAAGGCGCGGGGAGCGATATCGAGCGAACGCTTCTGAACCTCGACGGAGATAGCAGACAGCTGGGATAGGTAGGTGGTAGGGGTTCCGCCCGTCGCACGTTGGTACCAAGTGGCCAGTCTCTGCAGGAACCCAACACGAATGATGCCCATGCTCCATTGGAAGTTCTGAGTCCAGGAAGCGACGACAGGAGGTAGAGGAACGGCCATCATTCCGAGGAGAGCTTGGGATTGGAAATAACCGAAGAGAGACATGGCGTTGGATGCGACGTGAGCTGCGGTGTTTGTGTGCCCTAATCCAGACGCGACTGCCGATGCTACCAGGCCCAAACCACCAATGATGGCGGTGACCCAGGCCACAGCTTTTTGGTCGACGGAGTGGCCATTGGAAAGGAGAGCCTCGACACAAGCAATAGGTTGTTTGGTAGTAGCGTCATTGATACGGATGCGAACCTTTGCGTCAAGGTCGGGAATGGTATAGGCGACACCTGGTGATACTGGTTAGCCAACTGGCGAACTTCACGTAGCCAAAGGGAGATGAATGGGCCATCGCTTACCTGGAATCTTGCTCATAACATCGGCACTGATGGGGAAGTTGGAGTTGATCTCGATCTTTCCGGCGTTCATGGGGCACAACCCTTCGACGTCCAACGACTTATCGCAGGGGTTGATGGTCTGCTTGAGGGCGGAGTAACCGTAGACGAGCAACTCCAGCTCGGCCATGACCCTTCCGGAGATGGTGGACATTCCCTCGATGTCATATCCGAGACTGCGATTGTTGGGAGTGAAGGCGACTTTGAAAAGAGTGGCGGTAAAGCTGGAGTTGGACTGGCATGGATTGAGCGAGGAGGATGTGATGATGCGTTCGGCGGAGGAGAAGGGGATGGCGGCAGCAGCGAGCAGCAGCGTCGCTGATTTGGACAGCGAGCCGAACATGATGGGTGGTGGGCGTTGCGAGTATCCAGAGGTGGAATGCCGTAGAGTTGGATACCTGAGGGCGACAGCGAGATCCTTCAGGGGGGAAAACGGTTGTCGAGGTACTCAGGAGTGAGTACACGATATGGGGTCAGCCAAACCAGCAGGCGATCGAAGTAGTAGTTCTTTGTGTCGGTGAGCGAGTGTGTGGGTGAGTCGAGAAGGTTGGTGATATTACGGAGGAGGAGAGGTGCGGTGGTGGTGGGAGGTGGACAAAACGAGTGTGAAGGTATATTATGACGAAGAGGTTGGCTGGGTGGTTGAGTGGTTGAGTTGAGTGAAGGAGGAAGTAGGAAACTGGGAAATGGGGTGGGCGGGCGAGGCGGGAGTCGACGGCGCCGCTAGTTGGGTAGCTGCTACTGCAACAGTTGAACGATTGTGACGGGTGGGTGGGCGATCAACAACGAAAGCGTCAAGCTTCGAGGGTTTTGGAATCAGGCAAAACACCCAGTCCCAAGGTATGAACAATAGTTATAAAGTGGTTTTATCTTTTGATTCTTTTTTTCTTGTTTGATTGTACCTCAGAAGTGAATAAATGAGTGAGTGACGAGTGGTTAGGTACGATGTAGATTGAATAGAGTGAGGAAGGAAGAGTAGAGTAGCCAGACAGGAAGGAAGGAAGGCAGGAAGGAAGGCAGGAAGGAAGGCAGGGGGAGAGGAAAAGGCAAGAGCGAAGGGGGTGTGAGGGGGGGGCAGGCACACAGAGACAAAGGGAAGGGAAGGGAAGGAGCGGAGTGTGAGTACGAGGTAGGGACTAGGGGAGGGTGGTAGGGTCGTCAGTCAGTCACTCCGTAGTTACTGTCTGTAATAATAGTGGATGTGTGTGTGTGAGTGTATGTAGGGCAAGGATGACAAGGTTGACAAGGTTGAACTGACGGGGGGATGGCAGTGGATGGCACTGATGGCACTGATGGGTGGACTGGGCTGGTGGGGCAAAAGAAAAAAAGGGCAAAGGGCAAGGGGCAGGACATCTTCCATTGGCCCACCGCCTCCATCTCCATCTGGGCCGTCTCACATCCAGAACACCCCCCCCCCGGACAAGAACAATGACAAAAGAAAATCAAGAACAAGACAGGAATTAGAAACAATAACCAGATTTCGATGCTGTTACCTGCTACCTACCGGCTTCTACTGTAATCCATCAGTACAATAACCATCTTCTGTTCTCAACAACGTAGTATGTATGTCAATGATAAAAAGCTCGCATAGTGTTCAACTGCCAATCCAATCCTCACATCTCGAAAACAGTCTAGTCCCTACCACATCCGGCTAAGATCCGCTTAACTAAAAGCAGTACACGCGGCTTCCTCCTCAGCCGCCGAGCGCGTCGCGCCTTGTAGGAGAACTCTCTCTTCTCTTCTGCCATAGTAAACCACTGGGCACTCGTAGCCTCTAGGCAATTAGATACCTACAAGTAACAAATGTCCATACAATTGCCTCTCTTATATTATCGACAAGACTGCCAAACGCTGGGCCGCCAGAATGCCAACGGCCACGACGTACTGTGTAGACACGGCGTAGGCACGGCAGCATGGGCACGGCACAGGCACGACTTGGGAGTACAGCGCATGGAACCACAACGCTCTTTTGCTTCCCGCTGTCTCGAATTAACTGCTCCGTACATCTCTCTCTGGGTCTCCTTGGGAGAAGAACGGAGGTATCGTCTAGTAGTTGCGATCAAGTTACCGTCTGCGTTTGGGAAAAGACCTAAGAAAGGAAAAGATGGGCACGGATGGTTTTAGAATTCTATACCGTGTAGTCGGAGATTCCACCTACTGTTCCGTCTATAATTATTATTTTTATTATTTCCATTCCATTCTTACCTATCTCTTCCATCGAAGATGGTAAAAGGGACTGTCAAACATACATGAATGATTGGCCAAAGGGGCTGCGTGCAGTGAAAACTATTCTACGCAGCAAAGATAGAATAATTGCTTCCTACGTCCTACTTCATATCAGGTTGTTTGTTTTGCTGCATCCGGAGAGAGGGGGCTGACAACAAATTCCTACCGAATAAACACTGCATCCAGTTGTACAATAATTAATGATATGCTCAGCAGATGCAGTATTGTTAGTATTGCTACTATTACTGTAGCATACGAGCCACGGGATTGGGCGTGCCGAATCACCAAATACGCACGCGACCGTCGTATCCAAGACTCCCAAGTGTGCTGGCTTGACTGATTTCACTTGCTCCGCCACAATCTATAGTGAACTCGGTGTCATGCTCTACCCACATCCGTCCATTGCCCTTTATTGATTCATTTCTTGTTCATTTACGGAGGGTGCCATCAATTCTCTTCGCCTGAGCAATTCTCTCTCTGCAAGAACAAGTATACTCCGTCCAAGCGTTACGTCGTTACGTCCGTCATTCAGTGTCTGCTACCGAAGGAAAGAGAATACGACAGGCTAGCCCCTCAACCATGCACAGTGCAATGGCAAATACTGTAAATAGCATCAGCCCTCATCTTCTCGAGAAGCCTTGACCGCGCCCAGCCAATAGCTCCTAGGAGTCTAGATACTACCCGTACAAGGTACGGATAGCACCACCTCCTACGGACCAAACGCTTACAAACAATAACAATTGGCCACTGATGGGAAATGGTGACTGAGCATCCAAAAGAGTAACTAATTAACTAGTTAATTCGTCCATGATTATATGATACCGAAGTAATTATTTCAATGTTGATACTATCCATCATCAAATGCTCGCTTCTCCTGCGGCTTGTACTCCGTACATACTACACAGTGGTTGCAGAGCGACACGGCAGATTGACCGCGAGCAGTCAGTATGAAGCGATTTCTTCCTTAGGAATCCATGAGATACACCATACCTTACCGCATAGTTACTGTATACATAGATACAACATACCATCTGCTCCCACAAATAGCACCCGGGAGTCAATGCCCGCTCTCAACCGCTGGTGTATTCGTCAACGCGCTCTTCACAACCTGTGACCCTGTCTACTCGCACCATTTCCCTAACATTGTTGCTTCTCTCTGGCCATGTAAAACTCATCGTGGATATAACTTGCTTGTTTGCAACGTCATGTACCTGCCTTCAATCTCCCCGAATCCCCGACTGTGGGAAATCTGCGGCTCCGTAAGTTTTGCTTACCGGAACCCCTTACTTACCTACCTGGCCTAGTATCGTAGAGGCACAGAGGGATACCTAGTAAGTTAAGAAAACAGCAGGACCTACGCTTGCCTTGTCATAGTAACTACTAGACCTGAATTGCGTATGCACGCACGCCCACCCCAACCGTGCACTCAATTCACCAGCATCGCCTCTTCGGTAGTGACCTAAACTAAGGTATTCTAGATTAATTATCTACATATGTACATGCACCTTGCCATCTGTTATCGCTTGCCGTTTGTTATCGGTGCCGATGTCGATGTCAGTCCCTATCCGAATCCCGTCTGTTCGCCCCAGCCTTGGCTGTCAACATGAACGTATCATCGATCTCATTAATAGTCAAATCTTGTCCAGGTCCAGGTACTTAGGTAGATGCCCCATACATCATCGCACATATCAGATCGCCAGTTGCCATCGATTAACCAGCCTAGCATATGCAGATTATGTGATAGATAGTTGCCCGCAATGCTAGCCACAAGCAAATTCATCGTTCAAAGCTGGCACTGCTGTAGGTCCACCCAACGGCATCGCACCGCACGCCGTGTGATGGTAAGTCGCACGAGACGGCAGCACGAGGCACGTCAGGTTTCCAGTTGGGGCCACATGCTTCAGGTGCCTGGTGCCGTCGGGAATGGCATGCGTGCAGCTGGGACTGAGCACGCAAGGGAGGGGACCGTATCGATAGGGTGTCAAAATCAACATCTTTCGGGGTTGTCTTGTCTCATCATTGGCAGGGCAGGCAGGACATGACAAGAAGCTCAATTAAACAACTGGACTGTGGGTGCATTATTACTAGTTGAGTCGAATTACGCGCGCTGAGCTGGGTTGAGCTGGGTTGGACCGTTAAGCTGAGACAGGGACATTCCTCAAACACCGTCCGTAATCCACCTCACTGTGGCCCCCCATTCTGGCCAATCATTCAACATCATTGTTGTTCTCCTTTTCAGGTACACAGCATCTACTGTAAAACTACTGTGTATCCACCAGTATGAAGTCACGAAGGGTACTGCCTAGGTAACTCTATCTTACACACAGTACGGAAAACTCCATACACATACAAGATACCACTCAGCTGTGCGTAGCGTAGGTACACACGTAGGTACTCTGTAGATATGTATGTATGCACTTACAGTACGAGCCTACAAGGTACTCTGTACTAGCATTACCCACCAAGAGCAATCAATATCGATCATCATCCACAATTCCATCGCTGACGATTCGCACAGGCATTAATCTGCGCTTCAAGTTCAACATGTAACGCCCATCACCCACTCCTGAGCTCTGCACCCACTGTCGCTTACACGATTACACCCAGACTTGTGTACAAGTACAAGTAATCACTGGTACGGGGTAGTCACTTGTAGGAATGAATATTGTGAGCTGGATAGGTTAGGTGTACGTCCTGCTGCGCCTCGACTGAACTCCAGTTTTCATTTACACGACTCCGAGCCTCCAGTTGGCGTCCGCGTTGGCGTTGACGTTGGCATCGGCTCCACCAATGCTCCCACCAAAAAGAAGTGACGATTCCTCTTGGTCCCTGAATATCTTCATCCGCGTCCTTCGCGCCGCCAATCTAAACATCATTCTTCACCTTCAAGTATGCCTCGCGACGCGTCAGCTTCTTTCTCCCCAAGTCTCTCCCTCTCCATTACAACTAGTACATGCCTAGTACGGAGATACTAAGTGACTATGTGCGTGTCCCGCACTTTCAAGATGATACCTCTTCGTTTATCACATAGCAGGTACAAGTACTCTGTAATGGGTAATTGCTTACAAAGATGCATCGGAGTCGGACAACGCGTGCAAACCAAACGCTTTCACTTATGCGTACCTAGGGAAAGCATGATAACGGATGTTCTGTGCCTATAAGCTCGTAGCGCGGAAGGTTATCGACAATGCACCGTTAATAGTAGTTACCGTCAAGGTGTCACGGAGATTTGATTATTCTATCGATCGTTGCGCAATGGCTGTACCTTCTCGTAGCAGCACATACGTATCACTTCTCCACTCAAGCAAGCAAGCAAGTCACTCAACTCTTCTCCCGTCTGGCTATTACTATATCGTTCTCTCCTCAAATTTATAGTCGCACGATACAACCAATTCAAAATGTTATAGTGAGTCTACTTCATCATCATATGCCGGTTCGAAATCGTTCATTCGTGCTGACGGACATCTCAATGAGGACTCCTTTCCATCCGTCGGTGATATGACCAGCCAAACAAATCATTAAGATGTGCATCGACCTGCCGACCGTTTCGGCCAGTACACCATTTTGATCAATCATCTGGCCCGAATTGGTTATCGCAAAATAAATCCTCTCAAGTGCAGGGCCATCGTGAAGGAACGTAGCGAAGACTCTCAGCTCCTTGGGCCAGCACACCAGATTGACTGGCGATAACCTCACGACCTCACGTACCAGTCCCCCTACGCCGATCCTATTCCTGACCCCGATCACCCAATTGTTGTTGCAACATTGCGATAGCTTGAGTCGAATCCATCCATGCTTCCGCCCGCTGTTTCTGCCCGGTTGTATGCCTCTCCAGATCCATGTCGTCATCATCCTCCACGAGCGCACGCACGAGCGGCGCCTTCCAATTAACGTCTTGGATGCGGAGGAGGTGTTTAACCACAGGATCCGCCATCCTCCCACCGGGCGATCTATCTTGTGCCTTCTTTCCCACGCACAGTACCTTATTCACGAATTCATAGGCGAGCAACATTCCGTACTCGTCCATCTGCCTCTGCGTCAGGAGACCGGGACCGTGGACGAGGAAATCCATCGGATTCCACAACAAGTCGTTTAGTGCTTTCTTCTTCTTCATCCCTTTAGGCCAAAATTTCATGGCATCCAGTTGCCCTTCTGTGAAAACCATCAAGTCTGTCTTGCCTTCCGTCCACGTTGCCAGGAATTCCTCTGGCTTGCTGAAGTTCTCTCCTGGAATCACGTACGCCACCCAGGCTTCGACGAATTGGTTGACAAAAGGTTCGGTTCCCGGCGCGATCCACGGCGTGGGATATCCGGCGCGTGAGTGTGCAATGGTAAACACCATCACCAGGAGGTTGTAGTAGATGCCTCGGTTCTCCGCCAGGAAAGAGTGGGACTTGTCCATGCCCCAATACCATATGGCACGGTTGACGTCGACATCCTGCCCTGGTTTGGCGATGAACCACAAGTCGGAGAGTTGGTCGTAGCACGAGAAGACGAAACGCAAGTCGAGTCTTGTTGGGCAGCAGTACGCGATAACCTATAAACAAATATGATCAATATCAGCCTTTCACTGTGTAGGCTTTCCTGAAGATTGTGACCATTGCCAGCGCCGCCCCAACCACACAGCTACATGCGTGCTTACCCTTGGAGAACTCGTGTATATGTCCCAGATCGATGGCTTCCGGCCTTGTTTGAATGCCTTCGCGGGAATCTTGGCCACTATAAACTTCAGGTTTTTCTTCGCCAATCGATGATTCGCGAGCATGTCTTCATCACACATCTCTTCTTCGTCCTCCAGCCCCATCCCAGGCATGAGTATATTTGTAAGGTCATCCATACTCATATCGACGAGACAACACTCTTGTTTGCAATATCGATGATGACTGATCTCTTGGAGAATTTTCGTCCACAAGGGAGGATGTTGCGAGTAGAGTGATGTTGCAGATTTCGAAATCGATACTTTGTTTGATGGGTGATGGTTGGGTAGAAGTTGTGTGAGTGGGGATTTTGTGAGGGTATGTTTGTATGTTGTTGTACAACTTCACCTGGTTTGTGTGGACGGCTTCACTACCTTACCTTCAAACGCTCCCTTTGCACCTTCACTTCGGGCACTGACCACTTGGTTGTCGGATAGCTTTTATTTATTTCTATGCTGCCTGGAGTGATGGGTGAAGTTTACATCACAGGCGGCTTTGGAAAATTGAAGAGGAAAATATTCTTTTGTATTGTACTGTAGACGCTTTGACATGAACGATTGCCAATCGCTCTGGTCCCCTAAGGTTTTGAAGCATCCATTCGAGATTCAAGAGTCACGGAGGCCCTCTTAATAGAAATGCAGATGTAATGACTAAAATACTAGTCGAAATGTATCTCTTCTATCGCCCTCTATACTCACATACCTATCCATCGTTCCCCGTTTTCATCTATATTCTAAGCCCGGGCAGACTTGTAAAGAGATGAATGAATAGTGACTCACACATTCTGATGGTGGTCCTTTTTAAAGATCACTGCCGCGAACAAAAAAAGAAAGATGCAACAGTAGGATATGCTAAAGTCTAAAGTGTATTGGGTATTTGAAACCAATCTCCTTATAATTAGATTTTCAGACGTATAATAAATCATGTTTATGCGTTTGTTGAAAAAATGGTCTAGATGGAAGGACTGGCTGTTACACAATTTAAATGTAGAAAGATGTAAATAAAAAAGTGAGAAGGTTGAGGCACGATAAACCTCAACCCAACTTTTCTAACACCACTATGAAAAGAATCTTAGAGTAATGATCAACTCAATCTTCAGTTATGATAGATAACGTATGTGAAAGCATCGCATCGTCGAAGTGATACAAAAACCGCAGTTTTCGCATGGGATTGTACAGGATTTACAACAGGCTTAATCAGGACAATTACTATCTCGAGCCTCCAACATAATCATCATTCGCCCACTTTAGACTCCTCACAGTATTACTCTAATATCTGGCGAAAATACTTTGATGCTATCTAACTAAACGTATCGGCCCAATTCCGTATGCTGTTAGCGAATCCATCCGATGAAATGCGTTGAGCGAAGCACCTTGTGGTTCTCGTTGTGGTTATTGGTCCTCGGTACGATGACCTTGAGATGCGACAACGAGCAGCATAGCAAAGCTGGCCTTTCACGGGCGGAAATGAGGGGAGGAAGACCGCTTACCAATTCATGGAAACAGAAGTATTCGGAAGGCTGGATCGAAGATGGGTAGAAAATGTTGATGCTGACGAAACTGGCTAGCCTTTCGAAAGTATCTAGCAAAGCATAATGAGGAGCATGATTGTCAGCTTAAGTGCAGCAACGATTCCTTGAAAGGGACTTCTGAACTTGACGAAGTGAATCCCAGTCAAAATGTTGATGATAATTTTTGTGTCATCGGACCATAAAGACAGGTAGCTCTCGACAGATAAGGAGGCACCTCGTGTTCATTCGACGCGATATTATTGATCAGAATCACAAGAAATCACAAAGTTCAATAACTATAGATAATAAATATTCTTCTTTCATTGTTAATGTAGTTATTCAGATTTTGAATGTGGCGTGAACGAGTGCTGCGATCGAAACGGGCGATCAAGCAGTCACGATAAGATAGCTAGGATACATGGTCAATAGAGATCCGCCGTCGGCTAGGAAGAAGCCGAATCCATCACCAGAACGCCGAGTTCCCGAGAATGCTCCGGATGGAAGCACCGGAGAAGGAAAGTCAATAGGAATCCAGAGAAAACCCCCCTGATGGGCGCCATAAGAAATGTTGATGATAGCGAGATAAGGATGCGGAAGGACAAGATAGTGGTAAGGAAGGAATGCGAAGAGGAAAGCAAGAGGTGAGCAGTCTATCCTGCGAGAGCAAAACATGAGACTTTTCGGATCTTGTAACGCGGGCAGTAGTGGGTGTTAAAGCAAGCTTGCGCGAAGCGGTCTGCGGGTGCTCACATCTGCATCGCGTCGTCGTCGACCACGGCAACGGCTACGTCCATGTCTTGTGATGGAGGCGTGATAGGCTCGGATGATGGTGTGCGCTCGCGAGCGTTGATTCGTTCCCCTTCAACTTGAGGGATTGGGCCAGAAGAAAGATTTGACACAGTTCGTTGAAGCGACCAGCCGACAGGCTGGCACCACTGAAGGCTGTCGGAGAAGAGCCAATATCCCTGGACACCATGTTGCTTTGCGCGGACGAGATATGCAGACAGTGATTCCTTCTCCAACATGACTACTGCGTCGGTAAGGTCAAAGTGGTTCTCAATGACGCGAGAGTAGGCGCGCGAGGCATCGCGAAAGACAGGGTTGGTCATGATGTTCTTCCATCCAACGCCGAGCGAGGTAATTAGTGTGTCGATGGTGTTTCCGTGTTCGTCAATGATGCCGGCCGGAGATTTAACGGCCATGTCGTTTAGCGAAGAGATGGTGGCATCACCAGCCGCATGCATGCGCTGTGATTTGCGCGAAGTGGCGATGGGTCGGACGGGTGCAGCAGATTCCTCTCTCTCTTGCTTCTCTTCGCGCCAGGTTCCGGTCTGTGAGTCGGCAGCGATGTTGAAGCCAGGCTCGTCGGGGTAGATAAGGGTCATACCCGGGCCGTAGATGGGCTGTGAGGTCGGCTTGACGGGTAATTGGGAGACGGCTGTTCCCATTGGGGCATTCTCTTCAGGGTCGTCGACGTCGGTGATGGATCGTTTTCGCCCAGCCGTAGCATTAGACACTGCAGCAAGGTAATTGAGTGACGGAGGAGTGGGATATTTTGGGCGGAAATTACCCATGGATGATGGAGAATGGGCACGCTGGTGAGGCGAGTAGTATGCGTGCGGCTGCTGAGGTGGGAGCACGACGGTTGGCGACGAGGCGTAGTAGTTCAAACCCATGGTCACTGTATGTTTAGTTATTCAATGAGGGGAAGGGGATCAATTGATACAAGAGTCTGCTCTGTATGATACACAAATGGCAGACTGAGCTTGCAGCTTAATGAAGGTCACGTTCACCAGGGGTGGGCGACGGCAAAGTATAGGTGGAGGAGGAAGTGAGGGTGATGAGAGGTGAAGTATAAAGAGATGGAGAGGTGGAGGTTAGAAAGTAGTAGTAAGAAGATGAAGTATGGAAACGGAATGATAAGAGTGGAGGGAGGTGATGATGATGATGAATGGGAGGTGGATGGGAGGAGTGTGTGTTAATGGTTTTGGAAAAGTCTGGTAGATTTGTTGGAGGTACGGAGTAGGTGAGGTGGGAATGTGAGTGAAGTGAAGTGAAGGAGAGATGGACGAGAGAGGGCAGGGCGCGAGGTCTTGTAAGTACGGCAAATGGGAGGACCCCGTGAGAGGGAGGAGGCGTAGTACGAGAGACTACGAGTAGGTACGTACCGGTAGAGTAAGAGAAGGAACGATTGTTGGTTGGACGACAATCCGTCCGGTTTGGGTTTAGATTGCCAAGTCCGGGCTCCGGCGAAGCGAGAACCTGGAGGTCTAGACCCAGATCGGTCTAGTGCAGATGCAATAGATCCCATCTTAACCTATCATCCTGGTCGGCCAGCCACTTCAGTTTTCCGTAACAGAACAGACTGAGCTGAGCAAGAGGAGCTAATCACGTGATATTCCCGTCATTTTACCGGTGAGCCATCATGGGCTGACTCAGCACTAATTTTGGCGCGGCATATTTGCATTGTTTGCATTGTTGCTCATTACTCAGACAAGGTCACGAGATCCATCCGTTCCTCTTCCCCCAGATTTGGTTAGTCTAATCTTTCTCATTCTCTTTCTCTCGGACCCGGAGAAACACATCCACCGGCGACCCTTGCAAATAACGCGTTTAGAATTTTGGGCGTGCCCCAGTCCGTGGAGGCAATACTACTACTATAGAGTATACTTTGTACGAGTAGCATAGCGAGCCGTACGCACTGTGTAGAGCACAGAGAGAAGCTAGGCATCTGTTCTCAAATCCACTTACCAAAGCTCCTTCCTCTTCCTCTCTCTCTTTTGTCTCTAATCTCTTTCCCACTCTACCTTACCTGTAACCTAACTCCCCGCCCATCCCCCACCTACCTTACAACTCTCACACCAAACTCTGTTCAGCATATCATCTCAAGATGCAGGCGCCGGTGGTGGTTATGAGTACGTCCTCACTCGTCGGTGGCTACTGGCCCTTCCGTCGCCCTCCTTTTCTTTACATCCAGAACATTCTGACCCCAACGTAATAGACACCCAGACCCCGGGAGGGGAAAGGCAATTCGGACGCAAAGCACAGATCTCGAACATCACCGCCGCAAAGACAGTCGCAGATATTATTAGGTCATGTCTGGGCCCCAAGGCCATGTTGAAGATGTTGCTCGACCCCATGGGCGGCATCGTCCTCACAAATGACGGCCATGCTATTCTCCGAGAGATCGAAGTCGCACATCCTGCTGCAAAGAGCATGATCGAGCTGAGCCGGACGCAGGACGAGGAGGTTGGTGATGGCACAACAACTGTGATCATATTAGGTATGCCGTTCTGGTCTTCCCCGCCATCCACGCATGTTACCAGTATCTAACAACCTATCGTAGCTGGTGAGATCCTTGCGCAAGCTCTTCCCCAGCTTGAGCGCAACATCCACCCCGTCGTAATCATCCAAGCCTTCAAGAGAGCCCTCGCAGACGCACTTGAGATCATCGACGAGCTCGCCGTCGATGTGGATATCAATGACGACCAGGCAATGTACCAGTTGATCAACGCCTCCATCGGTACTAAATTTGTGTCGCGATGGTCGGAGTTGATGTGCAACCTTGCGTTGAAGGCAGTCCGGACGGTCTCGCTCGACATAGGTAGCGGGAAGAAGGAGGTGGATATCAAGCGCTACGCACGTATTGAGAAGATCCCTGGCGGCGAAATCGAGGACAGCCAAGTGCTAGATGGCGTCATGCTGAACAAGGACATCACACATCCTAAGATGAGGAGGTACATTGAGAACCCAAGGGTGATGCTTCTCGATTGCCCACTGGAGTACAAGAAGGGCGAGAGTCAAACCAATATCGAGATCAGTAAAGAAGAGGACTGGAACCGAGTATTGCAGATCGAAGAGGAGCAGGTCAAGGCCATGTGCGATGCGATCATTGCATTCAAGCCAGATTTGGTCATCACGGAGAAGGGTGTTAGCGGTGAGTGGAGACACATAGCCCCTGTGCAAAGCGAAAACTAATCACGTCGACAGATCTGGCCCAGCACTTCCTCGTGAAGCATAACATCACCGCGATTCGACGTGTTCGAAAGACCGACAACAACCGTATTGCTCGCGCTACAGGTGCTACTATCGTCAACTCCGTATTCTCCGCCACTGCTTCCGACATTGGCACGCAGTGTGGCCTTTTCGAGATCTCCAAGATTGGTGACGAATATTTCACGTTCCTCACCAAGTGCAAAGACCCCAAGGCTTGCACGATCCTATTGCGAGGCCCATCGAAGGACATTCTCAACGAGATTGAACGAAACTTGCACGATGCGATGGGTGTTGCTAGGAATGTAATCTGGAACCCCAAGCTTTGCCCGGGAGGTGGCGCAACCGAGATGGCTGTAGCTGTGGGACTGGAGCAACGAGGAAAGCTCATCGAGGGAGTCGCACAATGGCCATACCGCGCGGTCGCCGAAGCCATGGAGGTCATTCCTCGTACCCTCATTCAGAATTCGGGTAACAGCCCCATCAAGATTCTGACCCAGTTGCGTGCAAAACATGCGGAAGGCTCAGAAGGTGGCGAGAACAGTGGTAGTTCGTGGGGCATCGACGGCGATTTGGGCAAGGTCGTTGACATGCGACAGTTTGGCGTTTGGGAGCCAATCGCCGTCAAAGAGCAGAGCATTAAGACTGCGGTTGAGAGTGCATGCTTGTTGCTAAGGGTGGACGACATTGTCGCAGCCAAGGCAGCTAAACAGGCTTCGGGCCCCATTGGCGGTGGAGACGACTAAAAATCAAGCTGATCGTGGAAACGAGCCACGTCGCAATTAGACTTTCACTGCCAAATATAAAAGAAAAGAGAGAGAAATAGACCGATACCAATAATGTATATGGCATGGTTCGAATGGCCCTCAATATTGCTTTGCCGGCCTTGTCATTTTGAATTGATATGCTCCCATTCTACCTAGACTTAACCCCTTGCCGCAAACATGGTAACAGCACTGACTTTGAGTATTATTCTACAAAGAGATGGCGGCTACACGTTTAGTAAAGGCGAAGTGTTGTACTAGCATTAACGTCTGAACGGTGGGGTTCATCCTATGTCGGTAACCATCGCAATGTCTCTAATCCAAACGTGCTGCTAAATGTTGCTCGAGATGGTGAAATATGCCAATGGAAATCAAGCTTCACCAGATCGTTGAGACCGCAGCGACAGCAGCAGCCACGACCAGTAAGAATATTCTTTCAATCGACTTTGCATGTCCCGCTGCAGGACTGCTTTTCGACTCATTCGGCATAGTCTCAAATCCATTGTTGACCGTTGTGCCTGAAGCATTGTTGTTCGTACCATTCATGCCGCAAATCCCGCTCCCACCGATTGCGTTTGAAGACATGTATACTCTTGGTAATCCATCTTTCATGGCGACTGGTAATTTTCCGTCACTAGAAACAATAGCACTCTGACAAGTGATCAGCTCCACCACCTCAGTGTCCACAGGCCAGCCTGTTTCTCCAATGTGGAGGATTGAAGATCCTGTACCCATTCCCGCGCTCGTATATATGGAAACGATCTGATTTGGAGCATGTCCCTTACGAAGGGCAATTACTTCACTTGAGTTGTAGATTGCGTGGATGTTGTATGCCAGGTAAGCAGGATCGACAGACAGTGCCCGATTTCGCGCTTGATTCAACGCAGCAACGATGTTGTAGAGGTCCCCTTCTCGCGAATATTTGGCCAGCCATGTCGCCTCCCGGTTGCCGGGATCTCCGTACCCAGCATAATGCTGCTCTTGGCCGGCATAGATGATAGGGATACCATCCCAGAGTATCGTCAAGGCTATGACATTCTTCGCGAGAGAGAGGTCTTGCGTTTGTGATGCGAAACGAGGAAGATCGTGGTTCTCGGAGAAAGTGGTCAGCAGTGTAACGTCTTTACAGGCGGAGCGCAATATGTCGATGGCTTTGACTAAAGGTGTGGATGTGCCCTTGGTGGAGTTGAGAAACAACATCATTGGATAGTACAGCGGGTAGTTCAGAATGCTGTGCATGGTGTTCTGATATTCACATACGTATACCGGGTTACCGCTTAACACTTCTCCCGTGCTGAAGATGCCGGCTGCTTCTTGAAACGATGACCAGAAATCTCTTCCAACGTGTTTTGCCGTGTCAAGGCGGATGCCGTCAACTATGGCGGTCAGTCACAGGATATCACCAACTCCTCTGATCACTCCCAGAACCTACTGGAATAGTTCGACACTAGCTGCTTGATCCAACTTCGGTACTCATTCAGGACGAACGGATGTTCAGTATTGAGGTCCGGGAGCTCAACGTCTACATCGCCTAGCCAGCATCCTTCCACCATCGCTTGATCGCTGTAATTGCTGATAGTACAGTAGTCGTGGAAGTGCTCCTTCTGGTCGAATGGATGAAAACGGGAGTAATCGACTGATTCCGCGGTCCCATTCCACCCGTTATGATTCACAACTATGTCTACCATGAGGTACTGTATCACGTTATGAGGGGATTCTTAAGCATGTATTCTGCGCGGCCCACTTGCCATATCGCGATCATGTAAAGCCACACTCAGAGCCTTGAGATCGTCTGCGGTTCCAAAATTGCTGTTGAGGCGATAAAGGTCTTGTTGCCAGTATCCATGGTATGCGTAACCGAATTTGGTTCGCTCTGGGAGGTTGTAAGTTACTGGGGAAATCCAGATCTGTACCAGACGTCAACGATTTGGAGAAGGATACAGTGCATGGGAAAGTATTGACTCACGGCTGTGAAGCCCATGTTTTGGATGTAGTCGAGCTGCTCAATGATTCCTCGCCATGATCCGCCACAGTAATTCCCATCAGCGACATTGCACGCAGCAGTCGTACTCCTATCAGCCCTCGCGTACCGATCGGTCAGCAGTTGATATATCGATCTGGACCTCCATTGCTCCGGAGTTGCAGCATGGGTGATGCTAACGAACGCCCAAATCACCACCGCCTGTGCCAACCAAGCGGTCATGATGCGTGGTTCACTGCGCTTTGGTGTTGATTGTAGAACGATGAAAAAGTAACACCCACAGGGCGTGGACAACTGCGGACATGCAGAAAATATATCAGGTCGTTCACTCAGTACCGTTCATATGGAAACTCAGATATTAAAGTGCATGGATCAAATATCATCATCGCTATCAAAAGCAACTTGGGGTATTCCAAAGTACTTTGTACGTGCACCTATGGTCTACATCAGGCTAGAGACATTTTTTGTGACGAATCAGAGCCCAGCTAGGCGCTGCAGCCCTCTGTTGTTGACAATTCGGGAGTCCCACTTTAGATGCAACGGAAGTAAGTGCCTTCAGCGTGCGACCACAATAACGGCTCTCCCTTGATTGTTCCGCAGATCCATGCACACAGAAGAAAAATCTGCACTAGGCGCCGGCTTGTTGAGGTTACTTTTGACCATGGTCAGGAAAGCGAAATCACGTCCAGGGGTTTCATATTACCCAAAGGCGGCCCTCATCAAGTCTCGTACATCACAACCTCAACATCACTGCTCTGCTCGCGATGCTGTGTAGATAGACAATTTAAGGTGCTCCAATGCCTTGAGCTGCCATTTATATGGAGCGACTATCCATGGACTTGACGGATACGATGTTCCTCATTTGCTTGTAACTCATCCACATGAGGTTGTCTCAAATGGTTGTGTAAATGTACGCATCCGCGATTGTGACGTAACACAAGGACTGGGTTCTTCCAAACGGCAGTGAACAAGACAGCATGTACTCCGTACTGTTTTGCATATCACTTGATTCCCTCAAGGCCTTGAATGAAGAATTGCTGTCGCGCTATACGACTATACAACACAAAAATGGCTCCAGGCCTTGACACAAATAAGTAGCGGGTGCGCCCAAAAGATGCAGTTTGCAAAAAAAAAAAAGCATGCCAATAGCAGATAAGGTGCCCGAAGGGGAGGGCCCGCCTTATACAGTCGTGTAAATTGAATGAATGATTTCATCCCATGAATATAACTACGACAGATAATTGCCCCTGAGAATGTCTTACACGATGCCCGAGAGAATCCTTATTACATAGTCACTATTGCTCGGTGGGTCCCATACTTTCCTAAACAGCCCTAATCATCTTCGCGGACCCGGTGCGGCAGGTAAACCGCCGTTAGGTGGCGCTCGAGTGTGGGGAGAGCTACCTGGCGCCGGAGCAGGTCGAATAGGCAACGACGTAATGTTCTGTCCACTCGATGCGCTAGATGTCCTCGCTGGATATGCTGGCCGGGGCGGCGCCGTATTCGATCCATTCAAATCCGCATGTTTACTATCTACAGATGAGGTAGGGGTGTGGCGATTTGGCGGCGAACGTTCACGCAATTTCTCGCGAACGGCAGACGAGGGTGCCGTTGGGGCAAGATGGGATTTGCGTTTGTTGTGCTCGATCATGCTAACAGCCCAAGCCTCAAGATCGACTGGTGTTCTCTTTGCTGCCTGAAGGAAAGCGTCTGCGTCCTGTAAGATATTAGCGATTGGCCAAAACCGTCGTACCAGTATCAGAACTTACATAAAGCTCCTTAGGTGTTGGTCGTTCAGCCGGGTCTTTCAATAAACACTTGGCTATCATATCCTCCAATATCGATGGAAATGCATCACTCTTGGGTAGCTTCGGGGCGGGTTCCAGTACAATCTGCTGCAGTAGATCTAGAATGCCCTGTGGGCCGCCGGGTTCGTCCGCATCGTCACCGCTACCGCCAAATGGAAATTTTCCGATTGCCAGCTCCATGAGCGTAAGTCCAACACTCCAAACATCTGACTTGACTGTGTATGGTGATCCCTGTATCCGCTCTGGGGCCATATAGGTTCCAGTGCCTACAAAGGTTTCGGCTATTGAGCCGTCGAGCTCACTAGAAACTCCGAAATCGCACAATTTGATTTGGCCCTTTGAGTTTACCAGGATATTCGAGGGTTTGAGATCGCGATGCATGATACGATGAGCGCTGTACAGGTAGCTGAGTCCACCAAGGACGGATTCTGCAATCTTGCCGAGGACATCGACACGAACAGGGCCAAACGTCTTTGAGACCCAATCGAGGGATCTGGTCCATTAGCAGGAGTCCAAGGGTGCTTCAAATCTAGAGTGAGACTCACCCAACATCCATGTACTCCATGCACATTATAACATCCCCAGTATCATTTTGGAAAGCACCGTAGAAGGCTACAATACGCTCGTCGTTGCAGTCGTGCATGATACGAAGCTCTCGGACGATTCTCTTTCGTACTTCGTTTTTAGCTTCCACGTGTATAATCTAGGAACAACTATGTCAGCATTCATTTTGACTTGTAGGGACGCCCTTGTAGAACGAGCCCATTCCGTTGGTGAGCATACCTTCCTAGCCATAGTGACCTTGGTAGCCGCATGTTGCACCTTGCTGACAGTTCCGCCATTGCCCGAACCCAGCTCTCGGACGACTATTAAATCTTCAGCCTTGAGATCCAACCGGAATTCGACACCGATTTCCAGGGTGTCTGCTCGCCCTTCATCGTTGGCCATTCCCCCCGGGATTTGCGCGTCACCAGCAGAGGGAGCTGGCTTGGCTGGTGGAGCGCTAAGCGCGAGCCCCTTGACATTCTTCCTCTTCATAGTCTTCGTCTTGAACGAAGACTCGGCCATGATGACTACTATCCAGCACGAATGTGGCGGTACAATGTAATATTCCGAGAGGCGACGGTGAAATGGGTAGAAGCCCTAGAGCGGGAACTGTGGTGGGCGCGGGCCTGAGGATTGTAGATGGAACGGACTGTGCTGCGCTGCGCTGGTGAGATATAGTGAAAGTATTTCAGGGCAGCTTTGCGCTCTCTTGTTTCGCTTTTGCCGCCCAAAAGCTGCGACAGCAGTATCTATGCCAATCCGGGCGTCTATTGGGTTGATACTTCTAGGGCCACGGCAACAAGAGGCACCAGGAGAGTGAGGGGAGCTTGGCGCCCAACACAAATAGTAGCCCACGAACGGGGTACTTAGAGGTGCGAGGGGGGCGGAAGGTTCACGGAAAGGATTGATGGATGATGGACGACGTGAACGGTAGTCGTGTGCGTGGTGGATGCAGCAGAGTGCGCGGATTCACAACGAAATTGAGGTAACAACCTATACCTAAGATAATGGTCAGTCAGGCTCAGGGTTGTCGTGGGCGTGGGTTCGCGGCGGTGGGTGGGCTTGTGAGAGAGGGAGAGAGAGGCGGGGGGGAAGGGAAAGCGAGAGTAGAAAGTAGGAGAGAATAACAAGAGAAGGAGAGGCGTGAGAGGGTCCGTGGTGGGGCGAGAGCGCGTGCAGGTACAGGCCAGCCCAGTCCAGTCCAAGTCAGTCCAGGGTGCAAAGGTGGGGGGAGGAGAAACGAATTAATGAATACATACTTTCTACCTAGTTTCCTATCTACCTTTCAACTATTATACACTTAACTACGGAGTACAGTAAATAATTCTACTCGTTGATATCGTGATACCCTACGAAAAGAATGCTTCAGGTCGGTCGTAGCGGGGGGTGGATCATTATTTGACTACCTACCTAGGTACCTTAGACTAAGAACTTATCATAGAGGAGAACTAAAGAGAGAAAGAAAGAGAAGGTTATTCCGCCCAAGCTGGACGACCAGGTTTCAAAGTCAAAGGGAACAAAGACTAAAGACCAAAGACCAATCTGATCGGTAGGTAGAGAAGGGGGCCATCATCCATGCATGTATTGCTCAGGAGTAGGGAGGGTTTCAGCATCGTATGATGAGGCTTCCCCACTTGAAGAGCATCAGGTACCTGAGCTTTGCCTTGCCCTCTATGTAGATGATTCGTGTGCATATATACATGATACGTTAGGGTACATTACCTACCTATTTTTACCGTGTATCATCCACTTTCAGTACTGTAGTTACCTGCCTATCTATGTAGCCTTCCTTCCAATCATACAATGTCGCTAACCAAGCAGTTGTTGATTTATCTTCTTCTAAAGTATTGGCCTACCTAGGCACCTGAGTGCCTACCTGATATCTCACGGCTACTCGTGCATCTTTGCCTTTCTTTGATATCAGTGTCCCTTGAGCAAGCAACCAGCAAGTCTGGAGTATCATTTAGTTGCAACCAGATTTGGCATGCTGAGGATTCACTTACATTGAGAAATCATGTTTCTCTAGTATGCCGTCTATCATGACACTTACTCATATGGTATTTATTAATTACATATCGTAACCCTCTGGGTGATCCTTTTATCTTGTCATGCTTGTTGAAAAGAACGGATGTCTACTTTGAAATTATTCCATAACACTTGTTTGATTTGGTAGCTACGTACCTGGTAGATGGCTTTCGAAACCTTGGATACTCGACCCTAGTACTTGCATTTAAAGCGGACTTTCAGCGTATCGACCATTTATACACCTAGGTACTTACCCAGGTACCAGTGTTTACATACATACGTACTGTGTTGGTATAATGTATTACTTGCCGGCAGCTCTACCCGAGAATTGGATGCGTCTTCATGCTGCTATTGAACTATATACTCTTAGAGGCTGTATTTGCAGTAGTAAAGCATCTTGTCTCTCATACTGGTTTACTAGGTACCTACACCGTACGTACCTAAGTAGTAACTGCCTGTTGTGAAGGTGGAATGGGCGGGTGGCACGGTCCATGCCATGGCCCAAATCGCGCTAGCGACAACTCAACTTAGTCATCATCGGTGGCTGCTTGCCCTTTCAATGTCTTGAACTTTTGACCAGACACCTCCGATTCTCCTTCATCTTCGCGCATGGCGCCCACAACCTCCCATTAACACAAGTCCATTCACGTGAATCTCGCGCTGAAGAATTCCATCAACCTGGAAGACCTGGCATCTGGTTTCGCTATTTCACTCTCCCTATATTGGATCCTTCTTCCTAATTAAGCTCCTTTATACGTGCTGCGCAACATGGCCGAGTTCTTTGACGAAACCGCCGAGCTAGGCAGCGAGGAGGATGAGGAGTTCGATGGCGCGACTGCCAAATCGGGCGCGAAGCAGACAAACGGTGCAAACGACTTCGAGGATTCAAGTGAAGAAGAGGAAGACGATGATGAAGAACGTCTTGCTGCTGTAAGCTCTCCGAATAGCTCCCACAACATCCCAGCAGCTAATCTTGAGTAGGAGGGTGCAGGTTTTGTAGTCGACGAGGATGAGGAAGATGAGGTCACAGATCGCGTCCGCCGCAAGAAGAAGAAGCGCAAGAACCGTGAGGTCGACGAAGCCCTCGACGAAGAAGATTTGGACCTCATTGGTGCCGACTATGAGCCACGAGAGCAACAACAGGTAGGACAATCGCGCCCAATGACCCCATCGCGTATTAATTCAAGAACAGTCGAAATACAAGCGCTTGAAACGGGGCCACAAAGACCGGCATGGCAAATCTCGCGGTATCGACGACATCTTTTCCGACGAAGACGATATAATCGACGATGCCGATGAAGGTGGCCGAAGACTCGGTGGCTTCGACAACGAGTTTGCCGACTTCATCGAAGAAGACCAGTTCGAGGACGACATCGAAGACGAGCGTGAAGTCGAACAACCAGGCATATCCATAATAACAAGTGGCCTCCAAGCCGCAGGCCTGGATGAAGGTGCAGAGGAAGACTACAGAGCTGCTTTTGGAGATGGCACAGATTACGATTGGGCTCTCGCTCTGCAGGAGCAACAGGACGAAGAACAACTGCAAGATGGTCGAGAACTTCAATTAAAGGATGTCTTTGAGCCGTCGCAGCTGGCTGAACGTATGCTGACAGACGAGGATAACGAGATCCGCGAAAGGGACATACCGGAACGCATCCAACTGGCTCGAAAGCCATTCCGTGAACTGGAGTTAACCCCCGACGAATGGGAGGCCAGGCTCAGCGAAGAAGCTCTATGGATCACAAAGTTAATCTGGCCGAAGAAGGGCCTGCAACCTTACTTCGAGAAGCCATTCCAGCGGGCAGTGAAGAAGGTGCTGGAATTCTTGAATGTCGAAGACTATGAAGTTCCGTTCATTTTCAATCACAGAAAGGACTATTTGATCCACGCACCAACGGATCAGCAAGACGACGCGGATTCAGCCGAGGCGCCTCCTTTAGACGCTCGACCTGAGCGTTTACTGGTTCAGACTGATCTCTGGGAAGTCTTCGATTATGACCTCAAGTTTAGAGCTTTCACGGACAAACGAGATGCCTTGCAGAAGAACTACGACAATTTGAAGAGCATTGTCACAGACCTGACTGACCCAGTCATCGAGGAGCTCATCCATAAGGTTGTGACAATTGAAGAGGTTCAGGAATTGCAGGACTATTTACACTTCCAGTATTCGGCAGAAATGAAGGACTTGCGCCTCATAGATTCCGAGACCAATGGAACTCAAAAGCGCGCAAACAACGCCCGTACTTTGTTCGATAAGATCCGCAGTACATCCGCATATAGCCTTGTCCATGCCATCGGTATCACAGCCGATGAATTCGCCAGATATGCTGAAGGCTCTGAGAGCAGACGTCAGTATATTGACGACGTAGCAGAGAAACCAGAGGACCTCGCTGCATCATTGGTCAGCGCGGAATACTCCACAAGTACACAGCTTATTAAGAGCGCCAAGATGATGTATGTCCAAGAGCTCACAATGAGCCCCCGCCTGCGAAGACTGGTACGCGGTAATTTCTATCAAAACGCCCTCATCGATTGCATCCGCACCGAAAAGGGTCTTCGCAAAATTACCGAGGATCACCCTTACTACGAGTTCAAATACCTTCGAAGCCAGACCTTTTTCGACCTCCATGGCCGTCCCGACCTTTTCCTGAAGATGTTGAAAGCTGAAGCTGAGGGACTTCTAAGTGTCAAGATCCGTATGGGTGGGTTTGACGACTACAAAAACAAGCTGCACAAACATATTGTCTCCGACAATATTAGCGATGTCGCAGATGCTTGGAATAGCCTCCGCCGAGATGTCCTGGACGCCGCCTTAGACAAACTGCATGGTATCATCGCAGCTGGTGTTAAAGAAACACTGCGGGCACGTTGTGAAGAAGAATTGGCCAGCCGTGCGCGTGAAAGCTATTATAACAAACTTGACCAGGCTCCCTTCAAACCACGGGGCGCTGAATTGGGATCCACTCCTAATGTCCTGACAATCACGAATGGAAAAGCCTTGCGAGGAGATGCTATTCTGTGGGCGTATGTCGAGAATGATGGCCGAGTCCTGGAGAATGGTAAACTCGTTGACTTTAGGCTCGGAAATCGTGACAGGAACATACCCGATGGCAAAGACGTTGAGGCTTTTGTGGAAGTTCTACGCCGACGTAAGCCAGATGTCATTGGCGTTGCGGGTTTCTCTGTGGAGGCACGCAAGCTTTACAAAGATGTCCAGGAAATCATCAGCCAGTATGATGTACGAGGTGCCATCTACGAAGATCCTGACGACCAGACCGAAAAGAGCGACCCGATGGACGTGACCATCGTAAATGACGAAGTAGCACGCCTGTATTACAACAGCCCAAGGGCCGCAGCTGAGTTTCCAAAACTACCGCCCATGGCTAGGTACTGCGTTGCTCTTGCTAGGTATCTACAGAACCCCCTTGCGGAGTATGCTTCCTTAGGCAAAGACGTTATTTCCATACCATTCGTTTCAAACCAGACACTTATCCCACAAGACAAACTACTGGATAAACTCGAAAACGCCATGGTCGATATGGTCAACCTTGTCGGTCTCAACATTCAAGATTCATGGGAGGATCCGTATATGACAAAGTTGCTTCCTTATATCTGTGGTCTTGGCCCGCGCAAGGCAGACAGACTTGTGAAAGCAATCCAGGCCAACAATGACGAGGTTCTTGCTCGTTATGATTTGCTGGGCGTGTCGGAGAGTGATGCGCGAGACCTTAGAGCTGCTATGGGTCCTAAGGTTTTTGCTAATTGTGCAAGCTTCCTTTGGATCCAATACGAACCAACTGAAGAGATCTCAGACTATCTCGACAATACGCGAATCCACCCCGAAGACTATGAGCTGGCACGAAAGATGGTTGCAGATGCTTTAGGAATGGACGAGGAAGACGTGCAAGCTGAGATCGCTGATGGTGGGCCGAGTGCTGTCGTTCGACGAATGGTCAGGGACGAACAAACAGATCAGATCCATGATCTTATTCTCGAAGATTATGCAGCAGAAATTGAAAGGAAACTCGGCAATCGTAAACGCGCGACGCTGGAAACAATTCGTGCAGAGCTTTCAGAGCCATACGAGGAAATCAGGCAATCCTTTGCCATTGCCTCATCAGACGAAATCTTTACTATGCTTACGGGCGAAACAAAAGAGTCTTTGAGTGAAGGACTAGTCATCCCTGTCCAGATCAAGCGGACTTTCCCGGATCATATTGAAGTGAGACTTGAGTGTGGAATTGAGGGCGGTGTATCCGAATCTGAATTCCCAGAAGGCGTCGGCAGCGGCGGACAAGAACCTCGCCACGTCTATCAACAAGGCCAGACGGTTCGTGCAAGGATTATGTACCTTAACCGCAAGGCTTTGACCGCGCAACTATCTCTTCGGGAAGATCTCATACGTCAACCAGTCCGGAGGGAGTTCAACCGCATTCCAGGTGAATGGGACGATCAACAGGAAGCTGCGGACAAAAAGGCCGCAGAAAGAGCAAAAGAAGTGGCTTCTGGACGACCCAACCGTGTCGTCAACCATCCCTTGTTCTACTCCTTTAATGCTCATCAAGCTGAGGAGTTTCTTGGAAGTAAAGACCCTGGCGATGTCGTTATCCGGCCATCTTCCAAGGGCTTGGATCATCTTGCGGTTACTTGGAAGGTCGCGGACAATCTTTATCAGCATATCGATGTTCTTGAGCTAGGGAAGGCCAACGAATATTCACTGGGCAAGCAACTACGGGTTGGCAAGCACACGTACTCCGACTTGGACGAATTGATCGTCAACCACGTTGAAGCAATGGCGAAGAAGGTCACCGAGTTGGTAAAAGACGAGCGGTATCAGAAAGAAGGTCGGGAAGCATGTGGTGAGTTCTTTAATCTTGCTCGAAGCTCATTAAATGTCTGAAGCTGATGTATTCTACAGAAAATTGGCTCACGAATTACTGCGATGCCAACCCTAGCCGTTTCATGTACGCCTTTGCCCCAATGCCCAAGTATCCGGGTCATTTCTGGTTATGCTACAAAGCTGGTCAAAAGGCCAACCCTGGAGCTTGGCCAATCAAGGTCATACCGAATGCATTCGAGCTCGAGAAGCACGCGTATCCTGATCTCATATCTCTGAAAAACGGGTTCAAGCTGCTCTTTGGTAGTAAAAATGCTACTGGAAGTGGTAGACAACCTCCACGACGGTAGGACACAAGGTGATCATATGTGCTCGCCTTTAGTTTATTCTTCATGTATTAATAACCTTGTTTATGTCTGGCGTCTTTGATCGTGTAGCTACAAGGCGGACGGTCTGCAAACAGAATGGGATAGTGGAGCATATGGTCACCAAAGCTTTTTAGAGATTGCCAATTGCGACAATTAGGTGTGGAGTTTTCTGAAATGGCAAGCCATTTGCATTTATTGTATAGCATAGTATGAAAAAAGCATAGTGCCAAATGGTAATTTCTTAGATGACACTGTTTCTGCATCGTCTCGATCTCAGCAGACACAGATTCTGTACATTCTGCGCCATCCAGCGCTCTTGCGTCCTGACGCTTCCTACACTTATTAATACGGTGATGACCGCATATGAAAGCATCGAGCTCGTGAAGAGCTGTGTTTTCCTATTTGATTACATATTCGCTACCCTTCCACCGCATAATGTGAACTCACCCCTGATGCATTAAAGATCCGCCATCTATTAGCATTTGCCAGCTTGTCCAATCATGTTGATGTGCTGCTCGGCTACTTGAGGATCCAACCCTCTCCTTCGAGACTGTTTGGGTCGTATGCTTCCCCTAACAGAAATCCTATCCCTTCTTGACTACCCCAAGTTATCTCTTTCGTTCTCTACTGCTTGGTAACTCCATGCATACCCTTTCTCGCTATCCTCTCGAATCACAAGCATGGTGGGTTGTACCGTATAGAGGTTTAAGAAGTTTGGTTGGTGGAGGTCGGATACTGTAATTCCGGACCCCATGTTTCTTTCTGATCCAAGCGAGATTGCCTTTTCCCATCGCCTGGAGGAAGATGATGATGTTGACTTAGTCTCTGATACTTTATTCAGAGGCAACGATAGAGTACCAATCGGTTATGCTGATATTGCAAGAGCTATTGGCTCGGCCTTCTTCCACTTAGCGTCGCTGTAAATCCAGGAGGATTACGGTCGCGATTCATGGAACGTTTCTGCTTATTTCTTCGCCAGGCTAGAACGCAGAGCATTTTGGAACACATTTAATACAGCATGATTAGACGTGTAAAGGGAGTGTGTTTTCGGTCTTCGCGCACTGTAGACGTGGACGAATAATTCTTGTAGTTGTGTCGGATGGATGTTGAGTCGAATGCGGTGTTGAAATATGAAACAAGCAATGATAGGGCCTACTATATCACACCACATCCATGCAAAAGCTTGTGCGCTGTCTATGTTGAGTTTGTCCATTGGCAATCTGATTCTATCTGTACGACACATAGATGTTGGCCTACATTGTAAGGGGTATAAGCTTGCTGTCTCTTTATTTACTAAGTGATCCAAGTTGTACATGCCGGGGCGTCAATTTGACCTTTTCTGACTTCTGGGGATGTGCTAACATCGAACTGTTCTTGTAACCTCAAGAAATTTTGGTCATTTCTTCACTGGTTGGTTCTCATTCTAGGACAATGCCAAGACATGTGGTCAATGATGGTTATTGCACATATCACGTGCCCGAGCACTAAGCTCAATCCCTGTCGATCCCGACTGCCCAATTTCGCGTCGTTGGTATTCGCGACTTGGAGCTCACCTTTTTGTGTAGGAAACCTTATCAGCGACTCTCTCTGCTTACCAGCTTCACTCTAATACTTTGAGCTGAGCCTGCAAATCCTCTCGCGATTCTCGACCTTTGCTCCCACGAAGCCCGTTCTCTACCCCGCAATGGGTTCTCGCCTGCACAATGCTCCCATTGTGTTAGACAACGGCAGCGGTACCATCAGAGCTGGCTTCGCAGGGCAAGATGTGCCGAAATGCTATTTCCCTTCTTTTGTTGGTCGGCCGAAGCATGTGCGGACCATGGCAGGCGCTCTGGAGGGCGATGTGTTCATCGGGCCTCAGGCACAGCAGTACAGGGGCTTGTTCAAAATAAATTACCCGTTGGAGCATGGCATAGTCACAGATTGGGACGACATGGAAAGGATATGGCAATATGTTTACCAAGAGGAGTTGAAAACTGTGAGCGAGGATGTGAGTAATAGAGCATCCCCAGTATTCTACCCACCGCCAGATGCTGACCACACCTGCCACAGCATCCCGTCCTCTTGACAGAACCCCCACTAAACCCTCGAGAAAATCGCGACACGGCAGCACAAATCCTCTTTGAGACCTTCAACGTTCCCGCCATGTATACATCAGTGCAAGCGGTCCTCTCGCTATATGCATCAGGGAAGACTACAGGCATCGTTCTGGACTCGGGCGATGGGGTGTCCCACGCTGTGCCAGTTTTCCAAGGGTTCGCTATACCGAATAGTATCAGGCGAATTGATGTGGCCGGAAGGGACGTTACAGAGCATATGCAGCAATTGCTCCGGAAAAGTGGGCGAGTTTTCCACACAAGTGCAGAGAAAGAAACGGTCAAGAACATAAAGGAAACCACAGGTTACGTGGCGCTTGACCCTGCCAAGGAGGAGAAAGAATGGTCAGGAGCTGCAAGGACAGACGGGAAGAGCGTCGAATACACTCTACCAGATGGACAAAAACTCAAAGTAAGTGGAATCATGGAATCAATGTCTGGCATATCTTATCGTGCCCCGGGCTGACATGAAACAAGATCGGAGCGGAAAGGTTCCGAGCACCTGAGATTTTATTCAACCCCGAGATCATCGGACTGGAGTACCCTGGTGTTCACCAGATTGTGGTTGAGGCCATACACCGAACTGACATGGACCTTCGAAAGGCACTCTACGGCAACATAGTGCTCTCCGGCGGCTCGACTCTGACAAAGGGCTTCGGCAACCGATTGCTTCATGAGGTGCAACGATTAGCTGTAAAAGACATGCGAATCAAGATTCTGGCACCCCCCGAGCGAATCTACACGACATGGACCGGGGGTAGCATTCTCGCGGGTCTGAGTACCTTCAAAAAGGTAAGTGAGGTTCCCGGCGTTTGTATGCCATGTACCTGATGAGATGCTGACGCGGCTATGCACGCAGATGTGGGTTGAGAAAGATGAATGGCAAGAGAATCCGGACATCATTCACACGAAGTTCGCGTAAGCGCCTCTCAGTCGGAGCCGGGGACATGATTTGTTGTCCATGTTTTGCGGTTCTCCACAGCCCGCCTCCCGCCTCCACAACAAGAAGAGGATGGCTAGCTCGGACGAGGTGCATGACACTTGCATTTTGGATCGAGACCTTTTAGTCACGAGATCGGGGATTTGCCCCAATGCCAAGCTGCCAAATTAGGCAGGCAGCATATCGGAAGGGACATCGGAAGGGAAGCCGGATGTGCAGGTAAAAGTACTACAAGTAGTGTGGATGACTTGGTGCGTGATGGCGTGGATGCGGGGATGCGTGGTGTGCGATGCGCGTGTACAGATGATGAGAGGTGAGGAGAGGCGTTTACGTACGGCACGGGTACGGTAATAACGCCTATGGTACTTCTCCTCGATTCGTACTCGTACCTTGCTTGGGCAACGATGGTATGCGGGAATGCTAGGATTTAGTCCCAAGTTCCCCGCATAGTGTTGAGCCCCATGATCGACGGCTTTACAACCGTGCCACCATCCTGTGGAGGACGGAGTTTCTCTTACTTAATTTTGGCTGACGACAATTAATTGCCGCGGGATTACTACCGTAACGTACTCGCTCAAACTACGAGTAGGGAATAGGCAGTTGGCATCATGAAGGGGTAGGGTGTGCATGAGGGGAGTTTTTCTTTTTTTTCCATTCCATGAATGATTGTGGTTTCGCATTCACTTTGGAATCGAAGCTTTTGCGCTTCTGCACATTTGCGATGCATGCATGGCGTTGTCTTTTCTTGCGCACAGAGGGATACCCCGTTAGCATTTGGGAGCATAGTATCATGTAGGAAATGATTCAACATAGAGTGAGTTAAGTAAGTCAATAATGCAATTACGAGTAGCCAGCCAGCCAACCAATTAGTCTGTCACGCTGTGATATGTACTACTCGGTATTGCAGCACTGCCGGGGTGCTCGGGGATAGAAACGAACGTGAAAACCAAGAATGAGGTGGCCGGTAGTGAAAGGGGCACGTAGTCGCAACAGCAGAATAACTAATTGATGACGATGAGACTACGTGGTAGAGATGGGGAATGCCAAGGATCGTGAGGCGGTAGTGAATCAGATCAGGAGGTGCACGACTGCACGACTCACGAGGAGCAAGAAGAGTGTTTGATGCCGTGATGCATTCGAGCGATCGCGCCAGATGACACCATGTGACACTAACGTGGCACATTATACTTGCAAGTTGCAGGTACGAGCATATTCGGGCTTCGTCACCATTATTATTGCTATTCTCGAACGGATTGCGTGTACCTTACTTACATGTACCAATCACCCGCGGTACAGTATGGTCAAGAAAATGATGATGATACTTGACAGAGCGGGTGATGAATGATGACAATGAGATTTTTGGCCCCTGAGTTTGGCGCCTCAGCTCAGGATGACTGTCTGGTGACCATGCCTCGCTTATCCAGGACAGGTCCAAGCCCGTAACTACAAGGTACAGCAGAGTGCAGTTTGCTACTCTTACATACTAACGTTGGTAATTGCGACTCGTAAGACGTGAAGACTTAACCTCGAGCAGTTGCTAGGAGTGTGCGTGGCAGCGTGACCGTGTAATGAGTAGGTTAAGTATTTGATAGGCATAGACCGAGGCCACGAGGTCACGATGCTCGACGTCATGCGCTGACCACAAAGGAATCGGAATCCGAATAGAACGCTCGAGAAGCCGGGCGTCGATGTTCTTTCACTGTACTCTGTACCAGTTTGATCTCCTTTCTTCCCTTTTTCCTTTCAGCTGCTCAAGAAATCAGACGCAGTAGAGATAATTGAGTATAGTTAGCTACCTGGCACTGGAGTTATGGTGAACGTAGCGTGCAATGATAAAATTTTGGAAGTAGGGGGGTTATGACTAGACAGTAGAACGTGGCAACTCACGAGGTAGAGGATTTAACAGGAACAGCAGATTGAAAGAGTTTGACAATACAAGGTTAGTGCGGCACATTTCCTTTCCATTTTGATTGCTTTCAGGTACCATCTACTCGAGGTTCTGTACGAAGTACAGCGTAAGTTTGAATGGATGTGATCTACGAGGTCCGAGGACTGTGACGTCTGGGGCACTTGGCGAATCCATCGAAACACAGTCTTCGACACAAGCGGTACTATTATTGTTTCGATGTGTTCGATGATGGCGTCTAATTTAATCTGGGGCAAGAAGAACAAAAAAAACTTCGAAAAGAAGAGTGGAAAAAAAGAGGGGCCGTGAACTGCGTGTGCACTGGAAGAGAAAATTCTGCACATAGGCACCTATGGAGGAAGAGAAGATGGCGGAATTTGCAGTAGCCGATGGGGAAGTCCGCGATGACGATGACGATGCCAGTACCTACCTAATTACTCCTGCAGGGTGCTCCTAATAGAGGGATGTAATTATTCTTAGTTGCTGGATTGTGTCGTGTTCACAGTTTCCTGGGGGTAACAGAAACAACAGACAATGGGGAAAAGAGTTCGAATGACCAGGTTCGTGGACTCGTGAGTGGATTTTTCCAGTCAGGTGGGCATTCGCCATTACGCCTACAGTGGCCTACTATGGCCTACTATGGCCTACTATGGTCTACTACTGGCCTACTACTGGCCAGACTAGACGCCCCATTACGCTATGAGAACTCGAGCCAAGAACTACCTCGTACATACGGTGTAGTTACCTACAACTATTACTTGTAATACTGTATTAACTATTCTTATTATTACTTACCACTTCTCGAATTGTCCACTTGGAAGGGAGAGAAACAAAAAAAAAAAATGTTAGCAGCCCCACCCCCTCCTTGGATTCTAAACTTACATAGTAACTTAATACCGTACCGAGTATGTAGTAAACTTGTTCTCCCTAAAGAAAAAATGCCTCCTCCAATTCCAACGCCTCGGCGCCGTGCTCCCCCTCTTTGTCTGCATACCGCAATGCTGTACCTGGGCCCAACAATCAATCCCATAGTCCCCATCCTAACCCCTCTATTGCCGCATTGTCCTACCTTTCGCGGACTTTCATTGACTCTCGTGCCCATTTCACGCTGCCTGGCTCGTTGTCCGTCGGTCCTGTGATGGCGCCCCCTTTGCCGTTAACTGCAAAGTGCTGAGTTCCACCCCAAGCAACCGCGCACCACCCCAGCTCCATCCAGCTCCATCCAGGGCAGTCCAGGGGAGTCTACGGCCCGCGTGCTGTGTCATGATGATCTGGCTGGCGCTGAAAATTCTGGTCCTTCTTGCGTGCTGTAACAGACTTTGTTCGGATGCCACCGTGACTCTCTGACACCACACCCTGCCAATGTTCCCCTGCCTTGCCTTTTAGTCTCCGTCCCTCGTCTGGACATATATAAAATAGAGTCCACCCGTCTGGGGAAGCTAGTTTTTGGATCATCAGTCACCAATACCAAAAGATCTTCCACTACTTGTCAACTCCCGTACGCTACCCTTCCCCAGATCTTCGACGGGTACCTACATACAGCAATACACAAACATATATCAGCATCATATCATTCAACAAGCCCAACTAATACACCAACGAATCGACCAACATCATCAAACAATCACAATGCCTTCCTACCACATCACTGAGCCTCACCCTTCGGTGCCCTCATCCAACATCTACCATTCTGGCCGTGGTGGTGCAGGCAATGTAACTCGCGTCAACCCCAAGAACGTCACAGATGGTCGCTCTGCAACAGGCCCTGCTTCTCGCGTTAAGCTCACCCCTCCTCCTCACAATGCTCTCTTCACCTCAGGGCGAGGTGGCGCTGGTAACGTCCATCGCGAGAAAGAACGGGCCATGTTCTCTTTCGACGAGGAGCTTGCACAGCAAGAACGCTTGAGGGAACATGCCGCTCCTGTCTATCACATTGGCCGTGGAGGCGCTGGAAACCTCGTCGATGACCTCCAACCGCGTTGCGCTCGCCAAAACTCCGCCTCCTCCACCCTCTCCTCTGATTCGGAGGCTGGCGTTCGACGAAGCCTTGAAGGTGCCTGGCACAAGGTCAGCCGGCAGTTCTCTCGCCAGTCATGATACATGAATCTTTGGGACGAACGAATAATCCATCATCTATCATCGACTTCGCATCATCGTCACCATCGGGCATTACGAGCAAGGCGTTTGGGGTTTCCATCTTTTGAATTTCCTTTGTATCACTGGCCACCAACCTTGTACGTCTGTACACCAAAAAGTTTTGCGTTTATATCACACCCACCGAGGTCATGGATCCTACCTATCTACCTACCCTCCGGAATTCAAAAGTTCCTTGATACCCGTGAGAAGAGCAGCGTCCCTTGACTCCTCGCGAAGAGGGCTTCAGCGTTTTCATTCTATTTTACAACCAGCGGCGAAGGATATACCCCGGGATGCCGGTGAGGGCTTGGACCAATGATGTCCACATAACTATCATTGTTTACATTTTCGCAACCCATGGAGTAGTTCATTATGGACGAAACTATCGTGGTCGCTGTTCACATAACTTATTAGTCCCTTGTGGGCTTAATACAATTCAATTCTTCAACTTTCTGATTCATGAGGTTATTCCGCATTCTTGTGGTGAATAGTTTTCAAGTTACAGTCACGTCCTCTTCTTCGTGACACTTCGTTCCGTCAATAGCAAACCCTCAGTGCAACGTAGCCTGGCTATTTAGCCCCGTAGGAGTTTGCCAGTTTAGGCTCGCCTCCTCTGTCCCCGTCAGAATCCTACAAAGTGGCGTACTCCATATGTCCACGACTAAGGCTTCCCCGCAATTTCGGCGTTGTATCGCTAGTGCAACGCTAGTCCCAAAATAAGCAGTTGTCTGGTCTCGCGTTCCCTGGCAACCAACCTCTCAATATGATTGGCTAAGAAAATTCTGGAATTGATTTGACATATTCTACCCTTGTACTTATTATTACATTCTTCTTCATCTTCTTCTAAATTGACCGGTAGTTAACGACGAGCCGTTTCGAAGAGCTATTTGATTCCTGGCATGGCTCATAGCATACATTCTCCATTAAAATGATGTAGTCCAGTTGTCGCTTAATGTCCTCTCATATCCATAGCCCGTGGTTATGTGACCATCAATCTCCAAAGAGAACTAGGCCAGGCACGAAGCTTCCTCTATTATCGTTGATAGCACATCCTTGCTATTGATACTTCTCATGATATTTTAAAAGTTACAATAATGAACGCATGGACATATCATGACGAAAGCTGAAACTACAACGAAGACAACCCCACACAAGGCTACAAAACCACGTTTTGAAAGGAACAAGCATGGATCTACGTTTGCATGAACACTGTATACTCTTTGGTTCATATGTGATATGAAGTTCATCATATTTTGTTGTATTCTTCCATACCGCATCTCTAGATATGAAAGGAGCATATCCTCCTCTTCAGACCAAGCACACCAAAGCCGAATATGCCAACTGTGTACCAAGTGATTGCAGTAGCCACCTAAGCTCCAAAGAGGCTACAGAAATTAGATGTAGCAAGTGCCAGATGCCGCAACTACAAGGCAGAGTTGACTTATATGAATCATTCAAAGCCCCTGCCAGCTAAAATCAACGGCGGCGGGCTCTCCGATGATATTTACTTCTCCTCATAAGATCGATCGTCAAAACTTCAAGGCAATCAAAGCGGCTCAGTCAGGTCTTACTTTCACCATAGAAGAATTAGGGCAAACAAGTTTTCCACTATGCGTGACAACATTCCATTTACTATCAGATAATTGACTCGACATTGTTATAGCACGCCATTGGATGCTCCATGTAATGTACCTATGGAACCATAACTACTATGAAGAGTCTTGCGCATCGTGGTGTAGCAGAATAGATGAAGTTATTCGGGGATCGCGTGTATAGGAATAGGCACTATGCAGGATGCACATAGATTGATTAGGGCTGCCGAGGGAGATCGAGACATCATCTACCCGCCGACAGAGGCCTATCGACAGAGGCAAATATCTTATTATCCTACCTATCCACCAATTGCACGTCGTGCCTGTGATGCTCCCTCCTACAGAGGCGTCTATACGAATAGCATAGATTTTCACCGTCCTTCAGCATTCACATCTCTTCAACGACTTGCGTGCAACCCTATCGCCTGGCCTGGTAGATCCACCTTTTGGTATAACCTACCACAACCAGCTTTCTACTTGGCAAAACTTGACTCTTTGCAGAAGATCCTTCATATGCTGGCCAGTAGTGACTGCTGTCTCGGCTCGCTTTCGGTCATTTTCTTACTCCACACATATGCCCCGGGGCACTCCTTCGAGAAGTGAACAGTTACTGAACGGAAGTGTGAGATGTCGACAAAACGCGAAAGAGACCTAGTTGATCAGACAATGACCAGAACTTGTATATATGGAGTAATTGAGATCGATGCAGATTTTCTGGCAGTATCAGGGCGCACTTGCAAATGGGGTGCTTACAGCTCTGAGTCCATCCACAAAGCTGAAGGATGAAGGTCGATCCATTCAGTAATCGCGCCTACGGTCGAGATGGATGGTTTATTTTAGCTACTTGGGATTGCATGAGCACTGATTTAGAAAGTATTGCCGTAACTTTTGTATCGCATTGTATACATTCGGTTACATACAATAGTATGAATGATACACCGGAAGCGGGAGTGATGAGATGCCGAGCATTCCGTAAGTTGGCTTCCGTCCCGGCATGATTGGTAATCTCTCGACTTCTCTTCTCCAAGTCGCCATCATATTGTATAGTGTGGGGATCTTGCACGCTCCATATCTAGGTAGCTGCCATAGCAGACTACTTTCGCACATGGTAAAATTGATAATGATTTCCAACACTTTACTAAGTCGATGCCTGGTTGCTAGGGTAATCCTTTATGTATTTCCAGAAACTACAATTTCTCTCGTGCACTTGAAGTTTTAATATCATCTTGGAATTATCCTCTTTTTGTATCTCTGTGTTGATTATAGTGGCTTGCACCTTTGCGCTCATTTTGCATCATGCCGATTTTCACTAAAGGGCAGTCCTTTGAAGGCCTTCCAGTCATACCCAACGAGTTATACACAATAACTTCACCACGACACATTGCCCAAGCGCACATTGCCATCGAAGTTGAAGAAGGAGCAGGAATGCGTGTGCGACGCTCGATCGGGACTTCACAGTTGCGCAATCTCACACCTTTTCTGATGCTCGATCACTTGGACAGCAGATTAGGCAGTGCAGGTAATGCAGGTGCGCCGGATCATCCTCATCGTGTGGGTAGCCTGTCCTGCCAACATCTTTATCACCACATGACTTACTATCGGTGGATATGATTGACATCAGGGTCCGGATTTGCTGACAAAAACCAGGGGCAGGAGACCATAAGCTATGTTCTCTCAGGTGGTATTGACCACGAAGACTTCGCGGGTAACCATGGCACTCTCGAAGCTGGGGACCTACAATTCATGACTGCAGGCCGTGGCATCATGCATTCCGAAATTCCACGCGTGGATTCTGAGGACACGCCGAACATTGGTTTGCAATTATGGGTAGATCTGCCTAAGGCGCTCAAGTACTGCGAGCCAAGGTATCGCAACCTCAAAGCTAAAGATATACCACACGCAGTAGCGGATGATGGAAAGGTTAAATGCAAGGTTATAAGTGGACAAGCTTTCGGAGTGGAGAGTTGGAAAGAGCTGAGCTATACACCGGTTTGGTTTTTGCACTTCGTGCTTCTGCCAAAGGGCAAATTCAAGCTTCCTTTACCTAAAGGATGGAATGCGTTCCTGTATGTTCTATCAGGAGAGATCTCTGTGGAAGATGGCGATCAGACGCGAACATACAATCGCTTTACCAATGTTGTCCTCGAAAAAGAGGGGGATAGTGTTGGAGTCGAAGCTGTCGAAGGTGCCTCGGATGAGGCAAGCTTTATCATCATCGCGGGGATGCCGCTCGACCAACCTGTGGTGCAATATGGGCCCTTCGTTGCGACCAGCAAGGCAGAAGTGATGCAAGCAGTTGTCGACTTTCGGACCGGACAGAACGGGTTCGAGAGGGCCGTCAACTGGGTCAGTGCAAACTCGAAGTCGAGGCACAACTCCTTGGCTAGATGATAGCTATGGTTAGTCGACAGGTTTGGTGATAATTTCGGGGGTAGGATTTTCATTACCGATTCGATGTAATTAGATTAATGATAGGTAGATGTTGCGCTCTATAAGATGATGGACAGTAACTAGAGCACGAATTATGTCACTGAAACCATGTGGACGAATCATGATGATACACGGAAACAAATTCGAAGCGTTGACTGTAGCGCACTCAGTAACATAGCCAGCTAAATGCTTCTCAGCCCTCACTAGCCCTAATCAAGCGATATCTGACTTTTTGGTGGATTATGTCTGCCCTGGATGGACAGATGCGGAGATGGGACCGCACAGTGTGAGCTTACATTGTTTGAACCGTGTACTGTTGCCAGCTAGAAGCAGAATCAAATTGTATTTTGCATATTTTCGTAGTACTCGGCCTTATGCACCTCGTCTCTCGGAAGTCAAGTGCATTATTGGAATTTCCACCTTCGTGTCAGTCCTGAAACCCAACACGGTGATCTATCCAGTTCTCCCTTTAGCTCTGAAGAACACATTCAATGTTGTTGCGTTCATTCCTTTCTTTCATAAAACCGCCGAGTATCTAGTATGTGCGTGTTTATAGGCTTCCGTGGAACAAGATGAAGGCCGTGGATATGGCGAGACTTGATTTGTGATGAAATTACTCACTGGAAAGGAGTAACAAACATCCGCGAACGAAGCGAGTAGGATGAAGCCTGGACAAGTACTGAAAATCAATTGTTGCGTCGTAAATTAATATTACTTACGTGAGATTCTGATAATCTGTTTCCCTCCTGTAATCGACATGGCGGGCAAAGTTGCTGATGCTGCGCCGCATGCACGACGCCGCACGCAACCCGGAATCGGCGCCTTCTACCTCAAGGGGTTATAGATTAGTACATGATCGACAGTGACTGTGGTTACAATAAGAGCTGGCTTGAGCGTTGGTTGTTTCTCGGTACCGCCCTTTTGGTACATTCTTGGATCATTGGATACATGAGAAATGTAGTGAAGCTCGACATACGGATCAGGAAAGAAAATCGGAGCAGAATTAGATTGCTTCCAATATTACATACAGCCAAGATCCTCGTCCATTTGAACTTGGGTTTTTCGCGTGGTCGATAATTCTATTACTGGTATGATTAGACAAAGCGATATGGTCCACCACCCTGAGGTGGCCCAAGCATACAGTCCATGAATGTAAGCAAGCCGTTTCCGAGTGACGCAAGAAAATCATGACTTCTCATTCTAGTGCACAAACAGAGACTTGATTCAAGCGGACATCAAGTGGAATCAGTCTTGTCAACTAGTACTGCTACACTAATCGTATTGCACAGCACTATGGGTGGGTGTTTTACTTCTTGCGTTAAACCTCAACTGGCCTGAATCTTACAAACAACTCTGGCTTCCACCACAGGAAATGCATTTTACAAGTGGATTCCCAATCGAGATTCTCATCCACAAGTTCCATATCAAAGCTATAAATCATTTTTGTAAGTTGCGAACACATTTGCCCATAGGCGAAACTTGTCGATGTTAGCTAATTTTAGTTCTGATGCAAAGAAAACAGACGCTTACAGTTTTCCAGGGCAGGCTCTGGGGCCAACATTGAAAGGTTGACTCGCATCGGTGGTATCACGGCACTCTGGATCAATCCAGCGTTCTGGTTTGAAGGCGTACGGTTCGTGGAAGTATTTCTCATCATGGGTCAGCGCCCAAGGAGAGACATAAAACTCGGTCTTTTCAATCTGTTAGCTTACAAAGCGGCTACTTCTTAACATTTTGATGATTTACCCCTTCAGGTACATAGTAGCTGCCTACTGGCCAACCTGGTGATTTGCGTGGTGTGCCCTGCGGAGCAGGCTGGAATATACGCATACTCTCTTTGAGCACGGCGTTGAGGTAGATCAACTGTGTCGTCGAAGCAATATTAATGTCTTCATAAGTGCTGTAGTGCGATCGTACTTCCTGTTTGAGCTTCTCGTGTATTTTCGGGTGCTTAAGAAGATAGTATGTCGTTGTAGCCATGACCGTGCCAGTAGTGTCCCCCCCCGCTAGACTGTTTGAAATGATTAGCGATCATTTTACATATAAGAATTGGGCTGTGGTCCTCCTATGTAAAGACGTACGCCAAGTCCGATGCGTGAGAAGCCAATTCTTCTCGAGACATCTTGCCACTTCGAACCATGGCAACGACGCTTTCAAGGAAATCATGCTGCTCGCCAGTTTTTTCCATTCGTCTATGATATGATCAGCAAACCCAGTATAACATAACTCATACAGTGTAAGCTTACGCCGAAACCTTTTCATGGGCGAAACGGGAGAAGACATTGCGGATACCAACAGTCCACTTGGAGGGTATCGAACGCGCGAGGAACAGAGCGAGCGGAATGCGTCGTACATTATCCATGATAGTAATAACAAGCATATGTCCAAGAACTAGATCAAGCCAGTAATGAGATCTTTCTTGTTCGACACAGCCGAAGGATTCGCCAAATGCCATCTCTCCAAAGATATCAAAGCTCAGGTACTGGAACCATTTGGTCATGTCAAGACCTTCACCGGCCGTACCCAATCGGCCTAGCTTCTGGATCCAGGCATCTATGTTCCTCTGAATCGCGGGCTCTTGTTGGCTTAGGCCTTTGGCTGAGAATGCCGAAGCAAAATATTCTCGTTTTTTCTGACCCAGAACAGGGTCAATTTCAGTACCCAGCGAAGCAACCTCAAAACCAGAGTTAATCAGTTCATAAAATTCGTTCTTTGGTATTCTTGCCGCACCACCTTGTCGAGGGGTATATATGGCCTTCCGAGCTTCGACGCTACAGAACGATAGTTCATTAGGACTGACACGGAATACCTCGCCTGCCTTTGATGTTGGTGCCAATCGCGCAAATCCACGCGAGATAACTCACCATAGCGTTTATGGCATGCTTCAACATGACGATGGAAGCGGCCACCTACTGAATAATAGAATCGCCAGAGCTGCAATAAGTGAGCTACAATATTATTAACATATGATCATAGAGTTTCCTACTAGCGTTGATCTGGCCAGGAACGGACCAGGAAATCTTCTTAGAGGGTGGAACCATAAATTGTACGAAATCTGTAGGACAAAGTATGCAATGGTCTATTGTTCGGTCAACTCCGATCTCTGCAGGGCACACAAGCGTTTACTTACCAGACTGAATACTGATCGAAGGATACCATTCCACGTCCATTGAATCTCAGACACGTTCCCTTCATATAAGTGACTTTTCAGTATTCCATAATTATGTAAGATAGGATTATTCGTTGCTTTCAACACGTCCAACATATCGAAGAAGTCTAGGGTACTTAAGAGTTGCAAACTAGGCACTTTAGCTATAAAGAACAGCTTTCGGTACCAGGGCAATATAATGATTAAAAGAAGTACAGAGCAGTGACATCACTGAGCTCCCTGTCTCATTGCGACGGTTAAATTTCTCATGGGGCGAACTTGACAAATGGAGCGATGACCAGATACACCGAGGTTTGGTGACTCATAGTTGCGCGTCTTTTCGTCATAAGGTGCTTGCATCAAATCCAAGCATAATGCTACCCTTGATGGTGAGATACACGTAATTATGCCGAACGATTGATACGCATTGGGCATTACGAAGGCATCACGAAAACACCCCAGGCGTCGCTAGTGCGACTGTGCAATACGCAGATGAGCGATAAGGGACACTGCTCCACTAGCTCACATTAGCTGGCTTTTGTGCATACTAGACGAAGGTTTAGGAAACCTGGTATCTTCGCCCCTCAGGTGATACCGTTTTCTTCCAGGACCCTGGCGCTATGGCCATTGCTAAGGCTGATCACTGACGTAGGTTGGAGAATGATCTTCACACTGTGAATAGATTATGCTACCGGCCGAAAATTTCTGCCTCCCGTTCATTACCACCCTATGTAGACTTCATAGAAATATGTCAATTGTCTACTCCGTAGTTAACTTTCTTATGAAACGAGATGCGGCAGAAATTCGTATTCATATCTATGCATGAGGCCTTCGGTTACAACATTGACTCCATACCATACAAGTCCTTGGTTTTAGATATTACCGAGGTCGGTATGCGATCCTGTTTTGTGGCATGAGAATAGCCTTCTAGAAACAAGCGCAGACCTGGATGTTGGGCCCATAGCAAGAGCCCTTGCAGGAAATCCCACTCACGTGAATAGATCCAGTACCAAGAACCAGCCTCCCGTCACGATCGGGGTGGCATCTGAATCATGCATCATCGTACTATACTGTTTTACTCTCCGCAAGTTGCATCTTAAAGACCGACCGTCTCAATTTGTACCGGAGAAACGCAGGTGCATGACGCAGGGCTGTATTATCTGTGCTCGTTGATCAGAATCCATCATGACATACCCTTGTAGTCTCTCACGGATTTCCTGTTGTCGTCTTTGTCCCTTCAACAGATGTAGTATCGAGAGTATGTATTTAAGCTTAGAACTACCCATCTAACACCTTTATTGACGCATGAACATATCTCTGCTCCTCTCTCCTCGTCAATCTAGAAATCCCAATTCTTTGAATACTATCAGTTCATTTGCCTCCTTCAGAATATCAAACATCACAATGCATGACTCCGGTTATCCATCCCCAGCAAGCGATGCTCGCTCTTGCTCTCCTCCTGCCCCCCCGAGGACTTCTCAGCTTCCAAAAGACCTACGCCCAACGATTTTAGAGGTTCAAAAACATCCGCTTACAGACAGTGTCGTGAAGGAGGTCAATGACTTCTTCCTTGAGCACTGGCCATTTAAAACCGAAAAGCACCGGCGACGCTTCGTTGACGAGGGTTATGCATGGGTCCTCTGCTTATACTGTCCCCAGTCATGGGATGATAGAATACACTGGGGCTGCCGACTGCTCACGACTGGGTTTCTGATTGACGACCTTCTCGATCGTATGTCACAACAGGATGGAACCATCTTCAACGACAAAGTTATAGACTGCTGTCGCGGAAATACACTTCCAGACCGTTCGGTACCTGCTCAATGGATCATGTACGACCTTTTTGAAGAGATGAGGGCTGTAGACAAGCCACTTGCGGATGCTTTGCTACAGCCTACAATTGACTTCCTCAAGGGTCAGGTTGATGCCGAACGGTCGAAACCGATGGGTCTAAGCGAATACTTTGTTCTCAGAAATGATGATGTTGGCAAATAGTGAGTGAACTCAAAATGTGTCTCTAGGCTAAGCTTCTAACATTTCTGTCAGCTTTCTCTCGGGAATCATGCGATTTGGGATGGGGCTCGAAATGAGCCCTGAAGAGCTTGAGCTCATCAAACCGGCCGAGGAAAACTGTATGAAACATGTATCTGTTCTGAACGATATCTGCAGCTTCGAGAAAGAGGTTCTTGCAGCCAAAGACGGATTTGATCTGGGCGCAATGTGCTCATCGGTCCCGATTTGTATGGAGATGATGGATGTGAATGAAGAACAGGCAAAGCGAGTGATGTGGGAGATGATTCGCGCTTGGGAGGTGCGACACTTCGAGATCAGGGATGAGATTCTCAGGAAGAATCCAAGCCCGGCCCTTGCGGCCTATATCAAGGGATTAGAATACCAGATGTCAGGGAATGAGCTATGGAGCCTTCTCACACCACGCTACAACAGAACCGGTGCACTCGGTTTTACCGAAGGGCGGTAGAAGACGACTTACGTCGCCCAATGGAGTGATTTGTGCACTATTTACGGGCACAACTCGAAATTTTCAGAATGGCGGAGCTATGCTTTTCATAACCTTGTATCTACCTAGAATTCCCAACCATACGCCTTGAGGCTTATTAAATGCTAGCGGCCCCGTTATTCATGCAAGTGACTAGCGATGCTCTTGTTTCAACGAAGTCGTTGAGGGTTGGATCATCAGCGCTACTCCCGTTCAGAACTGAAGAGGCTGGCGAGGCTGCTACTGGTGATACTCTGTTCCGGGATCTTCGCTTTTTGCGTTTTGATGAGACAATATTCCGCTAAGGCAAGGTTGCTCGGATTCATTCGACCGCTGGCATAATCTACGTAACGTAACCCAGATGGTAGAGGAACGGGCCCAGACTAACATTGTCTAAGACGAGGAGGATTTGTATGCCTACAAATCGATTCGAGACTAACCCCAACCTTACAACAGGTGGTTGCTAACCCGGTTTTTCTCCTGCGCATGGTAGGCAACGATCAGCATTTCAAAAATTAATCAATTCCTCCATCACTCGATGGCAGCAACGGCTTTTAATGCCCCGAAATCTTGTCTTCACCAGGCCTGATCAACTCTTCACACAACTCCATCAGCTCACACAACCTCGGAACTAATCAAATGTTTGATTCCTTCTCATCCCTCCTTCCTATTCATTATGCAGCGCCAGAATAAAAGCAAGCTGCGTAGCAGTAAGCGATGATGAGAGATGTAAGCACTATTATAGGTGATGATTATATTTTAAGCCTTGCTGGCTATACCGATGGTGCCAGTGTCCAATCACGTGCTCGAAGAGTAACTGTAGTTCAGAGTACATAGCAAACACACGATGTGTTCCCCTGCTCTCCTGACTGCAATTTTGCATGTGCCTGCGTCTACCCCTTTCCTATTCGCTTTTTAGAAGCCCAAGCCCATAAAGTATCATCTGCTCCTCAGGCGAGTCCAACCGTTGTCAATGTTTGTAGATAGAGCATCCTAGTCATCAAAAGCTGCCCCTGGGTGGCCTGGTTGCATTGAACAGGAGCAGCCTAGCTAGTCGGAGACTAATTTTTAAGTACATTAGTTAGTTGTAACGGTGTTGAGCTATTGCATGGGACGGGCCGGTAGTATGAGATCTTGGCTGTTGGCTTTCGCCTCAGAAGGATTGGTACCTGGAACGTGCATTGGCACTACTTGTGGGGGTTGTTGGAGTTGTTAACGGTACGGTACCCCTGCTATGATAATATTGTGCCGCCCCAATGCCCCATCCTGCCTTGTGCTTACTTGTGTATCCACTTTGTATATACCCAACAAGCTAGACAAGGCGGAGTAACGGCCGCTGTTGCGTGTTCCCCTCGACATGGGATTGGGTTCTCTTGTCGAATGAACTACTGTCACACTGCTAGCTGCGGGATGACCCCGTAGGTGCCATTGTAGCACGGGTGAGATAGGGAGATGGTCCACCCAGGAATAAAAGAGACGCTTCCTCAAGTACATTCACTCCGAGTGGAGACTTAATGCCTTTACGGTCCGTTTCGGATTCGCTCATCATATTTCCTTGATTTGAAGTACCGTATCTGACGGAGTGGCCAGCCACGAGAGTCATGATGGCGCCCACGATGCACAATTTCCATCAATGGCACACGCGTGCCATAGAGGAAGGTTCGAAGCAGATGTCGATGTTCGCAGTGGCAATATCATTCATTATCATTACAACATTTGTCATGGGTGTGAGGCTGCATGTTCGACTTAACCTCGTTCAAGGCGGACTCGGACTTGATGACATACTCATGCTTGTTGGAACAATTTTCAATCTTGCACTTTCGGCTGCGAACATGATATGTGCCTATTATGGAGCAGGAAAACATAGTATGTCTGCATAATACCACTCAACGCCATTAGGAAATCTAACGGATGGTGTAGCTGCCAACATCCCGCCCGAGGACTTCGAACCTCTACTCAAGTCCAATCTTGCAGTTCGGTTGTTGTACCTCGCTGCGTTGTGCTTGGTTAAACTCAGCATTCTGGTCTTCTACCTTCGTCTGGATCACAGGAAGTTCACCAAATACGCAATATACTTCCTCATATTCACAGTGTGTGGACTCTCGGCTGCCACACTTGTGATCCTTTTGATTATTTGCATGCCCACATCTTTGTATTGGGATGTCGCCCAGCAAGCCTTGCACCCTGAGAAGTGTTGGGATTTGGACACCCAACAAGTTTTTTACAACGCGCATGGCATTCTCAATATCATCCAAGACGCAGCCATTTACGTACTGCCGATGCCGATGCTGTGGAAACTTCAAATTCCCAAGCGCCAGAAGGTCGCTCTAGTAGCGCTTCTTTGCGTCGGTTTTGTAGCTGTCGCAGCTGGATGCGTCCGTTTCTATTATGTGTTGTTCTTGGCTGATGAGGCAGATATGTGGTGGTATATGGCCGACTCGTTGAATTGGTGCAGTATTGAAATTCACGTCGGTAAGTTCAGACATGAGTGATACTAAAAATAATCTTTCAGCATCAAACACTAACAACTACACTAGCCATCATATGTGGATGTGCATCAACATTCAAGGTCATGTTCAAGACCTATCTCCCAGGTATTTGGGGCAATACGATGGGCGGTTCCGGAAATCCTCGCCACCAGTATAATCAGTCGCATAGCGGGCAGTTCGCATTGAAGCCATTCAGTAATAGCTCCACACAAAAGTCAAGCAGCAACCGCAAGTATGGCGTTGGTGATCTCACTACGGTCGGATATGGAAGCGAAGAAAACATAGTCAAGGACCAACCTGGACAGCCAGGACAGCAGGAACACCAAGAGTGGGAGAATGGCATAAAGATGAGCAAGGATGTGACAATTCATATCTCAGAAGCTGCATCAAATCATTCTAACGACCTCGGCCGTAATGCTGAAGTGAGGCAAAGCCGCATACAACGTGGCTGGTAGAAGAGGGCTCGTCGATTAAAGACGGGCGTTGCCAAACTTTAGTTATGTAGCTATTTTAAAAGTATTCATTTTGTGTTCATTTTGAACACAGGTATGGCACTTATGTTCTAGAATTGGTGTTGATAATCGCACTCGCATACTTGATTATTCCAAATCAGATGAATTCCATCACTTCCTCATCTAACGGCACTTAATCAGGGGTGATACATCACTTAAACCTGGGCAAAATATGTATCCAACAATTTATTCACATTCAATCCCGGGTTACTATCTTCTTAAGTATGGAATGAGTGGTCTGGTCAATTAATTTCCTCTTAAGCCAATGCACGCATCTAGAGTGATACCTCTTCGCCCATCACGAAGCGCAACAAACTCGTCGTGGAATTCCTGCTTCCAAGCTTCCTCTGTATACTGCGGTTTCCAGCCAAACAACTTGGGGCCCAGCGTACCCTTCATTGCCTTGTGACCAGCCCAGCCACGCTCAGCAACAGCAACCTGGCTAAACATGATCTCGTCGGCGATCTCTTGAAGCGACACTTGGCGGACTTCTCTTTCTTTGGGCGTGCCTTCGCGGGGAAGCACGCCTCCCGCAAACGCAGCGTCGACGCATCGTTCCATGATCTCTGTATTCAAGATGCGGGCAACGGCAGGGAAAATGATCCCTTTCCTACCAGTTGGGATGAATCCAACACCACGGTCGGGCCGTTCAAGAATAGTTCGTACTACGAGGACATAGAGAGCTGCAAGGTCGCTGACGTGTACATAATCGAAATTTGCGGTTTCGTTGAGCTTGAAACCATATCCATGAGTAATGGCATATCGCAAAGCAATTGGGATGACTAGGCCGGCTCGATTGAATAGTCCACTTCCTTCGCCAAAAATCAATGGTGCATTCAAGCTGACAGCATTGACACCGCTTGCCTCCGCAGCCTCTAGGACACCAACCTCAGCACTTCGCTGAGGATATGGTTCTCTAGCATCCGCCTCTTTCATGAAATCGAATATGGCTCCGGCATCTTTCTCATCGTCCCACTCACGCTCCGGGTGAGCATCCTGCGTTAGGGGACGATCGGCCAAATTAGTGCAGCCAGCGATGTGCACGATCCACGGGGCAGGCCCATCTTTTCGCCTTCCCAGACCTTCCACAAGCGCCTTAGCACCCGCGGGAATGAAGCCGGAGCCGACGTTAACAACAAGGTCATAGTTTGCGGCAGTATCCGCGACGGTTGTAGTGTCTTCGAGTCCCTTCCATTTGATGGGGTTGACCCTATCCCCATAGGTTTCCTTCAGCTTTTGTGCTTGCTCAGCAGTGCGCACAGCTGTGTCAATTGTCAAGCTCTTGAGGCTCGGCTCTTCGCTCTTTAGAACTTGGTCGAGAAAAGTACCGCCGACATAGCCAGTGGCACCGGTGAGGAGGATGTTACTCATTGTGTGTCGTCGTTCTGATAAGTGGAGGAAATTCCGTGGGATGAAGAGAGTATTGCAAGTATACGACTGGAAGATTTGATTGCTACATTGCACAAGCTGGTATTGGGGGTATATATGGTACTTTTACAAGTCTCGAAACATCCTGGTCGATATACTCGCTGCCACACAAAATCTGGCACTGACTCGAATAGCAAAGATTAATACGTTCGTCACTGCAGTAGAAAGACCTTTGAAACACGCCACCATATCACTGAGCATGTCACTTTCTAGGGGATCGGGGTTCCAGTTCAACATTGGGTCACTGTGGACCGGTGGCGTGGGGAGGGAACATGGGTAAGTGTCTCTGAAGAGGCTGACAAGGAAGCAAAATGCAGATGGCTTCTATAGATGGCAGGCGCATTAAGCCGGTCCCCTGCTAGCAATCTTTGCCGCCAACTGGAGTAAAGCGAGGCCTTTCAGCTTTTACGAGTGACGGATCACGCCAAGTCGTATCCCTGAGGGCACCAAATCCTGCCTTGCTCTGGCGGGTTAGATTTGAACCTTACCTTTCAACCTAATCGGTATTTGTTCTATAGTAACTATATTTAATTAGTAGCATAACTAGAGAGGAGGAAAGTAAAGGTAAGAAGATTATATATATTTACTATAGGCTTTATTAAATAATATATTTATATTTTAATTAATTAATTAATTTTATATAGTAGTAACTAAATGTAATGGGCTGGTGCCCAGGAGATATACCCTGGATGAGATCCAGTGTAGTAATCGCGATAAAGCGCCGTGAGAACAACTAACGACTACCAGCTGCCTGTCGAGGGCACTTGGTGGCCAGTGTAGTTGAGTACTTCTCCTGAGTTTCCTAGTTAGAATTAGCGTGGTTTTCGTAAGGGATTCTTATAATCCCTACTCGAGGCTCTCTAAGACCTCTATCGAATTCATTACTGTTATCAGGTATCTGCAAGCTCTGCGCAACCCTTATAAAAGGAATACTAAAGGAATATATAGAGTATATTAAAAAAGTATTACAGAAACTATAATAGTACTACCTACTAATATAGCCTAAGAAGAGTAAGTTTTATATATAAAAAACTAAATACTTGTTACGATACCAGAACCTATGAGGGCAGAGAAGGCGTCAAGTACTTGGGACGGAAGTCGGAGATCGTGGCCAGAGGGCTCGATGACACCCAAGGACCAGTCACGTGATCCAACATCACGGGGACAGAGTGATCAAGGTGATCAAGCCTTGGCGAAATCGTGAAAAGCCAAGATCTTGAGCAGCTTGATCAAAGGACTAGGAAGGACGGATATATAAGATTGCTAGATTTCATATGTAGGAGTTCTTCGTAGTCAATAACAAATTGTATCTGATCTTTTGGAATTACCTTACCAGTACAATAGTAGCTTATCCCCCTGGATAAGTCAGAGTTATTATCTTGTCTTGATACTCGCTTTACCCTATACAAACCTCTGCGATATACCCCTCTTACCTTGTGTAGTAAGTTACCTATCGTTACACATTGACTACCATTGTAGGAAGCAACAGTTCAAGACAACATGGTCAACCAATCCACTTCAGCAGCGGCGCAGCCAACAGCCCAAGAAATCATCAACCAACAGAACGAGATCATCAACCGACAGAACGAACAGTTGGAACAAATGAGACTCATGATCGAAACTCAGAAAACAAATGCCTTAGCCAAAATGATTGCCAAACCCGAAAAGTTCACAGGCAAAAGGGGAACAGTCAAACCCTTTATGACCCAAGTCAAGGCATGGTTGATGTACACGGCCCCAGCAGCAAACCACGGCGACCGAGTAATGGCAGCAGGAGCTCTCATGACCGAAGACGCAGCCAAATGGTTCCAACCCCTGCAAAGAGACTACTTGGAAAACGCAAGCAACCTGAAAGAGGCCCGCGACGACACCAAAAGGATCTTCGAAGACTACGACGAATTCGAAAAAGAACTTAACACGGTGTTCGGGGACGTCGACGAGGAAAGGGTAGCCCTGAGGGAGCTAAAAAGCCTTAGACAAATCGCGTCAGCCAGCAAGTACACAGCAGACTTCCAGAGGATCCGAGCATCCTTGAACTGGGACGAAGACGCCCTCGTAGACTTGTATTACCAAGGGCTGAAGGGAGACGTGAAGGATGACCTTGCAAGACAAGAGCTACCAAGAGAACTGGACGAGCTCATAGCACTTGCAGTAAGGATCGATAACAGGCACTTCGAACGAAGGCAGGAAAAGAAGGGGCACCAACGCCCAGAAATCCGAGCCAATCAGAAGAAACAAAGGCCTCACTGGGATCCAATGGACATCGACGGGGTCAGAGAACCCAAGTCCAAAAAAGAACGCACAAAAGGGCAGAAGAAGCGCTAGTGGTCGAAAGCCGAGAAAGAAGAACGACAACGCCGGTTTGACAACAAGGCCTGCCTGAGATGCGGAAAAACCGGACACTTTGCAAGGGACTGCAAAGACGAAGAACAAAACAACCAACCAACGAGAGCTATCAGGATAGCCATGGTACGCGAAAAGCTTACTCCCGAAGAAGCGCGCGAAAGAAGCCGCCTAGGAAGGTGCGCCAGATGTGGGAGCAGCCATTCCAAACAATGGAAGTGCGAAAACGAAGTCGTAGACTGCACCACCTGCAACCACCGACACGCACGAAAGGAAACGTGCAAAGGAGGAGTCAGCAAGCTCGCGCCAGAGGAGGTTGTCAGAAGGGCAACCAGGGGCGTGTGCACAGCATGCGGAGGACCCCACACCAACCTGGAGTGTATGGAAAAAGCGACACTCGGACAACAGCACGCACTCGTCAGTGCGTATACCGAAGTGTTGGAACTCGGAAAAACCCACACACGAGCCTGTGCCGACGACTGCGGAAAGTCAAAAGAGATACCGGAACACCAAGCAGCCAAGCCAAACCTGGAGAAGCCACTCACGGCAAGTGACTTCATGAAACCAGAATACATCGACACAAGGGTAAAAGCCCGCATGTGTTGGATGTGCTGCTCCAGTATACACCTCGGCCAGGACTGCAGTGAGAAACCGTGGGAACAGAAGATTGACCCGAACTGTAAGACGCTAGAGGCGGTATTACGAGCAATCGAAGCACAGCACGACACTTCAAGCGAAGGAGCATTGAAGTTGCTACACAACATCAAGCATGGGAAAGAAGAGTACAAACCCCATCAAATAATCAATCAATCGGAAGACAGTGACTCTTCTGAGGAAGACGATTACCGGGAAGCACGAGAAAATGCTACACCAGAAACAATGGATTGGGACAGTAACCAAACTTGGGAGCAACCAGCCCCAGGCCTGGAAGACCAGAGCGAACCACCAGTGGCACGACCAATCCCAAACGATAAGGTGATCACATGGACCATGTTAGCAGAGACGGTAGTGGAACAATTCAATCAGTCCAGTTGCTGGATGTGCAATGACTGGGCCCACGAACCTCGCTACTGTGAAATGAGCAGCTACAAATTCGTCATTATCGGAAAAGACAAACAGGACGAAGCACGATGGATCATTCACCAACAGAGCCCCGAAGTCGAAGTAAGATTCGAGGACATGGACGCAGAAGGGTACTGCGCCACGCAACACATGGAACAAAGCTATTGCACTGACAGCAAGATATGCTGGTACCACGCGGTCAGGGAACACAACGTAGCAATGAGGCCAGGAGATTTCCATCACACCAAGGAAAGAGAATGTATGGTGGTAGGATGCCACGTACACCAACCCAAGGAAAGAGCCAAGAACCACGCAGACAAAGGATGGCTAGGATGCTATGAAGACGGATGCGAGATGCACTACATAGCGAAGCACCTAACGGGATGCTGGCCAAAAGGGCCGTTCTGGACAGAATACCAGGAATGCCAAAGCCAAGAGGGATGCGGACACCTACACCCAACCAAGCAACATCAACGCAAGAACTGGACCATGTGCAAGAAGATAGCGTGCACCTTTCACGAGAAGGAAAGGGAAGCGATGACGCTAAGAAAGCACCCAAGCTGGGCACCAGGAAGAATGTGCCACAAGGACGGATGTGTAACGGATCACACCAAAAGCTGGGGATGCCAAATTCGAGACTGCAGAGAGCTACTCGATGGGCACTACGAAGAGAGCTCAAAAAACTAGGAGCCCTTCGGAAAGACGACCGATCCGAAGAACAAAGAGCGTACGAGACGGTCAGAATAAGAAGCATTCACAACAACGAGAAAGAATGCACAATAGACGCCAAAATCAATAACCAGAAAATACGGGCGCTACTGGATAGCGGAGCCGCAAGAACCCTCATATCACCAGAGTGTGTAGAGAGGTTAGGACTCAAGTTCAGAGTCAAGAAAACACCAATGAGAGTCGCACTCGCAGACGGATCGGACATCGGTTACGGAAATGGACTGATCAACATGGAAACTATACCAATGATGTTACGAGTCGGAAACGATGAGAAAAGAATCTCACTAGGAATCATGCACCTGGGAGGTACCGATATGTTCCTAGGATACGACTGGTTGAGAGAATTCAACCCATCCATAGATTGGATAAAGAAAACGGTACACAGCCGAAGGCCCGCAAGGAGGGTTGCTGGTATCCGAAAGGAACCTACAGTTCGGAGCTCACCATCGATTGGTCGGATTGGTAGGATATCCGCTTGTAAGATCGCGAGAATCTACAAGAAAAGACCCTCAGAAGTAGGAGTCATATGGATCCGCAGAACTTTAGAGAAGTCAGGAGCGGAAACCATAGAGATACCCCAGGAATACGAAGCATTCAGGGATCTATTCGAGGAAAGCGAAGAAACACAGCTTCCCAAACGACAGCCATGGGATCACAAGATAGATCTGGAACCAGGCAAGAAACCACCAGCACTGAGAATGCTGCCCTTGACACAGGATCAAGAAGAGGAACTGAGAAAGTACCTGGAGAAGAATCTCAAGAGAAGATTCATCCGAAAGAGTAAAAGCCCCGCGGCGGCACCAATACTCTTCGTGCCCAAGAAAAATGGGAAACTACGACTATGTGTCGATTACAGAAAGCTCAACGACATAACGATCAAAAACCGATACCCACTACCACTCATTCGAGAACTGATGGACAGACTCCGAGGAGTCAAGTGGATGACGAAGTTCGACATCCGAGAGGGATACTACCGAATCAGGATCGCCAAAGGTCACGAGTGGAAAACTGCCTTTCGAACACGCTACGGCTTGTACGAGATGATGGTAATGCCATTTGGGTTAACCAACGCCCCGGCAACATTCCAAGCAGTTATCAACGACGCACTACACGAATACTTGGACGTATTCGTAACAGCCTACTTGGACGATGTACTAGTGTACTCCAAGGGAACGCTGAAGGAACATGTAGAGCATGTCAAAAAAGTATTACGGAAACTACAACAGTACCGCCTGCTGATACAGCCTGAGAAAAGCGAGTTTCATGTACAGAAAACCGAATACTTAGGGTTTATTGTCGGAGTCAACGGCATAGAGACGAGCCCAGAAAAGGTCAACAAAGTGTTAGAGTGGCCAGCCCCAACGAAAGTAAAGGAAGTACAGTCCTTCCTTGGGTTCACGAACTACTATCGACAGTTCATAAAGGATTACTCAGAAGTAACGGCACCTTTGTCGGAACTCACAAAGAAAAACAACACGTACAAATGGGAAAAGGGACCAGAGGAAGCATTCAAAGAGATAAAAGAACGCTTCAAGGTCGGAGGAATCCTGAGAATGTACGATCCCGAAAAAGACACCAGGGTCGAACCCGATGCGTCCGACTTTGCACTGGGAGGAGTGTTAGCCCAGAAAGACGAAAAAGGGAAATGGAGACCAGTGTACTTTCACTCGAGGAAGTTCTCAAAGGAAGAACGAAACTACGACATCCACGATAAGGAATTGCTCGCAATAATAGACTGCTTCAAGGCATGGAGAGTCCAACTAATAGGAGCACGAAAAGAAGTAGAAGTGTTGTCGGATCACAAAAACCTCGCGGCTTTCATGACAACAAAGGAACTAAATAAAAGGCAAACGCGATGGGCAGAGATGATGGCAGACTACAACTTCAAGATCATCCACCGGGCAGGACGACTGAATGGAGCAGCGGATGCGCTTAGCAGAAGAGTCGACCTGACGCCAGAGGAAAGAGAAGAAAGAACAGAAGCAATGTTCATTCTTGGAAAAGATGGAACCCTACGATACAACCAGATTCAAGAGGAATCAGTACGAAGCGTCACCATCCACGAAGGAAATCACGAGGAAATGGTAAGAAACCTTCACAAAGACAAAATGTACGGCCACCCAGGCGTACAAGGAACCATCGACAAAGTCTCACGACTACATAAAATCCCGAAGCTACGAGAGATAGCGGAGAAAGTAGTCAGGGAATGCCCCGAATGCCAACGGAACAATGTCAAGAGACACAAGGCATACGGACTACTACAACCAAACCCAGTGCCAGAAGCACCCTGGCATAGTGTCACAATGGACTTCATTGTCAAACTACCTGTAGCCAAAGAACCAGGATCCGGAAGAAAATGTGACAGCATACTGGTCATCGTCGATCGATGCACGAAATACGCATACTTCGTACCTACAAACGAAACGATTGTAGCATCTGAACTAGCGTATGAAGTAATGAAGACACTCGGAGCAAGCCACGGGCTGCCAGCCGAATTCATTACGGATAGAGGAACACTGTTCACATCCAAGTATTGGAATACGTTCCAGAAAGTATTAGGAGTGGTACGAAAGCTCTCGACGAGCTTCCACCCCGAAACAGACGGACAAACAGAGCGAACAAATCAGACACTGGAGCAATACTTGCGAAAGTATGTCAACGATGAACAAAATAATTGGGTAGAACTACTCCCCACAGCGCAGTTCGCATATAATAGCGCTAAGTCCGCAACAACAAAACAATCACCATTCTTTGCAAACTACGGCTACGAACCAACACCATACGGAGAACCCATCCGCATGGAAGAAACCGTCGCCACAGCAGAAGAAAAGGCCAAAAGGATGAAGAAAATTCACGAGAATTTAAAGAAAAACATCGAAGCTCAGAACGTGAAGAGCACAGAGCAGGCCAACAAGAAAAGGATCGAGGGACCGACCTTTAAGGAGGGGGATAGAGTGTTCCTATCACGAAAAAACATCAAAACCAAGAAGGCCAGCAACAAACTGGATAACTTGAGGATAGGCCCCTTCGACGTTAAAGAAAAAAGAGGACCAGTCACGTACGAACTAGGCCTACCAAAAAATATGAGGATACACCCAGTATTTCACAAGAAACTCCTAGAACCAGCACACGGGAACACAGAAACACCAGTTGCACCAGACGCTGCAGAGGAAGAGGAATACGAAGTAGAAGAAATCCTCGGAACTAGGAAACAAGGACGTCAACAACAGTCCCTAGTAAAATGGAAAGGGTATACCCACGAGGACAACACGTGGGAACCACTCAAGAACTTGACGAACTGCCGACAGTTGTTGGACCAGTTCCGAAGTCAAAGTTCGCAACCCAACTGGGAGAAAGAGCGTCAAAGTCAAAAGGGACAGCGTCCCCAGAGGAACCACTCGGTGCAGTGGAAGGACCAGACGGCGAGGACTCGGTCGCTTGCATCTGTTCCAACTCCTCGATCGACAATCGCTCACGCTCAGCCAAGTCGGCATATCGCTTCTCCGCTAGTTGAAGCTGCTTGCGAAGACGAATCTCACGGCCAAGGGCCTCATGAGCGGACTCTTTCGCACGAAGAACCGCAGCATCGGCCTCGTCAACTTGACGACGCAAATCGGCCAACATGCGACCAGCACGATCGAAATCCTCAGCGGTCACCACCTTGTCACACTTGCGGGTACTCGCGAGACACTCGGTACAGAACCCAGAATGACGGTCAATCACGCAGCGAAGGGAACGAGTGCGACAGCCACCGCAAGGATTGGATGATTCGTAGTTGGGCATGTCGCGAGCCAGACAAGCAAAACGGGCAGAACGACGCTCAGAAGACGAACGCTTGGGAACCTTCGGCATGGTCAGAAAAGAGCAAGAAAGGCATAACTCCGCAAAGAGTGGGGGACAGCGCCTATATGAACTCACCACCGGAACGGAAGAACCCCGCAACCGAAAGAATGACTTTGCAGGAAAGTCAGAAAAATGACAGAAATTACGGGACACCGGGTGGCACAGACTGCTGCAAGACGGAAGAAGGCTTACAGGGTCTTCGAGACGAAGTCCTTAAGGGGGGAGGTAATGTTACGATACCAGAACCTATGAGGATAGAGAAGGCGTCAAGTACTTGGGACGGAAGTCAGAGATCGTGGCCAGAGGGCTCGATGACACCTAAGGACCAGTCACGTGATCCAACACCACGTGGACAAAGGTGATCAAGGTCTTGGCGAGTGCCAAGAAGGTTGAGCAGCTTGAGCACCTTAATCAAGGACTAGGAAGGACGGATATATAAGATTGCTAGATTTCATATGTAGGAGTCCTTTGTAGTCAATAACAAATTGTATCTGATCTTTTGGAATTACCTTATCAGTACAACAGTAGCTTATCCCCTTGGATAGGTTAGAGTTATTACCCGTCTTGATACTTCGCTTTATATCTACTGAACTCTACGATCACCCGATTTACCTTGTGTAGTAAGTCACCCATCGTTACACCTAGGAGGTGGAAGACGTGATTAGGAAGCTCCCGAACAACAAAGCTCCCGGCCCAGACGGGATACAGAATGAGGTGTGGAAAGCCCTATGCGAGGACCTTAAGGAAGACATGGCGGAAGCAATAACAAGAATGCTAACCAACGGCACCATCCCAATGGGCATGAAAGAATCGACCACTGTTGTCCTCCGCAAAGAGAAGAAGGCCGACTACTCGCTACCTAGTAGCTACAGACCTATAGCCCTAGAAAACACTATAGCCAAGATAGTAGAGAAGATCGTAGCGAACCGCATCACATCGGAAATGGAGGCCAGAACCCTACTTCCGAACAACCAGATGGGAGCAAGGCAACAACGATCGACGCTATCTGCACTGGAACTACTGACTGGCAGCATACAAACAGCATGGGCAGCCAAGAAACCAGTAGTCTTGGTCCTCGCTCTTGACCTAGCAGGCGCATTCGACAACGTATCCCACAAGAGGCTCCTATGGGTCCTCCGATCTAAGGGGTTCCCGGAGTGGGTAGTCACCTACATCGAATTATTCCTCACGGACCGCCGAACCAAAATCAGCTTCAACGACTTCACGAGTGCGTGGATCAAAACCGAGACAGGCATCCCCCAGGGATCTACACTATCACCTATCCTCTTCCTCTTCTTCATCGCCGACCTCCTGGGAGAGTTTAAAGACGTTAAGGACGACACAATCGGATTCGGATTCGTGGACGACACTAACCTTATTGCATGGGGCAGATCCGCCGAGGATAACTGCAGGAGACTTTCCAAGGCACACGATAAGTGTGTCGCCTGGGCTAAGAGGTTTGGGGCCAGCTTCGCACCCGACAAATACCAACTCATACACTTTACGAAGAAGCGAAAGACTAATGAAGACCTAAAGTCTACGGTAACCATACTGGGTGTATGGCTCGACCCAGGGCTCACCTGGAAAGACCACATAGCTAGGGCAGCTGTAAAGGGAGAGGCCGCATTCAAATCACTGGCGAGGATCACAGCGTCGACATGGGGCCCATTAGTACGCAAATCCAGGCTGCTATACCTCGCAGTGGCCAGGCCCACAATGACATATGGTGCCCAGATATGGGCCGTAAACAACAAAGGAGAAAGCATAGCAGAATCAAAGACCAAACCTCTTACGACGACCCAGAACAAATGCCTTAGGAAGGTGCTAGGGGCGTATAAACGAACCCCCATCGCTGCTATTGAAAAGGAAAGCGGCACGCCACCAATAGACATATACCTTTAAACAATAGCCATGCAATGAGCTGTCAAGACAGCTCACTACCTAGTCACAGCACAAATCTGAGAAACACTAGCCTCGATATGGGCAGCGGCGACCACTCTAAAGGGCAGACGGGGTAGAGGCCGACTAACTAAACACACGGCCCAACTAAATGCCCCCATAGACAGCATGCGGGAGAGAGGAGACAAGATCATAGAGCAACGCCGAGCCACGCAAAGACAAGAACGACGGGACGGACAGATCCAAGCTGTTAAGGAAATAGGAGAGGAGCATACTGAGCAATGGAGAGACAGGTGGGAGGCGGAAAGGCGTAAGCCCTACTGCACCGCACCTACATGGAAGGACCTATGGGAAAGCTAGCTACTCCACCTGTATGATAATGCACTAAAGCACGTGGCAACGTCTATTCTTCTCCTACGCACAGAAGTACTCGGTACCAGGGCATGGCTAGCGAACGCT